CAACTCAAGTCCCCACCGATCAAGGTGGGCGACAGGATAGTTGAGTCCGCCCAGGAGAAGGCTGAAGTACTGGCAGAAGAGGTGTTAGCACGCTTCTCAGATCATGACGACCTGGACTATTCTCCGCTGGAAGGATGGGAGCCCTATGAAGCCAAGCTCTACAGGGACACCACAGTGTCTTTGGAAGAGGTCGAGCAGTATACCGCCGGGGTTACCAGCACCTCCCCCGGCGTAGACGGGATCATGGTAAGGCTGTTCAAGGCCTGCTGGGAACATATCAAGGACGCCGTGCGCGACGTTTTCGAGCTCTGTTTGCAACTACGGCACTTTCCCGCAGCCTGGCGGGATGCAGAGGTGTCAATGATCCCTAAGGTCAGGAAAAAAGACCGCTCTTCGGTCTGATCTTAGCGGCCAATTGCATTACTCTCTTACCTCGGCAAGGGGCTAGAATGACTGCTAACAAAGCGAATGGCCTGGACAGCGCTCTCTTAAGGTATCCTCAGTGTCCAACACGGGGGCGCGCTGCCTAAACGGTCATGCATGGACCTCGTTCTGTCCTTTGCTTACGAGGTTGAAGCGGCACTTGCTAAGGGACTCAAGGTCTCTCTCGCCACAGTTGACGTACAGGGTGCATTTGACGCGCTTTTAGTGCGCCGGCTGCTGGAACGCATGCGGAAGCAAGGCTGGCCCCTAGCCTGCCTTGAACTGGTTAAGTCCTTTCTTGAAAAGCAGAGGGCCAAAGTCCGGCTTGAATGTGTCTCCACGGACTTCAAGGACATCAAGTACGGCACCCCCCAGGGCTCTCCGTAGTCCCTAGTCCTCTATATGCTGTACCTGGCAGAGCTCTTGCTACAAGACCCGGAGCTCTGTTTCAGGTACGCCAACGATCTCTCCTTTTGTAGGGTATTAAAGTCACTGCAGCGGAACGCTGAGATGCTAGCAGATGACCTCAAGCAGGTCATGCAATGGGGAGACGAGAACAAGGTCTTCTTTGCTCCTGAGAAGTGCGAGCTGGTTCATATCACCAGAAGCCGAGATATTTTTTACCCCTCTGTGGTGATAGGTGACCATCTCACTATTGACCCTGTCCAAAAACCTGAGGGTAGCGGGAAAGAGCCAGCACTACGCTGGCTGGGGGTTTGGATTGATCAGAAATTCATCCTTAAGCGACATATTCAGGAACGTGCTGGCAAAACTATGCAGCTATCCCAGCATATACAAAACCTAGCCAACATCAAGTACGGACCCCTGGTGTCCGGATTACGGAAGGCTGTGGTTACCTATATCCTCCACACGGCACTATACGGGTCAGAAGTCTATTACGACAGACAGAAAAAGCCGCCACACAACCAGTCACAGACAGGCAAGCCTGAAGTTAGCACTGGTATAGGATGGCATATCAACACTCTGCAGAGATCCATCACGATAGCGGCACAGGCGGCACTGCCGTGCTGGCGGACCACACCGAACAATGTCATTTTCAGGAACGCTGGCCTCCCCACGGAAGAGGCAGCGCTTAATACAGCATTATAGCGGTTTGTTTTAAGGCTATGGACTGTAGATAAGAAGCATCCCTTTATCAAATGAATCCAACTCCTGGCGATTATACAGGACTGTGGTGCAGGCGGCTTCCAATATCCTAAAACCAAATTATAACTAGCAGCTCACTTGTTACTCCCTGTATAGCGGCCCTTATTGGTGCCGCTGTGCTTCATGTCTGGCTATAGGATCGATCTAACTAGAGGTATCGATAAGAAACAGGCTGCCAAGAACTTCAAGACCTGGTTTGAGGCTCTGCCACTACATGACGTGGTGGTCTTCTCAGACTGCTCAAAGGAACGGATGCACGTCGGATACGGCTATGCGATCTATCAGGGCGGGCGCCTATTCGCCACTGGCAAGGGTCGTCTAGACCCGTGTTCTATCGTGTTTGATTCAGAAGTGCTCAGAGCCTGGAAGGGACTTCAGTACATGGTCAAGTCACCCCCGGAGCTTAGTCAGCGCCGGATCTTGGTATGCATGGACAACACAGGAGCGATCTGGGGGCTCCGCGGCAATGCCGCGGTGTCCTGCCAGTAGGCCTACCTGAAGTTCTACGCTGAGGCTGAAGTCCGTAATGTCAACGCCAAGTGGTGCCCGGGGCACTGCGCCATTGAAGGCAATAAACTGGCAGACAAGCTGGCTAAGGCCGGCTCTAAGCTCTCCAACGTCGACTCCGACTGTACGCTGACGGCATACGGCATTAAAGCAGAGGCAAGACTTAAACTCAAAGGCTCGCGCGACATGTGGTGGACCAAGGCCCAGATCAAGCTGTCAGCCCGCTACAAATACTGGAACCTAAAATACAAACTGCGCTGTCATAAGGAGCTGCAGGTACTTAATAGGCCGTCATTATACCGCTTCCTTACTATCTACTCAGGGCACAGCGACTTCTCTTAGTATTATGTCAAGTTCAAACATCAGGACGTCGTCCTCGACTGTTTGTGCGGCCGGAGCAAGACTCTGACACACTTTATCCATTGTTGGAAGACTTTGGCATGGTATATGGTCTGGCCGAGGGCCCCGGCATCCCGGCCGGAGCTCAGAGCCAGGCTCGAGTATCTAAACGAACTTATGACTATCCCACGGGAGTACATGGACCTACTCATAGCTACCGACTTCTACGACAGCATCTGCCCTCCTCGCTGAGGGCATATTCACTTTTTCCTTTTATTACGGCGTTTGGGGGCTTTATTTTTCTATCTTTCCTTTTTAATGTCTCATAGGGCGAGTAAGAACCACTACGGCATGCTGCGGTACCTACTATAAGCTCTAAGAGCACTGAACCTGGCATTGCGCCCTGAAAACTGAACATTTGGGACCCCAGCCGATAATTCCCCTCACCCGGAGGAGGGGGGACACGGTGTGATCCGCCGCTTAAGTGTGGTGGCTGTTTACGGACTTGACCTGCTAGATGGGCAGTGTATGTATATAGAAGACCTAGCCTAGCACGCCTGAGCGGCCTCTTGGAGCCCCTGGTTGACGCCGCTACGCGGCAGTCCCCCCGGCGTTAAATGCTACAACAACAACAACAACAACAACAACAACAACAACAACAACAACAACAACAACAACAACAACTGAGCTCAGCACCGCCGCCACATCCTGCAGGTCAGCACCAATCATGTTCAGGAAATAGCACCAGGAATGCTTGCGATTAAGGTGCCGATTCAAAGCTGAGCTCTGGTTTGTCTTGATGGATATATCTAAGCAATGTCCGTCCCCCCGCCCTCCCAAGCCATTGTTTTGGAGTTCAGAGTGCGAGACGCTCTTCCTGAAGTAGAAGGATGCGTTTACCAGGACGCGCTAGTGTACACGCGGTCTACCTCGCCGAGGAGACAGGGACGGCCAGGACTGGTGCGCAAATTGATCAACGTGAGATGTGAGGCTGTATGCCGGTGAAGTGATCTGCAAGAAGCTCAAGTGCCTGTTGACTCAGCTTACAGACGTTTGACCTTGTGGTTAAGCCTCAATGGCGAACTGCGGAGCGTCACTGGAGTTGAGGGAAAGCAAAGCGGGAGAGGTTGGGAAGGGGGGCCTGCTTTCGAGGTGGCACGAGAGACAGTTATTACGTTGATTATCTTTTAGGTGTCACAGTCTGATGCATGAGTCATACATGCGTGTTTCAGCCCAGGTCACCATTCGGGGTAGAATAAAACGGGACAATTTGAGGTGGCCGCTCACTGCATGAGAGCCTACCTGTTTATGTTCGAGCTGGATCCTCTCCGCCCGTTCCGTATGAGGCATGGGGTATTTGCCGATAAATGCAAGCGCGCGGCCGAGGAAGCAGTGGAGCATCCCTATGGCCTTATGCTGGATGCGTTCCGGTGAGCAGAGACACGCGCTTCAGACTCTGGCCAGGCCAAAGGGTTGACATCGTGCACGAAAAGCGTCAACGTAGCGTAACGTAAGTAAGCCCATTGACAACACGAATAGGAGAAGAAGATCCAGGCAAGCTGTGCGAGTGAGTTCGGTTCTAGTATATGGTCAGGTGAGTTGGAGAAGGATTGGGCCGGAGGCAGTGACGTGGTGCGATACACATGCATGGGATTAAGTGAGGCTATCTATGAGTCACTCGTGACCACTCATTTACATACATGTCAGAATCAAGGAAACACCAGGCTAGGACGCTAAGCCCATTCTCCGTCCTGGTCTTGATCCAATTCTTGCTTTATAACCCGGTTCTAACCCGTGGTTCAGCTCCTGTTCGCGATCCAGTCCCTGCTCATAATTATGTTTCATCTTCCCTGGCTGTTGTCTAACCAATCCCATGATCCATTACCACCTCACGCAGACATGCAGTATAACCTCCCTGCGAACCAGCAGGCGCCTGCCGGGTTTTTACGGTGACACAATGGCCAGGGCACCACTTCGCAGTAACATCCTGGATCCCGGCTGCGGCGTCAGACTTTCGGTATGCGCACTGGCAAGACACTGCAGCGTTGCCACAGAGTGCTGTTCTTTGTTTACTATGCGTAGCCTGTAGGCAAACCGAAATTTGGCTGTTCCTAAAGCCGCTTGTGTAGAAGAGCAGCCGACCGAGTCCTCAGTCTGAGAGGGCGTGTTGGATTATGGTTCATCCTGAGTGCTCTTGACTTCTGTTGCCTAACGTAACTGATTATCCTGCCCCCAAACAGCTAGAACTAAGAACACAACCTGGACACCTGGGTGAGGAAAATCCCCTGCTTCGGTTGATATGTGTTGCAACTAAAGAAAAAAATCATCGTTCAAATAGTAGAGCCGCGGCTAGATCTAGGCCGGGTCCCAATGGTGATTCTTCGGGTGTAGCGGGCATCAAGTAACTAGCAGCCTTCCGCCATGGTGCATTTATGGCTACATAGCCTAATGGTCTGGCCGCGGTTGTCCCACTGCCATTTGTGGAATGTCAGCCAATCCTCCAGCTCCGCTGATAACACCGGTGCTACATTGCCATCCCGACGGCCCGAGTTGGTGTCGCCCAGCTAAGGTTCGAACTGTTCCGTGTCGGCTCCGTCTTTGGCCGCATGAAGCAGAAACTCGAGAGGCACCACCGGCCTGCCACCAGCCTTTATCAGCTCGTCATGGCAGAAAGCCTCTAACGGACGGTTGTTGCCCTCAGGGGGTGGGCTGGAGGTTGGAGACCGGATCTCTCTGTTCCGCGCCTCCGATGGTGTCGGCGAACAAGCCCGGGAGTCTCTTGAGTTCTTCCATATATAACTCCGAAGCTGACTCTGCTTCTTGCCATCTTGCATTGCGTGGTCCAAATCGTGAGTTGAGGCCAGAAAAGGAGCAGTAGATTGTGTTCGCTTCAAAGAAAGCCTCAATTTCACTAATTGTAAGTGAAGGAGAAGTTTTATACTCTGCATTTATCAAACAATATTTTGAAATTAGGCGTTCCTTTCCCGTGAATACTATCTCTGGTTAGCTCCAAGCTACGGCATCCTCTCTTCCCGGCATTCCCCTGAAGCCTCCTGCCCAATGGATCACTCACCAGGACCCCGCCACACTCAGATCCAGCTCCTCGGCGTTGGAACCGACAAGCAACCGGGGGATACCAGTGCACTCCCTTCAACAGGAGGGCGACTTGGTGCTTATATACCGGTCGCCCCTCCTAGACTCCTCAAGAGGCCACGACTAAAAGTCGAAAAACAGCAACCTAAGAAACAAATAAGGACAGACAAACAGAGTGCAGCTCTTAGAAGGCAGTGGGGCCAACCGCATGAGCAATATGAAATGGCACACCAAGTAGACCTGTGCGATCATGTTACAATCGCAGTGCAAAAGAACCAGCCCTACAAGTGTGTTATGGTCAAAGAATTCCCAGTCAAAGAAGCAGGTAAAATCCTGTACTGGTGCCAAAGACTTCAACATAAGAACATTGTCACTGCCCTAGAGGCATTCACAACAGATCAAAGTCTTTACATCGTGTTCGAAGAGATGTTCACCAACCTGGAGTGCCTTGTGGCCAGCCCTGCTTATCCCAACAAAGTCCAGCTTGGCGCCATCCTTGGTCAGGTACGGACGATCTCATATAGTACCACTTAGTTGCTAACCAGCTTGAAGTTACTCGATGGGCTGTCGTATATCGAAAGCGAGAAGGTCAAGTATGAAATGCTTGTCGGGAGCCCGGTTCTACTGACTTTAGCGGGCAACGTCAAGATAAGTACGATACCATGCCCTTACCTTACTGCACTATTTTTAGATATTATTAAACAACGAAGGAAGTGAGCCACACATATACAGATTTGAAGTCAGGTGCAGCCTTAGAAACTGCCGCGATCAAAGATGTGAGGCGGATTACGACACATCTCATGTACAGGGTTGAGTCCGCACTTACTGTCTCTGGTAATAGCCGCTGGCCAACCCCATCGAACGGCTATAAATTTCATGTGGGCTTAAACTCCGCAGAATTTATAGCAGGACTGCTACAGGTACGACCACGTTGTCTGTATGATTCAAGTATTAACCTCGTCTAGCATGCACTCGTTCAAGACAATCGAAGAAGGGAGACACTTCAGGATCTAGTGCGGCTAGCCATGATTTCTCTCATACCACCGTATCGTTTATCATCACCCCTGACTCCGAATCGAACGCACTCGCAAACGCCTAGGACCATTCAAGGATCTTTCAGATCACAAAGCATGTAAACCAGATGGTTATGACAGATGCATCTGTATTCAAGTAGTTGTGTAGATGTGGTATGTCGCTGCATCAGTGTCAATCCCAACATTGCGAATTCCCAAGCCCCGAAGCCCTTGTGCTTCCCAATATCCAAACCCCCAAGGTATCCCGACCCCCCAAGTTCCTCCTCAAGTGCCCCCATTTGATATCCCGTGTGCCTGTGTGGTGTCCGATTGCCGCTGCCTGCTGATCAATCCCATTGTATAGGTGTGCCGAGACTCTCTCGTGATGCTGTCTGTTGCAAACACGCGAACTGGGTTGCTCGTTTGAATGCCTAGTTACCACCCGTTTTGCCGTTTTTGCCCGCGCGCGTTACCCAAAGTTCATCATGACCCCATTCACCCGAAGGTGGTGAGGCGGCAGTGAAGGCTCAGGCTCAGGGATTGGGCATTCAGGGACGTCCATCGGTGTGTATGCTGCTCGAGCGTCGTCTCGTAGTATCGGAGGACTGCGTCGGATATCCATCGGCCAGGTGGGCTGAGGTGCAGAGGCAGGTGAACAGGACGGTGTTTGTTTTGGTTGGCTGCGGAGTGGTTGCTGGGGTGCAAGAATGATCAGTTTGGGGGAGATCGAGGGTATGCATTGGAAAGTTACTAGTGGTGGTCGAGTCAGCTGGTTGGAATCTGGTGCTTGCGGATGCGTTGCATTGCAGAGGCCTCTAGATGGCAGAGCATGTGCGTCAGCAAGGAAGGATGCATGCAGTGGCAAGACTGCTCGTGGGGAGACTGGGAAGGGGATGGGATGAGGCTTACCTTGTGTTGCTTCGAGGAGCTCGAGCAGTGGTGTGGTTTGTTGTGTGGTAGTGTCATCCCGAGGGAGAGCGTGAAGGTGGGCAACCATGCGGATGGTGCTCAAAGGTGGTCGTGTATGATGACGATTGTTGTTGTGGGTGGTGAAGGCCATGGATGATGATGGATGATCATTGGAGAGGATGCATGTTGCAGATGATGGATGAAGGCCATGATGGAGGAAGCAGAAGATGAAGGTGCTTGTTGGTGTGTTTGCTGATGTGTGTGTGGAAGATGTTTCTGTGGGAGGGAAATGGGCAACCTGCCCACCCATTAAATATGTTTCCGGGGAGGCAAGATCTGGTGCACAATCAGCCAGCCCATGGCAGGGGACCACTAGTCCTAATCTGGAGTTCTGGGGTGGTAAGGAAAAAACCCGATTGGTGCTTGGCCAATCATATAGCAGAGCCGCACTAGACGTTGACGACACGGCAACGCACCAGCTGATCTGGTTACCTGATTGGCCCGAGAACCAGACTGTGCATCAGGGAAATCGGGATCAGGATCAGAGAGGTACCTAGCCTCTCTGATCTCCTGCTGCCCTGCATGACCTTCCACCCACAGGTGGCTGTTTCAATTTCTACGGAATTCAGAAGCATCTTTCATTTTATCTCTAGTCGAAGGCTCGCGGTTACAGATATCGTAGTAATCGTCTGACCTTCATCGTGCAATCATATTTCTTCTACTGATGGTTGTATTGTGGAATGATAACCATTGTTAAGACATGTTGCATCGAGTGTTTTCCTGTAGATTTCCCCACGCATGTTCCAGTTCTCGAGCGGCCACGCCTAATCCAAGAGGCCTCGACTCGACTACTCATGTCATAAGTTCTTTGGATCCCATCGCGTTCCTTGTTCTGGTCCAGGTGCTCTGCAACAGGTATGTTGACTCTTGACCTGCAACTATTTTCATTTGTCGCACCCACTGAGGCAGGTTTGGATCATGGACTCCTGCCGGTTACCTAGGCAGATAATTTGATCTCTATCAGACAGTGTGAGAGCTTCAGCAGAGGAGACCGCGAAGTACAGATATGTTTCTGCTGAACTATCGTTACTGTCTTACTACACTTGTCGCTGCGTCTTTCGGTCTGATGCATCAGCTTCCCGACTTGCCGATATTGTCGTGCACCCTTGCTCACCAAGCTCCCCAGATCTTTGGCCACCTCTGCCATCTAAGATCGATGGTCAACATGGATCGATGACCCAACTCTCAATCGCCCAGCACCTGAAATCATCTATTGTAGTAGGGCCTGGCTAGACTTTGGATTATTGACCCTAGATCCGGGTACACATCGCTACATAGCTGAAGGCTCGACCATGTACAGCCACATCAACATCGCGCCTTGGCTTCTCAAGGCCAGACATACATGCGCGCATATTCAGGAACGCCATGGCCATAGGGCTAGGAATCATTGGCAATCGCAGTAGTCCCAGCTTGGTACCTGCTATCTGTTACCCCCGACACGCTGTACCAGCGATAAACACCATCGCCTCCCAGTCATTCAGCTCATTGTGAATCCAGGCTACCTACCTATCTCGACCATCACCTCCACCGCCGGCAAGTCATTCAGCTCACAGAGAATCCAGGTTACCTACCTCGACCGTCCCCTCCACCGCGATACCCACGAGCCCAACAATACCCTCAACCAAATCGGTCACCAGCTAAATTCCATACACCCAGCAACCAGTCGCTCGACCATATACACATCACGGACGCAGAGATAAACACGATATCATCTACCTCACAGATGCGAGTAGCGCCACGCCCAACCCAAAGATCTCTTCCACCAAGTCGACAACCACCACCTCGACCAATACCACGTCCACTACCACGATAGCTATCACTACTGCGCACGCCATCACGTCTAGAAACACAGTCACGACCATGAAAAAAACATCGTAAGAAAATTGCCAACCACCTGCCACTTAAGAGTCACGAAGGACGGAGGGTCGCAGAGGACGGAGAGTCGCAGATGATGGGAAGCCAACCGTCATCAGTGGAACTCGGAACCGAGAACCTCATCAGGTAGGAGATGGAAGGGAATCCTCATACTGCTACACCCCAGGGCTAGAAGTAATTAGGAAACGATGGAAGTTTTTTTCCAATTTTCACACATATGGGACTAGTTCCGCGTCCGTGATCTCGGCATTCGCGCAAAACTTAATAGGCGCACTGACATGGCGGGTTTTGGTTCTATTTGTTGCGCGGCTACGGCTGTTCCTCTGTCTGTATCCGACATGCAGTGTTCGGGATGGGAAGAACTGTGGGTAGGATGGCTACTAACCATGCCTACCTACCATGCATACCATGAAGAAGGAGCCGACAGCATAATCCGGTTGCGATCAGCGGGAATCGTCTGTCACCGGAATGGTGAACAGACCCCAGAGGTAACCCGACGGGTAGCCAGACCAACTCACAAACAGAGAAATACACAAAACAGGCTCTTCCCGCACTGAATAAGCAACACCCCTGTCCCTTCGCGATAAAGACAACAGCCGTCCTTATTCGGAGAGAAACCCCCGCAGAAAGGACATTCCATCTCTACCTTAGTTATCCACCACCAACCCAACCATTGTAGGTGTCCCTGTAATCATCAGATTTGAAAACCTCCATAAAGACAGCCAGGTCAAGACCCACGCCAGTCTGGGAAGAGGGGGAAGAGCAGGAGGAAGAGGGAAACCCTAATACACACGTATATGGCTAGCTACCTAAGCACTAGAGGCAGCAATGGGACAGAACATGAGAAAGACGGTAAGTTGGTGGTAGCAGATGTCGACCGTATTCCATTGCCGAGATAAAGCTCTCTTTTTCTCTCTGCCCCTTTCCCAGCCTTGGAGGCCAGCCACAGCCCCGTGGCCCTACGTATAGTGCACATTTAACGCGACCAAAACAACAACTGCCTCGTCCTCGTCCTCGTTCCACCGGCCCAATCACCGTACCTTACTCGTTATACACGTTTTGTTCAGCCCTAAGTCCGCTTTGCCAGCCAGCCGCAAGAGCCGCATCGGAAGAATATGCACACAACAAGAAACACCAGCACAGACGATGGCACGCAAATATAACCCGTTGGTAACATAGTTCGATCTACTCGATGAAGATACCGCACGTTCCTATATATATGACACCGTCTTATCCCATCCTATCCCTTCCATCCCGATGATGCGGTTCAAGCCCAGTCCACCCAAACCCAAACCCAACCCAACTCTATATATGAATCCGAAGTAGGTACCGTATGCATGCATGCGTCAACCCATGGCTAATGATCGTTTTAAGTGCTATTTTAAACACAACGCAATGTAATCCCTCTCTGTCCTCCCGTCCTCCCGTCCTCCAGTCTGAGCCGGCCGAACAGTTATTCCACAATCCGATCGTGTGTGCCAATGCTTCGAACGTTCGATACGTAATGTAATGTCCCAGCCATCCGGTATATACCACCGAACCCAACATCAAGCAACAGCCCACAGCAGACAGCCTACAGCCAAGCAGGCCCATCCACCATCCGCCCGCCGACCCGCTTATATAGCCCAACTACCCCTCCGAGCCCGGACGCCCCAAGCAAGAAGACTAGCCCCGTCCGCGCCGTTCAGGCTCGGGTGCTGCCGTGCCCACTCGCGAATATACAGCCTCAGGGCCCTCCAGCGGGGCGGTTTCTGTTTCCCCCCAGCCCGACGCTTCCGCTCCACCCTCTCGCCCTCGCTCGGCTCCATCAGCACGTCGTCGTCGTCGCCGCCGCTATGGTAGCCACTAGCCGGCGTACCATTACCCGTACCCGTGCTGTCGTCCTCACCCGTATTATTGACCGGCATCTCCATCTGCAGCATGAAGCCTTTGCCTATGGTCCGGTCGTCGTCCCTGCGCAGCTCCTCGACGGCGATGCCGCTGATCTTGCTGAGCTCCTCATCAAAGTCGCGCGCCATGGCCGGGTACCCCAGGCTGATATAATTATAAACCTGCGTGACGAAGGCGTCGTCGAACTCGGCCAGGAGCGCCTCCTGCCGCTCCTTGCGCACCTTCTCCCGTTTCAGCCGCTCGTCCAGCCCCGAGAGCATGTGCAAGCCGCCCTTGTTTTGGTGCTGTTGGGCCGACGAGGGAGTGTGCGTGCCAGTCGGACCCAGTGACGCGACTGAGAAGGCGTCTGAGAAAGGGTCCGTGCCGGGCACGGTCTCGCCTGGGGTTTGCAATAGGGATAGTGGGTGCAGCCCGGGCGTCGCATTGTCTTTGGCCTTGTTTGAGCAGTAGCCCTGCCATAGGCCCGAGTTGCCAGACAAATCACGCTGCTTCTCCTCGGCCTTGTCCGTCTCCGAGTACGGATGGTTCGGGTCGACACGCGTGTGCTGCGGGCTGGGACACATCCGGAACTTGAGGTCGTCGCCCAGCATGGGGGGCGACGCCGCCAAGCGCATCTTACGTAGCTGGGCGTCCTCGGATTCGGTGGGGCGGTAGGAGGCGAAGGGCATGCTGAACGGATCTGCGCGCATCCCGGTCGATGGCGAGGGGGTACTCTTCTCCTGCACGGCCGACAGCCGGGACAGCAGAGCCGGTGAATGCGCGGATAGGAATGGACTGCCGGCACTGCTCATGTCGCTGTCACGCGATGCACGACGCCTGGTCGTCGTCCACAGGGGGTCTGGAGGTGGGGGTGCTATCTCCGGCTCCTGGTCCCCTTGGTCGTCGACGCTCGGCTGCCTCTCTGACTGCTTGGCCAACTTCTCGGCGTGTGCTCGCATCTCCTTGACGGCCCATCCCGGGTCCGTCGACTTGCGCCGTACTAATTGTGAGGGGCCGTGTCGCAAGGCTTCGTCATCCGCCACGCTATCGTCCCCCGAGTTGTCTCTGTCGAGAAAATGCTCGACGTTTTCCGGCCGTACGCCATTGGGGAACGCTGACATGGCCTGTTCGAGCTCGCGTTGCCGATGGGCTTCCCGGGCCGCCACTGCCAGCAGGTACCCCGAGAACTCCTCGTCGCACGACTCCCGCCTGTTACGCAGATCATAATTCCGGCTGTTCCACGAGTCGCCCTCTTCGTCCTTGGTGGTAGGTTCGGGCAGAGCCGGAGCACCTATATTAAGGGCGGGTGCCGGGCCATCATCGTTCTCTTCCGAGGAGTTACCCGATTCGGACGACAATATAGTGTCGAGTTCAGGGTGGTAGGACTTTTCCCGGGTGGGTCGCCGGGTGTTGAGGTGCGGCTTCATGGACTGCTGGCGACGGGGTGTCAGGAAGCGCGGTGAACCCGAATTCTCCTTCTCCTTTTGGTCGTCGCCCCCCTTATCGATGGCATTGTTGGATCGAGGGGATCGAGGTGTTGCTGCGGGTTTCCGCTTCGGCTTGGGGGCGTAGATGTGGTTGGTACCCGGTGTGATGTCAGTCTTGTCAGTCGGCTTTGTGGCTGGGCCCTCCTGTCCTGCCTTTTTCGTCCTCGTCGTAGTCTCGATCAATTGGGGCGCAAACCTTCTCCTTGGCTTGGCCTTCTTCTCTGGCGTCGCAGCTGTCTTCTCCTGCTGCTGTTGTTGTGTGGATGATGGAGGTGGGAGTACAGGCTGAGAGGGATGCGGGGTTGTTGGCGAGGGGTCGGGCGTCAGCTCGGCGGTCGGACCGTGAGGATTCTTCGAGTTCTGGTTATTGTTGCTGCTGACGCGGTAGGAGTCGAAGGTGGTCTCGATCGGGACAGGGGCAAAGCGTCGCACCGGCTTCGGCTTCGGGGGCGGAGGTGCATCAGACATTTCGACGTCAGGCACCTGCACCGACGCATCCCTCGTTGTCTTGCGCGTCGAGTCCGCAGTCGAAGTGCTACTGGTGCCGCTGCTGGTGGCAAGCTGTCCCCTTTTATTGCTATTGGAAGACACGGAGGAGGAGGAAGTGGAGGAAGACTTGGTCGTCTCTTCGACGAGTTGAGGGGCGAATCGACGCTTGGGTTTCGCTGTCGGTGGAGGAGCTGGGGTGGGCAGTTGTGCAGTTGCAGGTGGTGCTGCATCGCGCATCGGCTCATCGTCACCTGCTGCCGCCATTGCTGCTGCGTCCGCTGTTGGGTCTCACGATGCGACGTACCAACAACCGAGGGGCCGGAATAGGAGGGAGGAATGTAAATGAATTGCTGTGTTAATAACGCGGTACCGCATTAAACGTAACGAATTGCCAATTCATCAAACAATCATCCAAACACAACACAGCGCGAAACACGAACCTGCAACGCTGTACCAGGTTTCGGGTGTTCTCGTATCGCGGAGGACGGGAGGACGGGAGGACGGGAGATTGGGAGGCTGAAAGCTGAGAGCTGAGAAGATGAGGGCTATCACGATCCAGAATCAGTAGTACAATAGTGTAGCCATCGATAGACTGGATCGTGGACTCCCCGACTCCCTGACTCCTGAACGCACCGCTCTTTCGTATCACTTTTAGGTAGCACTATGACTACTAGTAGGTGCTTCGCGGTCGCTTCCGGTGGTGGGGACGTGGATCGTGGTGGAGTACGGGTCGGATTTTTTGTTGTCCAACTTCCAACTCCCAAGCCCCGAAGCTGAGCGACCTTCATGATGCATCTTGCTTGCTGCCTGTACACAGTTCAGACGATATCTTGTTTGCATGTGGTGGTGTGGCGGTGTGGTGGTGGCCAGTCTGCCTCTGCAAGGGAGCTGTTGAGAAGGAAGGAACGTCCTGGGCTTCCACCGACACACGGGCCTCATTGCATTGCAGTGAGCGTGATCTCTGGACGAGACCACCTTGAATGTCCCGTTGGAAGTCTAATATGTTTCGTTGCCTTATTACCTATTCATCGCATCCTCTCTTTGAGGACCCTTCTTTCCAAGGACGCCAAGAGAGGTTATAGTATAGGTAACCCTAATCAAATTGTAACCGTACCTGGCGGTGTGGCAGGTGGTACAGAGTCAAATGCGAATGGCGACAGCGCTCGACAGTCTGGATTGCCTATTACCTATTTTGCAGGTCTCTGGTAACGGGTTTGAAATCATGAATGTTGTCGACAGAATTACCTGACCATGCAAACCGTGTACGTGGAAGTCTGGTGTTGAACTGTTGAACAGGAAATGGAGGCATTTAACCTGCCAAGCCAGGGAGGTAGCACAGCATGTGATTGTGCATGCATAACCCCAGGCGTGGGGCATGCGAGGCGGGAAGTACTTGACCGCTTGGGAAACTCGAAATCGGGAACCCCGCGACGGGAAAGTAACACACGGCCGCGAAGAAAGGCTTGAATGGGCTGCTCGATTCCTCGAAAGATTGTAATATGTCTTGATATGAGTAGTGGAGGGTTCCCCAGGTTTTTCAAGGTTCGCCCGCCTGTCCCGGTCAAATCCGTTCAGCTGGGGCAATTGTCGGGGCCGAGTACACTGACATCATAGGCCAGACCGAGGACCCAACTTCCCATTCTAGTCAAATTCTCGGGTCGGCATTGGCTCGCATGACCGACTCCAGTTGCCAGGTGTCACACGATGGGGGATTCTCGCTTGAAAATTGCCGGTCGCGATGACTATATGAAGACGGGAGGCTGTCTCGCCGAGTCGACCACTTCTCGTTCGCATGAGCCATTGCTTCAAGTCTATGGCCATTGCCGTGACCGCCTATCGTCTCCGGAGTGATCGGCACGACGGCTTGACTCCAGCTGTCCCGTCTCTCCGCTACCCCCGGCCTCCCCGGGTTTTCTCGGGTCGGGCTCCATGTGGCATCGGTACCTAGGTATCTTCCTTCTGGTTTAGCTCGGAACTGCGACCCCACTAGATCAACGGCACTGCTACGACATGCGACCTCTTCTTCATCTGGCCACTCAACCAGAGCATGCAGGTACCCATCAACTCTCCATCTCCAGCAAGCAGAAAGCAATCTTGAAGTGGAGGGAGGATGGAGGCATTCCAGATTCGGGACCAAATGTTGAGCTCAACCTACCTAATGTGGAGCAGCCTATGAAAACGGTTGGTGTCAAGCCAAAACCTCTCCTGGCCTGTCATGCCTGTCTGCCTGAACCAGACATGAACGAGGCAGGTGCGGTGCACTGGCGTTCTGCGATAAATCTGAACTATCAAATTTGTGGCTTGACTATCTGACGCCGCTTCAACTTCCAAGCCGTCCACCGCCTAACGACTTGCAACCATACTGCAATAGGCGACTCGAAGCGCGGCATCGCCACAAGGGCCGGGTCCACCGTCTTCACCGACTCTTCAACGGGTGCGCTTGCAGGTCCGGCATTGTCTCGGCCGCCGGATTGCGGAGCGGGTGGAACGGCTAGATCTGTACCTTTGCGGGGGATGCGTGCTCTGCCCGCGCTATGTATCGTGGGGCACCACCATCCCCTATCGCTGTACGCCAGATTCGGGCTTCTGTCAATGCGTTCTCCTCGCTGTATTTGACCTGACCTCGCGTGTTGACGATCGTGGTTCGATGTGTGTGTTGTCTCCGAGGACACTGGCCCATACTGTTTGAAATGGCCTTTGGTATACCCCTCTCCCAACAACACACACCACGAATACGCGTGTGGGGCTCTCTTGATAGGTGAAGTTGATGCAGCCAGTTGAGGCTGACAATGCATGTCACTGGCCTGACGTCCATCCATCTTTTGTAGACATATATCCGCGCGGACTCAGTCCTGACCGATTGACCATTCAAACCCGATTTCGTGAGCCTCTTCTGATCTTGGCCATTTCTCCAGCTCATTGCATGTCTGAGAGGCAGCTTGCCACAGCTCGTCCGAATGTGCTCCGACCCAGTCGTGCAAAGCATCGTCTTCGGCTATTATTCGGGAGGCCGCATTGTGCGATACGATACCCGGGCGTGGCTCTTCGAAGATGTTTTGTGCAACAGCATGGCGAATGATATGGCGGGTCGTCACCTCGTCGAGTCGTGATATGGCGGCAATCTCTGCAAACGTGGCCTTGCCTGAGACCGTGGAGGCATACGCGAGCCGAAAATGAGTGATTGCCTGTTCACTGTTGTGCTGTCAAGCTGTTAATCATTGCGCAAAGCACCTAGCCCCCCTTTAATACGACTCACCGATGTGCTCATGAGCTGTTCCCTCAGACCAAGCACGAGGCGTCACGACTCTGTGGTGTCTTACAGGATATCAATTCGCACGTTTCCAATGATATCACCATTCCATGGTGGTTTCCCATTGTGTTTTGACGTCGAACGACCGCGTGGTATGTGAGTCGTTGGCGGTCAGATAGTCCTGCAGTCTTGTTGTGTTGATCGAGATGCTGGAGGACAACTCAGTGATTCTTGATGTAGACATGGCTCGTAGACTCCATCAAACTGCATCTAGCTCGCGAAAAGGGTAGACGAAGTTTGAGTACTGAAACAAAATCGTATAGCTGCGGAGCCAAGAGAGAATGTATGTGGGTAAATTTGGGATCGCCCACCCCGTGAAAACAGAGAAACGAGGCGTTCGTGCCACAGTATGATAGACAGGACCGGCCGCCTCGCGCCAACGGCATACTTGATTCTAATTTCTGGATGCACCCCGTCATCCCATCACGCGGGGCAAGGTGCAAATGTAGCAGGAGAGAATTGTTATTTCTATAATAAGAAGCGCGGCCAGTTATATCTGCCACCACTTACTAGCTGCCACACCAGGGCTACTCCTATAACCTACCTCGTAACAACACTTCTTATCCCACGCCCCTAAAGGGTTCCACCACCTCTAGAAACCCAGCTATAATGTTAGGATCCCATTCTCCATTCCACCTCTCGCTCAAGTGAAGTAAATATAGAATGGTCTCTGCAGTAGTGTCGTGCACAAGCCCTTCCAGATGAGGGAAACACAAATCCTAGCAGCACCGGTAAGACGACGGCGACGGCGCCTATGCGAACATGAGCAAAAGCTGCACGAGACTTTAGGTGTGACCCTTGTGCAACTGCCTCGTCCCGACTCAGCCGTCACCGAATAGACCGCTGTCTTACCAATCAACCGACGCCGTCTCCCAAGAGGCAGGAAATGCCCCGTTATCCGACTCAAAGCAAACGTGCTTACAGCGCAATTCGCAGTAAAACCGCGCCATGTGATTCTCCGGCAATTTACACGTGCAAAAATATCTGTCCTTGGTATCGAACAGGAGGAGACTGCCTTCGCTGTCGTATAGACAGGAGAGCCTGATACGTTTTAGGTAATTGGGATGTTTCCTGAGCTGGTCAAACACCGTCGCCCAAGTGTCGTCGTTGGCCTCGCCGTCCCTTACTCGTATGCGTCGTAACAAAAGGTTCTTTAGTGTTGGGAGATGAAGTACAAGCCAGCGCGTCAATGCCGAGGGCGAAACGACAGCGTTCGAAATGCTGATCTCCACAAGCTCGCTGGCTTTGTGGTACGAGAGAGCCTGGAATGCCTGCCAGCTCCATGATTTCCGGTTGGGTAAGTCGAGCGTATCGAACCACAAACACAACCTCTCCAACCGGGGCATGAATGGGAGCATACCAGGCAACCAAGCGTTCGCAGTCTGCCTTCTCTGCAAAGAGGCCCGACGATCCAGTGCCAGAGCAAGCTCGAACGTCTTTAGGTTTTGCAAGGCTACACGTAAGCCAGAGAGGAACAATGTATTAATAGGCCGTGGTTGCAGTTACGGGAGACGAGTGGGGTCCAGACCGTACAGAAAGTATTCGTTGCCCGGTTGGTACTTTTCAAACTCACATGGTTTGTAGACATAAGCTGAAAGACGATCCAGAGGGCGTTGCACCACGGACAGTGCTTGAAAGAGCACTGAGAATGTCCACTCAATGGCACCACACGTCTCTAATGCCAATTCGCGCTCGAAGTCCATCAGAAAATCGTACTGACTTCCCATCTCGATAGATGAGAGCGCACTGTTGCACTCTTCGGCAATGGTGCCGCCGCCATAGCCAAAGCGAAAATCTTCCCAAGTCTTGCACCATTGGCCAACCTGGACCGACTTAAGGCGTGGCAATTTGGACAACGCAAGGGTAAGCATAGCGACGTCTCGACCCCCGCTAAGAAACTCTGCTTGTCTGCGACTGTGCAGTTTCCATTGCTCCAGGTGCGTATTGTCCTTTTTCTGGCGACGGGCGCCTTCATAGACAAACAAGAAGTGCGTATCGAGGTTCAGATGCTTGATCGTCTGCCGTAGCCGCTCGTTGTCCCCGATGGTGGTAAGTGTCCTCAAGCTATGCTCACTCATAAGCCATGGTTGCGCAGACACCCGGGCGGCAAAGTCGTTGTATGTGATGTCGTAGATCTTATGGTTGACCAGACGAAAGTGCCCAAGATCGCCGGGATCCGCCAAGGATTTGGCCACAATAACAATGAGTTCATTGGGCAGACCGAGCAGCGTAAACTGAGTAGCCATGACAAGTGGTCAATTGAAGAAGATCTCGACGCCGGACGTTGGTTCGCAGCCTGTTCGCGGTCGCTAGGGCACTCCAACGGGTTTGGCAGGTGATGTCGAGTGCGTTGGGTGCTCACAGTAGAAGTAAGGGGATGTGTTGCCTGGTTAAGTGAGAAGATACTGACGCGAGAGATGATGTTGTAGCTGTAGCTGTAGCCGTGCTGATAAGAGTGTTGCTGCCACCAAAGGTGCTTCCACGAGATGCTTGTGTTGAACGTGAAAGGATTGAGAAATGAGTTTACTAGATGTACTATCGAGGTAGTTATATACAACGTATGCACTTACCTTATGTACCTATTGATGCTGGTGGGCTGGTGCCCCAGTAACAGCTGTTTCCTGCAGCTGCTTCGACCGTTGGGATGGAAGTCACGGCCGCCAAACCTTCCAGCGTCTAGCCCACGCACCCCAGTAGCAGCTGCCTTGCATTCAAGCTGTTTTCCAGCAGGCGCTCCCTCTTTCTCTCTTGCGGTCACCTCATTAATTGTAGGTGCGTTAGGTTCTCGCAGTAGAAGTAAGGGGATGTGATGCCTACCTAGGAACGCTGAAAGGTTTGGCAGTCGTGACTTCTCAGCTCTCAGCGGGGGAAGCAGCTGCCTGTTACTAGGGCAATAGCGCACCAGCATCAATTACATAGGTGAGCGCATACCTAAGGTACGTTATGTATACCTCCTACATAGTACATCGGGTCAGTCCGTAGGTATGATAATCGTTTTACAGTGCACACAAATAAGTTATTTCGCGGAAACACTTTTCGCAACAGCAACACTCATAGCAGGTCGGCTACAGCTACAGCTTCAACATCTCTCGTGTCAGTATCTTCTCACTTAACCAGGCCACCGCACCCCAGAGGCAGCTGTCTTCCGTGCAAACCGCCCGTTGTCCAGCAGGTACTCCCCTCTTTCTATCTTGTGGTCACCTCAGCTGGAGGCCCATCTCCCAGAACGCGACGGCAGACGCGCTCAAATCGATCTGCAACCGGGCGAAGTGAAGCCTTGACTATCATGGAGGCCAACATCCACTGGCCGCCGGAGGTCCTGCTTGCAATCATGCGGAATTTCGTCCAAGATCCGACCGAGCTCTACGACCGAGGCTGACTCAAAAAGATGAGGATACCTGAAGCAAGAACCAACTTCCGAACCCTCAAAAATTTGTGCTTGGTATCATCAAGCTTCGGAGCTGCGGCGTCGGACGTGTTGTACAGCACGATTCACATCTGGCGAGGATTGCCTATCACGGAACATCGCAAATCTTTGGTTAGTGGTGACTTCCACGCCACCAGTCAGACGTCCCCTCGAGATCCTAGATTGCTAACTGACTGTTGCTTGCAGGTTCTCTTGTTGCGATCCCTGGTCGAGAACCCACAGTTGAGAAAATTGGTCCGACATGTAACATGCGCCGTGGAACTCCATAAGCGACCATTTTAGTGCAAGAAGTCGGAATGGTCGACGCAAGATTCCCTCTGTATCGACCGAACATGGAAACTCCTGCGAGGAAGTACGAGTAATTGGTCAACCGTCGACGACGCAGCTTGGGTAGTCCGCAAATCTCGCCTAATAGACGTGTACGGCAACCCCGCGGAGATAGTGACAGGAGAGGCAAATTTCGGCGCCGTCCTGTGCTTGGCCACGAGCATGAGATCTCTTCGACTTCTATGTCCTACTCAAGGCTCGTTCAAGGATATGAGTCAGCAATCCCCCGTTACACATACCGTGTACTACACCCGGTTGGATGACATTGTCTCTACTACCACCGCTCAGTTGCGGAATGCAGGCCTGCCCTTGCCGCTTGACGAGTTGGATACACTGTTCTTAATGCCCGAAAAAGATCGAAAGTACCAGAAGAAGCCTCGGAAATACCGCCAGTAACATGGCCATGGCATCCAATCGTCATACAATCTCGGCATTTGCCCAGCCCTCTTGAACGCTCCAACTTTGTCGCGGTTTCACGTCACGCGTGCTGGTGGTATCGGCGGGCAAAGCTTACCCCCACTTCTAAAAGAATTCTCAGCGGATGACGAATCATATTTTTGGCCCAGGGATATGGAGGCTCTCCTCACTTGCCTGAATCTGGTGGATCTTCACCTGCACAATGTTGCTATCCTGAGGTTGTCTGACTTGCCGGCCTTCCATGATTTCTTCAACCCATTACTGAGAAAGCGTGCAAAAACTCTTCAACGGCTTACCTTGGTCTTCGGAGAGAATGGATATCGCCACGGAGCAATAAACATATTCGCATATCAGCCTGACTTCGGGCGTTCTGAGCACCTACACTGTCTCGCGGACTTCACCGTCGTGCGAGAGCTGGACATCCAGCTCTTTGCTTTGGTAGGCGTAAGAGACAACCTGAATACGGTCCAACATGAAACGAAGCTTCCGAAATCGCTACGGAAGCTCACAATCCGAGGGACGAGGTTGTTCGGTGATCTTGCACCGCATCATTGGGGAGGTCACGTTGAACATCTGCGCAACATGATCCGAAGATTTGCAGCCCCTTGCAAGGTTCGATGTGCGAACTTGAAGAGTGTGTGCTGGGTCAATCGCGGCATCTTGTAGGATGGTGACGGAGCAACTGAGGAAATCAAGGGACTGTATAGAGAAGCGGGCGTTGACTTCGACGTTTGGGACGTGCCGGGCAGAAACACGTTGGGTCTCGAGTGACGGACGACTCTTCTCTGTTCCATCATCGGTAGCCAAGAGGCCCGGCTCTAGAAGGAATGTTAGCGTAGCATTATCATTTTAAAGCGTTATTATATAAGTGTAGAAATTTATTTGACCATGCTGACGAGAAAACACTCAGGTATACGCGGCAGGTATGGCAAGCCTAATTTGCTGTTAGACCATAGGCACACATATCTTGCTGTCTCACAGCAGACCTCAATAAAGGAGATGATACTAATGCCCTTGAAATATATATTTATCACACTAATACTAGATGGAGACACCTAGTGGAACGCAGAGACGCTTGTCAATGATATCCTGGACCAGGTGGTGACCCCGGCATGCGTGGCTACGGATGCACTCGGACCTATAAGTTAGTACCTGAGAAGAACTTCGCAGCCAAAATCGCTATCACGGTATTACACTCTGGAAATACCAACATGGCAGACGGCCACGCCTCTGAAATTACCCCGTTATTGCACAGATGCACACCCAAAAAGGCGATGCTCTAGGTCACTGACAAGCAGCATGCAACTGCTCACTAGACATGAAATGCGAGCCCCCCGCGCACCGGTATCCAGCCGCCTGCTTGATCCAGCTGAAGCCCATGGGACAAACGCCCATCTGCGCCAACCTGATCTGCATCTCGGCTTCCTCCTTTCGCCTGCGCTCCTCCTCCAGAAGTTTGCGCACGATCCTTTCCCTCTCGGCTTCCTTGGCCCTGTCCTTGGCTTCGAGCAGACGTTGGTACTCGTTCTCCCGCTCCTGTTCCGCTTGTCTGTCTCGTTGGAGCTGCGCCCAGACGGCATCGCTCACGCCGGCGTCGCGCTGCGCGCCGTGGTGCCCGTGGGGCTGTGTCGAACCTTGCTTGTCCTTGTCCTTGTCCTTGGTTGCGGCTTGGGGCTCGGGCTCGCTGTGGTGTTCGGGCTCGGCGGGACGCTCTGTCTCTGGCTTCGTGGATGTATTGAAGGTTGATCTAGGGACTGCCTGCGTTCCAGAGGCGCAGTCCATGGCACCAGTCTGCGGCGTGAAGGCCGCTGCACCACTCCTGCTTCGTGACTCGCGTTCATCAAAAAGCTTCTGGAGATGGGAGATGACCACGCCTTCTTGAAGCACCAGTTTCTTCGACGTCAGGGCCGCTCTATCCTTCAGCATGTCGTTGAATATAGCCTTGCCCAGCGTCTGTACATCCCGTGCGCTCGCCCAGCTGCTCTGCTTGGAGAGTCCGGAGAAGAGCCGCGCGACCTGCTGGGCAAAGTCCAGACTCGGTGACTCGACCGCTGTGAGATCCAGAGAGATCCCTTTGAGCTCCAATTTGGGTCTTCGGGACGCGAACTGCTTCGTGAGAAGGGTGAAGCACTCGGGGGGGCTGAGACCGCGGAAGTTGACCACCTCTGGAAACCGCGACGTCAGGCCTTCGTTTATCGACATTAGGCGGTTTATATCCTTCTCATACCCCGCGAGGATGATAATCAGCTTCTTGTGGTACCTCTCCTTCGTGACGCTGTCGACAAGCTCGTTGACAGCTTCAGTCGCAAAGCCTCCATCAGCAAGCCTGTATGCTTCATCGACGAACAGCACTTTTCCGAGAGCCTTATCCAGAAGCTGTTGGACTTTTGGCCCTGTCTGGCCCACGTACTGGCCAATCAAGTCGGTGGCCGAACATTCGATCACTTTCCCATCAGCGAGGAACCCCATGTCGTAGAACACCTTTCCCATTTTGCGCGCGGTCGTGGTTTTGCCCGTTCCTGGCGGGCCTCGGAACAGGAAGTTGAAGGGTATGTTCTCCCTGGGATCCATATCCAAGGCTTTCATTGTGCGGACCGTCTCCTGATAGCCTGTCAGCCGTGCCACGATGTCTACGGATCCGACAGTCCCTTCGAACAGCGTCTGGACGTTGGTTTCTGATCTCTCGGCACGGTCAAAGTTCTCGTCGAAGTCGATGGCCTCCAGTGTGGCTGCTGATTTGGTCTGTCCACGGGAGAACCTAGACTGGTGCCGGGCTTTGGTCGTGTCGAGAAGGTTGTCAATATCGCCAGCATTGCCGAAATTTGGACGGTTCCGACCTCGATCCAGTATCTCCATGGCCACGTTCTTTGCTTGGTCTGTGGCCTCGAAAGCCTGTTGTTTGAGCTTCAGGTCCAGGATTTGTCGCAACTCCTCGTTGCTGAAGTCAGCAAATTCAAAGGCCGAAGCGATTGGGAATCGTCTGCTGAGGCCTGGGTTGACGTTCTGGAACATCGTTTCCATCTGCTCCTTGTATCCTAAGACTAGGACACAGCGGTCGTCGCCAGGGACACTCTGAACCTCGGCTACGATTGTATCGATCACTGCGGTCTTATACGGGTCGGTCATAGAGCCCTGGCCACTACCGCTGCCGCTGCCATAAAGCCCATAAGCTTCATCGATGACCAGGACCTTGCCTGTGGTGGAGGCCAAGATACCCTTGGTCTGTTGTTCGGACTGTCCTAAAGCAGACCCAACAAAGTCTGACGGATTTCTCACCACAACTGGTGAACATTAGCTCTGTGAGCCGCCGAGAGAAGAATAATTGTGTGACAATGACACTTACCCTCGCCTTTTGATAGCAGCCCAAGGTCTACCAGTATCTGACCGTACAGCTTGGCCACTGTCGTCTTGCCGGTTCCTGGATTCCCAATGAACACCTTGTTCAGAGAGTACTCAATCGGTGGTTGTTCGGCCAGTTCTCGGTGGTAGTTTTGCTCGACGCTATCAACCAACGACTTGACGGCCTGCTTCACGGACGATAGACCAATCAGTTTCAGCAGCCTGCGCCATCCTTCAGACTTTCCCAGGACCTCTGAAGGTTTGGGGCCGATTAGATCTTCCTTGGTCAGGAGCAGATCGTCAGGTTTGAGCCCTTGCCGACGCTGTCCCGTCAATCGTTTTGCTTGGGACAGCGTGATTCTTGCCAGGGTATTCTCGACAGTTCGAGCATCCCCGAAGCCCTCTCTCCCACGACCGCGTCCGATTCTCCTGGAGACGATGCGGCAGTACAGGCCCTGCAACCCATCCTCGCATTTCATAGACCCTTTGTACTGCTTCGAGATCTTGAGCCCCAGAATTCGAAGGAGCTCGTCGTCAGTGTGGTCCGCGAACCCCATCTCGATCGGGAAACGACTAGGTAGGCCAGGGTTGTGGGAGAAGAAGCTCTCCATCTGCTTGTTGTATCCAGCGAGAACGAAGACGATCTTGCCGGTCAAATTCTCGACCTCGGGAAGGAGGTAGTCGAGAACGCCGGCGCCGCCGTGGCTGTTTCCGGACGTCAGCTGATACGCTTCATCGATGAAAATCACGCCGCCTCCTTCGTTCAACACACTGTCGATCAGTTTCTGACAGCCCGATACTCCAAGGTTTGCCAGTTTGGATCCCGTCGTCTCTTCTAAATGGGACCCGGGTAAGACGCCAATGGACGTGAGGAACTTGGCGTACAGGCGAGCCACAGTGGTTTTGCCTAAGCAAGGGCGTGGAGTCAGTAAAAGTGTGAGCGGTACGATATGGAAGTCTTTAGGGACGTACCCGTGCCCGGATTTCCCAGCAAGGAACAGCTGAACCGCTCCGACGCAAGAGAGACGTTCTGCCGCAGCTTGGTGTCCACTGTGTTCTTGATTTGGAGGAACTGCTCCTTGACCTCCTCGAGGCCTATCATGCCCATCAACTCGTCAAGAGGGTCACTTCGAGCCCCTTCGAACTCTTTCAAATACTCCCACTCCTTCTGCACATCGCTTGGGACACCTGGGACGCTGTCCGGGCTTGAAGTTTTACCCTCAGCGGGCGCTGGAGGCGTCTTGTTGGTAGCACTGGTTTGTGCCAGCTTTAGCTTTGCCATCCGCGATGCCGTCTCCTTGAGCATCTTGAGATCCTCGCGCTGTTGGGCGATCGACTTCTTCTGTGTCTCCTGTTCGGTCAAATACCTCATGTGGCGCCGTTCGTGCTCCTGCTCATCTTGTATATGTTGGAGCTCTTGCAGGTAGGCCTGTTGCCGTGCAGATCGCTCTCGCTCCATTTCCAAATCCCGTTTTGCCCTCCTCTCCATATTTTTGTCCTCGTCGATACATTTGCGACATGACTCATCCTTCTTGCTGCAGGCCAATCGCCTTTTATGCTGTCGATCACACACCCTCTCAACGATGTGAGTGCATTCTGCTTGAGAGTGATCATTGACGCGATGGCATCTATGCTTGCACTTGTGCAAGCCACACTTGAGCATGACTCCGCTATCGTAGCAAAGTCAGGGCAATGTAATAAGCATGAAGGACAGGGAAATCGCACCATGGTTCTGCACAGCCGCCGTCCGGGCAGGCTTGGTCAAAGTCTTCTGGCGTTTGTATTACAGCCGTCCTGTTGGGGTGTCGCTCGCACTTCACAGGTAATCCGTCATACAGATGGCTATGCTCCTTCAGCAGCTCGAAGAACGGATACCAAGTGTCTTTTCCTCTGCTCCTCATGAATGTGTCCATATTGCCGATCATGACGAGACAGTTTCTTGCACGGGTAATCAAGACGTTCAGCCGCTCAGGTGCTGCCATGAAACCAATATCTCCTTTGGCGTTACCGCGTGTGAGAGATACGATGACGATGTCGCTCTCCTCACCCTGGTAGTTATCTGCAGGTTTCGTTAGTCTATATCTTCCAATGAGCGTAGCAGCTGACTCACCAATGGTCGAGATGCGCAGAGGCCTCTTGTTCACTTTGGATGCCGCCTGTGTCATTAGGCCAGCTTGGATCAATTCCGAAGCGTCAGGGTCATTCAGAATAGGATCGTTCTCCTCGGCGAGCTTCTGCCTAAGCAGTCGGAGCTGACCAAGATACGGTGTCAAGACCACCATCGAATCCGTACCGTAACCCTGCTGGGCTAGGTAGCGTACAATCCTGAGGACCATGACAGCCTCGAAGGCGTTCTCCTTGCTAGCTTTCATACCAGGGTCTAGCCGGTCTGCAATCGTGTCAAGCTGAGTCTCCGGGTGTTCGTGATTGATGAACACGACTCGATCTTGCAGGCCATCAATGGTCGGTCTACCTTCAGTTTTCGGTCCGTCAAGCAAATCTGGATATGTAAGCGCCCGAGGAAACAGGGAAATTTGAGGTTCCATGCGATGCTGCTTGCGTAGAGTCGTATGCTTGTAGCCTTGACGGATCATCCTCTCGAACAGTGACATGTTGAGATCATAGCCGTCTCCTTTCTCAACGGTAAGAGCATAGTTGTTCACTTTCGGTCTCAATTGCTTATGGTCGCCAATGAGGATCAGTTGCTTGACCGTTGGTGCTAGGGCCGTAAGTACGTGGCTCTCCAATATCTCGCCTGCTTCTTCCACCAAAACCACATCTGGTCTGGAAGCGCGGATGAGCTTCTGTTGCATTGCAGCTGCGGTAGTTGTGCAGCCAATGACTCTTTTGGAACGAACGAATCCGACCTTTCCTTCGCTGAAGAGGTCGTCCAGGCGCTCTTGGTTGCGGTTGAATTCCTCGGACAAGTCTTCGACGATCTGCGCTCGCTCCTGTATGACTGCCCTCACCCACCCAGCAAGTTGTTCATGTCTGATGGCAGCAGGCATGTCCCACACGCTTTCAAGGTCTTTCGAAACATTATTGGCAAACATTCCGGGGCCATTTCCGGCCCTCCACTGGGAGAACAGGTAGTCTTTCTTGACCTCCTTGCCTTTTCTCGCGACCCGTCTCCACTCCTGTTCCGCGGCTGGTAGCCGGAAAGCGTTAAAGAATCGACGACCACTCTGGGAAAATTCAAGATGCTCGAGGATCTCCTGAAAAGAGGGATTTAGATTGAGGTAGTCCCCGAAGGCAAAGTGTATCCGCTCACTGAGCTCAGCCTGGTCTGCTTTCAGTTGGTTAATAGTGGCCCAGGACTCCGCCGAGCGTTTTAAATGGTGAGTATGTCGAGGCAAGAGCATTGACACGGTCCTCGCGGTTGACTTGGAGCCAAGCCGGACCATATGCTCTGCTGGGATTCCAACATCCAGTAGGTCTTCCAAGAACTGGTCTAGAGCATGATTGGTATAGCTTATTACCAATATCCTGAGTGCGGAAAACCTTTGCATGCATTTCACTGTTTGTGAACCTAAAACAGTCTTTCCGGTACCTGTTGATTCAAGTTAGAAGGCTGCGGGGATGAGGACAGATTCACAGTTTTACCTGGAGGCCCCTGTATAATGCTAACAGGATTTGTGAGAGCATTGACAAAGGAGTCAACTTGAGACTGGTCCATGCGAACAGTCGAGTCTTTCGAACCAACCCCTTGCTCAGGTACTGGTTTTGATGAAAGCGCAGAAGCCAGCTTGCGAATACGCTCAGGTGGCTCAAATGCTTCGACGTCGATGTTTTTCTGCGACGGGTGTAGGAGAACATCATGGAGTGGAAGGCTGTTCATGGCTTTGAGCTCATTCAGGATGGGCGCATAGGCAAAGACGGGGGTATCGACAAGAATGAACTGTACACCCCTCGGCGACTTGAGCGAGAGAAGCGCGTTGCCCAACGCCTTGCTCTCCGTAAATTGAAGGCACACCACCGGCGGGTCTCTAGCGAGCAAGTCCAAGTCTCGATTGACGAATGCGAAGCCGCAAATGGTTTCACCATTGAAGAGAGCCCCGAAGGCTTGGTGTTTCAGGTAGTTCTGGTTGTCGAGGAGGAACTGCCGTCGTCTGTTCTTGTCCACTTTCCTCAATCGCTCAAGGCCCTTGAGGCATTCAACAGCTAGCGAACACTGCCTTCCTCGATTATCATCCCCCAGTTCCATCTTGACAGGCGTTAGCGACTCAAGGGTGAGGGCTGAGCGTCTTCCCTTCTTCCTTCCAATGGCTACTTGCAAATCTTGTCGAAGTTCTCCAAGCATGTCTTCTCTCAGCAGTCGGTACTGGTTATCTAGGTGCAAAGCAGATCTTTCAGCTGGCTCGGACTCGAATATCTCCTCAGCACGACGATAGAAAGGCCTGTCAATGGCCAGAAATTCATCCGCGGTAGGATAAGTTGCAATCTGTCGAAAGTCTGCGAAGTCATTATCGTGCCGTCCTCCGGGTGAGTACGATGAGTTGTTTTGCTGCGGCAAAGTCTTCAGCTGGAGTACTTTCTCAATCTTGTACGCCAGATCCCGGGTTTCGTGAGCCTTTGCCTGTGAAAGCCAGCCCGTCTGTAGAATGGCTCTAGCGTCGGAGAGGATATCCAAGTCCGGTTCGTCAGGACCGGTGATGAGCTCGTGAACGAGCTAGGCGAAGGACTGTAGGCACTCTTCCTCAAGCTGATATTCCAGGAAGCCCTTGAGAAGCTCATTCCAAAACGTTGCCGGTATGACAATGGCTTGCAGGACTTTCTCCAAGAGCTGGCCGTTGGCCAGAGTCTTAACCTCTGGTCTTGATAGAAATGCAAGGAATCCGAGCGTCTGCGATTTCATGAACGGAAGTGACAGATCCGCTCGCACGCTGTGTCGAACTGCTGTCAGGCCGCAGGGGCTGGCAATCAGAGACTCGACGCAGATCGCGGGGCTTTCTTGGTTCCGGACCGCCTCAAGAAAGAGTTGTGAGTCGTCGCGAGTGATGATAGTCCGGTTTCCTCTCAATACGTCTCTGAAAAACCGTGACAGTTTCCCAGAGCGCACCGATGAATCGGTTACAGGAGCCATTGTATCTTCTGACTGCCCAGTCGAAGAATGCACCCCGTGTACGGATGAAAGAAGAGTTGACCAAACTCCTACCCTTTAAGGGAGAGTCGATTGAGGATGTACCGGTATGATAGATCCCTAGGATCACACTGAGGTACCTAGAATAGTAGAACCACCAGGGCAGAGAGCAGTGACTGAGAAAGGCCACGGAGGAAACTGGCAAAGCAAAAGGGTTGGAAAATGTCGAACGGCTAGCCTGGCAAACTGATGATAGAATGGTTTGCAGTATGTACGTTCGCCTGACCTAAGCGACCGTTCTGCCTCTCTCGCTGCATAGGTAGCCTGCGTGGTAAGTTTCTTGGTAGACCAAACGAGTATTCGTGATAGGTCCCCAGCGTTTGAGTCTGTGACACTGACGGCAAGTATCGGCGGGGTCATGCATAGCAATGGAAGTATTCGGGGATGATTGGTGACGATCCGGGACCGCATGAAACAGCCGCCACGTTGGGATTGGCCAGCTATGCATGAGGCTGTCACTCCTAAATGATGGCGGGTGACACAAGGCAGTACCAGCCCGAGCCAACTCACAAGGCAGATTCTTGATCCATCGAAACCCAAGGCTTCCACCGAAGTGAGTCATTCTGCGTCGGGTCGTTAGAATGTGACGGGGACCGCACAGCTCAGGAATAAAGAGTAGGTTCCGGTGCCCTTCATCTCTGAAGGGTTGAATCTCCCATGGTCCCATTCCATCTTGACGAAGTTTGAGTATTCAAGAGGCCTGCGGTCAGTCCCTACTCAAGATGCCATACAACAATCGAGGCGGTCCCTCTCAAAAGAGCACGAACTGGCGGCGACAGCCTCTGGTCCAACAGTACCCGCAGCAGCCGTTTGGCACCAAGATTCAATCGCTGGTCGTCGACGACCTCTCCCCTGAGGCAGAGGCGTTCGAGCGCAAAGCCGTCATCTCAGGCTGCGTACCGGTCGCTTCATACAGCTGGCTCAATGTTCAGGACCCTACCATCCTTGTCCCTGGTAAGGCCCCGCACCAGGTACCATACCTATCCACGACCAAGCTGATTGTAGTTGGCAGGCAAGCCGCCGCGCTGGACCCCCCTGAGAACTCCATCCCCACTTCCCGAGGACAGCGGCGACTACTACCGCGACAAGAACGCTGCTCGCTATCCAAAGCATCCGATGGAGCCAACTGTTCTGGCTTCTCTGGCTACTCCATCATCGTCATCGACTCCAGTCGATGGTGACATAGACATCGTCGCATGTAGCAGCACCTTGGGGAACCTTCTCAGGTTCGCGAAAGGCCAGGACAAGCTGTTCCGCATGCTCGTGGAGGTGGTCGACGGGACTGTGTTCTTCATCCGGAGAGAGAACTTCCCTACCGAGCTGATTGAGGGAGTCCGCGGTTTTGGACACAGCTTCCCCGAGTACTACACCACCTGGGACAGTGACGTGAAGGACTCTGACAACCACCAGCGAATCTTGCGATACTCCCTCGGGGGGCTCAGCCTTCTAGTTCGCTTCGGAGTGGATGGTTACATGATCAGCAACACCGAGAAGGTGAATGGGACGCCAATTCCAGCTGCAACAAGCAGCGTGCCTTCTTCTCTTTCAGCACTCGAGGCGTCTCTGAGTACCACAAAGATCTCGTCCCAAAAATCGCCTGCCACAGACAGTGTCTCGTTGAGGTCAGGCGGGGAGATGGTTGACCAGTCCGCCATCTTCGACCTGAAGACCCGAAGCATTAAGAAGAAAGCGGATGATACCATTGGCGATGAGCTCCCGCGTCTTTGGGTTGCTCAAATCCCAAACTTCATCCTGGCTTATCACCAGAACGGCTTCTTCAGCGAGGAGAACATCCAGATCCACGACGTCCGACGTCAGCTCGAGACATGGGAGGTGGACAACTCGGCTGCTCTCTCTAAATACGCCGCTCTACTCCACCGCATTGTTGACCTCGTGCGGCATGGTAACTGTACGAAGATTGAGGTGTGCCACACTCGGGCGGGTATCCTGGAGATCCGTGAGCAATTGCCAGCCTGTGGCGATGCTTTGTCCCCGGCAGTGAAGGACATGTGGCACGCAAGAAGAGATCTCGGGGGAGGGGAATCGAGCTCAGAGGCGGAAGATGAGTTCAAGTGGGACGATCAGAATGATGAAGATTTCACGGCTTGTACGGCTGCTTGTGGCTACTGCGGTCATTGCACATATCGACAGATCTTGGGTCACTGCGGGGGATATTTGTCGCGTGGTCATGTGACCACATGTCCCCACTGTTAGGAGTGTTGATAGCACCTTCTCAAAGCAGCCTTATCTTTAGTATTAACACTGTCTATGCTCGTTTTCAAGTCGTATAGCAGTAGATTGGTCTTTTCTCTATGCGAACCTATTTGCTTGCATCTATCTTGTCTGACCTACGCACGAGTGGCGATATCACCTTCCAGGCTGATTCGCCCCCTCCACAGAGTACAGCGAGGTAGAAGACCGTTAGTTCGTAGAGAGAACGACTCTGATGTGTCCTTCGTTGTGACTCGAATAGTGCTAGATCTGATGGTACCGTTTTATCCTCCATTGGGGCCATCAGTGCTAATGTGCCCCATCCCTGGAGGTGAGGACGAGGAGCAGAAAGCGGTAAGTGGACGATGGTGGTCTTCGATGTGCCGTTGACTCAAGTAACGCCGATCCAGACGAGTCGCCGACGGGTGGTTCTTGGTACGAATCTCGGCGTTGAAGCCATGGCGATCGATGCCCCTTTTTGTGGTAGATAGATGTTGGACCGCTTGTATGTCCCATCGCCCCTGGGGCCTTGGAGCTGGAATGCTGCTACGCAGAATACAGCAGACGTTGAACACTGCAACCAACCAACCCCCTTTTTGTGGATGGCGAGGCGTGCTCTGTCGACCCCTTTCTCTTCCCCGAGCGTACCAAAGATTCAGACCACCACCCCTTTCATGCACTCATATGCTTTTCCAAAGATCGATTCTCGACCCTCGCGACCTCAAGAAGTCCGCTGCCTTTTCTTGTCGCCTCCCCGACTGCTCCCCCCTTCAACATCATCGCCGAACCCTTCGTCCTCATCGGCACACGTATCGCACTCCTGATCAAAGCTGTGCTCCTCCACGGAGATGCCGCCGTCGCACTCGCCAAACGCGCCTGCGTTCTTCGCCTCCAAACAGGACAGCTCCTGCGTCAGGTCGTCCCACGTCTGCGCCCCGCCGCATTTGGTGCATGTCCCGGAGAAGACCATGAGTCGACACATGATCAGATGTTCCTCGTTGCGCTGGTCGAGAGCGGTGTGCAGGTGGGGAACACTCTTCCGTGACCTCAACAGTGGCGGAACGAGCTCGGCTGGCTTCGAGGCTGACAGCTCGATGCCACGTTGTAGGCGTCAGCTTTGGTTTTGTGATACGGTTTGAAGATAGAATCGTGACTTCGTCCCGCGAGTTCTGTCATGTCTCATTTTCGCCCATGCCAGCAGAAGTCCTGCCTTTCCTACCTGCTGGATCGCGGGAGGGAATACCCCCAAGTGGTGCCTGATGACTGTTGCCTGGGCGGGCTTCAGGTGTCGTCAATAGGTCGTGGTCTCGTGATTAAAGTCGTAGTCCAAGGACAATGACGAGGTCCAATGTGATCGGGCTGCCGTCCACCTGCTCCAAAATTTCGGCGTAGAAGACGAGGGTGGCACCCGAGTCTGTCAAAATCAAAGCTGCGGGAAGGGAACGGTGATGATCCACGGGAGCTCCCGGATGTATGCCTCCAGGAAAAAGCAACGCGTAGACACACGACATGAAGTCTCACATAGACCCCGCGAATATGAGAGGTGACAGTGCTTCGAGGAGTACAGACGAATCAAGGCCAGATTCTGCTTCCTGACGTGCATGCATACACATGAAGCCGAGCCAATCCCGCGCGGGGAAAAAAGGGGGAAAGCCCACCGCCATGTGCTTTGCCTGTCCATGTCAACGCCACCGCTGCTAATGTCGCACAGCATGCCAGCCGCCAGAAACGGCCGCCCCTGCGCTTGTACATAGACGAGCCGCGACGGAATAAGTATCCCGTGCGAGGGAGGGCTCAAGAGGGAGCGCCGCCGCAAGCCGCCGGCGAGGCGCGCCGCACAATGTGGTCGGCATGCAGCAGACATGTGGCAGGCAACATAGGGGAGGGAAACAGCATGATCTGGCTTCTCATGCGCTCTCGAAAGGGGCATACTAGGCACATCACTGCATCGCAACGGTCTACGACATCCTGGCGGTCAGCCACTGCCGCCTGTCGATGGCCTAGGGAGAGATTGGTCAACCCCACGCCGTTTATGCAAGGCATGGGCATGCGCATCGGCAGAAGGGAGCAGGGTCAGCCAACCAACCTTTCCAACGCTCTCTTAGGTGTCAAGCAGACGGGAGGCGCGGTGCTTTTTCTCCACGGGCCGAGATGTAACCGTCAACTTGCACCACAGAACGGATCCGATGCTGCGCTCGTGCTGGCGATCTATGAGGGGAGAAGCCAAGAGTTTGTGTACAACAGTTACACACGATAAAAACCCCCGAAAGGAGAATTTGGCCGTCGGCCCGCCCGTGGTAAGTGACCTGCTGACACGAAAACGTGCAAACACGGGCAGGGCAAGACTGAAGTGTCATGGCAAGACATCGCGGGGGTTTGTCTTAGGCGTTACTGTTGTGGTACCTATCAACGGCAGCCACACGCCTATCCTCAGTTTTATTTTTTTTATTTTTTATTCACGGTTTCTCTGCCGTCTATATTCAGCAGAGCTGCGGCCGATGTACTAGCAGCATCCCCCGCCCCCTTTGTTTACAGAAAAGGGCCACCTCTCCAGTTTCCAATGCATTGCCTTTGGATACCTACACCGCTATCGGGAGATGCACTTCTTGCTGCACATCCCTCTTGGCTGGCCCCTTCCCAGCCAGAGGGTCCCGAATCACGTTCCCAGGAGGAACAGGAGAATCCAGGGCCCGGAAGTCCTGAAGGGAGTAGACACGGAATCAACAAATTGCCAGCCCCCGAGGTATAACACTGGTATCACCCACTGTATCTAGCTAAATGTGGTAGCCAGCTTACCACTGCCCTATGCACCCCTAGGGAATGCTATCTAAAGTACTGCGGCTTCGCAACAGCACTCCAGCCGTTAAATATTAATAATCAATTAATTGATTAATCCTTCTTGTATGGTACACTGATTTAGTCCAGCATACAGCTGATCGTAGGCATATAAGAGAAAGTTGTTCCTTCTAAGATCTATCTGACGGAGCTGGGGAGCTCTCCCTTACATGAGGAGCTGCGCAGGGGCAGTCCGAGCTGTGCGGTGACAATCCCCTGTGCCTGGCCACGTATACCTTGCGACACATCGTTATGAGGGCCCACAAGGAGAAGCAACATGTCGTCGTCCACGGAGCTAATAATATGACTAACATCAGCTTACCATACAGCCGCCTTCCTCACGAAGGCTAGGAGATACCCTCTAACGGCACCCCATATTATCGAAACCGCTCTGTCCTTCTGGCCTATTTCCCACATCCCATGCACCATGGCTAAACCGCAATCATCGGGCTTCGTCATCATGAGCTTCATCAGCGGCTTAAGCAGTCTCCAGACGACGCGGAACCAGAGTGGCCTCCGAGGACTGTAGATTCACGGCCCGTCGACGAGGCCGGGATAGACGTACGACACGCTGACGCGCCCCGCGTGCCATTGCGCCGGCTCCTCGAAGAAGAATGCCGTCATGAAACTTGAGTGCTTGCGCACTCCGGTCAAACCATGTGTCCAGGATTCCAGAAGCCACAATCATGAATAAAGCCCAAACACCTGCACCATGCAAACCATATCTACAGAGAGGGCCTGCAGATGATGCCCTTCAGAGTCTCCTCGCCTATTCACCCGCGGTCTATCTGAAGCAGGACAACCCTTGCTCTGAGTATTTGGTGCTCTTGACGATAGCAGATGCTCTGATGATCACCAGTCAACGTGAAGGCATGAATCTCGCGTCTGATGAGTTCGTCGTCTGCCGGGATGGTACGCTCTGTCCTTCTGGCCCATTCCCGCAATCCCATGGTCTACATGTCCAGGATTCCAGAAGCCACAATCATGCATCAAGCCCAAGGACCCAGCACCATGCAAACCACGACAACTTCACAGAGAGGGGCTCCAGACGATGCCTGCCCTTGCAGAGTCTCCATTCCCACGCCCAACCACTACCTAGGTATCAAGCCTCAAACCCATACTTCCGCCTCGCCCTTCCCTCAATAAACGACGGCCAAACATAATAAAGATGATGCGCAACCGCATACGGAAACCAAGGCACGACCACACAACCCCGGACGCCGCGATCCACCGCATCGACACACCTCTGCGCAACATACCCGAGCTTCAGGCCCTTCATATTATACTTTCCCCTTTCCTTCTCTCCCTCCCCCTTCCCCCCTTGCTCCCCTCCCTTCTTTTCGTCGACAACGTCCACAGCCCCCGCCCGAAAATCCCCCTCAATAGTAGCCGGCAGCACAGTCGCTACCGCGACGCCCGGATGCTCAATCGCGAGGCTCTGATACAGCAGCAGCGCCGCGGCCTTGGTCGCCGCGTAGAGCGCGCGCGTCGGCGCCGGAACCACGGCCGCGACGCTCGAGACTAACAACAAAGCCGGCGCGGCGCTTGTGCGCGTTAGCAGGGGCACGAATGCCGTGGCCGCGACGAGGGGGCCGAGGAAGTTGGCTTGTGTGGCGCGCGTGGCGATGGTCAGGGCGGTGTGTAAACCTTCGGTGGTGGCGTCTTGTTCTTGTTTCCCTGGGGCGACGCTGGTGTTGGTGTTGGGTGTGAGTGGTGGAGACGAGGATGAGGATGAGGGTGAGGATGAGGATGGGGGTGAGGATGAGGATGGGGGTGAGGATGAGGATGAGGATGATGGTACGGATGAGTTCGCACCAAGACGCGTGAGTTCCATTAAAGGCCTTACGGCAGCGACGCCGGCACAGACAAGGACCGTGTCGACGCCGCCCCATTCAGCAAGTAATCGTTCTCGCACGCGCACCATGTCCTCTGGGCTGCTGAAGTCGGCTGCTTCCCATATACACTTCTCTCCCCCTTCCCCTGCCCCACCAACACCAACACCACCACCACCAACAACACCCTCACACTCCCCAACCAACTCCCTAAGCCTCTCCCCCCGCCTCGCAACGACGCAAAGCCGCGCGCCGCGCGCCGCATACCGCAGCGCCAGCGCGCGTCCCAGCCCAGACGACGCGCCGAGGACGAGGACGCGTTCCCGCGCCGGACTGACGGCGATAGGTCTGCTTGGCGTTCTACTCCAAATGGTGCGCCGGACGAAGATGAAGATGAAGAAGAGCGCTGTGAGTGCGGTGGCGGCTGCTGCGGTGCCGACTGGTCCTAGCCTTAGAGACGTGGAGCGGAGTGGTGCCCAGGTGGACATGGTCGCTCGCTCGTCGCAGCAGCTCAGGTTGCGACTTGGTGCTGGTTGTTCTTGCAGAGGCGTGCGTTGGGTAGCCAGGGCAATGGACAATGTGTCCTTTCTCTTTGGGTTGGGAAATTTGTGCAATGATGCCGTGGATGTTATTGATGAAGAAGTGAGGTTCAGACTGTGTCAACAGGTCTTGTATGGGTTTTTCGAATCCTTGGCCACGGTGAGCCACACCAGTCCAGGCCGCAACCTCCACTAGCCACACCATCGTCAAGTATCATGCAACTGCTTCAACTTGCCACCTGCCCACATGAACAACAAACTCGGGATGAAGACTGCCAAACTAAGTCCTACGTACCTATTACATACACAGAGACGAAGGCCTTTACTTACCTAACCATTGGTTAGGGGCGAAGCTTGAAGCGTTTCATCATGATTAACCACATGGAATAAAATACAACGATTTGCGTACTGTTGAAGCACCTATCCAAGATCTGTATTAGACCCTACTTCATCTGTTATCGATGCCAACTGTATGCAAGAAGAGCGCGTCTGCCCTCATCCTCCTCTCTCCAGCTCGTCGCAGCTGAATCAATTATTACAGGTATACACTGCTTATCCCCAGTAAATGCCCATCGAATCCCCTCCCGGCTGGCCGTCATGCAAGTACGCGAATCCAACCCTCCCAGTGGTAAGTCAACAACGAAACGCCAATGCGATGCATAAGAGGTATATAAAGCCACAACCCGGTTTCGTATATGCAAATCTCAAGTATTAGTAGGTGTGTGTGTGTCGAGTCGATAGGTATGTGAGTGTCGAGCCTGTTATTTTGCCGTGTCGTGCTGATGGGGATTAGGGGTATATGCCCTGCCTCCACCGCTCGACTCTGTCCATCTGTCCTGCTGGCTGCATCTGCATGCCATACGGATTTGCCATTGGCGTTGGCATGCCATAGCTGGACATGACGTCTCCCGCGCCGTAAGCATTACCCATATTGCTGGCATAGATACCAGGGGTCGGCAATCCCTGACTGCCACCAAATCCACTCATAGCCATGCTATGGCGCGGATGGCCCAGCCGTCCAGCACCTCCATCGTTGAACTGTCCAGACATGTATCCTCCAGATCTGTTGATGTTCGGAGCACTAAGGTTAGAAGGCATATGGGGTCGTAGTGCAGCCAGCTTCTGCTCTTGAGACCTCTTATAGAGAGCCGCTTCTGCTTGCTTCGCTTTCTCGGCGTCGAGCCTCGGGTCACTCAGAACAGTGCGAGAACGGGTAGCCCCAAGTACATCAGCCAGCGAATGCCGCTTCGTAAGTTTAGGTGTGACGCTCAGCCGTCCGCTGCTCAGCTCGCGTTCCTTGGCTTCGCGCTCCGCCTGTAAGCGGCGCCGACGTTGTCCCAACGTTTCCTCCTCCTCGGTAGGTTGCGCAATGGCTTTGCCTTTGCCTTTGTCTTGGTCGTCGGTGTCTTCCTTGAATGCGTCGCCAAGCTGGCTCAGCATTTCAACCGAGAATGCAGTGCTCACGGGTCGAGTCTGAGGCAAAGCGTTCTCGCCTCCTTCTTCGCGAGCCCTTAGGCGGCGCATACGCTCGCCCAGAGTCTCACCCTCGACCTCATCCTCTTCGGGAGTGTCTACTCGGAGCTGAGGGCTTGACGATCCCAAGGCTCCACTCATCTTCAAGCCACGAGCCAGAGTCATGCGCTTGACCGGACCTGCTTCCCTTCCCTGCAAACGGTTACGCCGGGCACTGAGGGGCTCATTATCTTCCATGTCGCGTTGTTCCATCAAGCCGGGCGGTCTGTTCAGCTCGGCCATCGCTCCTATCAATCCAGTGTTTTGGGATTTGGCAGCCATCAGCAGACCCAAAGGCGTATCCTCGTCATCTGACTCGTCATCTTGCTTTGTATTCGGGTCCTCCCAAGCGAGGTTGATCTTCTTCCCCTTTCGTGCTTTGCGCTCCATCTCTGCAACCGTGTCCATTGCCAGTAGTGTGGAGTGCATGCCGTTAGGGTAGGCGGTAGTGATTGGCCGGGTGCGGAGCTTATTCTGTTGTTTTCGTTTTTGAAGTTCGGCCAAAAGGGTAGTTGGTGCACCGTCGTCGTACAGAAATTCGTCCTCATTTTGTTCCTCGCCGTCGTCATCAGGAGCCTGTTCGCCATCAACGGAACCGGCCAAGTGTTGGCTTTGCTCATCCAGTTCGTCGCTCCGCTTCACTGATGACGCCGTTCCAGCGCCAACAACCGTATCCCGTCGCTCATCCTGGGAATTTGAGTGACGACTGAGATTACTCAGCTTACGAAGATGGAAAAAGGAATTCCGTTTCTTCGGCACAAGAAGATCAGTAGCACTAGCCCGTTTCATGTGCGACTTGCGCTTATTTCCAGCGCCATATGTTTCCGATCCTAAAGTTCCAGCAAACGCATGGTCGGTGAAAGCGGTCACAGGAGCTTTGGCAGAGGCATCCAAAATGCTATCGAGCGTAGCCATTGCCGATCCATCTTTGAGTTGAATAGCTGGTGACGACTCTGAGGGTAAGTCAAAGAAAGCACTGGCCCGAAGTTGAGGTGGCAGTCCAGCTAAATCTAGCCTGGATTTCCGCTTGTCCGGGCCCAGAACGGACATACGTGAATTGCGCGCTTCCCTGTCGAGGGGTTGGGGATCAGGGCGAACCTGGAGTTGAGAATCGCTTCGTTCGTCCAGCAGGGGCTGCGTTGCTGGCTCCTTACTTGCATCGGCTGGCTCCATACTGGCATCGGCCGGCAACTGAGGGGCAGAGGCGTTAGATATAGGTCCCAGGGGATCCATCAATGGCTCGGGCATGTACTCTGGCAGCCACGACTGACGATTCGCCTCGGGCATCGAGCTGAGGACTTGTGACCTTCGATTATTGCGCACCTCGGCTTTGGGCTTCTTGGAAAGCTTCAGCGGTAGGTTGAGCATCATAGGTACACGAGCTGGGTAGAACATCATATTTTCGCCTGTTGCTGGATCAAGATACGACTTGGGTCGCACTGTGGGTGGGTAAACTGGCCGAGCCATAACAGGCCTCGAAGACTCTGGCTCTGGTGTGTTAATTGGGCCTTCAGGGTTGAATGACGGCAAGAAAGACTCGGTTGTTGGTGACGCGAACAATGTCTCAAAGTTGAGAGATTCCTCGAGTTCGCCATGAGGAGAACAGTGGGCTCCATCGAAGTCTGCAAAGGCTCGTTCTGCCTGCTCGTAGGTGCCATCCGACCCAGCAGTACGTGGTCTCTCGTCTTGGTAGTTATGTTTGTATTGTTGTTCAGCAACAGCGTGGTCCCAGTAATCGTACCCATTCGGCGTGTACTCGCCTGCCTTTGGTGTCAGGTCAACATTCTTCATATGTGGGATCCGCAAGGTTTCTTCCTCTTCGGGCTCCTCGGCCAACTTGTCTGCCTCATCCATTGCGGCAGACGTAAGCGAGGTTGGTTCCATTTCGGCAATCTTCATCAAGGTGGGCTTGCTGACAGACCTGGCACTCCGTATGGAGCTCTTGCCAGGGCCATGCCTCGTTACCAGAGTATCGACGTCTGGTTCTGGCCTGGGATGTCCTGTCGAGCCGGAACCGGACCTAATACGTGTTGCACTCGACAGTAGAGAATTATTGGGTGACATGACGTATCCTGCCGGGGAGTAACCGCCGTAGCGGGCTGCGCTGTTCGTTTCTAGTATTGAGCTGGCAGCCGAAATCTGTCTCGACATGGGGAAAGTGACAGGCTCGTTCGTTTCGTATATGGAGGATATACTCGCAGCGAGAATGGACGATCTCCTGCTTTCGTTGCGCTTCTGCTCGTCATGCAAATCTCGAATTGCGTCCTCAATAGAGGATGTCATGGAAAGTTGTTCGGCGGTGGCTTCGAGTTGGGCGATGTTGCTCGCATGGGAAGAGTTTCGGGTTCGGGGATTCGAGTCGGGAGCTGGATGACGGAGCGAGACGCTCTTAGTGGACGCGGTGCGCACGATGGGCTTCGGCTTCACGATAACGAGTGTTTGCACAGCCTGTGGTTGTAGAGGTTCTTCAGACGACAATTCTGTTGAATGTTGAGGGTGTTGAGGGCGGCTAGTGGGGGATTTCGGGCTATCGTTATGGGGTGGGATTGACGCAAAGTTTCTTTGCCGCCCGGCCTCTGAATACGGACTGGGCCCAGACACTGGCCTGAGACCTGTGTCGGTTGAAGTCGGGCTTGACGAAGTCGGAGATGGGGCATCCCCAGGGGAAAGGAGGTGGTAATCGTCGGGTTTGGTGGCTCGTGCTGCGGATAGCGATTGGGCCATTTCGCCAACGCTGGGTGTGGCTCTGCTCCCGGTCTTGGCTGCGGCTATGGCCGTCTCTGCCACCCTCTCGTGGCTATCGCGAGAAGGGATTGAACCGTCGTCCATTGCGATACTTGTTGAATAGGTTTCGCTATCCATTGACAATGGCGTAAAGGTGGACTTGACGGCGGAGAGAAAGGGCATTGGCGAGGACGAGAGTGCGGGAGATAGCGACGCGGAAGGCGATGGGCGACCGGTTCCATCGTCATCGTTGTCAGATTGCGAGACTTCGCCGTAGGTGGTAGGCATGGTGAGACGGTATCGAGGGTGATATCAGCTGTGTAAGGAGGGGGCGCAGAGAGTCTGGTCTTTCGGCGGCAGACGTAACATGGAGAGTTGATTCAGGATCACGACCCGGTATGGTGACTGCACAGCATTGTTGATTCAATATGGGTTTTGGGATGAAGGCGTAACCGTAACCGTGACCATGACCAAGACCTACAAGATCAACACCGCAACGCACATGAGTTGATGGATAGATCGCATGTGAGCAAGCGGCAAAGCATGCAGACAACCTTGGAAGATAAGAAAAGAGTGACAGACGCTTGCAGCTGTGCCGTGCTAGGTCGTCGACTAATCACAACCCGCAAACCTGGAAGTAATTTTGGGACCGGGTCACGATACCCATCCCTGCCTGTTCAAGCAGGTACCAGGTACACCGGATATCTCATGCCAGTAACAGGGGTTACCTATCTTGGCATCTTCAAGCCTGAACCAACCTGGACCAAGGCAAACAACATTGAACAATAATAAATTAAAAAGTGAGACACACCAGATTAAAAATCATGCCCGGATGGAATGAGCGCAGCGTGGCTACCTCAATGCCTCAACGGAGAGGCGCTTTTAGTCTCTTGATAGCACACTACCGTCAGCCACACAGCCACAGGACCCCTGAGCACATTCCACGACAGCCGCTGCCAGCAGAGGTGTGCAGCTGGTGAAGGGGCAGTCCCAGACGAGCATGTACTGGGTACAACTTCCGCATTTTCTGACCGACGAGCCGTGCTCCAAAAGCCCGTCTTCTAATCTTGGAGTCTTTGCAGCTTTGATGGTCGCACAGTCTCGATCAGTGACACTACAATTCGCAAAGATTCAAACAAAGTGCTCAGATCCTGTAATACCGTGACACACACTTCAAAGCCGAGCAACTGCCCGTCATCTCTTCAAATTGTTTCTCGGTTGATTGGTGCTGCTGTCGCTACCAGTCTACCACGTCCCGAACACCTGGCGTGGGAAACGTTTGACTTGCACCACATATCATCATCCTTCTGACCTGTTCCCGTACTGCCCTGGTCTTCACGAGGCAACAGACTGCAAGACGAGCGTGCGTCGGTCTACCAGATCAGCCTGATGTTTTCACGCACCACGGGAAGCCCGTTCTGCCCTGTCAGGTATTAGTACCTTAGGTACTACACCTGTACGTCATCCTGGCAGCAGAGTGGGTTCACCAACTCTGCAGCTGGTTGGGCCGTGATCCAGATCGATAAACATGCTGTGTGTCTCGACACGTTCCCTACAATTCCGAATTTCCGATGAGTCTCAAGAAACATGCGTCAAAAACAGTGAGACATCGAAACATTCCCCTTCTACTTCTGGTCTTGAGATGTCACCATGGTCCGTTATCTGGAAACTAAGCTTATAGTGCAAAGACAGGCGTATCTCATTTCGGTCTCATGCAACCTGGTCACATTGAGTTACCTGCCCGGGTATCTCAATGATGCAATGCGGCATGCTGACAGGTTACAGATTGCGGGCAGTTATCAACCATCCAATCTTATAAAGATAGCAACCACGTCACAAATCATTTGCTCTTGCGCGAGTGCCTCTTGATCTGGCACGATCTCTTTGATACGGTTACCGCTTGGGGGATCATTCGTGCAATCTCACCTGCATATGGTCATCTTACAGGCACTGGACCGTCGCATAGAAAGCGGCACTCTTTCGCGATCTGCAAGGTCCAGTTCGTTCTGAGACCCGCATCCAACGTCGGCTGATACCTCAATGCGCCAGCCAATCAATCAGGCCTTCCCTTAGGTAGCTTCAGGAACACGAGCTTTTCCCCCTTTTCTCCCAGAAATAGTTGCGGGTTCAGGAGGCTGAGTTTAGGTTCTTACGTTATTGCACCGCGGCCAACTCATCAGTCCACTATTCTTGATCCGGAACACAAACAAACATCGTATTTAACCTGAATTCGATCTGTCATCTTTTGTAGGTCCTGATCCCTCGCTGCCGAGAGCCACAGACGAATCCGGCCTTTCGCGCCTCCTGGGGGTTGGCTGCTACTCAGCGCACAACGGTGGTTTACTACTCGTGCCCCGCACCACTTTCCACCTCGCTAGGGCTCACCACGTAAAGTGGTGCTCACCACAGTAGCACACCAACCACAATAACACACCAGTCTTCCAAAATAACCACCCTCCAGCCAAAACCACACCAAAGTCATTATCTCTTTGGACAGACGACTCTTTCGCGATGGAATCCCGTATTTACGAAGCCGTAGAATATGCCGACAAGCATCCGGATGCCTCCGAACGCGGTATCTGCCGCCAATTTAGGGTTCCAAGAGAGCGCTTCCGCAACCGCCTGCAGGGCATCCCTTCCAAAAAAGGACCACAAGAACCACCCACCAAGCTGAATGCGATACAAGAAAAAGCCGTATGTGCTTATATCGACCGTCTAGATGCTATTAATCTCTCCGTAAGGCCAGAATTCATCACAGAGGCTGCCAACTTGCTGCTCCAGGAGTCGGCGAGTACCGCGGTCACGGAACTACCTACAGTTGGCAAGAATTGGGCCTCCCGCTTCATCAAGCACCACGGATACTTCAAGCAGCCTCAGAAGGTCCTTTCACAAGATCGGCAAACTGCTGAAGACTCGAAACGCACTAAAGAGTACTTCTAGAAGCTGGGGAGGGTCATCAGGGAGGAGGGCATCCTCCCTGACGACCTGTGGAACATGGACGAGACTGGCTTTCGATTAGGGGTTGGAAAGGACCAGATGGTCATTACCAAGCGAAAAAGAGCCCATTATTTCGGAATACCAGAAAATAGGGAGTCTGCTACTGGCATAGAAGCTATCTCTGCCGCCGGCGAGGTTATCCCAGGCTTCCTTATCCTCTCTGGCACCCTCCACATGTCTCCATGGTACAAGGTACCCGAATTAGACCCCAGGATGGCGATTGTAACCGCGGAGAGTGGTTATTTGAACGACGAGATCAGCTTAGAGTGGATTAAGCACTTCAATAAGCACTCTAAGACCTCTCAAGTTGGTATAAAGAGGCTCCTAATCATCGACGGTCACGATAGCCACCACACGATACAATTCATTAGATATTGTGACGACAACGGCATTATCCCTTTTGGTCTCCCTCCAAAGATGACGCATTTACTGCAGCCGCTCGATGTGGTGGTTTTCCAGCCCTTGAAGCACTACCATGTTAAAGCCCTGGATATTATGGTGCGTGATGGTCTCACGCACATCGGGAAGATCGAGTTCCTATCGTGTATTAAAGGGGTTCGCCAGCAAGCTTTTAAGAAGACCACTATCCTCTCTGCCTTCAAGAAAACGGGCATCCATCCTTTCAAACCGTCCGTTGTGATTAATCAGTTAAAGGAACGCGAAGCTCACGCAAGGACCCCGTCACCCCCCCCCCCTAACCAGCCTGGTTCCTCTCCAGTTACCACCCCAGCTACAATGCGGCAGATTCACAAGGCCGCATATCAAGTAGACGAGGCCTTGAACAACCTGGACGATGGCGAGGATCTTACTCCTGAAGATATTGAGAGGATCAGGCTCCTATCCAAGGGGGCGCGCTTCCACGCCTCCCAGCTAGTCCAGACCAAAAGGGACCTTGGAAGGACCGAATTAGCCTCTCGAGTTAACAAACAGCGCAAGTCTGCAAAGAACACTCCTCTCCAATCAGGAAGAGTCCTCACAGTTGAAATCAGGCGTCAGATAGCGAGGAAAAAGGAGCAGGAGACCACGGCAGGCCTCCAGAAGAAGGCGGATGCCCTGGCAAAGAAGGAGCTCCAATCACGAAAAACCCTCGCTAAGGAGGCAGCAAAGTTGGCCAGGCATTGGAGGATTACTAAGAGACTACCTACTGCTGATATCTACGAATCTGGCAAGAAGATGCGGTCGCTACGTAAATTTTAATGCTAAATAACCTCATATTGGTGTGTTATTGTGGTTGGTGTGCTACTGTGGTGAGCACCACTTTACGTGGTGAGCCCTAGCGAGGTGGAAAGTGGTGCGGGGCACGGGTAGTCGGTGCACCAGAGACGGCTGAGCTGCAGCTCGCTGCCTTACAAGGTGCTCAACAAGCTCGTGTCCTGCCACCGCTGGCTGCGACCGAGGCTTAGGGAGACGATAAGACTCGGACGAGAAGCCCAGCAAGTCAACGACGCTCCAGGGCGAGGTTGCGGCTTGACGAGATGAGCAAGAATAGCCCAGCCATGTGATGACCTGACCCGGCGTTACCAGACGGATCATGGGAGAACTCGTGATCCCTCGTTTGGCAGGTCCTAGAACCCATGATGATCTATACCACGCGTTATAACGCTATGGGCCGGAAGGTCATCCTTTAACGCCGTGAAAGTTGTTGTTCGCCTGCACGCTCATCACGGGCCTCGCCTTGATCTGACCCCCGACTCGACGGCAGCAGACCGTCCACACCGGAACGTCCGCCGGCCTGCATCATACAGCGGAAGTACGCCGTTCATCAAGCCGGGAGTTTCCCGAAGGGGTGGCTGCCGGTATGCCACCACCACCAGCACCACCACCACCAGCCGCCCGTCTGTCTGTCAAGATCGAGAGGAAGAACCTGAAGAAGCTCGGCAACTTATTCGACCCCGACTCGGGCGATATTCCCATCCAGACCTGTCACGGAGGGACGTACTGAGGAAACTCAGGGGTCTGTAAGACCGTCAGCTCATTATCAATGACTCCTACGAGTGCCGGCAATCGATTTGTTTCTTCTTTTTCGACTCCCAGATCCCGTTCCTCACAGCTTGCTGTCCCTCGAGACATACAACTCCACTCAGCTCGCTCCCTCTCTCGTCTCGTGCTCGTCCGATTCCTTCCCACCACGCTCGCCCACCCCCATACACCACCATCATCCTCATTGCCACCGCCCTTTCCCCAGCCCCAACAAACCCAGCCAGTAACCGACACCGAGGTGATATGCTTTGAAGGGAACTGATTCGGTAAAGAGCTTAGCTTGAAGCCAAGTGGAGGGTCCGTCACAAACTTCGATAGTAGGCAATGTGTCCGCGAACAATCACGGAGTGGTGTAATTAAAGGTCATTGCGAACTGCCCTGATTTGTGCATGTATCGACTAGAAACCTAACCTAGTACAGCAGCTATGAGTGCCAACAAACTTGCCTTATCCACGCATACAGTTTGCGCCCTGGCTACATGAACTGAACGCCTTAGTCCACAGCTCATGTTTTCAGAGCTTCATCTGCCAAACTCAATTTTCTTCTCACTGCGCCGGTTTCCACAGCACTTTATGAGTCAAAACCGTCAAAGCCGACACTTCACAACGCCGAACCAAACAAACGAAAACCAGGAATTCAGTGATGGTTCTTCTTGGCTCTCTTAGCGGGTCTGAACTCGTCCTCGTACATCTTGAAGAAGTCAACCGGCTGGGTCGGGTGGCCGTTGGTGACGTCGTGGAACGCTGTGGTGGAGATGTAGTTAGTCTTGCCCTCGCGGACCAGACTGTAGTACTCGAGCAGGTACTCCTGCTCCGACTGGTCAATGTCCGACTGCGAACGCAGAACCTTCTTAGCCTCAGCCCTGCCACGAAAAGAGTTTAGTATGATGTGTTACTGATATCAGATGCTTGTGGATCCGGCTCTGAGCACTTACTGGGAAATGTCCTCGAACTCCATCTTGACTCCGAGGGCGTTACTGGCAGCAGTCGCAAGTTCCTCTCCGGCACAGAGCATGGGACCTGGAGAGAGAGGAATGCATTAGAGATGTCAGAGGCTAGCCAGCTGGGAACTTGTACTCACCCGTAACAACCATCATCTGGCCACGGTGTTTGTCGTCAAAGCCGTGGGAACCATGGCCCGACATTACGTGAGCTGCGACCTGAGCGACATCCTACAGAAGGTTAGTCTCTGAAAATGGTATGCTCCGGCCCTGGCTAGGACTTACTCCGAGCGCAACTGGCGCGAACTTGTGGTTCTTGCCGATGGGGATGGGAAGAACACCCTCCTTCTGCGCCTGAGGCGCGTAGAGAAGGATGTTCTCGGCGTAGAAGCCGGCACTGAAGTATTGTTAGTATGAACTCCAACTCACAGCGGCTGTAGAATCGACATACCGAATGACACACTGTAGTTCGTCAGAGTCAGTGATTGTTCATTTGAATGAGATATGCATGTGTCCGAGGTGTCCTGCAGGCTTTGCCGCTACAAACGGCCAGACTGAGAAGTGAATGAATTTGGGGATGACTTACAGGAGAATGGCCGGTGCTGGTAGAGGCGTCACCCTTGGCGGCCAGAACCATGCTCTCAAGATCGATGAACTCGCGGAGACGAGGCTGCCTGGCGGGATCGGCGTAGTCGCAACCAACGGAGCTGATGAGGCAGACGTTCGGGATGCCGGCCTTCTTGGTAGCGCTGACGAGCTCGGTAGAGATCTCCATCTTGTCGGCGTGGGCGGGGGGGACCATGCAGATGGCGTCGCAGCCAGTGTCCTTGAGGGTCTTGACCAGCGGGCGCTCACGGCCGGGGACATGCTCGACGATCTTGGCTCCGAGGGACTCGAGCTCCTTGACCTTGGGGGAGGACGGGTTCAGGGTCAGGCCGACGACGGAGTCGACCTTGCGAGAGAAGGGGTGGGTGAGCAGGAGCTCGGCGATGAGGAAGCCGGTCTGGCCGTCAACGGCGGTGACGCAAACGTTGCGCGGCATGTTGATGAGATGAGACGCGACGCGGTGGGTGTAGGTGAAGGATGGAGTGTTGCGATGGGTTGTGGGATCAGTGCAGGTGATGTGAGGACCAAAGTGAGGACCAAAGGTATTGGATGGGGTGGAAGTGGAAGGCAAAAGGAATCCAATCAGTGTCAAGAGGTGTGAAACTGGATGAGGTGCCGACGAGGTGCCTTGGGAGTCTTATTAGGTAGGTGGATGCACGAGGGTCATGCACGTGTCATTGGGTGCGGCTCTTTCGATGCTTCACCTATGGGCGTATGGGAAGTGGATGATGTCTCTTATACCTAAGGTACGATTATGACAGACGCGGTCAACCACCTGCTAACTGGTCATCGAAACCGCAGGAAAAAGCATCAGATTATGTTTGCTCCCGAGGTCGTTGCCATGGATTACCAGCCACCTCCGTAGCTATGCCTCCGTCATACTTAAGTCACCACATCGCGTTTGAGTTGTGTCACCCAGACACGGTACACCAGGGATGTTGCTTTTGTTCGGTAGGTACTCAGAGCAGATAGGAGGCTTCCACCTAGCTATAGGTACGCAGTGACATCTTACCTAACAGCTCCAGTCAAATCGGGCATATAATCTGTAATGCCGTGTTAACAGCCAGACCGCCGCTGAAGGTAATTACAACACTTGACACTTGACGTTGGCCTCGGGTTTGAGGTGAGTACACGTGTAGGCACCTAAGGTAAAGTACCCGGGCCATGTGCGTGCGCACCTAATGTTTCAAGGTATAGTCTCTGAGAGGCTGAGTCTGGGGTAACCTATTTAAGTACATCCAGTGCATGAGAGCCTCCTCCAAATGCTCCGGTACGTGGATCAGATCCGTGTGGGGTCCGGCCGGTTCGCTCCGGCTACCCCTGACACACTATTGACGTAGCTATGTCAACAAGACATCAGGGCCCTTGTCTCTTGTTCGCCAAGACGCTCACATTCGGAAATCTCACATTTGCCTGCAGTGGTCACCTTGATGTCAGAGATGTACTGTAGCCAATCAGGCGGTCCATGTCTCAGTTCTTTCAATCGACTACCTCGAGTAGAATGCGTTGACCGGGTATCATACTGCTGGTATCATACCTCACTACAACTGACTGAAACCATGAACCTTGATCCGACTCCATCGCTTACAGGCTACAGGTAGGTACCTGTAGATATGCTCGAGGACACGACACATACGTTAAGCACGACCAGCATCCCAGTCCGTCAACGCATCGTCCCCAACCTTCTCATTGATGACCCGCTGGCTGAGCTCCCAGAGTGCAGCCCCCAGGGTAGGGTCCGAGGCCTGCGCCGACTCCTTCCCGGGCTGGCCAGGATCGGAGAAGTAGTAGCCATTCCAGCCCTTCTCCTCGACCTCCGGACTGGTCGCTGCGTACAGGGCGCTGTACGAACCTTGCTCGATATCGCGTCCGGCGGCTAACATGGCGGCCGAGACGATCTTGCCGAAGAGCCCGGGGTACGCGTCCTTCCATTGCTGCTGCATCGCCGTGTTGACCTGGGTGAGTCGGCGTCACTGATCAGTAGGTACTCTTTTCGTTTGAAAGAAACAGTCATAGGGGAGACACGTACAGCGCCGGGGTGGACGGAGAGCACATAGACGTTGTCACCGTTCGGCTTGATGACCCGGTCCACGAGGCCATACTTGACACCGAGGATGATGGCCAGCTTCGTCCGGCCGTAGACCTCGAGATTTCCGATTTCCGGGTTATTGATCTCGTCCATGGACCCGAAATGCACGACCGAAGGCGCGGCACGGTGCTGCTCCGAAGCCTCCCACACGATGCGCGGGGCTGGGGTGTCGGGCATTTTGGACGTCTTGCGGATTAAGGGGTAGAGTTGATTGCACACGTAGAACTGCCCGAGCCAGTTGATCTGGAAGTGACGGTCGATGCCGTCGGACGTCTCCCCGTACTGGTTGGCGTTGATGCCGGCGGATAGGATGAGCTTTTATGTTGTTACTCAAACGGTCAGTAATCGCAACGTCCTAACGTCAGACATGAGGAGGTGGAGAAGGGGGAGGTGGCCATACGAGATCGAGGCGCTCTTCGCGCTCTCGGATTCCTGTGAAGACCTCCTTGATCTGCTTGAGGTTTCCCATGTCGCACCCGACCCACTCGATTCGGGCGTCTTGGCCGGCTTCGTCCTTGATCTTCTTGATGGCGTCCTCGCCTTGGTCTTCCTTGCGGTTGACCATGATCACACGGGCGCCATTGAGAACGAAGGCGCGGGCGATCTCATAGCTGCGAAGCACCCACAGAACGAGAAGTTAGATACGGTCAATGAACAAGTGGAAAAGGTGGGTGGTTTCCATCGAGTCAAATCTTGGAGAAGAATGTCAGACTGACTGACCCTATGCCTAGCGCGCCACCCGTGATCAGTGCGACTCTGCCGTTGAGATCGTGTATCTCCTTCTTGGGCCCGATGATGGGATGCAGGACAGACTGCATCTTGCCCACGCGGATGTGTCTGGGCTATTTGGTAAGTGAGGTTGGAGATATGTTTTCAAACCAGACCTTCCTTGAGGCTACCTTTGGTAGACGGTTTGGTAGATAGGTAGATACTAAGGAGGTAGGTTGGCAGTGAAGTTGACAGCAATATCTGCTCTCTTCCGCCAGCAAGAGTATCTTATATGCCTGCAGGATATGTGCATCAATGTGGGAAGTGCTTTCCACTTGCGGACCTTTGGCTCCCAAATTCGAGTACCACTCCGATCATCGTGCCCATTGGTGTTGCAACATCTCGCGTGATGCCGTCATAGTGACTGACATTTGATCTAACCAACTGACACGGGATAGCGATTGCGTGGCGTACACTGGAAGTTGTCCTGTGAATGTACCAAACACGCGCATCTCACCACATTCTGCCTGCATTCGCAGTAAGATAACACACACTACCTTACCTTACCTACCTATTTCCAAACATCCATCCACACCATCCACTTTTTACCAGGCCAGCAAGCACACGATGCCTCAATACCACACTGCCGCGGGCACCTTCTCGCATGTGGACGAGAAGTCCATGTATCCGCGATTTCCCCGGGTGACCATGGGCCAAGCAGTGGCCATTGGACTGGGAGCCGGTATCGCAGGCGCTCTAGGGTAAGCTCGCTCATCTCACTAAGAACAACATCACGGGCACCAACAAACTAACACGCACTTTTCCAGAATGGCCTTGTCAAACACCATCGAGCAGCTCTTCACCCACCGCCCAGCATCCTACGTGCCCGGCCGCACCGCAGCCACGCACCTCAACCTCTCCTCCACATTCGGCCGCCACCCAGACCTCATGAACCACCTGCACCACTTCGGCATGGGCCTCCTCGCCGGGCCCCTGCGGGCCCTGATGTCCTACTACGGCGTGATCGGACCCGTGGCGTCGTTCCTGCACACGGGCGCGCGCATCGCAATGGACCAGGTCGTCGAGAACGGTGCTGGTGTCAGCGCTCTGCCGTGGACGTGGCCGATCAACGAGCAGGTCATCGATCTGGTGCACAAGGGGGTTTATGGACTGGTGGTGGGGTATCTCTGCGATCGGTTTGTTCGTGGGGTGGATTGGTTTAACTGAATTGCTGTCAATTGACGAGGCGGACTGGACTAGATGGACAGAAATACGACTACAATTGATATGCGTTACGTCGTGGTTACAGTACCAAGTCACATGTCGGCCACCCTCTCCCTATCGTCCACCGCACCCACCCATGCACCCATGCACCCCAGCACCCTCACCCACCCAACCAACTCCCATTCAGTCCTTACTCCCCCAACCGATAATTAGGATACAAACACCCAACCCTCCCCCCGTTAGCCTCAACCTCAAACCTACTCAAATCCCAACACCCGCCCGGCATCTCACCCAGCAGGAACCCAGCACACCGCCCGCTGCTGTGGTTATACTCGGCGAAAACCTGCCAGACGGCGACGGCGTCGTTGGGCGTGGCGGTGTCGACGGCGCGCGTCGAGTTGGCGATCTCGACGACGGCCAGGTCGTGCGCGATGCTGATGGGGCTCGCGCACGCGCTGGTGGTGTACTCGTTGGCGCGCCAGTAGGTGTCGTTCGGGACGGCGGCAACACTGATAACACTGGCGATGGGGTTGGTGAGGAGAAGGAGGATGGCCAGGGTGGTGGCGTCTGTGAGGGAGTTGGGGACCTGCATTTCGTCGGTGTTGGATGGGGTTGTTGAGTTGTGGATGTGTGTGGTTGTTGCTGATGAGAAGGGTCTGATCTATCTGGCAACCCGGAGTATTTAGAGGAGGCATGGGCTGGTACATGTCTCATTCGTACCACAACGGTGCGTCACCCGTCGCGGCATAATGTGATTAAGAGGCGGTGTATCTCGAGTACATCAGATGCCACTGACTTGATCCTTGAATATGTGAGTTTGTTTGTCATGGCCTGTGCGTATCGAAGAAGGGATGGGAGAGGCATGATATGTTGTGCGGGAGTGAGTTCAGCTTTGGGACTTGAGATTTTTCGCGTTTCTTGGAACAGACCAAGGCGGCGTTCGGGCGTGAGACAGAGAGGCTGAGGTTGAGTCCAGGTGGTGAGCTGATCGATACCAGGCCGTACGTGGGTCGTTGATGTGGAAGTGAATAGGGGGGCGGGTCGGCATACATCAAACCAAAGCATACCACCTAACTACCCACCTAACTTACACATATGCACACACGCAGACAGATTTCTCAAAGTAGACGGCGCGGTATTCAAAATAGGGGCGTCTCGTCTCGAGCAATCAAATCCCTATTATGCTTCTTACATATGCATTTCACTCACCTCGATGTCTCTCACTTACCGGTTCTAGGTTTTCTCCGCCTGCCTCTTTACCTACATGTAGTACCTAGAATAAGTGACTGCTGGTGTGAGACTTCCGGGAGTCTACTTTAAATATGGGATGACTCGTCTTATAAACTTTGGCTGGTCTCACTCGGATTAGTCGATGTACTTTTCACTGACATTGGCTTGTACCTAGCCGACGGGTTGGGAAAATCGAAAGTCTATTTATGCTTCACCCCAATATGAGTCTATGCCTACCTGTCAACCAGGTTCCGGGCCAGAGCAAGGAAGCTAACAGCCGAATAGGGGCAGTTTTTAACATACTCTAGGTATGGAGAATCGTCGTGCTTTCCCCCTTAATACACCGTTGCCGGGATCCTGTTGGTAACCATCCGCTGGTCCGTATGCCGTGTTATACCTTCTAATAATCCTGTGATGCAACCAAGCAGGAAGGCACCGGTTCCATCTCCTTTTTAGCAATAATCGCAAGGGTGAGCATGCACGAGCAGCCACCAGATGACTTATTGCGTTATATTCATCGCCCAACACGCTCCCAGAGCCTTGGAATGCGTTCACTGGAAACGACTCTGGCCCTGTCTATCCATAGTCTGACACGGCATCAACGCCAGAATCACCGACCCATCAATGCGCGACGCCAGAGTCCGGTATAGGATCCTCGTGCTTCGCAGTGCTTCCTTTGCCACGCCACGTGCTCACAGCTGGGATGTCTGCCTGATACCTCACCTCATCTGTGCCATAAGCACGGGGCGTCAGCTTGATCAAGCAGTGCAGTGGCACGTTCATCCAGGGCGACTTGGTCTGATCCTTCTTCATGAAGTAGGCGTATATGCAGCGCAGGATTGCCTGGTGCGTGACAATCAAGATGTCTTCGGACCGCTCCAGCTCCATGATGATGGGCTCTAGCCGGATCACCACATCGCGGTACGACTCGCCACCCCGGTATCGGTAGTTGTACTTGTCTTCATCGCGAGCTATGAAATCGTCCGGGTAGACGTCCTTGATTTCCTGGTACGTCATACCGTCGCACACACCAGCATCCAGCTCATCAAGGGCCTTCCACTGCAGTTGATTATAGTTATCGGGTAGGTGGCGCGCTGTAGATATCGTGCGTTTGAGCGTCGAGGTCCATACTGTGAGGGGTCGGTCTCCCTATTGTGCGAAATGGTCAATGGTGATTCCGAGGGGAAATGGAGAGGCAGGTGGTTAGGCAGAGATGTAACTTACACCAACCGACTCTCGAACGAGGTCAGGTAGTCTCTTTGCATATTGGTGGCCTCTTTCAGACAAGTCCGCGTCACCCCCGATTCTACCGTAGAGGTTGTACAAGGACTCGCCGTGTCTCGAGAGCCACACCGACCGAGGTCGAATATGCAAATTCATAAGATAGTAGACCACCCGACTTTGCAGATAGTCCTGTATCCGGTTGATGATGACCTGACTTCCCGTATCCATGATCTTCAGGTACGTATAGCTGTCCTCGTCGCCGTCCTCGTCGATGGACTTGTATACCTTCTCGTAGTTCTTTATGCGGTTGCGGAAGTCGAGGGCGGCTTTCTCAGGGTCCTGACCCTTGTAATCGGGACTCGTAGTCTTGACGTCGCGGATATTCCCCATGATCAGCTTCTCGTCGTCGCATTTCGACTCGACAAAAAGGACCTCAATGCCTTCGGCTGTGCACACATCCATCACCCACTTGCGGCGCTCCTTGGTGGAATTGGTCGCGTCCAAGATGCCGATGACGCCGCCCTGCCGGAACCAGCCCAGCATGTCAGCGACGGCAGCCTCAGCTGCCGCCCGGCGTCTCTTCTCGCCCTCGGTATTTCCTATGTCGAAGAAGTCGGCGGACGGTTGGGGTGCCTCGGTGCGTCTGTAACTGCCGACGTTGAAGGTGCGGGCGTTGAGGGAGAGCCAAGTGAGATATCGTTGGGCTAGAGAGAAGGAAGAATAACAGGTAAGCATTGACTCCTGACAGAGAGAGAACCCTTGCAATACCAAGGCATTGCATTTGTATCACGTACCTTTCTGGGCGATGTAGCTCTTGCCTCGTGCCGGCAGACCAACCATCACCACACAGATCTTGGTGTCCTCTGCCTGGACCCCACGGCCGTTAGTGCGCGGTGCCATGCTTGCGTGCTTTTCAACTTTTCGATTTCAACAGAATTGGACAGATGTAACAAAACCATGTGAGGCAATGGGCAGTAACAGGTAGGCAGGACGAGTGGGCAGGTCAGGTGGTGAATCGGAAGCGAGGATGCCAAAAAGCCGATGGGCCAAGAACAAGGCTGAGAGAGGGGAGACTGGTTGGATATGATCGAATGATCAGTTCCCAAGATCAGCCGACAGGACAGGCAGTTCAATGAGGTGCGAGAGTATGACAATAGGTAGTCGAAGGTAGTGGTGTTGTAGAAAGGGCGGTCGCATAGGGATGCAGTCTGGCAGTCTGGTGCGGTGCGGTGTGGTTGGCTAAGGTAGTCAGTGGATAACAAAGTGGAATTGGAAAAGTCGATGCGATGGAAGCGATTCCGTCACCACCCGGGGGCCGGCCGGGATTTCCCAGCAACAAAGTCGGAAATTCCAGCAGCTGGAGGCCCACCACTGGCCACGATTGGACGAAGCAGACCCGGCACGAAAATTCCATATTTCTAGAAGCCGGCATCACCCACTTCTGCCGCTTGCGACGATTGATGCAATGAGGGGAGGGGCCTCGGGGTGGGAGAAAGGGGGGCTCTAGGCTCTGGGCCACTGCATGGGCTTCACCCCGCACTGGCAAGGAGCGATGTCATAGGCTGATGGGGTGATGGCCCCCTGAATCATGGATGCCCCTCTTCTCTGTACTCCAACCACACGGCCACAGGCACCACTGATGACCTCGATTCCCCCAGGATCTCGTGGTACATTCGGTTGTAGGCTCGAACATCCATCCACGTGAGCAGCCAGCAGCCCGACTAGGTAGGCTTCAGCTCTTCTTACCTTACAGCAAAGAGTTCGGGCATCGCACTTTGAGCAAACCTCGGGACCGCTTGGACCCTATATGAGGCTTCAAGGTCCGAAAGGGGAGAATAATGTAAACACGCGACTCCAACCACGGCGACCAGAGTCGAGCAAGGGAGATCTCGGCAAGAAAAGGAGCACAGATGAAACGAAGCGCATCATCTCCAACCGGTCAAGGTCTGCCGTTCATTGCCACACCCACCTCATTATTCATAGAAAGGGTGAAGGGAGGGTTCGTGCATGATGCAACAGTAACACAACGCCAGAGACGACGAGTATTGGGGTAGAAATACTGACCGATATCACATCGCCCTCTGCCAAAAGCAGAAGAATCCTTCCACTGCCCGATGACACCCGAGAAGGACCTTGTTGGCTCTGTGCTTCCGCTTGGGAAGGAGGACGCTGAGGACGAAGACAGGACACCAGCTGACATTGATCCGTGTTACTACAACACAAACTGGCCCCAACTTATCTCCAACAAGCATCTGCCCGCCTCATTCGCAGGACCCAGCCAAGCCTTTAAGCGGTAGGTAGACACGTGCCTCACTAGAGGGCGGTGGGATGGCATAGGATGGATAATTATCTTAGGGGAGGATGCACACCGGGCGCGACGACAGCTTCATGGACTTCCCACACGAACTGGACGACGTGTTCGCACCGGCAGCGTCCCCCACGCCTCGTCGAGGGTAAGTATCAGCTTGGACTCATGAGCAGAGGAGAGTCCCGAACAGACGGGCGCGACAGCTTCATGGACTTCCAACATGAACTGGACCACGCGCTTGCGCGCAGCGTTCCTCACGCCTCGAGGGTATCAGCTTGGACTCATGAGCAGAGGCGAGTATGCCGCTACCTCTGCCCATACCATGTTCTCCCTCCGTCCGTCCATCCGCCCGCAGAAGACCGTAGCAAAGAAAAGCTGTAGTCCATACCTTCGAAAAGCTCCACGAATGGCCTCGCGGCAGCCCTCCTGCACTGACACCCCTTCCCATGACGAACGTCGCGGACTTGGCACTCGGATTACTGTATATATCGCCAAAACGCCCAATCGTATCGGGTTTTCGGTTGAGAAGTCGAACCAAGTATGGGTGTGTACGTCGCGTCTGATTCTTGATGATAGAAAGGTACGGTTGAAATTGGCCCTGCCGGTAAGGACTTTGTTTGCTGTCCTAGAGGTCTGTCGGTGCGGGATATATGGCGTGGGGGGTCCGGGCAATGCTTAAGGTTCCGAGGGCGACCGACGGATATCCGATTCTCACTGCTTGGCTGGGCGAGTATAGGCAAGCAAAGCAGCTTTGCTCACAAGATCGGAAGAAAGAAGAAAGAAGTTTCTTATCTGGTAGGAAGGTAGGCAGCAAGGTAATTCGCAAGCAAAGTCCCTCACCGTCTCTTTCTGCGCTTTCCTCTGCGCTGCCACAGCCTGCCCTGCTAGATTATTCCCTCTGTGCAGGAGGGACTCGCAGCACAGACAACCACGTGCGTTGGCTTGCGCATACATGGATGAGATGCTGCCCATGCTGACGACTGATAGCCAAGCAGAGACAGCCCTGGAGAAAAATCGACAAGGATCGCGCCAAGAGATCGGGTGCCATCCGGATCTCTGGACTGTCACTGGACGACCCGTGTCTTGAAGTACTCGCGATAGGGCCATCACATTTTCGCTGCATATCCCTCCCGCCTTGCAGGTGCGCACCTTACTATTGCTTACCGTAACTTGTGTACTCGATGTGATGCCACAAGATAAGCCACATGCACCCAGGAGGAGGCACCTGGTAAGACAACTCCTGGAGCCGCACATCGGGAGCGCCTCTCATCTCGAGGTTGATTGACAGTGTCTGCATGATGTGCAGGCGTTATTGAATTGGGAGGGGTGATTACAGACTAACCAACCAGCTTTTCTGATTTCCATTTACTTCTTCCGCACCTCTCCTGAGTACATGACGTACCTGCAACTGGTATCAGCAACTTGCAGAATCTGTATCGGTCCCTGAAGCATAGCAAAAACTAACAGTACACATTATAGCGAGTTATCTCTCAAGCAACCAAGATCCGTCAAACTTTTCCCTCATCTCTTCCACACTTTTGCAGTCCGCACCTCTCACTCCACACCTTGCTGCAATCGCCAGCCATCAAGACAAGAACTTGAACGGCTCAGTAAAACTCGCGGGAGTAGAACTCAATCGTGGCCTGCTGAATGTTCATGGCCACAACGACGTTGGTCAGGAACGTCATTCCCAGTATGAAAGGTCCGCTACCTCCTGAGGAAATGCCAGTCTGGCAGAGGCCGGTCTCGGTGTCGACTGCATGTTCATTCAGCATGTCTTGTGGATTGATGATGAAGTCGCTGCCGCCGATGATGACTGCGAACTGCGGCGGGATGGCGTCACAGGCGGTGAAATAAGAACCGTACTCCCACATGTACGTAGCAGGTGGATCGAACGCGGCGTTCACGGCATCAGCCAGATCTGTAGGTAGCATTCGTCAGTCGTGTGGTACAGAAACGTATAGAGTTGCGGGTTGCTCACCTTTGGGTAAGTAGGTCAGGGTTGTGCCAGTATCGATAACACAGGGGTATTCGTCTGTCCAGGTACTTTGTCCGAACAGGAAGCCGTCTGGGACGATGGTGTAGAACGAGGGCTGTGAGGCCGTGATGTCCTTACCGATGAGATTCGCCTAAGAGTCAAGTTAGCCTTCGATCACCATTCAGATTTAATCCAATACGTACGATGAGGAGATGTGCCGTCGCCACATGGCTCGCACTGATGTCCACAGGTGGCATACCGCCCATGCTGATCAGCCCAGTAGTCGAGTTCCTATCCATGGCAATAACCCAGACAGCCTCTATCAGGCCATCGGACACCATGCGCGTAAACAGAGGCTCGTAGGGAGCGGAGTTGTATTGGCTGTGGTCACCGAGATCATTGCCCCAGTACGCACTCGTCAGGGATGGATACGCGAGACCAAGTACCCCCGAGGTGACGTTGTTGCCTTGAGAACCATCAGTTAGCCCTGAACATCGAATGTAGGTCACGGTCACCAGGAGTTAGGTTAGGTCTGTGATACAGCCGGGAAGTGACTCGAAGTCTGATATTGAGGGTGGACGATGAGGTTGTGAACTTACCCTGCCATATGCCTTGAGTGGCCAATGCCATCTCCTGTTGCTCGACCGTGATACCCGCGAATTCAACATCCTACAAGAAGGACACGTGAGAAATTGCTGCTTTAGGAGAACTCGGCCTTAGCTCAAGTTATGAGGGCTGTTGTATAAGGTGCATTTGTGTTCGACAAGTACCCCAGAACCGCCATGCTGTCCCGCTTGGGTGAAACTTACCAAGTATGTCATACCTGCAGGTCGTCTATGTTAGTATGCCCTGTTTCATGCCAAGTCGTTTCCTCAGGTTTACTTACGGCCTGAAACAGCCTCGCCATCTCCGTATTGAATTGCGAAGTGCTGGTTTGGAATGGGTTTGCCGGAAACGTTTCCAGGGAACGAGGGACCAAATGAGCAGACCGCGACAGGCTGTGTCTTGTTCAGCCAGTCCTTGCAGATGAACCCAGAGCCTAGGAGCCCTATAAATGGTTAGCAGATCTGTCCGAGATGGAATACTGTAGCTTCAGAGCGTGGACGTACAGGTATCTGCGGAGCCTGAGTCAACAACCACCTTCATAGGAATACCGTTGAAGCTTGCCTCGACCGCATACTCGGCCGCGTATGCATTGACGACGGTCACATTTTCATAGCCAAACCCGCCATGGTCCCGCTGAACCTGGCCGAGGTGGCTCGTCGCAGAACGGTGGCGCTTGGTGTTTTCCTGATCGGGGACACGGACGAGTTCCATGTGATGCTCGACCTTCTTTCCAGTGGACACAGAGGGCATGGGGTTGACACGATGGAATTGGACGCCTGGAAGTGAGAGTGAGTGGACAACTTCCCCGCGAGTGGAAGGAGGCACCAGTGGTGCCAGTGGTGCCAGTGGTGATGCAAGGCAGAACGCTACTGCCAGCGCGATGACAAGGGTGGGGAGCTTCATGATGGATCAACGAATGTGCAGGTGGTCGCCCGTGCCTGGGAGTAAGGTACCAGATACAAACAGTTCGATGTAAGAAACCTCGAAGGTGGCGGCGAGTGCGTGTGGTGCGGCCCGTCAAAACGAGTGTTGGGGTGGAATGAGTGAGTTGAGACGTGAGAGCAGTGAGGACAGGTTGGGCCTGTTGTGAATGGGAGAAAGAATGACGAGGGTGAGTGCACGCATAGAAGACGAGGAAGAATTTGGTGGTTGGTGTGAAATGATATCTTGAGGTGGAAGGAGTGACGCGGGAGCAGGGGAGGGTGGTGCTATATAAGTAGCTATTGTGCATAAAGGTCAACACCAAGTAATGCATTGAGCACAACGTCTACCTCGCTGAGCTGGGACAAACCACCTGACCCAGCTTTCTGCTAAATTTGACCATCCTTTCTTACCAGTTCTCTGTACAGCCCTGTTCACCAAATAGCCCTCTAGTACCCCTTTCCAGGTAGGCGGCAATGAACGAGCAGCAAACGGTACCTTGAAACGCAGCTGGAGCCTCGATGCCCGAGTACATAGGTGTAGGTACGCCTCCCGCATACACTGATGAGCCAAGGCTAGAGCAGAAGTAGACTTCCCAATGAACAGGTTGGTTCCATATCTGGAAGGTTGCGTGTGAACAAATGAGATCTGTTTCCCAACCGAGTGGTTCTCCTAGTACCGCATACTGTAATTTCATATAAGGCACCCAGCAGCTGTTGCACCATGTTGGCACAAACATAATAAGGGGCAAGATGCCACATAGCAGCATCTTACATGTAGTTAAAAAACTTGGGAGACATGTTTGCTCCGCCCTGAGATGGAGCAGGTATTCGGGTGCAGTGAACACCCGCCCGGGTGGGAGCCGGAACTGTATGACACAAGCTGTGCAACTGGACAGCTCCGCCCTCGTAAGCTTGATATGTAGTACACATATCTCAATCTGCTTGCAGCCATCCACAACTTCTCGGCTGACTGGTAACTGATTGGGAGAATTGGAGTGTGGGACCCAGACACCGGTCGAGCAGGATCGACTACCCAGCAATACCCCAGCTTGGGAACCCGGACCATAATGCATTAGGATCTGAAAGGGTAACACAACTGCTTGCTGATTTGATAAGTAAGTAGGTAGGGAGTACGTGGACTGGATAATGTTGAGCTTCATATACCTAGGTACCTACAGGCTACGACAAGATGCATGTGCAGCGATGATGATGATCGACCTCGGGAGTCGATGCGGCTGGGACTAGAACTTGAAGGCTTGGCGACACTTCCAAATTGGCCAGCTGGAGCTCAGCTGGCAATGATGATTGGTCGGTCCCTTGTGCTGAACGCTGGAGGCACATGGCGACAGGGATCCCCAGCCCCTGCAAGCCTCAACCCCAGATACCTACCTTAATCAGTGAATCACCATTGAAGCCGACTAGGCCGAGGTAACATTATGATTGACTTACATCACCGGGAGGATCAGTCGATCAGAATTTCAGAAGGATTCGAGGACGCCAGAAGGTTCATAACCTAACATACATCATATCAAGGTTGCCTCGACCATCCCTAGCAAGAAGTTCAAGACTACGCTCGCCCACGCCCACCACCACTTGCCAACGCCCACGCTGCTTGAGCTGTCAAGATGGCTTCCAATCAGCCACTTGCCGTGACGCCCAAACCTCTGTCCATGATGACCGAGTTATCACCACTCGTCTCCATCTACGAGTCCAAGAACGCTGCCGTGCCTCCATCCACATCCGCGCCGGCGCCCAGGCTCATCCTCATGGCGTCATGGATGGACGCGCAAGACGTCCACATCGCCAAATATATCACGCAATACCAAGCAATCTACCCAACCTCATCCATCCTGCTCGTCAAATTCTTCATGAAGGAAATCCTCTTCGTCTCCATGGCGCAGAAAGCCGTGCAAACCGCCATCTCATACCTACGGTCGCAAATAGACGCAGGGACATTATCAGCGTCGCCAACGCAGCCCGAGATCCTCGTGCACCTCTTCTCAAACGGCGGGGCCATCTCCATGCGAGAGATCTACCTATCCTTCAAGCAGACGACCGGGGGCCAGCCGTTTCCATCACACACCGCCGTGTTCGACTCGTGTCCCGGCGTGTACAGCTCCAAAAACGTCTACAACGCCTTCCTCCTCTACGGCTTCCCCCAGGGCCTCAAGCGCATGATCGCGAGGCCCTTCGTCGCCATGCTGGTCCTTACGCTGTGGGTGTTCTTCCGCCCGCTCCGGTTCCTCGCCGGCGAGGACCCGCTGGCGAAGAGCGCGAGGATTCTTAATGACAGGAGGCTTGTGAGGCAGACGAACCGCGCTTATGTATATGGTACGGTGGATACTATGGTTGACTGCCGCCATGTCGACGCTCATGCTAAGGCGGCGGTGGCGAAGGGATATGATGTGCGGAGGGAAGTATATGAGAGGAGTCCCCATGTGTCGCATATGAGGACTGATACTGAGCGGTATTGGAAGATCTTCACCGAGATCTGGGAGAAGGCCGTCAGTACGGTATAGTGCGAAGGCCAACTTATTGGGGGTTTGAGACGTAAAGTAGACAGCTGGTCTTGATATGTATTACCTCTGGCCCAACACCTATCACACCGGCAGTTCGACACAACGTTTGCACCTTTAGTGCGATTGGCTGTTCGAGAGGGCACCAGGCACCATAGGGGGCATCATTACCTCCGTCACCGCCGATATCTAGCATGTCCCGCAACCCAACGACGCAGAAGAGCTACGTTTCCGCTTAGAATCGGTTCGCCTTGCCAGAAAGTTTGCGAGGGCAATGATCGTTGTGTTCGGCGTGATCATCGATTGAAATAGGAATATAAATCTGGGAGATGGCGTCCGCGGCTGTTGAGACAGTGTCGAGGGCTGTGTGAGAGTAGCAAGTGTTCAAAAGCCAGGCGATATTTTCTGTAAGCGCACAGTTGGTCTCTTCGGTTGTGCAGGTAGAGAACAGAGTGCGCGATTGGAAACGATGCTCATGCCATCGACTGAGTAAGTACCGAGCCTTTCGGGGAAACCCAAGTTGTTGAATCAAGCCTGATATGGCCAACTCGGAGAGATGACCGGAACCGTCGTGTTTCTACGTTGCCAGACAGTCCTCCGACAAGACATTGAGGAGGAAGAGAAGGGGCCGGGTGTGCCGACTTTCGAAAACATAGCCCCGAAACACAGGAAGAGGGCGCAGTCGGTGTCGTGGCATGGAGCACGCCATTGCCAACTCATTGGAGAACGGGGAGTCTCTTTATGCAGTTTCGCTTCATCGAAACCACGTGTACCAATGTGCCTCCCTATCAGCCGCCAAGATGGCGAAAAAGGGGTTTTAGTTGAGAAGGCTTAGCCCATTATGCCTGCTCCCCATTCGGTACCGCGTCGGTGAGCTGCATACCTTCATGTTACCATACATGCCCGAAGTATCATATTGAGCCGCAATAGGGCTACCGTTTGACTGCCGCACGCTAGCATGATGCATCTCGCGCCGGCACAGCCAGATCACCGCACTAGAGGGATAACCATTAAGTTCGCTGTCACACTATATCAGATCAACACGGTCAACTGCCACATTGATAGTAGCCCCACGATATCCCGTTCCCCCGAGAGTTTGAGGCCAAGAACCCGGGGATGTCGGTAGGTGGCCCTCGGACGCACGGGGCCGCTGTTTCACATATCCCCGGCGGCGGCGTGAGGTCGCATCTCCATGGGACGGGATGAGTTGCTGCCGCCGGTTTCTTGACGTGCATGACAGCGGCAGCATCGCAGAATACCACGTGGCAGATCTGATAACCATGGGATATTGGCGTCACACTCCGTCCACGCTGTCAGAAGGCCGACCATATGTTGGGTGGCCAGGGGGGGGGATTGATGACTTGATGTTCTGCAGAGCCGCATTACAAATTAGGCGTCGAGGCCATGTACGTGCACACGGATGATCCCTTTGTTCCTTGCATGCTTCCTGACACACGCCGCCATCGTAGTTGAAACGAGGAGACTAGACGAAGGCTTGCTGTGCTGTCACTTGCTCTTATCTGCTGTCACGTCAGCGTGTGTACGTTGCGCCACGTATTCACGTCTCTGCAGTCGTTGATCCCCTCTGTCCGGAGGGCCATGTCGCTGTGAATTGTAAAAAAGGAAAATGTGTCGTCCTGGGACTATGCCTGTCGGAGCCGTCCTTCCTCACCATCTGTCTCTCCCGCCCGGCCGCCAGGTGGTCCGGGGCGCGGGGGCTGAGCAGACCACGGCGGCAGATCTCGGTACTGTCGGCAGCCTCGAATAGATGACTGAATCACTGGCGTTCGACGATCTGAGCACAGCCCTGTACACATCACTTCCCTATAGACACGTCGTTGTTTTGTAGATGGTACATAACGAGTCTCATATATATACATGGCTTTCCTCCTCCTAGAATGCTATCTTCTACCATCATCAACATTCACTAACAACAGCAACAACAACTACTTCTTCAACACCATCATTTTTGAACATCTTTCTTCAGTCTCTACCAACTCATACACTCGCTCACTCATCCAATTCGAATACATTCATTCTTCACAACTTACCAAACCAAAACATTTTTTCGACTTTCCGGCATACATTTCCCAACTACCGACAAAATGCAGTACTCCATCGTCTTCACCTCGGCCCTGGCCGCCTTCTTCACCGTGAACGCTATGCCTACTCCCCAGTACGTCTTCCCTTCCGATATCTGCATGTCTGCGTCAACCACACCCCACTAACCTGCATTTCTCAGGGGGGTTCTCGGCGGTCTTCTCGGAGACGGCGGTTCCAGCGACAACTCTGGTGAGGCCAGCGGCAACGCTGGACTAGGTGGCTTGCTAGGCGGTCTGGACGGCAGGGACGCCGAAGCTTCAAACGCGAAGCGCAGCCCCCAGTACGTCTACCCTATTGAAATACTCACTCTCGCTGCCAGGCCCATCTAACGTACATGCTCAGGGGCGTTCTCGGCGGCCTGCTCGGCGATGGTAGCTCGAGTGGCGAGTCTGGCGAGGGCAGCGGCAACGCTGGACTAGGAGGCCTCCTGGGTGGTCTGGACGGCAGGGACGTCGAGAAGCGCAGCCCTCAGTAGGTCTCCCTATCAAGTTCCAAGCCTCATGATCTGACAGGTGCCACTAGGGGAGTACTCGGTGGCCTGCTTGGCGACGGCGGCTCCAGCTCCAGTGACGAGCCTGGCGAGGCCAGCGGCAACTCTGGAGTTGGAGGTCTCCTCGGCGGCTTGACCGGCAAGCGCAGCCCTCAGTAAGTGATAAGTTCGTCCCAGCGAGCTCCGACGAATAACCATCTGACGTGTGACATCAGGGGAGTCCTCGGCGGTCTTCTCGGCGATGGCAGCTCCAGCGGGTCCTCCGACGAGTCTGGCGAGGCCAGCGGCAACGCTGGACTCGGAGGTCTTCTCGGCGGCTTGGATCGCAAGCGTAGCCCCCAGTGAGTATCTTTCAAATACGTCCCCGGCGCCAACCCGATTAACCGGTGCTATTAGGGGAGTACTCGGCAGCCTCCTCGGTGACGGCAGTTCCAGCGAACAAGGCAGCGACTCTGAGAGTGGCAACGCTGGACTCGGTGGTCTTCTCGGCGGCTTGGATCGCAAGCGCAGCCCCCAGTGAGTTATCTCCCAGATAAGTCCCCAGTACCCAACCGGTCTAACAAAGACTACCTGTCAGGGGAGTTCTCGGTGGCCTTCTTGGTGATGGCGGTTCTAGCTTCGAGTAAGTCCACACTACATATCACAGCCTCTGCCTCATCAGGCCATACTGACGCATCCCCACCCTGCAGGAATGGTGGTGGCAGCGCTAGTGGCAGCGCTAGTGGCAGCACTGGTAGCAGCACTGGTGGCAACGCCGGAGTTGGCGGCCTCCTGGGTGGCCTGGACGGCGACGATGATGGACACATCACGGCCTAAGGTAACGCAACGCAGGCGCCAGGGCGAAAGAGATCCGGGAACGAGTGTGCTGGGGGCGAGGTGGTGCTATTCTTGGTGCTGCGCACATTCCTCCGGCAGAGGTACTGATTTTCGAATCTTTGTCTCGTTGACTTCTTGGTTCCAGGGGAACATGTTCTGATGTTGGTTCCGTTGGTTAACTTCTGACTCCAGAGGAGGTGACTTGTTGCACGAGAGAGAGGTACAGGATAGAAGAAGAGGACGACTAATGATTGTAGTCAAATCAGCGATGTAAATATATACGAGAATGCATCCGAAGTTTTGTGCTTACCTATTTTGGAGAGGAAAGCAAGTGCGATGGCTTGAGATCAGCTGGCCAACTACTGCTGTTATCAATCGAAGTGTCGGTGCCCCACTTCATATCGCTGGCACCATTTCGCTTTTTTTAAAACGGGGTTTTTAATAAAACAAGCTATAAGATATAAAGTGCCGTACAGGTGTGGTAACGGCTATAAGGCAGCTAAATCTAATTATGATAAGTAGTTTAAAGAAAAAGGTAAAAGTATTAAAATAGTAGCTTTCAAAGTAATAAATAAGGCTTTATTAACTAATAAACTAATAAATAAGCGAACCTTTATATACTAATATTGTTGGAACAGGCTTGAACGATCAATCATAATACTCGAGTATGGGGTCAAGGTCATGATGTTGCTGATGGTTGGATTGAGAGGAATCTAGCTGGACTCGAAGGTCTGGCCAAGTGCCCTCTCAATCCACTATCTTATCTTATCTAATCATACATATGGGTCCTGGTATAGATGGTTTGCAGTCTGGAATCGCATGGATCCAACACAGGATACTCTTTCTTTTATGGTTGCGATTCCATCAAACCGTCTTTCCAGGTGATCTCAACGCTGAACCCAGCCTTCAACTCGAACCGTTGTCTTGTTATTAGAAACAAGACTATGAAGAGCTTTATTTGGAGACGATTTGGTCATCGAGTCAGCAGGGTTATCCTCACCATGGATCCATCGGATTTCTGTGATCTCATGATTCTTGTATGACTGCCAGAGCGCCATGACATCGATCATCAGGCGCTTCTCATTGGTAGTGCCGAGCTTGACAAGGCACTGGTATAGCGAGTATGAGTCCGTGCAGAGGATCAGGGGGATCGTAGGTACTTCGAGGCGTTGGCAGATAGTTGCCAGTGTACGGTGGATCACGTATCCGTAGTCATAGCCAGCAACCATGCCATAGATTTCAGAAGCTAGAACGCTCCGTGTGACTCTCTTGCATTTGGTAGAGGACCAATGAACAATGTTTCCGGTCAGATCAAATATGAATGTCTCACCATTACCAGATGATTCACTCCCGAGGATAATGACAAATCCGATCTGTGATGATAGGTCCTTGTTATTAGCGAATGATCCATCAACGAACACAAAGAGTTTAGCAGTAGACAGATCAGTCGTCACGAATCGAAGTCCACGTAATTTGTTGTCTAGTTGCCACTGAATGCGTTTATTTAGCATCTCGACGTCCTTGTCAGAGGGTTCTTGGGCTTGGGCTGCGATAGAATAGTCGAATGCGGCTTCTGGTTGACAGATAGAGGCAATGTAGGCGCCTCTTGCTCGTTGCTCAACGAATCTCTGCTTGTAGTCCTTGTCACTCATGTCAATCAGGACGAGCTTGTCAGCTTGTCCCTTTTGAGTCGCTGTCATGCTCTCAGTCTGAAATTCTAGGCGGCATCCATTAAAGTCGCCAGAAGAACCAGTATCAAACTGGGTTCGTGGCTTCGTCTTGTAGCCCGCTTTCCTCGTTTCGTTTTCTTCCTTCTCTAAGAAGCTGGTAGTACCAATAACAAAGGTGTCGTCAGTTTAAAGGGCTGCGATAGCAAAGTCATTGCCTTTCTTCGTAATAAATAAATAAGGGTCGTATACGGATGTCTCCATTTCTAGTCTTTCCTTGTGATGGGCAGAATATGTGTCATACCAATGATTCCCAGCTTCTGCGATTCTGTATAGGGGTTTGTCGACGCGAAGAATCGTACCCTCTGGATACTTCTTCTTTAGTTCAATGGGTAGCTTGCATAGGACAAGACGATTCATCGGGTGTCGTGACTGCGTATAAGCCATAGTGATGTCTCGAGAGGCGGCGAGGCAACCCAGCCATCGTAGAGACAGTGTCAAAGCCATGGCCAGTCGTTGGCTACATCGCATGATCGTCGGCGCTTGGGTCATGATACTGTGCTTCTCATGATCGTTATATCCTTGAACCACGAGTCTGCTCTTCTCGTAAGGGCGGTCATTGATGCCTTTGACAGTGCGGACGAGACGAGAGTTAAACAGTCGGGTATCACCGTGAATCTTGCTGTCGAACAGAATGGGGACAAGCACTTCATCGGCAAATAGAGACTCAATCTCAACGAGATCGGATTGCTCGAAGGGTGCTCCGGGGGCTGTGATCTTGCCTTCAGTGCGCAGTTTCAGGGCGAGAGCGTGATCAGCACGCTCCTTGTGCGAGAGGAAAATGCCATATTCATCTTGCTGGACAAAAGAGCCAGCAAAGTTCTCCTCTTCGCTTGTAGTCGTAGTGGCCATGTGTACCACGTATATTTTTCTGGGTCGGCCTTGCGGTCGCTTCGTGCTTTGGATGGGTGTAGGGAGCTTCGGAGGGCGGCCGCGACGACGGGGGAGTGTCGGTTTTGGATATTCGAACGGAACGGGGGCATTGTGGTCGTTAAGCTTCTCAGTATTGAGGGTCGCGTCAGGGTGACGGTTGTACGGCTTGACGTGCGTGCGGCTGAATAGGGTTGGTCCGTTGATCATCTCAACAGTCACTTCTCGGTCTGTCACTGATAGAACCTTGTACGGGCCTTGATATTTGTCTTTTTCGCGATAGACAAGGACTTCACTGCCGATGGGAAGAGAGAGAGGCAGTGTTTGGGTTGTATCAGGGCCATTCCTTGTGTTCAGAGCATTTTGAACGTTTCGCTTGGCTTAGAGCTTATGTAGTTCGGCCATTGCTTTGGCCTGGGCTTGGGCACGTTGAAGCTGTGATAGTGTCGGGGGTGAATCCATCGTAACGCGTGGATAGGCTCCAAAGACCAAGAGCGTTGGTACAAGACCATCAGGACCGGCGGTATCGTTCACGGCTTTTACTGCCATCTGTAGGGCAGCTTCTCGAGAGATCCCGGATGATTCGGCTCGGATGATCTCGTAAGAGCGTCGAATGGGGGTATGATACCGTTCAACCTTGCCAATCGACCAATGAGCTTCGACGGGAATCTGATGACAGGTGATTCCAAGCAATCGGGCTTCAGCGCAAAATTCTGTGGCTGCAAAGTTGGTACCGGCATCGTGCGTCAGGACATCTGGAGGGTTAAGATAGGTGTCAATCCAACATCGTTTCAATGCTTCCCAGGTCTCCTTGGCAGACAGGTTGAGAAGGAATTGGGCTGCTTGGAAGGCTGTAGCGGCGTCAACGCAGTAAAGAACGGGCTTGCTCTCCAGGTACATGACATCGACGATGACTTCGTAGTTGAAATCAACATCCTTCTTAATGGAGAACTTGAACCGCTGTGGTGACGGGCCTTTGACCTGGCAGTGATGGCAAAACTTGTTGATCATTGCAATGGCATCTCGATCAGCTTCGTTGCCAGATTTCTCCAAGAGCTTGTAAAGCTTGCCAACAGAAGGGTGTCCAAATCGGGTATGAACGCGTCGTAATTCAGCTTCTGTCAGGAAAATACCGGTTGATGCAGTTGTCATTGCTGAGGGGAAGAACCAGGGGTAGCCCCATTTGCGGGTGATTGGGATAGACTTGCCATCTCGCAGTCGGATCATCCTATTGGCAATATTGTCAAACATTACGCCAAGATTGTCGAAGTCTTTCAGGCAGAGGAGGAAGGGAGTTTGGGTGTCAACGACGTGAAACGTTACGTCTCCAATGGGGGTGTCAACATGGATCGTGCCGAGGGAATTTAAAGGCTGTCCTCCACCGAATTTAACCGTAGTTTCCCCAGCGCGTGATTTATCGAGTAAAACTGAGGGTAGCTCGCGCTATAAGGCTAGGAACTGACCCTTGCCGGCTGTTGAAACAGAAGCAGCGCCAGAATCAGGTATAATTCCTTGGAATGTAGAACTGGCGTATCTATCCAGTGTGAAACTGTCAGACTCGAATCCAACTTGCAAGTTGTCCGTGGCAGTGATTGAATGTTGGAATGCTCGGTCACTAAGTAAGGTGGCTGTGAGGTACTGTACAGCATCATTGCTACTGTCGCTTCCAGAATCCATGACGTATTGATCATGCGTGTTATCGGGGTCGGAGTCAAGATCTGGCTCGTAGTCGGCCAGGAAGTGAATATAGGCAGGGCCTGTGGTCAGTCGTCCACGGAACTGTTGATCGTGCCGCCATTTCTCTTTGGATTTTCGTTGTTCCTCTGGAGAATGCTTCCACGATCGACAGTCAGGGTCACTACAGATATAACAACGTCTGGTAACATTGCTATCTCGTTTATTGTATTGCTTGTCTTTCTGCTGGTGGAACTTGCGATCAGTAAAGTACTGATTGGCAGCATGCTGGGCGCTGTTAGTTGAGTCTTCAGAGGTCTGGAGTGATTGTCGGAGCTTGGATGCAAGAGCCTCAAATGTATGAGACGGGGTGAACAATGCGTATTCGAGTTCCTTGACGCCACGGCAGGCGCGTTCCACAGCTGCAATTAGCTGTGTCTCGCTGAGATATGATGGGCCGAGGGCGCGTTGACAAAGCTGCAGCTTGTCAAGTAATGCCTCGAGGACGTCCATATTGGACTTGTTGGCATTCTCGAGTCGTGCCTTCAAATTGCCGTAGGTAATTGCAGACCAATCCCGATGATACTGCGTCCTGTTGACCTCTGTGTCAAAATGTATCTTGAGACGATTATACATGTCAGAAAACATGGAATGACGGCTAACATGGTGCATGAAATATATTCGGGCTGCGCCAGTAAGCACTTTAGGGAATACCGCGTGGAATTGACCAGGTTTGATGTCAATGGTAGAACACGTGTTCAGGAAATAACGCATCTTGTCGTCCAGAATATCATACGGTCTTCCAGAGTAACAGTCTTCCTTTGTCCATATCTTAGCGAACGTAGCAATGGTTGCAGAAGCAAGATCTTCGTTCGCTACCGGGGCAGGGGGAATCTGTGTATATGGGTCAGGTGGCTGGTTCTGAAGCCATTGATTGTGCTGCTGGTAGGTCTTGAAACCGGGGTCCGGTGTAACAGTAACATGTCGAGGACCGGGGACGAAGCTGTCAATTGCGTATGCCATCGGGGTTTGTCCGGGTATGAATCCGGCTTGCGGAGTCTGTGAGGGATTCCGATATTGGGGACGTATCGGAGCAGGTGTTCGTAAAGTATCTCTCAACTGGTTGCTGTCAATGCTCTGGAACGCGATATGGCTCTGTGAAACATGCTGCTCAGTAGGTTTGAGGTTAGCAGTATTAGTAGGAGGGGGGTCATTTTCGTCTTGAAGATCAAAACCAGGTGTGTTGGTATTGGATGAATCAGCGTCATCGCCATTTTTTCGTGCTTGGATAGCCATGTAACCTTCAACCATTTTCCACAGGTCAGGGTTTGGATATAACAGTTTCGTCCTGTCAAGCGTGATCTTGTCCCAGACAGGAAGGTCTTCTGCGGTTACGAGGTTGGCAAGTGCGTCCGCGATAGAGTGGTTTGCCTTGCCTAGATAGATTCCTTGGGAAATAAGGCATTTTCGGAAGATGCCCTCGGATGGTTCGTTCAATCTTCTCGAAGTTGTCTCTTGTCCATTCTTCAAAGTCCATTCGGAAGCTCTCAAAGATGTCGTAAGGGACAGGCTTCTCATTGCCATTATAGCGATCAATGCAGGCTAGGGTGTACGAGTTGATGTGAATAGTGTCGTCATCTCTCAGATCGACTGGATGGATCATATCGAGGTCGGTGGAGTCGACAAGGTTGGCATATAGATTGTGCTTGCCAAGGTATCGTAGCTTCTTATCTCTCAGGATGTCATCAGGGTCTTGAGCGACTTGGATTTCGCTGTTGCCACTGCTGGAGGCCATCTTGTCGGATGTACTCGTGTCGGATGTACTTGTGTCGGATATGGGCGTGTCGGATGGACGTGTCGGATGGACGTGTCGGATGGACGTGTCGGATGGACGTGTCGGATGGACGTGTCGGATGGACGTGTGGGATGGGCGTGTGTCGGACGGATGTGTGTCAGGTGGTTCTGTCAACAATCTGGCATGTGTCGGATGGGCGTCGGATGGATGTGTGGGGGAGGGTTCTGTCAACAGTCTGTGCTGCCGCGCGGGATATGAGTATTGCTGTGATTGCAGCGTAATCTATTGCCTCGAGTCGCCTCTGGAGGAATGTTTGCAGTAGAAAACCCCGGATCTCGTGCTGTGCCTCGAATCGCCTCTTGAGGAACGTTTGCGACAGAAGATCCAGATCTTTGGCTGTATCCCGAGTCTCGTGTCAGGAACGTTGATACAGTAAGATCTCTTCTTTTCCTTGCTTATCTGTGTTGCCTTGGGAGACAACACTGATCAGTGTTGGAACAGGCTTGAACGATCAATCATAATACTCGAGTATGGGGTCAAGGTCATGATGTTGCTGATGGTTGGATTGAGAGGAATCTAGCTGGACTCGAAGGTCTGGCCAAGTGCCCTCTCAATCCACTATCTTATCTTATCTAATCATATATATGGGTCCTGGTATAGATGGTTTGCAGTCTGGAATCTCATGGATCCAACAAATATATATTAAATATTGAATTTAAATTTCCGAGTTAATAAACGATTACGTATTGATATACCTTAATTTTAACCTTATGTTAAACTTTAGATTGTAATATAATTGTCGGAATTACATGGATCCAACATTATTGCTTAGTACGACAAATAAATCGTTATTTATGAAATATTCTTTAATAAAATATTAAATTTTTTTATAATAAAAGTAATAATAATTGAAAAATTACTATTAATAAGCCGATTATTTTTAAAAACGATTTGTGACGAGCCGTCTAACCTATAAGGCTAAAGGGTTCTATAGGGTTTATGTTCTGAGGTAAGTCAACACAAAGGACGATAGAGGCTTCTGTCAATTAGAAGACACCCAGATGCTGGGGCTTGGTCTGAACTGGGTTCACTGCGTAGTCGAGTCGTCAGGAGATTTCTTCCACCTTAGTGTTGGCTAAGATGCTTAGATTGATCACTGAGGTAGAGACTGTCTATCTATCTAGCTGGGAAATGTCTGTCTTTATATACAATCTCTCCCTCACTGATTAGGTGGCTCACCCTGGATCACCATGGTGATCCAGTGATCCAAATTCTTAGTCACGTGACCCAGGTTCTGCTGGTCATGTGATCTGTGTACCGTTGCTCCGTTGCTCCGATCCCTCCACTGATCAGTACCCCACTTACTGTCACGGCGAGCATACTGAGGAGCTGGGACATGGCCTGCAGCAAGCAGCTATTACTCTATTGACGAGAATATCAAGACTAGAGAGGAAAGGAAGAGAGAGAGAGATAGGTACAGTGGGAGGTTGCCCCTTTAAGGGGATCCTCTGGTCAGATCCTTCCCCTATTAGGAAGTATCCACTTGTCATGTGGGAAGGTCTGTGTAGGCCGTCACACCTCTGGGCTTGCTATCAGGCCGCACTGTTTGTTAGTTTGTAACACGATTAATAATTTAATACGATTAATTAATTAATAGCTTATTTTAATTATGCTTTTTATATTAGAAACGGCTTCAAAAACTATTTCTTATTTGACATAAACTCAAATGTATTTATTATAAATATTAAATTTATTTTGATTTCAAGTTTTATTATTAATATTAATAAAAACTATTCATTTATATAGGTAAACATAAATATATTAAAAATTATAAAATATAACATAGTTTATTATAACTTAAAAAGAATTCACTATAACAATATCTATATGGTTTAAACATTTACTTTATATAAAAATATAAAAATCAATTTTTTTAATCAACGTTTTTATAAAATAAAAAGTAATATTTAAAATAATCGCTTTAGTAGCTTTTAAAAAATCGATTTTATAACTTTGAATATCTTAAAGCGCGGTTTTTTTAAAGTACGAAACCCACGAATTAATTCGTTATTATAACAACAATACGAGTTAAGGTTTAAAGATAATAATATCAATAAGTTAGACACGCACTGGCACTATGTTTCTCATGGAGGAAGATGCTACCATATTGAGAGCAATATCAGAGAACAGCCTCGGAAGCTGGTCTCAGGGGTTGGTCGAGCTGCGAGTTCGACTTGAGACGTGATCTCATCCAGGATGAGACGTACAGCTGCAACCCGCCTCAGCCACGTTGAACACTCAGAGTAACAAAGTGAGGCCACCAAGCAATGGACAGGCCATCAGGACAACGGGAATCGCGAATCGTATGTAGCCAGTTCGTCGTCCGAGATGTTGAGGAATGCGAGGTGTACTATGTACATTATGGGTGAAAGTTGATAACAGGCCCCACTTAACCTTCCCATATTACATAAGGTATCAGTGTGTGGGGTCACCCCCACTTCGCCCCGCCCCAGGCTGGTCGGGAATTCTTATACCCGCCTATCGCTGTTATCGATTCGAACGCGATCCCGCGATAAGGAAAAAAAGTTAGAGGACTGCCACGAAAGTGACCTCTTATCCCACCTCCCAATTTAGCCAGCCTCAATTGACAGTCACCATTCCCTGCGCCGACCATCTCCGACACAATGGAGTCCGTCAAGCACACCAAGAAGCGGAAGTTCAAGGACGCGAACGGCGCCAAAGCCATCGTCAACAAATCCACAACTGCGACTGTCTCAGCCCCCGCGCGCAAATCGAAGAAAGCGAAGCGGGTCGAGCCTGAGCCTGAGCCCGAAGTCGCAGACCCTGCCGGATCCTCGAGTAACGACGATGACATTGTAGAAGAGCAAACGTCCGAAAGCAAAGAATCTGAAGACCAGCAAGATGACGAGGACGCGGACGACGCGGAAGATATTGCTGAGCTTGAAAAGAGAGTAGCGGCTGCGGATGCGGAGGATGGCGGCGACGTCGATGCGCCGGATGCTTCTAGTGTTCCTCTTTCAACACTCGTCGCGACCGATGTCGAGAAATTCTCCGAGCTGAACCTATCCGACAAGACCCTCAAGGCTATCAAGGATATGGGTTTTGAGACCATGACACCAATCCAACGACGAGCTATACCCCCTCTGCTGGCAGGTCGTGACGTTCTCGGTGCGGCAAAAACTGGCAGTGGAAAGACCCTATCTTTCTTGATCCCAGCTGTGGAGATGTTGAGCTCGCTTCGCTACAAGCCTCGCAACGGTACAGGTGTGATTGTGGTGTCACCAACAAGGGAGCTGGCACTGCAGATCTTCGGTGTCGCACGAGAGCTCATGGCGCATCACTCGCAGACGTACGGTATTGTCATCGGAGGTGCCAACAGAAGAGCCGAAGCCGAGAAGCTGTCGAAGGGAGTCAACCTGATAATCGCTACTCCCGGACGGTTACTCGATCATCTTCAGAACACCCCTGGTTTCGTTTTCAAGAACCTCAAGTCTCTAATTATCGACGAAGCCGACCGCATCCTGGAAATAGGGTTCGAAGATGAGATGAGGCAAATCATCAAGGTCCTTCCCAGCGAGGGCCGCCAAACTATGCTTTTCAGTGCCACGCAGACGACTAAGTAAGCAGCCACGCTGTATACATAGATTTGGGTACTAACAGTGTGCTAGAGTTGAAGATCTGGCCCGGATATCATTGCGCAAGGGTCCGATATATGTCAACGTCGACGAGCAAGAACAGTACAGCACTGTGGAGGGACTGGAACAGGGATACGTCATCTGTGAAGCCGATAAGCGGTTTCTTCTGCTCTGTGAGTAACATCCAAGTTGTCTGCTTCGAGGATTTTTTTCCGCTGCTTGGCTCTTTCACAAGTCAAATCTCGAGATAGGCTACAAGCGCCCGCCCATGCGCTCCTGAGGATCATAACTGACTTTGGGCGCTACAGTCTCCTTCTTGAAGCGGAATCAGAAGAAGAAGGTCATCGTCTTCTGCTCCTCCTGCGCATCTGTGAAGTACTATGCAGAGCTTCTAAACTACATAGATCTGCCCTGCCTTGATCTCCACGGAAAGCAGAAGCAACAAAAACGCACAAATACCTTCTTCGAATTCATCAACGCAAAGTCCGGCACGCTCATTTGCACCGATGTTGCAGCTCGGGGATTAGATATCCCTGCTGTCGACTTCATTGTTCAATTTGACCCTCCGGACGACCCCCGAGACTATATCCACCGCGTGGGCCGAACGGCACGCGGGGCCGGTGGAAAGGGTCGCAGTCTACTGTTTCTGCAACCAAGCGAGGTGGGCTTCTTGTCACACTTGAAGAGTGCCCGCGTCCCAGTTGTGGAATACGATTTCCCCGCGAAGAAGATTGTGAACGTCACGTCCGGGCTTGAGAGTAAGTCTAGGCGTCTTATCCAGTAAAGATATTTCTTGTAGGCCCGTTGCTAACTGACTTGGAATGTAGAACTCATCAAACAGAACTACTATCTGAACCAATCAGCGAAGGAGGGTTACCGAAGTTATCTACATGCCTATGCCAGCCACTCCCTGCGTAGCGTTTTCAACGTCAACGAGCTGGATTTGGCCAAGGTAGCAAAGAGTTTCGGGTTTGAGACACCGCCCAGGATCGACATCACGTTGGGCGCAAGCATGAGCCGAGACAAGCAGCAAGGAAGACGAGCATACGGAAGCCAGCCACGCCAGGGCCAAAAGTTCAACAGAAGATGACTGTAGACTCGGAGGTCAACGAACGGCGTACATGGAGGGAGTTGGTTTTGTTTTTCTTGTCAATGATATCACCAGCTTGATTCTAATTCATGCAGTCACGTATGAGATTTATCCAACCGCAAAGTTGTGGGCTTCGCCGGTGTTCTACAAACATGCTCTTACTGCATCATGTTGGTGGTATCATTTGCCGGCCTACAAGCCCAAGTAAGTATTCGACGCCCGAGGTGTCCCTGCCCCCTGATTCATGTTGAATTGCTGTTGTGCAACAAGCGAAGTGTATGTAACCAGATATCTCGTGGGCTGAAGGCACGGTGCCACGGAATGGCACGACAGCCTCGTTGATTGCTAGATGGTGGCATCCATCACCAAGTGCATTGTGAAGCCATCCTTCTCAACGTGACCTCCAAGTAGTTGACTCGTTCTAAAAGGTTGCCAATTACTTCTCGTTGCTTGTCTTCGAGTGACATGCGTTTGCGACTTGAACATGCTCTGTCAGCACCAAAATCCGTCTTGGTGTAAGTACCGTTCGTGATCAGTCGTTCAGGATTGCTCTCTCTCGAATATCAGTGTTCGAACTGGGGAGATACTACCATGACATCCTTGAGCAGCACCTGACGTAATCCAAGGACAAGCAACATGTATGAATAATAACATAGCGAGCATGCTGCCGTGTTGCAGCCTCTGTCAGCTCGCAAGGAGGGATGGCAACAGCTGAGGGGGCGAAGGCACTCAGTTCTACGCAGGCAGGCGACATTCAAGTTTAGTAATTCGGTATCTCCCTTTCCTACCTAAGAACGTACCGTAGGCAACTGTAGGTAACTTAAGCGTGTAGCTGAGTGATCAGGTGCTTGGGACGCGCCACCATCACCCCACGTATTTGTTTCCTAGTCAACCCTCATCCTGATTTTTTCCCTTCTGTACCCAGGCCGCTCGCTGCCTTCCTCCACTGCTCCAGGGCCCTTTGGTAAACACCTACCTTTTCCATTGTGGGATGCCACAACTCTTTCGCCGCTTGCCATCCACAACACACACTCCCTAAGCCCTTTCAGCACGCAACGCACGCCTTCCCTCCCCATGGCGACTGACGGTGGGAACCCGAACATCACCACTGCTGGCGTCGTCAAGCCTGACTCGTGGTACTACGCTGCACGCGATGAAGCGGTCCTGCGATCCTGTTGCATGTGCGACGGCGAAGCTCCCTTGCAGTGCCAGCGATGTAGCTCCAGATACGTGAGTTCTCAAGGCTTCCGCCGGACCTGGAGGTCCACGACAAGAGAGTCTACTAACCACAACAACCACAGTGCTCACGCTCGTGCCAGGAGAAGGACTTTCCCACGCACCAGCATCTATGTAGGCTTTTCGGCAGATTCGGGGAGTGCGACAGCTGCGGGATGCCGCGGCCTACTCCTTTCAAGCACGTCCTCGGGATGTACTTTCCTGACCAAGACCTGAGGCCGCAGCTTGTCTGGATTCGCATCGATCCTGTCCAGGGGCCGTTGTTCAAGGACCATTGTTACGGGTTCTTCACTGTCGTCGATAACCATCTCGTGGAGGAGAAGATATCAGACACCTATCGTGATGCCAACGTCTCCGCCCAACCTCTGCTTGATATCGGTCGAGGCTTGCGCTGCTATATACACAACAGAGATACGGCCTGGCAGCAGCACATCAACTGGTCCGTCCTGGCTCTAGCGCCGCCCGGCCATGCGCAGGTTGTCTACGAATCAGTTATCTTCTGCGCGTTCACCAGTGACACACTGACACGCTCGACTGGGCAAGACGATCCCGTAACCTTCGAGGATGTGACACCTCGAGACTATCGCAAGGCTATCGACATGTTCACCATCGCCAACCCACTGAACCCCTGCATCACCGACATTGATCGATTTCCCCTCGGACCCCTGGGCTGCAAGGCATGGCCGGCCGTCAAGGTCAACTGCGCCGCAGAAATCGAACGCTTTTCCGCCATCGCCGAAATGATCGAACGCTTTCCTTCCATCGCCGCGGACAAGGAACTTCTCTCTTCCGACTTCCCCAGCAAGATGCCCGACGTCGAGCAAGTTCACGTGCGCATTCAAGAAAATCCGCAAGGCACGAACCAACTCTCCGGCCTCCCGTGGGTCTGGAGCCCCTGCGCAACCAATCTCGACTTCCCCTGCAACAGCGGCAACCCAAAGAGCTACAACAAAATCGGTCAGCATATCACCGCGGTCTACCATGCGATTTCGGAAGGAAAGACGGCGGAACAGGAGACACGCTCGGTCGAGCTCGACGCCGCCAACGGACAGGGCGCCTACGGCGGCACAATCCTGGTGATGCACTACAAGGGCGCGCCCATAGCGAGTGAACATGTCACGGCCTTCCATCAGTTCATTGAGGAGACACGGGTCGTGTATGATCCCCCGATTGGCGATACTCTCAGCCGACGGGGCTGTGAGGCCTTCTGGGATAAATGGGTGGAGCAGCGGCGTCGGGAGGGGGTTGATATGAGCGGCGTTGCGTCTCCTTACGCTTTTGAGTGGTTTGCTGGGTCGGAGTGGGTAATTGATGCTGGGCAAGCCAGAATCTTGTCGCTATGTCTGTTGTTAGGTATGTGCGCGACGCTCATGCATTGTCCAGGAGTGAGGTTTTCCCTCCTCGACGAGTACACTATACCAGTGACTCCACCATTACGAAGGAGGATCAGTCATGAGGTGAGTCATGACCAGCTGGCGGATGCGCAGTGGTGTAGGCACATCTAGATTGCCGCGACAGTGGCCAGGACCACACCATCCGTCATTGAGTCGTCCGCGGCCCAGACTTCTCATTGGAGGAAGAGAAGCAGATCATTGACCCGATAAAGTGTTAAAAAGTCCCAAGATGGTTTATACGGTGGTTATTCGTGTATTCAGTGCTGGTTGTGTTGTTTTGAAGTATGTTATTGTGCCCCTATTCAGTGCACTGCCACCTCCCTGGCGCCACAGTGGCTTGCGTGCCATTCGACACCAAGCAGTCTACCTCACCTATGTCGCAGAGCAATGGTAACTTATTGCACCGTGTCGAATCATCAGGATACCCAAGATCACACCCCGAACACATTACAGGCCCTCGCGATTCCCGCCATCACACCAAGCTGAGTAGATGGTTTAAAGCTGCGAAGTCCTTGCAAGAAAAGCGACAATGTCTCTCATGAAGAACGCCCCCTCGGAGTCGTTAAGCCAGGCTCGAACTTCCTTCACGAGGAAGTCCCCCATTTTGCCGTCGTTATGCACGATCTCCAGCAGGACATCAGGACGGTGAGATATTGGGCTACACATGCACGCTTGTTTGTTGGCGGGTTTGAGGCTGCTGGTCTATGGATGTTTGTTGGGAGTGAGTTTCCATGCTGGCGTGGGGAGTTGCAAACGGAACAGAGTCTGCTCGTTGGACGTTTATGGAAAGGCTGAGCAGGTCTGCATTTGAGGTTGGGTACAGCTGCCTTGAAGACTGTCATGTTACATGCAGGTGTGCTCGGCCTACGCAGTCGTCATTGCCTCGTCATCCCCGGTCTACGGCTCCTTCCATCACTTCACGGGCTCTGTTTACCTCTAGACGAGGTTAGGTTAGCACTAGGAAGTATCGAAGACTCCATACGACATCGTCTGAAATATCGTGCTACCCTCGTTTGACGTCCGACGCACGCAGCACGCAGCACTTCTGCGAAGGCGTGGATCCGACAGGGATCCGCTGATGCAAACGGATAGATATCTGCGCCCAACCGTCATGGAAACACTCAGAGCATAGGGCACGATCCAATTAACCTCGTCTATATCATCAGCAAACGGAGTGTTGTGCACACATTGTTTGGAGCAAGCTGGCTGCTGGTAAAGATCTGGAGACAACACCCTCCGGGACGGTTCCCTGTGATCGATGGTTATAAATAAGCAATTCCCAGAGCTGCCACTTAAGTCCTACACATTACAGCCCTCACCAGCATAGGTCGCGACCTGTCTTACGCAAGTGCCTTTCGGGGACTGGCATCCATTCATCGTCCTACAAGGCCATTCCATTCCGGCAGGCCACCCCCAGACTCTGCATCTGCTTTGTTGCGACTCAGGCAGTCCCCGTTGTGCCAACTCTGGAGCTCGGATCATGTCTCCTCCAAGCCCATCAGCGACCTCGACGCGGACGAGTTCCCCCACGGCTTCTGCAGACCCCGGTGGAAGTCATCCCCCGACGCAGACATCCGATCAAGCCCTCTTCCAGCGGCAACAGCCTTGTGATGACAATAAAACTCTGTTTGTGGCATTGCATCGTCAGCTCCAGTCACTGGAAGAGGCCTTCGGCAAGATCAAGGAACTTGATAGCCAACTATCGACCACTGGCCTTCTCCTGAGCCTGCATTGGACAAACGAAAACACCGGAGTCCTCTCAGATATGGAAGCACAAGTTAGAGAAAAGGTCGAACATGAGTTTCGCCTTTTACGCCATTTGGAGGCCCGCTACAGAAATCTGGCGCCGAGTTTTCATCAGTTCAACCAGCTACCCTTCGAGCTGCGCGGGCCATCTGGAAGTTCAGCATTCCGCAAAGAGAAGCTTGCACGCACGGCCGTCGTCTGCCTGCTCTTGCGAGCGTCTGCCAGGAGTCCAGAGCAGTGGCTCTCCGCGGCGGAGGCTACTGTGATTTCCCAATAGAGGAGCAGGGTGGCGCTGGCACGGCTCGGGGCCGTCGGACAGTAAAGGTGTGGCTTAATCATGGCCGTGACATCGTTGGATTCCATGACCATCACGTACCCTCGCAGGCACTGCTGGCGCAGCTTGTGAAGACTGGTACTGAAGTGGTCTGGTGTGACAGACTCTATTTGGATACTTCCCTTGAAGGATATTATCTTCCATACGCTGGCCAGACATCACACCGGAGCCAGATGGACAAGGTCGCCATAGGCTTAACAGAGGTGGATGAGGCATGGCAGCCATGGGTGGTGCGAGACATTCTTCGAGGCGACTCTGTAAGGGTTTGCGACCTGCGCGACGGATCCGAGGTCAAACAAATTTGCGCGATCCTGGATCGATTAAGACGAAGCCCCTGCACGAGCACCCGCAAAACTCGCCTAGTCTCGATCCCAGGAGTCAAGACGACGCACGGGGATGGAGTATCCTGGTCGATCCTGAAACTCTCGATTTGTACAAGTTCCGGCCTGTTCATGTTTTCGTGTTGTCAAGCATCAAGAAACCCGGCGAGGTGGGCTATCCTGTAACAGCACCACTTCTTCATGAAATGGGAACATCCTGGTGAAGCTGTCGATGCGTCAAGACGGGGTTTTCTGTTAATTATGCTGCATTCGTGCATCGCACTCCAAAAATACTTGGTATAGCTACCCACCTATTCAAGGATAGCGATCAAACTCTACAGGTTCTGCCAAACCCTTTCAGCAGTGATCGCCATGTGCAGTATCAAGCCTCCCCATCATGGTGTTGATACACTCCCCGACCAGAAGTCTCCGAGCCCACTTTTCGAGCAGCCCTACACGCCTACACCCTCCAACTTTCAGCATTCACCACGCACCCATCTCTCACTGTAATAATATGAAAAAAACTGTATTGTATAAGTCATTCAACAATGTGTGTACCAACCACCTGCCCTTTTCACTGCGGCGATTCGGTTGCCGAGAGATTCGACGAGAACGCGTATATCCTCAGGATCGATCTCTGACCACGCCCTTTCGATTAACTGTCTGGCATATGCCTCGTGGGCAATATTAGCCTTCAAATCAGCGAAACCAGACTCGATTCTCCGCATCTGTTTCTTTAGAAGTGCCCAAATGTGCTCGATCGAGTTCAAATCAGGGCTGTGAGCAGGCCAGTCGATCGTCCAGATGCCGTGCTCCTCTAGCCACTCTGGAGTGCCTCCAAATCGATGGATACGAGCGTTATCTTGCATAAAAGGATCCCTAGCCTCATAGAACGGAAGGAGCCCTTCCTTAAGGACGTCTTGATATGAAGCTGAAGATACTCCTCCGTGAGAAGCATCCTCATCGGGCTCGCAGAAGATGATTTTGCCTAGGCCACCTTCTCCGCCGCGTAACCAGATCAAGGCCCAACACATAATGGAGATACGGGGTCTCCCATGGCTCCGAGGGTTCACGAGATCCTGCCTGTAACGTTCAGAAGAGAGGCGAATGACCCAATCGTCCGGATTATCGGATGAATTCTGGACCGTGACTTCGTCTGAAAAGAGCGTTCGCATCAGCTCCTCTACAGCCTCCGGGGAGTCGTATTTATTGCAAAAAGCGAGCCTCTCTCGTGCGTCATCTTCCGTAAGCTCGATCCGCTTTGCTGCCTTCCATTTACGAAGCCCATGAGCGCGAAGAACGCGCTTGATAGTGGTATGGGAGCTGAGGACCCTGCTCTCCTTCTTGAGCTCTCTGTAGGTGGCCCTGGGGTACTTTTGTGCCATTTCAACTAGCTGAGCTTCTTCGCGCTTATTTAGATTCCTTATGGCTCCCTCTCGAGGTCGACAGACCGTGGTGTTATGCTCTCTAGCAGTGTTGATAATGTCGGTCACGGTTTGAGGCCGATCCAGATGGAACGCGCTCGTGACATCGTCGCGCCTTGCGCCTGCCGCCCTGGCAGCCACAATAGCTGCACGAGCTTTGGAAGTAAATTCCTGGTTTGGCCCGCGATTTGCGGTCAGAATTGTACCAACCTTTTGGTGTTGAGTAAATAAAAGGTGAAGAAGGAAGGGGGTCGCGAGCGCATAGACGCGTTTTGAAACTAGCGTGGTGGATGCTCGGAGACTTTTGGAGGGTCAGTGTACCAAAAGCATGGTCAAATTCCTGGACCTTCACATGTATGCCTTCACCCTTGAACCAATGACATACATCCACGATGCGGGCCGCGTACTCCTCGAAGAGGTTGCACTTGAACGTGACCGGGTGGTCGTTGTCGTTGCACCACCAAATCGCCGAATCGTAAGCGCAGGAGATCCGCCCGCAGTTGCCCTTCCCGGGGCTTCCCGGTCCGTTCCTGCATATGAGGTCGGAACTCAGAGCTTGCAGGTAGTTACGTAGATTCTCGGCAATAAAATAACTAATTTCGCCGAAGCCACCGACATGCTCACAGAAATGTTCGCGGTCCTGATGACATGTCAGTATTCTGACGTGCTCGCATGGGGCATAATTTGGGGAGAACTCACGGGGCCGTTCACGTCGCTCGGGGGTTCCTTGTCGCGGGCCTCGATGGTGCGGTTCGCCTGGTCGAGCACAAACTTGAAGTTGGGCTGGAGAACCCGAATCTGGGCCTCCACCTGCTGCCAGGTTCCTTGGAATTGCTTCTCCGCGCCTACTTCAGCGAAGCCGCTCCAGGTGATGTCTCCGTAGGTGTAATTGGAGGGCAGGTCGCGGTGGACGGTGATGCCGGCCGGGAGCTTGGGGAACTGAGGTTTTGTCAGACTTGGGAGGTCGTGAGGGAGGATGGAGGGATGGATACCGCTGCTGCAGGAGCTAGGCCTGTGCATAGGAGCTATGTGACCAAGGGGAAAAGCATCGTCGCTGACTGGCTGAGAGTTGCGCTGGGGTCGGAGTCAAGTTATTGGTGAAGGGATTTGGATGCCGTCGCTGACTGGGTATATGGTTCTGTGCCAGAATTCAGCAGCACTCGTAGGAGCTGATGTGCTGCTTTAGTAAACTTATGACATGCGAAGGATGTCCATATGACGTGAGCATATTTCAGATGAGGGGAACGCATCGCGGAGTTCTTTTGATCATCCAAGCTCTGAAATGAATGTTTGCCAGCAAGGAGCATTCAATGATGACCCTTGTGTCGTACGTTTGTGTATTGCGGTGTGGTATTACCCTACTTACATTCCAGACGTTTTTATTCACTACGGGCTCCTAAACGCCTCTGTACGTAGCATAGGTAGGTACGTATGGACACCTCATCCCGCTTCTCTGATGCCGACATCGCTGTAGATGGTCGCACAGGCGTCAGTTTGTCAGGTCATCCGATGACCCAAGGAAGATAGCAAGACATACACCATAACTGACAACATTCCAGTACATGGGAAGCAAGCCAGTATATGTTTGCTCCTGTTTCTTGGCGTACCGAGCGGTGAATGAGCAGCCACCGACACGCCTACTATCTTGTAAAGCAACTCGCCGTCATCATCGTCACCCTCACACCAGCGCGCCAGGCCCCCGATCTTGACTCGGACGATGATGCTCGCTACTTCCTGCACACCCAGGATTAAGTCCCTTGCATTACCGGTGAGCGACACACTGCCAATCTCCCTGTCAGTGTAACGGGGAACATTCGCTCGGAGATGTCCAATACCCACCCTTCCGATATCCATTTTGGAGAAAAAACAAACTCAAACAACACTCCGGACAGCTTACACATGATTATCCTTCACTCCAGGCGAGTGGTCACTAGGGCGCAGTCAAGTCGTTACACCTCAAAGTCATGGTCTTAGCCGCTTCGACCGGCAACGAAAGGTGACCAGCCAGAGGTGACTGACTGGGGTGTATATGAGCGTTAAGCGCCATGTCAAGGACCTGTGAGGAAGAGAGAGGAGATCGTGGCTGCCGATACATTGGTCTCATCCGCGGCACCATCTAATGATGTTCCAAAATTGGCCGGCGCTCCAGTGACCATAACACCCCAAACAACACTCTCAACACCGCTGGAACCGCACCCCATAGCGGTACGCCTCAAGTGGGACATCACGGTACCTCCTTGTCGATGTTCTGCTCCGAGTGGAACGTGAAATGAACGTTCTTGCCGTTGAGGTCCAGGTGCGTCTCCGAAGTCTGTATACGCTCTAAGCCAGATAGATTACTAACTCATCGGCAGACGCGATCCCATCACAGTTGAGTTGAACAGAAAATGGCTTCTTGGCCTGCGTGGCTTGTGGTCGTCCAACGGCCTTCGGGACCTTCTGCTGATAGGACTCGTACATGTTGCTCGCATGACCACAGCGAGGAAAATTGTCTGGGAAATCTGCGTTTTTACTGTCGGCGGAGCGTGCTCCGTTGTGGCGCTGATTGGTTCCGGACTTGCTTCAGCTGCCGCCCAGTGAGCGGTGTTCAAGCTATACGTGTCTGAAGGATCCACCGTTCTTGCCGGTTTGGATTGGATTATGTATATAGGACTAGCTTCGTCGTGGTATTTCTCGATGTTCTCTGCAGGTCGAATGACTGGGCTCGGATCCGTGAATGATAATATAACTACAGAGAGGCAAAAGCTAGACGAACAACACAGATGTTTGGCTATCTTTACGGCTGCGTGCACACAGAAAGTCCCGGCGCGCTTTGCTTGCAAGATCAGAGCTTCACGCTCAGTACTGTCGCTGGTCAAATGAACGAGGGGATAGTGTACCGCCCTACGGACAGAAATTGAGAAATGAACATGGCAATGTCAGGGGGCATGTCAGGTAGTTGGCCTACCTAGCAATCCTACATGTGGCGCGATCTTCTTACTGGCTACGGAGCAGGCGGCAGCTGTAATTTTGGCACAAATCCCCTCAATTATTATGAAATGGACCCCGAATGGTGATTCACTGGACAGCAGCAACGCCGTCAGAGGCCTCAGCAATAGTTTCACCAGCAACAATTACGCAGTCTGGCTTCATTTTGCTGAAGTAACGGTTTTTTTTTCTTATAAGCCTATAAAATCCCGAACGCCCAGTCTCGATAACGTTCTCCTACGCAAGAACCCAAGCACCCAAGACACCAGGAACCGAGTCTCCGGAAGTATTTAGCAAGCAACCACGATAACTACCCAACCTCCAGTGCCCGCCGCCAACACTATTCCACACCACTCCACCCAAGCACACAACCGCAACCATGTCAGGCCAGTCAAGCAATTCTGTATGGCAGTTCGTACAGGAGAAAGTGAAGGGCCCCGCGCCGCCGCCTAGCTATGATGACTCTGAAAGACGCGAAAATCAAAAGGAGTGTGAGGAGCGACGCCTGCAAATCGAGAGGAATATCGAAGAACGTAAAGCACGAAGGGAGCAAGAGAAGAAGTAGTAGGAGTAGGCAGTATGCATGACAGCTAGCTGCTCGTCGCGCTGTTCACCTGATCCCTGGGCGGCGTTGCCGCTGAAGACTGTGGAGAAGGGAGGGGAAGAGGAGGCGATCTAGCAGACGCGGAGGAGCCTACTACTAGCAGTGTAGTTGTTATAGCTAACAGAGACATGAATACCTAAGCAACCATGAGAGCAATGCCGGGAGAGTTATCCGCGGAGAGGCCAGCCCACCGAGTGGTCCGAAAAAACACCCCGGCTGCCGGTCAAGACCCGGCCCCACGCGCCGGCCGGAGCCCTGAGTTCGGGCCGCAAGCCCGGTATCTAGAACCGTGTCAGGCGGGGTGCCGCGTGGTCAACGCCGCGACATGGTCGCGACATATGGCATACTAGCACTAACACCGACGTAGGATAGTGACACGCCTTATCAGAGCGCCCTTCACATAGTGCTTCGGTCAGCTTCAGCGCGGTGGTCGTTCGCCGGCAGCATGGGGTTGACCAAAGGCACGACGTGTTACACCCCAGCGTGCGGAGCGCTGGAGGCAACGAGCTTAGCATGGCCGGCTAGGATCATCACTCCAAAGCGCTGGCAGTCTGGCAGCAGTCGCGAGGCTATCTGAGGCAGCAAGGCGCATTGGCAGACGAGGCAGGTTGACCAGTCGCCACCACGTGAAGCGGCCTCGGCGGCTGGGGTGATTTCCCTGGTAGAGGAGCGGCCGAGTTGCCTCAAGTACTCGGATGATCGATTTGTATGATCGATGCTGCTGTGCTGCCTGGTGCAGCTTCACGTGCGGAGCTTCGCTTTCCTATCGTGATCGCCCTACTCCTCTGGACTTTGATCTCGCGAATGCGTTCGGCAGCAAGGAGCCTTTTCGGGGCGATCACTCCTTCGCAAACGACCTACGGACACAAAGGCTCGGGCTGAAAGGGTCGCCATGATCGAGCGGCACTAACGGCCGGGATTAGGCTGGAGGTGTCAGTCGTTCGGGGAGCCGCCGTCAACACACGGTCCGTCGCATTGCGTTCTTAGAATGGATTGTGGCGCCGGCCTAGATGCTTCCATTATGCAGCACCGTTTAAACTGTTGCTTGTGTCACGTGTGCTCATCTCGATTCTCAGCATGCTGGCATGTCTGGCGTCAGATAGGCTTGCTGATCAGTCATAACCGAGGGTCAAGAGATTGATCAGCGCCCGACGTAGCAATACAGCAACGTTCTAGGAAGCAGATGCCATCGCCCCGTCTAGACCCCCAATACAGCGCTATATCGGGAGGTACTGTCTCGAAGTTCCAGGTCGGCAGGCTCGCGACGATAGCTCAATACATTAGCACATAGCGCTTCAATGAAGTCTCGGACCGGAGCGAACCCTCCTGCCCTCCACTAGGTTGATGATCCAGGAGGATGGCCAATGAGGCTATCACGTCTGCACGTCAGTTATAGTGGCAGTGAGGCGCTGGCAGCTCGGAACGGGCACTACATATGTACCTAAAACATAGGGGATTCAAATTACCCAAGCCAACTTTGGCCAGACCGCGAACCAGAACGCGAATCAGAACCACCGCCGGGCGGGACTGGAAAAGGCAGGCAGAACGCAGCCGCAGGATTTGCCCCGTGAGACGGTGAAACCCCAATATCCATGGATTTCCACGGTCCAGCCCCCCAAGAGAAGGGGCAAATATGAGATGATCTGCATTCCATGGCCGCTCCGGGACGATCGAAACGTTCTCACAGGTGCAGTGTGGACAGCTTCGCAACCGAGCTCTCAGCTCTAGAGGGGCAGAGGGGTCGCACAGCATGAAGACATAAAGTTGTGATGGAGCTGAGAAGAACGGTTTGCGTTCAGAAGATAATGAATAAGAGAGAAGGCATTCCAGGGCATGGTGGTTGCCTCAAGTGACAGTCGAGGATTCAAAGTACACAGAATTGGGTATTGACGAGTACAACCTTGATGACATTCACCGCTGAGTGAAGATGACCATCTAGTATGGTGCTTGTGAGAGGCGAATCCTGAGCAGCAGAGCTCGTGTGGGCCGGCGTCCTTGGGGTAACTCGAATAGGTAATCGGCGGAAGTCGGCAGGCTTGATATTCCACGCGGCGAGAATGTTACAGAGCATGAACCGTGACTTGGACAAGAACACATCATGTTATCGGATGCCCTGAGGCGTTGAGTGTCGAGAGGGTCGCGAGAGCAGTGGGTGACCAGATAGAAGATCCATCGGCGGCTCGACGACACGATACTGATTCTGTGTGATGAAAAGCTACGAGGCCCAGTCTTCTCCTTTGTACGAGGGCACCCGGAGGCGGTTTGATGATCTGAGAGGATACTTCCACTGTATGGTAGGAAATCGAATCGCGTTTCCAAGCAACATATGTCATGCGGTGCGGCATTTTCTGCGACGATAGAACGGCATTGGCGAAGTCTTCAGGCATATTTTCTTGGCCGTCCATATTTGTTGGTAATGAAATCGCTGAGCCCGTAGTGCCTGTCCATCGGCAATTATCAGTGAGGGGAAAGGGGTCTCGGTCTCCGGGTCCATGATATGGCCCATGTAAGAGGTTGAAAAGTGTGGTGGACCCCTGAATTAATGGGAAGCCTCGCCAGCTCCGGAAACTACCGGATTTAATTCGATGAATATTTCGGTAGGTCCACGGCCCGGGGGTGGCCAATGTGTATGACGTGGGGTTTGGTGATGCGCCACAGCAGGTCTGGTACGTACCGTCTACCGAAACCAGACACGAGCTGCAGCACGTGAGCGTGTCTTCTTCCTTCTCGCAACTTGCCCTGTCTTGCTTCGGAGTTCCAGTCAGTCATTCGAGACAGATGACTTGAACGCAGGCCAGAATACGAATCAGCTGAGATCTGGCTCGCCTCACTCGGCCTGAACTTGTAGTTGGTCGTGACTATTTCCAGCCGCTAACCTTGCCAACCGCAAGCGATGGGATGAACCTCTGCACCGGGTACAAGTACTCTCCCAGCCTCAATGTGCCGAATTCCCTCCGTGCAGCTGCTAGTGAGTACTTCGTGTAGCACCAAGCTTTGTGTGTGTTGTGGCGTACTGGTCAAACGCTGAACAGCCTCCCACGGCCTCCCACGTGCCCCCTCGGTACACCCATGCACCATGACAGAGTTGGCCGAGTCCTGGATTTTGGCGCTGATCGATCTCATAAGGGGTCCCCCCTCCCCAATCGCATTTCGTCATCGCCGCCCTGAATCATCATCTTACTCATATCGACTCGATGCAGTCACGACTCACCGAGCAGTCAGTTTGTCTCATCTCTCATCCAGCTTGCCAGCTCAAGTTGAACCACATACTATCAAAAGCAGCAGTGCCGTCGGTCTGCGACTACATGCAACCTGGCAGCACCTTGCACTCCACCTCCACGCTGTCTTGTCGCCGCCGCCCCTCGCCTTCTGGCCCCCGTTTGCCGTCGAGGCCGCATGCATCAGACACTGGTTAGTGTAGATCACTGCCTCACGCGATTCTCTCTGTCCTATTAGAATTTAGGGCGCCCAGAGGTATCAGGCCCGAAGCTCTCCCAGGCTCCCAGCAGCAAATCAAGACGTCGGGGCAACCAACGCGCAACCCACCCGTGCCACACCAATTCTGCTAATCGCTCTGGACTTCTTCTGCCCTTGGCAGTTGGTGCATTATTACAGTAATAATAGCAGAGATCATAGATCGCTAGCGGTCTAGAAGCACTCAGACATTCCACACTACCTTCTTCGCGCCACACCAGACACTGCCAGAGTGCCTAGTGTGTGCCTTGAACCCCGAAAAGAGAGGGTACCTACGTACAGACTCGACCTAGAGCGGCGCAGTGACAGAGTGACGGCTGAACAGGACCCTTTCCCTATTTCCCCCTCTTTTCATGCTTTCATCATACCTTACCAAAAGAGCTGAGCTCGGTTCCTCCCAGACTCCCAGGCCTATTCCAATAGTCCATTCCTCACACCCAGCCGGTTCCTCCTCCTATCTTCCTAGATCCAGGTTATCGTGACAACCCGCCCCATCATCGCATCCTCGTTGTTGAGACTCCGCTGTCAGCCCTGATTTGTTAGTCCCGGTCGTGCTCAGGCTGAGATTGACATCTTATCAATTCCGTACATAGCCTTGACCACCACTCTGATACCACGAACCGTCACGACATTCCATTCCGATTGCCATGTGGATCTCACAAGGAGCATAGTACTATCTGACCCGGGGAAAGAGATTGGGATAACCAGACTTCGTGACGACCGCCCGAAGAAAGAAATTGAAAATCGATCACCGACGTCATCCATGAGAAAATGGCCCCCGACGCGACGAGAAACAACGACCGCGCTGCCGCTGCCGCTGCCCAGCTTCAACATTACACAATGAAGACTTCCTCGAGACCGGCCTTGGGCTCCTCGCACTCCCACAGCTCTCGGCCCTCCCAGGGGAACCTTCAATCCCTCCGCGCCAATATGTCCACAACTCCCATGGCCTCTCCGCGTATGCCCCATTCCGTCGGCCAGCCCTACCCTCCCAGCGCGAAACTTTCACCCGGCATGCCCGCGGCTGCGGCGATGGAGACTCGTAGTCCGAGTCCCAATTACTTTGGCCTCAGCATGGAACGTCAAGACGATCTTCGCGACTCGGCCGCCGCTCCACTCGATAATTGGAGCCCGCCGACCTCGTCTGTCAAGTCGTTTGGTGCTGCCATACCAAAGCAGATGCCCCTCAATGCGAATCCTGAATTTGAAGCTTTCCGACGCCAGGCTGACGCGAATCGGACCAACACCTTTAGTCTAGGCGGTTCACATTTTGCGCCCTCTTCTGCAGCTCTGAGGCCTATACCGCAGCGGCGGCCTACCAACCAGAGCGACGCCGCTTCAGAGCTGTCGTTACCTAGGTCCTCGAATAGCAAGGCCCGAGATGCCGTCGGTTGTCGCATGGACGTCGATGCTGATAGTCTGCACGATTCGGCCTACGTCTCGTCCGACTCCAAGCGGAACTCGGAGGCGTCCCTGAATCCCATGTCTTTGAACATGCCCCGATTCGAATCGCCCGCTCACGCCGAGTCCCCATTCGAGTCTATTCGTAGGACAACACTATCCAGGGTCGAAGATCGGCATCCGAGGCTGTCACTGCCCCAAAACAAGGTCGAGTCGTCTGGGCAGCCGTCTAAGCCACGGTCTGAGACACTACCAGCGAATATGGACAACGGCGAGCCGGGTCTAATCCACACAAGCCAGTTGAAGGAAATGCTTCACAACACGTCAGAATCCGAATTCATGTTGCTGGATGTCCGTGTTTCTACGCACTATGCCCAGTCGCGCATCCGGGGCGCTCTGAATCTCTGCATTCCTACCACACTATTGAAGCGGGCGACTTTCAATCTAGAAAAACTCCAGAAAACGCTTCAAATCGAGGAGGATCAAGAGAAATTCGCGCAATGGTCGACCGTCAAGCATCTGATTGTGTACGATGCTTCTTCGTCTGAGCAGCGCGATGCCGTCGCTGCGATGAACATGTTGAAGAAGTTCACGAACGAAGGATTTTCCGGCAGCTCATACTTACTCAAAGGAGGCTTCCATGCCTTCGCAGCCGCTTACCCGGCGTTCGTTGACCATCAACATGCGGCGGAAAGAGGCGGTACGTCTGTCACTTCAGCAGGTGGTGGCCGGCCGAGTTTTGCGCCCGTGATTGGCGGCGTGATGCTCCCCACTGCCTCCAGTGGTGCCAACCCATTCTTCAGTAATATTCGACAAAATATGGATTTGGCGGATGGTGTTGGACAGATGGACATCGCTGTCCCCCCAAATGCCGATTTGGACACTATGCCTCGGTGGCTTCGCGACGCGGCGAACCCATCCGATCATGGCAAGAAAGTATCAGAACGGTTTCTCAAAATTGAGCGCAGCGAGCAGTCCCGTATGCGGGCTGCGTATGCTGCTTTCAATGCATCTACCCCCTCAGCTTCCGGCCCTGGGAAAGTTCAACTATCCGGAGTTGAGAAGGGAGTCAAGAATCGATACAAGGACATACTTCCTTTTGAGCACGCTCGTGTGCGTTTGGCCCATCGGGCTGACGGCACTTGCGACTACATCAATGCCAGTCACATACAGGCATCGCGGAGCCACAAGCGTTACATTGCTGCCCAAGGTCCTCTGCCTGCTACATTCGAGGTAAGTTCCATCATTCATTCAGTTCTCTTTCGAGTCGAGCCGTGGATGCTAACCTTGTGTGTTCAGGACTTTTGGTCGGTCGTATGGGACCAGGATGTGCGTGTCGTCGCCATGCTGACAGCAGAGCAAGAGGGTGGGCAGCTCAAATGTCACCCTTACTGGCGTGGTAGGGAATTTGGGGCATTCAGGCTGAGGCCACTATCGGAGAAAAAGATATCCCTGGACATAGACAAGAACCGCTCGAGTTCCTCAGCGTCGTCGGCGTCAGGCGCTTCGGACTCTGGTCGACGGCGTGCCAACACGACAACCACACTCGATTCGGCTGCTCCGCCTGCGCAGCCGGCGCAGCCGACTTCCGAGGTGCCCTATGTCATCGTTCGAAAATTCGCGCTTTCCCATACGGCTCATCCATTCGCTCCTATCCGCGAGATCACTCACCTTCATTACCCATCATGGCCCGATTTTGGCACTCCGGCACAACCTTCACACCTACTGGCCCTTGTCGAGTTAGCCAATGTGATGCAAAGATCGGCACTTCCTGTAGAGTCGAGCACTGTAACTGCGGCAGTCTCCGCGCAGCACCCTGCAACCATGAGCTGGTACGACGAACCGGAGTCTGACGCAAAGGCCAGACCAATGCTTGTCCACTGCTCAGCCGGCTGCGGCCGAACTGGAACATTCTGTACTGTTGACAGCGTAATAGATATGCTCAAGAGGCAGCGCCTCGCATCGCCGGGATCTCCGACAAGAGTCGATGGCGAAGGGGATGTTAGTATGGACGATGGCCCTTTATCACCCCGGACAGCGTCGCAAACCTGCGATGCAGACGGGCGTAAAAAGGCCAGACACTATGCGTCAGGTGGCATAGGGAGCATGGAGGCTAGCTGGGTCGGCGATAACAACCTCGACTTGATCGAGTCTACCGTCGAGGATTTCAGGAAACAACGGCTCAGCATGGTCCAGAGCTTGCGGCAGTATGTACTCTGCTACGAAAGCATCGCTGAGTGGGTGTGGAGACTCCAAGACCGGAGCAGTGGTGCTATTGCAGGCACAGGTAGGCGGAGAAGTGGAAGCCTTGAAGGTCAGAGGTGACTAGCCAGCCCCAAACGAGGAAGTGCTCGCAATAGGGCACGGCCTAACAGTAACTCGATCAGGAAGCGGAAAGATACCATCAGGGGGCGCGTACATTAGCCTCAGCATCCGAATTGATGATGCGTTCGAAGATGACGAGAATCAGCACTAGCCACGGGCGGTCGGTTACGGGTTTCCACGAGGCTTACGGCTAGGGGCGTTTTTTGGTGAGATGCTGCGTCTTTTTTTTTAAAGAGCGAGAATATGCATTGCAAATGGAGCAAGCCGGAGGCGAGGCACTTGTATAGGTTAAAGACGACCCTAGAGATGATAACGGCGGTATATAACTGTATAAATATGGTTTGCTGTTCATGGTAGTGGACTTAGACACATGATGGCGAGCTAGGTGTATACCACAACTTGCTCATGCCACGCGCAGAAAGATCATGGCGCCTGAAATGGGTCTAATATTTTCCTAACTCTGCGTGAAACTGGAGATAACTTGCCTGTTGTTCGATATATAGAACGCCCGTTGAACTCGCGGAAAATTCAACGTGTATCCCTCGCCCCTCGTGTCTCTCTGCCTTTCGTATATCTTGAATATGGTCTCTGACTCTTGAGATATTGGAAGCCTCAGACAGAACGGAGCCTTTTCATTCCCAGGCCGCATTGTGTGTGGGCATGTGCCGGCCCCAGACGGCAAGCGAGCTGACCTGCGGGAGAGGCGCGGGATAGTCAATAGCTTGGTTGGCGGCCGGCTGACAAGCTTGCTAACCGTCATGGCATCGTAACGTCGTGAGGCATAGACAGTGGAGATTACTATGCCGGGAGCATACAAGTAAAATCACACACACAATGGAGCACATGTAAAGATCGAAAGCCGGCGGCCACGAGGGGGGCGCGCGTGTCTTCATCTTTAGAGTAATGTACACTTTACAAATGAGTATCCGAACTCCTTCCACTCTTCCCCGACCTGACCTCTCTGTGACATGCGCAAAAGACGATGACGTGTAAAGCAATAATTGTCCCTGCCACATGCCACCAGAAGCCAAGTCAACGCCACGATGTCCATATAGCTTATTTCCAGAACTTCTGGAGAGACACCTCCTTGTCGTCGTGCTTGTTGAGAATCTTGGCCGTAGCGAGCTCAAAGTCCTCCTGGGTGACGTGCACTCTCCGTTCGCGCAGCGCATACATGCCGGCCTCGGTACACACACCCTTCAGCTCGGCACCAGAGCACCCGTTCATCTTCTCGGCGATCTTGGTCAGGTTGATGCCCCTCGTCAGGTTCATCTTCCGGCTGTGGATGCGCAGGATGTCGGCTCTGGCCTCGACGGATGGCGGGGGAAACTCGATCTTGCGGTCGATACGTCCGGGGCGGAGCAGGGCCGGGTCGAGGATATCCAGTCGATTTGTGGCCATGATGACCTTGATGTTCTTAGTGGGTTCAAAGCCGTCCAGTTGGTTGAGGAGTTCCAGCATCGTGCGTTGCACCTCGGAATCACCGCCCGATGAGCCTTCCACTCGTGAAGAACCGATGGAGTCGATTTCATCCATGAAGATGATGGACGGCGCGTGTTCTCGCGCCATGACGAACAACTCGCGAACCATGCGGGAACCCTCACCAATGTACTTCTGCACCAGCTCGGAGCCGGAAACTCGGATGAATTTACACTCTGTGTGATGCGCGACGGCTCGGGCTAGGAGGGTCTTTCCGGTACCGGGAGGCCCGTAGAGAAGGACACCCTTCGGTTGGGCGATGCCAAGGGACTCGAACAGCTCGGGGTGCTTGAGTCCTAGCTCGATGACCTCCTTGATCTCCTTGATCTGCTGATCCAGACCACCGATCATATCATACGTGCTGTCGGGTACCTTTTCGACCATCATGAGTGATACAAGGGGGTCGACGGAGGACGGGAGGAGCTTTTCGAGCTTGTAGGAGTCGGACAAGAGAGTGACCCGTTTGCCCACCGTGAGCTTCGCTATGTCGACGGCGTCGGAAACATCGACCACTATTCTTCTTCGTCAGCAACGACACCACACCAGAAGAGACGCCGGCACATTGTTTGTTTGTAACGTACCGTATTTGCCCTCCGGATGTACCTTCACCAGGACCTTCTTGGTGCCCATCACCTTGACCACCTCGCCCACGTAAGATCCGGGCTGCTGCAGCAGGCCGAGTTCCTCGCGCAGTAAGCGGACTCTGGAGTTGTAGTCGTTTCGCTGGGCTTCGAGGCGGCGGAGCACGGCTTGGCCCTTGAGGATCTCGAGCTTCATGGCCTCGATCTTGTTGTGGTAGTAATTGTCGAGCGCCATGTTTGCTGGAAGCTCTCCGTGCGGGAGGTCGGGGACTTCGAAGCGGGTTCCGGTATTTCGTGGTTGTGGCGGAGAAGAATGTCGTCGGGAGATGTCGCCGTGTCGCTCACTGTGTGGATGTTGATGTTGGATTGGACAGGGCTGGCGTGGATCTGATGCACGCAGTGGTGGTGAAGTTGTGGTTATTACGTTGAAAGATGGCGAACGATGAGGCTAGCTTCGACCGGGGTAGGTGAGCTTAAGCGCAGGCGCATTGGATGGAACCTTGAAGCGCAGGCAGAGGTCGCGGCAACGCGTTCCGGAGAGGCGGCAGCTCTAAATTCCGGGCCACCGAGAGATGGATCCACTATCTTCGGATTACTAAGATAATGACATGTCCGGCGGGACCGCCGATGGGACTTCGACCGTGATGATAGTGGCTTCCATATCCAATTTTAGAATACTGGATTCTTGCATTCCGACATCCAACATCCAAGATCCCAGGCGATCTGAGATCTACCGAATTTTGTCTTCCCAGTTTCCACTTTCGCGCTCTCCCTCATGTGGTACATTGTAGCTGGTAGGTTCATGTTGGTAGGTGGGAAGTAGTGGTACATTCCAATCATCCCGCGCATCCCCAAGCTGTTTCCCACCACGCATTTCCTCGCCTTTCGCGGCTGCCCAGTGTCAGCGGTCAGCGCCACTGCTTTCCCCATACAGCACAGAGGGTGGGCGTCGCATGTGAACTGCATCGAAAGAGTCGAAACTGCGTTGAGTGGGTGCTGCCACTGTGGGCCAATATCAGCACCAGTCTGCTTCGAGCAAGATTCGCACTGGCCGCACCCTTCAATACGCCATATTCAAGTTAGCGGCCGGAGGTGACAGGGATGCGCTGCCGCCGCCCACTGTAAATAATCACGAGTAACGACCACGAGTGCCACGACTCACTGATCATCCATCGATCAGGTCTCCGCCGCTCTTTCCTTCCCACCCGCTCGGCTCCTCGTGATGCTGTCGGGTTCTGCGATAGATACCAAAGAGAGATCTCTGGTCTGTTAGATCTGACCGGGAGGCTCTACATCTATTGCAGTTGGCTTTCAAAATCATAGCTCTCTGCTGCCCTGCCAACATTGAAGTTGCAAGTTGCAAGCTGCACCCGCCCATTCCCTTCCGCCCTGTCCCGAAAACAGGTTGTGTTTACCAAGAACGCATCTCGATTCTCCGCAGCGGCTTCGGCATCTGGTCTGCTTGTCTGCCCAGCGGGAAACCACGACTTCCCAACACACTTCATGTACACAGCCGACACCCGAATATCAACATCAATCAACGTTGCATACGTCCTCTGTCCGCTTGACTCGTGAGCTCCACCGGACCCGACGCGACCATTTCTGGTCTGCTGTCATTCTCCTATAACCTATACCGATCATCGTTCCCCGATCAACAAGTGTCTCACATTACAGCGCTGTTCGTATGCTGGCTTAGCCCATCGTCGCTGAGCAGCAACCGCCCGCCATGGACTCGCCTTCGCAGGACCGCGGCGTCTCACCTTCGCCGTCCCCCACGGATGTGCGACAGGCTGCTGTTCGACGCGACACCAGGGACGACATGCTCCCCGAAAGCTACCAGTCTACCGAGACCGTGCGGAGAAGACCCGATCTATCCTATGGTGCGCTCCCGCTCTGACTATCCTCACTTGGCTTCTAAACCGAAACTCCATCTTGACTGGCTTGACAGTTGGCCGATGTCATGTCACCTCCTTCTGGGCACAACCGGGCTAACCTTATACTTGGTCCAGGAACCGTCCCTACTACCCCAGCTGGCAGTGGCTCGTACTTGGGAGAAAACGTCGCCCATGATCGCTCCAACTCTCGTATTGGCGGCCAGTCGCTCCGATCCCCGATGCAAGGTCCTGATCGTGGCAGGCAGCGTCCTTGGAAGCCCGCAATGGCCCGCCGCGCCTCTTCCAACGCTCAAGCTCCCCATCGTGGTAGCATTTTCTCAACCGACGACCTTCCAAACGAGGTAGAATATGATACTTCTGCGGGTGACCACCCGCAGAGCTTATTCCCTAGGCCGTCGTTCAACGTCGACTCAACGAGGCGGCCGTCCAGTATGCGGCGACGGCCCACCACCATGGTCGCACCAACTCTGTCGCGCGTCGATTCTAGTCGCAGCACGGGAGCGGATGAGGAGGACATCGAAGAAGGAGTGGAAGAAGAACAGGCGGCAGAAGAAGATCCAGGGGAGGACTCGCAGTCACGTATCGAGCCACACGAAGAACGGGTGTTGCAGGACGAACCCTCCGACGCTGGCGACGAAGACGAAGACGATCTCAGCGACGCTGAGAGCTTCACCCTGAAGGATCGTCAACAAGCCATCAACGAGACACATCCCTTTGGTATCCGGATATGGAAACCTGCCCTGTACAAGAAAAACCGATCTGTCCAGAAGACTGCTCAGGACGACATTCATTCTTCTCCCGGCGGCCGAGTTAGTCACTGGCTGCTGTTCTTTAATGTTATGTGGACCTTGGCCTTCGGCTGGTGGATGGCCGCGTTCGCCGCGCTCGGTGCCGGAGCATGCTTCATCTTCGCCGCCGCTCCTAGCGGGAGAGAATATGGTCGCGTGCTATGGGGCCTTGCCGGATACCTATTCTACCCCTTTGGGAAATTTGTGCGGCTTGAGCAGGACGAGGCATACCTGGACGAAGATCAAGGAGAGGGACGAAGCATCAGTGAGTACGAACAGTGGCAGAGCGGAGATCTGGAGTACGGGCGCCTCTTCTTCGGACCCGAATCACGGAATAGGTCTATCGTTGGCCGGTCACGCAGAAGCATCGACTCGGAGCCCAGCGAGACGGATAGTTTACTCAACCGCTCGGCTCGGAATGATCACCCGGATGATCACGTGGGGCCACCGATGAAAAGGCGACTGTTTGGCAGAGGTCAGTGGAACATCGGACGAATCATCTTCTTCGTATTCTTCTGGGGACTCATTACTCCGTCTCTCATCATCGTGTCCGGTATCTGCTGGTTCTTGGTGTTCTGGATTCCCATGGGCAAAGTCACCAATCTCCTCTTTGACCACCTTAGGAGGCATCCGCTGGCCTTGTCCTTCGACTCTGATATTATCAACGCCAGGAGTTCCGATGGTCCACATGCGTCCATATTACTCTGCACATACCGGGCCGTGGGCTCCAAGTATTGGAAGTATACTATTGACGGAACCAATATCTTCCTCATCAACCTCATGGCGGTTGTCATGTTCGTCATCTTTGACTGGCTTGTCTTGGAAGGTGTTTTACACATCGAAAACTTCATAACATCCCCGGGCTTCTTGTTCGTGGCAGGTCTGTTCTCCATCATCCCTCTGGCCTACTTCATCGGTCAAGCCGTGGCGTCCATCTCGGCCCAGTCTTCCATGGGCCTGGGCGCCGCCATCAACGCTTTCTTCTCAACTCTGGTTGAAGTCTTCCTCTACTGCGTCGCTCTCAAGGACGGTAAAGGTCAGCTGGTCGAAGGTAGCATTATTGGGAGTATCTTCGCGGGTATCCTATTCCTTCCGGGATTGTCCATGTGTTTCGGTGCTATCAAGCGCAAGACACAGCGCTTCAACGCCAGATCCGCCGGTGTCACGTCAACCATGTTGCTATTTGCCGCTGTTGCAGCATTCGGACCAACGCTCTTCTACCAAATATACGGCACACACGAACTTCGATGCCAGAGTTGCACGGATTATATCAATGACAGCGAACGAGACTGCCGTCGTTGCTACTATTCGCAGGTGCCTGCCCTCAATGACCGTTTCTACCTCGAAGCCGTCCGTCCCTACTGTTACATGGCAGCTATTCTTCTCTTCTGCTCATACTGCATCGGCTTGTGGTTCACGCTTCGGACCCACGCCGCTGTCATTTGGAACACAGAGATCGACGAGAAGAAGCATGAAGAGCAGCCGCAAAGCACGGCACGCCCAGCTGAGGTTCGCAGCATTGGTGATGCGACTGGAACCGACATCCAGAATAGCAATCTGTATAAGCGCATTCTCGGCCAGTCTCTGAAACAAGTAGGTCTGGCGGGCGAAGCGGAAGGTCGACCTGTTTCACGCCAGCAGTCGCTGGCAGTTCCGCCAAATGGCGCTGTCCAGACGCCGCACATGGTTCCTCCGAAGAGTAGCGGGAGTGGAACGGACAGCATTCGCTCCCACGTCAACATCCCAGGATTTAGCGAGTCAGAGAACAATGATCTCATTCGGGGTGTGACCGAACTCGCCGCCACCGCAGCTGCTATTGCCGCTCGTGACGCTCGAGGTTCGAGCGCCCGCCGTGTTTCCCATCAACCATCGAATGCGGGCGCCAGCACTTCGGCGTCGCGTCCAACACCACTGCGTACCACTACCTTCCCCGATATGGAAGACGCTGGTGAGCAAGCGCAGGCGGCTCATGGAGGACATGACGCGCCGAACTGGAGCCGGACGAAGAGTGCCGTGATACTGATGGGAGCCACAATACTCTATGCCATTATAGCCGAGATCCTGGTCGACACGGTTGATGTAGTGCTGGACAACTATGCGATTGATCCCAAATTCTTGGGCATCACGCTGTTTGCTCTGGTGCCCAACACTACTGAGTTCTTGGTAAGTCATATACACTCGACGTTTTGACGTTACTCCGGTTCTTGAAGCTAACCCTTCTCTACTAGAATGCTATTTCCTTTGCTATGAACGGAAACATCGCCTTGTCCATGGAGATTGGTTCGGCATATGCCTTACAAGTCTGCCTCCTGCAAATCCCGGCACTGGTCTTCTTCTCAGCCGTCTACCCAATCCACCCCACGGGTGACAACCTGGACCCGATACACTACACATTCAGTCTTCTGTTTCCGCAGTGGGACATGGTGACGGTCATCTTGTGCGTCTTCCTCCTGAGCTACATGTATGGAGAGGGAAAGAGCAATTACTTCAAAGGCAGTATTCTACTCTTGACGTATGTGGTTGTTGTCGTTGGTTTCTACTTTTCCGGGTACACGGATTATGGAGAAAACGTGGGTATGTCACGATTCGATACGCTTGGCGCTGATGGTGCGTGGAAGACCTACAAGACCGTCGGCCGAGGCGCCAACGCGCCATCTTTCGAGGTCGGCGTAGACATTTGAGCCTCAACTCTAGGTCTAGAGTGTCCAGGTTTGGCACGCAAACCGGCGAGGCTCTAGCTTTGGCCTACTCACCATCCGTGGTCGATGTCGGTCAGGATGTCTCGCTCCTACTTGATACCTTTTGCATTGTTATAGCATACACTCAGGGCATGGCTAGGCATGGTCGTTGGTGTCTTGTTTTTTTTCCCTTGGCGGATGCGAATATACCTCCTTCGTACGAACAATTGTCAGTTTGTGCTTATGAGCATCCCGGGCTGGTATGGTAGCCTGACCTGGTAGATTAATACAAAATTGGTACAACAATCACTACTTATACATTGGTGTACGCGACCGTTGTCTGAGCTGTTGGGGAGGAAGACACATTGCAGATCACACTCGAGTATCAGCTGTGCATGATGCCGAGCTGCAATAAGTAGAGGTGGCTGAACACGGGCAGCTACGAAGGAGGTATGTACATGTACCTCCTAGGTAGGTATTCCTGAGATTTCAAAGTGTTCTGTATATGTTAGAAGAGAATAAGGATAACTAAAGGGGGTACCCTATTCATTCAATAGCCAGGAAAGTATAAACTCCGATGGTTATTAGGTTATCCCACAGGATAAACAATATTGATACTGCTCGAGGTAGCACATAATAGGCCACTGAGCACCTGCGCGTATTCCACTGGCAGTACATGGTGACTTGCCGGACCCTCTTCTGATAACGGGTGTCAAAGACTGACAACGGTAGGTCTTCCCGTTTTCTGGGCAGGTGGGCTGAAGTGCGTGGACGGTTCCTTCCTTCCCTATGTTGGCACTGAAGCAGATAAATCAAACGAAACCCCACGCCTGAGCGACAAACCCTTTCCTCCGAGTTTCCTGCAACCCACTACTCTCCACCACCGCCGCCGACACCAGCAGCCCTCGTTGAAGCTTCTCTTCTCTTCTCTACACTGCTATCGACCCATTCTTGTCTACCCTCAGTTCCGCAGCGCGCCATTCATTGATGAAAGATGACGAGAACCAAGGCCGCAGCTCGGAGAATGCCAAGATTGAGCAAGGATCCCTCTGCCTACCGCACCATCAGTAAGTCAACTCCCTGTCCTGCAGCAAACAGCAAATCTCCTACGTCTGGCTCTGTTAACACTATGGGTTTTTAGAGAAAGAGCGCAAGGTATCGAACGACGAGCAGCCGCGTACTGAAGGCCGCGAGGACCCGGGCGCCCATGGTATGTCAAACTTACAAGCCCGGTTTGAGTACTTGCTGACTGGTATTTAGGCGTAGACGAGAAGCACTAGCAGAACGATCGCGCCGCTGATGCCGATACCCAGCGCAAGCTTAACTGTGGGTAAGTCAGATCCCGGTCTACCAAGCCCTATGCACCCGCAACCTTGTCCTCGTAATGCCTTGAGGCCCTGCGTTACGATGTGACCTTCGCATATACAAGTTAGTTGACTCAAACCCCACAGAGGAGGCCCAAGAGCTCCATCTAGAACTATATAGTCACCATCATGCGCACAATGGTAACTCGACCGCTGCCAAAGAGCTGAGGCAACAGCTTGAACCCTACACGGGGGGACGCAAGAAGACCGCAGCTGAGAAAGTGAGGATCAAAGGGCACAATGATAAGAGAAGAGAGAGGAAAGAGGCCAAGAAGGAGGCGAAGAAGGGGCCCAAGAAGGAGGCGAAGAAGGGGCCCAAGAAGGAGGCCGAAGCTGAGGACGAGCAGATTCTGTGAAGGCATATAAATGAGCTGGTCGTTGCTTAAATTATTAAAGGTCCAGCTACATCAAGTGAGGGACCACAACAGTACTAAATACAGTGCTGGGGATCCGAGGGATCATGCAGAAGTACCGGTACATAGACGCTCACGTAATACCATCGCATTTCGGCACCGTTAATGGTACACCCGCAGATCCCAATGGGAAATCCCCGTCCGGTACGAAGGTCAAGAGGGAGGCCGAGGAAGCTCAGCAACGAGCAACATGAGAAGCGCCGCGAGGAGGTGAATCTCAATGACACTACCATGGTCAAGGTAGAGCAAGACTAAACCTGGTACAGAAACCTGCAAGTATATATTGTTTGATGTATTGCCACTCACCACCTGATGTGTACAATATTTGTCACCGGGTAAAGTTCGACAACATGACATATGTATCTCCCTCCGCTTTAGAGGATAACATGTTCACAAAAAGTCACAAGAACAAGAATTAGATAGCCGCATCCATACCTACACAAGCTTCCCATCCTAACCATACCCTCCCTCCATTTGACCATTTGACCAATCTTTCACTACCTACCTAATCCAGTTACCACCCGAGTCTGCCCCCAAGCCACAGACCCGCATCGACAGCCGCCTCATACTCGTACAGAAAGTGATCCGGCAGCATGAAAAGCGTGCCATCGCAGACGGCGTCCAGCGGCAGACAGTACACCTTCGTCTTCTCGCTGGGGAAGTCCGGTATGGCGCCGTGGTTCTGCGTGTTGTGCGTGTAGCCGAAGAGGACTGCGCCTTTGATCTGGTCTTGGGTTGATGGGGGTAGGTTTGATAGGGCGTTTGTTATTACTGCTGTTCCTTGGCTATATTAGGAAAGTGAGTTAGTGGATTGCTCTGACTAACCAGACCGATTTTGCTCAGCCCAGCCTCAGAGGCAACAAGCCAGTGCCGAGGTTTGCGGGCTCGGATCCGGAGTCCGGCATCATACATCTGATACATGATGCCTCAGGACTGGGTCTTGAAAACATAAAAATATAAGGAGCGAGTTGAGGACGAAAAGGCTCACTCACCTATACCCGCCCGCCACGACAGGCGTCCCAGGACAAACCACCTGAGCCAGCGCGAACAGCCGCGCCGCCTCGGCGATGGCCGCCTGCGTCGTGCCGTCCGGCAGGAAGTTCGCCACTAGGTCGGCGATGTACGGGTATCCGACGCCCTGTATCCACACTGCGGAGGCGTCGCCGTAGTGGGTTTCGAGGGCGTTGGAGAGTTCGGGGCCGGCTTCTAGACCCTGTTTTTGGGGGGGAGGGGGTTAGTCGGTTTCTTTTCTTGTGTTTGGCGTTTGGGGTGTGGTGCTGCCTTTCTCTTGATTGGGTTGGAGGTGGGGATAGGGGGGAGGGGGTTCGAAAGGGGCGCCCATGGTGGTGTGACTTACGAGATTTCCGGGTTCCAGCGATCCTCGCGCGTAGATGAGGATCAGCTCCGGAAACGTTGCGGTGTGGGCCGTGTCTGCGACTGCGTCTTCGAGATCGGTGCGTGTGAAGAGGAGGTCGACGATGTCCTCCTCGTAAGGGGCGGCCGCCGCGGTCTGCGTTACAGCTGCCTCTATGGGTATGGCTGTGACCGAAGCTGTGGTCACGACGGCAGCTGCTGCTACTGTTGGTGCTGCCAGCGCGCTGGCGAGCGCAACCAGGGGGGAGATGTTAGGGAGCTTCATGGTGAGTGAGGCTGGGGTTGGGCTGTCGACGGATGTAAGGTGTGAAACTGGACACGGTACTGGTGGAGGGTTGTAAGATGCTTTTCTTGGGTACGGGCTCACAGGGATAGACGAAGGTTTTGTGAAGACAGTACCATTTCGTCGGTGTGGTGAAGTCAATACTAGTTTGCCGGTGTGATGAGGGACCAGTTAGCCGGTGTGATGAAGACAGTACCAGTTCGTCGGTGTGAGGCCTCAGCCTCATACTCCATTCTGGACTCATTGGTCATCATGTCTAAGAAGCTATTGTCTTCAACCACGGGGACCGGCCATACCGAAGCTTCAGTTCCGAGTGTGTGTGAGTAACTCTGCTCCCATGGTGGCATCGGTGGTACCGACGCGGTTCTGTCACGTCGCACATGGACTGATAGCTTCGGCCGAAGCGGCCGGTATGGAAGTTCGAAGGATCACCTGGGCGTACAGGATCGCTAGAGGTTTGGTTGTCCGTTCTAGTCACAGTCCGATGGCAGATCAAACGAACCGATTTTATAATCTGCTTAAAAACGTGAGCAATGTCATAAAACGTCGAGTGAATGACGGTACAAATGTAGAGCCAATGGAGAAGAATGTAAGCCGGTGAATGAATAGGGGTTGTGAGCCAACCACCCCCCGCATTCCAGGGGTCGATAAGGAAGCCAAAAATACTTCCCAATCAGAGACAGCGACTTCGTCAAATATACCCACGACCCCTTTTCGCCCGGTGGTAAGGTGTGTTGGTTGGTTGGTGGTGATCTGCATTGCATATGTACATTCCACCGAGCCGTTCGACCTCTTCATCTTACGAACTACAACGCCCCCAAATTAAGCCCAACAGAGCTCCAATAGTATTCCAAGATGACACAAGCAGCATGTGAGAAAACTCACCCGAATCAAGAGTTGATATGTATGTGCTAAAATCGGTAGATGAGACTCCCGCGCCTTCCGTACGACTGCTCTCCGTCCTGGTCGTCGGAGCCGGTCAGCGCGGGTACGCCTACTCCCGCGCCATCCTTTCGGACCGTCTCGCATCGCGGTGCACCATCGCGGCCGTGGCGGAGCTGGACGGCTCCAAGCGCAGCCATTTTGCGAATATTTTCAACGTCCCGTCGCACGCGGTCTTCTCGGATTGGAAAGACATGGTTGAACGGGCGCACAGGGGCGACAGGCTAGACGTGGATGGCGTACTCATTTGCACGCTGGATTGGCAGCATGAAGAGGTTCGGATTTGACCCTCGATCTTGTCATAGGCCTATGTGAATGTGTCTGGCTAACAGCTATGAGCTCAGCCCGCGATAGCGTTTGCAGCGCTGGGATACCACGTCCTGCTGGAGAAGCCGCTTGCGACGACCTCGAAGTCCACGCAGAACATCCTGGAGGCATTCAAGTCATCCGACCGGCTATTCTCGGTAGGACACGTGCTTCGATATAGCCCCCTCTACCTTCGCTTGAAGAGACTTGTACCAGAGGACGACAAGATCGGGCAGATCAGGCAGGTCCAGCACACCGAGAGGGTCGGCTGGTGGCATTTTGCCCACTCGTGCGTGCGAGGGAATTGGCGCAACAGCGGGCTGGACGCGAACGGCCGGGAGAATGGCCTCGGTGCGCCTAGTCTCCTGGCCAAGTGCTGCCACGATATCGACTTGCTCTTCTGGTTGTTAGACGAGCGACCCTTGACGCAGGTCCAGGGCACAGTGACGGGCACCAGCGCGATTCCTAAAGAGTTGCAGCATTGGGATGCTTACCTCGCAGACCAGGAGGTGAGAACTGACCTGGTGGCCGGAAAGGGGGTACAAACCAGCAATACACCACTGACGGTGTACTCAACGGACTCCCTGTCCCTGTTCACGAAGGCCAACAAACCCGACAACGCGGGTACGCACTGCCTCACATGTCCCATCGAGGCCTCCTGTCTCTACTCAGCAAAGCGGATCTACCTCGACCACGCCCTACACAACCCCATCCGCGGCACCGCCTGGCCGGCCTCCGTGCTCGTCCCCGACATCGAAGACTACCCCGAGCCAAAACGCCGAGACGCAGTCCTAGCCGCCCTTTCCCCGATCCGAGGAGATGAGGAAGAGGGCTGGAACTACGGCCGCTGCGTCTGGGACATCCCCGACAACGACGTCTGCGAGAACCAGACAGTGGTATTTACATTTTTCTGGTGGCGTCACGGCCACGCTCAACATGGTCGCCACGGCCGGTCCCGCCAGCAAGCGCCTCGTTGCGCTCTACGGCACGCTGGGCGAGCTGCACGCTGATGGGCAGACGAAGACGATATCGATTCATACCTATGCCGACGACTCGACGCAGACGTACAGACCGGGAGACGCGGCTGGGTCACATGGCGGAGGCGATTTCGGGCTGGCGAGGGCGTTTGTGGATGCCATGTGGCACGTGGAGCGCGAGGGGCAGTCGGTGAGAGATGTTCAGGTCGAGGTCTTGGGATTTGATTGCGCGGATCTGGAGAGGGCGTATAAGGGGGTGTGGGTGGCGGAGAAGAGCAGAAGGCTGCAGCGAGTGGTTTCTTGGGATGAGGCTGTGGAGTGACTTGGATGTGCGGTGAGGTGCTTTATGCAAGGATTCATCCATGAGAGGTTATTGTGTCTGCTACTTTCATGATCTGACATTTTCTAGTAGAAATAATGGAATAACTCACTGGTTTTCTTATGCTTGGCTTATTTGGTATAAAAAGAGTTATACTATTTACACCTCAAGGGCCGCGTCTGCGCCAAAAGCTCTTCATTGTCGTCGCCGTGGTCGAGAATGAGCGGGACACAGTGAAGTCACTTCCCTGAGGCCCTCACACCGGCAGTAACATCTGGGGCCGAGTGTCAGGGGCCCTGAAGCCAATCGGCGGTATTCAACCGAAAAGAGGGGTATACATTATCGGCGAGAGCACATATAGTGTCCACGAGATGCCCACATCGATAAAGGCCTTAGGTTTCAACTGTATTCTACTCCCCTCCGCCCCCCCTACTATAAGATACCTGATTGACTGCTTCTCTCACTCAGTGACCCCAAGCCTTGACACCGAGTTATCAGTTCCACGATGGAGCCGCTGGAGCATTGGCAGGACGTGCTCGAAAACCGAAGGTCTCGGTACTCGACCAGCAAGAACGAACGGGGCCTGCAGGCCGCTCCTGTCCCCCGACCACAATCATTCCACAAGCCTTTGGCACCGTCAAAGGAGGAGTTCCGTATTCTGCATCTACTACCATCTGCTGACCTGGACGCTACCATTCAGGGTGTGATGGAGCATGTATCGTTCAATCACCATCCACCCTACGAAGCTGTCTCGTACACCTGGGGCGATCCTCGCAATACCAGCACTATCACGATAGATGGTCTGGAATTCTCGGTTACCAGCAATTTGGTAGTCTTGCTACGCCATCTTCGTAAGCCCAACGTATCTCGCGCTCTGTGGGTTGATGCGTTGTGCATCGACCAGCAAAATTCTCATGAACGCAGTCTTCAGGTTCGCTTAATGAGAAGGATTTACAGCTCTTGCCTCGTGGACTTGGTCTGGCTAGGTGAGGCCGAGAGCGCGAAAGTACGTGCTTTTGAGATCGCGGCCACTCTCGAGCGTGCTGATCTTGAAGCCATGCGAGGACGAGTGCGAGCGATGCCATGGCAGGAGAGAGACCGCCTTGGCCTCTATAGTGACGCCACTGACGCCTACACAGTCTTGACTCGGGACGATTGGAACGAGCTGAGGTCTGTGTTCTCGCAACCGACCGTATGGGGAAGAGTCTGGATTATGCAAGAGATTGCGTGCGCACCCAGAGTAATCTTGATGTCAGGACACAATACGCTCGACTGGGACGTAATTGCGAAGTTCCTCGATAGCGGCAACTACCCTGATGCATACCATGCACCGTTTCACCATAACAACTATGAAGCTCACATCAACGAAATCTTCGCCAATGCACAGATTATTGAGCATCAGCGTGCCATTGTCCGCAACATGGACACAGGCTATGTGTCCAGACTACTCGATGTCCTTGCACGCTTCAGGTTCACAGAGGCCACGAATCCACGAGATAAGATCTACGGTCTACTGGGCTTGGCCTCGGACGCAATGGGCATCATCCCAGACTACTCTAAGAGTGTCGGAGAGGTGTACACTGGTTTCTTTCAAGCATACGTCAACACCACACAAGACTTGGATCTGCTGTGTCAAAGTCCATGGCACTTTGGCAGCATGATGGCTCCGAAGAAGGGCATGCCATCGTGGTGCCCAGACTTCGCCAATCCACGGCTCCCTGGCCCAGGAGTCCTGTTTGCACAGCGCTCTATATTCAGCTCAGGCAGCGAAAAATGCAGGACCTCATGCAGGATCCTGGATGAAATCTATCTGCAAGTCGAAGGTGTCTGTTTAGATCAGCTGGCGGGCATTTGCGGGGAGCCCGAGAGGGATCCGGATGCCCCGTATAGTTACTTGTCCCCCCTTGACTTCATCGAAGGCAGTATCCCAAAACAGCTGCGGAAAAAGGACGCCGACGAACGCCCGGTGATGTATGCTTGGACCGGCGAGCCGGCGTTCCAAGCATATTGGAGGACCATCCTCACAGACTGTAAGAGATACCCTACGTGTCGTCTAGATCCGGCCACCTTGCATGCCTGCAGTGAGTTGCTCGAATCTTGGCGCGAGGGCGACAAACCCTTTGAATACTATGATGGTGAGGGTGGTTCTGTCCGAGCGGAGCTTTATGGTCTCGGTGTTTCTGTCATGTCAGAGCTCAACTTCGCAACAACAGAGTCAGGTATCTATTGCATGGTGCCGCGCTCTGCTATTGTCGGTGATGAGGTGGCCATCTTCTCAGGCGGAAAGGTCCCTATGGTCATTCGACGCCAGAAGCCAGGAACAGGAGCGAACGAAAGGCGTTGTCATGGTGTGGTTGGTCCAGCGTACGCGCATGGCTTCATGGATGGTCAGGGAGCGGCGCTGGTACACAATGGCGACCTCGCCGAAGCGTCAATCTTCCTCAGCTGATCCAAAACACACGAAGTCGCTGTCGAACCACTATGCAGTCAAGGGTCTGGAGCGAGTCGAGCACAGAATTCTCGACAGTGACACCGAAACGCTTAGGGATATACGTCTAGGACGGAATACGTTGTTACGTTGCCTTCGGTCCGTTAGTTTTGCCGCCTCGACTTTGACATAGAAGCCCAAGTCAGACGTATTATGATCGACTTTCTGTTAGAATTAGTGTAATTGGACTTTGCCTCCTTGGTACTCTTGTACTATTTTCTCCCTGTCTCCTCACTGTACAGGAACTCCTGCAGCGAGCGCAAGCCGATACCCAACTAAGACGTCCCCAGAGCCAAAGCCAATGAACCCGTCAGAAGTTACGACAATCTCTACACCCTCACGAAGCTTCACTTCAGCCCATATTGCGACTTGATCAAACAGGCCGCCCTCTCCGCAACAGCGTAAACGGCCGACTGCAAGTTCGCAGGCGGCAGCACAGGAATGACACTCGCATCCACGACCCGGAGGTTCTCGACACCGTGCACCCTCAGGTGGTTGTCAACAACGCCGCCCATCTCCGCGGGCATCATAGCGCAAGTCCCGGCCGGATGCCACATCGACACCGCGCGGATGCGGATGTACTCCTTGGCCGCTTCCAAGTCCGCCATGTACGAAATAGCGCGTGACGGTCTGAGCGGCTGCTTCAGCAGCCCGCTCAGGGGCGGGGACGAAGCCAGAGACTGCAGGTAGAGCACGTGCTCGGCAAAGACCTCGATGTCGACCGGGTTGCTTAGATATTTCGGATCGATCACTGGCGCAACGGATGCGTTGGCGGATTGGATGTGGACGTTGCCCCTTGAGGTGGGATGGGCAAGGATGCCGACAAGAGTGAGGTACGTGCCGGGAAGTGGGTTCAGCGTCCTCTCGCCGTTCACGGGGTCAGATTCGAATGGATTGTGTCCAAGCGAGGTTCGGTAGACTTCCGATGGCGAGGCAGGGTCCAGGAGGGCCTTCTCGGCGACTCTGTAGAATGCTGAGGCGCGGGCTAGCTCTCGATCAGGAAGATCGTCCTGCTTTGGGCGGTTCTGCTCAAGCAGCATCCGTAATTGCTGATGGCCGCTGGGTGACGGAAGGTTGACTGTAGGAATGTAGGCAGTCGTCAGTAGTCCTGACGAAGTGAGGATACCGCTTCGATTTGTCGTGTACTCGGCAATTGCTCGTTGAAGGGCATCCGACTCCCGTCTTGTGGTAGGGTCCCTCGCTCCAGAGCCTCCGCCTCGAAGCCGATGTCGACTGCGAGATGGTCCTGTAGACCTTCACCGACACCACATAGGTCCACAATGGTTTCAATGCCGTGCTGAGCGAGGATCTCGCGGTTGCCGATGCCGGAAAGCTCGAGGAGCTTCGGCGACTGGATAGCACCAGAACAGATGATGACCTCTTTACGAGCTATTACCGTTGTCGTACTGGAGTTGTGGCGATATTGAAGGCCAATGGCCTTGGTCGATCCTTCTTCAAAAATCACTCTCTCGGCGGTGGCGTTGGTGAGGACATGGATATTCTCTCGGTCCTTGACGGGCCTTTAGTAGCGATTAGCCGCTTGGCTTATCTCTCGAGAATCCGGGTCGACGCTGAAGAGGTTGCTGAAAGCCCCCACAGATCCGTTAACCCACGGGTCTTTGGACATCGGGTAGCCGAGCTTGGCGAGTGTTTCCGCCCATGCCACACGTATAGGATGAGTCGCATTCGGAAACGAGGTTGTGATAGGCCCCGGATTGCTATCCTTCTGCTCCGGCCAGCTCCGTAGGCCAAGAGTCTTCCATGATGATTCAGGGACAGAGGGATATGTGTAAGACATGTCGTGGAAGTGACGGAGCGAGTCCCAATTCCAGCCATCGTTTCCGAGTGAAGCCCACGAGTCGGAGATCCCCTTGGTCGGCGGACCCCAGATCTGGGCGTTGAGGATGCTCGAGCCACCCAGGCCTCTGCCTTGGTTGAGTGGAACAGCTCGGTTATGGAGGTCTTTCTAGGACCACACAATTATATCATTAGCATGGACGTCTATGGCCATTAACATCGAGCTGGGGAGACGTACCTGAGCCTTAGTTGAAAAGTTCCAATCAGCGTCACCGTCGAAGTTTGCTGCGTAAAAGGCCGGGATCTTGACCTGAAGGTTGCCGCTCTGGTCCGCTCCGGCTTCAATCACAAGGACAGACTGACTGCCATCTTCTGTGAGGCGGCTGGCGAGGACGAGCCCTGCGGTACCACCACCAGCAATGACGAAATCACAGGAGCTTGAAGCCATGGTGTGGTGTGAAAGGAGTGAATTGAGAGGTTGGAGCGGATGGATGTCCTCAGGATTATATATGTACCATCCCCCCCATAGAAGTCGGCCATCCCCACTAGTCGGCCAGCCAAATTGTGGGGTCACCACCAAAACACCCCCTTATTCACCCACCCACGAATGAATCTATTCAGATCGGAGATTTATGGTAATATTATTATTCGAAAGCGCTGAAGCTGTTTACTCGTACAATTGTACGGGTGCCTGAATGGCTCGCCCCGAACGGGTGTGCCTAGGCTCCTGTACAACCTCCAAAATCTCCTCTTTAGCCGAGTCTTTGTCTTCGTCCTCTGAATCCTCTGAATCCATAATTACAACTTTTGCTTTACCCGTAAGGGCACCAGGGGTGATAGTACCACCCGTACTTAGTATCTATATGACTGTTCTAAATTTCCTGCTAGGATTAGGGACCATTTTCCGCTTCTTAGGCCGTACCTGCTCCAGTTCCGTCTTCAGAGCCTTGATCTTCCTACCCTTGATCATAAACTCGATTTCCTTAGCCTCGAACGTGTTTGTTATCTTCTTATACTTCAGCCTGATTCCTAGAGATCTTTTTTTGCCGAAATCCATGATCTGGCGGCTCGTAATAGGCGTTCACTAGTCCTCTGGTTCAGAGCTTCCAGGGGTATCAAGCTTAGGGGTCTTCCTCTTGTCTTCTTGTATCTCTGGGTGCTTTAAGCACTTCCTGCAACTGATAGGATAACATCCAGTGACTTTAAAGCCAGAAAGAATGTTTTGCTTCGTGAAGGCAGTAGTTCTGCTCTTGCTATAGCACCGGATAAAGTTGATCTTGTCAACAGGCGACGCATCCATCAAGGAATTCAGCTCAGAGAGGAATTTCTGGTAGTATGCCTTTAAGGCATTATAGGGACCGTTATCCAGGGGTTGCATGCCGTGATTAGTATGCGCAGGAAAGAAACAGAGCAACATGTTGTTGAGAAAACATATATTCATGAATTCGTCTTATTAACACGTATTAGACCATATTAAATCCATAAAAATTAAAAGAAATCCATTTAAAATAAGAGAAAATTGTATATATACAGAGGTGTGGCTCTTATGGCCATCCAGTATCAAGAGGATAGCCTCAGACTGATCTCTTCCTCGTTCTTCGTCTGCCTATGGAAAGAAAACATTTTCTAGCCACTTGCAGGCTATAGCATTCGAACTCCAGCCGTTCTCTGAGCATATATAGTGCCAATCTGCGGTCTTTCTAAATTCGTTGATGAACCACTGTACTTGGAGGTCCTTCCCCTTAAAGATAATACCTGGTTTGAGGATTTTTCCAGTTACTGAGATGGGCTCAATGAAAGAGGTCTAGCTACGACCCTGTGGGCTCTTTTAGAAGGCTTTCTTGGTAACAGAACTACCCAGAATTAGGGAATTAATGCCTATGAATTTAATGAGTTTTTTTCCGGAATTAAAGGGGTAGATATAGCTACCAAAACCCGTCATAATACCGCCCTTATTGACGTTATAGGTATTCTTCAGCTTTACCTAGCCGTAATATTTGAGAATTTCAAAGAATCACTTAACTGACTTGGGCGTGAACCCCTTGAAGCGTGCTGCTTCCATCCTTTTGTTGACTTTTGTCTTGATTTTGGGGTTGCGGCGCTTGAAGGCTGCCATGAAGGTGTCTCCTAGGGGGCCCTTATATCCCTTCTTCTTTAATAGCTTCTTGATGATCTCACGAACCAGGGAGTGCGAAGGGGCTAGGCCGAGCTTTTCCTGGAATAAAATATATTTGATTATAGTCTTTTCCTGGGCAGGAGATAGTCTCTGTTGCTGTGTGTAGACTTCGGTTCTGGTAGCCTTGCTGTTAAGTCGATCAGACAGCGTTTAGTACGGAATATCGTGTTTTTGACCGGCTTTTTGCACAAATAGGCCTTTATCTGTGATATATAAGATGGTCGAAGCCATCTGATCCTCTGTATACGAATAGGGAGGCATTTTGGGCGATTATACGATGCTGCGGTACATATAGAACGAGGCTTCAGGAGAGCCGTGAAAATCTCTATTTAAGGTACTAAAAACAGGGTAATAGCTCCTCAATCATGTAAGCCGGGAGGGGTAAATTTAGCATTGGGGAAAACCTCAAGATCAGGGCTATCTACAGCACTGAATACATCATGAATAGCATCAATATCAGGCTGAATCTGTATAAGTGAACGTGTGGGAGTTTTGGTGGTGATGGTGGGGTTTGGCTGGCCGACTAGTGGGGGTGGCCGACTTCTATGGGGGTGATGGGTATTACCTGGGTGGGTCGGGTACTTAAGCTTCAACCCATTATGTCACGACGAGCCTCACAAAAACAACTATTTTTCTTGGCACCCCGCTGTTAGGGCGCAACCTTGATATTTGCACTAAAGCAGGCACTTCTTTCAGTAACTGACTATCTCTGTCAAGGCACAAGAGAATTTTTCTCACAAGCCGGATGGCACCCTTCCACGACGGGCCCCCAAACACGCCCGTGGCCGTCCTAAAGACGACCACCAGTGGCGTGCTCAAATCCCCGGCCCCTAGAAAGACATACAGCCCGGCAACTCCGAGCAGGCTCCGCCAGGCGCTGCTTGACAACATCAGCAGCAGCCCGTCACAGGTCTCTGAGGCTGACTTTACCGTTATTTCCCCTCTGAAAAGAAAATCCTAAAATATCAATGATAACAGCACCACTGGAATGAAACGACCTCAATTGAACAAAATCTCGACAGATCAAGCCATTACATGCAATATAGGGAATAAAACCTCCTCCTCAGAGTGCCAGGACCAAGTTGCCAGAATACTGGCTAAAGACAAGCACCTTTATGAAGCCAGGATGACAATGTTTCAAGAGTGTGCTGCAGTGGTTGATAAGACATTTGAGAAAGCTGGAACCAAACTATACTTTCATGCCAAGGAGTTCAGCGCTTTTTTCTCTAAATGTCTGAGCGAGTGGCTGGAAACCCGAGATCTGCCCAAAAGGAAGACCATCCCTGGGGGGATAGGGATAGTAAAGCCCACCATGACCTTTGCACAAGCTGTCTCCTCTAGCCAACGACAGCAGCATCCACGGACAGTCAATACTACCATAAAGAAAACACAGCCTGGCACCCGCATCACTGCCAACCAACTGAAGAAGAAATAGGATGATCTCCGGGTCTTTGTCCGCATGGATAATAGCCATCTAGAGCCTTACGGAATAAAGTCTACACTGAACAGAAGACTTAAGCTCCACCCTCAAGAGCTTAGAAAAGTGACCCGGTGCCCCTCCGGATTTACCTTACACCCAAGGGACAAGCCAACTCAGGCTAAGCTCCTGGCCTTCCAAGAAGAAATTACCGACATTCTCAAAGCAGAAAAGATCGAGACTCACATAATCTGGCATCACTACAAGGTCAATGGATGCCCAAGAAAGATCATCAGTACGGAAAGGTTGACAATCGATATTACCGATATTGCTGTTACTGATAAAGTTAAAGCCCAAACAGGTGACAGACCTTTAAGGTGCATACTCTCAAGGAACACAGTTGATTTTGATCCAGAGACTACATAAGTGATCTCTCTGCCCCGTGCAGCAAAGAAACCATTCACGCTTTTTGCTCACTCAATGACCTCAAGGCACATTCAATACTCCCCCAAGGTTCACCAGTGTGCGAGCTGCTTCAGATACCATGGTAGGAACTACCGATGTGAAAAGCAAGTATATGCACGTTGTGCCAGTACAGTACACCAGGGGGAGTGCGAAAAACCAATCCCAAAGTGTGTCAACTACAAAGGACCTCATGCTGCCAACTTCAACAAATGCCCTGCACGCCCAAGGTTGTGAAAAGCATCATCCACAAGCACACATGGGAGCAAATCCAGGAAATAAGACTGGCTGGAGAAAGAGCCAGATCCAAGGCCTTCAATGAAACAGGCAGAAACCAAGCTGGGTCAACACCCAGCAACAATAACGAAGACATCACAATGCAAATCGACACAACAGATACAACTCATCCCAGAGATGCCGATACCATTATTGTCAGTCAATATTAGGTACATCAAACGAAACACATCGACACGGGCATCTAGTCATCTATTCTGTGAATACAACAGGAGGACAAAAGAGTGCAGGCCCTACAGAGTTAGCCATCAATCTGGCTGACTACAAAGGAGAACAAACAGACATCATTCTGATACAAGAGCCCTGGGTTGGCGTACCACCAGGCAGGAGAATAGGAGTAAAGACACACCCCAATTACAATATATACTCCCCAGTGGATTCCTGGAACAGCGACAGTACACGGCCCAGATCTCTCATCTATGTAAGGAAACACCTTCAAGCGGATTAATTTCGGCCCTATGTTACACAAGACATCACCTGAGTCAAGATACAAGGCATTACATTTGCCAGTGTCTACCGGCCATGTGACAACCCACAGGAAGTGGATGATATTCTGGAAGTATGGACTCCACCTTTTGGCTGTATTATAGCTGGAGATTTTAATGCTGGCGACACATCCTGGGACTCAAGCAATCCAGGATATCATGGTGGTGTCATACTTGCACAGACTATGGCAGACCACGGACTGGATCTGATTTCTGAACCAGATGTCCCAACACATGATGACGGAAATGTACTAGATCTGGTGTTCTCAGATGTCCCTATGGCCGAAGCCTCAGTGAATGATGCACTCCAGTACACTTCAGATCGTGAGACATTACAAATAGTTGTCCCAATTCAGGGAGATCTAGACCGAGTCCCCAAGGCCAATCATTGAATAGTACCGGACGATAAACTACAAGAGCTGGCAGACAATGTCCAAACCAGGATTCATGAACTCCCCCGGCTGGGTGTATCCCCTGGCCAGGTAGATGCCTTTACACAAAGCTTGATCAACATAATCCAAGACTGTATCAGGACAGTGGGCATGAAGCCCCGTCAATCTAGGCCCACTGCTTGGTGGAATAATGACTGCAAAGCAGCTGTTCAGACATACAGGGCCCTTTCTAAACAGATTACAAGCCAAGAAGGGCGGAATTCAGCCCGATGGGAATTTTGCCGCATGGTTCGGAAAGCTAGGAAAGAGTACTGGCAGACTCTAATTGATTCAGCAACTGAGCCAAAGGACCTATACAGAATCGTCTCTTGGCACAAGCTATTAACAGGATTGCGTTCCCCTCTAATCATCATAGGAGACCAAATATTCGAGTCACAAGAGAGCAAGGCAAATGCATTACGCTAGCCACGCTTGAACGAAGTACCTCAGACAACGATATCATCGACCCCTGGTTCGCTCAGATCACACAACCCAAGCCATATATCCCCCTTGAATACCATGTCGGACTGGAAGAGGCTGAAGGGTGCACTTTAGGGACCAAGAGCAACTCCCCGGGAATAGATACCCTCACAGTACGGATTCTGAAAGCTTGCTGGCCATTCATTAGGGAACATATCAGAGCCCTTTTCCAGACCTGTCTACAGATTAGACACCACCCTAAACCATTCAAAGTAGCTGAGGTAGTGATGATCCCAAAACCAGGAAAGAAAGACTACTCCAATTCCAGGGCCTACAGACCAATATTGCTACTGTCGTGTCTTGGCAAAGGCCTAGAACGACTCATCGCGAAAAGAATTACCTGGTTTGTTGTCAAACTTGGAATTCTAGCTCCACAACATTTTGGAGCTCTATCAAAGCGCTCTGCCACTGACCTGGTAGCTGCACTCATACACGATATTGAGCAGGCCCTCGACCAAGGCCTCGTTGCAACAGTAGTCACGTCAGATATGAAAGGGGCCTTTGATGCTGCCCTAATGGGACGGCTGGTGGTTCGCATGAGAGAACAGGGCTGGCTGGGCTTTCTCATAAGATGGGTCCAGTCATTTATGTCCGAGCGGTCCGCAAGGGTTCGGTTTGAAGGTATTGTGACCGATATTAAAGCTCTCAATTGTGGGCTACCACAAGGCTCACCAGCATCTCTAATCCTTTATATGCTGTATACAGAGCCAATCTGTGCCCAACTTGGTATAAAAAAGAGACGCTTTAAATATGCAGACGACCTAACGACTCTCTGTATTGAAAAGAACCTTAAAGAAATAGCTACAGAGGCTTCTGAAAATCTTTATTTGCTCAGTTAATAGGGACATAACAACGCTATTGAATTTGACCCTGACAAAACTGAGATCATGCACTTCTTAAAGAAAAAGAACTCAGATAACCCTCCAGTCCGCCACACGACAATGAACAAAATAACAAAGGATTCCATGCAATGGCTAGGTGTCTTCCTGAATAGAAAACTAAACTTCAAAAATCATGTTTCTTACTGGGCCAAGAAAGCTAATAAGGTAGCAAATCACCTTCGAGAACTATACAACACAGTCAAAAGACTTCCAGTAAAGTCAACCAAGAGGGCTGTGAAAGCTTGTGTTATTCCTATTCTTACACACGGCCTGGAGGCCTAGTACCCAGGAATCGAGAAAGTTGGGAGCTTACGTGGGACATCAGCATGTCGCATTAAGGGGCTTTTTGGAACAATAGATGCCATACTACGAATAGCGATCAGGGCTATCTTGCCAGTCTGAAAAACACACCCTGGACATATCCTACACTTTGAATCGCAGATTCCCCCAGCAGGAATTCTTGCAGAGTCAATAAGACGATGTCACGGCCTCTGACTAGGACAAATAGACCAGAGACACCCTCTTGTTGGCAGGCTCCAAATACAAGCTCGCAAGAATCCAACAAGGCTATAAAGGAGCTTCCAGCTAGTCCCTGACTTCTAGAGACCAACACTTACCAGGCTATTATGGAAGAAGCCCCTAATTCATAAAAACAAAGATAAAGAAATAGAGCTCTTTAAGCAATGGTTACAGGAGAGAAACGTGAATACTGACCTTGTCATCTATTCAGATGGATCACAGTTGGACGACCAAGGCACAACCCGCACTGGATGGGGTTATACCATCAGGAAAGGCAGCACTACACAAGAAATATACCGGGGAAAGGACAGACTTCTCCAAGCAGAAGTAGTAGATGCTGAAGTCCATGGTGCTCTCCAAGGTCTTGCAACAGCCAGGGTAATTGGACACAGAAAACAGTTATATATCTGCCTGGACAACACGTCAGTGGTAGACGGGCTCAATGGGACTCCACCCGAGACATCACAGAACATTTTTCTACGATTTCAAGAACTTGCCACAGCACACACTCCTGGAGTGACCGTCAAGTGGATTCCTGGACACAGAGATATTAATGGTAACAAAGCTGCCGATACACTAACAAAAGAAGGTGCCATGCTAAAAACAGACATAACAAACCTTCCTACAATCTCTTGGGTCAAGAGAGATCTCAAAAGAAAGGGCAAAAAAGAGTTCAATTAATGGTAGAAAGACCAATCAGAATCTAGATATCAAGAAGTATACTCACATACAGTAACTAAAAGAGGCCTTATATCTTTTAAAAGAAGTACTTTATACAGACTTCTAGCGGCCAGATCTGGACATAGCGACTTTGCCAGATACTATGAACGCTTTGGGCATACAGACTCAAATGATCACTGCAGCTATGGTGAAAAGAAAACACCACAATATATTTTCTTTTGTAAGAGACTGGGGGAAAACCGGCTACTGCCTAGGTACTCGCCTAGGACAGCTTGTTTATAATACTTAGGGGAGAGGAACACAGAATGGGCAAAATTCATGGAGAAGAGCAAGTTCTTTTCAACAATCTGCCCCCAATAGATAGCTTTTCTTGAAGGACCAGATAGATGACCCCAAGGTCATACCGCCACAACAACGGGGATGGGCCCGTGAGCGGGACTGACTGTACTTATTATCTTGAGACCTCCACAACCCTGCGATACAGAGGCTCTGGGAGGCGTGGTTTGCACTACTGAGGAGCTACCCCCGACGTTAAATACAATCAATCAATCAATCAATCAATCAACCCATTATGTCGGGGATTCACACTCATCGGTACACTGCATGACGATGGACGCATGGAAGTGTAGGAGCAGTCACATCGGGGTAGCTTATCATAGGTTCGGGGAGCATCTGCATGTCTATCGGGCTCTACCCCTTGCTTTCACCTGCATATCGTAGGTACTTGTTGGCAAGCAGCGATTCACTCCAATGCATTATGTAGTTGGTGGTCGTTGTGCGTGTTATGTTGGTGACAAAAGCCATAGGCCCAACCTTGAACCTCGGACCCAACAGCAGGCAGTCAGGCCATAAGAGGAAGGTGATACAAGCCGAACGCATTGCGCTTTCGCCAGTTTCCAGCCTCTGGTCAGATGTTAGCCGTAGCTCACATCAGCATTAACCTGATGTTGGCACTTAACCGAACAAAAGATTAACTTCACCAACTCTTGTTGCCGCTCCCTCCGTCCTCCGGTCAACCACTGGCATTATGAGGCATATATACTTTTTAAAAATACATAAAGTTGGCTCACTACCTGGCCAGGGGCAAACCATGTGGTATTTGACAGGACAACCGGCTCTCTTCGGGTGTGCGTATTCCTCTCAGCTTTATGGTCTTTGTCTGATAGATTAGGTGACTTAGCCTTCGGGTATAACTCTCAAGGTCAACCTTTCTCCCAGTAGAGAATTACTTGGTGAACAAAGCAGGACTGTGACAAAGAGTCTTTTATTCCATAAGAAGTGCGATTTGCGTATGCGGGAACTAAATCCGTTCATCCAGCTCCACAGCATAAAAAACACATTGACTAGAAACTGCGCAGACGAACAAATTCCGACATCATGGCTCTACAACTTACCAAGCTCCTGGCCGCGATCATGCCGCTCCTTTCGCTCTCCATCGCCGCCGCCGACGACAAAGGGGTGACCGGCCAGGTAACCATGTTTGAGCACCCGACGCGAGCTACGTGACCGGCACCAACAGAGGTACTCGAATCGGTTGTATCAACGCCGCTGGCCAGCTAACCAGTAAGGACTGCAACACCTTCACGCTCAAGGGCCAATCCGGACTCCGTGTCTCCACGCTGAGCTCAAGCGCCGGCCCCTGTACGTTGACGATTTGAGTATGAAAGTGAAGAAACAGAAAGATTCTACTCAACAGAAAGACTATACTCTCTACGCCATGCTATTCGGGAAGACTAGCGCCAACATTTCTAACTTTGACGCTTTCGAGGTAAAGTTCTAATAATAGCGAAGACAAGTTCGGTTGGAAACACTGCTGACGTTTTGATCTCTAGACGCAACACCTCGGGACGTACCTCTGCAACGCCGGAACATGCTTCTACGAGGTCCCGGTCACGAAGCAGCCCAAGGATGGGAAAAAGAGGCCGATGTGGATGGTCGAGTTCGACGGAAGTAATGAAAAAAATCACAACGTTGTGGATGGACATTCCAGGGTCGTTATGCATTTTGGATCGTATTAGGGGCGGTGTTGCATAGGCTCAACGGCTAGAATAGGGGTTGGGGGTGACGCTGGCTGCGATTGAAAAAGAACCCCCCTCATAGTTGCGGGATACTTATAGCAAATTCCTCTCAAGTAGACTATATGCCGAAATACGACGGCAGTGGTTAATCTCATATGATTGATTGATTGATTGATTGATTGTATTTAACGTGGGGGATCGCTCCTCAGTAGTGCAAACCACGCCTCCCAGAGCCTCTGCATCGCAGGGTTGTGGAGGTATCAAGATAATAAGTACATTCAGTCCCGCTCACGAGCCCATCCCCGTTGTTGCGGCTGTATGACTTTGGGGTCATCCATCTGAGGTTAATCTCATATGTTTATACATTAACAGGTATGTGTCGTGATATTTGAGAACGCCTTGTCATACATAGAACATAACAACTGTATTTGCATGTTACTACCCAAATTCCTCAGGTCCTATTATAAGCTTGATGGCCTTCCTTGGTACACTTCTCGCTTTTCGGTGAACATGATGAAGACCGCATGGTATAAGGAAGTGATGTCAGGTCACGTAAAGCTGACTGATCCAATGCTACTATACATACGTCCAGCAAGGGGTCCGGGTCCGGCCCCCTAAATCAGATCTGTGATCACTGCCCTGGCGTCCGAATGTCCTTGCCCCTGAAAGGCTCTGTTTCACTCACAGGTATTCCATGAGCATCCCATCAACGAGAGCGCCGCAAACACCTCGGTCGCCTTCGATTTCGGCAAGTCTACGCAGTCCGCCCACGGAGATTTACTCGGTGCCCGACGGCGGGGACGTGTGGGCCGTGCCGAATAATCGGAGCCTACTACTAGCCTAGTTTCGGTGGCGAATCCGGTGCTAGAGCCCGCCACTTACGGGTCGGACTTCTGGGAGAGCCTCACGGGCAGACGGGGCAGCGTGTCACGGTCGAAGGGCCGCGTGCAGTTGGGAGGCCGAATGAGCATGGTGATACTTTGGGAGGTTGGCTCGTGGGCTACGAGCGGCCGACAATGAGCGGATGGGTCTTGCTGTCTCTGCCAAAGGTGGGTATTTCAATGTGTTCGCCGATGTGGGTGGGAAAGGCTGAAAAAGGGGAGCCGTAATTACCGCGTGCCCCGGTACCTTACTCATCGGGAAGTCGTAATTTGATAGGGTTTTCTCCAGCATTCTATGTGAGGTAGCATGTTCGTCACGGTGGAGATGCTTGGCCTCATCGTGCAGATGTATACAAGTTAAAAAGACCTGTCGATCAATGTGAGCGTTTCTGTGGTACTTCTTCCTCACCTGTTTACGTCTGAATACCAATCTGCAACCATGCGGCTCTCCCATATCATCGTGGGCGCAGCGGCAGCTGGCGGCAGCACGGCTGCCCAGTACCCATTCTACCCTGAGTGTCAGGACTTTAAGTTTCTCCTACCCATCAAAAGCACAGGCGTAGTCGCACCAGATACAGCAGCCAATATCCCCTTCAGCATTGACGAAACATACGCCATCAATGCTCGGTACTGCCTTCCCACGAGAGACGTCCCAGGTGCCTGCGATATGCTATAACTCTTGGTCCACGGCATTACCTACCACCGAAACTACTGGTCTGGCTACGACTTTCCTGGCTTCCACGGGACGAACTACTCCTGGATATCCTACGCCGCGGACCGTGGCTACCCTACCCTGTCGATCGATAGGCTGGGCCACGGTCTCTCCGACCACCCAGACCCGGTCTCCATTGTGCAGAACCAGCCCTAGGTCGACCTCATGCACGCGCTCGCGCAGCAGATCAAGAACGGCGCCGTCCTGCCTAGGCAGTACAACACCGTCATCTACGTCGGACATTCCCAGGGCTCGCTCATCGGCAAGGCGTACATCGACCAGCACCCTTCCGACGTCAGCGCCGTGATGTTGACGGGTTGGACGGCCTCCGAGCCACTATCGGCTGTATCGGCCGAACTCATTCTCCCCGGTCTCGCGACCGCCGCATCAGTACACCAACGCTTCCACGATCTCGCGCCTGGCTACCTCACCGGCGTCAACGCCTCCGCGCGTGCACCGTTCTACTCGAATCAAGGCAAGGACTACAACCCTGCGATCCTGACATACGACTTCGCAACAGAAGACGTAGTCACCATCGGCACCTTGTTCACGGAAACGAGCCTTAACCAGACTATCAAGTCGGGCTTCATTGGACCAGTGTTCGTGTTAACGGGACAGTTAGACCGGATCTTCTGTGGTTCGAGTGGGAATTGCCAAGGGGCCAATGGCAGCGTATTGGCTCAGCAGGCGCAATACTTCCCGTCCGCATCCAACTATAGCTATTTCTCGCCGGCGAACACGGGACACGACTGGAACCTCCATTACACTCAAGATGTATCATTTGGCCGGGCGTTTGACTGGTTGGCGGACGTCGGCTTTGGTCCAAGTGGGCATTAAGTTACTCTCATCCTCACCCTCACCCAGGATGGGGATGCCAGCCACGGGTTGAGAAAGGAGACAGCGAGCACGCGCAATTACCACCCGATGGATAACCTCAAACATTGTATATAGCCTTTATACGCTTGTAGTAGTAAATACCTCGACATATCATCGGGCTCAAAGATGGTTGAAGCTGTCGGGGTTCGAGGTTCTGGCTTGCGGGTATGAGCGCGAAGGCTTCGATTGCGGCGTGCGGTTCCACGATAGGTGAGGCAAGCGAGCTAGGTGTATGCGCTTCCGCCATGCGGAATATCCGTGTCACATGTACTTGGTACCTATGTGAACGCTCTTAGCCGGGAGGAGAAAAGAAGGTAATAGTAGTTCTGCTGCCCCAACGTCGCCAAAGCCCGGCCAGGGATGACGTTAAGGATGTCATCACCTTGCTCCAGAGCCCAGCCTTCCATCTGCTTACCCTGGAGTATCAGACGGCTGAAGTCTTCTTCCATGAGTTTGGTGCTAGCATTGCGGGGGACGAGGACGGTAGTTTCAGCGACGAGGTTCTCGGAGTTTTGGCGACGCATCTGGTCCTGAAGACGTTGAGCTTTTGGTGAATTGGGATTTCATGTTCGGATGTGGCGAGGTTTCGATCGGTGAAGGATTTGAAGGGGGTGTCCAGTGGTAGTCGTGGGACCTCGCTTGAGGCTTTTCGCTGTTGTTCTTCGTAGCGTTTCGTCTCTTCTGGGAACAGCTGCTCGATCAAGGATGGCTGCTTCGGTCCCTGTGAAGGCTTCTCAGAGCTCTTGGCGGCAGCTCGTCGCTGCATAGAGATGCGCGAACGCCTGTTAATGGAGCCGTGGGAGATAGACGGGAGCAGGCGGAGATGACGGCCGTGGGTTCGTTCCTGATATTGCCCCTTTTCCATCAGTTCCACTTTCCTGTCACCAACCCCTATTCCAACCCAACATCCCTTTGATCCACATCAACCATTATGAATGCGATAAATAAGGTATGAACTGACCACTCAACCCCAACCCAGTTCTTTCGTCGCCTCGATCCTCGCCGAAGACCCCGACGCTCACGTGCTGACCGTCGGCGGCCTCAACGAATTCGCCTTCGCGCAGCCGGTGGCCTGATTCGCCTCTATCTCAGGTCTCAGCGACGACGAGGTCGTCGGCATCGCGCCGGCGGAGCGCTACACGTATCGGTACGAAATGAACTCGCAGGAGCTCGACCACATGTTCGTGGGCCCGCGCTGACTCGGGATGCGCTGTTCGAGCACCAGCGTGTCAAGAGCTGGGTCACATACGACGAGCAGCTGTCGGATCATGATCCTAGCGTGGCGAAATTTGGGATTTGTTAGGGGTCTCGTACTGGTAGTCGGGGTAGGCGAGGGTCACACGGAATGTGCTGATGTGCGACCGCGTTCATGGGCAACGACGACGACGGTATAGGACGTGTAGTCGGATCGTACTCCGTAACTGGAGAGACGACACAACCCTAATCATTCAGCGGGAAACTTACAAGGCGCACGGCGCGCACAAGGGCAAGCACGTCACCATTGAGCGGGGCATCTAAACAGTAGGCAAACGCGTTGCCCAGCAGCCAGCTGACGGGGGAGTGGTAGCTAAGGCAGCTCAGGGCAAGGCCATAAGTATACAAACAAAGGCCAAATTCTGAAACCGGGGAGTAATGGCGCAATGGAGGAAGCATATGAGATGGCCATTGCGCTCCGCATCGATATACACCTAGAGCGGGCCAGATAAACCATCACCCAAGAAGATCTTAAGGATTGGTTTTCGTAGCTGCCAGAGGTGGGTTCGAAACTGACAGTGAGCTTTTTTGATATTTCTTTTTACCCTTTTTTTCTCTCCTCACAACCCCTAGCTCCCCCCGCGCGCGCGGTAATATCCTGCCTGCCTTACCAACCTGTCATCATCTCATTCACCTCTACCCGTCGCGTATCTACAGGTAGCCACATAAACATACGTGGTGTTTGCTAGGCCTGCCCCCTTTTCCAGGCCATGGGCAAGCAGGTTCTGTCTCACTAAGCCACATCTTCATGAGACAAAGACCACCAGATTTTCAAGGCACATTGTTTCTCGTTTAAGCACCCGACATCGGCATGCCGGCCGAGAATTGTTTGATTGCTTTGGGGTCGGCGTCAATCCCACAGCATACGCGCGCCGGCGCCTCTGCTCCGCGCTACCGCTCCCTCGTGATACCTACCATGCATCTTGTCACTCAACCCTTGGTCCGAGTCCAAGGTTTGCCTCCGGGAATCGAGCGCAGGGCGCGGGCCGCAGGCGCTATCTAAGAGGTAAATAAGGCATAGGTCGGGTCGTATATACATCGACTGCTAGCGAGACAGCTGCCGAATGAGTTCCCCTGGCTGTACAAAATCGGATCACATTACATGAACGCATGTACTATATGCATACTTGTCAGGTCGTCTGGTAGTCTTATATCCAATGTGTCTATTCGCGCTGCTTACCTCCCCCTATCTAAAGGACCTTCATCCACACTGAACGACTTAAAGGGGGCGTCAGCCCGCAGAACGAAACATGCAGTGTAACCCTCCAAAAGTGGTACATATGCACGAATTCGACACGCCTAGATGCAGCCACGCAAGGAGTAGTCATCCAAAGCGATGGATGGGCGAATGGTCGTTGGGGGCGAAGACATGTTCCACTCGGAGATTTTTATTAGAACCCTACATGCCATACATTCGGTACTCTTGCATACATACATGTACATGGGCACACACCCTCACCCAAATCCGGCTTTTGGGGCTTTGCGGGGGCGCTGTTGTACGACGTCGGCGTGGCGTGCAGGTGGGTGTTGGCACCTGACCTTGTTGGGCAGTTTGGAATGCCAGGATTGCGCCTTACGTTGTGCATTAAGGGAGGGCGAGACAACTAGCCAGGCAAGCAAGGAGTCCGCGCCAGAGGAGTCCAACGACCGGTCCGACCTGACGTTGAATGCAAATGCAGATGCCAACGCCCCCGTCGGGTCTTGTGCTACCACACCACTACTTAGCATGCATGCATGCATATCTGACATACCGGTACAAAGTGCGCCTGAAATGCAGCAGGCCAAGACAACACCCCTAGGCACCACAAGACAACGTAGGAGCGGGCGAAAGGTAGTAATACATCTATCTATGTGACGACATAACTGTGCCCAACAGTGCCCAATACACAGACAGATAGACACCTAACCAGTTTCTCACGACCAAGCCTGTAGTGCGACTTTGCTGTGTACCTATACCAGAAGACTGAAGAAGTCCTACATACTATCAGGTATGCTTACGCGACCCAGCAGCCAACAGGCGAACCCAAAACAGCTGGAGCGGCTAAAAGCGGGAGGAGGGAGCTGGGACAGCCACATATCGCGTCAGCTGAGACACACATATCGGAATGTTTTCGTTTGCCTCAGCCATGCCAGATGCACGGAAGATCATGTCTCGGCTGTAGCCGGGCACCCACCCCGAGCCGGACGAACGCAGGGCTGGTTTTCGTGTGGCGCGATCGGGCCGACATGGTTCGTTGTCTTTTTCGGGTTGGGGATCCCAGGGGAATGGATGGGATTTGGGGCCAGACGTGGCAATCCGTTCGCGAGGCATGCGTTTTGGGGGCTAGATTGACACGTGGTGTTGGTCGATTCAGCATTCTTCGGATAGCCACGGAATATGAGCAAGTGGGACTGAGATCAGAGAATCACATGTGAAAACGGCTTTGAAGCGTAACAATTGTTTTGCCCTCCTTGAAGAGTGCTTACGGAGCAATGTCATTGGTATCTATCGGTCTGTACCGTCTCGCACCCCCAAAAATCGATAAGAGTTAAGGCATCTCAGGCCCAACTCCTGTTGCTGCTGCTCACTTGATGTGCCACGTGAGCTGTACCGTCTTACTTCCACTCAACGGCGGATAAAAGGTATAAAGGGTAGGTACGTGAATGAGGTATGATGCAGAAGAGACCACCCCTTAAACGCCGGTGACATGATTTCTTGGGTATTGTCAAGATGCAAAACCAATCGCAAAAGAACAAAGACCCAATTCCAGATATTAGAGCCAAGTTCCAAGTTGCCTTTGCGTTCTGCTGCCCCCCTAAAAATGATGAAAGCAAGCCGCGTACTCCTAGAAACACCATAGCCATGCCGTTCGGGAAATGGAAGAAAGGAACATGGTCGAGTTACTGATCCATGCAGTGTGATTAAGGTTGCGGTAAGGGTGGGTGTAGGGTATTATTGGTGCCATTTGCACACTTCGGGTGATTCGATAGGTATGTTGGACGAGGACGGCGTAGCCACTGCTGAGATTCAGTCATGGGCGGAAAGACGACGTAGTGGCGAGCTGATTTGTGCCGCCTAGTGTACTGCATGTGTGGACACCGTGGGAAATGCGTCGGGCGAAGCGTCGTGCTTGCTTGCTTGGGCGTCTACATCGTCATGTGCACATCATCCACCATGTCGCTGTCAACGTCGCCAACGTAGGCGAGCTGCGCCCAGACCCTCCAATGTAGCAGGCCGAGGTGTGCCAGGCGCGTAGCCATGTCGTCGAGACCGCCTTCTTCCCGAGCCTCACGAACAGAGTTGTTTGACGACGCATGCTCTCGCTCCCGGGAGCCCTCACGTGAGCCTTCCCAAGTACGGCCCGGCCCTTGCAGACGGCCGCCAGTAGCGACAGAGAACAGACTGATACCTGTCAAACCCTTGAATTCCTTGACACGTAGCTGCAGCTCCGCAAGCAAGCGGCGGTGAAAGTCTGCCTGCACCTCAGGAAATACTGAGCCCACGTGCCCACTCAAATTCTGGTCAAGCTGGTCTTCCAGACTCGAGAGCTCATGGGTCGGGGCGTTTGTGAAGCGGAAAATCTGGAGTGCCAGAGAATCCTTCATGGCCTTCCAGCGGGTTGCGCTGCGGGAGCCGGGAGCCGAGGTCTGAAGCAGAGCCACTAGTGAGTCGTAAAGATCGCGGGACTTGGCTCTTTGGTCTTCTAGAGTCTTGACAGCCGGTACAGAGGGTAGGATCAAGGAGGAGCGAGGAGATGAGCTGGCAGAGCCGGCAGAGCTGAAGACCATACTCGAAGGTCTCGATGTCGATGTTGGCGGAGTGAAGAAGTCGAAGTCACTCTCTTCCGTGCTCGAGCTGCGGAAGCCCGAATAATCTGAGAAGGGCGTTGTGAGGAAGGGTGTTGGGATTAGGCCAGCATCGTGGTGTCTGTATTTCTTCTCCAGCTCGTCGTATGAGCGCATGCAGATTTCCAGGTTGATGGCATCGAGCATATCAGCCCGGAGTTTGAGTACACGCTCATCATCGAAAAGGAAGGTGTTCGGTGGGTCCGCGAGGTGAGACTCCCGCAGCGGCATGATCATTCCAGAGAGTGCCTCGAAGAAAGCAGCCGTCTCTCCGAATGTCTGAATTGATAGCGGGTCTCGAGGGTAGTGTCCGCACATCCTCGAGTACCATGTTTGGGCGGGCTGGGTATCAAGTTTGCCATCACGGATCTTCTTCAGGAAGAAACGCTGTTCGAAGTGCACTGTATCCTCGATCAGGATGGGCCGGAGACACCTGATTTGGTGGTTTGCGACGTCGAGTTTCATCGCTTCCAACACGCTCAACAGGTTGCGCATCCCCTGCACCAGCTCCCCCATGTCGTTCGTCCGGTTGCCGTTGGTCAACTGATTGTACATCTGGTCCACCCACTCATCTCTCATAGGTGCGCAATGAGACTTGAGGACGCCTGACAACCAAGAGGCCAGCTTTTCCAGGTCTGCCATCCCCCTGCTGAACTGCTGCATGATCAAATCCACATTTAGGCCTTCGTCGAGGTACATGCGATCTTTCGTAGGCACCAATGTCTGAATGATCTCCTTTACGGATTTCAGTAGTAATGGGAGGCACCACTCTTCTCCATGGCCGAATTGCCTCATGAACTCGTCTCGGTCTTCGACAAATTGCTGTAACTGTGCGCCGAGAGCCGTCCAGAATTGATTGGCCTTGTCTTGCTTCCGCTTGCCCTTGTCCCCGTCTAGGTTCGGTCGGAAATGGAGCTCCGGATCGAAGTTGATATCGTGACGCAGCTTGGGGTTATGAATGATCTTAGTCACGTCCAGCTCACCCAAAGTTGTCTTCGTAACCGGCGGTTCCAACGGTCGGCGTGCTCGCTCATGTCTACCTCCTTGGGCCACCGATGCATTCGAACCTGTGGAGGCATTCCGATGTATCCCTCGTCTCGCTGCGGCTTCGACTGATGATGATAAGTGACGCGGGCCCGCACTTTCAAATTTCTGCTCCTCGCTCGTCGACTTGGATGTTTCTGACTTGGCCGATGGTTGCGGAATCTGGTCCTCGTGTGCGCTTGGGTGTGCTTCAGAACAACGGCGGTTGCTCTCGACCCTCTCGATCCCGCCCGTTCCGTCGTCGCCCATCATGATTATTTCTTTCTCGCCTATTTACCAGACACGCGTCGAAAGTAGATGAGTAGAAGCCAAGGGAGTGCTGCGTAGGTCCAGCTGGGTGGGTGTGTGCTGTATTATCGGGGTTGGTGGTGGGCACAGAGTTGGTAGGGTATTGATCTATGCCCGGATGAGTGCGGCTGTTGTGACGCGGCTAGTCAGTCCATGAGTACTATCAGGCTGTCAAGGTATTGCAAATGCAAACAAAACTCCCGGGTGCCCTCAAGTCAGACGAAAAACGTCTCGTGAGCAATGCGGGCGGGTAGATGCAGAGTTACAGCGCACAAAGTCGCCCTATCTACTGATGATTCGAGCAGATATACCTGCAGGCGGTGGTGTGCTGTTTGTCGTTGGGTACATGCATTGGGCTGGAGGCTTAGAGGGCTTACTTGTTCGGCTTTGATTTGATGGTTTTGAGGATACAGTATGGAGGCTGCAGGGTCGTCAAGCCCAGTCACTGGAAATAAGCAGTGGCAGGCAGGCTAGAGAATAGGGAATGGATGTTTGCAGAAATGGAAGCCGGAGGCTTGAAGGAACGACTGGGACAAGGAAGGACCGGAGCAGCACCTTCTTTCCCAAAACCAAAAGAGTGTATGTAGGGGGAGAGGCGAACAAAGGAAGGAATATCGCAGCCGGAAGAGAGGAGGCTGATCAATGGAAGATAAAGTACCTTGAGGTAGCAAAAGGGACTAGCGGGAGGGATGTTCTGAGAAGGAGGAAAAAGAGCAGGTGGCACATGCAGGCATAGGCTTCCGTCTCTACTGTACACAGTAACAGGATGGGCACGACGGGAAAGGAAAGCAGATTGATTATTAGGTAGGAGAGAGTACCCACGGGTTAAGGGGTGGTGTCGGTGGGCATGTTCCGGGGGAAATGAGGAATACATAGAAGCATTGAGACTTCAATGCGCTATTGCATCCACACCTCATCCTTCCGTGGCTCATCAAGGCGCGCCAGGAGAGCAAGGAGGGCCAGGAGTGCCAGGAGTGCCAGGAGCAACGTCGAGGTTGCAGCAACGCCCTGCCTATGCCTGCTCCGTGCTCAGCGCTGCTGATGACAAGTGCGGCACTGGATTTCCAGATTGCCATACCCGAGGCAGAGACGCAGATGCCAGACGCATAATAATAATAGCTGGAACGCCGCTGGCTTCTGGGTCCTGGGTCCAGAGTCACGCCAGTGGTTCGACTGGCCAGGAACGAGTCAAGCATGTCAAGTCCAGGTGCCAGGGACCCCGTTGTCTTGGGCGCCTCGTCCCGCATGGCTGAGAATGGACCAGAATGCGCTGGGCAAGGGCAGCTCGGGAAATTCCTCGCCTAGCGGTGGCGGCGACATCTTATGCCTGCGTTCAGTCGGCCGTCCGCATCACATCACCACAGAGATGGACGTTGAGAATGCAATGCCAGGGAAGTAATAATAAACGGGCCGTTCGTTCCAGCCCATTCCCGTTTTTGTGCGTCCCCTTGCCGTGAGGCGGCAGCCAGACCAGGCAATAAACTTGGGATCGTCGCAGTGCGTGAGTAGCAGCAGTCCAATATCAAAACACCACTTATTGACTAATAGCACCAATACTACTAGTGTCTTGATATTGGTAGATTTGCAGATTGGCTAGCACATCTGTACGTAGTCTGGCGGTATGGCCGTTCCCTGGCACTGCATTCTAGTGATGCTGGGCGTCCACTTGGCGGAAGTGCCCTGCATCTGGCAGAGTCGTGAAATTGTACATCTTTTGACAACACCCCACGTTAAAGATGACGATAGCAGGGCAGCCTCGGAAAGCATGGGGCCACTGGGCCACTGGGCCACTGGGCCATGCACAGGCCAGAGCGCCTCCTCCGATGATGGCCTCTTTCCAGTATTAGCATTTTTGGGGCCTGAGGAGCCGCGAGCCCCGACTTGGTGGCGTTGCGAGACTCCAGAATAGAGCCTAGGAGGTTGGGCATGCCCAAGAGAGGACGCATGAGGAAGCAGTGGATTCGCCATGGAAAGGGCGTGGAAGGAAAAGAGTCAAAGCGTAGGGGAAGGATCCAATTCCTTGATCCATGATCCATCATGGATCATGCGCAGGATGGATGGCTGGATGATACGTTGGGTGGCATGAAGACAGGAATCGCCTCAAAACTGCATGTGCATGATGTGTTTACTGGATGCGGAGGAGTCGGGGGGCAATGGGGGCATGGATTGCAGCTGGTGAACCGTGAATGAAGGTGACATGGGAGTCTAGGGGACGACGCCTAGCCCTGCTGCCAGCTCCCCTAAAACACAGCTAGGCCTGCCCTGAAGGCAAGGTTGACACCCCTCGCCCCCCTGCCTGCCCTAGCATCAATTCTCCCTTGGGAGTCCCATTGATCTGGGACAGAGTCGACAGGGGTCCAATGTCCAGCTCTGATACAGGGTCAATAGTCAGAGATTCACAGTCCCTGCATTCATATCGTCATCATCATCAGCGTTAGCATCATCATCAGCCAGCACATCAATTTAAATGACTTATAAAAGTCAACAGCCGCTACTGCGAGACAACGTTGACGGCGCGCCGCAATTGACTGTACACGTACGCTTCCCACTCACCGCGTTGCTGCGTACAGCACACGACATGAGTTGTTGCAGGCGGACCCAATATACCTACGTGAATCAGTAACGAGTGCCGTCGCATTTCAGTTCGCATGCAGGGCCACTTTCATACCGCAAGACCGTTCAGCTCACCTACCGCCGGCCCTCTCTCATTTGCCGACCTGCAGATAAGATCGGAAATTGTTGATCGATATTTGATAGTACTGCGAGATACGAGCCCTCCGGCTATGCAACTCTTTAATTTGCCCTGCCTGCCGCTTGTTGATTACCAAATGGTACCAGCAACCCGGCGTGGCGGCCTGCCTGTTCTGTCTGTAGCGTAACGGCTCTATTCCGTGTTCCCACCGGATGTTACCAAACACGGCACCTCAATGCAATTTGATTCGACCGCAACAGCAGGTCACGGTCACGGTCACGGTCATGTCATGGTTATGGTTCTCTGCAAGTGGAGTTGAAACAAACCGGGCCATAGAAACAACCGCAGCATGGTTATGGGCCTGTGAGAGAAGTCGCTCAAGCACCGTTGGAAACCTTGAGCGTTGGATCATGGATGACGACTCAGGAGGATGCCTGAGTCTAGGTAGGTAGCGTAACATCGACATGCATACGACGAGCCTGAAGGCGATCTTTGTCAGACGTTTCCTCGTGAGTCGTAACGTGGTGAAGTTTTCCTTCTTCCTACATATGATATTACCAGGGCATGTACCTATCATCATAGTAATTGCTGGGATGTAGTCAGCTCATTTTATTCCTACAGCCTCAATGCGGTAAGGTGAGGCGAGTTTGAACAGGGCTGTAGCCTATCGTGAGAACGCCGCCCTTATTACCTGTTATTTGGGGCTGTCTAGTCAGTGAGAACAGACAATACTAATAATTGAAACTATCGCTTCAACCGGAGCTTCCATGTATCTGAGTCAACTTGTTACGGCGTTTGAGGTCAGCGTTAGGAGATCCCGGACGTTACTGCCGTGGACAACGCCACACCCGCACGGCTGATGGTGCCGTGCAATCAGACCATTTCCTCAAATTATTCCCAGCAGTCTAGCAGTTCGTGTACATACCCATCACTGATCAGCTTAATTGCATACCTACCTACCTACTTGTTTCCGTCACCGGGCTGTTGGAACTATCAGGTGCTCATACTCAAACCGACGACCAACGGCCGAGCCGGAAAGGAAGCGTGTCGCCCACCTAGGCAAGTCAGAGAGAATGTCTCGACTGTCATTCGTCGCTCTAAAACCTCTTCTGTTGATCACCGAGCTGCCACTTTGGGTACATACAGTTTGAGGCTCCCGGTCCCGATATTGGAAGACACAACGGCGTCACGGCATCAGGGAGACTCTGATTACTACCGACGACCATCCATTACTACATGTACCGACCGGTACATAGGTACTCACTCACACGCATTCACATGAGAGAGACATGTTCATGAAGATGGCCAGCGAGCAGAGTCGGAACAGCGGCCTTGAAACAACCATGGAATATGATGCCAGTAACCAAACACGTGCCAAACAAAGGTGCAGATCGCCAAGAAGCTAGAATCGTGGGATCTTCCACGTCAATTTCCATACCACTCGTCCGCGGGTCCGTCATCTCACCACTGTCAGACTATCCCAATCTATCAACGGTCCCGCTCTTGGATCACGGAGACGGACCACGGACGGTGGAGCCACGCACGCATGCACGGATGTTCATCACGAGTCAACAGGTCAGATGGTGACTTCGGGACCATCTGTCCGGGCCCCCCAGTGGGCACTGGACATGGCCGATATTAAACAATCCAAGCAACATCTCGGGTGCCCCGAACGCTGCCCGTCTGCACATCCTCATCAATGTCGGCTTGTCCTCAATGCATGAGCGCCGGACAGGTGACGAGCTCTAATAAGCCCAGTCCTTGTTGATGCAGTCTGACATGACACCGAGGTCACTACTTTAGGACAGCCGTCGTGATGCCATCATGCCACTACCCGGCTGCGCACAGCACGAACGCAGCGAGAAAACGGCAACCTGTGGACGACGGCATGCGGACGAAACAACGCGGACTCTGCGCTGCGACACAGCCTTCGGGACGCGACCGTCAGGTGATAGAAACAAAAACGCCCAGTGGCTTCATCGGTGTGCGCGCGCCACCATCACCGGTTTCTCGTTCTCGCTAAGGTATTCGTCAGGTTGGTCGATTTGCCCGACGTCTTTCGACTGGTTTTCAGTGCAATCAGCTCTTCAGCCTCGGGAGGTATTCTAGAAGATCAAACAGGATTCTTGGCTGTGTGACCAAACAGTGGTGGCATCTGTATCCCCAAGGTGATGTAATCATGTAAAGCCCCGGCATCTCTCCTGCAGCCCGACGGTTTCGTTACTGTACCTCGTTTCACGAAACAGCAACGTTCTCTCGCAGTCCATACGTACAGTACACAGTAGGAAGGCCTAGCTAGCTGCCAGAGCTAGTGTTGAAGTTGGAGTTGAAGTCCTAGTTGCGGCTATGCTACTGAATATAGCTCCCGCCATGGTGTCGATGCTAGTCAATGCTCACTCAAGAAGTGCAGCGAGCGCATGAAGCACAATCTCTTGACAACAGGTGCAGCACTTGAAATGCAACTAAAGCTGAAGCATTGAACTAACCACAGCGTGGCGTAAGATGCATGCACAATGCGAAATACGAAATGCCATCATGCAATGCATGTCGATCCTAGAGTCCTAGACCTAGACCCCTACATAGTAGCACACACCTACCTGAGTGGCACGACAGCAGCAGAAACAACGCCTTAGGGGCGCCGACGATTGCTGTCTGCTGTGTAACATGCCGAAAAATGAGAAACAGGTTTCCCCACGAAAAAGGGTTGCTGCTGTGCAAGTGTAAAGGAACGCGTCCGCATGCCGATCTGCATGGTAGGAGCCGTATGTGACCTTGGATCTGACATGCAGTTCACCTTGACCGGACTTTACCGTACACCTTGACCGGTGACTGACCCTCACATGTACCCGGTCCATGGTATACGGATACGACAGCATGTGTACTGCGTATGATGTGTAGAGCTACAAGGTTCCATACGTAGTAATACGAAGACCGGGTTCTGCGGACAACAATTTGACTTCACGAGCTGCCGTCAGCCTCCATCCAACTCGCTTTCGCTCGGCCACGGCTACTGTTTTCGTCCTCAGCCGTAAGCCAGCCCAGAGAATACGGAAGGCCAACCCGTCGCATCGCAAATCAGAAATCATGATTTGTGACCTGAACGAAGGATTTGGCTTCCACTAGACCAGATTATGTCATGGCTCTGTCGCCGCATCATATTATGTATGTACCCAAAGGAGACAATGCGAACACCGGACTCGCCGAGCTGCTCGATTATGGATGGGAATATCCTCAGCTGATGTATGCAGGATGCCTTCGAATACGGATCCGCCTGTCGAATCCGAGCCAGCCAATCGCCTCACATCAGCCTTGATGGGAGCCTGATTCCTGCACCCGCGGCCTGGTGGCTACTGATCGGGTCGTGATTTCACATGTTCGCCTCCCGGGGCGGTGGATTGCTTGTTGCATTTGGATTGTATCATTCAGCCTTCCTGCCTCGAACGGCTCGTCCCGGGCTGATCAGCATCGCCTGTGGGTAAAGGCCTGTTGTCCGGCCCGTACGGCTCCGAAAAATACCACGTGTCTTGCTGCACTTCAGCCTGAGTGTCACGATCCAGAGATCGCCCAAGGATGATACCCTATCGCCCGATCTTGCCACATGCATACCATGGGCATTAACCACCCGAAAGCTTGAAGTGGTCGAGCCCAAGCCGGAGGGCAAACAAGTGGTGTCGCACAACACATACCCAGCTGCACGATTCTCCAGCTGAGACGGCTCGGAAGGACGAAAAGCTGGCTGCCTTGCTGGCCAAATGTGCATGATATCTTGGAACGTCTGCCCGCTTCTGTCTGACGTAGGGGCCCGTCAAAAAGTCATACAGGGTACGCCGGCAGCGTCCACATAGAGTTGTGTACAACATGAATATGCGCCAGCGAGACCTATCATCGCCCTTGACCCCGTTGCCGAACAAATCCCAACTCCTTTACCCTATGTCATAGAATGCCCTAATATTAAGTGTACCGGCGTCGTGCTAGGTGCCGACGAACATGGAGACCTGAGGTTGGTTAGTTTGAGCGGTCACTCTGGAGCAGAGTATGCTTCTTCACGTACGGCCATGACCACACAGCAGAGACTCATATACGGACTGAGCCTCTCCCCTATCCTCGCAGCCTTCCAGAAAATGCCCATCAACCTGCAGTCGCCGTCAGCCTAGCTCTAACCACGGAAATTCGCATCCCGCCGCCGCTCGAGAACATACCCCTGCTTGTTCCGATCTAATATCGTTGGGAACATCTGGTGTACGTAGGCGCATGTGCAGATCAGGAGGAGGATGACGAGCAGGAGGGACTGGAAGTTGAAAAGTGCGGACTAGTTGGCCAGTTAGTAATGAGAATAACACGCATAGCTCTAGGATCTTACCATCGTGAACGTTTTCTGTCTTGCAGTAGCTACGATACGCCCGTGACGGTTTTCCTGGCTGTCGTGGTTTACGGAACTGGGCTTCAGATGCGAATGCGGCGCTGGCAACGCGACCTCAAGCTGGAGCTCTCCGAGGAAAGCCAGATTGACGATCGCGGATCCCGAGGTTTATCCACGTGCTTAAAAGGGTCATTGAGTGGAACTATGGGGACCTTGCACGCTTATCGGGTAGTTCCACTGCTTATCGGGGTAGGCTGTAGCTGCTAAAGTGGGACACCAAGATCTCTCCAAGCCGCAACCCTCCTTCTCCAGCCTTGTAAATACATCAACCTCCATCTACAACAACTACCACAACTTCGAGCTTGAACACAATATCCCTTGCGAAAGCAGCCTGTAATAAGCGGCAACCCGCTCTACACAATAATCTTACGGTCCCCAAGTTCGCAGGGCATCGTCAAGGCATCCGTCGCATTTGCAGCTTCACACATCAGCAGCACTCACAATGGAGCCTCGAGCTCGCGCAGGCAAGAACGTGGGCAAGGAGACGTTCAAGCCATTTGACAGTACGTTTTGCGACCAGATCCCAGGATTCTATTGTCGTTGTACGCAGCGGCCTTCTAATGCCAGCCTGCAGTTGGTCAACTACTATTCGCCTATGGCGACGTCGCCGAGCCGCTCCCCGAAACCATCCGCGTGCTTGACGAGATCGTGACCGAGTTTATCGACGGCATCTGCTTTGAGGCCAGCCGCCACGCGCAGGTGGCTGGGCGACAGAAGCTCAAGTTCGACGATTTCGAGTTCTCCCTGCGCCGCAACCCACAGTACCTCGGTAAGGTCAGAAGCATGATTGAGAAGCGTCAGCACATCAAGGAGGCGCGCAAGACCTTCAACCAGGACGATGACGCGCTGGCCAAGGAGTTTGGGAAGCGGTCCGCTCCTGCGGCAGCCGACGAGGACCTGCTGGGCTTGGACGATGACGACGACCTGCGGGATCTGGATAGGGCGGCTTCGTCCAAGGGTCCTGGCTCGAAGAAGAGGAAGTTGAACCCGAAATAGAAGGAACAACCATTGCGAACCGAGAATACCGAGGATTGCATCCGAAATCTTGCGGCCGGGGCGATGTTTGCATTTTCACGCATAGCAATGGAGTTTTGGAATCGGGAATACCAGGTAGCACTTTACGGAGTCGGCGAAAGAGGTTGGGCTCAATACTGGACATTGTCGCGGTGTTACGAACCAAGCAATGGAATCTCGTATCCATGAGGACTGCCAACATTTGCGGTCTCCCAACGACGTAGTCGAGGGATATACACATACACACAAGAGCGGGCCGTCGATGGTCTTCCACGTAACCATGGGCATCCGACTCTGCGAGCCTGGGGACAACATTCCAGCGTGGCAACCAACATTAGATGCCACATGACCATTGCAAGGACCCTGTTCATTCTTGGACTCCCAACTGCATATACTACAAGGCGAGCTGAACGCGGGGTCGCTCCGGTCGAGTTATTTTTAGGTATGTTAGCCTCATAAGTTGTGATATCGGGCTAGCAGCAACAGCTAACCAGCTTGCTGAAGGTTTCAACACCCAGAACCAACGATACAACCCGGCTGCGGGATTCTTACCGTTTGGCGTGCGAGGCTGGTGCAGCAGCATGCCAGAAGATCTTCACGGCCGGCATATACTATGCACCCGACAATGCATTTTTCGTTAAACCCCTGCCTCCGTGCGGTCCTTCCAGGCCTGGCTTGCAGGCGGAATCAGCTCAACGATAACCTCAGCAACACAACTCACACGACCGCTATAGCAGCTCGCTCTCCTTTGTTGATTGCTGCCTAAAAATGCAGACAATGAACAATGAAGTTCAGCATCGTCGACTGCCGCTGCACCGACTGTTTGGATATCCTTCATTTGTTTGTTTCGTCACTGCATCCTCTCGTACTCTAGTAGTCGGCGGCGGGCGTACTGCTGGACTTGGAATTGGCAATTCGATAAGAGAATGCCGAGTCACATTCAGGAGTAGACAATGAGTATATTCCCTAACCTACGTATGATCCATTGTGCCTCTAGTCCCTTCTGCGCCTGTGAAGATTCCTTGCTCTTGGAAGGGTCACCCTGAAATGCCTGGCGCTAAGCAAGGGCCGACAATAGGGAGGATTCTTGTTGGAGGACCGCATCCTTCCGAAATAATAGTCCTGCGCAAGGTTGAGGATGACTCGAGAACAGACACTGCAAATTTTCATGATGCCTATGACTAGACCTTTGACGAGTTGGGTCAGTCAGAACCAACACCATCGATCGCGGCCTCTCCTCTCCGCCAGCTTCCCTAGACTGTATTCCTGTCTTTTCACCTCCTTCATCGGCCTCTGTCTCGCCCCCGAGAGTGGTTTCATGCACGCAATATGAGCACCAGGACCCCTGAGCACGGCGTGGTTGCTGCATCGTGACCATGGTCGGTCGCTTTCTCCCGCCCCGCTGAATCAGGAGGAGGTGATGCAATCTGGAAGATGGGAGGGACCTGGTGGTTCCGGGAAGGGGTTAGCGGATGAGTATGGGATGTTGCTGGCATGATCATGGCCCTGAGAGAAGCGGTATGGATCGACCCATGAGCAAATAAGAAAGCGCCAGACGTGCTGAGAAGGGTCGGATTTTCGAGTTGGAATGGTTGAGGTGTGTGCGCTTTCCTCTGGATCTTCAAGATGTCCCTTTCCGTATATACAACTGGCCCACTGGATTTGATCTCGTGGTGCTTGATCCCAGCGCGGAACCACAACGATCATTTGAGTCTGAGCCTTGGGAAAACTCTGGTAAATTGTATCCCAATGATTAGATCGATATCGCCGTACTGTTAAGTGGGTGATGTGTCAATATGTGGGTGTGTAGACTGGAGGGATCTGGCCGAGCGCTTTCTCAGAAGCGTCTTCTGGCGCAACGACTTTGGCTAAAAACAAGGTATCCAGCGGCCGGACTGCACGATTGGAGGCTGCGTACTGATGTCCGAACTGAAGCAACCACTGCATAATTCTTGTCCCTACAATTGGCCTCTGAAAAAAGAAAATCTCTGGCTCAGAAGACTTCGACCGCTGTGCGATTGAGACAGATACATCAAGCGGAACTTACCTCCTTACGTATATAGCGAGGTCGTAAATAACAGTGAGACGGAACGGTTAATTCCATGAGAAATTGTATATCAATCTGAAGAACACTGGTATACGATGATGGCTTGGAAGTTGAAGGCCGAGAGCCTTGCTTGCTGCAGGCAGGTGGTCAAGCTTACAGCACACAGTAGCGACGGCACTGTGCGCGCACAGTCCATCCAGTCGCGCCCCAGAAAAGTTCGCGATTTGGATGAAGCTCCAGCTCCAAGCTCCCCAACCCGATAATTTCAGCTTGCGATCCTGACTTCGCTGCACTTCTGACAGGCATTCTCATCCAATCCACACCCTGCAACTTCTGGGGTTCGCGAGTAAACCGCACAAAGCAGCGCTTGATTAGTAGCACAAATTGCATCGCTTCTGCTAACAAACCCATCGACTCCTCCATCCCTCTCGTCGCAAACATGGTGCAAATTAGCGAGGTTAAGGGCAACAATCGCGACAACCGCACTGCAGCCCATACCCACATCAGAGGACTGGGTCTCAAGTCCGATGGCACCGCAGAGAAGCAAGCCAGCGGCTTTGTCGGCCAACAACAAGCTCGAGAGGTAAGTCTGGCTTTGGCGTTGGGAAAGCTGCGACCCGCGCAAGGCTGGACAAGGCTGACGTGCAATTATCTAATGACATAGGCCGCCGGTGTCGTCGTCGATCTGATCCGCGCCCACAAGATGTCCGGAAGAGGTGTGCTGCTAGCTGGAGGGCCAGGTACTGGAAAGACAGCGCTCGCGCTTGCCCTTAGCCACGAACTCGGAACCAAGATCCCCTTCTGCCCCATCGTCGGAAGCGAAATCTACTCGACAGAGGTGAAGAAGACGGAGATGCTGATGGAGAACTTCCGAAGAGCGATCGGCTTGAAGGTACGGGAAACGAAGGAAGTCTACGAGGGCGAAGTGACGGAACTCATGCCAGAGGAGGCCGAGAACCCGCTCGGCGGATACGGCAAGACGATCAGCACGCTCTTGATAGGGTTGAAGAGCGCAAAGGGACAGAAGAAGCTCAGACTCGACCCCAGCATATACGAAGCGATCCAGAAGGAGAGAGTCACAGTGGGCGATGTGGTCTACATCGAGGCCAACACCGGAGCATGCAAACGAGTCGGGCGGTCGGATGCGTATGCTACCGAGTTTGATCTCGAGGCTGAGGAGTATGTACCCATTCCGAAGGGCGAGGTACACAAGAAGAAGGAGATCGTGCAGGATGTCACACTCCATGATCTGGATGTTGCGAATGCTAGACCGCAGGGTGGGCAGGATATCATGAGCATGATGGGCCAACTGATGAAGCCCAAGATGACGGAAATCACCGACAAGCTGCGAGGCGAGATCAACAAAGTCGTCAGCAAGTACATTGACCAGGGCGTGGCCGAGCTCGTTCCTGGCGTGCTATTCATTGACGAGGTAACTCAACCACCTATAACTCGAACTCGCATACCTGGAAGAGGTGGTGTAAATGGCATGGCACAGCTGACTCTATAACAGGCCCACATGCTCGACATCGAGTGCTTCACATATCTCAATCGCGCGTTGGAAACTTCAATCTCGCCGATTGTGGTTCTCGCTTCGAACCGAGGCATGTGCTCCATCCGTGGCACCGATGGTGTTGTTGCGGCCCACGGCATTCCTCCCGACTTCCTTGCCCGCCTTCTCATCATCCCGACAACGCCCTACGATGCCGATGAAATCAAGAGAATTGTGCGCATTCGTGCAACCACGGAAGGCGTGTCGATTACCGATGCAGCCATCGACAAGATTTCGGAGCACGGCGTGCGGATCAGTCTGCGGTACTGCCTCCAACTGCTAACACCAGCCAGGTAACTACGACCTAACCCCATCCCATTATTGGCATTCTCCTGCATGTTCGTGCATTTCCAAGACGAGTCCAACTAACTTCTTGTGTCAGCATTCTCGCACGCGTCAACGGTCGAAGTCAGATTGACATCAAGGATGTTGCTGAATGCGAGGAACTGTTCCTCGATGCGCGGCGCAGCGCCGACTTGTTGAGTGGTGAGACAGGACGGGACTATATCTCATGAGCGATTGATTGTGTTTTGGACGGATCCATGGATTACCTCAGACAACGGGAGGGACTCGTCAGATTACCTAATTTCACAAGGCTGCGCTCGCTGCATGATCCTTCTGCGTGTAGCTGACAACCGGGCTGGGAAAATGTGGGAGGGGTTTCGGAGTCATTGAGGTACAATTGATGTAAGTGTTGGTTGCTGCATTTTGTTGGTTCAATAACACCACACAAGCTGGTTGGTTGGTTGGTTGCTTCCGGATCTGCCAAACCAGCGAAGCGACATGAGACATGCAAAACAGACTCCAAACTGCCCTGACTGGGTGAGGACAATGAACATGCTGACTGAAATGCGAGGCCCACGTGACAAGTACCTAGGCCAGTTTCGGCTGCACATAGTCTTTGTTGCCAACAGCAAGCGAGCTATACATTCCCCGATCCAGCTGGAGAATGGCATTCCTGCGCTGTAGGCAGTTGGTGAGCATGGAGGGGGGGGAGGGGAAAACCACCACTTCCAACCTCGTCTTCAACGAGGGAGTGTGTACCGGCTTGACAAGATGAAGCATGGACATTGTGTACTCTTATCACTTATCTTGTTGTCTTGTCAACGCTGTCACTTTCTAGTCAAAGCGAAGCCAGCCACCTACCTAGACAGCGGGTGTATATGATAGTATGACGAGATCTACCTACTGCGAACGGCAAGGTTGGCGTGGGTGTGTGGTGCGCAAACGCTGCGAGACAAAGAAAGAGAAAATAGTCTAGTCTCATCTGCAACAGCTTGGGCCTCAACCAACCCAGTATACTCCCGAGACAGGCCCAGTCTCCAGAGCAAAGGAGCTCTTTTTTGTCCTGGGCTGCCGCTGCACACGCACCACACACACGCCCCCCTCCTCCATTCTCTCTCGCTCGCTCGCTCGCTTCATAATGGATGCCGCCAACATATAGTTTCTTTCAGCGGACGGGGGCCACTGGCACTGGCACTGGCGACAGCAGCTGCCGGCATAAGGTCATTGACCGGCCCAAAATCATTGTCTGACTGGCCCATGAATGGGGACCCCCTCTCACAAAGAGACAATTCTAACAAGCCCTTGGTGTTGCCCCATCGTTAATTCTTGTCCGTGTCTCTCCTTGCCTATCCAACAAGTCAGCCACTGCTGCCATCTATCTACATACCTACCTACCTTTCCATCGATCGTCTCGTCTTGTCTCTGCATCTGTTCGGATCGACAACAACTGTCTTGATGCCAGACCCCTGAGACTGACTACTCGTTGTGTGTATGCTTAACTCCGACCCTCCTACCCTTCTACTCCCCCCCTCTTTCCAGCAACCTGCTTCGCTTCGTCCGTTTGCCTTGCCAGCAGCAGCTCGACATGACCGACAGTGCTAGCCTGACCAGTGACCTCCGCTCGTCCTCACCCTCCTCGCCCTCTCCCTCCAGAAGAAGCGCCGCCTCTTCGACCTCTGTTCGTCCCACACCCGCAACCGCCCCAGCGACGACCACCACGACGTTGCCAAGAAGACCTCAAAGCCAGCCAGCGATGGCCACGAGCGGCCTGGGAGGACAAGGAGACGTAGTAGCAAAGCCGGCCCCTATACCGCCTTCGCTGGACCCTCAATACCACCACCATAATCATCACCAACCGGACGAGACAAACCACACCACAGCTCCGTTCGCTGCCTCCAGACTCCAGAGAAAGCGAGCCGCCTCCATCGACGTGCAAGAGGCAAACCACCCCCGAATCCAATCCCTCAGTCTCTACACGCCGACTACGGCCAGAAGCGATGGGGGAAGAGACATGATATGTCTCTGCACAAAAGCACCGAAGGTTCCCAGACCTCGTAACGGTATGTAGGAAACTCTTCTCGGTTTCCGCTCCTTACCGTCTTCCCCCATCCCTTCTCTTTTGCCTCAACATGATTGCCCCAAGGAATCACCGTCAATCATTCCTTCCCACCTGACCTCTCACCTCACCTCACCTCACCTCCAACCGTTGAGCCCGGAAATTCTCCGCGTCCTGAGACGGAAACTCGGACCAGAGAAGTCTTTGTACGCGATCCTGTCTTGTTGTGTCAAGTATCAAAGAGAAACGGGGGAAACATCAAAGGGGCTGAGACCCATGTCTGATTGTCTTGTTCCTTCCTTCCTTGCCGCACGCACACTGCATGGATCCAAGTCGATTCATTGGTTCGTTTCGAAATCGAAGGCAACAACAAAACAACAAGAAACAAGAGAGAGAGGAAAAAGAAGATAGACTAACCCTTTGTGTGCGTGTCTTTGCCATTCAACAGCCTTCATCCTTTATCGCCAGCACTGGCAGGGCCACGTCGCGGCGCAGCACCCCGGGCTTGCGAACCCCGACATCTCCAAACTCATAGGCGAGAAGTGGCGCGAGCAGCCCGACGAGGTCAAGAACAGCTGGAAGCAGCTCGCTGAAGAGGAAAAGATCCGCCACCAGCGCCAGTACCCCGACTACCGCTACCAGCCCCGACGCGGAGGCAAGAACGCCAGCGGCAGACCGACGTCCGCGCACGGCGGTGATAGTTCTGGTCGCTGCCCCAAGTGTGGGGGACGCTACATCGCGACGCCCCGAACGCCCTCGACGCCCTTCAGTGTCGCGACGACGCCGGCGGCCTCCTCGAAGGCCCCTCCGTCGAATATGCATCAACAGCCGTATATCAACCCCAACCCGCGTGTCATCGAGACGGACCACCTGCGGCGAGGTTCCACCGCGAGTGCCATGTCGATCGACGGCCACGGTCGCAGGTACACCCAGCCGATGCTGAGGGACATCGACGAAGACTATGGGATGATGTCTCCGACAGCCGCCCCAGCGCCGCCGCCCGACCACAAGCGACGCCGCTACAATGGGCCCCAAGTCTTCGTCCCCGGATCTCCGCCCATTGGCTACATCCAGGTCCCGGACCCACGATACCAACAGCAACAACAATATCCTCAACACCCACAACAACAGCAACAGCACCGCCCGTCAGTCAGCGGACCACCGCCAATGTCGGCGAGCGGCTACGGTCCTGGGCCGCTGCCCCAACCTCCTCCAATGCAGTACCGCCAACCGACTCACCCAAACCCCCAGAATCACCCTCATATGCAACCGCCTCCCCGGCCGTCAGTGTCGTACCACCAACAGATGCCGATGCCGATGCCAGTACCGACGCCGGCACCTAACAGAGGGAATGCCGGGTTTGACGAGTCGCTCCGGCTGCCTCCGCTCCAGACACAGGTGCCCAATTCCCCGTCGATGAACCCAGAAGCAGCCCCCCCGCGCCCCATGTCAGCCGCGCCGCAACCAGCTCATTTTGGGACCGGCCTCGGTATCGTCAATAACGGAGCAGGCCCCGTCGTCAGGCAACAACAGCCACAACAGGTGGTGCAGCAAGTACAAGCACAAGCACCAGCCGTACCACCGAGATGGCCTTTCCTGCTGAAACTCGACGTGCTCCGGTCGATCAGTCCGCCGCTGAAACCGCCCGGTCCGGGCGGGCCTTTCTTCGAGAGACGCGGACCCATCATCGCCATCGAAGGAGCCAGTGTTTCCGTTATGAGAGAAGTGGCTGCTGTGGTGGAGAAGGCACTGTCGGTGTCCGGGGAGTACGCCGTGAAGATGTGGTCGGAGGATAATAACAACAATGCAATTGCACACCCGAGCCCGGCAGCTCATTCGAGCGCTGAGGGCGCGGATGGGAGCCATGCCAATGAGGATGAGACCGAAAAATCGGCCGCTGTTGAGACCAGTAGCGTTCAGAGGAAACCGTCGCTGATGAGCCCCATTGCGAACTACGTCGCCCGGATGCTGAAATGGCACAAGACGTCCGAGGAGCTGATCCGGTACATCACCAGCGCTCCGCCATCCACCCACACCCCACGAGCGGCACTGCCATCGAGCAGCGACTCCAAGACACCTGAAGACTCGACATCATCATCGGCAAAACCCGCCGCAGCGACGCCGGCGGGCCCCAGCTCCTCCAAGCTGCCAGTAGCAATACTCGCGGACGGCTACAGCCTGACGTTCTCGAACCGGTACGCGGGGTCGCTGCACGTCAACGACGCGTACCGGGCCGACGACCACTGGCAGTGGGTGGCGACGCTGTGGCGCGGCATCGTGGGCGCGGACCTGACGGTGTACGTCAAGCGCGCGGCCGAGGCCGAGCTGCAGGGCAACAACTGCGTTGAGTTTGTCGGGGGCTCGGGCGTGCTGGTGCTGCGCGTGGTCGAGGGCCGCGGCGTCGACGAGAAGCTCGAGCGCCGGCTTGGGTTTGAGATCTCGGAGTGGGTGCGCAGTGGGAGTTTCAAGGCTGGGTTTGAGTCGTTGCGCACGCGGTGAGTTTTGGTTGGGGGTTTTGAGTGAAGTAGAAGAAGTATTGAGAAGATGAAGGCGAAAGATGAAAAGGACGAGGGAGTTGTCTTATGGGGAAAAGTAGGAATGGGACTTGGGATTCAAGTATGGAGAGAGGAGAGTAGAGGACTGCGGTGGTTGGTTGGCTCATAACATTTGGGAATTTCTTGAATAGTAAGAAAGACAAAGAGGAGATAGATAGCAGACCTGATACGCATATAACAGTAGTTTTTACACGATCACTTGATCCCTTTCCTCCAAGCAGCAAGCCATGCTTCCCCGCTAACGTGTTGATGCAGGTGAGACAGGTCTAGATAATGAATCGCAGACAGGAACGCCAGGTCTCATATGATTGTGTTGTGTGTCTTGGGCCCCTAAACCCTTCATGTATAGGTCGTGATCAAAGAGATGCTTCATAGAAGTGTCCTAGCCAACACTTGTCGCGGCTTCAATGAATGGCGTTGTTGGTTCTCGAGGACGAGTGGCTAATGCGAACTGCACCCTTGATTGGCTGTCTGCCAGTGTCCTATACCGTGCAGGTCGTTGCAGGTTGACGCCCAGCACTGTGCCCAGATTAACCGCCGATAAGTCCGAAGTCAACATTCGCGTCTAACCGACCAGCCAACGCGTAACCCCGAACAAAGAAGCACTTCACCCAACGTCACACTGCGAGCCAAGGTAGCTCTGCTCTGGGGGTCAATCGCCACCCCTTTCAACATGTACTAACCAGCAGGAAGCCCTCGCCCAACGCCCAAATGTCGGATCTAGCAGTTGGGCAGACCATCCGCCTCAGCGATGGCCGCATTGCTGTCGTTCGCTTTGCCGGCCAGACCCATTTCGCACCCGGAGACTGGTTGGGAGTTGAGTTGGAAGATGACAGCGGCAAGAATGATGGTGCCGTTCAGGGCGAGCGGTACTTCGACTGCTCACCCGGGAAGGGCATGTTCGTCAGGCCATCCACTGCCACCATAATACAAGCCGCGCCAGCTCTGAAGGCTGCCGCCCCTATTCGACGAGGTTCACGGACGAGCACTGCCGCTGCGAGCGCTGGGCGACCAAGTTCCCGACCAAGTTCCGTGAACGACCCCTCGATGGGAAAGCGCATGAGCATGAATGCACCCAGTCCAAGTCCCGTTCCTAGGACATCTCGGCCCTCTAGTATAGCCAGGGTATGCGCAACGATGTCATAGCTCTGTTCGTTGCTAACAGTCACCTGCGCAGTCTCCCACCAAATCCCCGACGAAACAACTGGCGACAGCCCCTCCAAGTACCACGAACTCTCGAACTGGCACCCCATCAAATACCCGCACCTCAGGTGCCGGAGTCAAGCCCAGACCTTCCCTTGGTGGTTCGAGGACATCTATGGGTCCGCCAGCACTTCCCTCTGCTGGAGTACGACGTCAACCCTCTACCTCATCCTCATCTTCTACGACGGCACGACCTACAAGCACTGCTACGAGGCCCTCGGGTGCTCGGCTCTCCACTGCGCCTGCCCGAGGACTCGCACGTCCTACTTCAGGGAGAATAATGTCTGGTAGCTCAGTGTCAGGAAACGAGGGCGGTGACAGGTCTGGAATCAGTTCGCCCATCAAGAGTGATGGAGAACAAGCGAGCAGCCCAGTCCTCTCAAGAACCAAGGCCCTCGAGAAACTCACGTCTGGAGGCCCATCCTTGTCGACACCCCCCACCAAGCAACAGACGGGTACACCTACCAGCCGCACCCCGGGTGGTGCTTCCTCTACACGACCAGCTGCCGCTAATGCTATCAGCCGAGAGAATGAGGACCTGAAGTCAAAAATCAAGGTTCTTGAACGCAAGAGACTGGAAGACCGTGAGAAACTCAAGGAAATCGAACGCCTCCAGGAGCAGCGTGACAAGTTCGAGACTATCAACAAGAAGATTGAGACTAAATTCCAAGCCACGTCTCAGGAAAACGCTGGCCTGCGAAAACAGTTGAAGGAAGCAGAAGACAGTCTAGAGCAGATCGAATCTCTCCAAGCCGAACATGAGTCCATCATGGAGCTGGCAACTTTGGACCGCGAGATGGCCGAGGAAACCGCCGAAGTCCTAAAATCAGAGTTCGAGGCCCTGAAGCAGAAAGCTGAAGAGCTCGAGCTGGAGGTCGAGATCTTACGCGAGGAGAATTCCGAATACTCGAATGGTATGTCACCCGAGGACAGGGCCAGCACGGGATGGCTGCAGATGGAGCGAAACAATGAACGATTACGGGATGCTCTGATCAGGTTGCGGGATATCACACAGCAACAGGATGAAGAGAACAAACTGCAGATCAAGTCTCTGGAGGCGGACCTGGAAGAGTTTGATGCGATCAAGGAACAATACGAAATCGCCAAGGAAAAACTGCTGGAATCCGAAGTCCGTGCCGAGGATCTCCGACAGCAACTTGACGACAATCTCGGCGCTGAAGCTATCATCGAACAACTCAGCTACGAGAAGTTGACTCAGTCCGAACAAATCAACGAGTTGAAGGCCATGATCGACGATCTCGAGGCCCTCAAAGAGATCAACGACGAGCTTGAGATCAACCACGTCCAGAATGAGAAGGAGATGCAGGAAGATCTCGACTTCAAGGACACTGTTATTGCGGAACAGGTTCGAAGGGCTTCTGAGAAGGATGACGCGATCGGAGATCTAGAGTACACCTTGTCTCGATTTAGAGAGCTGGTCACCAACCTCCAGACCGATATCGAGGACTTGCGTGCTTCTCACGTGGTGAACGAAGCTGAGTCCGAAAAGCTCGGCAGCACATCCAGGTTGATGATGGATCTAAATCACAAGCTCCAGATCTCGACAGAGAAGACTCAAGTCAAGACCATCGAACTGGAGCTACAACGCATGGATGCGAAAGAAGCACAACAACACTTGCAGATCGTCAAACTGTTCCTCCCCGAAAGCTTCGCTGCTGATCGGGACTCGGTTCTCGCATTGCTGCGATTCGGCCGACTGGCTTTCAAGGCGAACCTACTACATGGCTTTATTAAGGAACGAGTCGGTGGGCAGCCGCACCCAGGCCACGAAGACGAGGTCTTCGCTGGCTGTGACGCCCTGGATAAGCTGACTTGGGTTTCATCCATGTGCGATCGATTTGTCAATGCCATCAGTCATTGCTCCCTGGAACAGTTCGCCAAGTACGAGGGTGCTCTCTACGAATTGGAACCAGTTGAACGAGCTCTGAACAACTGGATTGAAGGGCTCAGAAAGGACGAACTCAAGGAGATGCAATGCGCAAGTGAACTGCAACGCACCATTGCCCTCATGACCCACCTTGGAGAGGTCCATATCTCCGAGGGCCTGGAGAGCTTTGCCGATGAAGTCCAGATGAAGGCAGTACTCACGCAAAGTCACCTGGAGTCAGGCGCTGCGGCTTTCAACGTTATTAAGGGCATGGTTCAGCGAGTCGTGCCGGTCAATGGCGAGGAGGACGAACTGGCCCAGCACTTTGCCAAACGGGCAGATGCGGTCATTAGCCAGACTCGAAGTGCCAAGGTCATCGCCTCGAAGGCGGTCCGTTCTCTGGATGATCTGCGGGCGAGATCGCTGGCCCTCACCCCCGATACTGCTGAAGCCTTCGAACAGTGTGAAAACACGAGCCAGGAGCTTGTGGAAATGTCGCGCAAGATCGGAAACGACTTGCACACCCTCTTGACGGTAGAAGGTCGCTCTGAGGCGTACTCGTACCCTGAAGTGCAGACTACTGTGTCACGCACAGTCATGAGTTCTTTCGCATCTGCTGAATCGGATCTTTTCTCTACTTACCTGTCGAAGCTCCGCGTTCTCACTGGCCAAATCACAGATCTCGCCGCCGTCTGCTCCGATCTATCGCAGACACAAGAGTTCGAACGCAATCAGGCGCCATGGATCCTCAGAGCGCAAGAACTCAAGGCTCTGAAGACGATCCCGGTTGACGCCGAGGAAGAGCTTCGTCAGCTCAAGGATCATTACAACCAGGCTCGACGAGACGTTGCTTTACGTGACGAGAATCTCAGCACGGCTACACTCCGCATCGAAACGCTTGAGGCCCGCATGCGTGATGCCAATGCCAAGGCCTCTCGCATGGCAGATCTTGAGTCCCAAATTGTGGACGTTCAGAGCCACATCGCCACACTCCAGAAGGACCTCGAGCAGCAAGACCGCGAGGCCAAGGCCCTTGAGGCCGACCGCGACAAGTGGAAGAAGATTGCAGGCGATAGCAGAGCCTTTGGCGACGCAGCAGACGCCGCTGGAGCGAAGGCTGGCCAGGACCGCGCAGTCGCCACGGCCCGTGAGATGGATGCGCTCAACCACGAAATCAAGAGCTTGGAAGAAGCAGTGAATTTCCTGAGAGCAGACAACCACCGAGCTCGCATCACGGAGCAGCCCAACTACGACTGGCTCTCCGAGCCACTCATCAAGCCCGTTCCCGTTCAAGAGCAGCGCAAGGCCCTAGTTGCCGCCGAGGCCCGGGACTGCTCGAGGGAACTCCTGAAGATCGCCACGGATACGGAGTGGCCATCGTTCCCGACCCCAGAGGAGAGGGGCCACTGGCGACCGTACAGCTCGACCATGAAGCACTACGCCGAGAAGAAGAGGGAGGAATTCGAAAAGTGGGAGGCTTGGGACAAATCCGTCAAGGAGAAGGCACGACTCGTCAATGGCCCAGCCAATGGGAACAGAAGGGCACAGCGACCGGCAGCAAATCCCGATCACGCCAGGATTAGGAGCGCGGCGGTTGCAAGGCTGCAGATCCGTATGCCTAGCGGCGTGGGTGGTAAGGTCATCCCTGGTAGCGGACGTGATGTACAAGTTCAGGACTCGAGGACTTGGGAGGAACTGTCGGGCATGGTTTCTACTGCGTGAAAGATAACGTGAGACAAGATACCGACCGAGGTCGAGCCGGCGTTTGTACAGATGGTGGTGTTGAGACGGTGGTAGGGCTTCCTGCCTCTTTGCTCCCCGTGTAAAGTGTAAAGCATAGGCCGCGGCAGGTTGGAACCTGGTTTGAAACTTCAGCAGACGTTTGGTTGTTAGATACCCTTTTCTTTGTATCATCACGTAGAATAGGCCTTCGAGTCGATTCTTGCATCATGTCATGTTTTTCTTCGTTGGATGTGAAGCGACACAGCTCCAGCTTTTCTAGGTTTGTTGGTTTGTCTGGAGAACTTCATGGTACTGCCTCTGCCTCCGCCCAGGCCAGTCTACCATTCACGATGCCTTGCCTAGCAGTCACAATACGTTGCTGAATGCAAGGTAGTATAGTCATCACGCCTTCCCCTTCCCCTTCTTGCCCTTCTTCCCACCCCCGTCATTCCCCCCAGCACCACCCGGACCCGGCCCCCCTCCACCCATACCGCCCATACCCTGGCCCAGCATCGACATCATATCCCCCCCACCCCCCTGCATTTCCTTCATCATATCCGCAAACGAGTTCTCACTCACCCCACCGCCCGTCATAGCCGCACTATACGCCGGCAGCAGCTCGCCCAGCTTCCAGCCGCGGGGCACCGCCGGTCTTGGCCAGGGCTCGCCGTCCTCAGGTACGCCGAGCCCCGGTACGCGCACCTTGCGCAGGGCATCGCTGTGCTCCGTCGTCGGGTTCTGCTGCAGGTGGCGCGCTACCAGGATATACAGGTGGTGTTTGTTCTTGACTGCAAACGGGGTATTGGGGGGCTGTTTGGAGAGCTTCACTCGGACCCGTCCCGGGTTCGCCCAGTCCTTCGGGTGCAGGCGGTGCGCTTCGAACACGGGCTGCAGGCGTAGGTTCGCGCACGCGGACGCGATTTCCCGCGCGAGTGGGTTTTTCACGGCTAGGGAGGCAGGCACGCGGCGGCCTTGGGCGCGCGTGCGGGTTGCGTCGAAGTAGATTGGGTAGAGCATTTGGTAGTCTTTTATGTCGGAGGGCTGGATCTGCGGGGCGTTTTGCTGTTGCGAGGGGTGGACCATCTGTGGTTGGGCTGGCCGCGAGGTGGAGGATGAGGGGGCGGCGGGTTTGGAGATCGGGCGCAGGATGTCGGATTCGGCGAAGTCGGCGATGTCGCCCTCGCTGGGGTCCGACATGTCGCTGTCGCTGTCGCTGACTTCTTCTATGCGGGGGTGCGACATTGTGGATGGTGGATGTGGGTGTGTTGGTTGGGTACTTGTTGTGTGCTGGCTCGCCTCGCTACGCGGGTTCGTGGTGGTGTTGTCGGTCTGGAGACTGGCTAAGAGCCGAGGGGGGAGTGAGGTGAGGTTGTTGGCGATGATACCCAATGGGCGAATTGTGGATGGATGATGGATGACCTTGGATTTTGGACGTATTTCGGATGTGGGGTAGCAGTTGACATCGAGCTTAGTGGGCCCGAGCTTAGTAGTGGGGGTTGAGCCTCTAAAGCTTTTGTGGCTTTAAGGCTTTCTAGCCCCTATTCCTGGAAGTCTTTAGCCCCTATTCCAAGTCCATCGATGCTCCCAAGGCTACATGGTCGAAGATGCCGTTAGGAACGGCCGGGTCAGAGTCTGCACAACGAGGAAAGAGCATATGCTAGCCTAGGATTGCGCATCATTTGATACTGCGTCGCCGTCTCTTATCAGGAAATCCCGGCCTCCAGTACACGAGATTTGTGCCCCTTTGAGAGACGGCGTTCCTCTAGTAAACACTCTAATCAAAAGACGCAAGGTTCGATGTAGGGTGCGCAGTCGACGTGTAATCGAGGCTCTGTCCGGAATCCTGAACCGAACGAGGAGTCCAAGGAGATCCATGATTCTTCGTACCTCCCAGAACCCTCCTTGGAAGCTCGCCTAGAAAGCCTAGAGCGTCGAATTGAGAGAATACAAAGTCAGGATGAATATGAGAGCTCAGGCACGGGGGAAATCTTTCTCTGGCGATGACTACCGACTCGGCTACGATGAGCACACTATTCCAGAGGTCCGCGATGTGGACTTTGAACACTTCAAGAACCGCTACACGGAGGCAGAAAATAAATACTGCATTGAAGTCTTGGTCGCCGGCTCGGATCTTGAGGAGCAAGTCCGGCAGGAGCCAATTTTCTCTTTGCACATGCCAATATGAAAGAAAAGCTACAAGAATTGGAGACGCAGTTCGCAGCCCTGTCGGACAATGACACAGCCACGAAGCTCTTGACAGTGGCAGAATCAATTGCACGACTTGCCGACGGCGTTGACGAGCAGCACGAGGCGGAAGACAGTACTGAACAAGCAGACATCAAGCCTTCATCTGCGGCTGCCATTGCGCCCCCGGATACATCCAAGCCAAGACCGAAAGGTCAACCTCATGTAAGCAAAGTCCGGAGAGACATCCTCGAGAAGGTTCTCTGACAGAACTACCATACTCTTCTGGAACTCCGGTGCTACGTTGAGTTTGTCGAGAACGCGTGGTTCCTCAAAGTCAGATGTTCGACAATCCCGCCGAATCGGACGGACTTAAAGTACGATACCAAGATCTTTAGTATCTCTTCAGGCCGGGTCAGCTCGTTTACTATCCTATCAGCAATCGGTCTGAGAATAGCGGGCTCGGAGAGTCGAGACAAGAGATCTTCAAGGTACAGGCGCGGGCGAGGCCTGATGCAACTGGTGAGGGCACACTTGTCCCGTGCAAGACGCGAAGAACAAAGCCTATGACAATTCGCCGCTTCTTCTATCTATGGATCCACTCCGTTGACTTTGACGGGGATGGGTACATCCCACTGGAGACTATCTTGACCTTTCCCACTTTCGAAGGATTGCGCGACGTCACCTCTTTGGGAGCATACCCACTACACTATCATGTGGACAGTGAAAAGCTCATTGAGGTTGCAACTTCCAAAGGACGGCAGTTTCAGGATGCTGTGAAGGCAAAACACATGGCCTATTGCGGTCCGACAATCAGTTACTCATACACAGGCAACGGGTACAGCTATCGTCGTCGGCCTTTTGATGGGTCAAATCCGGAGGCTTACATGTCAGTCGATTCAAGTCTCGTCTAGCTCCACTTCTCAGTTCCCTGTCGTTTCCTGCCAATTCGGGGTGAAATGTGTTATGTCCCAAGCGGGGCCTTTTCAGGAAGTAACGTTTCTCGGGTGGACTGGGCTAGGTTTTCAACCTCGACACTCCGTGGTAGCTTATATTCAGGTAGACAGGTAGGCCCTCCAACCCAGCCAATTGGGCCATCACGGCCCAGGGGATCAGTCCCGCCCTTTGTCGACCCTCCGCTTCCACCAGACCAAGACCCGGGAAAGAGCTATCCTATCTTTGTCGAGAGCAATGTGATTGTCGACTTCAAAGAAGCGTATAGAGCGAACATATCGTGGACGCCACAAAGCCTTTTACGCGGAACCGTTAATTTATGGTATGCATGTCAAGACTTGATAGAAATCGTGCATTGGTCAGATGAGAAGCGTACTAAGAGGGTCGGTTACATACCGGATCGTGTCCAGGCTGAAGATGGCCTTACGCACATTGAAGATACACGATACAAGGAACAACATAGTCTTCTCTACAAGGATAAGGCTTCTCCAGAGCTCCCCGAAGACCTCCGTGTGCTGTTGCCCCGGCGGGTAGTTGCGGTACGTATAGAAACATCCCGTCACAAGGCCCTAAGCCTTGGTTTCGAGAACAAGCTTTGTTGTTCCCTTTCCTTCATCTAGAAATTTGCCGTACGGTTTTAAAGACAGGATGTTAACATACACGCAGTATACCCTGAGAGAGCGCAAGTTCTTCAAGGCGGACCTGCGATATTTACAGCAGCTTCAATCGAACACAACCTCGTTCGAAAACTTGAAAATCGATCCCAGTCACGTAAGGATCATAAAGACTGTTGTTTCATCCCATTTCCAAAGAAAGGAGTTGGAGAATCTGCCCGGATTCGCTGATCTTCTTGACCAAGACTTCATTCGAGGCAAAGGTTGAGGTCTGGTGATTCTTTGCACGGAGCTCCAGGAGTTGGCAAGACTACTACAGCAGAAGCGCTTGCCGTATGGCATGAAAAGCCTCTTTTCTTTATCACGTGTGGTGACTTGGGATTCACGCCTCGAAGCGTTGAGAGCTCCCTCAGTGAGGTCTTCCGGCTTGCGCATCTATGGAACTGTGTTCTGTAAGTACGCAACCCAGGAATGAAGCGAACGGAAGGATCGACATGGGCACCACTGACTTTCCACAGGTTACTTGATGAAGCCGATGTGTTTCTCTCACAGCGAGAGAATAATCTCGAAAGAAACGCCCTGGTTTCCGTGTTCGTTCGGTCAGTCACCCAGAGCGATGGTATACTGTGACGTGCGCACCAAAATAGCTAACAGTTTCAAGGGTGCTGGAATACTACAACGGTATCCTCTTCCTCCCGACGAATCGAGTAGGGACTCTAGATGAAGCATTCAAATCTCGAGTCCATCTATCGTTGCATTATCCCGCACTGGACCGCTCCCAGACCCACGACATCATGAAAATGCACCTCTCCCGCTTGAGAGCCATTGAGGAGAAACTCTCCAAGGCCACCGAGCAAAAGCAGCTCGTTGTCTGGGAAGACGAGATCTGCCAATTCGCAGTGGACCGCTGGGATAAGCACACTGCAAACAACGGCCAGGGACGATGGAACGGGCGCCAGATCCGCAACGCAGTCAACATCGCAGCCTCTCTGGCCTGGTACGATAACAAGACCGAGAGCGATCCCAGCAGGAAAGAACTGCCACCTCAGTTGATGCCGGCACATCCAGAGACTGTTGCAAAGACAATGACGCTGTTCGATGGGTACATGTCCAAAACCCGCGGTGGCAAGGACGCATTCCTGTCCCATCAACGGAGCGAGCGCTTTAATATGTTCAGACAGTCTGAATTGGATCACGAAAACGCCCCTTATGGCGGTGCCCCATTGGGTGCCGGTCAGGGAACAGGTGCTTATCAACCATACTCGCATCGGCAAAGACCACAACAGCCCAGCTGGCAGCAACAACAGATGCCCGGCCAGAGCGTAGCATATAATCAGCCTCAACCAATACCACCGGCTCAAGGCGGCGCTCAAGGGTACATGCCTACTCAGATCCAGGGACGATACACGCCGGGTATTCCCCAAACCCAAGTGGGTGGCGGTACTCAGTTGAACCATCCAGGGCCCCATATTCCCCAGACAACCATATATAGTCCGGCGCAGCCATCACAGACGCGGGGACAATACACCCCAGTCGCTCCTCAGACCCAGGCCAGCGGCGGTATGCAATCGAACCAAGCAACGGGCCAGATTCCCCAGACCGCCATGTACAATCAGATGCAGCCAGGAAACCCCCCTCTTCACCCTGGACATACGTACAACATGAATACTGGCGGACAAAATCAGATGGCCCAGCCAAGCGTCCATAATGCTTACGGTATTCTCCCTGAGGCACATGAGCAGTTTCAGGGCGCTCCAATGTATGCGCTAGACGGCGCGGGCTAGCTCTCACAGCAATCACAGGTGTCCTTTGCGCCATCAGGGGCCCAAAGTGCGCAACAGGGCGCGCAGATCCCTTTCTCGGACCAGAATCCAAGTGCGGTCGTTCCTCAGAATCAGGGAATGCTGGGTCAGGATTCGGGGCCAAGATAGATGTTCTCAACAGGTTCGGGATGATAGCCAGGGTACGACTGTATTTCAACATCTCCTATCTCTTTGTTTGATGCCCAGGTGACGGAGTCTCTCATGCCTACTTGCGGAAACGCAGGTGGTGCACGAGTCACGAAGTAAGGGAATGATATGGATGTTTGTGCGGTGATTCACCGCTTCAGGGGTAGATAGCTCAGGGGCAACAACCAACTGACGTTGGGGAGGCTCTGATTGGCCAGTCAATCTAATCATTCACCGCGCATGGGCATGTGATCATACAGCACATGAGCAAACCCAGTAGGATGGCCAGGGATGATGAATGGTACAATGCCCTTCCCAGATACTTGGGATGTTGAGAGAAATATCTATATGATCAAGTAGTAGGAACGTAGAGCCAGCGAGTCTGATGGTCAAACCTGCCAGTACCGCCAGACACTCTACTCTACGTTTCACGACACAAACACAGCACCACCCGACTGACTTACTACCTCAATCGCTCCCGATATTCCTCCATCAACTTCATACACGATGATGTTCACGATTTTCTGCACAGCGGCTCTAGTCACTCTGGCGGCCGCCCTGCCCGGACCCGCTCCCGTGGTCACCGCCGCGCCTGTCCGAATGGATGCCCCAACTGCAGCCGCGAACTGCACCACGACCGACTGCTGGTACTCCTACACAGAGTGCGCCGGCTCGATGACCTTCGTCACCAAGTATGGTTCCTTTCCTGATACCCAGTGTCATTCAGAGTCCAGCTGACCAGATAAATCAAACAGCTGCTTCACTCCGTGTGGCACGTCCACTTCGCCTCCTGCTTATGTCTGTCCTACGTCTGCGGCCTAGTCGTGGGATGGAGTTTTTCTCCTGTTGAAACGAACAAAGAGTCGTGGACCGTGCGGGAGGGAGAGCAGAGGGCGGCATTTGGGCTTTAGGTTGATGGTGCCTTCTGGGCTGAGGACCAGGACCTGTCATGGCGCGAGGAGCCAGAAAGGGCAAGGGAAGCTGAGCAGCTCGGCAGATTAATACCGCAATCGATCTCCTTTTCTCATGCATCCGACACCTATCTCGAGCGCTTCCCAGGGTTCAATATAAGACACTACCATGTCTCCTGTGCATGCTATCTTGTCCCTCAGATTCGATGCGAGTTCCCCCTCCTAAGTAGGCTGAGCCTGGTTCTGAAATTGGCGATAGTCCGAAACACATGGTAAACACTCTCATCTGCCTGTAGTCGTAGACTCAGTGATTGTGGATATCCCAACACCCGTCACGGACTCGCACCCCTTTGGAACCAGCGATGGTTCGCAACGTCAGTAGCGCTAGCTCTCTCGGTCATATCGTATCGGAACACCATTCGAACGAGCTCGGCAAGAGCCAATGCTTCCTCTGGAGGCATGCTGTACATGATCGACTGGCAAAGTCGCTCTTCGCCTTCGGGTAGATAGAACAGTTTCCTCTCTTGGCCGACGAATGCGGCCAAGGAATCTGCAAACCCAAAGTCCCCGATAATATCCTGTCTTTCTCTCTCGATTTCAGCCAGCGACGCAGTTCCTGGTTGAAGCTCACCTCCAGCCACGATAGCTGTAACATCGGGTTTCTCCCGCTTAGTTCCAGACTTCTCAAGTTTGTACTGTCGCCTCTGGTACTCGGACATCTTCTGCTGCTAGGCTTGACGAAGTCCTTCCGGTAAGGGGCCAATGTACAGCTCTAACCCATATGCCGTGGACCACAGGTCTCCTCCAAACGTCAATGAATTGTACATCTCGAGGATGGTGCATGCTAGTGCCCAGACATCGCTCGCAAATCGAGATTTGCCCCCGAAGCTGACCTCTGGCGCAGAGTACTCAGCAGGGATCCCGAGGAAGTCTGGGATATTGGGCGGCTCGTAGGACTCGCCAAAGTCCACGATGGCAATTTCATTGGTTATAAGGCCGGCCTTTCGCAGGCCTTCCATCGAGGCTGGGGGCACTACATACTCTGGAGCTTCCGGGCCAGGGTCTTCGCCCAAGTGTGTCGTGATGTCGTCGGCTTGTGGAATTCCGAGGATCTCCAACATGTCTTCCTGGGTCAAATGGCTCAGATCCTTGACTTTCATCAGGATGTTTGACGGCCGGAAGTCACCGTAGCAGATTCCCTTGCCATGCAGAAACTCCATCCCTTTGGCAACCTAGTGGCAAACGTCTTTGATCAGCTCATGTTCTCTCACATGGTGTATCTCCTTCCAGCTCGTCACTGTCATGCCCAGAACAGGCAGCACCAAGCATAGATGTCGGCCATTCGGTCCATCGATCCAAAAGTGCTCGTCGGGGATAATAGCACCATCCTGTCTCTGAAGAGCTCCATGGCTCGAAGATCCGGGCACTGGTCAGAGGAGTAATCAGCTGCCAGGACTTTGACGGCGCACCACTTCCTTTTTGTATGGTCCATACAGAGCCAGACTGTCCCGATTCTACCATATCCGAGCTTATGAACTACCTCGAACCTATCCACCTGCATCTCGTCAACGTGAACGGGGTGGAATCCGCCCTTCTTATATTGTTCAATGTCTTCAGCGAAGTCCTTGTTTGGCCCATTCTGGTAGTACCGCGGCTGCCATTGCGGCTTGTCTTCGGATACTGGGGATGGGGGAGTACTGTACGACATGTTGACACAGGAAGGAAGACCTTCAAGTCGTTCGGGCGTGATTATTAAACAACGATGGACCAGCGACTTGATTAGGATGAGGGAATCCTACCTTTGACCTACTTTGTTGCTCAAAGAACCTTGCAACTCACCTGAACTTAGGCCTTCGTTGAGAATATGAAGGGCTGTCAAGCCAGGGACCCCGAGTAAAGCTGTCTGTAGGGCATCCTCGCTTTCTGGAGGGCTGGAAGGTCGGAAGGTTTCACGGTACCTAGTAGTAGCGGCTCATGGCCCAATGAGACCATATCGCTTCATCACTGCTTATGATTCGTAAAGTCACCCGGCGAGATGATATCATTGATCTTCAGCAAATCGACATGGCTTTGAAAGAATGAGGAAGGCTCTCTATGACCGTCTGCGAGCAAGTGGTTGTGTCTGGGGATGAACAGTGGCTTGAGTGGTTGGTCTGCTGACTAGTAATCAATCACGTGATGATATGCAGAAAGGGTGAGCTACTAGCCGAACGTAAATGGAATTCCAGCCGAATCTGGGATGTCCGGGTTTCCCCAGACGGAAGGACCCTTTCGGTGGGAAAGGGAAAGCGATGCCCCCGCCCCGCCACTGGCCAGCCTGTTTGTGATCGACACGCAGGTCAAACCGCCAGCGACCGCCCAGAGTTTCCATCTGTTGAGCACGGGTGCTTGGCCTAACCTTCGTCACTCGGTCATTCATTATTCACCCAACTTGCCAATTGTTTCTTCAACTTTGAAACCACCAGCATCGCATTCTTCTCCCCAACAAACCCCAGCCTTCTTGGGACAGACTTGTTCTCTACTACCACCCATTATCAGGACCCACGATTCAGCTTCATCACTCCTACAGTACCTATATAGTGCCGCTAGCCAAAAGAAACGACTACGTCACCCACCACCGACAAGATGCGATTCCTACCCACCGTCATCGCAGTCCTCGCTGCCGCCCAGGGCGCCTTCGCTCTCGATGTGCAGAAAGCAGTCATCGTCACCTTCCCCAAGGGAACGCAGCAGGACATTGTCAAGCAAGCGATGGATGACATCCGGGAGGCCGGAGGCAAGATAACACATGAATACAAGTTGATCAAGTAGGCACTCCTCGTTTCCCTCCACTCTCCGCTCAGGGCAGCGCTGACACACCTGTTTTCAGGGGTTTCGCCGCCAGGGCCCCGCAGACGATCATCGATAGCGTAAAGACGTGGAGCGCGCAGTACAAAGGGGCCATCGAGATGGACCAGATGGCCGAGATCCAGACGAACAACGCGCACTAGACCCGATGCCTTCCGGCGAGCATCACATCTGACAGGTTTGGAGAACAGACCGGGTGAACTTCCAACAGATGGGTGAATCAGGCGCCGGCGACCTAAATGCACGATACCCCCTTACGCGAAGGAGTCGTAGATGGTCGTAACATTGCTAGGAAACAACACGGAAATGTTGGATAAAAGGATGGATAGGAAAGTGCATGATTAGAGGGTGATTTTCATCAGGCGTTTGCGGGAACGGAAAGCACTGGATGGCTCTGTGACTTCATCACGGTCAGAGCACTTCGAATACCGAAATATGATTATTACCACGCCCGTTGGGAATTCATGCGATGCCTCCCATGACACATAGAGGAGACTGAGAGGCCGGAAGGGCCGCACATCGTCAAATCTGTGGGGCACCTGGGCTGTGAAAAGTGCCCGCTCACCAACAGATACAGTCTCGTCCCTTTGTTGTCTGCGTTTCCTCTTGGACGAATATGGTTTCTGGCTCATATACCCTTTGTCTCATCCTCGACTCAACCCCAATGCCCTATCATTCACGAAGGCGCGAGCTCGAGCTATACACTTGTGACATTGAGAGTTGTGCCCAGAGGGCAGACATCGGCTCCATCATGCAGCCCTACTCCTTAATGATCCCGCGCAAGCTTGTGGAGTACCAACTTGCCGGATCCCACTCCAGCTGCTCGTCAGCTCGTTAGGTGCGCATCCTTTGATAAGTTGGTAGTTGAACAGGGCCTGCACGAGTATGAGGGAAGGGAACCCTGGTGCCTTGAGGCATTGAATGTTCTAGACGTGAAGGATGCGGTCGCCCTTGACCCTCACTATGTACGGGCATCAGCTTCATCAATGGTCAAGACACTGATCTATATGTGACCAACCATACATACAGCTTAGTAGGTCGTGGTTGACACTAGTTATGACACAATCAGCATGCCACAGCCCTGCTTATTTGATTCCAGACAATGGCTGATACTGCAGTCTTCGTGCAGCCGCTCATGGATTTATTCGACTTCTCTCGTCTTTCCAATTGCCCGCAGGAGGACGAGGAATTTAGTCATTCGATTATCTATGCATACAAAGTCATTATAAATCGCGTTAAATTTTCAAGGGGATAAGTGGCCACACCTCTGACGTATACTCCATTTCATCGTCGTCATAGTAGAAACCTTCTCAAACGCCCCACAGCAAAAGTAAACCGAGCGAATTTTCCTGATGGCTTCAAACCCCAAATCCTCAGCAACTCGTCAATTCAAAGACGGCTCAGCTACATACTAAGTACTCACCAAATTCACTCAAAATGGCGTCGAAAATGAAAGCTTTGGTCACAGTCGGAGACAAAACTGCCAAGGTCCAAGAAATAGATGTGCCGAAGCCAGGCGAGGGCGAGATCCTGGTCAAGGTACACTATGTCGCGCAAAACCCCACGGATTGGAAAGGCGTGATGTCGGCACCGGCAGGACGTACCGTCGGCTGCGACTTCGCGGGCACGGTAGAGGACAACAACGGCTCACACTGGCGCAACGGTCAGCGCGTGGCCGGCTGGGTCCATGGCCAATCATCCGAGCCGCCCCGAGGCGCGTTCGCCGAGTACCTTGTCGTCGAAGCCAGCCTGGTGTATCCGATCCCGGACAAGACATCGTTCCAGGACGCCGCCGTCGTGCCCCTGGCCTTCGCCACCGCGGTCCAGGCTATGGTCGGCCGGCTGAAGACGCCGGAGCCCAGCAAGCCGGCCAAGACCGCGTTCCCGTTTTTGGTTAATGGCGGCACGTCGAGCGTGGGCAAGTACGCGGTGCAGCTGGGCAAGTTGTCCGGCGCATTCGTCATCGCGACCGGCTCCAAGGCCAACCACGAGCTGCTGAAGTCGCTCGGCGCCGACGCGACCGTGGACTACAAGGATGCCGACTGGCCGTCGCAGGTGCGCAAGCTGTCGCACGACGGCCTGGAGCACGCCTTCGACTGCATCGCCGAGAAGGGCACCATCGAGGCGATGGCGCGGGCCATGTCGCCGACGAAGGGCGGCCACGTCGTCACGCTGCTGCCCGTGGGCGGCGATGTCCGGGACAAGATCGAGAACAAGAAGGTCAGGCTCGAGAGCACCATCGCCTACACCGTGTTCGGGCGCCCGCTGGACTACCCCTTTGACAATTGCGGGAATGGGCCGACGCCGGAGGATAAGGCGCTTTGGGAGAAGTACTTGGCTATGCTGCCAGATTTGCTGTCTAGTGGCAGGCTGAAGCCTAATCGGGTCAGGGAGTTGGGCGGGATTGAGACGATTTCGGATGGGTTTAGGGAGCAGCAGGAGGGCAAGGTCCATGCGGAGAAACTGGTCTATAAGATCGCGTGAGGGGCTGTAGTGAATGTACATCCAGTCTTCGATGGAAGTTGGGAGTTTCAAATCGCAAGTTGGATTGCGGAGTGGTAGAATCCAATGAGATCGACTGTCAGACGTTGAGTAGCCATCCTTCGCTTCCGGGCGCCTATGCTTACGTGCAGGGCGGTGGGGTACGAGAAAGTCAGCGAACATGTGGCCGCCATAGAGCTGCTTGAGTCGTTCCGTATAATTGCAGTAAATCTAAACAAATAAGACCCGTACAGTAAACGAATAGGGCCCTAACCCAATCCGGAAGCTATCCCGCCCACTCAATTGGCTGCGCACCGCCTACCACATCGCAAGTACTTCAGTTTGCGTGCGTTTCTTACCAAACCAAAGGTACTTACTATGAAATCGCCGGGTAACGACGTGATCGGGCCGGGTAACGACGTGATTAGGGTTAGAGTTAGTGATTAGGGTTTTCCGGGGGTTTGGGGGGCGGTGCGAGCCCTCTATCTGTAAATATGTCCTTGAGAGCGCCGTGGTAGTCGTGGTGGTGGTTATGGTGGTGATAGAGGTGATGGTGTTGAGATTTAGTGGGGCCGACCGCAAAATTCACGCGCTGTGATTGGTCAATCGGGCCCTATTCGTTTAGTGTTACTGGTATAATTGGGATTCCTTCTCATGTTATATGATTTCACGGCACCATGGCAATGTGGTTCTTAGGTCTTACGACTTGACTCCACGAAGACCTCAGAATACATACGTGAGTAACAGGCGAGGCAAGCCTTCGCACCGCCAAATACCGTAAGCGGGAAATCTAGGGATCGGCCCGCTGAATGCAGTCAAGACACTCAGGGATAGCTTTCCTTCCCTCGGCCCCTCCTAAGATCTGAGCTTAGCTTTATGCGGGAGACAATCCGCGCACATGCGACTCAAGCCCTCTCTGCCTTAGTGGGCTGTCTACAAGCAGAACAGAGCGGATATGCCGGTCGGATAGCGTCACATTGGTCGGATATAAGGTGAAACAAAGGCAAACGCACGATGCAACGTCGACCAGCATTACACATATCGTCGTCCGCCATGCCTTGACCAATGACCAACGACTCGAAGCTGGCAGCTGGCAGACTGGTCCGACATATGCTGTTGGCCTGTGAGGCATGAGGGATACGGGTTACTTGTTAACCCTATAGAAGTCTATGTGGATGGAAATAGGCACTGGATCTAGAAGCATTGCGTTGGAAGAGACTCTTTGTGAGAGATGGAACTGTATATAAATAGGTACGACACGTAGCTCTAGACTTGACACCTGGGCGACTCGCTTGAAAGAAAGTAATGATGCAATTGCGTTCTTTACGTTATTAATCAAAATCAACACACGGCTCGGGAACGATGATCGAGGGCTAGACAAAGCCGTGGCGGGAGTGACATTTGAGGACTTCGGGAGTTCATGCACGACAAAGCAGGATCAACCATCTCGAACATTGAAGTCATGAGCTTCAAGGATCGAAGCTCGAGCTGGCAGCTGGCTGTCAGACACCCTGGAACCCCTGCTCCCCTGTAAGCGGCACCCCTATCATCTATGAGCTGCGGCGCTAGCGCATCTAGCGCATGTAAGATCCCTGCAGGCACATGCATGTGCTGCTCGGCGGCCACGGGCCCAATGGCTGTCTCCCGCGCCGGTGCGGTTGCGACAACCTCACCTGCCGCCCAAGTCCAATTGCACCTCCAGCAGCTGCTACGTCGACTCGAACCGCCGCGGCCTAGAGCTTCTTTCACCAACGCCAGACAAACCACTGCTCGGGACAATACGCTTTACTGTCGTGTGAACAATCCCTATTCTGCGCGACAATGAACGGCGACAAATCTTTGTGATCAGATCACTACTTCTTTGCCTCGGCGCCGGCCCCCAAAACGCTTTGATTCACCACCATCCGTCAAGAACATCAAAAACATCAACTACGCTCTTTTATACACAAGACACAACAATAGTCCCGGCGACTTAACACCTACCCCGACTCACGACAGCCAGCCCTCTCGACTAACAACCATCTCCCAGTTGTAGCACTAGCTCTTCTCCAGCACTCGCATTTCGAGAGCTTTCGTTCCCATCCCCAACCCGCTAACACCACCAACATCCAGACATCGACTGGCGCGATGATATCTTCAATCAACTCCCAGGCTACCCAGTCCGCCCTGCTCCAATGGGTATGTAACTCTCCTCCAACGCCCCATTTCCTTGTCGTACCTGGGTCTTGAAGCACTTGCTAACTTCTGAGTTCCTCTAGGCTGACGCCATGCTCACGCTCCTCCCGGACGGGCGGGAAACCACACTGAAAGTCAAGAAACCCGAGAACCTCTTCGACGGCGCCTTCTTCTCTCTGCTCCTCGAAATACTAGATCCCAAATACAACCCCACGAGATTCGAACAAAGTCTCGCCGCCTCCATTGCTGGCGATGACCAGAAGAGGAGGAATATGCACATCATACATATGGGGTTGATTGACTTTGCGAGGCGTCAGTGTCCCGTCCTCGAGCCTCTAATCAAGAGGATCGACTTCCAGGCACTAGACAGGGAGCCTACCAAGACCGGCATGTTCGAGGTGAATACTTCTTCGCGACCCTCGTCTTCGTCGTCTTCCGCCTCTTCTCAGTCCTATACAGCCAACCCTCTCACCAGTCACTCGCAAAGATTGCCCCAGCCACTAGCTAAGATTCTTTGCCAGATCCTCGTCGCTTTCTTGTATGCTACCTTGAAAAGTGAAGGCGACAACCACCGATATGTCAGCTTGATCATGCGCCTCGATCGGACATGTCAAGGAGCTGCCTACGGGATCATACAGGAGGTCGACGCCAAGCTTGGTCAACTGGCGGGCGTGCCCGACAGTGACGACACTGTCAGCAGTAGCTCGCCACACAAGGATGCTGACCTTGCGCACGAGGCCGTAGTTGCTGACTTGAAGCGTGAGGCTGATGATGCCCGGAGACAGGCTGGCGGCTTGAAAATACGGCTGGACCGTCTGCAAGATAACTACGACGAGCTCGTGACAAAGCACGAGCAAGTTCAAGACGAGAACGAGCAGATGCACAAGCAGATAGAGACAGAGGCTGGTAACTTCGACAGGCATCGACTCCAACGCCAGCTCAAGGAGGGCGACACACTGATCGCGAACTTGGAGAACGAGAGAAACTTCTTGTCCGAAGAGAGGGATAGGCTCATCAAAGACAAGGCTCGTCTCGAGGCCACTGCGAAGAAAGTAGAGTCTTTGCTTGACGAAAATCAAGAACTCCGATCCCACAATGAAGAACTTTCCAAGAGGGCTAACATGGCTGACAACCTGAGGAAGAAGGTTGAAGCAAACAAGCACTTGCAGGCCGAGCTTGAGAACATGCGGAACGAGAAGCTGGATTCCACCAAAGCCTACACGCAGCTCGAACAGTCGATGCTACGAATCGAGGCCTTGAGGCGGGAAACCGAGGCATACAGTTCCAAGATGCAGGCATACGAGCTCGACATTGCCAATATGAGAGAGCAAAAGCTCATATTGACTTCCCAGAATAACGAGTTGAAGCTGCAACTGAGCGGCCTAGAGCAGCAAACCCAGCTGGACGAGGCGGTCTTCCGAGACCTTCGAGAGAAAGTCATGATGCTGGATCCCTCGGCTGTTACGAGCGACTCCATAGGACCTGCCCCAACTTCCCTTGAAGATGAGCTGAGCGGATCCTCCAACGCCGTCTCCGCCATGGCTAGTCTTGAGGTGCAGCGTCTTCAAGCGGAGAACGCTGTCCTCAAGAGCAGCATTGGAACGGAGACTGAAAAGGGTCAACTTATCCAAGAGATGGAAGACCTGCGCGCTTCTCGTCAGTCTCTGCAGGACAAGTACAACGAGATATTCGAGAGATTCACCGTTGGCCAAAAACAGCTCGATGCGCTTATCCAGAACATGGGCAAAGATGGGTTAGTCAGAGCGATTCAGGCGTGCTATGACGTTGCCCCGGACACAAAGTGGCTGATGTCAGATTACTTCAGAGAAGATGCGTATTCGAATCTGCGGACGCAGGTCCTCGCCGAACAGGGTCGATCCAGGCACCTCGAAAGGCAGCTCGAAGCCTTCCAGCAGCAGCTTGCAGACAAAGACCGGGCTTTGTTGGAGGCCCGGGGCGACTGTAAGGCTATTCTGCTGGATTACTACATGAATGACGAAGATGCTGACAACGCGGAAAAAGTCAATGCGGTCGAGAAGTCCAGTATGGATGCCCTGGCCGAGCTCAAGATTACCGACGGGATGCTTGCGGTTTCTCTCCGTGCCGAACTCGACGCGGAGAGAAAGAAGTACAAGTCACTGAAGGACGAGTCGGAAGCCATGCAGAAGCAACTCCTGACCGCCTTCATCGACAAAGACGAACTTCGCCGTGAGGCCGAGCAAGCCAACCTTGAGTTGCAGAAGGCAGCCGACGGGCACTCCATCAGTACGGATAGCATCAAGCAATCCGAGAAGATGGAGAAGCTCCGAACAAAGTATAGGCAGCTACAGCAGGTGAGTCAGGTTTCTTCGAATCAGGTTCCTTCGAGCTCGTCTAGCGATCGCGACGATGCAGATGTCGTGGATGTGGACGTCAAGCGTCGATCCATGTGGGAGGCCTTCTACCCGTGGTCCGGGAACAAGGAGCAGCCAGAGAGTGGTTTCTACCCCTACCAGATGGAGGATGATGGGTCCATCAGCCTGCCAGACCGCCCCGTTTCCAAGATGAGCCTCCGTGGTGGTGGCGGCTCTTCCGCGGACGTCAGCATCGTCTCAGGCATGTCGGGATATAACTCCCCAAGCCGGATGAGTGCTGCGTCCCCGGCGCCCTCTATCCCGGAGCGCCAGTACACTGGTAGTCCAGTGAACAAGAGGTCGAGTGGCTGGGGCCTCTGGTTTTTCTGCTAGTATTTTGAGAGGATGTGAGCTGACTAGTGGTGTTCGACACAGCAATACGAGCAAGCGGAACTCAAGAATCGCGAACTCGAGAGGACCCTCAAAGCCGTCCGCGCTGGCTCGGATCCTGGTGCTCAGAAGGTATGTGAAGTTTTCTTGGTCAAAATTTTAGATATAATGCGTCCGACGTTCAAGCCGGACATGAATGCCAGTTGCAGATTTTGCCACTTTACCATGTCTATAGAGTGTACTCTTGTCTCTCTCTCTCCTGTTGGCACAATCATGTATATACATTCCCTGTGATGACAGCTTTTCTCGGTCGAGGAAATCGTGCGAGTGATATGCTAAACAACATCCGCAGGCCCAGTCCGACCAGGTCATTAAGAACTTGCAGCGCGAAAATGCAATGATCGCTACTGCATGGTACGATCTCTCGAGCAGGCTGCAGAGTAACCACGTCGTGTTGCAAAGACGCAATGAGGTACCGAGGAGCTGGTTGAACAAGCAGCGGCAGATGGTCAACGGTGAGTGGATCGAGTCCCTCTTTGCTCTTGGGCGGGCGGGATATCCTATCCTTACAGCTACGAACGCTTCATCCCGGTGATGATGCCGGACCTATACTGATATCTTGCCAGCTACGCCTCGGAGATAGGAACTTCAGGCCTGATATAAACCCGACCGACGCACAGTTGTGGCTTGACACGCTGCGACCTAACCTCATGACAGGCTTGGTGCTTTGCTGCACGAATGTCGCTTACATACTCCCTTGATGCGCTTTGATACCACGACGGGGGCGAGCCCCGCTTCATTACGTCTCTTCCTATACCAAGTTTTATATATATAACCCGGGCGTAGGCAGTATCGACTTCGACGATGAAGATTAAGCAATGCGGATACGTCTCTCTTCTCTATATATATGTGTAGATTACACCCCGACTTTATGTAGGTAGCCAGCCCATGTGTGGCATGGTACGGTTTTGCGAGAATTGAAGTGAAATTGCTGTTCAGATCAATGGTTGTGTCTTGTTATGTATGCCTGCGAAACTGCGCTCTTACGAGCGAGTGTCCCTCAATATAAAATATGACTTCTTTGCAGGTACAGGCGGCAATGGATGCTCAAGTTATACACTAGTTAGTTCGTGAAATAGTCTTGGATACATCACATCACCTATGTATACATGTTGGGTTGTGGGCAGGAGCACGAGGCTCCAGTTGATTACTATAAGATACGATACTCACGTCACGTCATAACAAAGTACTGTAGCCCCCTCTCCGTTCCTGACGGTCAAGACGGGATGATCCAGGTTCTGACGTTCATCAGCTCAACCTGGGCATTTGGCCCTGCCTTCCCGGCATCTCCACTCCCTGTCATGTACCGTGGGATGCCTGTGCAGCAACTTCATGATCCATCGTAGTATCATCCATTTTCGATGACTCGTCCTGCGATGATTCGTCCTCCGGTGATTCGTCCTCCTCTCTGTTCCTGTATTTTGCTGCCTTCTCGGGATTAGTTACAGCGTTATCAACATCGTTACGTACTCGTCGTAAGAGCACGTTCGTACTGCATAGCGACCTTCTGTTCTTCTAATGCGTTTGCACTCTTTGCTGGGAGAGACTCGTGGAGATGAAGCTAGCGCTGAGAGGAATCGAATCTAAGTCGACTTTTGGCCCAACTAATCGTCGTTCATAGTCGTCTCGTCTCCCTCACTGCCTGTCTTCCCGATTCCACGCAGCCCTGAACGGTCCTCAGGTGGCCCATCCTAGGCCCTATGCACAAAAACCTCCAATGCGTCCTCATGATACTCGTATCTATCTGTTACCATTCCGTTCACATTCGTCAATTTGAATGATTTCCATGCAACCTTCTCCCTAATGACGAAGGGTCCCCTATCCTTTTACACACGATCTCGCCCAAGTTGCTCCGAGGTTTAGATTACTGCTCAAGACTTTCGGGCCCGATCAGGATCTCTAGGATAATGACTTTTCCTCCAAGTCCCACTCCCCCTGGAACCACGTGCTAGGCAACAACCCGGGCACCTGCGTGCGTGGTGTTTATTTATCTTCGTCCAGGACCACAAAGGAAGGCCGCACAGTCTAAGAAAACGATAATCCCCCACGGTTAGCGCGCAGTAGTCGAGACTCAAAACAGTAAAGGGAGACACCAAACGTCAGAGGACGCAAACAAAGACGTAACATGCAGGTGGTTATGTGAATAATGAGCAGCCTTCTCGTGCTCATCCCAGCCACGCCGTCCACCACATGAAGTGCTCTTGCCAGGTAGTTACATGAATGATGGACAGCCCTCTCGTGGTCATGGTAGCATCGGCAAGGGATATGACAGGCCCGAGGTCAGGGCCGTCGACTGCGATCCCAATCCATGCTGGTGCCTTTTTGATCTGTCTGGTTGGTAGGCCCGCTCGTAGGTAACTTACTGACAGAGTGGTGGTGCCTTCAGTCGGCGACCGTGTCTCGTGGATGATGGACAGACACCACCCTCGGCGCGCACAATATGCCCAAATACCAGGCGCCCTGAAAAGCCGACAGCCACGCCTGGTTCGCGAGCAACAGTAGCTAGCGGCATGAAGCGAGTCCCGACAAGTCCAATGACATACGGCAATGCCCAGCACGAGACCAAGATGACAGACAGGATTACGAAGCCGAAACCGATGCAGAGAAGACATCGTACAAGACGACGAGACCGTACAGACAGGCTGTAAGTAGTCAATGTAGTGCAATATGACTCCAGGGCCACCTACTACTAACTATACTACTTCAACAACTTCTGCTCCAAATCTACAGGCCGCCGCGAAAGCACCCAACGCCTTAAAACCTCGAACATTTTCGCTCCATACATGTTTTCGACCCCACGAACATGGTCGGGCCAACAAATCTATAGCGGAGAGAAGAAGACGACGAGCCCCCCAACGCCACGGGTCGAAGAATCAGAGGGAGTGGGCTTCCAGGGGACAACACAACTTCGTCGCCCGCTTGCGCCGTCATCGGGGCCACCCACATTGAACAAAACTCTTTCGAGTCCTCCGACGCTTTCCAAAAGGGACCCGGTCCACTAGGCCAATCAAGGGGGTGAAGTTGCCCTCCCCACAATGTGACGAACCGCCCATAGAACTCCTTCGGGGTTGCATAGTCCGGCCATCCGTCCCCCGAGCGCATTTGCACGGCCACGCGCTTGGCTTCTGAGAATTCCACCTTCCGGGAACCCAGCGGCCGGGGGTGATGTTCAGGCTCAGGGCCATCGCGCACCGCTTCCGCTTCTGCTTCCGCGCCTGAGGTCCGGCCCATTGCCCGAGCGCCGGAAGAACGAACTTTCTTCATCATTGCTTTCAAGAGAGATTTCGGGCGGTCAGGGCCGACGTCTCTTGAGTGGACCCGGCTCTCCGTCTGAGATACAATGACACCGACGCATTCGCCCCAGAGCTGTAATGTGTCTCCAGTGATGGCAAGGCATGCACTGTCTATCTGCGTCTTTGGAAACTCCCGCAAGCGCAAAAAACTCAAATCCTCCCAGGGGCTGCGCAACGGGTCTTGTAGCCAACCGGTACTTCTTCGCCAATCAATCACCCACGAGGGCAGCTCGTCTTCGTCGAGCTTTCCCCCAAAAGTGGTATCCAAGTAAAGCATCCGAACAAGACCGTAGCGGTGGATGAGATATATCATGAGATCCTTGTACACATCGACCGGTCGCTTCGTCTCGTAGTCGACTACGAGGCCGTCGGATGCACCTATGGTGATATCCGACATACCCAGCAAGCCGTAGATGCGGTCACGCGGATCGCTTGACTCGGCGCTTGTGCTTCGGTTGAGGAGTTCCAGGATGTTGGACTGGTCTGTCATCTTCAGCCCATCCCTTAATTCGGATATTCCGTCAGAGACCTCAAGATCGGCTGGCGGTCGAGGATGTGTAGTCCAAGGATTTGGGCGGTATCGGGGACGGGGTATCCCGCTCGCGACGCTCGCGACACTCGCGATACTCGTGTTGCTTCACCAATGGTCCGATCTCCCAGAAGGTGGACCATGCAGTCTCGGAACTGCCAAATGAACTCTTATTTCGTGAGCGAAGCACACTTCCTGCTTCACCCAAATCCTACGGAACCATGGCCGTGCCGCGATACTGCTAATGGCTTTCAACAGTCCTTCGGTAGAGTCATAGTAACCATCATATTTGATCATATCACACCCAATATAGTGCTCAAGGTGATGAAATACCTCATTGGAACCGTCCGCATGCTCACCGAGCCACACTCGCACAGTTTTAGCCTTCTGGTAGATGCGTGCCATCTTCTGCACTTGTAACGATCTCTCGACCCGGTCGTGCTGATTGATGCACAGCGCATCCACCTAAAGATATACTGGCTCTGTAAGCTGGTGCAACCGACGTAATGCATCAAACAGGTTCTCCGTAACGCAGTAAGAAAGGCCATCGATCAGTATCCGATGGCAAAAGTCGGGAGCCCCCCATGTGTACGATAGAGCATCGTACTCGACCCGGACGTCCTTGTCGCAAAGCACGACACCGCTAGACAAGTCGGGTGAGATGCTCGACGAGCTGGAGGGGCCGCTTGACGGAGTAGATAAGATGCTTGTGCCTTCAGTGATATTGGCGACGCTCAACTCTGCGCTTATTGGTCCGAGAGTTCCTGGGAGGATGGTGAGGATCCGGATTTGCCAGTCGTTTATGGGCGTGTAAAGGCTCCTTGCTATTGCCGCCTGATGAGCAGGGGTTTGTGTACCTGCAGGCGCCTGCATGGCTCGTTGCCTGTGTCGCTACTGAAGTGGCGCTTGTTGGGGTGTTGGGGTGTTGGAGCGAGTGAGTAAGATGCGTGAATGACATTACAAGCAGCGCAGCGCCATAACTACGACGAAACGACGGTGCAAGTAACTTCAGGGGGTACTAAAGAAAAGGTCGATCAAACTAGACCTTGAGACAAGGAGTCAAGTTGTAGCCAAGCTGTATGTAGCGAGAGCGTAACGAATTCGATATAATGGCGCGAGCAAGATGTTTTTGAAGAGGTAGTTGTAGAAGGAAGGTTCGGAGAGTAGACCCTTCTGGTCTGTAGCATATCAATATGCCTAACCACATGCATGCATGAGTGAGAAACATTGAAGGTGGCACGGTGGGTCTCCTACCTTGGCTGTAGCCTGTAAGGGCTTCAGGGGGCTACGCGCTGTTATGATTTATCGCAATGAGCACAGCCTATACGCATAGGTGAAGTGACAAGTCGTAACGAGACGATCCGGCCGACTTTGTCGTGCAAGTAGGTGGAGGTGGATCCTGCGATATCGTCGTACATAGGAGGCGAGGTAGAGTGGTGCTTACTCGTTGGTAAACGTGTTGACCGTAGGTATGCACGAACAGCTGGCTCAGTCCAAACGCGGTGTGATTGGATACCTTGGGTCCTTCAGCTTCGAGGTTCGTTGCCCTTGAGATAGATGGTGTCTGTCTGTCTTTCTCAACGGGCACAGTTCCATACTTACTTTAAGAAGTAGATAGGTCGGAAATGACAGTGCGGGGGGCGGCGGTATTTCTACCTGTCGTACATGTTGCCAGGTGGAATGTAATAAGGGATTTTCTGAGAGACAAAGCAGCATAACGTTCGAAGTGAAATGGCTGATTGTGGTATGTATTGATGCTGGAGAGAGGAATCTCCAGGGCTAGAGGAGACGTTGATACAGCGGGGTTCCTACTGTGCGTAAGGTAAGGTAGCACCTTCCAATATGGAGAAGCTTCTTGGAAATAAAGCAGACTCAGACGGTCGTCGGCCCGCTGCAGGCCCGATCGAGTCTGCTCGTCAGGGGCTCTGAAAACGAAGTGAATGATTCGACAGAATAATCCTGTGCGCACACCTGAGTGAGCAATCGGGACTTCTCTAATAAGGGGTTCGAATCCACTCGTGGGCGGACGAAGTAAGTGAGTAAAGGTCAGAAATAGACAGTTTGGTGACTGGCTATTTCGACCAGGAGGTTGGGCAGGCAATACAGGACGGTACTGCCTAGGTAGACGATCAAGCAAACCTAGCTGGGCCTCTCACCAGGTTACCAGTCCAAGTACGTGGTTGGTCTAAGTCTTGCTGACCTGGATATCGGTGGAACGTCGGAGCGTGCTTCATGATTGGGGCGTCTACAACCTGTGTTGACTTCGTAGACCGGCTTGAGCAGCGGTCCATGGGGGAAATTCGACGCAAAAGGTTCAAACTGTCTTTTTTCGGCCTCATCATTGAACATCGTACATACACAGGCCGGTGCGAAGAATCTGTATGATACAATCGTTGCAGTCCAACGCATCTCCTTTGTCCGTATTGAATCCATTCCGCAAGTTAGTCGTGCCCCTTACGCCCATGTGACGGACATGCGGTGTCCTATCTTATTTGTCACGTATTCAGCACTTCAAGCGCGCATAAGATGTGCACCCTCTCTTATCCAGCTCTTCGAGATGGCCATCTAGAATCGAAGGGAGCGCTGGGTCCATGTTGCTGTTCAGCCTAATTCCCGGTCAACTTGCTCAGGATCCCTCCCTTCTTCTTCTCGTCGCCAAAGACGCCCAACAGGCTGTTCCAGACCTGACCGGGCTCCTGGCTGGCATCGATGCCCTTCCAGATGCCAGTGTTCCTGTAGTAGCCGACGACGGGCGCCGTCTGCTGGTGGTACGTCACCAGGCGCTTCTTCAAGGCATCGGCGTTGTCGTCGGATCGCTGAATTAGAGGCTCGCCGGTCAGATCATCCGTCATTGTCTTCTTGGGCGGGTTGAAGATGCTGTGGTAGCTGCGGCCCGAGGCAGGGTGGACTAAGCGCCCGGTGATGCGCGACACCAAGAGGCCGTCATCGATCTGCAGCTCGACGGCGTGCTGGAGCTTCTGGTCCTTCTCGGCCAGCATCTTGTCAAGAGACTCTGCTTGAGCAACAGTACGAGGGAAGCCGTCGAGAATGAAGCTGGGAGACAATTAGTTCGGGATATTCGAGGTGCGCGGGCATGACCGAGGGAATATCGGTGTCACGGTATGCGACACGGAACGTACCCGCCCTTGCATTCCTTGTTGTTGGCCAGCTCCTCCTTGATCATGCCAATGACAATGTCATCGCTGACCAGGCCGCCGGCGTCCATGATCTTCTTGGCTTCCCGGCCCAAGGTCGTCTTCTTGGCGACTTGAGATCGAAGCATGTCTCCAGTAGCCTAGCCCTAGCTGTCAGCTTCTATATGTTCGGCTCGAGGTTCGTTCTTCCTGGGTCGTGGTGTAGCATACCAAGTGACAACATGAGAACTTCTCCTTGATCTTGGGTGCCTGTGTCCCCTTGCCTGTAGACGGAAGTTTTCAATTAGCGCACTGCGACTCGCGCCCCCGAGGACCAATTGCGACACTACGACGCAAGCTCCAAGCTCCAAGCTGGGTTTCACGACGTACCGGCTCCGGGAGGCCCTATCAGGATCATGCGGACGCCATCGGCAGATATTGTCTCGCCGGATTGGCGCTGTTCCAGTCGCTTCACGCGGTCCTCGAGACTGGTTACAACATCCTGTAACCGCTTGAATTCGTTGTCGATGACGCCCATTGTGAAAGTAAGCTCGAGCTAGATACTGGCGTGACCAAGGCAGTGTAGAGAATGGCAGCGGAGGTCGAGGGATAGTATAGCGGAGGAAAAGGGGGAGGAACAGTAAGTCTACGTCGCGACGGTTGAAGGCTGGCGAAGGGAGGTGTGCGAGGTCGGGCCTGCGGATGGAAAGGAACAAGAACAGGTTGCGACAAAAATGTTTCTTTGCTGTAACCCGCGACGTACCGGTATGCACGCCAATGCAGCTGGGGCACCGCTGCAGCATCACCCAATTGGAGCTTCTGAGTGGCTGCAGGCCGCTGGACAGTGGGGAGCCGCCTGTGCTTTTAGCGCTTTAGCGGCTAACCCGCCCCGAGCGCCCCGGCGCCCTGACTGCCGTAGGTATCTCCCCGCCAAGCCTGGAAGCTGGTCTGTAGCATGAAGCTCGGCTATTTCTCACGAGCTCGAGGTTCCTGGGTTCTTGGCTTGGGGATTCCCCGTTGGACCGCCGAGGTTCCCATGTGCATCATATTTAATGCTAAGAAGAAAGATGCTAAAGCAGATGCTGAAGACACAGGGCTGCGGTGATACTGGGCTTACACAGAACAGACGGAAAACTGAGCCTGATGAAGCTTGAATTGCTCGGGCAAGCGGATAGACCGGGGGAGGGTACATGCTATTATTTCGTAAAGCCTCACGAATCTACACGACGTGTTTCGACTATCTCAAATAGCAAAGGAGGACCTGGTCAACATTGACTGTATTATCCCAGCTCATGTTTCCATCAGCACCGACACCATTCCTCTTCTCCGGTCAATTCCAAATACAAAGAAGCATTGAACTTCACGGGTCATTTATGTGATGTCTTGGCATCTAGAGCTTCAGCCACACTTATGGCAGCTCCAGCCTCAACAGCGAAGCCTGTGCTTGCTGCATGACGCTATCCCCAATCTGGCACTAAGCTCACCCGGGCTATCGGGGTTTCGTAGGAGGCTGCAGAAGGCAGCCTCACCTTACGACAGCAGCAGCAGCCTTCTCAATCCATCTGTTTGTAGCACTTCCGTCAAGCTACCTCCATACTCTACCTCCCATCATCACTGCATCACCAACCTCTACCATCCACGACCACCGTAATCCACGCCGAACCTCCAACGCCGTCACGATGCCTGCCACCACAGCCGAGACGCTGTCACTCGTCAGCAGAAACGTCACTGTCGCCCCTCTAGTTCTTCTGTCCGTCGTAGATCACTACAACCGCGTGGCCAAAGGCACACGGAAGCGGGTAGTTGGCGTGCTGCTGGGTCAGAACGACGGCAAAAATGTGCGGGTATCAAACAGTTTCGCAGGTCCGTCCTCACCATGATGCGCCATCTCGCAACGGCTGCCGACTGACATGGTTTATCACATAGTTCCCTTCGAGGAGGACAACGATGACCCGTCGGTATGGTTCTTGGACCACAACTACGTCGAGAACATGAACGACATGTTCAAGAAGGTCAACGCCAAGGAGAAGTTAATAGGCTGGTACCACTCCGGTCCCAAGCTCCGCGCATCCGATCTTGAGATCAACGAACTCTTCAAGAGATATACGCCGAACCCTCTACTAGTCATTATCGATGTCCAGCCGAAGGAGTCCGGCGTGCCGACGGATGCTTACTTTGCGGTGGAGGAGATCAAGGATGTAAGATGCAAATGAATATGGACCAAAGATCAGTGGCTGACACGGGACATCGATAGGACGGCACGACTACAACCAAGACCTTCGTACACACCCCCTCGACGATCGAAGCCGAGGAAGCAGAGGAGATTGGTGTTGAGCACCTCCTTCGAGATATCCGCGATGTTGCCATCGGTACTCTATCAACCCGCATCACAAACCAGCTGCAATCCCTACAAGGCCTCCACCTCCGATTACGCGAAATCCAGGCCTACTTGAAGAAGGTTCAGGATGGCCAATTACCGGTCAACCATGCCGTTCTCGGTAACCTCCAAGACATATTCAACCTCCTGCCCAACCTCTCGACACCCAAGCCTGGTGGTGATGGCAAGGGCGGCAATATGGGCGAGCTGGGATACGCCATGAGTGTCAAGACGAACGACCAGCTTCTGGCTATTTACCTGAGCAGTCTGATTCGCGCCATCACCGCGTTCCACGACTTGATCGAGAACAAAATCCAGAACCGGCAACAGCAGGTAATTATAGCTTCAGGATTTATTAGTTTTGTTTCTGCCTTGCTAACAAACATCTTATTAGGAAGAGAAGGAGGCCAAGAAAGAGGAGGCCGCCGCCGCTGCCGAGAAGGAGACGAAGGATAAGAAGGAGGGCAGTGCCAACAGCTCCGGCGCCGACTCACCAGAGAAGGGAGGCGAAAAGGGAGGCGACAAGGAGAAGAAGAAATAGGAATGTCCAAGACGGTGCAATGGACGGTGTTGAGTAGCGACAAGCTCTGTACGATATCCTGGCTTCAGAAGAGAGGCCGCGTGTGTGACTAAAAGGGGCCACACACAAATACAGAACTTGGGCAAACCTTCGATTCGGGATATGACAAGCCTTGCATTCTTGACTGGGTGACAACACTACGTGACTGTCAGACGACATAATAGCTTTCCTCATGGTATCTTCACTCTCGTAACATCATAAACTCATCAGTCGTTAAAGCGCATGACACCGCACACAGTGGTACCGTTTCACACATCCCCGACCAGGCCAGCCGCCTCCTCCCTGCCCACGACCCTCTCGTCCACATGCCCGCCCAGCAGCGCGCTCCACCGCTCCGCCAGGACGCAGGCCAGCAGGTGCTTGCAGCACGGCACGCTGGCGATGCCGCTGCCGTCTGTCCCGTCTATGCTCAGCCCGCCGAACTCCCAGCCTTCGTCTTCGTCCTGCTTGCTCCCGCCGTCCTCGGGCCCTGATGTCCTTCCGGTTCTTCTGACGGGTTGGTTGTGTTGCCTGTTGGGTACAGGTGCAGACGTGGAGGTTGATGCAGACGCTGACGCTGACGCGGGGGCGATATCGTAGGAGTTTAGGTTCATGTCTACATCCATACCATGATCATTGTTATGGCTTAGATAGGTGTTGGTGTTGTCCTCCCGCGGAAACGCACAGAACGCAAAAGCCGCACACGTGCAATTCCACGCCTGCAGGCGCACCACGTACACGGCGCCCCGCGCCACGGCGGCGTTGGGGTTGGGTCGGTTGGCACGGAGTTGTTGTTGCGGCTGGGCGGAACGGACTAGGTGGTATGCGGCTGCGGCCCCGGGCCTCTTGGTAGGAGGAGGTCTGGCTTTGGCTTTGGGGTCTTGTTCGGCGCCAGGTCTTTCTGCGGTGGGTGCGTTTCCGTCTTGTATAATTATGTGTGTTACGAGTCGCCGGTCCAGCAGGTCCAGCGCGGGGAGCAGCGTGGATGGGTAGAGCACGTGCAGGGTCGTGAGGAGGGGGCGGTAGGCGGGTGGGAGGACTTTGAGCGGGTTGGTGGTGACTGTGTTGGTTTTGCTGGTTGTGGTTGTGGTTGTGCTTGGGTGTGGTCCCGGTGGCCGGGGTTGTGGTTGTGGTTGTGTCTGCGCCTGTGCCGGAGGTGCGATGGTGGGGGTCGAGGTGAGGGTTGTGAAGAGGGAGGTTAGGAGGGTTCTTGGGGGCGGGAGGGTTGAGGCCATGATCAGTGCCCGTGCTCTTGTGTCTTCATATTTGGTTATTGAGGTAATCTTATTCTTGTAAGTAGGTAGGTGAAGTAAGAAGAGGATAATACGTTGAGATTTGAGATTCGATTATGAGCGTGGTAAGTGATATGTGGAATTGATCGATGAGGTGAAGCACAGTGTATTACACTGTAGCCGGACTGTGTATTGGCAGATTGATGAAAGTGTGTGCATCATGCTCCTTGTTGATCTGTCACAGCTTCGAGGTTCAGACGTCCATTATGATGAGCTAATAATTGTCCTCGTCACGGTTTACTCCTTCTTCCATGTATGCCTCGATTTGGTATCTCCTAATCTTGACACTTTGTTGGCTGAATTTTCTCCACGTCTTGACGTCCAACGTTCTCAGCTTTGCCAGCCTACTCAGCGCGAGTACCGTAAATCAAGTAATCTGGTATCGTTCAACTCTAGCAATGTTTTGTTGTCTGGATGATTCCTGCTGCCGTGGTCCATTACCTGGTCTGCTACCTCGGCTGACACCTAGCTATGGTCAGACGGTACTTGCATGACGTTTTGCGGTTTTCCTGTTACTTACCTTTTACTCGTTCCTTTTGCAGTCCACACACCCAAGTCCAGGTGCGATCTGGGCAGATTGATTTCCATCACATTTCTCTCAGCTCCCAGGTCGTCGACGAACTCGAACCACCTGCAGTGGGATAAGCTGCCGTTTGGAGAGTATTCCGCCACTATGCCCTAGGAAAGTCGAATTGGTTCGGGCAATTTTTCAAAGTGCTTTTTCAACCGCTCCTGTTGGGGCCGAAAGAAATTCTGCAATATCCTTCGCCGGTTACGCAGACTACAGAAGCCTCGTATCGCCCCATGTGGCGAGCGCCCCTGATCAGTCTTTGCGGCGGCGCTTGTGGGTGTGTCGTTGAGTCTTTGACGGTTCGAAACAATCAGCCATCACCTCAGAATCGCCCGGTTCCTTTGCCTCGGGCAGCTTGAATGAAACGCCGGCTGCCAAATCATACAACGGTTTTACCAGGTCCCGCCAGCATTCATCATGATTCCAGAGAGTTGTCACTTCCATATCCTGGAGTGTCGCAATCAAATGCGTAGGAGTTGACTTATAAGCAGATGTCTTTGGCAGCGGCCAAAGCTCGTGCTGGAACAAGGCTTTGATGACTAAGCCGAGGAGCGTTACTTCTTATTTCTGAAGGTGGCCGTTCGATTTATTTGATCGACAAGTCAAGCCGCTGGGCTTGCCTTCGATCTGGCTGGTGATTGCATTTTTCGTATGTGTCAGTATGGCACGGATGCATCGATATCGGAGGTCATCAATTGCACCTAACAGCCAGGTTGTTAGCCCGTTGCTGTGGGAGTGAGACATTGGCATCTCACGTAGGAGCTCTGGAGGTTCCAACAGGCCACCGAATCTGGGACTCAGTGTTGCACCATGCACGAGCGCCCCGTGTTCGCCAACGCCGCTATTCCACGCCAGGCATCGCGCACAGTTGTTGAGCTGGGCCCTGCTCCTAATCACCCAATCGATCAACTGCAGAATCCAGAGTTAGTGGTGGTCACTGGTGGGTTCAGAGATATTTCGGGAGGAGGGTTTCTTCATCATCAACTTGGCGCACTGGAACAACCACACATGGGCTCTTTCGAGATGGTAAGGCCCAGAGAAAGGCAGGGGTGGTTGGATGCAACTCACCACTCGCTTCTCGAGATTGCCATTCGGCGACGTTTTTTTGCAGAAGCGGAAATCTTCGCACTCTTCACTCATCACGTGTGCCCAACTCCCGCGCCACGGCCGGAGGAGATGGGCCAGGTCGTACTTGTACGCTAGAACAGCGATGTGGTACAAGGCCTCGAGATCCATGGCGTTAGTAGGGACCAGGTCGAAGCGGAGATGCATGATGTTGAGCAGGACCACGAGACCCTCCGGATCGTCCTCTCGCAAGTCCAACTCCCACTGCTGGTCGCCGTTCGAGTTGGATTCGGCGATGCCGCGGCACATCATCTCCTTCATCACGGGCGAGGAGTGGGATAATGTCTTAGAGCACACTTCGAAGACGGCACGTCTCGTTCGCTGCGCCGGCTCTTCTTGCTTGACGATATGGTAGCACTGAACGTCGCCGACCTCGAGGATGAGATCGCCATCCTCGCCGAAGCTCATCGGATCAGGAAACTGTGTCAGGCATTGGGGGCAATCCACGTTAAACCCCACGGTGCTTGCAGAGCTTTCCTGCTGCACCTGGAGTGTTTCTTCAGGTTCTGCCATGTTCGGCCTGGGCTTCGAAGTGGAGGCAACAGCAAGGCTGCGAAAATATGGGAATGATAACTGTGACCACTGACCACGAGGTCTTCAAATGATGATGGAAAGATTAAGAGACACGAACGACGCGTCGAGGTGGGTTCGCGCACACACTCACAGTCGCAGTTCAGTGCATGGCCTGGGACCCAACGCAAAGTCACTCCCTCAGTTGGGTGTATGCCCCTTCCTCTTATAGACTGTGACTCAACTCGTCACTCGTGCTCGGTCTTGCCTGCTTCGTTTAAAACGTTTAAAGTACATGTACGTTGGTATATCAAGTCACAACAAGCCGCATCCACCACCCTCACCTAATCCGACAAGCCAAACGGCACTGGGGCTTCACTAGATGTCCTTGCTAATACATCATCATTGACTCGATACTGCCGCTCAACACCAATTCCCTCAGACTCAGCAGATGCCCGGAAGACAGGGACGGCTTATTTTCGTACATCTGTCTCGTCAGCTTGCACACGGTTAAATCCACCCAGGGCACGAAGAAGACGCTTTGCAGTGAGGTAAGCAGGTTTTCGGCGTGATCCCGCCCAGTTATTTCAAGGACTATTCTAAGCCCCTGCCACCCCTACTTCCGACGCACGACAAGTTGATGGTTCGTAATATATTTATTACCAAGCTCTTCAACCGCGGGGGAAGAGCAAAAGCTAGATTTCTATAAGTACAAACACAAGCAGACACAAGATGAGGCTAGAAATCATCTGCGTCATGACAAGTGAATGGACCTTGGTTCTGACATCCCAGTTTACCGTTAACAACCAGAATTGTATAAAGGGGCTTGTAAGCACCACAGTCATGATCAGGAGAATTAGGAAAATCCGCGCGTACTGGACCTTGGGGACCAAAGGCAGGATCGCCACACATGGAGTGAACTCGGGAACGGCACGCTGCTGTGAGAGCTCGGGCTCGGGTATGATCAGCCCAGCTCGGGACGGAGTCGGGGGCGGGGTCGAGAGCCTGGCAGTCCATTCGTGCCGCATCAGGTTAACGGCCCGGGGCCCGACCTCGTCGGGGCCGCATTTGCCTGGGAACTTCTTTGCGCGGGGCATCGAAAAGTCAATGGGCTCGATCGGCAGTCTCGAAAAGGAGGCAGAAACGCGGAACTCCTGCAGATGAAACAGGGTTGGGACCCGCGTCGATGGCAAGATACGCCACAGCGGTAGAAGCTGTCTGTAGTCTACGCGGTGGGTCTCGGTGATGAGGAGGACTCTGCGGAGCTGCGGGAACAGGGCGGCGTCTTGCAGTATCGGCAGCACTGGACGAGGTCAGCAACCACTCTCTTCCACTGCGGCCTGGCGGGAGAGGGAAATGCCTCCAAAACGTAAGGAAAGGGCTCGTAACTTACTCGCGCCGCCCTTGGTGGAAATGGCAACTTGGCGAATAGACTGGCACGTCTCGCGGCACAGGGGTTGATGTATGATTTTCGGATCGATCCTGGGACATACGATGAGGAAGATGTATTTCTCGAGCGCCAGCTGCCTCGCTCTGTGGCAGGCACGGCCGACTGCTGGCAGTGACACTCCGGCGCCTATTATCGGCACTCGAGAGCGCTTGTAGTCTTCTAAAGGAGGTTCGTCGAAATGTATTCTTTGCAGTGATAGCGAGGCCTGGATTGCAAACTCCCATGTCGCACCTTGCATCTCTTGGGCGAGCCTTGGAAACTGCGGGAAGTCCCTCGGGGAACCGCTCCGGGAGCCGGTTGGCTTGGTGAAGTACTTGGACAACGACATTATGCCTTCGTTCCTTGCTCAGCAATACAAGCGATTGTTGGCGTATCCTCTCATCTGCTTGAGAGTGGTATGTTCTGCGTGACGTTGGGAAGTGATGATTGGGTGTGGTCCGTGGAGAAAATCTTCGCGAGATTCAGGTGGGAGGATTCATCTTTAAATAGAGCTCTTGTAACTCGTCGGAAAAGGTGTAAGAAGGTTTCGCTGGAGCCATGGCGTTAAGGTTCTGAGAAGAAAAAGAACAGAGTTTAGCCATGAGCTACTAAAAAATTTAATAAAATCGTTAATTTGCTCAAGGTTACGGCAGAGTCTAAATTGATTCCACAACATCGATACAATCTCTCATTCTGCTGGGTTGGGAACACGGAGTCTCATCTACTTGGCCTAGTTTATTATATGCGTAGCTCGTTGTTTCGGAGAACAGTTGTGGATCTATGCGGATCAGAGTAGTTGACTAAATTAAAGGCTTTGTGAACGGTGAGGTCCGTTGAGCGTATGGTCAACTATATTTACAAAAAGTTTATAGCTCTTCTCGAGAGACGGCGCCTCTCTGGTAGGAACTCTAAATCACAAACTAACTCTATGTATAAGCCACCTTCGTACTAATAAGCTCATGTTGGGTATACTTATTTCCTTACGCTCAGTGGCAAGGCCCTGTCAACTGCTTTGAGTTTCATGCGGAAAAGGTTATGGTTGAAGCGTCAGTGTTTTTGTATGAGTTGTGCTGCGAGGGCACCATATACGTAGAAGAACCCCATGCGCTAGAAGCCCGGAAGACTAGGTGTTTTGCAATGGCGTCGTCTTTCTGGCTGTTGTTCGGTCGGCTCTCTGGGTCTTTGGAGTTATTCTTTGGTCGAGTTTGGTTGGGTTGACTTGTGTTGGTGGAGGTTACGTTATGCATGACAGATGGGTGGTTCGTTAGGCTGACTTCGAGCAGCGAAGCCTAGCGGCTGTCACGCGCTGCTAACCGCCTTGTTACTGGACTTCAGACCAGAGAGGTATCCCTGGGGCACACATAATATGCGATATACCAGTCCATGCTCCCAGTCACATTTCAAATGCAGTGTTGATAATGTTGTTACTGCCATCGCTTAGACGGCCGCGTTGGGGACCATGAAGTCTAATGCGCCCTGTCAAGGTACATTATTTGCTCTTTGGCGCAAGTTTTACCCCTTTGGTCGTGCGGTACCGTTAGCTTATTGAGGCTTATCACTCTACTTACGAACTATTCCAGCGAAGCTCTTTGGTCAACTTATCTATAACTGATTAGCGTCCCGTCGAGCTCTGTTAAGTTTCCTCTTTGGCGCGAGGGTCCCGCCCGTAGCCGCAAAACGGAGAAACGCCATTTTTGCTCAAGGCTGTGGCAGAGCCCGAATTCACGAAGGTATTGGTGCAATCCCTCAATCTGCTGGGTTCGAAAACATGAAGTCTCGTGTTTAGAGACGCCTGATGAAGGTTGAAAGAGTGGCAGAGCCAGAGGAAGCGTATCATACGAACATCTAGGTTGACTCGAACAACCACTGCAGCTGTGGTGAAAAGAAAACACCACAACATATTTTCTTTTGTAAGAGGCTAGGAAAAAATCGGTTATTGCATAGGTACTCGCCTAGGACAGCCTGTTTACAATACTTAGGGGAGAGGAGCACAGAATGGGCAAAATTCGTGGAGAAGAGCAAGTTCTTTTCAATAATCTGTCTCCGATAGATAACTGTTCTTGAAGGACCAGATGGATGACCCCAAGGTCATACCGCCGCAACAACGGGGATGGGCCCGTGAGCGGGACTGACTGTACTTATTTTCTTGAGACCTCCACAACCCTGCGATGCAGAGGCTCTGGGAGGCGTGGTCTGCACTACTGAGGAGCTACCCCCCACGTTAAATACAAAACAAACAAACATACGAACATCTAGGGATAAGTTGATACGCTGCCACGATCTAAGAAGAGTCGTTCGGTGCTTTTGCGGTATTGCTGCTCTTGAACGATTGTATATATTCTAAGCATGATGAACGTAGGCAGATAAATACGTTCACTTAAGGTGACTGACTGCAGGTGGATTGACGACCAACACAGAGTCACATGTCGAGGGCAGGAAGTTCATCTTACATATGGATACGACCCTCAGATGTCCAAGCTCGATCATTGCAAAGCAGGGTGTGTGTGTTGTCAAGAATTCGATTAAAAAGTGTAATCTACTCGGTAACTCGGCAATGATGCATGACTACTACGTGGAACTTTCACGGCTGCCTCCGAAGATTCCACCTTCCTCTGACCTCATGGGTTGAAGACTAAGTTACCATGAGTCCTCATTGGTTCGCGCCCACCGACCCCTTCCTTCCAAGTCCCACATCCTCGAATCCTTTGACTACTTACCTACCTATACTGGAGATTGTGAGAGCCCCTTACCGTCATTGAGGTACCTATAACGCTATTCTCAGCCTGTGCCGTAATGCAATCGGTCCTTCCTGTAATCGATCCTTCCCCCACAATAAGTCACGACATATATTTATAAAACTTAGTTGAGGTCACCAAGGGGTCCCATTAACGGCACTGTAGCCTAGTACGAAACGTGATTAATTCTCCGTCCACGACGAAGTTACGACGACTGCCTGGTGAGGTGCTAGAAAGCATGGCTAACTGTGGCCTTGGGAGAAAGTGGAAGGATTCAGGTCCAGGTAGAGAGCCACATAGACCCAATTCCTGCCTTAAGGACCATTTAACTGGGGGCCCAAACGTGACTCCCGAAAACATTGCCGAAGGGCCCCAAAATTACAACTTTAGCGTATCCCGAAATAGCATTGATGCTCTACCCATAACGGAGTCACGGCAATGATGCCAAGTAGTGGCAAGACTGGCAGAACTGGGTCTTCATTAGACACCATGCTTCTCAGCTCCCCAGACAGCTTCGATGGTAAGGTATAAGAGCAGAAAGTCGTCTTGGGGAATTGCGTTAGCTGCAATACTCTAGTTATACTTCAGCTTCCATTTCCCTGTCGCTTTCCAGGCCTCATCACCCCTCAAACCCCCCGACTATCCAACCTACATCCCGGAAGATGACATTGAAGTATGGCGTCGTCGCGGCTCTTTTTCTGATGCAGACATTAGCATCCCCTGGTATCAAGCCTGCGGGGGATGTTCCCAACCTTTCCAAGAGGTACTTTATGATCAAGCCGGATGGCTCAGGCACCAAAGGCAAGCCTTGGCCCGAGGCCAAAGTTCAGTGGTGTTTGGACGGTGTTGGTAGCGAGGGAGACGAGTACGAGAAGCTGCTCCAGCTCGTCAAAGACAGCTGGAAACTCTGGCAGGACGCCGTGGCTCCTTACTCCAGTCTACAGTTTGAGCCCTCAAAGAGCCACGGCAAGCCTGTTTGCGATGACAAAGATAAAGACGGCGAGGTGCTGCACATCGAATTCGGCGGCGAACAGGGGTCCTGGGCGGATTTGGGTTATGCCGGCAAGGGGCAAGAACATGTATTGCACTTGTCCCCCACAGCAACGGCCGCTCTCTGCGCGCATGAACTCGGCCATGTGTTCGGCCTGGAACACGAGCACCAAAAGCCTGCAGCTTGGCAAGAAGATAGTGACGAAAGCTATAGCGATACATTTCCATTTAGGTGTAAGCAAGCTCTCAATCCCCTTGTTCCTCGCACGCCTCAGTTCCATTTCACCATATGAATCCCTCAGAAAAAAGCTGCTGATTCGAGCTCATAGTCTACTGTGCGAATTTGGCAGACTACGATGCTTTAAAAGACAGATCGGATATCGCCGACCTGTGTAAGGACTACAACGCGGCGACTGCGGCTGGTTTCTCAGCTGCGAACTGGTTGCCTTTTCGGCCCTCTCCGAGAAACTACGAAATCGACGCCTTTGTCGACTTGGATTCAATCATGATGTACTCCTCAACTTCGGGTTCCAAGAATGGGAAACCCGTCTATCTCAAGCAAGACGAGTCGGAGATCTCAGAGAACGAGAAACCGTCAATGGGGGATATAAGAGCCATTGCTAGGCTGTATCCCAAATAGCCTGGAGCTATTCATCTACGCTACCGTGTGAGCCTATCTCTTGATAAACCTCGCAGGCTATGAGCATGTCATTGGTGTGGTACATAGGGGGTGAGCTTGGAAAGCAAGGATATCCCTTGTACACATCGTTCAAGCTATAATAGAAATTCATTTCACAGCAACAGTGTTTCATACGCAGCACTGGGCGGCCTCTAAAATAAGATAGATGTTGAAACTGATATATGCAAATATCTGCATAAGAAGGCTAGCTTCAGCTCGAAATGCGAATGGAGGTGATAGCCCCATCGCTGCCTGCAACATAGAGCACATCCCTGTCCGCCTCGGTCCGGCCAAACACACAAGACGTACTGCCAGTCACGGAGGCAATCTCTTTCCTCTTCCCATCCGCAGTGATCCTTACGACGCCGTTGTCCGAGTTCGTAGCAACGTACATGCTACCATCAGCGCCGAACGTGAGGTCGTCCGCCGATGTGCCCTGCCAGATGTTCTCGATGGCGCCCAATGAGTATTCGGCAAGGCCCCAGACGCTTCCCACAACACCCGCCGTCGCCTTGTCGGTGGTGTCGAGGGGGATCCTGTTGAGCGTCTTGCCGAATATGTTGGTGAAGTACACGAAGCCGTCGTGGTATCGCAGCCCGTCGACGCCGGCCGCGATGGGCGCGTCGGCAACAGGGGCCATGCTTGCGTCCTGGACCGCGATGCCGTACTCCCCCGTCGAGATGGTGAGCCTGTAGATTAGGCCTCGTTGCATGTCGCCGACTAGGAGGGTGTCTTCGTCGAGTACCGTGAGGCCGTTCAGGAACTCTGCCTCGGGCATCGTCTTGATGGTAGATACCTCCGGTGTGTTGCTGCCGGTCGTGAAGTCCACCTTCTGGACACCCCATGACCCGACCGTGGTGCCGGTGGCCATCGAGAAATTCCCCGTTATCACGGCGAATACGTCGTCGGCTATTTCTGTGATCCCGGAAGTCTGTAGGTCGCCGTCAAACGCGACGACCTTGGTTGCCTCCTTGGTCGATGTGTTGATGCTCCATAGCTCAGGTGCATCGAAACGGGTGACCAGAAGGTCGCCGTTGGAGCGTACGGCCAAGTTCTCGACCCAAGCTCCTGACTGGGTGAACTTGAAGAACGTCTGCTGCGACCCGCGTCGAGCTTCGAATATAGCTAGTACCAGTGGCGGTAGATAGGTGAGGATGGAGGACAGCATTTTTATGAGTGTCTTGCTTGGATAAGGGACGAGTGATTAGAAAGTACACCAAGCCGGATATCGTAACAATCTCGACGTTCAGAGTTCATGCCGTAACAGCACGAGGGGGATTGGCGTGTTTTGAATGTTCCCTCGCACCGATCGCCAACCGCGTATATCGGGAACTTCCGAATATAGGGGTAGCAACTAACTAGCAGGACCCTCTGCCGTGTTTCTTACCCTGGTCTGGATTGAGTAGACTGAAAAATTAATCAGTTTCGTAATGCCGGATTCTAGCTCAGTTCTAAAGCGATCGATAGCGTTGGACTAGGCGGCATCTAAGATGTGCGGCTCTGTAGCAGTGGGTCAGCTAGGCTTGTCCCGCGCCGATGCCGAGGCTATCGTCGGATCTTCTACCCCCTTTTCATTCACTTTCCGCGGGAGCTGTCCATGAACAGACAGCCTCCCGACCGCTCCCCTCGAAGTTATGACACACGGCGCAGAGACGAGATGAATTTGAGGTCCCCTTTCCGACCAACGAACATACATATGAGACGATCCTATCCCACGAGATCCAAGTGATCTGTCAATTTTGCGTTGGATTTCATAGAACAGCACCTTATTCTTGCTATTACTATGAGAACTAACTATATTTACAGCATATTACCCGTGGAGGTACCACCAGTGATAGATCAACATTCACAAGAACGCCCCGTTCGTGATCCATCTTCGCTTCACATACAATCAATCCCGCGCGCAACTTGCGTCCCATTGGGACCGCCCGTAGCGCCGGCTTTCGGGATACAAGAAGCAACAGTCGTAGTCGCAGTGAACATGGCATCCGCCCCTCCCGTTCCCGACGTGGGCGCGATGGTCGAGGTGACAAACGTCGACGGCATCGAAGTCGAGCCGGGGACACCACCCTGACCGCCGACGGGCACGGCGACGGGACACATGTAGCCTGGGTCGTCGGGGTTGCCCTGATCGGCGCGCTTGCTCGGGACGCCCGGGACGCCGCAGCCTGGTTCGATAGATGTCAGTACCGGCTGTTCTCGACTCCTGGGTACCTCCTGGGTACTGGATAGTTGGTAGGTTAGGTGGTACTAGGGTAGACTTACTATCCTGTTGCCCGTAGATGCCGTTGTACGCGACGTTGATGTCGTCGGGCATCGGGTACGGCAGGCTGACGCCACCGGGCAGCGCGAGTTGCCGGTCCATGGGAATGCGACGGTAGGCGAAGTCCTCGATGTGTCGCTTCAGGCTCAGACAGAGCGTCTTTCCTTGATCAGCGCCGCCATTCGGATTCCACCTGAACATGTCCTTCTCCAGGCCGAGGAAGTACGCAGCTAATCCCGCCTATGACTGCTGTTAGCGGAGGGACGTCTTCGCTGTGTTGGGATGTAAGTAGTAAACTGGAACATACCACTTGCGGAGCCGCGAAACTCGTTCCGAATTGCGCACGGTCGCGCGCTCCCGCCAGACCCATCAACTTGACGCCGTCGCCCATTGCCCAAACATTAATTTTACCGGGGCCGAAAGCCGGGCCAGAGCCAATCCCGACGGGAGACGTCCATGTGGTGTACCTTCCGAGCCCATCCGTGGAGCCCACGGTGAGGATGTTGTTGTCGTCACTTGCGAGGGAGGTGGGCAAGAATTGCGAGAGATCGCGCCAAGGCTTCGTGGGGTTATTCGGATAGAGTCCGTGGTTGCCCGCGGCTTGAACCCAGAGGACGCCAAGCTCCTCCAGTCTGGCGATGTTCCTGGCGTACAGGTCCTTGACGTTCTGCCAGTCCGGCGCGAACTCCTGAGCCTTGACTGTTCATGTATCAGCAGTGAAGATCTATGCTTATCTTCGAGCGGTTGGACTTACGGAATGCCGATGACACGACGGCTTTGCCCTGCAGGTTTCGGCTCACGATGATCTCGATGATCTTCTCGAACGACTTCTTGAGCGCCGGGGTCTGCCCTGCCGCTTGGCGGACTTTCCGGTCAGGGCCATAGTAAGCGTCGACGAGCTCGATCAAATACGGATCGGCTTTCGGTGCGAGTCCGTAGGTCCGGCCTACAGCCAAAGGGGCGACTGCGGTCCCGTGTCCTGCCCTGACACCATTACCATTGGGCTGCCGAGCCATCAAGATTAGCTTTCCACTCTTATGTGTATATAAACTTCCCTTTGGTGTATACTTACCGCATTGTCATTAAGACTGTCTTCAATACGGTCGCTGACGGCCACATCAGGCAGCATATCCTCAGGCGTGTTGTAGAAGGAATATCGATCAGGTTCAAAAATCCACTGCGATACTCCCATCTCTGTTTCCTGTGCAACTCGTCAGTACCAATGACGCATTTGCGCAGGAAAGCTCCATTGTAGACTTACGTAGACTGGATGCATGTCAAAACCCGAGTCCATGAAGAATACAGTAATACCTTCACCCCCAGAGTCGTCTCGCCTGTATGGCTGGTCCACTATAGGTCTGTTCTTGGTCGACTCCGCAGATATCAGGCGTTGATGCTCATAAGCCGGTGGCAGCGGATCTTCTGTGGGAACCCGTTTCCCAAGGTTGCTGCGGTTTGACTTTTGCGGTATCGAGGCACCGCCCTGGTCACCAGCCGTCTCTTCGTTCTCGATGTCGTTAGCCCAATAGGTCGCTATGTAGTCCTCCGACTCCTGCTGGTTCATGTGCCGAGTCACCGTCGCGACCAAGTCGTTCTGGTTCATGTACGCCAGCATAAGAGGAGAAGCTTGTGCCACGTCCATGCGCAGCGTGTAAGCTTGGCCGGTGCTGGGCCAGCTCCCAGATCCCATTGCGGGACCGGCAGACTTGTCCAGGAAATTGGTTATCGAGGTAAAATACCAGTCAGGCAGTTCTTGCTCCATGCCGATGTACCAACCCCTATCGCCAAAAAGGTCGATGTTTTTGGGGAGCTGAACTTGGAAGACAAGGTAGAAACCAGCAGCGCCTGAGACGACTTCGCCGCCGCCATTGTGTAGATCAGCTTCTCCTCCGGGCTGCGTCGCCATGTAGTCCTGTCTTGAATTCTTCAGGTGCGCAATCAGCTGAGGGCGGGATACCCAGCTGTCTCGTGCGAGAAATCTGGCGATGTTCAACAACCCCTCAGTCCTCCAGGACACCCTCTGGCAGAAATTATTTATACCCTGAAGACCTGAGAAGGCTTCATCGATATACTGCTGGGCTGTAGGCTGTTTGTCGGGCTGCTTCTTGGGAGCGTCGAGGAGCGAGATTTGGTTCATGAAGCCTTCCCAATCCTCCTGAGGTGCCGAGGAGAAATTACCAGCAACAACTCTGGCTGCGTCTAATAAATCGTCGAAAGCTTGGTCCTCGGAGCCGAGCAACTTGGTAGCTTCGGAATCGGACGGCGCATCATAACGAGCATAGAAGTCGAACAATGCCATGAACATACTACCAACAGGGTCTGTCATCGAGTTCGAGAACCCAATGTATCCGTTAGCGACTTTGACCGCATAATCCCGACCAGCCCCAGAAGGTGGTTGCAGGGCTGGAGATGGCAACGGTCGAGCATGAAAAGAGATATTGTGACCGTCCTGAGAAGGAATAATGCTAGGGGTCGGAAGAGGTGTAGCTGGGACACAGAAGACAGAACCACCAATCTCGACTCGGCTAGGAGAGATGGTCACCTCAGTGCCCAGGTCATCATTGAGCATCAAGTGCTGTGGATCCCCTGAAAGGGGGATATAATAGTCGTCGCCGTTTATTGAGACCATTTGTCTCGCGAATGACATCAGTCCGGGACATGGCGTCGATGTTGGCACCGCCGAAGTGGGCGTGGATGTGGACGACGGGCCGCTAGGGGAGTCCAATTCGCAGGTAACACTGGAAGAAGGAACACTGCCTGTTGCGGTTGGGATCACTGTGTCCGTTCCAGTCGGAGTCAAGGTGCCTGTTCCTGTCGGTGTCGGAACCGTATTTGAACCATTGCTTCCGCCGCCAGTGGGGTCCGTATGGTTGGGAGGAGGCGTATCGCTTGTTGGATGACTACCACCACCACCACCGCCGCCAGTAGGCTGTATACCGCCAGGAGGGGGGATGTTGCTTGTCGGGTTACTACCACCAGTGACAGGAGGAGGGGGAGGACCAACAGTGACAGGGGGAGGGGGAGGAGGACCACCACCGTCTGTGGGAGGAGGAGGAGCGACAACACTACCACCACCGCCGCCGCCTATTACGATAGGGATAATAGTACTGTTGCCCGCACTCGGCGTAGAAGTGACGGTACCAGGAGGCGGAAAGACAGTACCATTAGGGGGACTGGTTGTGTCTGGGGGCGGTATGATGGTTCCGGAGGGAGACTGAGTGCCCGGGGGAGGCAAGATAGTCACTGGCGGTGGCAGTATGGTACCCGGGGAGGACGAACCAGTATTAGGGGGCGGAATGATTGTGCCATTGCCAGATGGAGCACTGGTAGTTACCGCTGATGACGAGGCAGTGGTAGGGGGTGGAATGACTGTGCTATTGCCCGATGGAGTACTGGTAGTTCCCGCTGATGACGAGGCAGTGGTAGGGGGTGGCATGATTGTGTTCTTGCCCGACGGAGTATTGGTAGTGCCCGCTGATGACGAGGCAGTGGTCGTGTACGGAACCTCAGTGCCGTTGTTGATTCCCGGCCACGAAACAGTGCCCGTTGATGACGATGTAGTATCCGGGGTATAAGGTCTAGTGCTATGGGGCGGAAGCAACCCATCCCCAACCGGCGGGGGGCTGATAGGTCGAACGGTTAAGGCACTGGTATTCCACCAGGACGGCGTCGTGTATATGGATCCAATGTTACTGCTGTGGTGAGTTCTCGTGCTATGCTCCGTTGGCAGTGGAGTGGTAGTGGTGTTATGCCACAGCCGCGAAACACTGGTATTACCCGCTGATGACGAGGCAGTACTCCAGGCCACAGTTACAACAATGATACTGGAACCATCAGACGCGGTACTGTAACTGATGCCAGGCGTAGCTAGCGAGATGGGGGTGTAAGACAGCGACGAATAGCGAGTTTGAATGGAACCATCGGACGCGGTACTGGTATAGGTACTCCAGCTCGGTATAGGTATTCCGCTGACGGTAGGCAGATGCGAAAGGAAAGTCGTTAAGGAACCATCGGGCGCGGTACTGGTAATGGGGTGCGGCGTAGGAATTCCGTGTGTGGCCTCGGTAATCGGGAGAAGACTTTGTGACGAGATATGGACGGTGTCAGGCGGTGGAAGGATAGTCGGACAAGCAACGAGACTGGAACCATCGGACGCGGTACAGGGTTTGCTTGGAATAGGCATTCCGTGTGGGCCCGGGGTAATCGGGAGAAGACTTTGTGACGAGATATGGACGGTGTCAGGCGGTGGAAGGATAGTCTGAGACGGCATCGGAACAGGAAGTATCGTCAGAGTGCCTGAAGGAGTACTGCTGATTACCGGAGGCAGGAGGGTGCTCGAAGAGGGCGAATCGGTACCAATGGGCGGTGGAAGGACATGGCCTGAAGGAGTACCGCTGACTACTGGAGGCAGCACAGTACTCGAAGAGGGCAAATCGGTACCAATGGGCGGTGGAAGGACATGGCCTAGAGGAGTACCGCTGGCTACTGGAGGCAGCACGGTTCTCGAAGAGGGCGAATCAGTACCCGCGGGCGGAACGCCAGAGCCTGACGAGATACTGATGGTGGCAGGCGGCGGACTGATCGGAACGGGGGTGAAGGTGGGAATGATCTCAACGCTCGATGAGGATATCGTAGGAACTACTACATCGCTCGGCGAGACGGTAGGCAGCGTCCCCGGAGAAACAACCAAAACAGTAGAGTCCGCACCGCTAGCCTCAGGGGCAGCGGTCTGGGTCTCGGTGCCCTGGGTCCAAGAAAACGAGATAGTAGTCAAGCCGATGCCAGAAAGCGACACCGTAGTAGCCTCACCCTCGCCCAAAGTGAAAGTCGTGAGATGTCCCTCAGGGAGCGGAACGGCCGTGGTCAGGATGGGCGGGCCCTGGGCCGAGAGGGTCGTCAGGTGGCCCTCTGGCAGGGGGACGGTGACCTCGTCTCCGGGGGCTATGGTGTAGGTCGAGGTGCCGACCCAGGGTATGGTCAGTGTGTCGGTCACAGACGCGTACGTCGTAGGTTTGGGGGCACCAGTGGCGGCTGTAAGAGTTATAAGTGGTCAGCTTGGCGTTGCAAGTCTTCTATTAGTAGGTAGGTAGCCCCTGACTTACCGTTGACTGAACCGACACCACCAGCAATGGCGTACAAGAGCCATAGAGGCAAAACTCGAGCCATCGTATGGCAATCCATGGCAGTTGAGCTTCGGGCAAGGTCAAGCTGCGGTTGTATCACCGTGAAGCTACGTTGGGAGGCCGTTCTTAGCCAGATGATATGACTGTCCTGATCGCAGATGTTGGCACGAGAGAGAGTTGCGATTTATAGAGAAACCCCGAGAGAGGTCTGCTGAGAGTCAGATACATATAGATTCCCCCGAGTAGGGCGGCCATTGTCTGCTTCAACAATGTATTGCAGAGCTCCTCTGCCATGCCTACTGATGAGTGTGAGCGGAGCCCAGAGGGACAATTAATCACCTCTATGAAGCTGTGCTTGAATAGGAAATGGGTATTCATCAACCTCGAACGGAAAAAGAGTGATAGCGAATGAGGTGAGCCATTCGGACACCAGCGGTCAAACTGAGAATGTCGACCGGGACAGTGGATGTGGTCAATAAAATTAGCTACTCATGAGCTAGTCAAGTGGTGCAACATTCAGCAAACGTGCCTCGAATCACACTGAAGCCACTCATGACAGACCGGTTTCGTTCCACTCGACGTATGGTGTGGTGATCAATGCCTTTGAGATGACACTCTTTTCCGATATGCAGTTGTGACACCATTCATCCCGTGCTGCTCATAGAAAAGCGTCAATGAGATTTTCCAGGTTCGCCTCCTTGACTCTCCTCAGTGACGGCTCAAGATTTTTTGGGACCCATTCAGTAGTGCGGCCACCAGGGAGACCTGGTCTTTGCGGGACCACCTCCTTTTCGGAGCCGGCGAGCATCATACCGAGTGCTGTGCCCGAGAGCCAAGCCCAGACCATGCCGTCGCCATTGTAGCCTGCAGAAACCCATTCTCCGGGCTCTACCCCATTCTCCGTGCCCCGTGACGTCTCCGGTTTCCGCCCCGTCAGCTTGGGATGCAGCCTTCCGACAAAAGGCAGCATATCACCCGTCCCGCACACGATCCCGGACCAAGCCTGTTTCGTCCTGCCTCCTTCCGCGTCCGCACCCCAGTGCGGCTCGAAAATAGTCGGGAAGATACCGCTGATATGGGCAAAAGGCAGAGCCTCCATGCGACTGTCATCCCAGACGCCCATGCAGGTGAGGCCCTGGTCTTTGGAGCGGTCCAACCCGCCGCCCAGCATGATGTCGCCGGCCTTGCCGTCGATGTTGGGCCGCTGCGTGACGTAGTCGAAAGCCGCCGGCCCATACATAACGGACCATGACCTGGTGCCGTTGAGGTCGGGGAACTGCTTTCCCGGCCGCTGGGCCGACATGTGGGCCAGGAACCCGGCCATCTTGCCCCTCAGACCGGGAATGAATTGCGTTGCAAAGCCATTCGTGGCATGCACGACGTGGTTGCATCTGATGGTCCCACGGCTGGTGACGACCTCGTAGGCGTATCCCGACTGGGCCTTTGCTTCGACGGAAACAACGGAGGTGCCCGTTTCCAAGGAGAGGCTCTCCCCAAATTTGGACACAAGGTCCTTCCAAACACAACTGACGAATCTGAAGGGCCACATAGCGCCCGCCGTATATGAGATGGCGCCCTTGACATAAGAGTTCACCTCAAAGTTCTAGAGAAACCCATTAGTACAGCAAGCACCAAATTGCCATCATACCTTCCCACCGAGGGAGAAGACGACGAGACAGGCTCACCTTCTGTGCACCAACCCCATCCCAAATCTCGACCTCCAGCTCCGGGATCCACTTCCGCAGCTCCCTGACCTCCGCAAACGCCTTATCGCGGGCCTCATCGTCGAGATACAGATCCACGGTCTCGACCTCGCGACACTCGGCAACGTCCCAGCCCTCGGCCTCGCACAGCTGCGTCAGCACCCCCACGTGCGCGAGCTGGAACCGCGTCAGCGCCGCCGCGCGGTTCTCGCCCAGCCGGCCCCGCAGCCTGGCGAACAGCTCGTGCGGCGAGCTCTTCATGTGTCCGCCGTTGCGGCCCGTGGCGCCCGAGCAGAGGGTCCTCGCCTCGAGCACGACGACGCGCTGCGGGAGGCCTTTCCGCTTGCTCTCCTGCAGCACGGTGCGCGCGACGGCCGCGCCTGTGATGCCGGACCCGATGATCACGATGTCGGCTTCGCCTGGCAGGACCGGGGAGCGGAAGTCAACGAGCTCCGGGAATGGCGGGTCGTTTAGCCAGTACGACTTGGTCGGGTTCGGCACTGGCAGGCCCGGGGGTTCGCTGGCGCGCTTGAGGAAGTCCTGGAGGGATTTGTTGAGTTCGAGAAGGACTTTTACGGCTGTCCAGAGGGTTCTGGCTTGGGATTGGACAGCCCCCATCTTGATTATCGGCTTTTTGAAAGCTGATGTATTATCAATCTCTGCTCGCTGCTCTGATGGTTTGGAAGAAGAGAGCTTTATGAGGCGGGGAAGCCCGTGGTCCAAGACACAGATGCGGGATATATGACGAAGCAGAAAGAGCGCGAACCGGTTGAGGGACCATAAGAAAAGAATTCACAGCATTCAAGGCTAAACCTGAAGTCCAATAGAGGGGACTCTTTGCACACTCATGTCGTTCTTGCCAGATAGAAGCTCTGTGGTCCCCAAGCGGCTCTTCCCGCCATCCTGCTTATCCATTGTCGGAACGTTTTGGCGGGGGATTTGCTGCGCAAACCGGGTCTAAGGGTGAAATCCCAGGGCTTCACATAGAACAGTACATGCCACGGAATCCTTTGATGTTTTTTCATAAGAACTTCAAGACGGTTCTTTATATTTCAGTGTGAAGAAGGACGACCAAACCTGAGACGAGGTGAGTGTGAGAGCCAGAATCTGGGGTAAAGTGGACCGTGCAACGGCGAGGTGACAAACAAGACAAGGGTCCACAACAGCTCTCTCTCAATTTGCGGCTCCCGTCAACCTTCAACCTCAATCTCAACTTCATGAACAAGCACATAAAACATACAGAACTCATCAAGCGACTCTGTAACACACCAAGAGGATACCGAGATGAGAAACTGCCACCTCATCCTCAACATCTCTAGAGCCCGTCTTCAGGCACCTAGGGCCACCCTACCAAGCAGACTCATCTCATACACACCGGCCCCTTCCAGGCACTCATCACGGCCAGGCTCATCTGCATCTCAACAACCCAAAATGGCATCAACACCACCACAACAACCTCAACCACAAGAACAGCCATCAAAACCCATCCTCCCGCTCCCAGAGCCAGAAACTTTCACCCCCTCGTCCACCCCCACATCAACATCCACATCCACATCCACAACAACAAACCTATCCCTCAACGGCGACGGCGTCAAGCTCGACCACATGGGCCCCATGGTCGTCAACGCGGACGGCACCCTGAGCCGCATCGCCAACTGGGGCGAGATGGCCGCCGTCGAGCGGGAGAACACGCTGCGGATCCTGGGGCGGCGGAACAAGACGCGGTTGGAGGCGTTGCGGAAGGCGTCGGCGACGGATGATCAGGGGAAGGCGGAATAGGGGGAGGGAAAAGGAGGACTAGGGGAGGGAGGGCTGGTGGACTTGGGAAGCTCGGGACGGGCGGCGCTGCGGAGGTCAGATGGATGGATGGATGGATGGGGAAGTTCCAGTTAGGTGGGTGAGCTCGTAGTCGACAGGTGCGCGTAAGGTCGATGGGTGCGCGTGAGGTCGTGCGATCTTGAGCCATCACGCCGCTCAGAGCGCAGCTTTGGTGGCTCAGGTCTCGCGTGCTTGGCTCCCGTCCCGGACTACCGACTGGATGAATAGATGCCATAGCCCTAGCCATTGCGTGCTGATGAAACAGCAAATCGGGACATGGAACAAACGGTGACGAATACAAACAACAGACTTCTCTTCTTTCTCATCTATCTAGAAGAGACACGGCACCTAGGACTCGCCTCTCGCATAAACACAGATAATTATATGTACGCCCACCTACCTACCCACCCCACTCTAAAGCGGTCGAGTCAAAGGTCATGAATGATGACGGTAAGAAGAGACAAACCGAGAGCCCCCTATTCGCAATTAACAGTGAGGGTCGTCCCAAGATCTACGTGCTATATAGCGCCCATGGTGACGACGTCCATATATCTACCTACTTGCAAACACCCATGTACGCCTAGGTATTGAAATCTTGATATAGGCTTAGAGTTGACTGTGGACAACCTGTGTCTGTATGTAATATGGTTGACCATATTCGTGAATTTCATAAGCCGGCGCTGAGCGCGGGTCTGTACTCGCGTACATGACTTCTCAGCCAATTATGGTAGTCAAGGTCCATGACCAGCCAACAGACAAGGCCGACAGACAGCCTGGACCACATACAAGTCCCTTCATCAATGGCCAACATGATTGATTGGCTGACTAACGGCTTGGGTCAGACTATCCTCGCACCCGCTACAGGGCCGTCTTGCAGGGAAGACTCCAACATCCGTTGCCGTCGCTGGCGGGACGAGGCCCGCATATCATATATTCAAGCCTCGAGAGCTTACGAAAGGTCGCTAATAAATCAAATGATGATATCCCCCGACACCCCTTGCTGTCCGGCCCTCGCCCAAGGGCGCATCTGCTCCCTGAATATTCCCTGCCGACATAACGCCGATACCTAGTTATAAGCACTCGTCTCCCACGACTTGTGATATATCGTAACAGATCATGCGTTGACGTCGGCCTTCTCTTTCGACTTGCCCTCGGACGAATCTTTCGACGTCGACGATGGCTTGCCGGTAGATCGCTTGTCAAGTAGTGCCTTGACTATCGACTCGCTGCCACCAGTCTTCTCCATAACAAGTTCTCGTAGCCACTTATTCTCGGTTTCCAGTGATTGAATCCGACCCTCGAGCGAAGAGACTTTGTCGGCAAGATCCTTCTCGCGCTTCTCCAATGCCTGCTCACGAGCCTTCTTCTTAACTCGGAACCGGGCGCTGGCAGCCGTGTTCCGCCTCCGCTTGTCCTCCTCGGCGGCGAATCGTGATTGTTCCTCGAAAGACAGCTGCCGACGTGACGGAACAGGGGCGGCATCGGGTTTCCCTTTCTCTCCAGACGCGTGCAGTTGTGGGCCGAAAGCATTTTGCTGGGCCCCGTTGGGTGGAAATGTGGGCGAGGGCTGGATAGGCTGCAAGTTCAGGTTGTCCGAAAACGCGGAGACATTCGGCGTCGAATATGGGTGGAAATCGAAGCCATTGAAGTCGCCTGAAGTCATGGCGTTCTGTTAGATGGTTTGGCGCAATTGGTAAAAACATTAGAATCAGTAGCGCGAGCGAGGGATTTCTGAGGTGCTTGGCACCATCAATGACGACTTCGTCTCAAGAATGGGGATAACTCTAAGCCATGGTGTGCGTGCGTCGACGACGTTGGGACGGGGTCGAGTCGCCTTGCCATCCCCAGACGTGAGCAGGCAATCCCTACGATCACCTCAAGATCACGGGATATTGCACCATAGCTCGATTGCGCCATAGCGGGCTGTTCTGTCGAATGCGGGTTGCGAGCAGGGGTGGTGCAGATTGCAGTTTGCAGTTCGCAGCAGGAAACCCCAAAGCCACCGACCACCGAGGGGAATGCAACCTGAGGCTGACATGCCAATCAGGTCTCAATCAGGTGCATGGGTGAGGGAGGGCATGCAGAGTGGGGGGTGTGGCACGACGAAGGGCGTGCTGGTGATAAGGCAATGCCCTCCGCTTGGTGGACGCAAACCAATCGCCCTTTTGCCACGGGGCGCGCGTGGGAGGAAGACAAGTTCGGTTTGAAAGGGGAGCAGTTGTGGTGTCACAAACGGGTTGTGTGATGAGCTGAAGGTGGTCATGGTTGTGGTTGTAAGGACTTCCAACGTTGTTGCGCAATGATGCTGCACACTGCGGGGGGACAAACGAGACAGACAACTGAGCCAATAGCGACTAGCAATTGCTCGACGGTGCGAAAAGGCGTGACATGATCGACGGCAGCGATGAAGATGATGGAAATGCATGTCGCACTTACCTCCCAAATTGAAATCGAAACCTGGTATTTCTGCTCCTGCCATCGACTCGGAGGAGACGGCCTCAGTAGGCGAGGTGGTCGTGGATGACGGTGTCTCAGCCTCGACAGCGACAGGCGGCGGCTGTTGGGGACCATTGCTACGGTTGTGTCCGGCATCCCAATCAATGAAATTCGTGTTGGTGAACATAGCCAGCTCATCGTCGAGGCTGCGGAGGTGCTCCTCGGGCTGCGGCGCCGGCTCTGGGACGCGGTTCAGGTCCTGCAGCAACTGGGACACGTTGACGGGCTGGCCGCGACGGCTATAACCTGCCATATCGACAGCTTATCGGGCTCGGTTTCGATTTCGTGATTGACGGTGCTGTCTTGTGCGGTCGTGGCTCGACCTCAACCCCGGTAGGCGATGGCGATATGTGTGGTGTGTGGTGTGTTGTCCTCTCGTTGCTTGACAGATGGCGTTCTGTCCCTTTGTTCCCTCCTGGATTCCAGATTGGTAATTGTTGTAGTTGGCAGGATTTGTTTCGTGTTCCGAGCGGCGGGCGCACTACAAAAGTTTGGTCCACGGGGTGTGTCTTGTGTGTGTGTCAAGACTCTCGAACCGGTGGGTCGAAAGAAATGGACTCAACACAGCAGACAAAGCGAGTCACCGAGGTCCCCAACCCTCGAAAATGGACCGAAAAGTGCTGACGGACCGTTGACGTTAGGACCGATCGTACCCGTGCTAGTCCGAGTCCTCCCAGCTAATAATTATGATGAGGTAATCGGTCAAGGTCGTAATAGGTACTCTTTCTTGCTCATAGAAATGTATATTCCGCAGTGTAGCAGGAATGCTTGATACACGGGCAGTGTGTGGGAAGAGGGGGGAGAGTGAAGATGGTGATATGGTTGCAAGTCATCCCAAAGAGGAGTTCATGATATGCTGCGGTGTACCGAGAGCAGAGCCCGTGGGTGGCTTTTTCTCGGCCACTTTTCTTGGCTTGGGGGTGTTCCCCTCAGCTCCTTCACCAAGTGGCAGCCAGTGCTCATGCCATCCAATCAGATTGCCAGAACTGGCCGCTAACCCCCGCGGCGCGCCTTTGCGATCACTAATGGCTATCACGATCAGTGCTGACTGCCCCGCAGAACGCAGTCCAGCGACTGCACAATCCTTTGGAGTCTTGGACGGCGCCGATTCCCACGATACTCCGACTGCTGTGATGCATATTACCAGCTGCCCGGCAAATTATCTTCACCCTTCAATGCTCACTCACGGCTAGGATTGTTGGAAATCAAGTGCTACATCTCCAACTTACCCCCCGAAACCGCAAGCAACGATTCAAGAAACGAGCTTATCATTCTGGTATATCATTGTCCCAAATGCAAGTCCCTCAGTCAGCCATATCCTCGAAACATACCACATTAACACTAACCTGGCGTCTCACAAGCCAAACTGTTCCCAAGTGTCGCCGGCGCGAAAGGCGGGCCATATCTACAATCTATGATGATCATGAACTTGACGATCTGACCTAAGCACCGCGGAACCTGTTCTCCGGGCAGCAGAAACTAGTCCAACAAGCCCTGGGCGTTTTGGTCGCGCACGAAGAATACCATGTTGACGTCAACTATCTCTATCTCTGCCGTGTCGGTCATGTCTTTCCAAACCCTCCAGTAGTTGCACACCAATGATCAGAGCTCGCATTTGCTTGCCCGACACACGATGACCCGGGCCTGATTGATCACCCTCATCATGATGGTTCCGCTATCGGCTGTGGGCCGTGGTGCATACTGCGTACTCCAACTGCTTCATTTATTACAACGCCGGCGCTTTCCGCCTACGATGTTGGATTTATAATCACCCCTCAGTCCGCGGAACACCATATTCTTTGAAGAGCCCGGTGTGCTTACGAATCCCCGGCCCCCTCAAGCTGTACCAGTGAAGCCCCTGAGTGCATGTCGGCGCATCGGAGCGGAGTATAATCATACGCCGTGGTCGACGTCTCATCAGATAAAAGAGTCGACGGCAGTGATGTTACGTTCCCTCGCCATGTAAGACAGTCAGCTCATTTGACGCCTCAGTTCGCGGGGTGCATGATGGCGGGATACCCAAAACAGTCATCCTTGTAAGCTTGGGGTCGTCGTATTGCCGCTCTCGTTCAAATCTGACATTGGCTACATGCGACTCTGGTCTAAGTGAATGCTATCAAGGTCAGCACTCTTATTCGGACGTGAATCAGAGACAGGTTGAAGACATCATTATCCTGTATAGATGCCTTCCTTCAATGACACGCTATAGGTAAGTAGCTGCTCGAGCTGTCGTGAGGTTCAAAGGTCGTTGGCTACACCCACCAGATATTCCACAGCTCTTCCCACATGTGTACAGTCCATCAAGACAATAACTATTTTCAACATGACAAACGCACGTCAATTGCATCAAAGTCCGTGTCCTCTTGAGTGGCAGTCCGCACCAAGTTGTAGTGTACAGTCAAGACCACCCCCAAGTCACATTACCCACTGTGAAAGACCAATTGTCATGCTTGGAACCACTCTAGGCCAAAGATGGAAGGCTCTGATTGGTTAGATAAGTGGCTATAGGACACCGAATGCCGTCACGGGTGATCCCGGATGTACTGTACCTGATTTTTGGTGAGCTGGTGCGGACTGCCACTCAAGGGGATAGGGTAGTACTGTTGTCATATCTCTAAACTACATGATTTTGCGTAGGCGGCAGGAGCCTTCTTCTGCAGTCTGCAGATAAGATAGCCGTACATGTACGACGACGCGTCGCGCGTCTGACAACATTGAACATCCCACCATCTCCATCACGTCCCAAACAACACCACCAAAACGCACATGAAGCCCCTCAATCACAGCAGAACAGTAGATGCTGCATCCCAACTGCGCTCTCCTCACCATCCAGCGTAGGTAGCCATGGCGGCGCGCCTTTCCGTCCCAACAACCGCCCGTCTGCCCTCCTCACTGCGCGTCAGCCCCTCCAACCCAGCCGTGCTAAGAGTACTAAACCGACTATCACGGCCCTCGCTCCTGTCTCTCGTCCTCGACTGGCTGGATCCGAAGAACCAGCGACTATGCCCACCCGTCCTGCGCCCGCCTCCAGAGAACCCCGACGACCCTGAAGACGACGATGACGACGATGACGACGATGACGACGAGTTCTTCGACGACCTCTACCCGCCCGCGCGCTCACTCGCTAAGCTGCAAGAGACATACGAAGACATGCAGACGCGCAAGGGCAGCCGGCGCGAGGTGGTCGACCGCGTGCTCGAAGGCGACTGGCGCCACGGCATCAGCCTGTACCAGCTTGCCATGGCGGACCAGCAATACCTGTACGACCACCCAGGATCGCTGAAATGGGCGTGCTACAAGATCGCGAAACTGCAAACACCAGACCACGAGGACATGGCCGACGACGACGACGCGCCCGAGAAGCTCGACCGCGAGACGCTGGCCGTACCGCGCTTCCACCCACCGACGTTCCTGCAGAACCTGCAGGCCGAGGTGCTGCCGGACGTCAAGGCGCACTATAACTTCGACCGGCCGCGCGGCGGGCGCCAGCCGCTGCTGCTGCTGCGCATATTCGTGCTCGAATCGCCGTACAACACCGAGCTGGCCGTGACGTCAGCCGCAGGTTCAGCCGCCGTCAACCGGCCCGGCATAGGGAAGACCACGACGACGTTCGACGTCTCGCGCACCATCTACATCGCGTTCCCCGACGACTCGCCGCACGTCTTCGTCTCGAAGCCGCAGAGCACAGGGGCCGGGGGGTCCGCGACGGCGGGCGAGACGCGCTCGCTGCGCGCGCTGGTAGTCGAGGGCGTGCCCAAGGCGCTGTCGCGGCCGCGCGAGCGCTACGCCCTCAGGGCCACCAACCTGGAGACTAAGAACTTGGACGCCATGCTGGCGGTCAAGGGCGCGGGCAGGACGAACGCCGCGCAGGGCGGGTGGAGCATCTACGCGGCTGGCGACAAGGCGGAGGGGGCGGTGGTGGCTAACGACAGTCCCCTTAATGCTCTTCTGCCTACGCCACCACTATCTGTGATCGTGGAGGAGGACAAGGACGAGAAAGGGGATACAACATTGGAAGCAAGTGTAGAAGTCCGGCAGCAAGAGGCGAAGAAGCGCAAGCGCCCGTTAGATCCCGAAGAAGCGAAAGAAGGAAAGGAGCGCAAACGCAGCAAGCTCGTCGCCCAGGCTCGGTTCGGCGACTCGGCGCAGATCGACGACGGGAAGGGCATCGAGCGCTTCGACATCCGGATCGAGGATCCGTTTCCCGGCCTGCTGCCCGTCGAAGAGGATAATGAGGATGAACGAGAAGCAGACGGGCACGACGAAGCCCGCGGGCGCAAGAAATCCAACAAGGGCCGCAAGAACAACGTCGATGCCAGCCTCCTGCAAGAAGAAGACCCAGACGAAGACGAAGAACAACGAATCCCCGATAACTCCACCCGCGACGAGACTGCCCGGGGAGGAGATAAGCAACACAGTAGCGAAGGCACCAACAACAAGTGGCGGCCCATCGTCCGCCTGACGTTCCACGGCCCGCATGTCTTCGCCGGCGTGCGCCAGCTCGTCGAGGCCGGCGTCATCGACAGCGCGCGCATGCCCGGCTGGATGACGGGCGAGGAGGGCGTCTCGGTCGGCGCGGTGCGGCATGGGCGGATACGGGGACATAAGGGGTCGGGGATGTAGATTCTTCTACTCTCTCTGGTGTGTGTAGTGGTTCGTGTGTGGCTTGGCTTTTTGGGTGGGGTATTGCCGTGGGTGTATTGCATTGCATTCGATGGCATTACATTGTGTTTGTTGCATTGTATTGCCTCTATTCACGAGCATGTATGTACGGGACGGACGGTGAACAGGTTTAAAGGGTCATATGTGTATGGCATAGCATGGCATGGCATGGCGTTTTGGTGGATTTGCATCATCGTGTTGCACTGGTATGTACCCATATTGAGTGACGAAACGAGCCTTTGCTCCTTACCTTGATCAGACATACGATTCTCGTGCATTGCGCCCCTATATCCATCCACCCATCCATCCGTCTATGCTCTTCTACTCCTGTGCTTTCGTACTCTCTATCTCTCCGCCCTGTACTCTCTCCCTCTTCACCACGTCTTCCAGTCTTCCATTCCACAGATCTACTAGGTAATTACTTGTCCTCCAGACTAAACACCCTCGTAGTATTCCGCCACGCCGCCTCGCACACCTCCTCCACGGACACGCCCTTGATGCCCGCGACGATCCGGCCCATCCTCTCGATCGAGCACGGCTCGTTGCGGCCCTTGACCATGGCGCCCTCGACCCATTTTTCTCTTTTGACCGTCTTGAACCGTTCGGGGACATCGGGCTCTTTCTTTTGTGGCTTTTTCTTGGATTGCCTCTTTGCTGGGGGTGGAGGCGCTTGGTGTTCTGGGGTTGGTGTCGATATTGATGTTGATGTTGAGGTCGACGTGGAGGTCCTCTCATTATCGTTGCTGCCGTCAGCACGCTTCGTGGGCTCAACCAGGTACTTCCAGCCCTCATGACTAGGCCTGACCTCGCACCACGGCCCATCCGTCTCCAACATCAACCTATCCATCTCGATCTGCCCGACCACGGCGCAGTTCTCAGCCGTCTTGAAGCTGCACCCGTTAACCCCAATATACAGCCCCAGGTCCATCAGCTCGCGCATCTCGGCCGCCGTGCCCGTGAAGCTGTGCACCACGCCGCCCCTTTCGAGTTTTTGGAGGCGCGCGCCGAATTTCTCTTTCAGGAGTGCCACGAAGTCGCCGTGCGCGGCCCGCGAGTGTAAAAAGAGCGGGAGTTGCGGCTGCAGGGAGAGCACGAGGTCCAGCTGCGCGGCGAACGCGTGCAGCTGGATGTTGCGCGAGCAGTAGTGCAGCCGGTCGTAGTCTAACCCGATCTCGCCGAAGGCGACGAGGCGCGGCGTGGGGGGCGTCGTGCTACTGCCCCCCCGACGCGATTCCGAGATCAGGTTGCGCAGCGCGGATATGATCTCCGCCATCTTCTCCGGGCTGGGCTCGTGGTCCTCTTCCGGTACGGGCTTGGATGGGTCGGGGTCACACGGCGTCGTGTGGCCGTCTGTGTCTGTGTCGTCCTCGTGGCCTGCGAGTGACTTGTTGCTGAATATGGCGCTTGAACACGGGTGGATGCCCGCTGTGGTATATACAGCGCCGGCTTTATCATCGTTTGTTAGCTAGTTCTCGGCGCGCCGCTGTGTCTGTCCGGACGCGGAGCTGGTTCTGGTTTTTACTCACGGTACTCCCCGGCAATCTCGAGGGCGTGTCTCGAGGTTGCGAGATCGGAGCCGGTGACGATCAGCTTATGGCATCCCACTTCTTGCGCGCGCGAGATCACGGCACTGAGGTCGTCGGGGTGCCGTTGGGTGCCGTGGTATTTCCCCCGGAAGATTGGATCGGCCAGGTTGATGCCGATCTAGCGGGAATGAACTAATCAGCATTGGCAACTCGAGGAAGAGGGAAAGGGGCAGAGAGACGACTGTGAAATCATGTATGGGACACGGATACTTCATGTTGTGTTGAATCCGGGAACCTCGTTTAGATGATAGAGAAGGGAACTGTCGAGGCATTCCAGTGGTGAGGTGTGACTTACATCGATGTACCTTGGCTTGTAAGCTGAGTCGCTGGCCATGGTCGAGGCGGGCGTACCGGTAGAGCTGGGCGTCTCAGAAGCCATCCTTGATATTGAAGACGAAAGGGTTCTCCCAGGGCGTCTTGAAACAGGCAAGCGATGCGCACCAGAGCAGGCGAAACGATCGATAATGACTTTTCTTGTGATCATATCATGGCGCTTTCACAACGCTCTGTATGGACGTGAGATGAACGTGCGATGATTCAGGATACAAACGTCCACTAGTCGGCGTCGTGTACGAGTTATCTATGTCGAAGAGCAGCAGCAGTCAAGCGGCGCAGCTACGTTCGAAATTGGTGTTCGACTCACCTTGCAGGCTTGTACTAAGGTGAGTAGTACGGTCCAAATTCGAGCTGAGGATTGCCTTGCCTTTCAGCTCCTGGGCCAAGATCTCGGGCTGAGCTGAGGTGGCACTGGCACGGTGAGTGAGGGAGAAATCTGCCACCTGCAGTTCAGGCCGCCTTCGTAAGACCCATTTATTCTAACAGTGGACCACCAGCTGCCGCGTCTATGTCCAGCTGCCCTCACACAAGAGTGACTTCTACACTCCGTTATACATTACCCGAGTCGAACAACGCACCCGGAAACAATCTCTCGACACGACCACGTTGTCAGCGAAGTTTGGTATGCTACTGAAAAGTCCTGTTGCGTTGCAGTCGTTGGGTAAAGTAGCGACGATCGCAGATAGGAAATACCCGAATCCTACACCGCAGGACTCCGCAAGCGGTGGGTGAACATAGCGACCTGGCTAAGGTATTTACTTCCTTTTGCCAACTAAGCCTACGAATGCCCTCATAGGTACATCAAAGCAGAATTGTATTGGTTGTATTGATAAGGACCAGATCTACGCCAATCCAATCGGAAGACACCCTAATGACCGTTTTATCTCGCGGGAAGTTCGGCTCGGATCTTATTGCTAGCCCGAGTACAGACACCGGATGTCTAGTAGTGTTCCGTCGGGAAGCAATCAATGACACCGTTGATGGAGGTTGTACACCGCCCGTTAGATCTGTGGATGTACATCGGGGCTAAACAATAGATCCGTGTTGCATAACAGGTTGGTTGCATAATATCAAGGGTCCTCGTTTTTTTGCGTGAGAATTGGTTGAGCACCGGGGACAGTCCCCTGCGCATATTGGATGTGCCGCCGTTGCCAATAACTGCAGTAGCGGCGCGCATCCCGCCGCACTTGAATCGTCATGGCCGTCATGTCCGCCATGGATATTCGTCTAATCTTGCCTGCACAGATGTGATCGATATGCCCGGGTAGGGTTACATTCAACGAATGTTTGAGAGGGGGCTTTGGCGCACGCCTGGTTTGAGAGATCTTGAGGTCTAATGCACTCCTACGGAGATATGACGACGCCGCGACGTCTCCACGACGTCTCCGCGGCGTCAGAGTCATGGAAGGGGTCTTGTCGACGAATATGTTAACACACCCGAACTCAATCCTTTCTTGTCTTCAACCATTCTCAGCACAGCATAGCTAGCAGTTCGCAAAGCACTCGACGTTCCAGAAACTCAACCTTCACGTCCCCATAAACTCGTACACCCTTATCCATTACACACAAGGTTCATCTTTGGCATCCAGCACAATGGGCAGACACCGTGAAGCTCAGCCAGACGGGGCCCTGCGTCACCACCACGAGGAGCACTTCCATCTGAACGAGCTCGAGACGCACCTCGTGGCCGCGTCGGGCGAGTTCGTCGGCACCTTCTTCTTCCTGTTCTTCGGCTACGCGGGCCACCTGATGGTGGTTGACCTGGCGTCCCAGACGCCCGGTGCCAGTGCCATCATCTACATCTCGCTCGCCTACTCCATGTCGCTGCTGGTCAGCGTCTGGGCCTTCTATCGGATCAGCGGTGGCTTGTTCAACCCTGCGGTACGTTTTTTTGGACCAACTCGATGTGTTCCGATATCGTCGCAGAAACTGGGTTCAGCTAACTACACGACTTCTACATTACCCTAGACTGACGTTCCCACAGGTCACACTGGGCATGTGCACCGCAGGCCAGCTCCCCTGGAAGCGCGGAGCATTTCTCTTCCTAACGCAACTCATCGCGTGCATGGTCGCCGGCGGAGTCGTCAAGGTGCTCTTCCCGGGCGACATGGCCTCGATCAACACGCTGCTGGTCCCCGGCGTCAACACCGCGCAGGGCCTCTTTTCCGAGATGTTCTTCACGTCGTTCCTCGTCTTCGTCGTGCTCATGCTCGCGGCCGAGAAGTCGAAGGACACGTTCATCGCGCCCGTCGGTATCGGGCTCGCTCTGTTCGTGGCCGAGATACCTGGTAGGTCGCTCGCTCTCTCTCTTTCTCCCCCTACCTACACGGCCTACCTCAGAACAGATAGGCCACGGGGTTGAGGCTGTTCGAAACTGTGAGCTAGGCTGATGTTCGACCGTGTAGGCGTCTACTTCACCGGCGGTTCACTGAACCCGGCGAGGAGCTTCGGCTGTGCCGTAGCCGCGCCGTCATTCCCCCACTACCACTGGATATACTGGCTCGGCCCTGCGATGGGAGGTGTACTCGCGGCTATATATTTCCGCTTCGTCAAGGCCTGCCATTACGAGGAGGCCAACCCGGGGCAGGATGCGTCGCAGCCGTCTTCCGATGTTGGCGAAGTTTGAGGGGGTATTCTAAATACTCCATGTTATTTGATACGAGCTCTGGATTTATACCTTGACCTGGAAAAGTACTGAGGGGTCTGGTTATTTGTGTGAGCGGGCAGGCTTGGTAACCGATTTAGCATTGGGAGTTCTTGAGAGTTACTCTACAGCGAACGCTGAACTAGACAATGAACTTCCAAGTATCACGGCGTTTAGCAATGAGGGATGCAATTTGGGATAGATTCAGTCGTCGCAGCATATGTCGTACACCAATGATAGGTATCATATCTCACACGTAACCCTCTGTCATTCAATGTCTAGGTATTTAGAGGTCCAACGTCTCCTTCGGCAACCGGTACGGCAATGTTGCCCAGAGCATCTGAAATTGCCAACTGAACCAACGTAACAACTGCCCTCTGGATCTCAAAGAGTTACGCCATCTCGAACCAACATCAAATTTCGTGAACCACAACGGTGACCACGCGAAATCGGCTGTAGCGGGGCAGTGGGGCCTAGAACGTACCGATGCATCCCGGAGAACCCGGCCAGCCGGCGCCGTGTATCATGCTTCACACATCAGTCCCAGATGGAGGCTCAACAGAGAAATACATGGTAGAAAGATTCACTGAGCAACAGGATTGAATATGTACTGTAGTTCACTCGACATTCAAAGTGCTTGTAATTAGCGCACGGATATGAAGTATGACAGACGGGAAGGGATCATGGGATGCATATTGGAAATCCGATCCAGCGTTTGACAAACTCCACTTAACCCCACCATGACAGCCCGCGTCTGCGGGTGGTAATGCGCGTGGACGCGTTGAGTGGTTGGTTACTTGACCCACGGGCAGCTGAGTAATTCAGTAATCCCCACCTGCTCCTGCAGGCTGCCAGGCGGGTTCGGCACCTGCAGCCTGCTGCATGACGCTCCCTGCGGCCCTCTGTAACTGCTGGAACTGCAGGTGACCCCTGTTCCGATGGGTTGACCCGAGCTGGTGGTGTTTTTCGACGCGCTAAAGTGGTAGGTTTGACGCGGTCGACACGCAAAGTCGCGTTCCTACTTAAAAGAGCCCACGCTGAAGTGTGAAGTGCATCTCCTTTCTCCATCTTCAACCCGACACCTTCAACCAAACAAACAAACAAACAAACCACATCTTCCCCCTCCCAACTTCTTGATACCCATTTGCTTGGTTGGCATTGAGGTTGTGTTTCCTGTCTCATATCTACAATTCTCTACACACGTCTGTTGTCCCTGTGTGTTGCCTGATTCTATCATCTCGAGTCCTGCCCGCCAACCTCCCTTTTCCGCGTCGACCGCAGCCCACGCTTCACAATGTATGTCAAGAAGCGCGGTAAGTCATCTCCCAATCTTCTCCTCTGTCGTGCCCGTCACTGACATCCCTCTAGATGGACGCCAGGAGCGCGTCCAATTCGACAAGATCACTGCCCGTGTCTCCAGATTGTGTTACGGACTGGACGCCGACCATGTCGACCCAGTTGCCATCACCCAGAAGGTCATCTCCGGAGTCTATGGAGGTGTTACCACAGTACAGCTTGACGACCTGGTACGTCTCTGCAACCGAGCCTCTATCCATTGTGTTTTCTAACCATGCTTCGCCCGACAGGCAGCCGAGACCGCCGCATACATGACCGTCACCCACCCAGACTATGCCATCCTGGCCGCGCGTATTGCCGTGTCCAACCTCCACAAGCAGACAAAGAAGCAATGGTCTTCGGTCATCAGTGATCTCTACCACTACGTCAACCCCAAGAACAACAAGGCATCGCCCATGATTGCTCAAGAGACGTACGACTGCGTAATGAAACACAAGGAGGAGTTCGACTCTGCCATCGTCTACGACCGAGACTTCAACTACCAATACTTCGGCTTCAAGACTTTGGAGCGCTCCTACCTCCTCAAGCTCAATGGCAAGATCGCCGAGAGGCCGCAGCACATGATCATGCGTGTTGCGGTTGGTATATGGGGCGATGATATTGAGAAGGTCATCGAGACCTACAACCTCATGTCCAGCAAATATTTCACTCACGCCTCCCCAACTCTCTTCAACGCTGGAACACCCCAGGCACAGCTGTCCTCCTGCTTCCTCGTTGACATGAAGGATGATAGCATTGAGGGTATCTACGACACCCTAAAGACTTGTGCTATGATCTCCAAGATGGCAGGTGGCATCGGCCTCAACGTTCACCGCATCCGCGCCACCGGCTCATATATTGCCGGCACCAACGGCACTTCGAACGGCATCGTGCCCATGCTTCGTGTCTTCAACAACACTGCCAGATATGTCGACCAGGGCGGCAACAAGAGGCCTGGTGCTTTTGCCATCTACCTCGAACCATGGCACGCGGATGTCTTCGAGTTCCTCGACCTTCGCAAGAACCATGGCAAGGAAGAAGTCCGTGCTCGTGACCTTTTCCTTGCTCTCTGGATCCCCGATCTCTTCATGAAGCGTGTTGAGAAGAACGGCGACTGGACCCTCATGTGCCCCAACGAATGCCCTGGAATGGCTGATGTCTACGGCGACGAGTTCGAGGCTCTCTACGAGAAGTATGAAGCCGAGGGCCGTGGCCGTACGATCAAGGCCCAGAAGCTCTGGTATGCCATCCTCGAGGCACAGACTGAGACCGGAAACCCTTTCATGCTCTACAAGGACCATTGCAACCGCAAGAGCAACCAGAAGAACTTGGGTACCATCCGCAGTTCTAACCTCTGCACTGAGATTATCGAGTACTCTGCACCAGACGAGGTCGCTGTCTGCAACCTGGCGTCTTTGGCATTGCCGTCTTTCGTGGACTACAACGCTGGTGTCTATGATTTCCAGAAGTTGCACGATGTTACCCAGGTGGTTGTTCGCAACCTGAACAAGATCATTGATGTCAACCATTACCCTGTCCCGGAGGCGCGCAACAGCAACATGCGACACCGTCCCATCGGTCTTGGTGTCCAGGGTCTTGCCGACGCTTTCCTTGCTCTCCGTATGCCTTTCGAGTCGCCAGAGGCTCGGCAGCTGAACAAGCAAATCTTCGAGACTATCTACCACGCTGCCTTGACAGCATCGTGTGATATTGCTCAGGTCCAGGGCACTTACGCCACGTACGAAGGTTCTCCTGTCTCACAAGGTATCCTTCAGTACGACATGTGGAAAGATGTCACGCCATCAGACCTCTGGGACTGGGAGGGCTTGAAGGCACAGATCAAGCAGCACGGTATTCGCAACAGTCTGCTCATGGCTCCCATGCCCACCGCCAGTACCTCACAGATCTTGGGCAACAACGAATGCTTCGAGCCCTATACCTCCAACATCTACTCTCGTCGTGTTCTGGCTGGCGACTTTCAGGTTGTCAACCCTTGGCTGCTGAAGGACCTTGTCGACATGGGTCTTTGGTCTGACAACATGAAGAACCGTATCATCGCCGATGGAGGTTCCGTCCAAAACATTGCCAGCATCCCTGCCGAGGTCAAGGCTCTGTACAAGACCGTCTGGGAAATCTCCCAAAGGACAGTCGTTCAGATGGCTGCCGACCGCGGTGCTTTCATCGATCAGTCGCAGTCTCTCAACATTCACATGAGAGATCCTACTATGGGTAAAATCACGAGCATGCACTTCGCCGGCTGGAAGCTTGGTCTCAAGACCGGCATGTACTACTTGCGTACCCAGTCTGCCGCTCAGCCTATTCAGTTCACCGTTGACCAGGCTGCTCTGAAGGTCGTTGACTCACCCACCGCTAAGCTCGGCGCGTTGAAGAAGCGAGCACCGCCCTCTGGCAGCTACGTGTCGTCGCAGAACACCGGTGTCCCCAGACCTGTATACGCCAAGAGGGAGGATTCGAACAGCAACCTCAACGCGTCGGATCTTAATGGGGTCCCAACGCCGAGCGCCACCCCGCCCCCGATGGGCGTGGCTAAGGCAGGGAACACAGTTGCTGTGCCTGCAAACCCTCCTCCTTTCAAGGCGGATGTAGAGGAGGCTGAGAGCCCCAAGGCTTTGGCGACTGAGCCCTCAGAGAAGCTGAAGGCTGAAGAGCTTCCGGAGGGAACACTCGAGGGCAAGAAGACACCTCTGCAAGATGAGGATAAAGATGGGGAGAGCAAAGAGCGCGAGTACGACATTTACGCTGATGCCGTTCTGGCTTGTGAGTCTTATCCCGTTTATGCCACATCCAAATGACCGACACTGACATCTCCACAGGCAGTATTGAGAACCCCGAATCCTGCGTGATGTGCAGCGGTTAAGCCGCCTCGCAGTATGGTGAAGCTGGGGAAGTGATGACGATCCGAGATGGTTGATGAAGGATATTAATATGACACGATACACATACTCTCTGTCCCTCTTGGTCTGGCCTGTACCTGGGCATGGACGATGGGCGAGGAAGGAGACTGCACTACGCTAACAACCATTTTGCGTCAATGCATATGTATCAAGGATGGGACTGTACGAGAAGCTCTTTGCGCTCTCTGTTGGGGTTAGGTTTTGTTTTGCCTTGGGTCGGGGGTTTTTCTGGCTTTCATAGCTTTTTGCCCACACATCTTTTCCGCATAGTGCTGCGCCTCTTCCTTGAGTTTCCTACATGCACGTAGGGGAGGGGAGGAGATACTGCTATCAGAGTAGGTGAATATGGACTTTTTCTGGTCAACAATGCAATTGATACCGATGAAACCAAATTGTATTCCTATGTCATCGTGAGATGCCGTACTCTTGCTTGCTCCCAGACCTCAAGATCCTCGCGCGTGGTGTTCTTTTCCTTGGAACAGACTCTCCGGCAGGAACGAGCTTGACTCCGTATCATCATCGCATCTCATATGACGTGGTTCGTTGAGTCGGTACAAAATTTATTGCACCTGCTCATTACAATTGCAACATGTCGTCATGGTGTTGGGTGTTCTTACGTGAGGTCTTCCTTTCCAGTAGCCGTAATAGTAATAGCGATCCCGACCTCACGCATAAATAAGCAGACTTGGCATTCATTTCACTTTAATATATATGAAATCTCATGTATTGGTCAGGGTGGGAACAGACAGGCCCCCCGAGGTACTGTAATCAATGCAGGTAGCTCTTCGTGTTCGTTCAGCTGTGAGTGAACATGTCTCGGTTCTTTGCATCGCTTCAATCGCCATCTGTCTTGTTTTGGTTCCCTGATCACCAGCGAGCGAGCAAGCAAGCAAGCAGACTGACTGTCTACTCTTGAATACTTTTTTGTACTCATGTCGATACTTATGTCGAGTAGGTAAGTTGGACCCTTTTAACACAACTTTTTTGATATGGTTCGGCGTGCCATGTAGGCATGTATGCGCAGCCAACCAGCCCGTCCGCCTCTCTGTCTGCCCCTTGAGTTTCGGGATCAACATGCTTGTTTGCTTCCCAGTTTTCTCTCTGTTCAGCGAAGGGAGGGAGGGAGGGTATGTGTATGTGTAGTCAGACGGCATCTGAGGCCCGTAGACGCCTAACCTAGGCGATTTGGGACACATGTATACCTACCTAGACTGCCGGCCTGGAAGGAACTGAGACGGGGGCAGTCCGGAGCTGGATTACGGACGGGACGGGCGAATGTGCATGACATACATACCTTAGGGCGAGCGTCGATCGGTTTCTTTCAACGAGTTTTCACAGCCTATCTCTCTCTGGCGTAGGCAGGCACCCAAGGCAATCAATCCCATAATAGTTCACGTGCCCGACGGATATCGAACATCCATCTTCCTAGAGCCTCGAAACAAATACGTGTAGCCTCGAACCCCCATACAACCCAGCGTCTTCAGCCGGCCAAACCCACATATGGACCCAGTTCACTATACGCTGGGCGTCCGCTCACCTACCTGCGTCTCGGACTCGCAAGGGCGGGACTCCGGAATATGGGCCCGTCTCTCGGAGTGGGCGTGCGCCTGGGTGCGGTATAGTACCATCTGCCTGCGAACCTCCTGGGTGATGAGCTGGGGTTTGATCGTAACAGTATGGTAGTCGAGTGAAGGAGGTCCCTAGGTATGTCGCTGGTTTCGGCACGCTGGTGGAAAGAGTATGCGGTCGAGGTGATCCCCGGCTGCGGCCTGACTGAACCGGAGCGGTTACTGGAATGTTGCGGTCTGTACTTGTTCTACAAGCGTTAGGTTGACCTCGCGATGGCGAGGTACAGGCAGGAGCGGCACTTTAGCCATTCCGTTGGCCGAGGCTCAATGGACAGTGGAATAGCTTATGTCATGGTGGTTGAATTGGCGGGCGCATCATGAGTGATTAGATCTCCCTGTGCAAGAACTGCGCGCCGGGGAACTAATAAACGAGACACGTCGACAGCCTTCGTGGCGCATACGTGATGAATGTGAAGGCCAACGCAGAACGCCAACAGCAGGGCAGCTTGTGCAGATGTTGTGGTTCTCAGTTTGAAGACTGTGCTCGATCGGCAGATCAACGCAAGAGATAAAACCCCAGGAGGAGAGAGGAAGCCGAAGACATGAAGTAGTTGTAAAGTCTGACAGCCTCAAGAACATCCGTGACATGGACTTGTCAGTGATGAGGCATGCTCTAGCGACCATAGAGTGCGACCTAATGCGAAGTAGAAAGAAAATCTACCGGCGGATGAAATTTGGCACTGAAGCACAGTCAGATTGTCAAGATACCTCGTAGGTTCGTAGGTTTTGCTGGTTATTGACGATGTGTTCAGGGGTTAGGGGTTAGGGGGTCAACGTACAAGTTCTCGTCGGCAATGAGACAGTCAAGTAAGGGGCTTCTAGAACTCACACGCAACGACACGCGACACGCGGGCTGCAGCATCGGCAAAATACTTGCATGAAAACCACAAGGCCTCGAAGAGGCGGCGCGCACAACTGTCACTAGATAGCGGCAGTGCGATGGTCTGGCTGAGTGGCTGTAGCCAGACACGACTCATGCTTCCCGCATGTTCGTGGCAACGCGGCACGTCGCGTTCAACTCGTAGAAATCTCCGGCGGCCTTCGGTGAGACGATGAGACGGCGAGACGTGGGCGGACATAACGGCTAGCTGAAGCCACGGCGACGCGACAGTGACGCCATTCCAACGGCGAAGGGCACTACAAAGAAGTGCCGAGCCAGTAGATTTAGCCTTTAGCGCCGCTGAGATTGACTATTGACTATTAGCGGCGGAGCAATCTCCCGAGATGAACGGGCCCTCAGGTGGTTTCGTGACCCGATACCGGCAGACGGTAGGACACGATCCCGTCTGTGGTTTGGTCTCACTGCTGGGGAACTGGAGGGCGTCCCGGCGATTCGCTGATGGCGTTACACAGATCCTTTGCTTGTGCTCGGATCTGACAATCTCCCCAGCGTTTCACTTGACGAACGCACCTCTGCTTCCTTGGCTGAGAAGACATTGCAGGGAGATTTGCTCGTCATCAGGCGGGAGAGGATGACCGGGGACTGGGTCGCGGGGTAGGCTGCCGTTTGCCGTCTGCCGGGCTGCTTGCCTCTGATGGTGGAGGATGGTGACGGTGACAGCATGATAATGGTGATCTGTGATCGAAGCCGGGTTCTGCCTCGGTTTCGATCAAGATCTGGCCGAACCAAGGCCCCACCCAGCCGATCTCTTTTGCCACTGGGTCTGGTCTGTGGTTGTGGCTTGATGGGCCGCTGCAGGTCGCATGACGTCCAGAGCTGAAAAGATGTCAGTCAGCCACGGGCCGCGGCGCGTGGCAAACGCGATCTTGATCTTGACGATCCGTGGGACCGCTGCTGTCAGTTCCCGATAACAGGTAATCCCTGGTTCATACAGGTAAACAAGGAAGGGGTCCCTGCTTTCAAGACAGTACTCTGGAATTGTTTGCAGTATCTGGCAGGACATCGTGGATGGCCGCAGCGCGTCTTTGGTCAGCTGAAAAGGGGGTTGAATGTGTGCTAGTTCTTGACGGTTGGGTAGCTACGGCCAAAGGGAAATTGGGTGTGCTATGAGAGCTGGCTGCATCCCTAGGTAGAATCTGAATAGCTGATGAAACAGGGCTGACTGGCCCACGAGGGCTGAAGGTGAAACCTACAGAAGAAAAGTCAAGATGAACGTCCCGTCCTGCAAGGGCTGAAAGGCGAAAAGGACGGATTCTTTCGATATCGAGATGGGGATCTGAGAGTTGGAGTCCTTCTCCATGTCCATGTCGCTTGGAGGCGGAACCCAGGAAGTCGGGCTCGGAGATCCCTGATGACCATCAGTGGGGCGGCCGGGTCTGGCCCACGAGCCACAGCAAGGATGGTGCCAGCACTGATTGGGGCTGGGTGAAGACATGACATCAGTTGTGGCTGATCTTCGATGTCAATTTCCACGATATGGCGATCCTCTGATCGCGGACTGCCAGACTGCCCGCTCTCTACTCGTCAACAGCCACGATCTAATTATATCAGCATCAAATCGAGGTGACGGCATAGAACAGATACCCGGTCGCGGCAGCACATCATGTCTTTGATGGAAGCATGTGTGTAGGTATACAGAGAAGCCCTCGGAGGCTTTGGAAGGGAGCAAAAGGGGAAAAGGGGAAAGGGGGTTGGCCTCAGTGCTCGTTTCTGAGCCAACGCGCCTGGCCATAGGCCACGTTGGAACGCCTGAACTGCATACCAGCTAGCAATCAGGAGGTAGCCACGCTGCCACTGGGCAGGCACACCAGGCTGGGCTACCTGCAGGTGCATCGGCGCCGGAGAACCAGCCACGACAGCGGCGGGCCGCGCTAGACAAGCCCGATATCTCCCCTCGGCCAATGACACCTGCAGAATCTCCTGTCCTGCGATCCCCATGCAGTAATCACCTTGATTCGGGACCAACTTCCTTGGAACCTTCCCATCCCAGTCTGCAACTTCCTTGCGTGCACCTCCCGAGTCGGTGACGCATGCCGCTGAATCCAAATGATCAAGACTTTCTGGGGAAGACGACGCATCACAACCGCAAACTCGCTAGCAGCGTCCCTTTTTGTGTTGGGTAGGTACTTACGTAAGGCACGCTGTCTAAGGTAGGCATTAAAAAGAGTAAATGAGCAAGCCAAGGGGCAAGACTCGGGAATGCAGCGAAGTCATCATCTCAGGTTAGCACTGGCTGTATTTTGCTAAAGAAGGATGCCACCACAAGCCTACTGTAGTTAGGATCTCTCTGCAATGTTCAAACGTCGTGGCTTTCCCAGCGTCCATTTTCCCGTCATAAAAGGTATCGTCCGGCCAAGGCACTTGCACCCGCTGACCAGCCTGCCCCTGGCCCTAGTTGGACCGGCGCGAAAAGTAATGACATCGACGCAGGTCCCCCGAGGTCAACTTCACAGCTGACCGTCTATTCTAGAGCGACAGCAATTGTCGGTAAGAACCGACAAGCTACATGCCCTCCCTGCTGTTGAGGACTCCAGGCTCCATCCACGGCCCCATATCTTCATGGTAGCTCTATGGCAAGCGTGATGCACGGTTGGTAGGCGCGCCAGGTTGCAAATGAAAAGACCCCAAGCCGGCGTCTCGTTGCTATGGTGTTTTGGTGCCGGCCTCGTCCCTGCAGTTAAATTAATATCGAGAGCTGGAGGTAAGAGCCGCATTTCTTGATGGAACAATTTCTTTTTTTTAACGATCTTACATCATGTACGTGGATAGCGATAGACACTACGACGTCAATGGACTGGCATCACAGTCAGGGTACATGCGGGGTACATCTGGGTTGGCCTCGTGGCGCCACTTAATTTGCTGGTCTTGCTGGTCTAGATGCGTGCCCCCTATGTACCCTGCCCGAACCGACATGTACAGGTTAGAAGCCTCCAATGAATCTGGGCTGTCTGGGTGGGCAAACAAGCTTGAGGTTGAGATTGTGTGTGACCCAAGCTGCTGCTGCAATTCAAGGAATTTTGAATCCAGGCATCTGATTATTTAACTTCCCGGGTGCCCCCTCCAGAGTGATTAAGTGCTCACCTCGTGTTTGTTCTGCCTCAGACCTAATAACTAATCCCATCTCGCACGCGACTTTGATACCCCCACGATCTCCCTCCCTTCCATCCCAACCGAACGCAAACCAAAGAGTCATCCTCGCAATCACACATCCAAGGCAAACAAACATTTCACTCACGGTACGTACTACTATATCGATTCATGACTGGAAAAGAGTCCATTGGGTTCAGATCGCCTGTCTGCCTGTCTGCCTGAGTGGCCGGCCTATCGCAAAGCAGCTCCTCCTCACCTTCATTCTCGTCACCGCCTGCCTCCTCTGGGTCTACCTACCAGTTCTTGGAAGGTTTCTTCAGTTACCGTCGTCACATCTCTCTCACCTTAACTTCCCATTGACCCAAGGTACCTCCTTCTAACTCATCACCTACCTACCTACCTTGTTCACTTCCTGTACCGAGTCCCACCTACCGACTGAACTCTATATCACCTTCCTGTGTCCAACGTCTCTCTTACCCTTGCCTTTACCTCTCCCATCTTCTTTCCGCAGTTCCAAGTCTTGCTGTCTGAGGTCGTCGCGTCATTCACAACACACAACTACGCCGTACATTGTGACCAGTGCAGGTAGTGTTCTGACATCTCCCAAGTGTGTTCCTGTCGTTCATGTGCGCCTTCCCGACGTGTCATTCTTCACACCCTGTTCATTCGCACCTTCTCTCGCAATTTCAGGCCAATTGCTCGACGCCCACCTCTTCTTCTGCCACCCGTCCCCCCAGACTTCCGCTCCCTCTTCTCTACTACAACAACATTTCCACATCCACAGATCCCCAGCACCACACAACATACAACATCCATCTTCGGCCAACATCCCAGCCCACCACGCCCGAAACACCACTCCCATACCACATCTTCACTTTTTTGCACGCTTTTTGAGCATCCGTTTTCTGGAACTACAGTTCTTAACATTCTCCACAGACAGACTCGACTCCAAAATCCTGACATCACCCAAGATGAAGAACTCAGTCATGATCACCGGCACCTTTGCCGCCTTTGCTGCGGCTCAGCTCGCGATGCCCGAGGGTTTCCCTGCTTGCGGTGTAAGTATCCTTGTCCATCTTCCTCATACCGTCTGCTGCCGACGCATGGTGTGCACTGTTATTGTTATTGTTCTCTTGTGCCCACTTGAGGCCGATTTGTCTCGCATTGTCTCGGATGATCCCAATTTTATCACAAGCCAGAACGGTACTGACAACCTCTCCAGTCCACCTGCTTCACCAACATGCAGAACGAAGCCTCCAACCTGGGCTGCTCCGGCAGTGACCAAGCGTGTCTCTGCAAGAACCCCAACTGGTCCTACGGCATCACGGACTGCTCCAACGCCGCCTGCGCAGATCACAGCGATGCTGTGACGGCCATCCAGTACGGTGTCAACGTCTGTGCTTGTGAGTTGGTTCCTTGATATCTAGACTCATCGTGATTCCGCCGTAAACACCGTTCTAACCCTTCTATTCTAGCCGTCGGCGTCGTCGTTGGTGGCCTTGCTGCCTCAGCTGATAGCTCTGTCGTTTCTTCGGCTTCTACCACTGTTATGGTCGCTTCTACGGGGTCTGAATCCGCTACTGTGAGCAATCTTATCCTTGACTGCTAATTGATTTGCAAAGTTTGATGACTGATACTTCTTCTGCGTAGGATTCTGGAAGCGCCGGCGCCGGCCTTGCCACCTCTGAGATCCTGTCCACCATCTCCAGTGACGGCTCCGCTGTTGCCACCTCCACTGTCGGTACCACCACCTTCTCGACTACCGACGGTGCCGGGACCAGCTCCGGTGGTGCTCTCATCCCCCTCTCCACCGTTGCGATTCTCTCCACCGCGACCAACTCCGACGGCTCGGTTGTGACCACCACACTCGCCACGAGCACCCTCTTCTCGACCTCGGCGCTCTCTGGATCTGGGTCTGCCACCGACTCCAACTCGGGCTCCAGCAGCACCATCGTTAGTGGCTCGACTTTCACTTCAGATGGCACAACTGGTGTTACTGGCGTTACCACCACCGCGCCTGCCACCAGTGACAGTGGCAATGGTGGTGCCTCTACCACTGACGGCGGTGCGGCCAGTTCGACCGATTCGGCTGCTGGTGCCGCGCAGCGAACTGCCGCACCTGTCTTCATCGCGGCCGCTGGCCTTGCTGCTATGTTGCTGTAAGCAACGCCGGTGCTTGCAATGGTGGATTCCTCAAGGACATTCAAACGTTGCTCCGTTAGATATGAGAAGATGACTCAATAGGTCGGATAATACTACTGGACTCGTGCGTGGACGGCTTTACGAAGGCATGGCACGGTTTCGCTTGATGATGCGATGAATTCCCAAGAAACTAGGTGGTTTCTTATGATGTATAAATGGTTATGGTCTTCGTTGATGGACTGCTAATACCGTACCTGAGATACCCACCCCTAGCCCGTACGTCGGCATCAGGTAGTGCAGTTGGTCGTCTCGATGTTATTACGGACACTCATAAAATAGAGTTGTTTTTCAAACCCTGGTCTTCCAATTCCCGTGATGCCTTCTCCATGTCCGAACGCAATCGTGATGATAGGTATTTGACGACAATGGAGCAACACATCTGACTTACATATTAAGATTAGATAGGGTTTCCCCACGCCGCTCACCTTCTTCCCCCACTTACTTCGAGCCATATTCAGTCACCCTCTCCGTTCTGCGGGGTAGCACGCGGCAATGTGATGGGCACATGGTTTTCTGACAACACTGCATCAACCATTCGAAATGCACTTGTGACCCTACTCCAAAGTCATCCCAGGCTGCGTGTCGGTTTCACATCATACGTCTCCTTACACAGCAACAGCATTCATAACCGCATCGAACAATGGCGACCGACACCACCACCAGCGCCGCCACCAAGATCCGGCTGGCGACCGCATCGCCCGCGACGCTCGCCACGACGCGGGAGACGCTGTCGGCGCTGGGCCGGCTTGCGGCGCGCGCCAGGGCGGAGAAGGCGGACCTGCTGCTGTTGCCCGAGGCGTACCTGGGCGGGTACCCGCGCGGCGCCGACTTCGGTATGTACATTTTCGAGTCTCTTATTCCCCCATATGGCCATGCCCTGAGCGCGAATTCCCTCTTCTATCCCTGTGTCAAGAGCCTCTGCTCCGGAGACACGCATTCCGACTCTTTGTTTCTTGTTGAAAAGGAGTAATTACTGACTCAAATTTGCGAGGAGGGTGCGTGGTCGGCGGGCGCAGCGACAAGGGGCGCGAGGCGTTCCTACGGTATTTTCGGGGGGCGGTGGATCTGGGGGATCGTGTTGGGGTTGGGGGGGCGTGGAGCTTGGGTGGTTCGCAGATGGAGGCGAAAGGGGCCGTGGACAGAGGTATAGAGGAGGGGATGGGTATGGGTAAAGGAGGGAAGAGGGGGGGTGACGGCACGAGGGAGGAGCTCGAGAGGATAGCAAGGGAGACGGGGGTTTTCCTGGTTGTTGGGGTGGTGGAGAAGGCGGGTGGGAGTTGTGAGTTGTGATCTGCTTGCTTCTTCCCCCCCCTTTACTGCTTTGGTCTTCCCCTGGCCTACTGGTTTGCCCCTATTGCTTTTGTGGTTTGGTCTCTGGGAAGTTTGTATGGTCTGTATGGTTGGTTGCTATGTATGTCGCTGAACTGCTGCTCGGAGCTTTTTTTCGTTGATGGAAGGCTGAGCTGCCTCCTGTTGGGAAGGGAGGGAGATAGGGGAGAGTGTGAAGAGATAGAGAAAGAGAAGGGGGGATGGGGAGAGGGAGAGACCGAGAACACAGCTGAGAACTGAGAGCTGACTTTGGATGCCCGCAGTGTATTGCGCGGTTGTCTACGTGTGTCCGCGACTCGGCGTCGTCGGGAAGCGGCGGAAGGTGATGCCGGTGAGTCCAGATCCTTTCGTTACATCTTTCGTTTGATTTAACGGCCAGACGTGGAAGGTTAGATTTTGAATTTCATGTGTGTGTGATCCCATGGACAAATCATACACGCCATTTGACCCCTAGTCTGGCGTCGTTCATGTCGTACGACGGAGTCGAGCGCCTTGCCAGAAGTACCCCGTCAAAAGGAGTCTTGCACCGGAAGTGAATTTTCTCAACGTTACATACACTGCTTCCTTTGGTCGGATTTCGCCAGCGAGCTGTAATGGCAGGCCGGTGCGCCTAATATTGCCCACGCGAGAGAGTGGGAATTACCACATGGAAAGTATTACAGTGTCCTGCATTTGGGACCGTAGAGGGGATCCGGGCAGGTCTCGAAGACGGAGCTGGCATGGCGAGGGGCATGGACAGACTGCGCGAGAGTTGGAGAAGAAGGAGAAGGCATACTGGACCCGGACTGCTCGTTTTTCCCTTTCTCTGTTAAGTTTTGAGGGCGCGGCGACGCAAGCACGCGCCTCCTCGTGTCGAGCTTCTGCTGCTGCGGATTGGTAGCGGTAGTGAAATCCAGCCCCTTCCCCTTTTCCTGGAGCTGGCAGAGCAGAGCAGAGGCGGCTGCCGGACATTTCTTCTCTCGATTCTCACTACAGGTAGTGCTGCTGGCAGGAGTCTGCCCGAGGATACAGACCGGACCGGACTGGGCTCTGGGACTAGGATGACAGCCGAGTGGCCGACTGACTGCTACTTGGAAAGGATCGCTTATCACGTATCATTTTCCATTCATTGCTGGGACCGAAGCAGAAGAGGAAGAAGAGGACGGCTGGCTAACTATCACGGATGCTCACACAGACTGGCTCCGAGCGCCTGATCTGGGCGCAGGGCTCGCCCGCGACGCTCAAGGCGGTCAGTACGACGATCAAGGGCGTCAGGATCAACCTCGCGGCCGCCATCTGCTGGGAGAACTACATGCCGCTTTTGCGCCAGGCGCTTTATGCGCAGAAGTGCGTCACCTACCTATATCCCCGGACTCTGAGCTACCTACCTTCATTCCGCTATGCTATTCTCTGTTTGTCTCGTTGCTGCGCACAGGAGTTTGTCGTTGGGAATTGTTGGGGATAGGAGGGTTGGGGGGGTTGGGATCACGTTTGTGTTTATTGAAGTAAGTCACTGACATGGTGCTCGCAGTATCAACCTCTACCTAGCCCCCACGGCCGACGCCCGCGACGCCTGGATGTCCCTCATGCGCACCGTGGCGCTCGAGGGGCGCTGCTTCGTCGTCAGTTCGAATATGTGCGTACATGAGGACGAGGGCGGGCCCGCGGCATCATCTACAGGTGAGAATGAAACCATCGATACGAACGGACAGCAGCAGCAGCAGCAGCAGCAAGGAATGACGGATGGACCTCCTGGTGGTGTCAGGGACAGGGGGAACTCGTGTTTTACGGAGGAAGGTTTCGAGATTGCGCTGCCGCCTTCGCCGACTGAGGGGAAGAAGGGAATGAGCGGCAGTGGAAGTGGCAGTAGAGGCAGAGGTGGAGGCAGGAGGAACTCGGTGTTTGACGAAGACGGGCATGAGATCGTTCTTCCGAGCGAGCTGAAGAGCGCCGCCGCTACGACTACTGCTTCAGCTACCGTGGGTGCCGATGTCTCGTCCTCGGCTGTAGTCGAGGAAAATCACGAGGAAGACGAAACCACCACGACCACCACGACCACCACTACCGACAAGGCCGAATACGCACCGCGAAACACAAACACAACCACGCAAGGCAAAGGCAAGTCGTCCTTCGCCTCCCGCGGCGGCTCGAGCATCGTATCGCCATTCGGCGACGTCCTTGCCGGCCCGCAGTGGGAGGAGGACGACGGCATCATCTATGCCGATGTCGATTTCGACGACTGCATCCGCGGCCGGCTGGACTTGGATGCGGCGGGGAGCTATTCGAGGTAAGTTGTTGTTGTCTGTCCTCCACTCGACGTTGGAACGCCTTATGGCTGTGGATGTGTCAGCGGCAAGGACAAGGGGAGGGAGGGAGTTGAAGGGTATGAAGGCAGTAAGGCTAATTTGAGGAATTAGGAATGACTCGTTCAAGTTCTCGGTCGAGGGCTTGGACCTCGATCCTTTGCCTTACTCGTAACTGAGTGGCTGGCTAACTGGCTGGATGGATATCTAACATGCTTGCGGGCATGGCTGCATATCTCCCAGTTGTCGTCATCATTCATCTCAGGGGCAGGCAATGCGCAGTGAAGGACTCAGTTGTGTTCAAGGGTGGGAGAATCTCGCAGATTGAAAGGGTTCTTTTGAACGGAAGTCTCAACTTGGTCTTCTTGTTCTTGTAACTCATATCGCTGTCTGTTCGAATTACATAGCTTCCTAAATCTGGGTAACAGCCTTATGTGCTTTGCTGTCGATTAGACTGACCGGTCCTGTTTTCGAGAATGATAAGGAGGTACTGAAGATGAGGCTATTCGCATGCACCCACGTACGCATGAATACCAGTACATGTCCCCTATAATGTTTCACCGTTAGACCGTGTAGTAGTGCCCTTAAACCTTCCCGTGTTGCTATTGGAGATTGTCATGTACCGCCCCTCCTTTCCCGAGAAGTTTGTTGTCCCCAGATTGATGCTCCTGGGTGTGTACGAGGTTGATTTCATCGGCACTGAACAACAACCAAGAAGTCTGTCTGTCAGTCACGATGCAAAATCGGCATAGCCACCTCGAGCCAAATGCTCTGCTACATCGAAGCATATGGTCCGTATTACGGCTTACTTAGGTAGGTTCACAATACTGGCTTGCACTGCAATAGGGGGCATGCTCGTGGAAAGTCATTTCTTGTAAGTTCATGTGCCTAACTCTCCGGGTATCTATTTGTCCACTGTCCGAACCGGTGCCTCGCCATACCCTCAGCATCCCAACCCTATAACAAGACCACCCCTTTCCTCAGATTCATGTTCATACAGAAGTCAATCGAGTCAATCAGTCAACCAAGCCATCAAAGACATGGGTCTTTGGCAAACAGGTCTGTGGAACTGTAAGTGCAGAGTCCGTCAAAAGCGCCCAGGATTATGGCAGATCAGGGTTTTCTCGTACCCTATATACTCCTTAGTCTCTGTCATTCTCTTTTCGGGCGGTGATCTCGTCCTTCTCCTGGACAGCGACCTTCTCATTCACCTCTCGCGGACTGACCAGGGGACTGCTCATACCCCCAACGCTACCGCTGATGCTGTCAGCCCTACCATGTCCCATTAAACCGCTGCGGACACTTGCACCGTCTCCACCCATGCTCTGCTTGCCTGCGTAAAGGCTGTTTCTATCGCCGGGCAGAGCTGGTGCAACGCCGGCTGTAGAGTATATACTTGTGCGCTCGTTCCCTGCGAGCCTGGATGTGGACTGATGCAGGCCTGGAGTCGATGATATGTCACGAGTGCCATCGACATTGGCACTGAGAACGCTGAGTGGCAGACTCTCGCGACTCCCTCCCCATAACGATGATGGGGCCATGGCGCGGACCGAGGCATCTGTATCCATTGATCGGCGGCGCCGTCTCTTGCTAGATGAGGCTAACGTCAGAATCGAGGCGTTGTCTGTCGACAGATTGTTTGCCGTGGCCATGCTGTACGTCGTGGGATGACCAGGTCCCGCCGCCGGAGGTGCAAGATGTGGGGGAATCGCGGATGCGGGAGAGTTCGTGGGAAACGGCTGGGAAAACTGAATAGTCTGGGCATTGCCGGGAACCCCGGACGTTTGTCCATTGACAGCGTTACCATTCGCGGCGCCGTTTGGAGCCATCGACTGGATGGTCGTGAGGGTGGTTGTCAAGGATCGCACTGACGGGGCCGGCGAAGAGAAGGTACTGTCACCCCCTTTACGCGAATCAAAGCCGCCAACTGTTCGGCTGGTTCCTGCGACTGACGACGCCATATGCGAAGGAGCATGGATGGAATGTGTAGCATCGTGATCCATTGTGGAGATCGTGGGTGCCATTGACATGGCGCCCGCCGTAGGAGGCGGGGCTCCGTCCGTCGACGATCGTCCCGAGTCGCGACTGGGGCCTAATGAGTGGTTCGAGGTCATGCAAGTCATGCCAGTTCGTGCGGTCGAGAGCGATGGGTGGCTCTGCGATACTGCTGGCTCGGCGATGCGGCCGGACTGCGGATACGGGTTGTTGTTCTTGACTACTCGCTTCTTGCCGGGTTTGGGGGTGGCATCGTTCTTGGGGTGACCATTGCGGCCGGCTGCACTAGAGGAGCCATTCTTGAAGCCGGCGAGCTTCTTCACCCAGGTGGAGAAAGGTCTTCGGCGGCCTGTCCGTTCTTGACGGTCTGCCATGAGAGGTGTTAGAGCCGTATCTCTGCGCATCTGCAACCGCTACAAGGCAGTACGGGGTGATGGTGTAGTTCTGAATGGACGGCAGGGCGAGGGGAATTAGGTGGGAAACTCGGGATCCTTACCAACAGGCAGCGGAGAGGTTGCTGTCATGGCCATAGGTTTGGAACGAGCGCAGTGTGAACTGTAAGTAGATAGGCTGGTAGGTCAGATAGTGTGGGCGGCCGATTAGGTTTGTTCGATACAGGGCAATGACGCTGTATTCTGTGCGCGCAAGAGGCGAGGTGTCGCCAGTCTATGTGTCGCGTCAGGTCGAGTCCGTCCGTGCTACCTAGCTAGGTAGTGTTGGTGTTGGTGTTGATCCGGACAAAGGGCAAGGCCGAGGCAGCATGAGGCCCCGAGACCCCGATGATGATGACGGCGGCGGCGGCGGTGGTGTGAAAGATATCGGCTCTCGGAGGGAAACGGCGCAGGTCTTGTTGATGCGACAGGACCGTTCGGTTTTACGAAGGGTTGCACGAATTGATGGACTTCGGTATCAAGAAGACAAGCAGAGGTTGGTTGGATGAGGAGGGATGGAGATGGGAATGGGAATCCGTTCAGGAATCAGAGGAACGACACCAATGTGTTGGCTGGCTGGCTGGCGGGCTGGCAGGGATCTCGTTCAATATTCCTGTGCAAAAGCTGGGGATGGTTGCCAGGATGCCAGGATGCCAGAACACCCTGACAGCCCGAATGAGGGCGGGCCCGTTCAATTGAGGCTGATGTGCCTTCGAACCCCTGAAACTTGCGTCATCAGCCACACTGTCATCTTACCTTATCCTTGCCTGTGGCTGGGATTATCCACGATAAGCAGACTTCCAGCGTAGGCACAGGCTACCGCGGAGGCCCGTCCCTTGAATCCACCTCTTTAACACAAGCATTTGCCATGACTGCTCGTAAGATCCTATGCGGGCCTTGATCCGTACGCGAGAATCATCTTCGAAGATAATTCTCGACGACAGCCGCCGTATGCTTCTCGTCGACTGCACTGATTCTCTGTGTGACCGATTCCTGACGTCATTTCTTGCAGACGACACTCGACCAGGAGGTGGCAACACAACGGCTTCGATGTTGCAGACGCGACGGGCGCCAGGTTGTACGACCGAATAAGAATAAGAATACGAAGCTTCTGCCGTCCCGCCATGTCAATTCAGCATTTGCCTGAAGATGTCATCGCACAAATCAAATCATCAACAACCATCACCTCGCTGAATGGAGTCATCTGTGGCCTGGTTAAGAATTCCCTAGATGCCGAAGCCACCAAACTCACCGTATCTGTAAATTACGCGCGGGGGAACTGTTCGGTTGAAGACAATGGCCTAGGCATAGCCCCTGCTGAGTTCAAGCCTGGTGGCGGGCTAGGCAAGCTGCATTGTGCGTTCTGTCCGAGTCGGGCTTGGCTACTTCGCCAGCTGACCAACATACAGATACATCCAAATTCCCTGCCCGAGACGGACTTTACGGCAAGTATGGCACATACATAGCTTCGGTGGCCTCGTTGTCTCTGTTGTCTCTCACTTCGCATCACCATAATCATAATTCTCATAATTCCATCAGAATTCACAACTCTGATGTGTTGGCTCGGCACACCCCTTCACCCCCTGAACATAGGTTGTTGAGTTTTCCTTGTGGAACCAGGGTGACAGTCCAAGACCTCTTCGGGTCGATGCCTGTCAGGGTGAAACAGAGAGTAATCGACGTGGAAAGGGGCACAAACCTCAAGAACTGGGAATTTCTCAAACGCGCCGTCGTTGCCCTGCTACTAGCTTGGCCAGGTGCTGTATCGGTGTCCATTCGCGAATCCGGCAACCAGTGGAGTGCTTCACTTCGCAGTGCCGCAACCGCTTCCCACAACTTGGGCAGAAAGGACAACGATATTACTTCGCGGGTTTCGAGGCTTCTGTACCAAGCTCAATTTTCCGACGACAGCACTTCGGAGGCATGGGTGCCCTTGAGGGCATCAGTCGGAGAATTGTCAGTTCTAGGTGCCGTGTCATTATTCCCAGTTGCAACTAGGCGGTTTCAGTTCATCAGTATAGGCGTGCAGCCCGTGCCTAATGAGCATGGGTCCAACGTTTTGTACGAAGAGATCAATCGCCTCTTTGCCAACTCCAGCTTCGGGTTCGAAGAGGAAAGCAGTGACCTCAACGAGGATGAACAGAAGAGGCGGGCAAAGGATCGACGCTATAAAGCTGATGGCTTCACTGGTCAAGAGCTCAAGGGCCGTAAGTGCGTGGACCGCTGGCCGATGTTTTCCATCAAGATTAACCTTGAAGAACAAGTCTCAAGGCTGGGTCCTGACGTGGATCAGGTTCTAGATGAGCGCCAGGAAAGCTTGAAATCCATCGTCGATTTGTTGAAGGCAGTAGTCTACGAGTTTTTGAAGAAGCACCATTTCCGTCCGAAGCACTTCAGACCGAACAACAAGTCTCTTAGCAGTCGAGCTGAATCTCGGGATTCACAGGACCAGACATTGTCCAGAAGTACGACACCCAAGATAGGAAGAGAAAACGTACTGTCGGTTGGATCCCAGAAGGCCACCGGAAGACAAAGAACGGGAGATCTAGCCAGTACTCGTCTCAACATTGCGTCTGATCGGGATTCTCGGCCACGGCCCGGGTCCCCATTCGACCTATGGACTCGAATCATCTCCGGGCAGCCACAGGCTCCATTAGTAGACATCAAGGGCTCAAAGGAGCTTGAGGGGAAAAGATCGAAGGGGGGCTTGGACCCCGGGATCTCGCCTCCTGTCTCCGAGGCACGCGTCCAGCCTTCTGTTGCGCCCCTATTCGCTCCTGATGGCAAGCTTTTGCGAGCACCATTTGCTGATGTTGAAGTTGATATTATTGGTACAGTACCAGAGGAGGCTGCAGCCGAGGACATTCAGCTCCAGGAACGCGATGAACTGTTGTGGACAAACCCGAACACCCAAGAAACTTCGATCATAAACCCAAGGACAGGATTCGTGATGCGGCCGTTGGAGAAGACTATCGGTGATGTCGGAGTAGCTGACCGTGTCTCTCACTTGTCATCGAGGAAGAAGTTGCGCACGCAAACCAAACCGACTTCGAATGAGAACAGAAGCCCGTGGCTAAGTGAGTTGCTTTCTTCCTGGGACAACCCAGTTTTCAAGCCACCAGAGCCCCAGATACCAACTGCCTTTGACGAGGCAAAAGCCATGGGCCTGGTGTTGAACGCTTCCCGGGCGCTATCCCATACGTGTAATGACGGGTTCTGCGATGCTACAGGCACTCTACCTACCGTTCAGGGCCGAGTGTCAAAAGAAGCACTGCACAAGGCCGAAGTCATTGCACAGGTCGATCGCAAGTTCATATTCGCAAAGGTCACCGGGGTGGCTTCGAACACTACTTCAGAGTCACGAGTGGACCCTTCCGCGTCACTTCTCATCATCATTGATCAGCACGCTGCAGATGAGCGATGTCGCGTTGAAACATTGATGAGGGATTACTTCGCGGCCAGTGCGGTTGCAATGGCCGCACCCCACTCGCAGTCTGCACCATCTTCGATTGTAGTCAGATCTCAGACGGAGCTTCTGGAGAAGCCTATTAAGTTCGATATCTCGGCTCGAGATACTCTACAGTTCGAACGACTGATGGAGCATTTCGAATATTGGGGCATATACTATGAAGTCTTGACGCTTTCTCAGGGCAAGAAGGCCAGTTCACGGCAACTGAAGGTAACCAAACTGCCCCCGAGCATAGCTGAGAGGTGCCGACTGGAGCCAAGACTCCTCATCGAGCTTCTAAGAAAGGAAGCATGGAGACTCGACGAACAGGGCGATGAAGTGGTTCGAACAGGAGCAAGATCGACTGCAAACATTGGTACTGATGGGAGACCTGCGCTGCATTGGCTGACACTGTTTCACGGGTGCCCGCAAGGGATACTAGACATGATAAACTCCAGAGCATGTCGCAGCTCTATCATGTTCAACGATCCACTCTCTCTGGGAGAATGCGCCGACTTGTTGAGTCGACTAGCGGACTGCGCTTTTCCATTTCAATGCGCACATGGTCGGCCATCTATGGTGCCATTGGTTGACCTAGGACACGAGGCCATTGACAAGCCCACTCAGGGAAAGTCACGAGATAGTTTTGGTACGGCGTTTAGGAAGTGGACGAGAGGCAGTCAGTCTTGACTCTTGATGCAGGGAGTGGATGCCGAAGCGAGTGGTCGGAAGGGTGCGGAGTCACGAAGCATCTGGATTACCCGCGAACATAGAGATACCCAATAGTTGAAATCAGTAATTATAAATGTTGATTCAAACCTAACGCATCAAGTGTCATTACGGGCTGTTTCCAGGCTCTAATTATGTATACACCAGATAGGGGGCTGCTTAGCCACAGGGGGTTGTCGGGTATCTGTGCACAGCCACAATCAGCGACAGCTCCAAGCCGCGGTGACGTCCCGGCGCTGCCATGCTTCAAACACCTGCGGGCAAACATGAACACTGAGGATCCGATGCCGCCAAGATAGCTGTCGCGCAAACTTGAGAGCGTATACCATGGCTTTGCTTTTGGTAAGCCTCTCCAATCGTCACCTGAAACCCCGATCGCAACTAAACTGTAGCTGACTGAAGTGCCCCGCAGTGGAAAGCGTTCGACTTCTTCGAGGTCAGCCAGGTCAAGCTCGGCGACGACGAGACGCGATCCTTCTTCGAGAACAACGAGATCTCCAGCGTGTGCTCTGGCTCCGAGAGCCTGTTCCTCGGCAGCGACAGTGGATATGTTCGCATCATCGGCCCGAGCTGGAAGGTTGTCCGCAGCTTCCATGCGCACGAGACTGGTCGGATCACCCATATGCGCCAGGTCGAGGGGACGAGCTTGTTGGTCACCGTTTCGGTATACAAGTCCACACGACAATTTTTTTTTTTGCCTAGAGGGTGCTGATGCCATATAGGAGGACTTGAGCAACGAGCCGGTGCTGAAGGTTTGGGCGCTTGACAAGCCTGTGAAGAAGACGGGATTACCCACCTGCCTAAGTACAATCAACATAAACAACGGACGAAAGCAGTTCCCTGTAGGTACTGCCTATACGCGCGCGGGCAGTTGATACTGACGGCAAACTGCGTTAGATCTCTGCCTTCACTGCTCTCGACGATCTATCACAGCTAGCGGTCGGCTTTGCCAATGGAGCAGTCACCGTGATTCGCGGGGATCTCATCCACGACCGAGGCACGAAACAACGAATCGTATACGAGTCCGAAGAGCCGATTACCGGAGTCGAATTCGTAGCTGATCCGAAGCTCTCGACGCTGTTCGTTGCGACCACCTCGAAGCTCCTGAAGCTTGTAATATCAGGGAGAGGTCAGGGACAGCCGCCGAGAACGGTCGAAGATTCTGGATGTGCTGCGGGCTGTATGACTCTCAACAAGAAGACTGGAGATATCATCGTGGTTAGGGAAGATGCTGTCTACTACTATACGCTGGACGGCCGAGGGCTTTGCTTTGCTAATGACGGGGCTACGAAACTCGTCTCGACATTCCAAGACTACGTCGCTCTTGTGTCGCCACCCGTGGCGCAGAAGACGGGTGCGTCCGAAAACATAAGGAGGCGGTTTGGAGGTGCAAGCACAGAATCCATATTCAATGCTGCTACATTCACCATGGTGGATCCGAACCTACAGATCGTGGTGCATTCCGAGACCCTCATCTCCCCGGAAAAGGCCCTCTTTCAAATATGGGGTGACCTATTCATCTTGACACAAGATGGAAAGGTAAGGCTTCCAGCCTTACTTAGCACCTACAACGTTTGTTGACATGAGGCCAGGTCCACCGGTATCACGAGAAGTCCCTGCAACAGCGGCTCGAGCTACTATACCAGCGCAACTTGTTTCCGCTCGCTATAAGCCTCGCCCAGAAAGCCGGCATGGATGTGCAACAACAGAATGTCATGTACAGGAAGTATGGTGATCATCTTTACCAGAAGGGAGACTACGACAGTGCCATGTCTCAGTATATCAAGGCTATTGACAACACGGAGCCGTCACAAGTCATCCGCGAGGTAGGCCATGTGTCCCCTATGGCCTCTGTATGGACCTGACTCTGAATCTTGCAGTTTCTCGATACCCAAAGGATGCACAACCTCATCGAATACCTCGAAGAATTACACGAGCACCATAAAGCCACTTCAGACCACACAACCCTGTTGCTTAACTGCTACGCGAAACTGAAAGACGTCCAGAAGCTAGAAAAGTTCATCAAGTCTGAAGATGATCTCAAGTTTGATCTGGATACAGCCATCACCATGTGCAGACAAGGAGGTTACTACGACCAAGCAGCATACCTTGCCACAAAACATGGGGAGAGTGACTTGGTTGTGGATATCCTGATCGAGGACTCGATGAGTTACCCTGAAGCACTTGACTTCATGTGGCATTTGGAAGCTGAGACGGTATGTCATCGGATGTCCTCCAGATGAATAATAACTAACGATGGCAGGCTTATCCTTGCTTGATGAAGTATGCGAGGGTACTACTCGAGCATTGTCCCAGCGACACGACGAAACTCTTCATCGACTACTACACAGGCGCTTACAAGCCCAAGGTACATTTGGTTCCGGTAGCGGAAGCTCCGGCACCCTCTGGCATTGGGTTGGCTGCTGGGGCTGCAAACGCAGTGCAAAACCTGACAAGCTTGCTTCCGTTACCGTACATGAACACTTCTGCGGTTCCAACACCTCCTGCTCAAGACAACAGCCAACAGACAGTCAGCGACTCCGCCGCTATAATAGAGCATGACACAGACAACCACCCGAAATACACAGCACCACCCCCTCGATCTGCATTCTCATCTTTTATTGACTATCCCGATGAATTCATCACGTTCCTCGAAGCTTGTCTGGAAGACACCTCGCTCAAGAAATCTGACAAGTCAGACATATACACGACACTGTTCGAGATGTACCTCCACAAAGCCAGCGAAAGAAAAGGCGTCAACAGGGAGGAATGGGAGGCAAAAGCCAAGAAGCTAATCGATGGACGCGACCTGCCTATCGAGAACTCGAATGTCCTTTTACTATCCCACTTATCAAATTTTCGCGACGGCACGACTCTTGTGAAAGAGAAGTCGGGCCTATTATTCGACATTTTTCGTTCTCACACCTCGGCCAAGGATACACGGGGTGCTATCAAGGCTTTGCGGAAATACGGACCTGAGGAGCCACAACTATATCCTGCAGCACTAGCGTATTTTACATCAGACTCGCGCATTCTTGACGAAGCCGGACCGGAAGAACTCGCCAACGTGTTGCACAAGATCGACGCCGACGGGCTCATGGCGCCACTGCAGGTTATACAGACGTTGGGCTCCAACGCCGTGGCGACCATGGGCATGATCAAGCCGTACCTGCACGAAACAATCACGCGCGAGCGGAAGGAGATCGCAACGAACAAGCGGCAGATCAACTCGTTCCGCAAGGAGACGGAGCAGAAGCGCAGCGAGATCGCCGAGCTCGGCTCCAAACCGGCCGTGATATCGGCGCAGCGGTGTCCGGGCTGCGGCGGCGCCATCGAGCTGCCCGCCGTGCACTTCCTGTGCAAGCACAGCTTCCACCAGCGCTGCCTCAAGCCGAGCGGCGATGGCGACGGCGAGACCGAGTGTCCCGTGTGCGCTATGAACAACGCGGCGGTGCGCGCGATGAAGCGCAGTCAGGACGAGAGGGCGGACCGGCACGACCTGTTCAAGGACGCGCTGGAGAGGGGCGATGACCGGTTCAAGACTGTTGCGCAGTGGTTTGGCCAGGGCGTCATGGGGGTGGATGCTTTGGAATAGGGGTGGCGGTGTTGTACATTGTATGATACATCCAGATACGAATACAGATACTGTACGGGTGGGTGGGGTATCTATCTACTCTAGCTGTCTATGAACATTGAAGGGGTATACGAAATTGTTGTACAAAGGATTGTACTAGTCGATCTTCTCTGTGCACATTTCACGCTTTTTCCTGAATTGGAACCAGCCAGCAACTTTTTGCTTCTTTCTTATGGCTCGCCTGGTCTCCCGCGAGCCCCAAACAACCCATTGAGCCATTTACCAACAGGCTCAGAGGTAGTCCTAGACCGCCAATCATCCACCTCATGCAGGAGCGTCGACGTCAGCGACTCGGGCAGTCCGGTTCCGCCGACCTCGGTGATCTGCCCGTGCCGCACCGTCATGGCGGCCCGGAATTCTGGTGGCAGAGATGGGGGTAGTGCTGGCCGCGGCCGCGGATCCGACTCCGTGGCGTGGGTTGAGAAGGTGAATTGGGGGGTTTGGGTGTATATCCAGTCTAGGGACTGTGGGGTGCCATTAGCGATGTTGCTTCATGCGTTTTGTTGTGCGTGGGTTGTGTGGTATGGTATCGAAGAACGGCGGGAAGGAAGGGTGAGAAAGGGGAAAGAGAAAGGGGAAAGAGAAGGGGGAAAGAGAAGGGGGAAAGAGAAGGGGGAAAGAGAAGGGGGAAAGAGAAGGGGAAAAGAGAAGAGAAAAGTACCTTGAGCTCCGCAACACCCTTCTCGATCTCCGGCACGCCCGCCACCTCGGCAGGGCCCACGACCTCGGCGTCCACGTTGCCGTACATGGCGCCGAACTCGGCGACGACGGCGTCTTCGAAGGCGGTGTTGGTGATTTTCTCCCTCCTCTCACAGCCGTCGTTGTCGTTCTTGTTGTGGTTGGGGTCGCGGCTCACGTTCCGCACGGCCGACCGCACGCTCTCGACACCGCGCGCCTTGACGTACGGCGCGGCGGGCGAGCGCAGGAACCGCCCGATGAAGGGCAGGTTCGGCGACGAGAGCAGACACGTGCCGTGGTGCAGGGAGCGCTGGCGCGTCAGCTTGTAGGCGGAGCCGGAGATCTTGAAGGTTTTTATGCTGGTGCCGTCTGTGTTGTCCGGCTTGTTTGATGATGAAGACGAACGGGAGGACGAAGAGGAGGATGTGGATGACACATCGAGCACAATGTCGTGCCGCTCGTTGACGCGCGTCGAGCGCACCCCGAGCCGGTGCAACGCCCGCACTACCATCTCGGCGTGCTTGTCGCGGTCGAAGGACGCGGGCGGGCAGATGACGCTGTAGTTCACGTTGCCGGCGTCGTGGAAGACGGTGCCGCCTCCTGAGCGGCGGCGGACGAGGAGGACGCCGTCATCGTCGTGCCCATTCTCGCTCTCGCCATTCTTTCCCTGGCCAATATCGATCTCGCTCTCCCACTCTCTCGATTTCCTCCTTCTCAGTGCAGCAGCTTCAGAGCGCAGCAGCGCCAGCACACCCGGCCGGTTGATCAGGCCGAGGTTGACCTCGACCCAGGGGTTCTGGTTGCGGCCGATGACGACGCAGGGCCGGTTCGTGTACAGAAACAGCACCACGGAGTCGGGCCCGGACTTTTGCAGGAGGAAGTGCTCGATTGAGAGGTTCAGGTACGGATCCGAGCTCCGTGATATGTAGATCTGGACTCGGTTCGAGGGGTGCGAGGCTATTTCTGCCGAGAAGTGGCGGACTGCTCCTCCTCCTCGTATCCTTGATGGAGATAGGGGTAAGTTCTGAGAGAAGCGCGCCTGCCAAAAGGGGCGCGTTGAGAGTTTCAGAGCCATTGGTGAGGGTGTGTGTTTCAATGGCTGGAAGGAAGAACAGAAGGGGTTCCAGATCACATCACCGTGTCATCCATCTTATCATCTAGATCACCGTCGAACGGCCATGATTACTGATGAGTGAGCGGATGAGTGAGGCTGATGGGATTCTGCAGCCCTGCATGATGAGAACGTTGAGGCTGCACAATGGTCCCAGATATGCATAAAGATGTGCATCATGGTATGCAATACCTTCCTGAACCGCGGGGTCCAGACTCATCCCTACTCCCTAGCGCTGGCCCGCATCGGAGAGCCACCCCTCCAAACATCAGCCCAGACGCCAGCAAAATCAAAATAAAATGTTGTTGATGACTCCCGCATTCCGCTGTCGCAATCTCATCTGATCACCCGCCTACATGTACAAGACTCACCGAGTGTCCTCACCTTGATTCCAGTACTTCTTCCGCCACCAATTGACTGGAATGATCACTGAAAAGCTCTGTCTTAATCCTATACGCCTACGACCCAAGCGGTTGTTCTCAGGATAACCGACCGAGTGGGATAAGCACCGGCACGCTGCTTATATCATTGCAAGCTTTCGGGCCACCTACTTCGACATGTCGACTTTCGGGAAGGTTTTCCGGGTCACCACGTACGTTGCGAAGACTCAATGGCTTGAGTTCACCCTGCTGATGGTTTCCGCACCTTAGCTATGGCGAATCCCACTGCCGCTCGGTGGGCTGTATTGTCGATGGCTGCCCCCCAGGCATGCCGCTCACCGAAGACGATATCCAGCCGCAGATGACACGTCGTCGACCAGGCCAGAGTGCCATAACCACGCCCCGAAACGAGAAGGACCGCGTTATGATACAATCAGGCACCGAAAAAGGCATCACGCTGGGCACACCGATCGGCATGATGGTTCTGAACGAGGACCAACGGCCTAAGGACTACGGCGACAAGACTATGGACATGTACCCCCGGCCCAGCCACGCAGACTGGACCTACCTCGAGAAGTACGGCGTCAAGGCGAGTAGTGGTGGCGGGCGAAGCTCTGCGCGTGAGACGATCGGTCGAGTGGCTGCTGGTGCAATTGCCGAGAAATACCTGAAGATGGCGTATGGCGTCGAGATCACCGCCTTCACCACGTCCGTTGGCGGTGTGCACATGTTCCCGCCCACAGCCGAATACCCGACCCCAAGCCAGAATCCCGCTTTCATGAACCTCCTTCAGACGATCGACCGTGATACCGTCGACAATTTCCTGCCCGTGCGGTGTCCGGACGAAGAGGCCAACGAGAAGATGGCTGATTACATAGGCCAGGTCAGGGACGCCCACGACAGTATCGGCGGCACCGTCACCTGTGTCATCAGGAACGTTCCTAGCGGCCTCGGCGAGCCCTGCTTCGACAAGATGGAGGCCGAGCTCGCTCACGCCATGCTCAGCATACCTGCGACCAAGGGCTTCGAGATCGGGTCCGGCTTCGGCGGCTGTGAGGTTTTAGGCTCTGTTCACAACGATCCCTTCATTCGGGCGCCAGTTACAGAGGAATCGGTGGCGAAAACGGGCATACCGCGATCGAAGCTCACGACGAAGACGAATAACTCGGGTGGTGTCCAGGGCGGTATCACGAACGGTGCGCCCGTCTACTTCCGTGTTGCTTTCAAGCCGCCGGCGACAATCAGCCAGGCCCAGACGACGGCTACCTACGAAGGAGACGCTGAAGGCGTGCTCGCTGCCAAGGGGCGCCACGATCCCTGCGTCGTGCCGAGAGCGGTGCCGATTGTTGAGGCCATGGCGGCACTTGTGGTCATGGACAACCTAATGCAGCAGATGGCGAGACACGCTGCTAGATTACAATTACCCACGCTGAAGCAGACGGTGCCGCCAGCGGAAAATGGTGTTTCGATGGATACATGATGAAATAGAAAAATGGCAGAGGCGCCTGGCATAGATTTATTCCAGATGAAATACGCCGGCGTAACATGACCATCTAAATACTGCTTATGTCACTGCAAGTTATAGTGGACAATGTCACTCACCACTTTGCTACGGTGGTCTGGTTTCACAGTTCGGCGCAGGGATGAATAAAATGGGTTTCAATGTACGGTCCATGATTATAGAACTCTTTGTTGCTCATTCCACGAGTGAGAGCTCTGGGGTCGCATGTGAAGATTGCGCTATCCCCAATTTGGCAGCTTGCGGTCCAGCCTCGAAGTCGGCAGCGTTTGGTGTACTATAGGTAGCCAACTTCCTCCCACCATTGCATCTCGACATCACATTCGTTAAGCATATAGTCGACAGCATGTCTTACGCTCGCAACGACCACCTCGGCGGCCAAGGTATACTAAACTCACCTTCTTCCAACCCAACGCGTCCACTAACCGCATTCTCGCGGCCTTCAACCACGGCCCATCCTCCTCCGCCGAAGCAGAATACGACCGCCTCCGCGACCTCGCGCGACAAGAACAAGGTCAGCATCAACACTTCGCAGCCAAAGCCAAACATGCCTACTCCTCCGGCGACGGCAGCGGCGCCCACCAATTCTCCGAACAGTCCAAACAACACGCAGCAGCTGCCGACAACTACAACCGCCAAGCCTCCGAGTTCATCTTCCGGGAGAACAATGCCGTAGGCAGAGTAGCAGGCGACACCATCGACCTCCATGGCCAGTACGTCGAGGAAGCAGAAGAGATCTTGGAGCAGCGGATACGATACGCCCAACAGACCGGTCAGGACCACTTGCACGTGATCGTAGGAAAGGGAAACCACAGCCCAGGCCATATCCAGAAGATCAAGCCGAAAGTCGAGCAGATATGTCGGGAATTAGGTTTGCAATATAATACCGAGCACAACGAGGGTAGGATGTACATCCACCTCCAACCACCATCCGCCGGAGGGGGAGGGGTACAGCCGGTGCAAATGCCAGCTTATGATTACCAGCAGCATCAACAACCTCAGCATCAGAATTACGGACAACCGCATTACCAGACTGCGTACCCTATGGGTGGAGCGCCGAATTATAGTTATGCGCAGGCGGCCGGTGGGGGGTATCCGGGTGCACAGCAGCATGGACAGATGCAGTATGGTGGGCAGAATGGTGGGTACCAAGGGCAGCCGCAACAGCAGATGCAACAGGAGCAGCAGGAGCAGGATAATGGGATTAAGTGTTGTGGGATCAAGATTTGTGTTGTCATGTAAAGCGGAATTGCTTGGAGGTTTATGCATTTGGCGTGCATAGCAAAGGAGGCGCGGAGTTGGAAAGAGGAAAGCTGTGATACCCCAGGATGCGAGGCGTTGGTATGTATACTATGTTGCAAAGTACTTATTAAAAGAGAAGTCCGTCGATAAATTCAAGACTCGTCACCTCCTTTAAGCACCTTTAGTGTATCAGCCCCTAGTACTTATAACCATGACTATTCCTAATATGTTTGTTTGTTTGTTTTGTATTTAACGTGGGGGGTAGCTCCTCAGTAGTGCAAACCACGCCTCCCAGAGCCTTTGTATCGCAGGGTTGTGGAGGTCTCAAGATAATAAGTACAGTCAGTCCCGCTCACGGGCCCATCCCCGTTGTTGCGGCGGTATGACCTTGGGGTCATCCATCTGGTCCTTCTAGAAAAGCTATCTATCGGGGGCAGATTGTTGAAAAGAACTTGCTCTTCTCCATGAATTTTGCCCATTCTGTGCTCCTCTCCCCTAAGTATTGTAAACAAGCTGTCCTAGGCGAGTACCTAGGCAGCAGCCGGTTTTTCCCCAGCCTCTTACAAAAGAAAATGTGTTGTGGTGTTTTCTTCTCACCACAGCTGCAGTGATCATTCGAGTCTGTATTGACTATTCCTAATAGACTGAAGTTTGTGCCTCTTTAAGAGACGGCCTGCCTTTTTACTACCAACTCTAAGCTATAAAATTCCACCTAACTAATCAGAACACCCTCCCAATAGACAGTCAGTCATTGCATGTTGAAACCTCCATCGCCACAAGACCCAAACGTATGCCCCATGGCCTAGACCGACCAGCCTGGTATCACGGGCAGACTTACACCCGAGCTACTGGAGCTCATTGCAGACCATTGCGACTTCAGCTCTCTCAAAACCTTCAGAGCGGTGGAGAAGCGACTCCATGATATCGCAAACCCCTCCTTGATCGATTGCACTGTTCTGTAGATTACTACTAATACCGACTTACTGGCCGTCGTAGGTGAGTCAGTCGAGTTGAGACTTCCTGCCTGTTCTCGATGGCGTGTTGTTATTCGATATCAGGGGATCATCCCCCTTCGCCTACGGAGGTGGGATTCACATCTAGAGTCTCTAATGAGGGTTCGTATCACCGTTCTAGAATCATGACGGTTTGCTCATGTATTGCCGCCCTTTTTGATACACTATTAGATGTTGCTTTAGTGCTGTTACCTCTTTTTGGGCATGTTGCTTGTAACACAAGAGTCATCTTCTTGTATAGGTACGGTGAAGAGCAAGCTACTGTATGACTTAGCCGCCCATGTATAAGTCACTGGAGGTCTAGACACTCCCCGGATCCCTTCATTATTATTTCTCTATATTTATTTTATACATCAGTCATAATACAGGTGTATATGCCAAGTCAGTCCAGGTAGTCAGCTATTTTGGATGCTAACGGAGCAAAAATAATACCTTCATTCTTAAAATATTATGAATTCTTACGATTATATATATATATGTATCATCTAAGAAGGCACGCACTATTTCCTCAGTATTCTCTCACTGAAATGTCATCCTTGCCATGATCATGACCCGAACCTGTCCAAGCTGGCCAGAAATGGGAAGACTGGCCGAGATGGGCATTGACTGCTCAATCGAAAATCCCTGCGGTACACTCCATTCTCAGCATCAAGAAACCTGAGAACCTCCCTGAAGTCGTCACTGACGCTGGTCACCACGTCTACAACGACGATGTTCAGATGCCCACGATTTCCTTCAGCTCATCGACATCTTCCCGGAACTATGGAAGGACAGAGGCCTCATCGACATGCCTGAAGATCAGATGATGAAAGTCCCCTTAGCAAACGGTTGACAGATTCATAAGCTCAACAGCCGACAGTACTCTCACACACACTAGATTATTGACACCCATACACACACGCTTCATTGATTCAGATGAAAGCACCGCACCCAGGACGACGACCTCCTGTACCTAGCCCCCTTTGGCAGACAACTGGAGCTGTCGCTGTCTACCAGGAAGGAACGAGCGGGCGTTGAACCACACTGCCTAGGAACAACCAGAGGACCCAGTGCCAATGGTCAGATCTCGCGCATGGGTTCCGACATTTGTTGCGATGGCAGTGAGACTAATGGAAGGGCACATGTCCTTTGCCATCGTCGTTCGAGGTGGCTGCACTCGAGAAGTCATTGACCGATAAGCTGGAGAAGGAGAAGGAAGACGCCGTTAGCGAGTTCAAGGAGAAAGCTGCAGCCGACTTACTAGGCCTGAGGCCTGTACATGGTATACACGATCATTGATTGATTGGACTGGGCCGTCAACCCCTATGCGCATTCGAGCACGGCTTTACCGAGGACAGATATTCTCATATTCCACTGGGCGGTTGATCGGAGTCGATTCGTCTTACTGGTCTGAGATTCATTAAACTAGTTACTTCTCTTCACTTTCGCTTCTCCCGCGCTTTTCTACTTTCTTTCCTAAGACCCAGGAAGCAAGCAACACGAGGCGCATCTCGGCCTCAGAAGCTCCATTCCTCCCTTTCCCCGCCATACCGCAGCCTTTTGTACACTTTGCGTCACTCGCACCAGTCTCACCGCTCTCACCACTTTGGGATTTGGCACCTGGGAAACGGCTGACTTTAAAGGAAGTACCACACGCAACCAGAAACTTCTGAGCAGATCCGCAAATTCGGGAAGACTCAGACACTTCGGTCGACCAGATGCAAATGTCGTATTCTGGGAGTAAGGCAAAAGCAAACAGTGCATTGGCGAGGTCATCAACATTTTCCGGAGAGGGGGACTTGTTGAACCACATCTGGCCCGTTCGGTCACGGCCGCCGCAGCTACATATCACTGACTGCAGACACCATATCTACCAACACTCCATAGATAGATAGAGAACCCAGTCAATCAAAGCAATCCTGGTAGCAGCTCTGAAAGTTGTCCTGGCTAGACAGCAGCAAGATAGATGTAAGGCCCTCGGTCCTGTGCTGGGTTCACGCTGTATGTAGATGGCCGGAAGGGTGACCCGACTAAGGGGTAACGTTATGGGCTTAGGGGCTTGCTTCCATACTGACATATTCAAATTTCATGGTATCTATGGCCAGATCGCTGCCCAACCTTGTCTACCTATCAACCTACACCCCAAGGATTGCAATTGCACTGCTTCCGGTCCAAGGCGTCAGAGTAGTCGTCCCAGTAAATGAAGTCCCCGACTCCGCATCCAGCTTCCAGCCTGGGCCGACCAATCTCATCCACTCGTCCAGTCTCTATCCTTATATAATTTCCTCTCGGCTTCCTAGGTAAGTTGACAAGATGAATGTATTCTGTAACTTCCTCCTATCAAGGACCCTTCGCTAACATCAAACATCAGATATCAAACATCACACAAAGCAAACAAACAGCAACTCCCTGGGTAGGAGAAACCCCCACCATATCCTGTCGGTTCTAGGCTATCTTTTTTTGAACAGTCATCACGAAACGAGCTTGGAGTCTATCTGCCAAATGCGGCTGCACGCCTCGAAGCGACCACCCAGGTGCCCTGGATCTCAACCAAGCCGGTTCGTGTACCAGACGACATAACCGAGTGGCAGACTTCAGCATTACCTAGGTACCTATGTAACAGCAATACCAGAGTAAATGACACATCCATGATTCTTCGGCATGGTGGTCTGGTTCCTTTTCGGAGGAGACTACGATGCCAAGATCAAGTCTCTGACCCCTTGGATGCTGGTTTTCACTGGGCCGACTTCAAGCACCATCTCCCTCCACTACCCCTACGACGAGTGCTACGACTTCTGTTGCTTCTTCCTCTTCGCCCTCTACTACTACAAGAACGACTACACCCGAGTTGCGGTCGCCGGCGTCTGTCTCCTGCTTGCATACGCTGATCAGCGAGACTGGACAAAGATCAAACTCTACACCACGCTCGAGCTCCTCGTCGTCTCCTTCCCACATATTAGGCGGTTTTGCAAGCTCGCATTGCCCCCTGACCAAAGAAGCCGGGGCAAGATAGCATCCTACCTCGCAACTTAAGAAACACCCGAGATTGCTGGTAAATCCGCATGCAGCAGCAGCACCCGGCCAGATTCCGAGCGCGGTGAATGGTAATGTAAGCTCCGGCGGGACTATCTATCTCTGCTATTCTCGTACCTACCACCGGGTGTTGCCTTTAAACACCTACCTAGGTAGCTCCGAGTATCAACTATAAAAGCCCGAGCACCGTACCGACTGCTGACAAGGTCCCTCTCTCTGCCGCATGCCATGAAAAGCATTCGGCATACCGGCCATACATCCGACTCAACATTCTTAGAAATTCGCGAATAGGTTGTCTAGATTGACCACGGTGGAAATTTCAAGGCCCATTACAAGCCCACGGGCACGCAGAACCCTCCGTTCGTTCGAGGCGGTCTCGGTCGCGCGGACGTCTGACTATCTCGTCCTTTCAAGATATCCCGGCCTTCGGGATCCCCAAGACCCAAGAACCCCATCTCATTCCAACCTCCGGCGATTGGGCCACATCGCCAGACTAACTTACCCTTTCGCCCGGCAATCGAAAGAAACTCAAAGATTCGCCGAACTAACACATAATCAACACCGGCACCACTGCACCAGGTGCCTCATATCACCCCAGCCAATGCCCATGATGTTGCAGCAGCCAACCACCCCACAATTATAGGTAGGGGAAACATCCGCCTGGCAGCCGGCTAATCACTCTGCCGATGTCAACCTCAGTAGACATCGACTTGGTGAACGACGAGAAGCCAAGCTCCGACAACAGCTCCGACAAGACCCCGACGACGACGACGCCGCAGCAGCAGCAACAGCAGCAGCAGACCGAAATGCAGTCAATCGCGGCCGTCTTTCTTCGCCGAGATGAAGAACCACCTGGAGCTAGCAGTCCCGCCTTCGGATCAACGACGTTGGTTGGAACCGGAACCTCGCTCTTTCATACCTAAAGCACGAAGGGCTGACTGACGCCTCTACGTCATCGCCAATCTGGAACTCGTACCTCTCTGCCTCGTGCTATTTCTGCTATTTCTGCCCTCTTAGTGTTTGATTTATTGCAGTTGGTGCCCCAGTCATCTTTTCAAATCGCCCGCGACTTCTGAGACAAACCTCCTCCACACTCTCCGCCGCAACCATGGATAAGGACGACCACGGTATACCGCCTCCGGGGCGGGGAAAGAGAAGCACGCAGGAAAAACCGCGGAGCGGTCCACCCGCCGTGCGACGGCTAATGGAAGCGATCCCAAGCGAAAACCATCGAGCCCAAGCGGCAGACGAGTTTCAATGCCAAGTGTCATTGAGCTCGCAAGCAATTTGCTGTTAGGATCGTCGTCAGTTTGCCATGGCTCGGAATGTCGACGCAAGTCTTCAGCTCCGATCGGAGGTGTAACTACTAGAGCTCGTAGTTCATATTCTATAGAGGTCCTTTGAGAGCTTACCATTCTCTCGAAACGTCGTCTTGAGCTTTGAAAACCGGCGCACGCGCATGGCGGATCTGTAACGGCAGATGACGGACTACAACAGAAGCCTCCTCGTCGTGCCTGGAGTGTAGTGCCGAGTGTAAACGACGAGCAGCACAGTAATGCAATCGGCATTTTGCATGAGCTAATACTGTTAACTACCCTAGTGGTGTGGCGTCTCGTTGTATATCACGATAAACATCAGGGCTGTGGATCATAGTATATTCAGGGCAGTCAACTCGTGACTATGCTAATTTGTACGTTGCGAGAGTTATGTACCTTCGATCGACGACTCGGGAAAAATCGATCTCGACCTCGCAATGCATCTGATATGCTGTATATCAAGCCTAGAAGGCTTTCAACCTAATGCAACCCCACTTCTTGAGCAGATTCCATAATGCATTCGCTTGAATGCGGAATGATATTGCGTAATACGTGGAAGTCTGCATAACGTGGCTGGTTATTTTGGTTTCCTGCTGATTGTCTCTTGGATTTTACTCTGTAGACATGTATCCATTGGCGCCCAACCACTCCTTGATGACCTCACCATCCCTCGCACGGTAGGCAGCCCGTCCATGGATGGCGCCCTTGACCTGCTCGAGGGTGCGGTCGAAGCTGCTGGTGTCCTTGTCCGCGAAGAATGCATCGATCCAATCAATGTACTTGGCATCCGTGAACTTGCTGAGTGAGGTCTTGACGAAGCGGTCCAGAACAACCGGATTTGCCATTTTGGTCGTGAGCTTTTCCCAGTTGTGCTGTATGTAGTCCCATTGCATCGGGCGAGCGAGCGAGTTCCGTGCTAGAGAGCCGCCAAGAGAGTGCATATCGCCGGACGGTACGGAGTCTGAAGCCGGGGCTGGGGGCGACGGCTCGAAGAGGAAAGGGAAAAGGGACTTCTTGATGAGCTCGGCGTCACGGACATGGCCCAAACTAGACAGGCAGAGGACTTTGCCGTCGATCGAGGTGCCGGTCGACCATTCCTTCTTCAGAGCTTTGACTGCTTCGGCAGGTTTGGTCTTGATGGCGGTGCGGTAGACAACGGTTCTCAGATTCGGATGGATGCTAGTTCCTTGCGAAGCCCAGGCATCAAACATCGACATGGCCTTTTCAGTTACCCTGTGAAACAGCCACTTGTCAGTATGTCGCAGATAAAGTGCAACGTGAAAAACGTGACTTACTCTGGGTGGCCATTGGCGGCTGCATTTAGTAAAAGCCTCTTGCGCAGCTGCCCAGTCAGGAAATCCTCGCTGTCTGAGAACTCCCAGCCGATCTTCTCTACCGCATTGCTAATAAGCTTTAAAGCGAATTTCTCCAGACCCTTCTTGATGGTCTCATCATCGCCGAAGATGGTCTTGACCCTGCTTAGAGAGTCTAGAACTTGGGTCCATACCAGGTGGTTTGTCTCGTTTCTAAATGCTTCAATGAATGATAGAAGCGCTGGGGTCGTGCCGTAACCGGAGAATGCCAAGTCGGCTGCAGAGCCAATGATGGAAATCTTGTCTTCGTTGCTCAACCGGTCGAGTTGAGTGCTGAGCTTTGTTAGGCGAGCCGGAGGATAGTTGGTTCGGTAGAAGCCAGTGGCATTGGAGTTGAGCATGTAGAATTCGTCGTCAATGTCTCGGATGGTCGTTTCTCTAGCCGTGAGAGTCAAGTTATGGATACCTTGCTGCCCAACCTTTCCCTGCAGACTGAGGGGTACCCACCATTCGGTCTGGTCCTCCTCGGGCTTGACATCCCCGGTAGAGAGATAGCGGTTTTGCTTGATCGAGATTTGGCCAGGTTCCTCGGCCACGGTTAACACCGGATGGCCGATCTTCTCGATCCAGTTGCTCATTAATCCGTTCACATCCTCTCCCGATGCTTCGCTCAAGGCCTGCCAGAGATATTCAGTCTTGGCATTCCCGTAAGCAGACTTTTTGAGGTATGCGCCAACACCCTTGAGAAAGTTCTTCTCTCCAAGATGGTTCACCAGCATTCGCAGTGTGGAGCATCCTTTGAGGTAGCTGATACTGTCGAATATCTGATTTACGTCGAGAGCATCCTGGACTGGGACATGAACAGGATGAGAAGCACGCATTCCGTCCAACCCGAAGGCGTCCTCCATTCCTTCGTTGACGAACTGGGCCCAAACTTGCCAGTCGGGGTGGAATTTATTCACGGCGTACCAGCCAGCCCAGGTAGCGAAGGACTCGTTGAGCCAGAGTTCATCCCACCAGTCCATAGTGACGAGGTCGCCGAACCATTGATGAGCCAGCTCATGAGCAACAACGTATGCGACACGGTTCTTGTATCTCGCGTCGGAAGTATTCTTGTCAAAGAGTACCGCAGTTGTGCGATAGGTAACAAGACCCCAGTTCTCCATGGCTCCATGGGTGAATTCGTGGACAGCTAGCAGGTCGGCCTTTGGGAGGGGGTAGTCTATACCGAAGCTTTCCGAGAAGAGATCAATGGTCTTGGGGGCATGTTCCAAGGCATATCGGCCTTGCTCTTTCAGACCCCGAGTAGCGTACACGCGCACAGGAATCTGTTGCCCATTGTACCGTCGTTCAGTAAAGGCTTCAACATATTCGAAGTCTCCCACAGCCCAGGCAAGCAGATAAGTGCTCATGAGCGGTGTTCGTTCAAAGGACACCTTCTGGAATCCCGGCTTGGTCTGAACTATCTCCTTGACGGGCATGTTCGACAAGGCGACCTGATCATCCGGGATGTCGATCTGAAAGTCAAAGGTAGCCTTCAGGCGAGGCTCGTCGAAACAAGGGAAGGCGCGGCGAGCATCGCAGGCTTCAAATTGGGTGCTGAACATGTAGTGAAAGGTATCATCCCTGGGTACTGATGCGGCGGGAGTGACGGCAGGCTTGTACTTGCTCCGGTAGAAGCCGGCCATGTCATTGTTGATGATGCCCTGGAAGCTGATCTGCAGGGTGGCCTTTTGCGAAGCGGGAATGTCCTCGGTGAACTGAAGGGTTGCGCGCTGCTTCTTCTCATCGTAGCTAAAGGTGGCGGTTTGCAAGGACTGGGTGGACTTTGTGTGCTCTACGGTGACCTCGGCTTTGAGCAGTTTCAGCTCAAGTGCATTGAGAACGATCTCCTTGGTCGGTTCCGCAACAGAAACATCGATGCTGCACCCTGTTAGAAAGCTTACCTAGGTAGATGTTATCATACTTACGTCACACTTCCTTCGTAGGACCAATCCTTGAAGTTGAGGGCCGAGATTGAGAGATCATAGTGAGACGGCTTGACGGTGGCGGGGAGAATGTCGCGGTCGGCCATGATGGAGGAGGGGATGATGGCGTTGCAGGCAGCTGTCGGGGTGGTTGAGAAGTGTCGAGAGGAGACAGGGGAGGCAGTGTTCCTGGCAGAGGTCCTGGACCGTTGCCGTTGGGTGTGGTGAAGTTGTTGTAAGCGGGCGTGGTGGGGTCTTGCAGGTGGTCCCTTTTTGGGTCGTTGCAAGTCTAGCGTAGGAATAGCAACACCGCCAACACCGACTAAATTGGCAGGTGGCCACGACACGAACTTTGATGCGACAGACGCAAAACATTGGCGGAAAATAAAAGGGTTACAGCTGCTGTTCAACGGCCCAGGAGTTGCAGGATGTCGGCCCGTGAAGATGGACGATGTTTCGTTATCTTGTCTTGCAATTGTTGCTCGCCCTGCCATGGAGCTTCTCGAAATGGCCCGGGTTGCATGACCTGCAACCGCCCTCATCTTCATCACGGCCGTGCTGGCATTCCGGAGCATGGCCCGCGGCATTAGACCAATGGCGGCATCCATTGCTAGCCGGGTGCTTCGTTCCTCTGCTAGGTATGTTGTTGCTATGTGTCGTGCTTGTGTGCTGAGTATAGATGCTACCAATCAGTGCTACTATGCTGCTAGGAGTGCATGGATGGAACCCGTCTTCTGGCTAGCATCGGAACCGATATGTGCGTGTCAAATCAGGCAAATAGATGGTGGCACCCTCTCACACGCGATCCCACCCGGTGAGAAGGTCTCGTCAGCTGTAGATTTGGAGGAAACTCAGAAGTCTTCATAGGGGTAGCAAGTTATGACCTGGCAGCTTGTGGGTATTAAGGGTCATGAGGTGGAACGAAAGTGTTGAACCATATACACAAAAGGGTAGTGAACATACAGAAGAATGGTACAAGTATAATGAGATGATTGAAAGGTCACCCTAGCCTGGCAGCATCCCAATGCATGCGATGCGAGAGCTCTCAAGCCTTCGATCGAGCTGGGAAATAGACGAAGGACAGACACTCCAGGAGGATGAGAAATGCAGAAATGCAGGTTGTCGGCTTGATGAGATCTCATTGACCGAGACGCGATAAGAGAATACGGATGTCTTGAAGGATATTGGGTTATGTCGTGTACATGCATGCATGCATAGAGATCGGATATGTCGATCGTGCAGCCCCTAGTCAAAGAAGGGAAGTCTGTTTTGATACATCACATCAACACCATCGTTCATCGTCATGTCTCAACTCTTCACAACGAGATGAAAACTGCCTAGCTGTTGACACGTCAAAACCTACAGATTGTGGTCCCTTATTCTCTTGTCTGTTTTTAATTATTAGCTTCTCATGGTTGAATTCGCCGGCAATGGAACAAGATGATGCCCCAGCGAGGGGTGCGCCCACCAGAAACGCAGCTTCCATGCGACAGCATCGGGAGGAAATCCGGCGACGGTTGCTGAGGCCGGAGCGCGCGCCTCGGGCACCAAATGCCCAGGCAACATCGCCTTTCGCTGCGAGAGGTGGGGTCCCTGCTTTGGACCTGCCAAACGAGACACATCCAAATCCATGGACTCTTCAGACACCTCCAGCTCCAGGTCAGTCTCTGCGTTGGTTCACCTTAAACCCACCCCAGACCCAAGAAGCTCCTAGAGCGCAGCTGTGGTTCGTCCTTTGATTATCACTTTGTTCCATCCTTCTTGGTTACCCAGCAACAGCGCCATTACCTCTCTTCTGTACCTCAGCAGCCATGTCTACTCCCCGAAGAACCGGCGTTTCACTTCTGGATGAGTCGCCTCCGTGGAGGGTGACCCATGCGCATCGGACACTGCCTCCTGACCAGACCTGGAGACGGACAAATCGCTTGCGGGAGGATGCAATCGTCATTCTCGAAGAGAGCACTCAAAGCCAACTACTTACTGAAATCATAGCAGAAGCCGAAGCAGCAAGAAGACGCCAGCGTGAGGCTGGAGAGTACGACGACACCGAGGAAGAAGACGAAGATGAGGAGGAGGAGGAGGAGGAGGAGGAGGAGGAGGAGGAGGAGGAGGACGGAGAGGAAGAAGGCGATGAAGATGAAGAAGAGGAAGCTGATGTTCCAGAGGAGGACGAGGGTGAAGGTGTAGAGGACGAGGGTGAAGGTGCAGAGGACGAGGAGGAGGCCCATGATGAAGAGGAACCTCCTTTTGATGCCTCAGCCGTCGGCCTCAAGGAAATCAGCAACCTCGCCAGCTTCACCGTGAGCAGCTACAAGCCAGGGTGCGGCGTGAAGGAGCTCCGCGATGACGATGTGAACCAGTTTTGGCAGTAAGTTACACGATGCTCCCATTTTTCAGTTCTCCCCATTGCTACCAGGCTGATGCTCTTCCGAAGGTCCGACGGTCCTCAACCGCACCGCCTAAACATTCATTTCATCAAGCGTGTGGAGATACGTGCGCTGCGGCTCTTCCTGGATTACGAACTAGATGAGAGCTACACGCCTACCAAGATCCAGATCACGGCCGGCACAGGCCCCAACCTCACCATACCCTTCACCACGATGGAGCTCAGTGCGCCCAAGGGCTGGATCGATATCCCGATTGCCGGTGCGGGCGGTGGTCCAGACGGCAACTCGCTCTGCTGCTGGTTCGTCCGTGTCATGATCCTCGAGAACCACCAGAACGGCAAGGACACGCATTTGCGCGGGATCAAGGTCTATGCGCTGGACGACACGGCTGATACGGCGGAGAATAACCCGGTGGACGACATGGTCGAGGCCATTGAAGACTACCGCGACAGGATGACCCGGATAAATCTCCATGATCACGACGAGCAGGCGGCCATGCGACTCGAGGCCAAGGCTCGTCGTCGTAAGGCTGCCACCAAGAAGCATGCTCCCGGAGATGGAGGACTGAGCATACCCGACTTCATGCGAGAAGCGGAGATCCGTTGATGAGTGTGATGAGTGGTCCGCAACGTAGTGGTGGAGACGGAGAAGGAGGGCAGGGATTCGGAAAGTGGCGTTTGGAGGTCGACTTTGGTCATTACGATACCCCTTTGCTAGCCTATACGAGTGCGACGAATGCGAACGACTATAATGACAGTCTTGCTTTGTACTTCAGTACGGTTTTACATAACGGTGCATTCCGAGGCACGCTGTCGGCCGTTGCGGGAATACGAGAAGGTGTGGCCAATCGGACCCCACTCCGTCCTCCACGGCGGCTCACAGCTGGAGATGCAGGGACCCGGCGCTTCTTGCAACTTCACGTCTTCCTCTTCTCAGATGAGCTGCTGCTCAAGGGCCCCTCGCTGGCATTAGCGACTGCATCGTGCCATTTTGTTGTGTTTATTGTACTTCTCAGACTAGAGCCAACGCTCAATCTGCTGCGCAGAGGGGAAACAACTGTGTCCAGCAGCCCGGAGCTACACTTATCTTGTGACATCGACGACGACGACTCTCTCCTGTTCCAACCAACGAGACCTACACCAGCCGAAGCGCCCCTACCATCCCAGCGGCAATGTCCCCGCCAGCCACCGAATCCGAAGACCCCATGGCGCGCCTCCCACCGAACCTCGTCGCGCGTTTCACGCAGGCGCTGAAGACCTACCAGCTCTCGAACAGTACATTCCGCGTGCTCTGCTCGTTGCCCGCCACGCCTGCACCCACACACGCAGCAGCATCCCTCGATACCCGGTCGGTTTTGACACCGCTGCCGCCGCACCATCCGACGAAGTCTATATTAGTCCTCGACTCCTCGTTCAACCCGCCCACGCTCGCGCACCAGCGCATGGCGCTCTCCGCGCTGGCGGACCCGCGGTACGGCGGTGCCGGTGAAGACTCAGAAGACGGCCGACAGCAGTCGCGCCTCCTCCTGCTCCTCGCGATCAACAACGCCGACAAGGCACCCAAGCCCGCGGCCTTCCCGCAGCGGCTCGCCATGATGTACGTGTTTGCGCAGGACCTGCTGGCAGCGGCCGCCGCAGCAACAACAACCCAGAACCAAGAAGAATATTGCAATGGAAATGAAGGAGAAAGAGACGAATCAACACCAGGAAGGAGTCCCCCCGGCTGCGCGGCCGTAGACATAGCCGTAGACATAGCCGTGACGACCGAGCCCTACTTCCACGCCAAGAGCAACGCCATCTCGACCTGCGATTTCTACCGTGGTACTACTCTAGCCACCTCCTCCACCACCACTACCACCTCGCACACATCCTCCCGTCAAGAAGCACACCAACAACAATCACAACAATCACCCCAAGCACCAGAACAAATCTACCTAACAGGCTTCGACACCCTAATCCGCATCTTCGACCCCAAGTACTACCCCTCCGCAGCAGACGGCGGGATCGCATCTGCCCTAGACCCGTTCTTTGCGCACGCGCGACTGCGCGTCACCACGCGGCCCGACCCTTCGTGGGGCGATGTCCCCGCGCAGCGCGCCTACTTAGCCCGCCTACGAGACGGCGAACTAACGAGAATGGGCGGCCGCGCGGAGTGGGCGGACAGGGTCGAGATGGTGGACGGCGGGGAGGGGGAGGAGGAGGAGACGGCGGTGAGTAGCACCAAGGTCCGGGACGCGGTGCTGAGGGCGGACTGGGAGGCCTTGGGCCGGCTGGTGAGTCCGGGGGTGCGGGCTTGGGTTAGGGGGCAGGGGCTTTACGGGGAAGGGGAAGGGGAAGGGGAAGACGGCGCCCGGTGATGATGGATGATGGACGGTGGGCTTGTTCGGAGAGGAGTCAGGGGTTCACGGCGCTCAGGGGCCAGGTGCTTGATGCGACTTTTTATTGGGAAGCTGGAGTCAGCGGTGGAAGGAAGACCTTGGGACAGACAGGCTTCTAGGTATACCAACAAGTAGTTAGATTGCTATCTACCTACATTCAGGCCGTAATGTTATGTTTATATCCAAACCTAGGTACATAGCATTTGCATCATTTCAGCTAGATCAGAGTGACATGACATCCATCCCCTATCCATCCTAAGCATAAATGGATGGATGGCAAGTCATGCTCCGGCTATGTTCGCGCGCTGCCTATCATGATGGATGAATTTGTAGGTAAGGTACTTGCTCAATCACGGAACGAAATATATCACATCTTCCTCTGATTGAAGGCACATGGTCTGCATATGGACTTGATGCCCGGTGCTTTTGTCATTGCTTGTCAACACGGGAATGCTATCAGACATTGTGTTTGTACAGACAGAACCGAATCCCCTCTTCGCAATGCGAGAGACATGATGCACAAGACGAGCTGGCGCCACTGTGCGTGTCCATCCGTCCGTCCGTCCTCTTACTCCAGAAAATCAAGGCTGGTCCAATGCATATCATCACACACCAAGGCTTTTCCCATTCCATTGCTCATTATCGATGACGAGGTCGTGGTATTGGTGCCTCATTAGTTGTTTAGTATACAGCCACGACGAGGGATCGACATGCAGGTACGCTGAGGATGTGGTCAGCACCAGAACGTGGGCGCTTTAGACATCACCCAGAGATGCCAGCAAATGGACGGGTCCTATGCTTAGGTTGGCTCCCTGTACTGTTCCTCAGTCTGTGGCCTCCCAAGCATCCATTCCCTTACGACTGGTTTGCTGCTGGTTCCTTCTTCGGGCCGCCAAAGCCGCCAGGGCCGCCGCGGCCTCGACCACCCTGGCCACGACCGCGTCCACGTCCACCCCGACCCTCACCAAATCCACCTCGACTACCACCACGGTGGAAACCTCGTCCTCTAAAATTTCCACTACCTTCTCGGTCATGACCGCGAGGTCCTTTGCGCTGGACCGACTGGAATCCATCGTTCGCTTCGGTGGGGGCGGAAGACTGCTGCGGCTATTAGAGATTAGTTTCGTAAAAGGATGAATTGAGCATATTCAAGGGGGGGGCTGCTTACCTCAGGGGTACTATCGGGCTGGTCATCCGCCCAAGACTGAGTATTGCTAGCAGCGGCGGGGGTCGCTGTCAAGCCTGTATCGGTTTCGGCGGGGTCACGAGGAACCTCAACCCAATCCTCTTGAGTTATCGAGGCACTCAGGTCATTGTTAGTGTCCCACTGGGACTCAGCAGCAGCATTGGCGGCGCCATCGCTAACATCGGCATTCGCAGGAGCACCAGACTGGGCTGTTGACTCGTTGTGGCCGTTCGTCGCGGTAGGAGTGGCACCAGTAGCATCGATCTCGGTCAATCCGGCATGAGCGACAGTCGGGTCCGTTTCCACAGCATCAGAAGTCGCATCGGGTTCGGGTGCCTCGGTGGCCTCGGAAGCTGCTTCAGTGGCGTTGATGTGGGCGATTGAGGCGGCTTTCACCTGGGCGACTGCAATCGAGTTAGTTGTAGCTTAGGACTGCAAAGCAAAAGGTAACCACGTACAAGTAGTCTCAAGCTCATCATCGCCGACGCTTCGCGCCTTTTCGTCCGATCCGTCAATGAGCTTCATCATGGTCGAGACAGCATCCTCGTCTCCGGAATAGACATGCAGCAGAACTCCTTCCAGAGCCAAGTTCTCGTCCAGACCGGCATCGGCGTCTTCGGTTCGTCGAGCAGCAGCTAGGCGAAGGAATTGAGACAGGATCAGCAGGCTGTCATGCTGGGTCTTTTTCAGGTCCGCTGCAGCCTTCTCCTTGACCTCGCTAATGGCCTCTTCCTTCTCCTTCTCCAGCTTCTCTGTCAAAGACTTCTCGAGGGCAGCCTTGTCGGCGGCGGCGCGGTTGCGGTATTCATCGTCCACTTTCTTGTATTGAGCTAGCTGCTCCTCGTACTGGGCAAGCTGGGCCTCGAGTTGGGGCTTCTTGAGTCGTTGAGTCCGCTGGTCGACATTGATGATTTTGGCGTCGACGAGCTCGTCAAGCGATTTGCCCTTGTGCTCTTCGACAATGGAGTCGGTCTTGGAAGCGTTGGCCTGCAGGTGATTGGTTAGCCGCGAAGTCCAAAGTTTTACGAAGGGGAGGGGAGGGGAGGTATGACTGACGATCTTCTTGTTCACGTTGCGGATGTTCCTGGCAGAAATGGTCAGCAGGGAAGCTCAGTGGGGTGTTTTCTGGGAGGCGCAGGACTGACTTTGCCAAATCGCGAACGTAGGGGCTTTCGGAGTTGTCATCCTGGCCATCTTGGGAGGCAGGCTTCTCGGGGGCAGGCGAGGCGGAGGGGGCAGGACACTCGACGCGCACAGCCTTGGCCTTCTTCTTCATGGCAGACTTGGACTCGGTCTGGACGGGAGGGTTCTGAACGGTAGAAGAAGGCATGGTGAACCTTGAGGAGTTGGTCGTCTGCTCGGTGCGGCGTAGGTAGCTGAGGTACTTGAGTAGGTAGGTAGCTTATTCACACCACTCAAGAGCGACGGCGACGATGGTGCAAGGCTGGAGGTGGGCGCACGAGAGGACGGAGTCTTGCTGCAGAAGATGTGAATCGTGCGGGAGAGGGTACTAGGAATATCGGGTAAACGTTTAAAAGTTGGTGGGAGATGGACGGAGAGTTGCAACTTGGGTTTGTAGGTGAAATGCAGGTGGATTGAGACTGTGATGGAGGGTTGGGTTGTGAGGTGCGCGTGTGTGTGTGCAGGTGTGTGTGTTTTGCAGCGACGAGATCGGAATTTTTCCTTCCCTGCACTTTTTGCCATTTGGGGGTTCTGGGGTTGCAACTTCAAGGTTGGCGGACCCCTGCACCACTCACAGACTCTCAGTGCTCCCTCCCTTCCAACCACCGCCAAAGAAATGCAGCGAATCTAAACAAGTCCATATTACCGTTCAATGCGAGTTACTTTTTACATCTAGTTGCAAGACATTCAATGGTTTCGCCGAAGGTTGGTTCATTGCTACACTACTTCATCGTCTCCCAGATGGGCTCGGAGATGCACTCGTGTCTTTATAGCTACCAGCCTTTACCTTGAACCGCCTCCTCGACGTCGACGGGCTGTTCCAAACACGTATTGGGATAATTAAACCTCTACAAGATCACCAGAGACTTGTTGGATAGCTGCGCAGCTGTTTTCCGCGTAGGATCGCATCTGGCAGACCGTCAACTAGGAGCCTGGTGTCCTAACATGATCCTTCTCGTCCTCGTGAACGACCGACCCAATTGTTCAGCTAGTCCTGATGCTCACACAGAGCAGAACAAGTCGATGATATCATATGCACCGGCGCGACAAATTGTGGTCTCAGTGTAGAGATACTGTAATCTCGGTCGACGTGAGGATCTGCTTCGGTGTGGCTGTCGGGGAGGCAGATTGCGCCATTCGAATGTTTGGCTGCAAGGGCTTTATTTGGTCGCATGGCCTCGACTCCGATTCATCCCTTGAACTTACTCAGGGCATCCTGCATCCCATGTTAGCTATCCGAGACTTGGACTACCGAGTTGTCTGGGGGCAACAGGAGAGGCTCACGGTGGTCACTTTACTCACGCTCTTGGGGCTTATGTTGCGTTCACCAGCTTGTTTCGAGTCGATGGCGGCCTCCTTCATCAGGCTGTGCTACATTGTTAGTCCTCGAGGTTAGACAGTTGGACTCGGAATTGATCGTACGTCTGCATGAAGAGCATATAGTCGAGGAAGATCTGTGTAGGGTTGCAGGCTGTTAGGCGCGTCATGCACGCGACTTGGGACTTGGGAACGAAGCTCATCCTTACCATGACATCCACGTTCTTGCTGACATTGCACTTGGAATGGGCCTTGACGATCTTCTTGACCGTCGCCCGCGGGTACATCTTCTGGCCGGGAGCCATCTTGCGCTGGGTCGTCTTTGTTTGCGCGATAGGGGCAGATGGTGAGATGGAGGGCGACTTTGGTGTTGACTCTCTGACTCTGGAGGGCATTTGGCGGCTGGGCAGGCAACCCCTCCAAGCCAATCGGCAGTTGAGCTCCTTATCTAAACCTTAAACGCCATCACCGGGAGCTTGGGCCACATACCTAGGTACCTAGGTAGGCTTGAGAGCTATGACCGGTTCCTCCTCGGCAACCTTCAACTCCACCTCTTCACCTCACACTCTCCGTCAAATTCCCGTTCGAGAGGGCCCCTATTATCTCTACATCATATCACTCACGTATCACACCAGAAAAGCGCCAGTATTGGCGCACGCAAATCCAGCGCAACTGAGTGAAAGAAGTAGATAATGCATGCGGCAGTGCCTATGCACAAGTGCTTTCGAATTCGTGCTCGTCACATTTAGGGTCCGGTAGTATGGGCGTCCATCGAGGACACGGTCCTCCACGGTTCATTCCCAGCCGGTCTGTGAATAGCTTACTGTCCAACCTCGAGATCTCACCGGCCAGGGGCTAGTTATTTCGTGGCAACAATTCATCGCCAAGAGTTGAAGGAAGTTTACCTGGTTGCTTGCCACGTAGGTGAGTGATTGCCAGGTGGTCAAGGTCTCCATGTGCGAGGTCGCTTTTGGTCGAAGCTGCGTCGTGGATTTCTACTCCTTGATGCCGTGGTAGGATCTTAAGAGGCATTGTAGAAATACCGATGCTCATTCTCCTTTCAAACCATCTGCCTTGGTTGTTTTCGTAAACGTTGCGACCCGATCCTCGATCAATCCCACGAGTCTCTCCGGGAAATAACTTCGAGACTGGCCACCATCCTCGGACGCGATGATGATCCTAGCGCTTGCCTCCAGGAACGCGCCCCTGAAATGCCGCCACAGATCGATATCGCGTTCGTCCCCGTGGGCTGGCCGTAGGTAGAACGGATCGTTGCTCCAGCACGTTTCCGCCGCTCGCTGGATGCCGTTCTCGTCCATCGTCATGACCTTGCAGCAGTCGAAGTCGAGGATCCAGAGGCAGTGGTCTCCCAGCACAGGCGATTTGCGTCGCCTTGTAACAGGCTCGGAGTCTCTCGGCGGTGCGAGGACGAACTCGACATCTGCCGCGTCGATTCGCGCGGACCAGTGCATGAAAGCAAGTTCCATCCATGTCGTGTATTCGCCGACGTCCAGCTCCATCTCCTCCATCTGGTCGAATTGAAGAGGATAATTCCGCAAACCGAAGACTTGGAGCATGGGGCCAGCCTTGGCCTCCTTGCTGAGCCGTCAACGGCCCAAGTATGGGTTTACTGGAAGCGTGCGTGGAGAGTCCCATCGAGCTTACACCACCGCGCTTATTCCAGACACCACAAACACACAAGGTACTTGGTATGCATGCCTGCAGATTTCTTCACGAGATGCGCAGACAGAGACCTTTGAGGAGTGGCTGTAACTTGATTGGCATCTATCAAAATCTCAAGTACCCATCCAGCCTCTCTACCAGCAGCTACCTAGTCCTGTCTACTAACGGATCCGAATCGAATCGCACACCATCACGGAAGAGGATGCGCCCCAGCATCTCTCGCGAGAGACCACTCGTGAACCTTGTCGAAATCCCGACACGTATGGACCACCTCCGTATTCTGGAGTATCCGATTCCTGGTGTCGGACCACCCTATGGGAATCATGGTCAAGTCCACGCTGCACATCACACCCTGGCGGAGATAGTCGATACAATGGTCTAGACTCATGGTCGGCTGTCTGTCTGGGTAAAGATATTGCTAAGTGCTTACCTATGTGCATGGTATGTATCGGCTCGGGATTAGGTGGCGTGTAGTAGTCTGGGCGAAGAGCCTCGCGGACCATATTCTGACAGTGAGTTAGCGAGTAAAGTCCGTTCCAACCTGAACCTCGACTGAAAAGGTCTGCTAGACAATACTCACCACGCAGTGCAACTGATGGAACACATCCGCACCCGTTAGCCACCAACCTTCTGGTTTCTGGTACGTTTTTCCTTCCAACCCCTCCGCTTCGTCGCCGAGGAGATCGACGCCCTGACCTAGCCGAAGAAAAGAGAATGGTCAACTTGGTATCCTTGGCAGCCTGATAGTTGGCTGCTAAGAATACTCACCTTGAATTAGCAGCCTCCAGGCCCGGTCCAATTCCTCGCTCGGCTCGCCGACATACTGCGTAGCGCCCGGCTCGAGGTAGCGATAGGTCGTGCCGTTCTCGTGGAACTTGAGACCGCCCGTAAACCGCACTTTCTTGAGTTCGATGGCAGGCCTCAGGGGGTCTTTGAGTTCATGTCAGCGTGGTTCAAGTCTTCAGAAGGCCTCATAGTGAGGCCGATGTTCTCACTTAAGTCTGTGTCGAAGCCCGTCTCGTACGAATGCCTAGGTCGTGTCTCACAATGGCCAAAGAGCCACGCCGTGAGTACGATAGAGGAGAGCCACAGCACTGCAACTGTGCTCCATGTACAAAGTGGTAGCGCTCGGCGACGCTGGGGGCGTTGTACTGAGAAACGTTCCGGGTCGACCATGTCTCGATGTCCCTTGATTGTAGAGAATGGCTTCGCGGTCAGAGTAGTAGTTGAGCTGAACTCCGAGTTCCTGCACCGCTCCAAGGGCGAAGGAGAGACAGAATCATCACAGTTGGCCTCCGTAGTAGGGGGCCGTATCTGGCGGGAGTGGTGATGGTCCGGTGAACTAGGCATTATGGGATTCCGACGATGACGAAGAACAGATACATGTCCAGGCCAGTTTCTGACCTGAGAGACAAGTGTGCAGGTCTAGGTGCTGAGTGATGCTTGGGGATCTTGCACGCATACGGAAGAAATCTATCCTCCTTCGCCCGCATGGATAGACTGGGCGATCTAAGAAGCATTGTCACCAGGCCATGTTATTGCCAGCACGATCCGGACCATTTGCACCGATCGTCGGCGTGATGAAGCTTATCCAGTAGATGCTATTGGTGTTTTTGCCACTGGGCTACCCGCAGTAGGCTATGTGATGCCCATGTATGCGTCTCAAAAGTGTCGATGTCTGTCCATCACACAGCATCGATTTCCCTGTTTACTCATCGAACGTTTCCTAAACCGGACGAGGAGAGAGCCACAGAATGCAGGTGCATGTGGTTCGCTGACCGAACGGCTTAACGTTATCCGTTGCAGGGGTGAAGCTGACTACGCGGTATGTAACATTGAGGCTTACATGCGTCTTGCATTAGCTCCGGGCAACCGACCTATAACTCTTGTATACCGAGCTCCTGAGATCTGCATCACCGTAATATTGGTCTTCTCGAATGTTTGAAGGTTAGCTACTTCGTCATTACCTGCATTCCGGGGTCGTGACCCGTCTGGAGTCTCGCTCTCCGGGAACGCTTCCCCACAATACCGCGGCTCGGTCCGAGCATGCTTTCCCGTTATACCACCATGGAATGACGAGTGGTCGATGACGAGTGTCCAAGCTGCATGCATGATCTTTACGCTCAGCGAACCGATTACCTGCTTGGCGATGGACCTCCACGGATGACCTGTCTAGGAAGAAGATTCGCGAGACGTGGCCCAGTCAGAATAGTCACGAGGGTAGTATGCATTTGCCATCGCCAGTGTATATCTAACAAGCGTTTAGCGAATCTCCTCTGGTCATGTTCTAGACCTGTCGATGTGGCGGAAAGAGGGGATCACGGCATGAACAGGATATGCTCCTCTACGCCGGTCGATGCCCAATATGTGATTGGGGCCGTGTTCAGCATGAAAGTCAGAGGCCAGACGTTGACAGCTTGCTAGGGTTACTGCAGAACGACAGCCAACTTCTTTCTTTGATTGGTTTCGAAACCGACGTAGTGCGTCAGGACCAGCACACACGTAGCAATCCGCAAGAACAAAGTCAGAATATGAACGAGTGACGCAAGTTAGATTTTCTAGAAGCTCAAGACGGCCCAGCCAAGTCGAAGAAAAATGCCCTCGACCGAGTCCATATCAGCAAACCCCCCAGCCCCAGCCCCCTGGACGTCCAAAGCAGTGTGATGACCTCTGCCCTCAGTCGAAGGGAAGACCAAACCCAGTCTTCCTAGTAGAAAAGATTGATCAGCGCGTCCACTTCCTCCTGAGCATCACGCTTGTACTGGGAGTTGACCATCACATCCACTTCCTCCTCATCACGCTTGTACTGGGAGTTGACCATCACATCCACTTCCTCCTCATCACGCTTGTACTGGGAGTTGACCATGACATCCACTTCCTCCTCATCACGCTTGTACTGGGAGTTGACCATGACATCCACTGGCTCCTCATCCTCACGCTTGTACTGGGTATTGACCATGACATCCACTGGCTCCTCATCCTCATCACGCTTGTACTGGGTATTGACCATGACATCCACTGGCTCCTCATCACGCTTGTACTGGGTGTTGACCATGACATCCACTGGCTCCTCATCCTCATCACGCTTGTACTGGGTATTGACCATAACATCCACTGGCTCCTCATCACGCTTGTGGAGATGGTCAACTCCCCTGCGGTCAGCTGCTAAGCTCGTCAGTTTGGGTCTACACGATGACTCTTGGAACAGCATAGGGGTACTGACGGGTAGGTGCAGCTGAGGCCAAAGCACTCAAGATGGCCACAACGGCAGTAGTCGTGAGGTGGAAATGCATGATGAAGATGAACTGAAGTTGCCTTGATGATTGGTGATGATGGGGACGAGGTGCTGCGGTCCTTCTTGGTTGGCTGAAGCGTGATGAACTTGAGACGTTGGTGTTGTGTGTCCGCGGGACTCTCATCAGTGACGGATTATGGTATACTTTATACTCGTCAGGCAGCTTCGGTCCAATTGCCTGCTCCTCCCGGGTTTCTTCCGGACCTGGTCAACACTAGGTGATGTGCTCCCTCGTGCTGCATGACTACCATCGTCAGTCGGATGCAAGATCCAGGGGTTCTGTCACATCTGGCCCCGTCTAAGAGCTCGCACTTGCCACTTCTGTGTACATCGACATGCAGTCTTCTTCTCGTTGCTGATAAAGACCCAGGCAGGCACCTGTATGCGCCTACGGCTGCATGTGGATTTGTCACAGTGCAATATTCCGGGGTGGTTATCATGCCTGGAACCTTGTCCGGTACTTGTTCCAGGCAAGATCACCACCCCTCGACATTGTGCTCGCAGAGTTGGCTTTACCTAGTAAGGACGAGATGCAGATCTTATGTCCCTTCATGGAATCCATGTGATAAGACGGACATATTCAGCCCGGATGGTAGTGACGTGGTCCAGACTCCGTATGTATTTGCTGGCATGGGTCAAATCCAGACCAAGTGTGCCCCCCTACGTGTATGGTATTAATGAGCCTGTGCTCATAGTCCCGCTCCCTTTCACTCTACTACCCTCCATCCTCATACCCAACACTCCATCTCTTACCTGCACTTGTTGGCAGCATGGCGGCTTCTGAATCTAAATACTCCTTAGTTGGGGACTCGGAGTCGAGAGACTCGGACAGCGAGTCCGGTACCTTCCTCCCGCGTTCGTCATATCAGACTGGACCTCGCCGTCGAGTGTGGCCCTGGATCCTTCACGTGATTTCCTTCCTGATCTCAGCTTCTTTGTTCGTGGCGGCTGCTGCCAATTACCATCGGAGCTTGGGGCCTGCCGGTTTTGACGAGCCAGGATACACTCAAGAATACAGTATGTGGAGCGTGTCTACTGCTTGAACACTGCTGACGTTTCAAAAGGCAAGGCCGTCGAGTCCGTTGGCCTGCGGCACTCGTGGCAATACTATGGGGAATTCGCGCAGCCGTCGCCATGGCGTGGGCAACCTAATGCCGACGTTGATGCTGCGTGGGAGAATATCACCCATGGCATGTGCATATCCCAGCACAGAGACGTTCTTAGCTGACTTCTCGATCCAGCTGGCGTCTTCTCCATCACCAGAGAGCAGATGGAGAGGCTTAACAAGCTGCACAATACTAGCGTCATGTTGCCTCCAGAATCCGGTGGTGGCTACATGGCCTCGTTGGAAGCTACTCACCAGATGCACTGCGTGGTAAGTCTCCCGGATACATATCCATCCATAGGTGGCAGCTGACCCACTGCCCAGGACATGCTGCGAAAGTTCTCGTACAGGGAGTACTACGCCGACAAATCAGCGCCCTTCTCCGACCCTGACAAGCTGAGGACGCACATGGGTGAGTGGCGCTACATATGGGTAGGTAGCAACCACTGACAGGGACGGCAGACCACTGTATCGAGATGCTTCGCCAAGTCATCATGTGCTCAGCCGATTTACATATCATCACGTACGACTGGGTAGCTCACGTTGACACACCTTGGCCTGACTTCAGCGTCAGCCGCCAGTGCAGGAACTACGACAGCATCATGGATTGGATCCACCAGCGCACTGCGATGACGTCCGCGCCAAAGGGGCTTATCATCCGGCCCGAAGGAGCGGCGGTTAAGCACGTCGAGCCAGTCGAGTATGTGCATGAGGGTTTCTAAGCACATTCCATATTGCTATTCGGTTGCCAAGGGGGTCGGTCCTACCTTCTCGTTCGGTGCATCACTTAAGTAAAGTACCATATCTACGTAGCTTTTCGAGACGGATCAGCGCTTCTAAAGATCAGCGAGTTCCTCATGTCTGAGTATTTCATGTCACCAGAGCGAAATCCATGTTGGGCTAGTTCTTCTAGAATATAATCAGGTTTTCGATTACCCCTGAGGCGATTCCTCGCGAGCCCACCAGTTGCATCACCCCGTTTCGCAAACCCAGCATTGACAAAGCCAATTTTTGCCCATGATATTGTGCCGTTTGTGGTTGAGAACGCTCGACCGATCGAAAGTCTACTACCGTGGTCGCTGGCCAAGTCCGACGAGGGCTGCACCATAGTCACCAGGTATGGTGTGGAGCAGGTGGTTGAAAGGGTAGCAACGAGACTTGTCACCAGCGCCCGCATGCCTCTTTCGCCTTCTACTATGCAGAGTGCAGCGAGATCGAACCTTGCGAGCCGTTTGAACTCACCCGGGGTGCGTCTCACGGATTGGCAATTCACTTGTTCAATTCTGTCACTGCTTACCTCGTCTGCACCTAGTATTGGTGAATGAACGGTTGGGTTCTATTACCCTCCAGTGCATCACTGGGGAATGATATATTCAACCAGTCACTCCATCACTTATTTACTCTTCACTTAAATGGACCAGCCGTTATGAGCATAATTTCTCGTGATGGTTGCTTGTGACTTTGGTATCAAAAGGTGCAGCTCCCCGGGCGGCGAGTTGATGTGTTGGACCAGTACAGAAGTTGCCTGTTGGAAATGCATTGTTCGTGAGTCACACAGGCGATTTGGCGAATCTGTTGGTGCATGCCGACCTGTGATGAAGTCTGACACCTGAGTCCAACAATTTGCTTTGTCTGGTGTTGATGTTGGTCGCTGGGTGTTGGTGATTCTCATGGATTCCTTTGTCCGATGAATCAACAACCACAACCTACTCGACCGTGCAGCTGAATGCGCGGCAACCGAATGTTTCAGACATAGCAACTGTCATACGTCTATTTAACAGGTAATTCGCAGTTCGTGGTATCCCAAAAACTTTACTTTCAACCCCATCTCGTGCTACCTTGTAGCACATACCCACACTGCCTTTCCACAGCCCGCGACACCACACTCATTCGCCTTGCTTAATCATCGACCCTCCCAGATATCCTCTCCAAAACACCTGCGATGCATGCTCTACTTCACTTTTCCGTCGTTGCTCTCGCAGTACTTCTCCACCAATCCTTCGTCTGGCCCATGAGGCTTCACGGAAGCACCACCCACGACCATATCTTCGCTCGAGTCCCTTCCGTCCTTCGGTCTACCGACGATGTCGAACTGAAACTCGAAATCCACACGAACCTGACAGACCCAAGCAAGAAGTACAACGCCTACATCCTAGGCAATCCTGAGCAAACCAGCAAAATCGTTCAAGTCCTACAACAAGATGGCACTGGGTACAAATACGTCCAACCCGCTAATACCGGCAGCGATGTGCCGGTGCCCATCACGGAAGGTTTTGCAATACCGCTTACTACAGACACCACCTTAATCACGCTCCCGGGTTGGCTGTGGAACGCTCGTATATGGTTGTCTGAGAACGAGCTTGTGTTCAAATTCACTAACGGCGGTCTCGTCCAGCCCGCTCCTGCTACCGAGGTAGACGATAATTACAACGTGTCTTATGGGTTCATCGAGTTGAACTTCTACCCAGCCGGAGATACCAACGAACCCACTGTCTTCGTCAATCTCTCCTTTGTGGATTTTGTCGGCCTTGTACTCGGCATGGCCATGACCTATCAGAACGGCTCGACAGAAGCAGTCCCGGGTCTCTATAGAAATGCTCTGACGACCGTCTGCGATGGGCTCAAGAGCCAGGCGCAGAAAGACAATCGATCTTGGGACAAGATGTGTCTCCAAGACGGGGACAAGTATATACGAGCCATCTCGCCCAACATGTACAGCTCCCAACCTCCCAATCGCGATATGGACGACTACTACACGAAATACATCGACGATGTTTGGAACGCATTTAAAACTCAACCTCTGCTCATGGACACTCAGGATGCCAATCACACCAAAGTGCCGTCTGGCCCGCAAGTTTCCTGCAAGGTTACCGGCGAAGTACTTGATTGCGGCGCGGATGCTGGCCAATACGTGAAGCCCACCACTCTGGATGTCTGGGGCTGCAACACAGGTCCATTTGTGGTTCCCCCGGGGGCGAATGAAAAGCAAAAGGAAATCATACCTAGACTCTGCGCTGCTTTCTTCCGCAGTACTCTCCTCCTAGATGGCGGTAGCGTACAACCATCGCTACCGTCTGCGAAGTACTACACAGCCGATCCGACTAATCACTATGGTCGCCTTGTACATGAAGGTCTGCAAGACGGTCGGGGATACGCCTTTTCTTACGATGACGTGAACGCTGGCACAGAGAATGTAGCCGGCGTTCTTAAGGCGTCGAATATACAGAAGCTGTCTGTCACCTTGTCAAATTGATCCGATAGCCAGAAGACGGAGCTTTGGGGATCACCTACCATGGCCATTGTCTATTCGATCACTCGCGAAACCTACGAGGAAGGGGATGCTGCTGCTCTGCTGGTAGAGCTAGGTGCGGTTCTTCTGTATTGGAGAGATCTGAGCTGCAATATCATGGAAGATATGAACGGTCGAACTCCGGGGAAATAATATGGAACACATGGTTGTAGGATATTTAGGAGGATACGGTTTCCTTAAATGAATAAATGGGTAGATAGACACGGATAGACCACTTTGGCAATGAATCTCTTATGTTTCCTAAACTTTTGGGCGAACTGTGCCTTGGCCTGTGTCGGAATGCGCGACTAACAGTCTCTGATGTCCCCCTCATAGCTCTTCTACCAATGGCCTGGGTTCTTCCTAAAGCTGTTCCTATTCCATACTGACGCTCCAGTCTCTGCCATATACGAGATCATAGTGAAACACAGTAGTCGAAGATCTCTGTTTGAGCACCCGCAACCTACAAACCCGTGCGTAATCTTTTCCCCTAACCCCAGAGTGTGGGAGCCTCTGGGTCAAGCAATACCCTACATATTGAAGGGGTGTTAGGTCATGATCACCAACCTGGCGACAGTTTAAACACTGCCTTCTTTCCCAGGGGACTCTTTCGCTAAACATCCACGGTTTCCCCCCTTACCCCTTTTCTCACTCTTAGCGCTGATGATGCCCAACACGGACGCAATGGATACTAAATTCTTTGATGGAAATTTCTGTTGAGATTCCAAGTTCTTTTTGAGTTTTGAACTCGAGCGATCCAATCCAGCCACCAAAGACCATCGTGAGCTATCAGCCTCAGCCAATCCGATTCCGCCATAGACACCAAGCCCATGGTCCCTTTCACCCAATCAACACCCCTCACAATGTGTATGCCCGAAAGTTCTCGGCGCCCAACAAACCTTCCATCGAACGATCCTCACTCACCTATAAACAATCATCTATACTAAGAGCTAGTAGCAGCAGCCACCCAACCCCTCAGCGCATGCATGTATTGATTGATATCCAAAGCACTCACCTCCGCAACTACCGGCTGCCCGTCTGCAGTGGTCTAGACCGGTCCAAAACCCCAGCCAGGGTCTGTCTGTCTGTCTGTCCATCGGCTCATGCTGTGTCACGCTGCACCACGAGGACTGTGTAAACGGAAGCGCAAGTCTGTCTGTATTTGGGATTGCATGGCAGGCTAGGGTACGCCGCCGGCTGCTTACGCTTACTGGGAAGTATCTAGGAGCGATTAAATCAAGCAGATCTCTCAAAGAAGGTTAGGTACTCAGGTTACTGTGCATACCCGTTGCTCACCGAACGACTGGACGTCTTGTACAAGGATCACTGGATCAGGACTTCGTGTTCCGAGAGACGTGCATGGTCCCTATCGCGACCGGCAGCAGACCCTCGTCAACACCCTGACGCTCGGCTATAGTTGCCCTCCCTGTTCACTGCGCATTTCTATACAGTCCATTGAAATAACGACTAAACGAGACGGTACAAGCCACTTGCACGCTTATTCGTATATGTGGCTGAAACGACAACAAGCCGGAGACGTAGACGCAAAGCCACATGTACACGATGGCGCAAGACGGTGTTCAAGCCCTCAAGGAGAAGTGTTGAGTCTGGTCGTCTACGTAGAAGGCTGATGAGGTCAGGGCCTCAAATGCACTCGCTGACTCTACCGCAATTCTTCATCCTTCATCGATAACCCGATTCCCGTTCTCTGATGAACCCACGTGTTGGGGGCGATCATCCTCCACTGATTCTTTGTATCCTGACCACTGTGTAATTGATGTTATGGGGAACTGCCATTGTCTTGATACAAGTATCCTGCCACCAGCAGCAGCCCTGCTGCCGCGTCTCCTATTGACGCGCTCCATGCACGGATCAGACCGGGCGGGACACATCAACCTGGCGGTTCCAAAGTCGCCGTAGCCTCCCGCTGTACTGCGTGGCCCCCCCATTTCCCTCTTTTCTCCATCCTGCCTTCTTTCTTGTCTCTCAGCTCACACCACGCAAGAACACGGCGATGAGGCCGCCCGCTCAGCATAATGCTGTTCTGTTATGTCTAGCCTCCTATAGACTTCTACGGGCGGCGAGTGGCGTTGGGCTTGGAAAACCGTAATTGAGGCTAGCCTGCACCCCCTGCCTTCCAGAGATATCGGTGATTGCGAGACCGCCGTTGACGTCGTGGTGGCCATTGACATAACGCTCACCGCGCCTATACCTCACATTGTCAAGCAGTCCATCTAGTGTAGGGCCTGCAGATCAACCATATAGGAGAGCATTGAGCTTCAGGCCATGAGCAAAAGCAGCTTTCAAAGACAGATTGCAGATTGCAGACAGGCGCCTAGAGGGTGGGTGGAACAGACATGATAGGGGTACGATAATGAGCCAGATTGATCTTGGCCAAGGACGCGCAGAGCAGCAGACATTAAACCTGTCAGTGGCAACGAGTGTTGCCTATGGGAGGACTTGCGCGCACCTCTGTCATCCTCCCTTTCCTACCTTATCTGTTGCAAAGCGTGATACACCATCAGAGCAGCAGCTGTTGGGGGCCTTTGGATCAGAAGACCCATCAAGTTGCCAGCAAACTGGTTAGTTGACATCATGAGGGGCACGGATGAAGTTGGTGGGTGTGCGGGCGAACACCCAGGACCTGGCTCAGAAGCAGACAATTCCGCGATGCGGGTGTGGCAGGCAACCATAAGATGATTCCGCTTCCGCCCTTGACCAACGCGTAGGCAGACAGCCAAATGATAGCGCCGCAAGACACGTTCTCAAGACAAGTTCTCAAGACACGCAGCTGGCCGCAAAGCAGCATTTGGGCGCGAGGACGAGGCTGGTTGGTCTTCATACTGAAATCTCGCGTTGGTATGGTAGGGCATGTACCTAGGCATCCAGTCAACCTCCGTGTCCTACACCAGCTTGGGGAGGTGAGCACCCACCTATGCACTTACAATCAACCATACACTGCGTAAGACAGTCCACAGTCCACAGTGTCCGTGTAGTGTCTCGCCCTTCCCCTCTGCGGGGTTTGTGATCCCATGGGTTGGGTGTTCTGGGCGAGGCAGCACACAACACATGGATACACTGTCATACTGTAGTAGTAGTACACACCCACACGAACTCAACCCACTCACACAACGGCACCTTGATGAGATATGTATGCGATACGCGGGACGGACGATTTCCGAGGCCTTATCTTGCATTCCGCCGCCTCGTGATAGAGTTCGTGAGCCAATCGAGACAGTGCGACGGCCGAAGCTTGTCATGCCAGGCGGGAGGGTAGTATGTACGACAGTGTTTATGTAGGCAGATAGATAGGGGGTAGGAGGGTGTGGAGGGGAAGAGAAGGACATGTATGTGGCGAAACAGAATGAGGGAGGGCCCGCTAACTGGTTCGAAGATGGAGGTGAGGTACCACGATATGGGCTAGTAGGCATTAAATGCATGTCTCACCTAGTGTGGAAGTGGTGAAACCTGAAGAAAAATACCGGGTTCTGGCCTTGCATGCAGGTTTCTGTGATGGGCAAAGTTGCAGGATCTGTCAGTTGAGCTTAATGAAGAGTTGTGGCGAACTTGCGTCTCGAATGCGGAGAACCCTGCAAGATAAACTTGACTATCATGACTTGACGGTTGTGGAGGGTTGGTTATACTGTGCTAGAGCCTAGGAAATGCTGGAGCATCACCGCTCATACACACACACTGGCAGCGACGGCGAGTTTCGTCGTGCATGGAAGAGTCGAAGTCAAGTCATGGGGCGCTGTGGCAGTGTGGCTGGTGGGTGGGGCAATGGGAAGTTGCATCTTCAAGACCAGTCACGACTCACAGACGACCACACCAAGACCACCGAATGGGAGCATTGAACGCGACATTCATGTCTCGGCACGAAATGTGTGTCTCGTACCTATCTCCCGCTCTCTTTATCCCCAGAAGAAATCAATGATATGACATCCGCTGGGCTTGGCGCTTCACATGTTATTTATGGGAGTGGCTGACACATGTGGCGGGTCCAGCAAAACAGACCCCATGGGGAAGAGTACGGGGGCACTGTGGCAGGGAGCTGAGCATGACAGAGGCATTCTATTAATCCCATCAAAAGGGGTGTCTACCTTATGTCTGGCATGTCCAAGTCAACGTGTGTGTATGCTCCCAGTCTCCCACCACAGCCACAACGGGCAACTTGCATATGCGCTCTCGCTGCAGGCAAGTTTCAATGGAGGAGGAGGAAATGACGTGCAGCTCATGAGGCAAGGTATAATTCCAGTTGGGTTGCGCCGCGGAGAAGGTATTGGCTGTGGCACGACTCCTGCCGCAGGAGGACGGGGGACTACCCAAGGAGTCTCTGGCCTTGGCATAACATGCATCCCTTTCGACCTATCACCTCTTTTCGGCCGCCGGCATACATACACACTGCTACTCATGCGCTGCGGGTAACAACAGTGCCTCGTCTTGCCTTGTCTGGAAGACACAAGTAAGAAAGTTTGTGGTGATACAGGAACGGGCGACGGTGTTCTGCGGAAGCAGGGGTCGAACGAGGCGAAGGCATGGATGCATGGAGGGTTCGCCGAACAGAGGATCATCTGGTTAGAATTGACTTTACTACGGCAGTCCTGATGGAAAATATTGTATGCCATGTGCCGTATGTCGTTCATCCTTTGGTTGTTGAACAGGAGACCGACAGACTGAATGTACTGTGTAGGTTGGTACACAGTGAGCATAGTATTCCAGCGCTCGCGATTGAAGTCTGGAACTTGATATTGATGTCCAGTTGATGGCAAGGTAGCAATCGTCACATCTGGGATGAACGGCCGAATGCAATAGGCCGAATGCTGCCCTTGTCCAGCCGCGAGCCATCCACCTCCGCATCTTCTCGACATCCCTCTTTTTACTGGGCCTGGATCTGGGGAAACCCAAACATGAACAGACGGAGTGTTTGGGCCGCAGACGCGCTATAATTTTAGTCACCCCCCAACATCTTGAAGTCTCAAGATATAGGATCAAGAGATTCGTCTGACTTGCTTATCGTTGATTGTTTCGAAGGGCTCGCGGCAGGCAACAATCCCTACATGTTTCCCGCCGATGAACATTCAGGGTGCAGTAGACAGCCGTCTGCCGATCTATTCCCATTCCCTGTCGCATGGGGTGATAGGTACGCAGGGAGGCTGTCTCCTGAACCTTGTCGGCGTGCGGCAATATCGGCGTCCCGATTCAGACAAGCCACAAACGGCCTAATGCACAGAGTCGCAGCTGTAGAGCCGGAGGACCAACTCTTCGCCTGGGTTACCCAACGTACCATATTCAGTTGAACTGTAGTTCGTACCGCAGTACCATGGTAATTGAGTTCATGATATGTGACAGGGACAAACGTGCGCGCGACGGCGAGCACAGCAGCGGCGCACGGTTTTCTCGTGTCACCGTACTCGTCCAAAACCCAATGCGATCCAAGCAGGGCTGCCCTGAATCACACAAGTGTTGTCCGAAAGGTCCCTAAAGGTCCCTGTCGCAACGCTGCGCATGCACACTCGGCCCGAGAACTACTCCATCTGATCGCATATATACCCATGAACGTGGGAAGGATAGTCGCAGTCGCGTATGTATGTCGATGAGATAGAGGAGAGAGAGACGGCTGCAAGATGCCGCCAAGCCGCGATAGCATGATCGATCGTCCTGATGCTGGGCCAGTTGGTAGTATTACCGCCAAAGGGCTAATATAAGCAGCAGGCCTGGTTGCAGCATGATGTGATGGAGGCTGCAGCCGTTCCACGAGAATAAAAAGTGACGCGAACTGACAGGTCATTTTTTAACGTCGAGGTGTGTGCATGATGCGCGAAACGTGCCGTGCGAGGGACGAGTCAGGGATGTCTCGGGAGGGAAATACTTACTGTGTCGGGTTCCATGAGCTGTCAACTTCATTGGTTCAATGGTACCGCAATATACATGTTGTAGATTTGCGCAAGGAATGTCTACGATGTAGTTAGTGTAGCCAAGGACATATGCTCAGAAGACGACGCTATTTCGGTACCTGATCATGGTTTCTACAATGAACCCTCATAAGTCTCCGTCCGCACACCTCGAAAGTGTTCATTTCGATGGGATATAGACGGTGGAATAAGCACCCTGGAATAAGCAGTTCTACTCTACTAAGCCGCACTTAATGCTTATTTAAGAGTAGTTATTCCATAGAGTGTAACTAGACCTGGATATCGAAGATTTTGCGTGTGACGGAGACTTCTGAGGGTTCAGTGAGGTCTTGCTGCCAGGAACACCTATGCATGCAATCACCTCCAGTCCTTTGAGGCCTATGTAATTCTTGTTGGGGTTGGTTAAGCCTTACCTCGATCCATTAGATGAGGCTGTGAGAAGATAAGACATAAGCTATTACTCTTACTGATCAGGTAGTATGGGGCAATTGACATTGTTAGCTGAACCTAATTGACCTTCACATGCTGCTTTTGCCGCCGTCTAGTTAATATCCTGCTCGCAGATAGAGACGACATTCCGGCTTACTTGAAGATTCATGGGCGTTTCTAATCATCTCATCATATCATGCTTGGGTTCGGTCAGTATATTTGCCCGCCATACTGACTCGTCGATCTACAGCGGGACGATACAGACTGGTATGCCGTCCTTTAACATCAGAGCATCGCGATAGTCGCTTGTGGCGGATAACAATGTGCTCGAAACATGCGTCGAGTGTGCGTAGCTGGTTGCTAGTCCCGACCCCTGCACCTTGTTTCCGCTTTAGCTCGTGATAGTTTAACATAGGGTCGTTGCTGGACTGAGGGCGATGACGGATAATGGGGGTAGTTACCGCGGTATCTGCACTACAGCACAGTACCGACTCATGATACCGTGTAGCCCGTCTAACGATGAATCGCAACACTAGAGGCTTAACGCGGATGCCGATGCGCGTCGATTCCTACTGGAAACCAGGACGTCACGTCCCACTGGTGAGCAATGAGCATTGAGAGCAATGCCGCGGAGCAGACGAGGTCCGGCAGTCCGGCTTCGATGATACTAGATGGCGGGCAAAGGCGGGCCAATGGTCCGGGAGTGTTGACTGGCTCACCACCGACCACCGACCACCGTCACTGCAGCGGCTGCCAGCATCGCCAATCTCACCCACTCGCTCAACTCAATTAATTAATCGCATGATCCTACTAAGAGTGCGTGCCAGAAGAGGGCGGAAGTTCCCTCGGGACCCCTCCCTGCTTACTGATATTGAATGATCCCTGGACATGCCGTCGTCAACTTGCTCGCGAACCGCGGCAGGCAGGCGGTTGATTGGCGCCAACGGACTTGGACTACTGCAGGAGATGCTAGCATGCAGAGGGACCTCAAATTCAGGACCCGACGAAAGCATACCGGAGTGGGAAAAGCTGTGATGCAGCAATAATGCGGTCATCACGATTCACCTGGGGTCCAGTCGGCAGAATGCGGAGGCGGAGAGAGCGAGGAGGGAAGAAGCTGGAGAGCACGATGCGCTGCCCGCCTTCTCCAACATTCATCATCCAGGGTCTAGTCTGGGTTCTGGACCTTGCAGGCCATCTAGGAGTGAGTTTTTCATCTGCTACTCTGGCGGAGAGGCAATTATCGCCGACGATCGGTGAAGCATTCTGCTCTCCTTGGAGGGTTTTCTCATGCAGACTTGTAGCTCATTGCTGTGAGTTTGGTACCTCATCAGCCTCTGTCCCTGCATCTATCTGCATTAATGCTCTTTACCCATTCCTGAACCGTGTTTCTTTCAACTTGAACAGAGTGCTCGAGGGCGGCGGCGGACATAATTTCTCTGACCGGCGCTAAGAGGCTATTCGCAAGTTTCCACTCTCCCAAGTGTACACGACACGACGCCATCGTGTCCCGTTCTGGGTGGTTCCGGACCTTGCATGCCGCCGTTGAGCTGTCCTTGACTGCATGACGTGTAATACAAAATTTACAGTCGCCGATGGCGCCTGTAGCTGTGATTGGCATCGTGAACATCTCCCATGTCCCAAGCCTCATTCAGCATGCCGAGCCAACGGTCCAGACTGCGTTCGATGCAGGCCCCTCGGGAGGATGACATAGTAGTATGGACAACAGGTTCACCGTCGCCGGAAATTGACGGGGTTCCGTCCGAGACGCACAGTGGCTGGGAGAGATGGCATCGTAGCAATGAGAGAACAAACATTGCAGCGCCAATATGTCTGCAGTGCGATCCGGCAACTGAAGCTCTCGTGGGTCTGCACGGAGAGCCGTCGGATCCAGCTATGATTGCAAGGGAGCGCGGACACGACACGTAACCGACGTATTGCCACTCGAAGCCAAGCTTTTTATTCACGACTGTGGTGCTGTTTCCACAATTGACCTGATCCAGCAATTGGGATGACATGTGTGAGACTTGAGATTATTTTGCCGGCTTCCAAGACGCGAGAGTCAAGACCCCGCAGACGGGCCCCAAAGATGCGTCTGGCATCTTCTCCACAGCCCACCATCCGGCCATCGTTCGTTGCATCTCCATATGGAGTACTACAGTACTAGTGAATGTGGATATAGATGACGATGGCGCCGGCGCCGGCGGGAGGAGGGAATCGTCTGGGAACATCTGAGTAGTTTTTCATCTGCTCAACATTGGAATGTTGACTCTATCAACCGTGAAATTCGCGCACGTGTCTGCTCTCGCTGAATATCCCACGCGCAAAAAAGATAAAAAATATAAAAGGACCGTCCGAAGTTACCGCGGTTAGTTGTCGCTTGGATGTCGATCAATGATAAGCCATGGATCGTGCCGTATCGAGTCCGTGTTCCCGAGTTTAGTCGCGATGGCAAACAACCTACCAATTCTAGAATAGCAAGGCACATAACGTTCGTCGGGCTGTGTCTTGTATATCAGACTGAAATCGACGATTCTCTTCGTGAAGCCCTGCCAACCTTCGGTAGCTACTTGGGGCCGTGCTGGCCGTCGTGCGTGCAGAGTGCCCTCAGTGTCACCCTCTCCGCGTATGTGGCATTAGAAGAGATGTTGATCCGGGCTATGATCAACAGGAAATATCATTATTCCCGGCTTTCGACCAGTGTGTCCTGACCGAGCCAAACGTATCTGCCTGCATAAACACAGTGATGTGCTCAAGACACAGCTCTCTGATGTCCAGCTCAAGGACGGTGTTGACTTGATTCTTCAGTGTTGCACAACACCAGCGTTCACGAGTAGGTGCTGTAAACGGCGAGTCCAAGACAAGCCAAGATGAGCCAAGACCTCTAAGCCTGAACCAATCAGAGCCCCGGTAAAGCACAGACTCTCGGAGTGATAAGGTGGAAAGAGAAAGGGAGTCCCTGCTTGACTGCCCCTCTCTTCCCTGGCTGCCCTGTTCCCTGCGACTCGTCCGCCCAACTATTTTTCACTTTAATTTTTTTATATTCGCTGTGATGACGATCTGTACTGTGTTCTTGGTCACACCCGCTATTTATCCACTACTAAGCCCCATCCAGCATCATCATAACAGATAACACGCCACTAGCAGCACACGTTAACATTGTCTCTCTACGGGCAATTGGGCTGGTGCTGGGCCTCTTCACATGGACTCAAAGTCGAGCAATGTAGCGAGAATGTTCTCATGGCCGCGCCGTCGAGACGTGCAAGCGTGCCCAAGTGGGCTGTGAGGCTCAACATCACAGGCTGACCAACCCAGACGTGATACAAAGGCGGTGCGTTGTCTGTCGTCACTGGTCCAGAACTCTCGTTCGTCATGTTCCGAGTCCCGACTGGACCCTCGTGCGGCGGGGCCTATGCCGCCCAGGTTGGGAAATACTAGTACATATCAACACGTAACCTCGCATGATACGCGCCTATTTGCCTACCATGGATGAGCCCAGACGCGAATATCTTGCCTGACCTCTACTTCGCATCAGTTATATCTTCAGGAACACAGGATTTCTCAGTCTCTCTCGACTCGGCTGGGGACTATGCGTGTAGCTTCTACCAGGCTGAGGAAGCCACGATCACCTTTGGGACTGTGCGTATCGTTGAACATTCTTTGCATGTGCAAGCCGCGCTTTGCCCAGGATAGCACACTGGCAGAACTGGCTGCATGTGGATTGACCTCCAGCTCAACTTTCAAGTGACAAGATTGCCGGGCTTATTCGCACGGCTATGAACTCCCGTCACTTTTCGTACTGTGCAATAGGTGCCTCTGAGTCGTCCCTCACTGGCTGCAGCGCGCCAAGTGCGCCCATAAAACACATGCGATTATCAATCTCAGGCCCACGTCTGGTACGTATCCCGTCCGCCATTGGCTCTTTGAGGGCACAACAGGCTTGGGCTGCTTGGAAGGTCTACATCTTCCTCCAGCCGCTAGGTCCAAACGGTACAAGTACATCCGGCACGGTGCGGTACGGGCGGTGTTGGGAGTTCTCGTGGTACTTGTACTTCATGCTGGTCTACAGGGAACCGACATGTACCTGCAGTCCATTGTCCACCGTCCACCGTCCACCATCCACCAGTGGCCACCACCAGCACCTCCCGCACCACCACCAGTGACCACGCCAGAATGAGGCCAAACCCTTCCAACACTTTTCTCCCATCCCGCCCAGCCCAATCGACGTTTACTGCCGCTGCAGTCCCGTCTGTCCCAGTGCCTGTTCCGTTCTGCCCCCATCGTCCATCGTCGACCCGACGGCCTCTTCGCATTTTAGCTTTTGCTTCTCTTCTTGACAACAACATCCTTTTGGCATCTACTTCCACTTCCCCCTCCCCTCGTCTTTCGCGCCCGCAATGGCTTCTTGAACCATCGTCATCGTCGGTGCCGTTCCACTCTGCAATCTCTCCGCCCCTCACGTCCGCCGAGGACTGTAACGATGCTTCGACGTCCCTCTATCAGAATGACGACGACCGCCCTGCCGACACCCTCACAATATCTCCTCGTCCGCCGCCATGGATCCTCAACAGCCGCAGCCGCAGCGTCCTTACCTCGCCGCCGGCAATAACCCTACCCTCCTAACCAATCCGTCGCGCACCGCCAACAGCACTCCGATGTCGTCGCCGGGCCTCTTTAGCCCTTCGAATCCACGCCAAACCGCTTTCCCACCCCATGCGGCCTCTGAAGCCTCCACACCGGCGCCTGTCCTGAGCAGTCCCTATTTACACCCTCTGCAGAACCATCGGGTCAGAGAGTAAGTACCGCTGAGTGCTTTTGTATTTTGGGCAGCCGATATGGAATACTGGGCTGCGCAGACTTCACCCATATTCGGCCATCATACTGCCTGCAGACTTCGCGCTCGGGTTTCATCACCACTGACCATCCTCCGCAGAACACATAAGGCCCTCGTAGATCTTGATCTGATGACCGGCCGCAAGATTATCAACCAATACGAGGTCATCGAAGAGCTCGGTCGTGGTGTGCATGGAAAGGTGAAGCTGGCACGAAATCTCGAGACCGGCGACAATGTTGCCATCAAGATCATTCCCCGATTTTCCAAGAAGCGCCGCTTGGGAAAAGTTACCGCATCACCCCAAGACAAGACCAAGAGAGAAATCGCCATCCTGAAGAAAATTCGCCACCCCAACGTCGTCGCCCTGCTCGAGGTCATTGATGACCCGGAACTTAAGAAGATTTATATGGTCCTGGAACATGTCGAGCTTGGCGAAGTTGTCTGGCGGAAGAAGGGTCTCCCGACAATCTGCAACATTGAGAGGAGAAGGGTCGAGACAGAGATGCACGGCGAATTGAGCACCGAAGAAGAAGAGCGCTACGTCGAATTGCTCGAAAGACGGCAAGCGCTCAATGAGCTCAAGAGGGCCAAGATGCAGGAAACCCAGAAGGGGCCCGATGACTTTTGGAGTATCGAGTATGGTGCTGCTAACGAGGATGAGGCAGAGGCTATTGCCCGTTCTCTTGGACGAGATACCTACTCGGAGGCTCATGCGGCTAGAATGGCCCCTTCGTCTTCCCGGCCCGCGTCGAGGGCGCCTTCAATCTCTCGCTCTCATGGCCCGTCTGCCATGTCAGCTTCGCGCGCGAGTACGCCGCTGCCTTCCGAATTTGACATCTCGTCTGTCGGTGTCGATGCCGATAACGATGCTGGGAGCGAAATTGAGACACCAGGGCCTTTATACTCCCAAACTGGATCCTCGACTGCTCTTGAGGGTACCATGTATGGCGCTTATTCCGATGATCCCATGTTACGTGGCAGATCTCCCAGCATGGCCGATTCCATCATCTCTCACATGTCTTCCGTCGATTACAACACTCAGCCTCACGATCCCTTCGCCGACGACTTTTCGTACGTGCCTTGTTTCACAATCGACCACGCTCGCGCTACCTTCCGAGACACCGTCCTTGGCCTGGAATACTTACACTATGAGGGCGTGGTGCACCGTGACATCAAACCCGCCAATCTGTTATGGTCTAGAGATCAGAGAGTCAAGATCTCCGACTTTGGCGTATCGTATTTCGGCCGACCTATCCGTGAAGGCGAACCGGACGATCTCGTATCGGAATCCGAGGCGCGCGACTTTGATGACGATCTTGAGCTAGCCAAGACTGTTGGTACGCCTGCGTTTTTCGCGCCAGAATTGTGCTACACGGACCTGGACGAGGAACAACCCAAGATCTCTGAGCAGATTGATGTTTGGTCCCTCGGTGTAACGCTTTACTGCCTGATATTCGCCCGCATACCGTTCATGGCCGAGGACGAGTTCCAGATGTTCAAGAAGATTGCCAAGGAAGAAATATACATACCGCGCCGTCGCCTCAAACCCGTCGACCCTCATCATTTCCCCGCATCCACGTCCTTATACAAACGTGTCAGCGGCGAGCCGTACCGCGACGATAATACTCTAGCCTACGAAGAAGTTGATGATCTACTATATGACCTTCTACGTAGAATGCTCACCAAGAATCCGGAAAAAAGGATCAGGCTCAGAGAAGTCAAGCGCCACCCCTGGGTTGTGATTGGCATCCAGAATCTCATATCCTGGATTGACGAGACGGACCCTTCGCATCGCACTGCGGGTCGCAAGATTGAGGTCGACGAACGAGAGATCACTCGCGCGGTTGTCCCGCTGACATTTCTGGAGAGAGCCCGATCAGCTGTCAAGAAGGCGGTGGGCAAGGTGATACACCGCACAGACAAGGGCGAGAGTCAGACACGAAGGCGGGCAACAAGTAGTGCTGCCAGCTCCGCCGGGGACCTGTCAAATATGGCATCGACGCCACAGTCACGAGATACTCGCCGGAAGAGTTTACGTGGCGATGATTATTTTGCCACTGTCAAGGAAAGCGATCATCCCCTGTCGCACAGCGTGAGCGTGACACCCCAGGAATCTCCGACTGAAGAAGGGCCGTGTCCCAGTCAGCAGGACCCGACTTTGGTAGGCGGAGATTCCAGACAAGTTGCCAAGGGCTCGACCAGCGATTTTAACGTATTGCCAGATCTAGGAGCTCCGCCCTCTACATCCACATCTCTGTCGTCTACCCAGGATTTTCAAAGCTACCGCTACGAATGGAAAAGGTCTTCCGTCAACGACAACACGTTCCTCCCTCTGGCAACTGCGAGGCAGAGTGTGCCTGCGACTCCCGCAGGTCAAACTTCAATCGGCCAGATTGCCTCTTTGAGAAAGGCTCGGGACATGCGATCCAAAGATGACTCATCCCGCTCACGATCAGTAGACCGTGGCCTGTTCGCAAGCGTCGACAAACGAGCAGAAGCAAAAGTTGCCTTAAGTACTGCTGTCGCACCAGGTAATTTCGAGCGACCCAAACGTACACTATCTGTTCATCCTCCGGGAGCAAGCCGACCCAAAGCACTTCAGTCTTATCGACATGGCCAACCCAATTTAGATCCAAGTTCCGACCAAATTCACTTCGGCGCTGTCGATATCGAACAACGACCCATGACTGCCCATCGGACTTTCGACGGAGAAGGACAGACGCCGTCACCGAGGGTCTTGAATTCTTCCACCCCAGCGTCATTCGGTAGAGCCCGTGCGCAAATGGTCCGTCGGCAAGAACGCGAAATCGAGGAGCAAGGAAGGCGTGACGAGTTTGTCCCGTCCCGCAGAGGCATCGCTTCTGATTACGCGTCGTGTCCTACCTCTCCCTCTCACGACTACCACATAGCAATGCCAAAGCCTCAATTAAGTTTAAGGGGCGACACTGTGGGCACTGCAACGACGTTCACGTCTGCCTCCAGCGACGCAATTTCCACTCCGTTGACAAGTCCGAGCGAGGTGACCAGCCCTATCAACATAGTGAAATCACCAGGACAAAACGACGAATCACACACCTACCCATCAAACCCTTCGCTCCCCGCTCTTCTCAGTGGTGCTAGCTCCGTTTCCGCTGATACCGAGGGGGATTTTCTACTGAGGCCTGGATCCGTTAATCGCCCGTCTCTTATCGACACGACAGAGTCTTTGACCCCTCCTGCTTTGACGAAAGAGCCTATTGAAGGGTTTCCTTTGGCCGACGAAGAGCACTACCCAACGCTGCTGCTCTCTCGGGCTACCCATGGTCTTGGCACGGCTTCTCTTTTGTCTTCGAAGGCAGTGGAAGATGACGAGGAAGATAGCGATAGCGACGAGGGCCTTACCATGGCAAAGTCCAGGAAGAAGAGTGGCGTCAAACAGTATATGAGCTCGCCAATCGGCAAGCCGATGACCAAGGCCAGAAGACGCGACACGCAGACCAGTATTGGTAGCCAAGAAACTGCCAAGAAGGTTCTCATGCAGAGCCGGTGAATGAAGGGTCTTCCATCTGGACGACTTGAAACTCATTTCTCTCCCCTCCATCCTCGATTCTCATTCACATGTACCAAATTGGAAGTTATGATTCCGCACATTTTATGACTGAATGAGCAGCTCTCAGCCCACCTGTGACCGACCACCACGAAAGTTATGCTATTTGCATCCGATTGAACCGCAAGATAAATCCCATCGCGTTTCATACGAGCCTCAGGCCGAGACTCTTACTGCCAACATCACATCCCGTCGGCGCGTCCTATGTCGCCTGGCTGGGCCGAGAAGCACGAAACCGCACTTTTCCCTTTCTCAATTTGATTTTATCACGAAATCCCTTCTCTTCTTTTGGGCCAATTATGTAGAGCATCTGTGACCAGCCAGTGGTTGGGTGGAAAGGCAGGAGTACTAGGAATGGGCAGCACGAGAGATGATGGGACGAGACACGGAGACGCGCCTGCGATTCATATGTTTGACCTTGCAAGGAACTTACCGAACGAACACGAGAGCACATGATTTCCGAAATCTAGGGCCCAAAGGACGATAAGGCCTTCGGTTACCCATACTTACATGCCCCAAGGGGTCGCGCAGTCGGTGGGGACTGTCGTCTTCTCCCGAGCCCTGTAGTGGAGGATACCTTTATTGGCGGGGCGGATCTGTGTTGGCGATGGAGGGAACTCAACGAATGGATTGATGGCGGCAAGCTGGGATTAGGAAATCGGCACGGTGGTACCTTTGCTTTTCCTGATAGACAGCCATCATAAGTTTGAGCGTGCATCCAATTGGAGTTGCCTGCTGACAATTTCCATCCATATTAATTTACCTGATATCAAAAACTCGTTTTGTGACTTACTCTTCTTCCTGTGTGAGGTGACCGCGGCGTGCGTGCCGGGCCGAACCGGACGGACGGGTCGTAAACGGCTCTGCCACTTCGACAGACGATGATATCCGCAAGAGATACACCAGGTACGAAACCTCACGGAATCCCTAGGGCATGGGATCAGCTTGTTCAGCAGTGCCGATGCCCATGGACATTATTCGTTACGGGCATCGAAACCTTGACCTACGAGATGATTCCCAGGTGTGGGTCAAGGCGGCCTAGGTTCAGAGCAGCTACTACTGTATATAGGGCGGCAACATTCGCGTCGCTGTCAAGCAGTCCAGCGGCACAGCCGGCCAGCCGACTCGGTCTAGAAAGCCTTGGGGTTGGAAGGAGGTGGCGGGGTGGCCAACAACGTGGGCCCGACGGAATATATATGGCACCTGAGTGATCCCAGAGGATTCAACAGCAGCCTTGTTCGTACGATTTGTAGCGGTTTCTAGTTCAAGCATGCTTACCGACGCCTGATGATGCCAAATATGATACCGCGTGTGCTTGTGCTGAGATACATCATAGGGGAGGGAGCTTGGCTGACATAGGCACCGATATCCGGCCTGACGGTTGGGTCACGATTTGCCTCTCGGTCCCAGGAAGCGGGTGATCCATCCGTGCGGTACTTGAGGGTCGAGAACTTCGAGCAGGATGGGCCCCTCTTTCGCTGTGCTTAATATAGCCCAGTCAGTAATCCCAACAGTCCTGCCTAACGGACAACAGGGCTTTTTCCGGTTCCGGTGACTGCAACATGTGCTTCGTCGCGGCGGACAAAATGGCTCATCAACTAATCTCACCTTTCGATTGTTATCTAACCCACAAATAGGCTGGATGTGAAAGAAGCTGTTGCGCGCACCCATCTCGTGGCAATGGAGCATCGGGAAGCCCGACAACAGGCATTATTGCTGCTTATCGATTCTTCGCCACCGAGGACAACCCCGAAATGGTTACCGAGGACAGCGCTGGAACATGCTTCCTACATATCTACGTGTTTTGATGGCATCTCCGGACGTCACTTCCATGTATTTATTTCACTTAAGGCATCTAGCCCCGTTCCTAGTTTTCACGTTCATAGAAGCCGCAATCACGCTTACCTTCTCCTTTCCACATCAAACTCTCATCGTCGCGCAGCGGAAGGGGACCATGCACTCGATATTTAAGCTCGTTCTCATCTTATTCGCCGTTTCCCCGGCTCTGTCTTTCGCTCTCCATCACTCCGATGAGGTTGCGAATCCGGCTCGACGATCCACGGATCATTCACGCCATACATTGCGCGGGCGCGGCCACAAAAGAGGGTTTATAGACAATAAGCGCAAAATCGACGAGGTTGTCGTAAATGACTTGGAGTACATTGAAAAGGGGGAGTATGCCGAAGTCTACGGTGGAGAGGTTCAGCCGGGAACAACCGGTGGCAAGAACATCCCATCGCAGGTCGCAGTAAAGGAATTCAAGGGCAAAAAGAATATCGAGCACGGCGACACTGAAATGGCAGCCATTGAAGATCTGCAGAAGAAAGTCGCCAACATCAATATCCCCGAGATCTACGCCTCTGAGAAAACGGAAGAATCAGGGCCCGTGTTACGCTACATCATGACGCGAGCAAGAGGCGGATCTCTTGCAGACTGTTATAAACAGTACGCACAGATCGAGACGAACGAAAACAGGCTGCGGGCCGTCGTGGAACTGTGGAAAACACTGGGACAGATCCACGACGCCGGGTGGGCTCACAGGGATATCAGAGCAGAGAACGTGCTCCTCGAGAACGAATGGGTACACCGGGCAAAAAAAGGCCCGTCGGGACGGATGTTGACCACAGGTTTCGTTTGGGCTGCCAAGGACGGTAAGTCAGCAACACATACATATACTCCGTGTCGAGAGGCTAGAAACTGACAAAGGGCCTAAAGACGGGTTCTACAAAGACATGGACATTCCGGAGATGGCAGAGGTCTCCTACCAGATGCTCTATGGCATACCATTCCCGGAGCTGCCTGAGGAAGAATCGGATAACGACGACAACTTCAATCAGCTTAACGAAGACAAGCAAATCGAGACAGTGCAACAGTTGTATAGCGGCAATGCGGGGGGAAAGAAAATGGGCGAGAAGCCTGCAAAGTTCTTTGCTTGGACCCACGAGGGTATAGTAAACGACGTAAAGAAAGCATTGAAGATGCTAGACGATATCAAAGGCGATGACCTCCTTGCATAAGGACAGAACGATGATTGTATTATACTATGTACCCTTAGATCTACTAGAATGTTAGGCGTTAGCCTGGTTACTGTGCGGTGGTCATTTAGCTGATAGGTCCGATTGTGTCACGGCACTAGATGACAGCCCCAGGGGTATATATACCAGATCATGTCACCTAGCTAGCTTCATAGTTTCTTTCCTTCTTCACGTACATCAACAATGTCATTTTTGGAGTCACAAGCAGTCGAACTGTGACAGATTGCCAGTCGTTTGTCCCTTGTTCACACGCGAAGTACAATAGACGACACCATTGCCCTATATAGGTAACTGTTGGAACAGGCTTGAACGATCAATCATAATACTCGAGTATGGGGTCAAGGTCATGATGTTGCTGATGGTTGGATTGGGAGGTCTAGCTGGACCTGAAGGTCTGGCTAAGTAACCTCGCAATCCGGTATCTATCTCTTATCTAATCATACATGTGGGTCTTGGTATAGATGGTTTGCAGGATGGAATTGCATAGATCCAACAGTAACAAAGTTAATTGACTAGACCTGAAAGTACGACCGGGTCAAGCGATGGTAGAGCTGGTGAACTAATTTTATAGGTACATACATAGCTGATATACGAATATGGTGACTTTGGAGTCCTCCTATTATAGAGCTAAATAAATAGATATTCATCCGCCGTGTGTTGGTGCACGTGTTTAAACGCACGCCACACACCCCAACAGGCTTACATCACACCCGCTCTTTGCAAAAATAGTCTTGCACCGGATCCCTCACCTTCGCCGGACTACCGAGCGTGGTAAACGCCGTCTTGATCATATAGCCCAGAGTCTTCACCCCTTCCGGCGGTGGGGCGTACGGGAGAGAGAAGATCGTTTTGGGGTAGCGAGCCGCCGTGAAGGACATGACCAGCTCCTCGCTGCCCTTGTAGACGCCATTCGCGCCCATGTCGTCGGCCGTCTTCATGGACTTGACAGCGAAGTCCAACATAGCACGCATGTCGCCGGCTATGACCATGGCTAGGAAGTATAGACAGGCCCATGTCCTCGTTGGCTTGTTCCAGCAGGCTGATATGAAGCCCGGGGCGAGGGTCTGGTACTCGCCCACGATCACGCCCTTGTTACCAATCAAGTCCAGACCCTGCTTTAGCTTCGCGGGATCCAGGTACGTGCCCTGGATCATGCCCCAGAGCTCCCCATTGTGACGATCAGGCCTGCAGTACAACTGGTCAGGACTGATGGATAGATAAAGCTAGATTCAACGATCTATGAAGAAGGAAGAAGGAAGAAGGCAGGCCGCTTCAGGTGAGAGGTGGGCCTCCCATATATATAGGTACATGTGGAGGTATAATGTACTTGTACCGTAACACCCATTCCCGTCCCGAGGGCCGAGATGGTCCAGTAGGCCAGTGTCGACGTAGACCCACGAACTAGAGCCATAGGGGTCGCGGAGGACCGCGTTCCAGATGACGAAAAACTTAGCGTTGAAAACAGCCATCAAGAAGGGATCATGTACTGTATTTGCGGGCGCCATTGGGACTTTGGACCGAAGCCGTCGAATTTGCTGAAGAGCTTCTGTTGGTCCTTCTCGAAGTTGTCATGCTGTTCGTGGTTGTTGGGGAAGTCCCAGATACTCTCGTAGTCGAATATAACCCACAGGCCGTCCTTCTGAGAGCGCCACGACTGGATTTCAGATGCCTGCCCCGGTGGCGTATATATGATCATCTGATCACCCTTCTGGATGAGCCACTTGAGGTTGTCGAGATAGGACTTCTGGCTTTCCCGCGCTCCTTGCTCGTTGGGGTTCGGGTAGTAATGGGCGATGAGGGTAGGAGCTCTGGTAGTTGAGGTGGTGCCGGTCTCGTCATCGGATGATTCGTCGCCGGATGAGTCGTAGTCCGAGATGTCGGACTTGTCGAAGTACTCCTGCAGCCATTGGCTAGCTTGCTTGTTGGTGGTCTGGGAAGTAGGCTTCAGATAGTCCAGGGGATTCTTGTCTGCCTTTGTGCCCCAATCGATGAGGGGGCTGTGCCAGGGTATGTGATCAGCATGCTTGGAGTCGCATACTTTATCGAACAATGTGGCCCTGGTCCATTCGCCTGCGTCTCTCGTGGTTAATGGCCATGCGAGTGCGACTGATACGATACTAAGGAGAACAATGTGGCTTTGCAGGGACAGCGTTGTGCGATGGGAATTTTCTGATTTGCAGGATACTATTCATTCCCAGGTTGGAACAGCAGCAACCTATGTAGTTTTGCGCATCTCAAGCTTCATCGAAGGCTTACTTGCACCACTGATTATAGCATACGTGGTACTCTCAAATCTAGCGACTCTAGAAATAGCAATTCTCTAAATTTATACGAGACCCCCATTCATGTTGGATTCTGGGCTACGTTAGCCCATCCATAGTCATCCTTCAGGATCACCATCCCCATTTGTGACTCTGTCACATACGTGGCCAATATAAGGCCACGTATCCTTTCCTTTAGTATCTTGGATATATATAGGGCCATTCTGGCCGCTGCAGAGGAGCTGGAATTCCTCCTCTTAATAGAACACTTTGAAATCTCACAATTCATGACGCACTGAAGTAGGCCCACCGAATCGTGATTTCGCAATTATGGGTTCATACAACTTGACTGACGTGTACTCATGGCCCACAAGTCATGACATGCAGTCGTATCACGAGCCGCATTGGTTACTAGGTATCCAGTAGGGATCGGCAATCTTTAATTGACACCTACGGATGGATTGTCTGGATTACAAGTGTGTCTGAGAATTGTGGAAATAAATCCTTACACTAGCTATCAACGTCTATCTACGTAGCAACTAGCTATGGACCCAGGTACCAGTTTGGGTTGTGGAGGACGCGAAGCCATATATATATCCGGAAGGATGATAATCACGAGCGCGCCCCATGGCCCCATACTTACCGAGGTAGGTGAGAGTACCAAATCTGCATCAACGCACCTAAAACAGGAACGGTAGAATATACAATCTTGTGACACGTCGATTGTTGCTGCCGTCAGGTTAATGAATGTATATTCCTAACACTTGGCAGTAACCACGTAGTAGTCTAGGTTCTCATCCACTCTCACAACCCACCGCCATGCCAATCCGTCTAATGCATGCTGGTACCATGCACAACCCATCTTGTGTTAGCTCCGACTTCTAAAACCAACTATAAACTTCGTCAGGGGGCACACGACCCACAGCACGATGCCAACGAGACACCCCAAACTCGGCAGCACAATTCGGGGAACTACTAACGTTACCTAGGTATTATGATGAAATGCGGCGCTGGGCTGGATATACCACAAGCAGAAGGTGCCAAACAGCGATGAATTCCCCTTATTCTGGGTCGAAAGTGAGCATAGCCAAAGAGCCAAGGTGGCAGTGAGTGTAGTGAGGCTGTAAGTTCGATGCGAGATTAGGATGTCCGCTCATCTATCGTCGCATTCATTGATTAAGTGGAGGTCCTCACCGCACAAACAGGAGTAGTCGCCTCGGCATGGATCTTTACTCATCGGTGAAGAGTGTGTTAGAGCGAAGTAACTTATCATGAAATCGCACATAAGCCTTGGAGGGATTGTCGTGGTATGCCATGGAGCAACGACTTGGATCGCATCGAATGCCTGATCGAGTGTTACTATCATTGGGTTCCATTATCGAGCATTTCACTGTGTCCGTGATGATCAGTGGTTGGCTACCAGGAGGTAAATCTCATGTCTGTTACTGTTTGTTTGCTATGAGCTGTGGCTATTCCCATGCTTTGCAAACGACTCGTAGGCTCCATCGCGTTGACGCAGTCGAATTCGGCATTCCACTCAAGCTCATCAAAGGCAAACAACAAACAGTACAAGGACAACACAGCCCTAGTCACCTTTGACAGTAGGCGATCAATTGGTTTTCACCTTATGGAGAAGATAAGATTCTCACCGCCATTGGCTTCGTCTGATCCAACTGAGAAGCTGGGGCAATGGCAATCTCCTCAGACCAGTTTCCTCGGGAGACTGAACATACTTTGTTTGTGTTTGTTTGTTTGTTTGTTTGTATTTAACGTGGGGGATTGCTCCTCAGTAGTGCAAACCACGCCTCCCAGAGCCTCTGCATCGCAGGGTTGTGGAGGTATCAAGATACTATGTACAGTCAGATCCGCTCACGAGCCCATCCCCGCTGTTGCGGTGGCATGACTTTAAGGTCATCCATCTGGTCCTTCAAAAATAGCTATCTATCGGGGGCAGATTGATGAGAAGAACTTGCTCTTCTCCACAAATCTTGCTCATTCCACGCTCCTCTCCCCCAGGTATTGTAAACAGGCTGCCCGAGGCGCGTACCTGGGCAGCAGTCAGTTCTTCCTAAGCCTTTCGCAAAAGAAAATATGCTGTAGTGTTTTCCTTTTACCACAGCTGCAGTGGTCATTTGAGTCTGTATGCCCGAAACGTTCGTGGTATCCAGCAAAGTCGCCATGTCCAGATCTGGCCGCTAGAAGTCTGTGTAAAATACTCCTTTTAAAAGATATGAGGTCCCTTTTAATTACTATATATAAGTATACTTCTTGATACCTAGGTTCTGATCGACCTTCCCACCATTGATCAAATTCTCTCTTGCCCTTTCTTTTGAGATCTCTCTTTACCCAAGAGATTATGGGAAGGTTCATTACTTCTGTTTCTAGCATGGCACCCTCTTTTGCTAATATATCAACAGCTTCGTTACCATCGATATCTCTGTGTCCAGGGATCCACTTAACGGTCACCCCAGGAGTGTGTGCTGTGGCGAGTTCTTGGAATCGTAGAAAAATGTTCTGTGATGTCTCGGGTGGAGTCCCATTGAGCCCATCTACCACCGACGTATTGTCAAGGCAGATTTACAGCCGTTTTTCGCGCCCAATTGCCCTGGCTGCTGCAAGACCTTAGAGAGCGCCACGGACTTCAGCATCTACCACTTCTGCTTGGAGAAGTCTGCCCTTTCCTGATACACTTCTTGTGTAATGCCGCCTTTCCTGATAGTGAAACCACATCCAGTGCGGGTTGTGCCTTGGTCGTCCAGCTGCGATCCATCCGAGTAGATGACAAGGTCAGTGTTCACGTTTCTCCCCCATAGCCATTGTTTGAAGAGCTTTATTTTTTTGTCTTTATCCTTACAGATTGGGGGCTTCTTCCACGATGGCTTAGTGAGTGTTGGTCTCTGGAAGTCAGGAACTAGCTGGTATCTCTTTTATAGCCTTGTCAGTTCCTTGCGAGCTTATATTCAGAGCCTGCCGACAAAAGGGTGTCTCTGGTCTATTCGTCCGAGCCGGAGGCGGTGACATCGTCTTATTGACTCCGTGAGAACTCCTGCTGGGGGAATCTGTGATTCAAAATGTAGGATATGTCCAGGGTGTGTTTTCCAGACCGGCAAGATAGCTCTGATCGCCGTTCGTAATACAGCATCCATCGTTCTGAGAAGCCCCTTGATGCGACACGCTGATGTCACGCCTGAGCTCTTAGTCTTTTCCATTCCTGGGTACCAGGCTTCCAAGCCGTGTGTAAGAATAGGGATAACACAAGCTATCACAGCCCTCCTGGTTGACTTTACTGGAAGTCCTTTGACCGTCTTGCATAGTCCTCGAAGGTGATTTGCGACTGAACATACATATACCCGTCGTCGGGACCTAGTGATGGCTTCCTCTTTCCTGTCCAGCCAGGCATCCAGACAAGCACACAAGCACACACCCACAACTTACTGAAAAAAACTCGCTCCAACGCAGATACCCTGAGCACTCTCGAATACCTCCTCTTCAACTCACCAGAGCCATGTACGCCCTCGCCACCCTCACCACCTTCCTCGCCGCTCTGGCCTTGACCAGCGCCACGCCCCTTTCCGCCCTCGCCGAGCCAATCCCGACGACGGAACTTGCCTCCAACCAAGGCGGTGTATGCTGCTTCCCCGGATGCACCCAGTGTTCCGGCAAGAGCTGTGATCCTGACCGCTGCAGTTCCTTTCCTGCGCGTATGTCTGAATTGACCATGATGTAATATCTGCTGACACGCCCCCCTGCCTTACAGTTCACAGCCTGCTGCTCAGAAGGCTTCCGAGCACCGCGGACGATGGCACGGTGGAGGTGTACAATGAACAGGGCCTGCGGATGCATTTCGTGAGCTTGGCTGGTTCGGAGGATGAGGCGGGCCAGTGATATAGGTTGGGCTTGGGGACATGATGGAGGGCTGAGTGTGCTGGTATCTGCCATTGCTGGGAAGATGGCCTTCTAGGGACGTGAAGTGGCCTGGACCCAAGAAAGCTGTCATGTACTGTCCCTTGAGGTGAAAACCAAGTACTAATTGACATTGGCAACTTGAAGTCGCATAGAAGCCAATCCTGGCTCCCCTAGAAGCAGCCTAGAAGTGCACCTAAATCATGAGCCGCGAGTTGTGTGTCATGGTCGGGGCCCTCGGCGAGCTTCGCCTTCGCCATCCTGCGGAAGAAGCCCACCTTCAACCGCCAGCGCATGATCTTCAGCTCAATGACGCGCTACTACGACACTGGCAAGGCTCGCAAGCGCCTCAGCTACGCGCCCCTCGTCAGCCTGAGCGACGGTGTCAAGCGCACAGTGCGGTGGACCCTGGACCAGCAGGAGAAGGCCAAGCATGCCGCTGCTGGGGCGATGAAGTCATGATAGTCCATCGCGTTGTGTCTATTCCTTACATGCTTGCTTCTGTGTCGTCCTGCGTGGCCTTCCTGAACTCCTTGATAAAGAGTAGCACCTGAATGAGTCGCTAACACTGCTCCCTCACATTTGAGTGAGCTGCAGACCCTCCTCCAACGGCCCAACGACCTTCTCGTATACTTCCTGCCGAAACGCAGCGTCTTCCAGGTCCCCAGCATTTTCAGATTCGAACATGCAGTTGACGCAGCGTTTAACGGCGGTGTGATAATTGGCCTCCCCCTTTTCCATCACGCGCGGCAGGAGCTTCTGCGCAGTGTCGAAATCGCGCTCTAGCTCGGGAACATTTGGGTCAACTTTCCAGTTGTTTGCTGTGCGTATGTTGTCCAAGGTGTCCCCGAGTAGGAGCTCGATGAGCAAGATTCCAAGGTAAAATACCGTTGGGTTCTGGACCGTTGGCGTATGGCCTGCGGCCGTCACCTGGGTGGAGGTGTTGACAGTATCTTCTGGAAGCCGCTTCGCCAAGTATGGTCGGTCATACACTGTCCTGTCGTTCTGTCGAACGAACAAGACGTCTTTGCTTGTTAGTAAGCCAGGAAGCCAGGGTGTGTTGTACAACTGCAGAACGCTGCAAGACAAGACCACCGCTAGCCTGAGCTGATGCCTGTACCACAAGCTGGGAAGACTTTTGCTCTTGTCATTCAAAACATCACGTAGAGTGAAGGTTGGCCAAGCTCGTGTTGTGTCCGATGTTTGGGCCGGATATATACCGAATCTGCGTGACTGCACCAAAGTGTCGGTGAGGTATCCGTAACATTCCACCGTTGGCTGGCTTTGGGCGTCCGCCAGAGTTCGACATATGTCGACTACTTGGGGAAGGCCACTCGAGAATCTCGATATCAAGGAAGGTAGGCCCATTGCGATTGCGTTGTCTAACGCAACACTTGCCACGGCCCCACGAAGGCCAAAAGAGGCACTGCTCAGATCTTCGGTGTGTGCCACCATGTGCGGCTGATCTTGTGATTTAGCCACAATTGAGAACCTGACGCTCTTCCTCGGCTTTGCTAGGGTCGGTCGGCGGGAGGGCTGCTCTGGCTCGGTCAAGTAGGTCTCCTGCTCATAAACGCGTAATATCATCTCTTTCCAGCCTGTAGTAGTCGGCCCGAGTCCGGCATCGCTTCGTTCCGAGCTTAGAGCTACTCGGAAGTTGAACTGGCTGGCAAGTTGCTCATCATCGTCTTCGGCAACCAGCTTTGGCTTGGTCAGCTCCAAGTTGGCTCTGTGGGTCTCTGGACAGCTGCAAGATATGCTCGAACGCAAGGTATGATATATACTTCTTGATATATTGTGAAGAAGGCTTATAATCCTTTTTTGAGTCTGATTGCGTCTCCTCTTGCTGATGTGAACATCAAGGCTGTGTATCAGAATGTCGCTGAGATATTGGTTGTTTCGATGGATCGAGTCCAGTGTTTCCGTGTACTCGGCTCGCACGAGAACAATACTCGCGCGTTTGAATTCTCTCTTGATAGACTGCCTGTCTTTGTGTTTGACATGTCGAGCTTCAGCAGGTTGTATACCGCTTGGAATAGTACTACACCTGAAGCCAACCACCACTTCATCCACGGAAAATTGCTGGTGGGGATACGAAGACCATTATGAAGCGATGAGATACTAAGAACGAGCTTTGGCTGGCCCGGTGGAATTGGACGTGACACGCAAAGGATGAATCAACATACCTCTCCGTTCGGCCCAAGATCCAGCTTTCGCTGAATCGTGATCAATTTCTTGCGTGTATCTTCAATTGTGCTCAGAAAGTCCTCTAGGTCACTGCCAAGTCGCACCTTGATCAGACGTTTCGTTTCCTTGGATGACCAAGAACCTTCGCCTGGACGTCTTATCAGAGTCTCGGCCTGTTCTGCGGTCACGACGCCATCAAGTAGCCTTTCGCAGCAATTGATGAAAATGGCTTGCTGCTGTCGCAGTTGTCGACCAATGCCATCTACCTCTGACTTGTACCGTCGTAGCTTCATGATGGTGTTTATACCTTCCGAGTAATGCTCCAGGGCAGTAACGATAAGTGGGAGGGCCCCCAGAACGACACCAACGACCTCGAAACCAGACATTACGATGTCTGGTTAACGACTTGTTGTTGATCGATGTACCATGGAATTGAGGGGAACGGCGCGTGCAACCTTGTGACGGCAGCCGCGTCAGTAATATCGCTCGAGGGGCTGTGCCGATCGGAACCGGTTGCATTCGATGACCGGCATATAAGCGAAGCAAGAGTCAGTCACGTGTGACACGGCACTGTACTTCCTTGTCGTGAGGGGAAGCAAGCAACGGCACTCCCACCGCGAGGACCCATCCCATTTGTTTTCACGATGACGGCCCTATTCATCTCGGACCGAGTCTCGCAGTGCCTCCAGAATTTCCAGGAATTCAATTCTATGCCCAATGACCCTAATGGGGATCAGTCAAGGCAAACCCAACTCGCATCGATAGTCAATTGCCAAACGCGGTTGAAACTATGGTCTGGAAATATTGGCGCACATCACAAAGGCAGAAGTTCCCTAGATTACCGGCTCCGCGACGCATCTCATCTTCAGATAGAGGTGACTAGGTTGTTGGAAGATCTACATGCTGCTCTACAGAACGGTGAGTATGGCTCCGCAATGTCGCTGTGTCATAGAATGAGCCCTCTGACCTTCCAAGCTTCATCAATCCTGACTGGAGAGAAGACCCCCTGGGAAGATGAACAGGCGGATGATGAGTCTGACGAGGATGACGAGGATGATCAAGGATCTATCGATCTTTCCGACTTGGACATCGGCTTCGATTCTGAACTTGCGCAAACATCTGCTGATGTCACCGAGATAATCGACTGCCTCTTCAGATTTTCGCAGGTTATCCGCAACCCAGCGCCGCATAACCGACTTATGATGGGCGCCGGTGTCGATCTCTCTGACTTCGAACCCCACGACGTTTCACACGTACAATCTAAGTTTGGCGCGGCAGACAAGTCGTTGACAAAGCGGCTTGGGCGTGCAATCACCCGTCGACGTCAATACTTCAAGTACAGACATTCTCATCATATCAAGCTGTCCATGGGACTCGAATCAGCCGAAAGCGCCCAGCCAGTGGTCGCCAACGATGGCGCGCCAAGCACAATCGCATCTTCCATACCACAACAGCTGAAACAAGGGTCTTCGGGTCATGTTGACGAAGATGAGCTGTCTGATAGTGGGATCACACAGACGTCCTACGCTACCTCCCTCGGAAGGTCCGGAAGGCTTCGTGTGCCTCCTTTGCCAGCTGCGGCATCAGAAGGACCATTTGAGTGTCCTTTGTGCTATATGATTGTCTCAGTAACATCGGAGGATTCATGGAGGTACGTTTACCCTGGTCTCCTTGGGGAAAAGCGGAAGTCCATTCTTCCAAGTCCAGTCTCAAATCTGACAGTGGAATCAGAAAACACGTCTTCTCAGATTTAAGGCCTTACATCTGCCTTTCTCCGAGTTGTCCAGATACCGGACGTGACTTTGCTCGGCGCCACCAATGGATGGTACACAACATGCAGCATCATTGGAAGCTCTGGGTCTGTCCTTTCTGCCCGCCAGGTCAAGCTCCTTTTGTGGATGCGTTCGAAGGTCATCTCAGATCACATCACCGCGGCTTGGTGCCAGAAGAACGTTTGGAGTCCACCATGACCCTGTGTGAACGCCCGAAACCACTCAACGACAAAATGACTTGCCCTCTCTGCTGCCAGGTCTTGACATCCGCTAAAGAATACGGTCGCCATGTCGGTCGCCATCAGGAAGACCTCGCTCTATTCGCGATTCCTGCGAGCATTGGCTTCGACAGTGACGAAGATGGTGAAAGTCAAGGGGAAGAGGAAATCAATGACACTGCTTCTGTAAGACCCCTTTTCATTGACGTTCGAAGAATTTCTTGCGGAACTAAAAGATACGAATGACATGCCCAGGACAAGAGTGCCAGGAGTATCAGTTTAACCGAGCAGCTATTCGAGGGGGGTTACATGGATTCCGTACCAAGCGACTTCAGGCAGGAGCTATACAGATATATGAGCCAATCTTCCCACGAAGAGCGCTCTCGCTTGAGCGACATGACCACGGAAGATGATGTACAGGCAAAACTAGATGACGCTGGGGATGACACAGATCGCCAAATAGGGAAGCGAAAACTCACCACACTTGAATACGGAAAGCCTGGAGACGATACTCCGGATGCACAACTTTCCCCAGAGGATTATAATGGTTCTGGAATCGAGCGCGCCCAGATGGAGCTGCAGGAGCTTAAACTCGTCGCCCAGATCGAGGGCCACGAGAGGCTCCACGAACGCACTATGCACGAGGAGCGCGAGCTGCGCTACGCCAAGCAGGAGCTCGACGCCATCCGTGAAAAGAACGAACAGGATGATCACGATCGCCGCCTCAAGCAGAAGTTAGAGAGGATGCGCTTTAGGGACGCGGAGGCCGCCTTCGCCGAGAGCTTGTACCGCGAGAAGGAGGCTGAAGACGCGATAAACACCGACGTAGAAGACACCTTCGATCCGGAGCCCAATCAACCAGATGGACAAAACCGTGAGATTCTCGAGTTACAAGTCGAGGCCAACCAGGACATAGTCCAACACCTAGAAAGATTGGGCGACTCTTCAAAGGCGTCGCTATTCCAGCGAAAGAGCATCGAGCTGCGGCAGCAGCTCGATAAGTATAAAAAAGATGAAGCTGAGCGTGCCTTGGGCAGCCAGTCTATCGCAGTCACTGAGCAACAGGGAGAGCAACTCGTGGGAGATACCTCCAAGTCGTCGTTGATTTCCTCCCCTGGAGGAAATGGGCAGCAGTACGAAGGACACTTCGGCAAGGAAACAGATCGTCAAGACACAGAGCCTGAGAAAGAGATGATTTCAACAAGCGGCCCTTTGGAGCTGTCTGGGGAACCTCAGGACCCATTTGCATTTATTGCTAGGACTTCCGAGCTCAAGCAGTTTCAGCGGTCCCAATACCCACCTGTGAATCCTGCCGACCAGAACCCTCCGTGCAACACGCTCTATGTCGGCAATCTGCCGATTGATACTGCCGAGGAGGAGCTCAAGGCCATATTTTCCAAGCAACGTGGCTACAAGCGTCTCCTTTTCCGCACCAAGACCAATGGTCCTATGTGTTTCGTCGAGTTCGAGGATATTTCCTTTGCGCCTAAAGCCCTGAACGAACTGTACGGGCATCCTCTCCATAACAGTACGAAGGGTGGTATTCGCCTCAGCTTTCCCAAGAATCCATTGGGTGTTCGCTCCGACATTGAGATTCGATTGATGCAGCCAGACTCTGGTCCCCGGTATATATCAACCCACGAGAATGTCAATCTCCGTAGACAGGACCCCTCGTTGATACACGCATATCAATTAAGCGACGACAAGGTCATGGATAGTGTCAACTCAACTCCACGAAGGGGTCTCGTTGACGTGGATTGAGTTGGTCGGGACCTTGAGCCAGAGATGGATCTTCGGGTAAAACTCATGAACTTCGAGTTGGAGGCAAACCCACATTGGAGGCAAGCTTCAATAAATCCCGGGGCGAGCAAGAAAAATCAAAAGTAACAGGTAAAAAAAGGCAATCCCCATCCTAAGGGATATTAAGACTTTAACATTGCTACTCAGGTAGACATACCCGAGTTTGAATGCTTTGACTTCCCTGGACTCTTCCGGCCAATGTACCGGTGTTAATGTTCAGCCAGAGCAACGTCTACCCCTTCATATATAAAGGAGCTTGCAATTCATCACTTAGACCTCTCAGGTTAGCTTGTGAGACTCTGGAAGCCTCGTGCCCACCCCAGGCCGTTGTAGCCGTCGGTCATCTTCTTTGCGTCTTAATAACGCCCGACTCGCTAACGCCTACGCGAGGTTTCGTGCCCCTATCTTTGCCCGCGGCCTCCCTCCGTGCCAGAGCACCCTCCCAATCGTAGTCCACGGGATTAAACCGCTTCAAGCCCCACGGATCCAGGCGTCGCCTTCTCACAGCCCGCTTGCGACCTCGCAGACGCCAGATGATTTCTAGATTAGGAAGGAACCTGTGTCGTATCTGCTCTCTCGGAGGGTGTTCCTCGTTCCAGCGATCGATTATGCAGTCGAAGACGGTGAAGTTCATGGCGGCGTCATCGCGATCTGTTAACATTTTGCTGCCTCCCATCCGCTCGTCTGGCACAGTCTGCGCTCGACTGAAGTCGACCAGCTTGCCGTTGAGGTAGGCGTCCTCTCGGAGGTCGCCACCTGTGTATATACCGATCCGGTGCATGCCCTCGAGGTCCTTCATCATACCGGGCACCATTTTTCTGGTGAAATTCGGGACTGAGCTGTCGATTAGGTCTTTGACGACTGCTCGCATTGGTCGAGGGTCCCTGGGGTCGCGGAGACGTAGGGGGTCTTCACCGCTGGACGGTGGGTCATCGGCTGAGCCTGTGAACAAGATGTAGCCGTGGCATTGGACGGCCAGGGCCTCGTTTCCCGCTTCTTTGAGCCGACCGTAGGCGCGACACTCGCTGAAGAAGGCGTTCTCGTACGATTCGAGGCTCTCGAAGATCCGGGCGTCTTCGTCGTCGTTGTCGCCCCACTCGATGCATTCACCGAGGTCATATCTGGCTGGCATAAACTTCGGTTTCTCAATAAGGAGAATGAATAGAAGAGCTTGGGAGTCTGGAAATCAACTTACCAGTTTCAATGCATACGATTTTCCGGCTATCTCGACCTTCCATACTACTGCGTCGACGCCCTGTCCAATCTCTTTAACCCATTCGGTAGATGAAGTCTCGCGATCCGAGAAGAATGGGTGTAATTTTGGCCCTGGTATTGGCGGTAAAAGCGTCATGCTTGATGCGCTGCAATGTCTAATCAAGTGGTGAGTGTAAGTCTGAAGTAACCAAGAAGTGGAATGTTTAGTTTGCCTCTAAGTTAAAGCCCATGACAAAGACTTCACCATCGGCCCCAAGAGACGCATTGGACACTTATTTTATCAATTATTCTTTGTGTACAGCGACATAAAGAAGAAACTATGGAATACTTTCATCGAAAACGACGACTACCTAGGTTCTAGATGCCTTCCTGGCAGCATCACGAGCGCTCTGTCGTGACTTTCTTGGCCCCCTGCAATGCCGATAAGACCAGCGGATACGACGATAGTTCGCAGTTATTACATAGTCGTCTCATAAACAAAACCCGCCTTTATGTCTGTCGTAGGACCGCATAGTTATTCCCCATTTTCCGATCCTTCCGATGTCATCCAGTCTTCGGATTCCTCGTCGGTGAAATTCCCGTCGAAGAATCCTTCGTCGGAGGATCCCTCCTCTGCTGCATTCGCGTCTTCCGCACCCGTATCTTCTGCAGCCGCGTCTTCTGCCCCCTCGTCTTCGGTTTCCTCGTCAGAGGAATCCCCGTCAGAGGGATCCCCGTCAAAGAATCCTTTGTCAAAGAATTCCTCCTCTGCTGATTCCTCGTCTTCTGCTTCCTCGTCGGCAGTGTCCTCGTCGACAGTGCGCGGACCGAACAGATCATCCATGAACGTGTCGGATTTGCTAAACAAATCCCGCCAAAGGTCCCTTCGCGACTCAAACTCACTCAAGTCGAGATTCCCACGCTTGAGTTCAGTAAGTACAGCTGCGAAGGTAGAGTGGCTGTCTTTCTGTCCCGGTGCCGGTGGATGTGGTGGAAAGGGACCCACGCAACCGTTTTGCAAACGAAGAAAGAAGAACTTCTTGTCGAGGATGTCGATCGCGTGCAGCAGGGCCTTGACCTGTGTTTCGTTGGTGGTGGATTCGTTGACACAGGTCGCGAGGTAGATGAAGGGGACGATTGGCGTGGGCGTGTTGTATTGCCCGGAATGCCAAGAAAGCTTTTCCCACGAACACCAAAGCTTGTCGCGCACCCGCTTAAATAAGGAATCCCGCTGCTCTATCAGCTCCGAAGTTCCATCCCTCTGGGGCAACCAAGCAGCGCAATTTGCAGCCCCGTCCGCGTGCTTCAGGCCCATGCAATCCACGAGCAAGTCGACGTAGTGCGGCAGCAGTTGGAACTCGTCGAGAACGGCCATGACGTACAGTTTGTTGTGGATGTTCATTAGCTCGCCTCGTGCGAAGGCCTTGATGTCGTTCTCGACGAGCTGGTTCTCTCGGTAGAACCATTTTATGCCGTGCCCGCGGTTTGCCTCCTCGTGGAGCTCCACGAGGTCGCGGGCATAACGGCGGTACTCCTCGAACGAGCGTGGCTTCGAGGGGTAGACATGCTGCTTATTGCGGCGGCGAAACGCCCCGAGGCTTTTCAGCAGCACGAAGGTGAGCATCATTTCTAGGGTGTGCGTCTTGGAACTCACACGGTGTCGCAGTTTGAGAGCAGGTTTGGGTATTTGCGGTGTGTTCTTGTGTCTGGGGTGTTCTGGTTTCCGAAGGGCTTGTATTGGTGTCGAACCTGAAATGATGGGAAGCTGGAAGCTGGCCTTCCTTTTTTTATTCAGTTTCCAAAACTTTATGGCGTTGCAGCGAGCAATTTGGTACCGCAATGGGTCTTTAACTTTTGCCCTATATGCGCCACTTGAGTGCATTATGAGAGTGAGTTAGGTAGCTTTAAGTTCCGGGGTTAAAGTTTCTCTCAAGGCTAACCTTTTCTTGCGCGGGAATTCTGCTCTCCCTCAGGTTCGCTGGTGCCAGGTTGGCCTTGAGGTCGAGGGAGAAGACGAACAGAGTTCAGCCATGAGCCACCAAAAAGAAACCATCGTTAATGTGCTCAAGGTGGCGGCAGAGCCTGAATTAAAAACACATAATTAATAATAGCTGAATCTGCTGGGTCGGGAACACGAAGTCAGCCATGAGCCACCAAAAAATTAAAATTTCTGCTCGAGGTTACGGCAGAGCCTGAACTGATCTGACAAATTGATACCATCTCTCAATCTGCTAGGTTGAAAACAAGAAGTCTGCTCTCCCTCATTTCGAATTGCGTGTTGGGGATGAACCGTAAGATGGCTTACTCACCTTTTCATCTAAAAGGAATAAGGCCACGCATGCTGGCGACAGGGCTGACGAACACTGTACAATCGCTTGTAAATAGAAAGGACTAGATGATGAATAGCTTGATCATGGGACTGTAGGCGGAATAAAAGTCTGATCGACGTGATGTTTTCCGATTAGCCGTCGACAGTCCCTTTGTTGAACACACCGGCCTCACAGGTACTAGTAGGTGGTAGGTATCCTACTCAATCGATGCTGAGAGACGAAAGATAGGTATATTGCCACAGTGTGATGTACAATGCAATGAACAGTCGGTGGTTTATCCACATGCAGAGAATGATCGCCGTTATCTAGGTATGCTCCCCGGGCCGCCTGCAGGTGGTGGTCATTTCAACACGAAGGGAAAGCACCAAATTGTTTTAACCAGGAAGGTACTGTGATTGAGATCGCCTTACAAGCTTGAGGGCACCGGGCGTGGCTTCCGCACCTGGGCAGGAGCAAACTATCCTCATCAACATAGAGGGCTCGTGTTTGGGCTGCAGGTGGGCAGCAGCTGCCAGCCGTGTCAGGCGAACTGCAAACATGAAGCAGCCGCTCCTTCCAACATGTCGACAAACGACACACGACCTGACACACCTGCATCTCTTGATCACCTCCACTGTGCTGCCTTTCTCTTCCGCTTCGAGAGCCACCACGGTCACCACAGTCTGACAGTCACCACTCGACGCATCACTGTCCTCATATCACACTGGGCAGTTGATAGTAGCACTTGAACCGACCAGGACGCCCCGTCGTATCTGCATCTGACACCGTCGCGATCTGTCAACATGGGTCGCTGGGGAATGCGTAAGTCCAGACTTCTAATCGAGCCACGAGACAAGGCGCCCACAGTCATACCAACCCACCGTCACAGGTCTTTTCGAGGGCGATCGGGATCTTGACATCGCCCTGGAACTGAACTGCACGTTCGGCGAAGACGACAAATATTTGCACCTCTCATGCCTAGTCCACCAAACCGACATGCTAGCCCCTACCGAGGCGCGATATTTCTACGAGTCCGAAGAGTACGTAGACCATCTCGACAACCTTTTGGCCGACGCCCGCGAGAGACTCGACGCCAATGGCACGGGGGACAAGTTCCTCGCCCACTGGCGGGCCAAGGAGAGCGACCCTGGTGGCAAATACCGCTTCATCCTGTCTGGGGCCTTGATGATGCGTGCTGGTGCCAAGATCAAGGAGTAGGTCCCGCCCCAGTGCACCTGGCACTCTCTCTCAGTAGATTGATTGATTGATTGATTGTATTTAACGTGGGGGGTAGCTCCTCAGTAGTGCAAACCACGCCTCCCAGAGCCTCTGTATCGCAGGGTTGTGGAGGTCTCAAGATAATAAGTACAGTCAGTCCCGCTCACGGGCCCATCCCCGTTGTTGCGGCGGTATGACCTTGGGGTCATCCATCTGGTCTCTCTCAGTAGAGTGCACGATGAATCTCATGGCGCCCAATGGCTAATACCACGCACTCTTTCAGATCAGACTTTGAACATCTGCGTGAGCTCGTGCCTCAAATCCACTGCAACCCGGGCTATGCCCTGCCGATATTCGACGAGGGTTTCCGCGGACCTGGAAGGGTACAATTCATTCGCGCTCTTGTTCAGTACAAGGATGGCACTCCCCGCAACTACCAGGAGCCGAGCTGCTTCAACTGCGGCAAGGTAAAGGCGGACAGTGGGAAGGCGCCTTCGAAGTGTGGACAGTGCAAGGGCGCGTGGTACTGCGACCAGGTCTGTCTCCTCGCCCCTTGCTGTTTGTGCCTACAGAGGCTGACTTCTTGCGACATCAGGACTGCAAGAAGGGTCATTGGAAGGCACACAAGCCTAGCTGCAAGGACCCCAAGACTAGGGTCATGCTCAATGTTTGAGCTCGACGCATCGTGCAGAACTGCAGAGGAATGTAACACTACAAGAAGGGTTTACCATTTGCACAAAGATCAGGAGGGTGGGTGGCGCGATTGACTTGCTGAGATACTGTTGGATATCATACCAGGCTGAGGCTTTCGGGGCTGAATGCGCTAATGGGTTTAGCTTCAGGGCAGTCAGCCCACCCTCAGGCCACCAGGATCCTGGCGCCATTATCGTATGATTATCTGGTCACCCTGATGGCACACCTGTACATATGGGGGCTTCTCCCCCAGAGATCTTCTTCTCTTTCCTTTCAATACAGAACGGTTTGAAATCTCACAGATACTGAGGTTGATGTTGGTCTTGTACGCAATTATATTGCTTTTACTTGTCAAGTTCACGACAGATCTTCAAGTTCGGAGACCAGCAACGGATGAAATCATGATCAAGGCGTCGAGTTGAGCCCCAATGGTATTGATTCCATGACCATGCTACAAGGACCTCGGTGGGACTCAGGCACATATACGGGTAAGAAAGTTCACTGCTTAAAGGTGGCCAGTCTGATGTAACAATCCCTCGCCGCTTCATCCGATCGACTTACAAGGACGTATCTCTGCTTCTAAACTCATTTATGAGTAGCACCGTCATCTACATCCCCTACCTCCTCAACACCAGCAGGAGTCGGAATTGGTGTAGTTTTTGGAGCTTTATTTCTCCACGTGGTCCACGTCCGCCAAATGTCCAAAGCTGCACCTCCAGCTCCACCCCCAAATACTCCTATTCCCCTGGAGGTACTAGTACCAGCCGCCCAACCGTGGGCCCACCTTCACTATCTCGATCCGGACGACGTCTACAGCCAGAGACGCAAAGACGACTCGTGTCACGGCGAGCGTACTGAGGAGCTGGGACAGGGCCGGCAGCAAGCAGCTATTACTCTATTGACGAGAATATCAAGACTAGAGAGGAAAGGAAGAGAGAGAGAGAGATAGGTACAGTGGGAGGTTGCCCCTTTAAGGGGATCCTCTGGTCAGATCCTTCCCTTATTGGGAAGTATCCGCTTGTCATGTGGGAAGGTCTGTGCAGGCCGTCACAACTCGCGAGGTCGACCTCGCGATTGGTGCGATGCGCTTGAGGGGCGTGGTATGAGCGGATGAGCTGATGTGTCAAACAGCGTGTATTATGGTTGATCTGGTTGATAACGTATATTCTGGTGATTCTGATTTGAGTGTTGTGTTTCTGTGTTGTGTGTCTGTGAAAATCTTTCTGTGGGCTAGGTGGCCTAAAAATGCCCTATTGGCCTTGTTGGTGCACTGCCACCTCCCTGAACGCCACGGTGGCTTGTGCGCCATCCAACAGGATGCGGGGGTTGCTGGGTTGATTGAGTGATGTTTTAACACGTACACCCCTTTCCTTCTCGGCTTGGCCTTGTGCTCTAATATATAGGATTTTGGGGTGAGTTAGGCTATGATGGTTGATGGTTGATAGTTGAGGAGCCCCGAACCTAAGAATTTGGGGATAGGGGTAGGGATGATTGTCGTTGCGTGTATGTTTACAATTGGATGCGTTTATGAGATTTTGAGAACATGACGAGTACCTAGGTACTTATGCTACCCGAGGTGAGCTGTGGAGTCGTGTCATACCAGGTAAGGGCAGGTTTCACCATAGATCTAACTCCCTATACGACATAGCGTTAGCATACGAATGCAGAGGCAAGCACTACTACTTCAATCACAAAGACCCAGCATATAACACAAGCCACAATGTCAGCGGCTCCAAACTTCATCTCTCATTAACGTATAGGTACTCATGCAATACCATATCAACCATGCAGTGTCCTCTAATCCTACACATCAAGTCATATAAACGCCATCCATCCGCCCTTCTTTTTACCGTATGGACAACTCCCCTCGCGCCCTCTTTTCTAGCTCGCCCAGCCAGGCCCGCCGCCGCCGAAAGATGCAACACGAACTCCGAACGACAGAAATAACACAAAGGCCAGCAACGAATACACACAAATAGCCGCCGCCCAGCGGCTCACTCAGGTCTTATAGACAAAATCAGAAGCGATACGCGCGTCAGCCAAAGCTGTCCTCGCAGCCCTACAGCAAGGTCTCGCCATCGGCCGCGTCTGTACCGGCATCCGTTTCTTCGGCGCAACATCCATCGTCGATGACGCCACTCGTGACAAGTGCTTCCCACACTCTGTCCTTCATCTGTATGCTGTCTCTGGCGACGGGTAGGCCATCCAACAGCTTGAGCTGGTAGCAGCGTTCCACCACGACCATCTCATAAAGTCGTTTTCGCATCCTCGTACCCATATCCAGTCGGCTGATGTACTTCTCGTCGCGGTCGACATCCACGTCTGGCAGCATGAATGGATCAAACTCGCCCTCATTCCCGCTTCGCTCCACAGGTACGAGAGTCTGCACAGGAGGGTAGAAACCAAGTGTTACAGGGTTGTCCCTGAAGTCAAGCCTCGACAGGTGCGGGAACTCGGCCAGGACGTTGGCCACCTCCCCGGCATCGGCCAGCCTGTTGCCGGCCACCAAGAGCTTCTTCAGTCTCGGGATATAGCGCAAGCCTGACAGATTCTCGATGGCGTTGAAGTTGAGGTTCACGACCCTTAGATTCGGCATCAGCTGTCCGAGATGGGGCGGCAGAGATTGTAGGCCACAGTTCGCCAGTTCGAGGTATTGTAAATTGAGGAAATCCATCTGTGGATTGAAGTCGGAGAGCAGATTCCCGGACAAGAACAGCTTTCTCACCTCATATGCAGAGTTGAGGAAACATGTGTCCAAGGTCGCATTACCGTTTTGCTCGCGTAGTGACAGGCTGTCGAGACGGCGGCACCTGGAAAACCCGGTGACAGTAGTAAGTCGGTTGCGATCTGCATGGAGAAGATGCAATGAGGGAGTCGCACTAAGGTCGAGGCTGCTCAACTCGTTATCGGAGAGCTTGAGGTATTTGAGATGTGGCATGGCGTAGTCCGTTGAAGGAGCGAAGGACGCCACACGGTTGTGCTGGAGATTGAGCGTGATGAGACAGGAAAGCTGCTCAATATTATGAATTGAATCAATCTGGTTGCTCTCCAAGTCCAGCTCGGTTAGGCGTTGCATCTTGGTACCATCGAGATCGATCTCCTCGATGAGGTTGCCCCTTGCCCGAAGCACCTGCAAGCTGTCGTGGAACTTGATTCCGTCCAGACTGGTGATCTGATTGTTGTCGGCTCGGAGGGTGCGGAGATGAACCAGGTCCTTGAAAGCGTACAAGCTGTTGATCTGGTTATTGGATACATCGACGTACTGGAGATTCATAAGATGTCCCCATGCCGTCAGCTCGGACAGCTGGTTGTGTGCCAATCGCAGGTTGCGGACACTACCAGGGACCCCATCCACATGACCAATGGCATTGTTGGAGGCATCGAGGGTGACAACGCTGGTACAGAACTCGTCGAGCATGTGCAGCGTCTCCAGCTGTTTATTGCTGATATCCAATTCACGCATTGATTCCCAGTCGGGCTCAAACGGCTCGACTTCTGTGATCTTCTCGACCAGGCTTCGGATAGCTTTCGACATGACCTTCTTCGACCCATCGCCCGTCATGAGGTACTCGTTGCCGACAACGTAACTGACCTCCAGACCGCATGACTCGTCTGCCTGGTGCATCGTGAATTCGGACAGAGGGCTCAAGGACAGAGTACCGACGTACTTCCCAATGACAGGGGTTCCGGAGTTTGGTGCAGTTCTTGGTGGAGCCGGCGTGGTCACAACAAAGTTCAAGCTCTTGTTTCGCCTGTCCTCTGGCTCCGGTCCGACCAGGCTGCTCTCTCCACATATGCTGAGCTGACGCTGTTGCTCTGACGTGGCCTGCTGAGCAGACGCATCTTCATCCCGTTCGTCAATTCGCGATACTGGCCTCGGCACGAACCTATTCCCTCTGACCGACAGATTCCGGGACACGCCGCGCGATCGACTTCGGGATTTCGACCTCGTTGCTCCGCTCTTTGCAAATATATTAGACCAGTTATGCCGGCCTCTCCTAATAGAGTCGGCAGCCATGGTACCAACTGCTTGGTCCATGGAGTTGAGATCTCTATCTGTGTTGTCTTCATCCGACCGGTGGGCGACATCTTGGATGATCGAGGCAATTGGCGATGAAAACGTAATCGTGAGATTTCTCCGTCGCGAAGGACTAGAGTTCTGCATCCGATCTTCGTGTATGGTAATCTCATGTTCGATTTCCTCGTCGTCCTCCACGGCAGTCTCAACGAGCGTTCGCTTGACCCTCGTAAATGTATCCCTCGTGTGGCTCATGATACTTCTAGCATCGGTAGCTTCTCCACCGACAGTGGGCGCCATCTCTGAGGAGTCTCCGGGGGGCGCATCGTCTTGTAGGAACTGCTGGAGGTCATCGAGGTTCTGTCCAGTGACTAATCCAAGATTCCGGTTCTCTTTGACAGCATCAACAGAGAGATCTGGGATGCTAGCAAACGGATCCTCCTCACTATCTTCGGAAGGGAGAACGTTCATCACTCGTGATGGCCTCGGCGTCTTCACCTTTTGCCATCTCTTGTTCTCTTTGTCAAACACCATGTTGCCAACATGGTCGCCAATGAGTGCATTGACCACGTCGGGAGCGATAAGCCGTCTTGAGTCCGAGCCCCGAGAGGAGCCCGTGGGGACCGAGCGACCAGTAGATGCTCCAGAGGACCGTGACCCGTTTGAAGGGAACTCGACCACATTCTCGCCAGCGGTACTGCGGTCTGGATTCCGCGAGATCCTGACGTTGGACAGGTCGCTGATAACCTCTTCGTCATCATGTGAGCTCCGCCGCATCTCATCAGCTCGAACACTGCGTTCTATGGACTCATTGAAACTGTTGGTTCCGTGAATGGCATCCTGGATTCGTCCCATAGATTGGATTGAGTGGGAAATGATTCCACCCAGGACGTCGCTTTGTTCTTCGTACTTCCTAAGCCGATCTGCAAGCTCCGGATCCTCTTGACGCACTGGCATCCTGGAGACTGGGCGCCCTTCTCGGCTTGGCGGACGTGAGAAAGGCTCCCTTGTGGACTCTTGGAACGAATCTTCGATGGCGCCTGACGTGTCATAGCTTCGATGTTCGGAACTCTCAACTTCAGACTCCTCCACACTGGCGAGATCAGTCCTGGGCCGGGCTTTGTTCCGTATCATCGCCATGATCTCCTCGGCTGCGTCGTAAAAGTCTTGGGTTTTCATGGATGTTTTCCGAGACCCATCAACAGCGAAATCTTGAGCAAATCCGGGTGAGGTTTGATCCTGAGTTGATATCTCACTGTGACCGTCATCCAGATTCAATCCGATATCTCCAAGAGGTTGTCGCTCGCGCATCGCCGACATTTTCTGGCTTGGCGTTGGCGAGCGAGGCCGCAGGATTTGACGCATTGCCAGGATACTCGGCTCAGCAACCTGTTGCATTTCACCATAGCGTACGTCTTTGCGCTTCCTTCCTATGGCAGATTGCATGCTGTAATGGGATGATTGCACGGGTTCTATGGCTGCCGGTCGGTCTTCGAGCCCGTATGCAATGTCGGACCTGTGTAAGGTCCTCCTCCTTTTCGGCGTGGGGTCTTTGGTCGGCGAAGTCCGCGGCCTCTTGCCTTCCGAGCCCTCCCTTTGCGGAGTTGTTTGGAAGTCACCAGTCTCCCTCTTCGTGTCAGAAGCGGTACGTGGCTGTGAGCCGTCGACGGACTTGGTTGCGCCTAAGCGGTGCTTAGATGATAGGGAACTGCTCGAGCGGTGGCGTTGCCGTTGGACGACAAGCGACTCTCCATCTGAAGAGTGGTCGTTGTGAATCTCAAATTTCAAAGGATGGTTCGATGGCACTCGAGTCTCTGCGGGTGTCATGTTTTCCTTGTCCTCGAAACGCGAGGGCTCGTTGGAGCTCAACGAGATGTCCTCATCAAATTCGTAACCATCAAGCTCTCCAGCGCCAAATCTGTTGATCGCGCCGAATGTCTCGTGGTGAGCATGACTGATATGGTGCTGCATCTTTCCCGAGCTGGACATACCCACAAAGCCTTCGTTGGTGTCAGGTTTCGGCAGCGAGTCTGGCATTGGCGAAGCAACGGCGGCGCCTTCTGTCGAGCGCGGAGGACTGTTGCTTATCTGATCCTCGAATTGACTTATACGTCGTAGCAGGGTCTGATTTGTGAATGTGTCGTAGGGCCCAAAGAGCTTCAACGGACTCCCACTGTGGCCAGGGGGTGGTTGTAGCCGCTTCTCTGGGCTGGGATGGGGAGCCCGAGGTACAACAGGGCTGACGGGAGATGTCGGCTCGTCTATCCTCTCAGCCGACGCATAACGATCTGTCCTGATGGTTGGGAACTGCTTTGGGGTACTGGCCTGGAGCGACGACTCCGGTAGCATTTCGGACGTGTCCGTATTGACTGAGGGACTCAGAGGACGGCGTCGAAAAGACCCTTCACCAGACCGTCCAACCCTTTCGAGGTTCAGAAACCCTCCATTCTTCGCATAGTCATCCGTGTTTTCGAAAGTCTGGGTTCCATCACCCACGGCACCAGTATCGCGGTCCGGGTCGCTGTTCAGCTCAGACTCTAATATCATCTGGCTCATTCGCAGTTTCTCGAGTTGTTTCCGCAGTTGTTGAGCAGGCAGATCAATTGGTGCGTAACTGATCTTACCATCTCCAGTATTGTGACGCGATATCAATATGGGGCTGAGGTCCTCGTTCCTCACGTCGCTTTGGCCACTAATCTTCCGTGACGCGTCGAGACGCTGCATTACATTAAGCGAAGTGATGGAGGTCTCGCTGGCTGCGTTCGTTCCCGTGGCTTGCTCATCACGGCTTCCTTCCAAAGTCGACTCTGGTCCAACACTCATGTCTTTGGTGTCATCTTCGGTCCTTCGAAATGCCATCTGCTTGGGAAGGGGTGGGGCGTGTTGTATAGACGAGTCGTTGACGGACAGGTCCTGGGTCTCGTCATCGTGTAATTGGTCTCGCCGGAACCTCAAGTACGGGGGTGGACTCGATGGTAAAGTCGTCTCGTTCACTGTATAGGCCTCGTCCTCATTCGACTCTTCCTCCGGAGACGTGTGTTCCACAGGTGGCTTAAACATGTTCGCCAGACCGGTTCCCGCCGAGCTGAACAGATCTTTCGAATCGCCATAGTCAAGCTCCCCATATAACAATCGTCTTTTCCATTCCGGGGCTTGTTCCTTGCCTTTCGAAGGCGAGGCGCTTTGCGATTTGTGTTGGACAGTGTTGTGGACGACGGAACCAGCTGTGGAAGCCGACACGGATCTACTCAAATGTCGACCTCGTTGGGAAAGCTTCATCTCTTGTGACAGCTTCGAGAGAGCACTTTGCGACCCCTTGATGTTGATGTCATTGGGACTCCGCTCGCTCAGAGCACTGATACTGCCGTCGCGTGGTGGCGGCTGCGGTCTCCTTGTGCCCGCATTGCCGGTATGTAATCGTGGTATGCGGCTGGCAGTCTCGCGCACGCTTTTCGAACGAGCATGGGCTGGTGGACTTGAGAAGCTAGGCAGTTGGCCTTGAGAAGTGTCGGATCTTGGTTGAGATACCCAGTCCTCAGACAGCGAATCGAGCCAGGCGTGTGACATGATGGATGGATGCGGCTAATCTATTGATATCACTGAAAGGCAGAAGTCGAGACTGGTTAGTTGGCGGCCATTCAGTGGTGTGCGCAATGATCAATGTGTGGTTGTGGTGCTGGTGGCGGTATTCGCGATAGTGGCTCGGGCGGCTCGTGGGGTTGTCGACCGCGTCGCGATGTTTACAGCGATCGCGGGTATCAACATTCGGCGTGCGTGTGCTGCGACTGGGCTTGGACGGCGACAGGATTGCATGTATAAAAATGGACAGTGTCGAGTGAACTGGTGGAAGGGGAGGTCGTCGCCGAGATGGTTGTCGTCTATCAATTGGTGGGAAAGATACAATACCTTTTTAGGTGGTGGTGCAGCAATGCGGCTCGCTCTGTCGAGCGTACCAAAGCCACGGGAAAGACGCGCGAGTGCAAGTCGGCCCCCTCTAGTAAAAACATCTAGGGGCGATCTGCCGGTTTCTCTGGCAACCGCCCCTTCGCCCATTGTTTTTCCCTCTGCCCCCACCTCCCCCACTAATAAGCCACACACCACCAACATGGACCGAGTGGGGCCAGTGGGGCCAGTGCGGCCAGCCTGGTAAGCCACACAAAACAGCCACACACATCTTTTCAATTAACGCGGTCAGGCGCGTCTTTCCCGCGTCGTCTGCGAGCGGGTGCATTGGGAAGCCACAGTGGAGCAGTGACTTTCCGGCCCAGCAACCAGCGGCCAGTGCCACTTTAGCGGTAATATGAACCACATCTCGGAATCACCGCACGGTGATACGGCGAAGGCCTCTTGATCTTTCCGCCGTCCAGCCCTTCTCAGGTCCACCCTTTTCTTGAAGCTATTGGCAATCGTGTCCAGTCACTGTTCATGCTCTTTAAATCGCGATACCGGCAGTACCATGAAATCAAGGGAGTGTCGCCGCTGAGTTCGAACGAAATATGGAGGGACACCACATGGACGTCGACGCCTGGAGGCACGTTCGCCTGGGCGATGAGCCAATTTACTGCGCTGCCCCGTCGCCTCCGAATCCCCGCGACCTTATCTGCGCCGGGTCAGACGATGAACTCGACGATGCTGCGAAGCTTGCCAAAAGAACGAGGTACGAAGAGCAGGGACTTCGTTATTTACGCGGCATGCCGCTGCGAATCATGTCCGCATCTCTACGAGGTCCCTTTGACCAGACTTCGGGCTGGCAGAACCCTTGGCTTCCGAAGCTTTCCTCGATTGCCGTACCTCCTATTGCCGCTCGGCCTCAATCGAAACATCTCCCCGCAATTGAACCGGCCCTCTACAAAGAAATCGCCAGTGTTCCCGAAGTGGAGGATGGCACTACGCCGGGGCATGATAACTCCATGTTATGTCACTTGCCCAGTCCTCAAAGCCATCGCGAACTTGAACTCGACAGCAATATCCTAGATGCGGAGAAGAGGGTACAAATAGAGGCCTGGGCAGACAGTTTGCCAGCAGGCACATTGGGAAGGGACGAGTTCTGGGTTCCAGACCAAGACCTCGTTGAACAAGAGGGTGGACTGAGCAGAAAGCGTCCTGCTGGAGATGATTGGTTGAAGAAGAAGGCTTCGAAGCGCAGTAGGCCAAACAACTCTCAGAGTACAGGAGCAGCTTCGACTCCCACGCCGTTGCCAGCGATGCAACCATCTTCGGGGAGTGTGTCCGCAGTTGGCAAGAGCACGCATAATAAGGAGAAAGCGTCCATACTCGCCAAGAAGGCGGCAAGCCGCAGTTTCGAAATGACCACACCGTCGTCTAGTGCTGACCATGGGCGTAAGGAACCTGTGCGCAGAGTACTAGAGGCGTCGGCGAGAGGCGACACCACAGTGTCAGATGACGATAACAACGAAATCGACGTGCCTCAAGTCAACGAGAATGCCGTCTCAGGTGCGCCCAGCTCGACTACCAGCGCAACAGCAGATCCATCTCTTCACACTGTGTTCGAGGAGACCCCTGGGTGGTCGACTGTGGATGACTCGACTGTGCCGAAGAAACAAGGATACGCACGAAATGCCGATGAACAAACTGTTGTAGAGAATGTACTCGAACAGCAACCAATGGACCGGCAAGCTGAACAATATCAAGAGGAGGAGGGTGATACCAATTTTGAAAGTTGTGCAGACCAAAGTTTCCAGTACCGAGCTCGGCTACCAAAGCAAAGCACTCCTCCACCGGCTGCTGAAAATTCGAGCCCTTCTCAGACAGGAATACCTGAGGCGACACCGCACACTAATGCGGTCCACGTTCCTTCAGCACCAGACTCGGAAGAGCGAACACTCATAGAAAGGGTAGAAGATGCTTCCGAGACACACATCTCCGTTAACGGGATGCTTTCTGGCAAATCAGAGAACTCCAAGTCTATCGGTAACGCCGATATTGCTCAATCAGGTCTCGCAAATATGAAGTCTTCTGACGATCAAATGGAGTCGATCAAACCCACTAATCCAGTACAGGCGGATGAAGCCACTGCTTCCGCCTTGTCCGTCAACACTATAGAAACTGCAAGCGGAAATACGTCACCACCCAATGTGAGCGAGGCCGAACATCACGTTCCAGTACCACAAACCGTACATGAAGTCAAGATGGGGAGATCGACTTTCTCAGCAGGTTCCGATCCAGTACCACAGACCATACAGGAAGTCAAGATGGGCCATGGACCAAACTCTTCAGTACCCCAGACTGTACATGAAGTCAAGGTGGGCCATGGACAGACTTTCTCAGCAGGTTCGGACTTAGTATTCGACGAGGGATCGACCTTGATAGGGGACCCAATGGACGTCGACCAACCTGGAGGAGATGGGACACATAACCCCCCAATGGTCCTTTATGCAATCAAGAGCCCGAATGGTGCCAAGTCGCACGCTAGGATAGCAGCTGATGCGCTCGACATGATAGAGAACATGAACCCTACTGAGGCATCAAAGGGCGAAGCCAACTGCATGGTTGACCCGGCCGTCGTGCCTCGGTCGCAGTCAAAGTCGAGTGATGCCCAGCCTGTCAACATGTCGTCGCTAGTCTCGGCAGGTACTAGCGAGGCCAAGAAGAGTATACCAGTCATTGGAGTTAAGGAAGTCTTCGAAGGAGATGGCGAGGGAGAACAGATTCAACCTAGTCCATCAGAGCCTATGCAAGCCGTAGGGCGGAAGAGCCCTTGGGGCTCGTTTGTCCTTGCGGATACCTATTTAGAGATTGACGACGTCAAGCCGGATCCAAAAGAGGAAGACCGAGGCTCAAGCTTGCGTAGCCCAACACATATCAACGTGTTAAGCTCTCCGGTGGGGAGCCCTGGCTCTCCAAATATTCGGCCATCGCAACAAAGTCCGTGGGCTGAAGGAACAGTAGCTCCAGTGACGGTGGCTATACAACAGCAGGGTACGGTTGTCGTGGCTGAGACTGCTACGGCAACGCTAGAGTTTGCCTCACCTGGGTCTGACGCGCAGAGTCCCTGGAACGAATCAAACGAGCACAGTCTCTTCTCCCGGGATTCACTCTTGCCTAGTCTACCAGGCTACAAGATAACTCCCCAACGTCTACAACTTCAACGCGTTCCGACAGCTCTGGGCCCTCAACAAAGAGCTTTGGGGATGATGGACATCTCACCTTCTACGCCCATGGAACATGGATCCCGACAGTCTACTCCTGATCCCGAGATTTCGATCAAATCCTTCGCCAAATTCAACACTCCATCATCTCCGCGACGACAGCAACGGCCAACCTACCGGTTCTCGTCCACTGGTCAACGTCGGGGCATCCTAACTGGTGCCACGCCCTCCAACCCATGGAGCAATACACGGTCGAACCGACGTGTCTCATTCGCACCTCTACCCGACGAGGAAGATGATGCCGTTGCACTTCCACCATCCAGAGTCACTAGAGCTGCTTCTCCTCCACCGCCAACGAGTGTACGGACAATCGATGAAGATGTAGATGGGAAATTCAGGAATCACTTTAACGCAGTCGACCGCCGTGCCATCGGAGAAGATATGCCACGGTTCCGTCTGCAACCACGTCTGCTCCCAAGCTCTTCGCAGCAGAGGGCTGTTAGTCCTGCCATTGATGCCATGGCTGAGGCCTTCCGAGCAGCGGATGCACGGCAGGATATCCGGTCAGAGTCCAAGGCGGAAGTCGCTGCACCTCTGGTGGACGTTGCTGCACCTATGGCGGAGGTGACGAGTGATGCGCCTCAGTCACCTTGGCAGGATCACAGCGAAGTGGTAGACGATGTCGCCGACGTGATGGGGAACCTGGATTCGTTTCTCGATGCGTGGGATGTCGATGTCGAGATGGACAAGGCTCGAGAGGAAGCCAAGGAGGACGAGGACCGCCGGAGACGCTCGGCTAATGAGATGGACACTTTACATGGGATGGGCATCTTGGGCTGAAGTTGTTGATGGCGCATGGTCGAGTAGTAGCTATTGATACCCGTATTTGTTTTCGCTCGGCATATCTATGGCGTCGGCGGCGCTGGCCATGGGTCATGATGAATCTGGAGCGTACTGTGCTTCGTATGGCATATCAGCTGTATACCTACCTAGCTTAAGGCTGTGTTTTCACCACACAGGGGATATTATGATATGATTACTGTCCGTGAGCTGCTCATTGTGTTCTCATCATGCTGTCGCGTTGGCTCAGGTTTGCGAGCTGTACGATGGAATGGGCACTGGTGAACACTGGTACACTGACGATGGCTCGGACCTCTACAAGCGCTGTTGTAGGTGGTCGATGTTTGGTTCAACACACGGTACCTATATAGGGAACTGGAGCAGTGTGACCGGGCAGCCATCACCTGCTCAATAGCCGTGTGAGGATTCAGCCCGTTGTGAATGAATTCACACGTCACAATAAGGGAGATATTAGTGATCAGGGCACATATGGTCTGTTTAGAGCTCGAAAAGGAGTGTATTACGCGCGCGTGTGTATATGTGTGTATTCTAAGGGAAGTTGGTGGTAGTGGGAGCAGGCTATCTATATATGGCCAAATGGCCGAATGGGGCTGGTCTGGCAACCCTGAACTCAGGTGTGCCTGTCCCCGCGTGTTCCAAATTCTAAATCTCGTTGGCTGGGGATATGACCTGAGGGGCGCAGGTGTCTGGGGAGCTCTTGACTCTTAATTATCCAAACGTAGTCTTAAACCTGTCATCATCCTCCTTAAACTCGTCATCGTCAGATGTGTACACCGACGCCTCAAAGTCGACAATCCACACGTTGTCGCCCCTGACCAGGAAATTGTCCGTCTTGAAGTCCTTCCCCAGGGAGACCTGCGCGTCATGCAATTTTTTCAGCTTAGCCCGACACTTGCGCTTGTCCGACCTCCTATCGGCCTCGTGCGCGCCCTGGATGAACTCGGTCAAGAAGCCGACCACCTTGCCGCGGTCGTCGGTCACGAGCGCGGCGAACCTGGGGGCGATTCCCTCGCCATCGATCACCTTGTAGATATCGACCTCGTTCTCCAGGAAATGCTCCTGGCGGAACACCTTCAGCAGTAACGGGCCTCTATTAGAGAACTAGAGTCAGCAATTGCTCCTTTCGGACACTTTAAGGAGAAGCAAGAAGCCGAGATGCGCGTCTTGGGAGCGAGGGCTTCCGAGACAGCCTATAAGAGGGAATTGGCTCTCAAGACATAACCGTAAGGGGTAATGAAAGACTCTGAAATTTACTGACCTGCCGTTGATTTGCGCCTGGTACACCTCGGCTTTCTTCGTGTCCACGTCGTTAGAGTCGTAGTCATCGTCGGAGTCCTCGGGGTCTGGGCCCCGGAGCTGGGTCTGTTTCGTGATGGTGCTTACTTTGATTTTCGGCTTGTCGCTCCAATCTACCGCTCGCGCTGATAGTTCTCTTGCTTGACTGCCTGTCTTGGACACAGCTCGGCCCTAAGAGAAACGTCAGTGATGAGTCTCCCAATATCCTATACCGAAATGATTGATTGATTGATTGTATTTATCGTGGGTACAGTCCCTCAACAGGGCAAACCACGCCTCCCAGAGCCATTGCATCGCAAGGTTGTAGAGGTGTCAGTCTAGATACATTCAGATCCGCGCACGAGCCTATCCTCGTTGTAGCGGTACCAATTTGGAGTGTCCAGATGGTTTTAGTCAATACCCAAGCACGATTCTGTCAGAAAAACCTCCTGTCCAGTGACAAAATGACCCAGTGAACCTCAGTCCTCTGGTGTACACATTGTTCCAGTAGCCGTTCGATATATGTCGCATTGGTGGGTAAAATAGGTGTTTGTTATCTACTGGCGAGGGAAACCACAAGGGGAAAAACCTCGCAGGAGTGGGTGTTATAGAGACAAGCTGCTTGGCTACCGGGCTCTGCGATAATGGGGCCTCTCCACTGTCGTGTGCTGGTTGTCGACTCGCACAAGCCGGGTCAGAAGGAGGCCATAGCAGGATTCAAACCCACTTGTTCTCGTCGCCCACCGCACAAACGAGAACACAACCAGGCGCATTTGACCATTGCGCCATACGGCCTCGGTGGGTTAGCAGGTGACTTTCTCCAGTCTTCGGCGATGTATTGTTTTACTAACTATTCATATTAGAAGAACATATCGGTATGGACGCTATTCCAGCATGGGGGAGAAACCCTGATGAAGTCCGGCATTACTTGGCATTCACTCAAGCATTGAGCTCCGAGACTAGGCTGGCGAACAATGGATCCGATGGGAGTCTTTATTTGAACCGATTATCGACGTCGCTAGAGGCCTGGATAGACTTTGTCGAACAATACTTTCAATTGGTCTACTAGGGGACCCAGGTCGTGTGGTGGATCTCTTTCGCTACGCGTGAATATTACGCTATATGCAGTTACTTGATAGCTGTTTGGTTCTTGCTTGTCTTAATCTGGGTATATTGGCCTTCAAGAGCCGCGTCGTGGTCGTTACTAAGCGTCTTCCCGCAGCGCGGATATCGTGTGTGGACTCATACCTCCTTCGCCAATTTGACCAGCATGTCGCAAGCCAGTTCCGCCACAAGGCCCGGGTCATCCCTCTGCACGAAGTGTCCGCAATTCTTGGCAATGAGAGGTCCCACCGCTCGATCGGGACTCGTGATCTTCATCAGGCCCTCATTGTAGCGATGCCACGTGGGATTCATGTAGTTCATAGACATTGCCAACGGTGTCGCCATTGGGCTCTTCAAGCTCTCCTGCGCAAACCAGCCCGGATCGTGCCCAACAACCGTCACCAGAGGCGATCTGCCAGCATATCCCCGTTCAGACAACACAGGCTGATCCGCCTCCGGCAGCAGGGCTGGCAGGTTGCGCCGGTCCATGCCCTCGGGGTTCCGCACGCTGGGGTGGAACACGGCGCGGAACTTGTCGCGCGTCTCGCGCAGCATCTCGGGCGTCACGTCCGACGGCAGCGAGCCGGCGTCAAAGTCTGCGCTGTCGGGGTCGGGGAAGATACTGACGAAGTCCGTGTTGGCCATCATACTATCGAGCAGCAGCATGCCGGCCACGGTTCCGGGGTACTCCTGGGCGTAGAGACGCGCGATGGCGCAGCCGATGGAGTTGGCGACGAGCAGGAGCCGCTTGGGCTTAGGCCCATTGCGCGTGACCTGAGCGACGAGCTGGTGCAGGTCGCGCACCACGTCCAGCACGTCGTGGCCGTACCCGGGCTCCTTCCCCTCATCGTGGGGATCGCGGTCGATGGTCTTGCCCTGGCCGTAGCGGTCGTAGGCTAGCACTTGCGGGTGCGACGGGGCGCTGTCGCCGCGCTGGCTGAGTTTCAAGTGGCGGAGCATGAGTGACATGACGGGCAGCCAGAAGGACTGTGGAGCGACTAGCCCGTTGAGGAACACGACGAGCACGTCTGAGTACCCTGAATCGCCAGAGCTGGGGACTTGTGAGCATTGCAGGGCCGCTTCATGTTTGGTGTCGAGACGGATCGAGTCGAAGGTGATGGATGGCGGCAAGGCGATTGCGGCCTGTGGCGGTGCATTGGCCATTTTTGAAGTTGAGACTTGTTGGGGAGAGCCTTTTCCAAATACAATTAAACGTATATTACTTGATTGATTTGTGCAATATCGTGATATATTTTCTAGTTTGAATCGCAGAAGTGAGACGTTGATGGGACTCGAGGTCAGCTCCGTCCATCGGATGTCAGCTTCGTGTGCTGGTGATGATGGTGTGGCGTAGCAGCAGTCTCTGTGGCTGAAGGCTGAAAATGGGGACCTCAGCACAAACTCCCCCCTTTCCACTTGCTGGTCCTATTACCGAAAGCTTGGAACGGAGTCCTCAGGGAAAGTAAAACCACATGGAAGTATAGTGGAGGCGACAACAAAGGTATCGGGCTCACTAGAAGGAGACAATGATGTGGGATAAATCGCCTCGCTGCTTCAGGCCGTGCGACATGCACCACTCGTTTTGCCTAGGGAACCCGTTCCCCAGGCCTGCCTAGTAAACAGACATGGAATACAAGAGCTTCGTTCATGTTTCCATATGAATGCTCTCTAGCTCATCTGCATGACTCTTCTCCCAAGGGTGGAGTGTTTCCACCTCGCGTATCAACTTCTCATGCTTTGCACTCCTGGACTTGATGTTTGTCTTGAACGGCAGCGGATGGCTGATGGTTCCGGGCGTAAACCTTACGACTGGTTCAATTTTCTCACCAGCATCATTCGACCCTTTGGTGATGTCGAATACAGCCAGAGACCGTGCCACAGTCAGCCAGACGGACGAGTCTGCAAGCAACTTGCCGGGACAGATTCTGCGCCCAAACCCAAAGACAAAGTTGAATGGGTCAGGGGCTGGTTCAGATCCCAGGAATCTCTCAGGGTCAAAGGTCGTTGGGTGGGAGTATACATCGGGGTCGTGAGTAAACCACCTAGCATATATCGTCAGACTGGGTTATGTAGGGTAGGTAGGTCAGCGACTTGATGAGCATCCCGGGCACTGACCAGATATTCTGAATGAATAAGGCTCCTTTAGGTATAAGGTACCCCTCGTATGTGTCGTCTGCGGTAGTAACATGGGGCAGTCCCATCGGCGCGATCGGATGCCAGCGAAACGTCTCTTTGACAACCGCCTCAATGTACGGTAGGCGATTGCGGTCATCGAAGTTCGGGAGACGGTCCGTTCCGATGACCCGATCGATCTCCCCTTGCGCACGAATTTGTACTTCTGGGTGAAGCGTCATGGCTAGGAAGAATGAAGACATCGTGCTCACCGACTGCGTGGTATGTTAGCCCAGTCCTCATCAGTTTTGAATTACTGCGAGAGGAGACGTTGGATACGTCCGTTTACTCACTGTATCAGCTCCGCCTGCGTACAACGTTGCGGCGGTCCATTTAATCGTATACTCGTCTCGGGTCCCTGCGTCGCCACTAGGTTTGTCGTAGAGTGAGGAGACGTAGGATGGTTCATAATGCCCTCCAGACAACTGCTTCCGGACAAACCGCATCGGCTTCTCGGCGAATTGCTCCAGCGTTGCTCGCCACTCTTTTGCTGTAGTCTTGAAACCGGTTCCGGGCATCCAATCCGGTAGATACCGTACTTTGGCAGATTAGTACTCAAGCTGCTACACGAGCACAAATGTGCTGGTTAATGGCATGTCTTACGAGCTGGAATCGAATCCACGAGCCACGCTCCTGGTACCACCGCCTCCGAGAATTGCCTTATAGCTCTATCAGCGGTATCGACCAGCGGGTCCTCCCTGTGCGTCTCGACTGTGTAGCCGTAGGCTATTTTCAAGATAATCGCACCCGCTTCGCTGTCGAGCAGTTCAGCAAGTGACCGGGGCACAAGGGGACATCCTAATCTTACGTTCTAACATGTTTGATGAGGTCTGACGGCGTCTCAAGAACGCGGAATAAGAACCGGTGCACCTCTATCTCTTGTAACGGCAGGAACCGCGAGAGAGATGCCCTGGTCCCGAGGACTGAATGCATCGACTTCCGATGGTTGCGCAGCCTGTCGCCGTAGGCTAGGGGACCGGTGGTCTGATTCCAACCACACCTGCCATTCGCATCAGAGACTCTCTGCCAAACTGCGGCGCATGCAAGTATCGCCACCCAGAAGGATGAACTGCCAGAGAGTGGAAATGCTCATCTTACATGTCACCACCAAAGACAGATTGCGGCCGCGAGGAGTAGATCGGGGAACGTTTCTCTAGGAGTTCGCCAGTGGCTTGAGCTGAGTTCAGGATCACAATAGTGGTCCCCAGCAATGAGACAGAGCTGATGGGACCTGGGTTAGTTAGTGAGCCAGCCTCCAATTTTGGCAAAGTGATCCTAGCCCCTGGGGATGGAAACTCTTACCATATAGATCCTTGTGCTTCAACCAGTGTTCCCACTCCCGGACACCTGGAGGAGGCAGATCATTCAGATTGCCCACAATGGGCCAACCCTTGGGGCCAGGCGGTAGCGGGAGTTTCGGCTTCCTCTTCGAGATGAGAAGCCTCGCTGTCCCAAGGAGTACAGCTCCTAAGACGAGGGCGGTTACGAAGATGCTGGTTTCGGCCATGGCTTCTGTCACGGTACAAGCACGGAGTATGGGACGAACAACGAACGTCTTTTTGATGAAGATGAGGGAAGTGGTCATTGTACAGAAACATGTTGCCTCCGAGAGATAGTAGAGAGTGGAAGACCGACGTGGATGTCACCACCCCAGATTCGACCTGCCGAGATGATTAGTCCGCTTGCCAAACTCCATTGGCACAGGGTTGTATATGCCGATCTACGTGCTGACGATTCCGGACGGTCCGGACCCCTACTTACCATCCAGCGAATTAGAGCGTATGGGGTAGAGAAGGCGGGGAAGCAACGAAGAGCTGACTGGATTCGACCTGTTGCCCTATACAAGTGTATTGTCTTATGCCGTGCCACCTGGGGTAACGTTATGTCTGGTCCATCACTGACACACTAAAAGCTTAACGAGACGCGGCTCGACCAATCCCGATCTCTCGATAGGGTCGCTCGTGTCGCGAGGCATCCGACGTGGATTAGGTATCTTACCAATCGCACTCATTGAGCTGGGCAGAAGGGGTGCAAGCTTCTTATAGTCGTAAATGGCCGTGTCGCGTGCTGTAAATGCACGTGGGTCAGTATCTAGGTAGGAACTTCAACAGCATGTGAGCTGCAGAGTAGGTCGGTATGGAGCTGTTACCAACCTTGGTCGCAGTCCGAATATGCATACATTGATACAATTGAACAACCGGTACGTAGAGTCATTGGGGGGTATTCTTGATTTCTCCGTCTAAATGGGTTCCAATTTTCCACTTTGTCGCTGGAATCAAGGACAACAGGACATAAAAGCTCAAGCCAATGCTGGCATTTCTAGGCCGGTGTACTCATTGAGCGTCAACGAATCCCTGAAGATCTCTTCAAGCTTCTGTACCAGTTCATCCGTATCTATCCCGCAGTGCGCGGCTTCGATGTGGTCAGACACATCCTCGATCCCTTCTCTGAGCTCAAACATCCATCTGACCGAAAGCGGATGAACCGAGTCAATCTCTGACTTGGGGTTTCCCTGCGGCAATGAAGTCGTGGGTATGACCCATCCGTCTGAGCCGACCTGGTATGATCCCGGGCCGCAGTGTACCAGATCGCTGTTCGAAACCTGTATGCCCACAAGGCCCGCCACCATTCGGAGCCTAAATATTGCCCCTGACCTGTCCATCCTGACCGGCACAGACACGAAGAGATTCGGCACGATTCCCACCTCGGCACGATGATATGCCATGCCTTCGAGCTCGCAGGACGGGTCGTTCCAGCCGAGCACTTCGATCTCGACCGGTCCTTGCGGTCGCGTGTAGACACAGCTGCCATCCGCCTGCGTGATACAGTATAAGCTGATCCTCCCGGACAAGTAGAATGGGCCGGAACCGCGTTTGAGCTGAGCGAGTTTCGTCCACAGGTCGACGATGACTTTCGGGTCAGTCAGACTGTCGAAGGAATGGATGAAGTCGTCGAGCATCAGCCTCATGAGCGAAGTGAAATTGTCAATGTCGTGACCTGATTGGCCTACTGTGTCAACATGTCCGGTGATTCTCGACCATTGGGGTGCACCCCCAGGGGTGGTAGCCGAAATGGCAGTAGCGTCGGTCGCCATAGTATAATAGATGATGTACGGTGGCCGACCGACGAGGGTGTTATTGCTGTTTTGGTGGAAGTAAACCTAGTGTTCCCCCCTTCGTATGCTGGGCCAACACAAGAATGGTCAGAGGATTAGGTACAACGAAGATTAGATAGTGGAAGCGTTCTCTCGAAACATACTTATACTGCCGACATGCTGGAAAATTGTTGATGTCCATGACATAATGCTGTCTTTTGCATCCCGGCATGGAATCCACAAGGAGCTCATTGGGAGTCGCGACAGGATCCTGCGTATGCATATGTGCTTGCATCAAGCAACGCGATCTGTACACGTTCCATGTATAGGCGAGGAACAAGACCATCAAATCAAGCATTCCATAAGAATATCTTTGAGCATGCAGGTGAGAACGTCTTCCGGTGGTCGCCTTATCATCCATAAATCGTACGTTTGAACAGGGTCCCTGACAGCAACACGATCTCCACATCTCCCGCCGGCTCTCCGTGATTGGCTGGAAAGTGGGACTCTGCCGGAGCTGAACCTCCTACGCTGGGCCGGAGGGAGGATTCTTGCAAAAAGCAGGGCATCATCCTCTCCGGATCTTGTCTTTTTGACTCGATTCCTTTCGTAGATCTAAGCCAAAATCACGATCCGGATCTTTGCTACAACGGCCCGTCTGGGGGGCCGAGTCGCAGCGGCCGACTCGACGTCGAATCTCGTACGACGGAAACAGGGAAGAAAGGGAAGCATGAAAACGGCTGGCACGGAACCGGATGCCCAGATAGCCCACAGTAGTGTCTTGTTGACAGCAGCTTGACGCTTCACCGCGTCACTGGCTTGGCATCAGACCCTCACCCCTTATTTTTCCTGTAAAGGAACGCAGCATTAAATCTAGCACCGTAACACCTGTGTCGGCAGGGTTTCCCAGGTCCCCAAATGGACTTGAGTGAACTGGCAGCCATGTTATATGGAGCGGGCTGAAACCTACAAGCTGCGAGTGTTTCTACGGCGTAAAGTCAAGCAGAGTTCGAGGCGACCAATAAGAAAGGGGCTCAGGGCGACCCACTGAGTTCCATAGCCATCAACCCTTTATAGCACCATTCCAAGGTTTGAGGGTCTCGGATCCTTCAATTTGCAACGACGTTGACACCGAACAAAGAGTATAGACTCCCTCAATCCAATCATGATACAGCAAGGAAGTAGAGGCTCAGGTTGAATCACGTACCATATAAGGGGACCAATGCAAACAGATGTTGAACCAATTACACTCCATTTTCCTCGTAACGGTATAATTGTTCGGAAACTGCTCGTTTAGCTCGGTGGCATCGTAAGTAGTTGCCCCGACCAGTACTAGATGCCCCCTTTCAAAATGCGGCACTCCGCTGAAAGGAATCGGTGGCCATCAAGCAGCTGTCTCGAACTGAACCTATGCAGAACGTGTCGAAACCACAAGATTAGTACATCCGTACAAGCCCATACTGATGCGTACGGAGCGCTGCGGGATTACCGCCCGACGTCACATGTGAGATGACAGCTAGCAGTTGAGGTCTCTCTGCATGCTATTACAGTACGTGTGCGTGGGCATCGGCGTTGGATTGTATCATTCATACCCGGTCAAGTAAACCAGACAATGAGCTGGGCAAGGAGATTGCTGCTAAGGAGACGATGGCACTGCCTGAAAGGAAATAACGTCAGTCCTTAGAGCGTTGAAGGGTGAGTCTATGGACGTTTCTCGTGATGATCAAAGGTCCATCCATACCATCCAGCATGCCGACATTGCCTTCTCTAGGGAAGATGTATCTCCTATAATACGATGTTCCATACCATGAACCAAACCTGTGGGAGGAAGGGAGAGCCCCTACCTACCTACCTCGAAGCTTTTTGGTGCCAGTGAAGTAAGACTGGAGCAACGCCAACCGAAAGCTGAAGAAGACCCTTTCTTCGACAAGAGAACGAAATCAAGCCGCAAAGATCCACGCAGGTCATTACACAACGATTGGAGGGTGGTCTGCCTCGCTAGGAAGTTAGGTGCATCACGTTTCTAGCTCAGGTATTGGTTCCAAATAAACCCAAGATTGCACTGCGTGTCCAGGTAAAACCCATAAGCCCACAGTATCCCCGGAGCCCATGCAATGTGACAAAGTGATTCAAGTTTATGATTGACGCAGGTATGAGTGCGTGAGATCAGCTAACTCCCAAATACCCTTGATTAGAGTTCTGCTAGATGGACGCCGTCTCTCGAAGGGGCACGAACATCTACCAGGTACGCTCTTTTCTCGAGCCTCCCAAATTGTCCATAGCATCCCGCCACTACAATTCTGACTCCCTCGTCAACGCCTAGATAAACTAACCTTGACCTACCCCCTCCGATTTGTCTGTACCAACGCCTCAAGAGCGACACATACGCTGTCGATTGTATCGTATCCGGTCTGAGCTGGCTGCGTACTCGCCTTTCATATGATCATGACTAACTTCGCTGTTCTGATCTTGGAAGAGGGGCTTGCCGTTGGTGATCATCACTTTGCGCCTGCTTACCAACCAAGATGCTGCTTCGCTCTCAGGAAGCGCTTGAAGACGATCCCTCGGTCGGTGGGGCGAATGGGAGGCTTAACGGCGCAACCAGCATGGATGTGAACACCAAATCCCCGGTGGGTGAGATGCCACCGCAGTACTCGAGAGAGCCAAGCTAATTTTTGCTGGCTCTAGTTAAGACGACCCTTCAGCATTGAGATCAATGCCGATGTGCCCTTACTCAGCTTTCGTGTCGAGCAAAGGGCGTGCTTATTCATCCATCCAGCAGTACAACCTCCTTCAAACCCCGAGTACACTCGGGCTTGGGCAAAGGCGTGGTGGCAAAAAGATGATCAATATAAGATTGGCCAGATCTAAGGCTCGATACTGACCAGAGCTACCAACAGTATAGACACGCGTGCTCGCTCATTCCATCCTCTACGAAACCACTTTGCACAATAATCACTCGCTGACATACTGTACAGACAGGCTACTCCAACCCATCTCAACAACAATACCACCTCCTTTGGCAATGGCTCCTTTCGCGAGACTCCCCGCAGGAGTACAGACAGAGCCGACACCATTCCGCGTGTCGACTGCCAAGGACAAGATCCACGAACTCCATGAGATACTAAAAGTATCCAAAGTCGGCAAAGCCACATACGAAAATGAACAACAAGAACGAGACTACGGTGTTACGCGAGAATGGCTTGCGAATGCAAAGACCCAATGGGAGGTTTTCGACTGGTAAGCTGTCCGATCGAGACACCCCGTACAGCACAGGATGCTAACCCTAGTCAAATAAAGGCAAAAGATCGAAGATGACATCAGCATGTTCCCCAACTACACGACGAAAGTTGAGGAGCGTGGCGATACCTTCGACATCCACTTCGTCGGGCTGTTTTCCGAGCGCGCAGACGCGGTGCCCCTCATCATGCTCCACGGCTGGCCAGGCAGCTTCCTCGAGTTCCTGCCGATCCTCCGTCTCCTCAAGGCAAAGTACACGCCCCAGACGCTACCATACCACGTCGTCGTGCCCTCGCTTCCCGGCTATGCGTACTCGTCGCCACCGCCGCTGAACCGTGACTTCCGCCTAGAGAACTGCGCCGCGATCATGGACAGCCTAATGGCCAGCCTAGGCTTCAGCAACCCCGGCTACATCGTCCAAGGCGGCGACGTAGGCAGCAAAGTCGCGCGCGTAATGGGCGCCCTATACCCCCGCGCCAAAGCCATCCACGTGAACTTCTGCATCATGCCCGACCCAGGAAACGTCCCCGAAACAGCCCTCGCCGAACCGGAGAAGAAGGGCTTGATCCGCGCGGCCGACTTCCACCGCCTCGGCAGCGCCTACGCTCTCGAACACGCGACCAAACCCAGCACCATCGGGCTCGTCCTGGCGGCCAGCCCGCTCGCGCTGCTCGCTTGGATCGGCGAGAAGTTCCTCGCGTGGACAGACGAGGACCCGGACCTCGACACGGTGCTGGAGGCCGTGACGCTGTACTGGGTCACCGAGTGCGCCGCCACGTCCCTCTGGCCGTACCGCCAGTTGTTCACGCCGGGCGTGGTGGGCGCGCATGAGAACCCGGCGTGGCATCTCCACAGGCCGTTTGGGTACTCGTGGTTTCCCAGGGAGATCGCGCCGGTGCCGCGGGCGTGGGCGGCGACGACGGGGGATTTGGTGTTCTTCCGCCGGCATGAGAGGGGCGGCCATTTCGCTGCGCTGGAGCGGCCGGGGGTTTTGCTAAGGGATGTGGAGGAGTTTGTTGCTCAGGTCTGGCCTACGGTCTGAGTACACATGACGAGTCACACGTGAACTTTTTGTGACCATGGTTGTTTGGGGTTTTGCAGCACTTACTAGGTAGGTAGGAATGTATTGGCTTCGGATTTAGCCATGGCCTGAAAGCAGGGGTTGGTCCTTCGGGGCAGAAAGCAGTGTAGATATCACATGCTTCAAAGCGCTGATGGATTTGAGGGAATGTGCTTACGGGATTAATTTTCGTATGATTGTCACTATTTTAGGCTAAAGAAACCGAAACGAGTGACGACCCAACACATTCTGTCTCATTGCACTTCGACTTCAACCCATGTACATTTCACTAGCCGCCGCTAGACCACCAGACAGAACCGTCCAAAGAGCGGCTGATTCCATTTGCTCGAGCTTGTTGTTGTTGCGTGCGGTTGCCGTGTGTCGGTTTGAGACGCTTAGAGACCGACGGGAGTCTCGCAGAGGACGGACTGGCCGAGCTGTGATTACGGCTGTGTTAGTCTCTGATACCTTCCCGAAGAGACAGTAGTGACAAAAACTTACAACGGGCAGGATGCAGCAGCGAGCGATCTGGCCACCGGCGGCGCAGATGGCCTCGAAGTTTTCGGGGCTGGTAGGGACGGCGGAGGCTGGAGCACGAAAGCCATATTAGCAAGCTACCCCGACCATGGAACTCCGGGTATCGGGGTATGTATGACTTACGAGTGCCGCAGTCAAGGTCAGCGACTCCGAGGACGTCGGTGGCGCAGCACTGGAGCGAGGAGTAGAGAAGACCGGTGCAGGCTGCGTACGGGCCGCCAGAGGGAACGGGGGGAGCGGCCACGGTAGCGTCGCGGCGGGTCTTGTCGACGACGGGGACGGGGACACCGGGCCGGGCGGGCTTGGCCAGGACGGCGGTGGCCAGGACGGCGACGAGAACAGCGGTAATCTGCATCTTGATGTTTTGGGTTGTTGGAACTTGGGAGAGTTCGTTGAGTGAGTGTGCAAGGACTCGAAGTGAAGGGCTAGAGCTCGAAAGACTGTTCTGTTCTGCTGTGATGGCTGATGGAGAGATCGCCAGGAACGGAAGGGGGGAATAGACTACATATTTATACTTGGAAGTCACATGTATGCATCGCGATCGTCAGGGGTTTCCGAGGAGCTGGCTGGGGCGAGGACAACACCGCGTCAAGGTGCCGTCGCGTTCATGAGAGTGGCCTCACTATGCCGCGATGCAACGCACCGATACCACCGTCGAGGGGCTAGGCTAGTTGCCCACCATGACTCTGGGTTGTGCTTTTTGGTTTAACGGAAGATTAGTTCTTCGACCTGTCTCGCCCCGACTTGGGAAAGAGATCGTCGATAAAGCTATTCTCCAGCTGGGGTTGACAGCTCAACTGTACGATGCCCGGGGCAGGGCAACCCAATAGAGTGACAATGAACTCAATAAGGGAAAGGATCAGCAGGAGAAAACTTGTTTAGGGTCAAGCTGTCGACCCTTCAAGAATCTTCAAGCGGCTGAAGGCAGGAGGCCATCCGTTAGCTGCTGGCATGTCGACCGAGGACATGTTGCTAGCCGCCGGATCTCATGTTTTTCAGACTGGATTGGGTCAGCTAATCGTTGGCATGACGTCGAAGGCTGTTATTTCTCCCACTATCTTCCACTCTCCCTCACGTCCCACTGACCAGTTCTTCAGATTCTGTGGTAGCAGACATTGCTATAACCCGGGGTACGGTACCGACTCACCTCCTCGCCAGGGCCTGAACAGTGTGAACAGCGGCTGTTCGTGACGGTCGTCCTTATAGGCCGCCACCATGCAGCCCTCGCAATTGGCACGCCCTGCTGGAACCGACCTTCAGCCAGGGGCCGTCCGTCCAAGCGCGCCCTGTACGGCCTAAGCCGCACGTCTCTGATTTGACAGCCGGTGCAACGTGCCGCCAGATTGCTTAATACGGCAAGTCTAGCAACCACGGGTAGCACTGCATTCTGCCGGTAAGGGTGGGCTTGGCGGACATAGACGGTCGGTTAAATCCTCCAGTGGCAGATCTAGATGGGATGGGACCGATGGGACCTCGGATCGGTCCTGTACCTGATAAACGTGCAACAGGTCTCAGATAGACAGACGAACAGACGGCTGAAGTCGACGTGCAGGAGGGAATCATACGAGCAGCGCCGTCGACTGATCTGGCAATAAGTCCGACCTGTTGTGTGGCTTGGAGTCTGCAGGCGCCTTTGCTTTTGATAGAGCGATAGAGCGAGCCTGCTGCACGCCGACCGTTACGAGGTGTTGAACGTTGGGACTATTCACTTCCCCGCTTCCGTCCTTTCCGGGAAAAACACAGGGGTCGCCGGGCGTTTATGACGACGTTCAACGATTTGGATACCGACCATGCCACCGAGAATGCCCTTGGTCGGTACTGACTCCAGCCAAAATCTCGTATGCTGTGTGTGTTGTGTGCTGTGTGTTGTGTGTTGTCTGCTCTCCACTCTTCACACTATTGTCTGTCTGATATCGGTTCATCGGTCATCCGCTCTATCTCGCATACAAGCTGCTTGACACCCTGGTCCTAATTACCCAGCGCAGCTCTTTAATGACCGGAAACTGACCAACCACATCGGCCGGTGGCTGTCTGCTCACAGTGCTCACCGTGGGCCTTCCTACTACCGGTAGCGAGACGCCGTGTCTTGAAGATACGGTCCGGGGTGAGATCGATGTTGCGGGGACGGAACATTTTAGATCTGCCCAAAGATGTCGGGAGGAATTAAAAACTCCTGGACTCTAAATCGAATGGATTCCTGCCGCCTGGGCGGCTGTCACCGGTGGACGCCTAGGCCCTTGCTGGGGTGGCATCGCGCTCATCTTGACTCCGCTTACTTCCACTTTGGATGGTGTGGGACTATTCGGTGATCCTTCAATCCTTTTCTTCCGGGCGGTGGTAGAGCTAAGGGCGGAGGCCTTCCGACTGGGGCTGGGAAGAGGGACATAGGCTATAGGTCGCCACTGGGCAAGCAGTGACTGGGGGTTTCATTACGCGCGGGAGACGTGTTGCGTCCGTTGAGTCCGCACCTGCAGCGATGCATAAGCTGCATGGGTGACGACTTACTCAGCAGGCGTTACCAGCTGGGTAACGTATCACCCCGAGCACTCTCCCGAGGAACTTCGCAGACTCCGGGAAAAGTGAGAGTTTCTGTGACCGCAACCTCAGCTGACATGTCCTTGGCGATCGAGATATGTTGCCAGAACCGGCCTGCGGGTCATCACAGTAGTTTCCTGCAATCGAGCCTGGGCCAGCCAGGCTGTAGTGATAAGCTTTCGACTGCGCAGTCCCGGCCCTTCTGCCAGGTCAAGCTCGCATGAGGCCGTTTGCTGTTCCGCCCGGTCCCGATCAATGGTTGACAAATTCCCTGACGCTCCTAGAATGCAACCTCGCCAGCCAAGTCTCCGTCATGAACTGGTGAATCTTCTTCCCCCACAGCATGAAGACAAGCAAGGCCAGGTTGTTTGCCAGCAACACGCCCCCAAATATGCCAGACATGACGACCGCGTAGCCGCTTTCCTTCACCCATGTCAGGACCTCCAAGCCGAAGCCAAAACTGATTGCCTGCTTCCCCAGGTTCATCGCGATCAGCATTTCGGACGTGTTCGCGTGGTATGAGTCGACGGCATATGCAAGGGTGAAGGAGAAGTAGAAGTAAGCAGCCCAGTACGACATGGCGCCCCCGATGAAGAAGCAAACCCAGTGCAGGCCCCTTTCGGCGGCCAGACCGTAGAGCACGATGCCTGCCGGCCCTATCAACATTGCAGGCAGCATCACGCCGAGGCGCATCTCGGCCTCTCGGATCCCGTTGTTGCGCTTGGTGAGATAGGCAGCAAGGCGGTCGGAGGACGATGTGAACGGAACAGCCAGCCCGTAGCCTACTAGAGCGGCGATAGCGAAGAGTCCTGAATTGGTCTGCACTTGTGTCAACGTACGGTGTGCCAGGGAGCCCGGCGGAAAAATGCACTTACTACAGACCAGTTGTAGGGTGGCGACACGATCAGGATAGGAAAGGTGTAGGAGTAAGCGAGCGCCAATAGACCAATGTTGATTCCGAAAGAGGCAATCACCCAGAGCGACTGGGGTACGAGAAAGTAGGTGAAGGACCTGACAGCCATGGTGAAGACCGGTACGTCGGGGTCTATTCTCCCCCAGAGGCTGAGTGTCTGGGCGAATGTCTTTCGAGGCGGGGTGGTCACGGTAGATGATGACAAGGTGCCCTGTTCAACCTCCTCTGTGCCAACTTTCTCGCTCTCGTTCGGTGGCGAGGAAGTAACGGTTGCAGAGTTCCGGTCATACGACGTCTCCTCGACGAAAAAGAAGGCTAGTACCAGCAGCGCCATGCCGAAGGCAAACTCGACGTAGAAAAACAGTCTCCAACTGTACCCCCCCCCCGACAGCATGTAGCCCGCAGGCAGAGCGGCAAAGGTGCCGAGACAGAGACAGACTGCGCGTGTTTAGAAAGGGGGGTGGCGCCTGTAGGGTCGCACTTTGTTACCTGTGTAATACCCAATACGTTCACCACGTTCGTGGAGAAAGAAGATGTCATTGACCAACTGAACAGGAAGAGCTTCAAGCGTATGGGTCAACATGTCGTCCTCGAATCCGAACAAGCTTTTCTTCGAAGTGGAACGAATCCGACACAGAGTGGAAAAGGCTCACCTTCACACACGCATGAACCGAAACCGTGTATGACGCGCGCAGCCATAAGTCCATCATACGTGGTGCATCGGGACGCCCCTATCAGTCCTGCGCAGAACTATTACCTGTTCAATCTTCATCTTCCCAACAGGGTTTCGGGCCTGCTTACCGTGACTAGGGACAACAGCATCACCGGCCGTCGACCGATCTTCAGATACAACGGCACGAAAACAAGAGACCCTTCAACACATTAGTATCACGGCCGACACCGCCGTATAGCCACATCTCGCCTACCGAAGCCAAAGGCCAGATTTGGGTACGATATAAGCGCTGAAGCGACGGTCGGCGTGATCGCGAACTCGGCAGCCCATATATCGATGTACGGGGACGGCCCGACGAGGGCCGCGTTGGCGAGGAAGGAGTAGAAGGAGCAGATGATGAGTATCACCGTCTTTTTGAAGTTGGACCACTATCGTCTTGTCAGCGCTTATTGCTTCGAAGGGAGCTCGGACTTCGAACATGAAGGGGGTCGTTTGGATCTTCGGCGGGAACTGGGAAGAGCGCTTGGCCGTAGCCGGTATCGTCGCCCTCTGTGAGTGCCCAGTTTTTAGCTCAGGCTTGAGGTTTCGCCGCCAAGGCCCCCTTTTTCTTCACTTACCGGTCACCTTGAGGTCCACCGTCCCTGGGATCTCTGCTTCGCGCGCATGACTGTGAACAAGACGGTGCTCATCTGGCGCAGCCATTGTTAATCTTCGACTGGGGGTTTCAACAGCGGGAGAGTCTCAAGGAAGTATTGAGTTGGACGGTCGAGCGATGCGAGCGATGCGCTTGGTGATAAAAGGTCGTCGAGTGCCACACTTGTGCCGCCCAGCATGCACTCGTCAGCGATCACTGGCGATCGCGTGCTCATATGTCTTGACGTGATGGAAGCTACTCCTCTCCCGGTCGTATTTCGGAGACCGTGATTTGTGCTTGACTGTGGCATTGATGACGCGGGGAACCTGAGCTCATCTGTGGTTGGCGTCTGGGGGTCACATTAGAGTCCGACAGGGGTAACATGTCGACATCTCGTAGTGAAGTGCCGAGGTCTTACTTAGTTCTTGACAGGAGGTCAAAGTCTATTTTGACGACTGTTTTGGCGACTTCACTTCGTTGAGGCGATGCGAATCAACGGGGCCGATGAGACTGCCGTGTCTTGTCTTTATTTGAAATGAACCATGGCTTGAGGTGCTGTCGAGGGCGTCGTTGCGATACCGCCTTTAGAGGGGATCTTTGTAAGCCAGCCATAAGTAGTCATCGTCATCGTCCTTGTCGTATAATTGATTTCCGAGCTATGGTCGCTTGAGTAGTCTCCGGCTTTCTCATACGAGTCGATAGGATGGCTGCCCGTGTCAAGAGGGTCAGCGACTAAATGCAGCTGGGCATGGAAAAGGTAGCCGAATATCTACTCACATCCATCTCCTGCCGCTAGAAGCTATATCGACATGGCTATTTAAATTAAAAAGGAGGACGGGGACTCCGAGAAGCTGGTGTGACCGGAAAGATCCATCTCGCAAGCACGTCAGAAAGGCCTACGATGTGTTGACATCTGGAAAGCACGCCAGAAAGGCCTACGATGTGTTGATCATGCGTACCACATATGAAATCATACGCAGTAGATCTGCAGTGTTGGTATCGAGACCCACCGATTCCGTACGTGATACTTCCTGTGTATACATATGGTTCAGACTGTGAACAATTCTCAACCAGCGATGATTCATAATCGACGAAGTTGGCAGGGACGGACATGTGTCGCGCTTCCGCGCAACATACTCTGCTGTTATCCAACTATTTCACTCCGAGTCCCCCTGTCTAGCGCTCGTGGCTTGCGTGCAAAAATCAGAGCACCAGCCGCATCGACTTGTGGCTTGATAACAGATAATCTCGACAAGAAGCCACTTGAGGCTGGTGAGGCTCTTTTTTTGCACGCAAGCCATGAGCGCTAGACAGGGGGACTCGGAGTGAAATTCGACAGTATCTACGGTAGTCATACTGCTGAGGATTTACAAAATCGCACTTTTCAACTGCCACAGTGTCGTCCTTGGTCCTTCAGAGCCGGCAATGAATAGGATGAAAAAAGTTATAATAACTGCAGGGGATGCCGAGGCTCCAGGTCCTGTCAACGACGGCCCTCCATGAGCCGACCAAAGCCCCACAGACGCTTATCACCGAAGCCCGCCTCCACCGGCCAGCATGAGCGGAGAGGCCGAATAGCACACACACACAAGATTCATAGAGCAAAAAGGATTCTGTCCAACAGGAAGAAAAGAAGAAATTTGATCAGAGTGGGACTCGAACCCACGCGGATTGCTCCACTGCGAAGTTTTGATCAGGTATCCTGAACGCAGCGCCATAACCACTCGGCCATCTGACCATGCCAATCGATGATTGGATGATTTGTTGAAGAAACTCAAACTTTTGGTCCCTATATTCTGGGTCCACAATATCTGCAGACGTGCTTTTGTGGCATTCTTCGTTCTGGGCAAGTGGACAGGGTGGATGGTGTTGGGCTTTTCATTAGTCACGAGTTTCGTTACCCAAGGAAGAGTTGACGCAGCTGGCAGAACGCAGTTTATACCCTTGCGAAAGTTGTTCAACCGCCCGGGTGGCAGTAGTGGTTGACAAGGACTGCGGCTGTCCTGGAGCGAGACCCAAAGCAGATCATGTGAGAGTGTGAATGTCCGTTGGCAAGCGCAAAGGCTTTCATTATTTGGGCGTTACGGAGACATCATCAGCGTATACTCTAGTATTGCACTCGAATACACAACATCTCAAACGTGTATACAGAGACCATCAAGCAGTAGCGAGGGTTCACAGCCTGCGGTGCAACTCCACGTGGTCGCCTCGAAGACAATTCCCATAATCATGAACCGGACTCCCTCCCAATGCACAAACGCCTGTTGAAAGACATGCTTGTCCATCCATGCACCAAATTATCATGCCTTAGCACTACCCGGCACGCTCTCATCACCCCAGACATCGCGAGTCTCTTGCTCTACGGCTCGCATAGCAGTGGCCACTTCTTCAAGCTTTGCGACGACATCCTTGACTCCCTGATCTACCTTGGAGAAGTATCGATCGTTCGCCTCTCGTCTGTTCCTCGCGAGTAGGATATCTCGTTCGGTTTCTTCCTCAAGCTTCGCCCCTAGTCTCTCGCCTCCCAGACCGCTGGCCCCGGGTGGTAGGCTGCCGGTCCCAATGGTGCTCTTGCCTCCATCAGTCCCATCTGCAACGCCCCGCCCGCCTCCGGTAGGTATCGTAGCCCCGAGCGCTGCTCCTGCCGCTACTGCCACAGCAATACCACCTACCTCGCCCAAAGCGCCTTTGAGGTTCCGCACCTCGGTTTCTGGTGAGGTCGCGTCGCCCGAATCATCGGCCTCACTGCGAGCCCAAGCCTGAGCCAGAGCAATCTGCGCCGCCCTCAACTCAGCCAGCTTGCGGTCGTGCTCAGACCCAAACACACGTGTGCCACCGCTAGCGGACAGTTCGACCTCCTCGAGCGTCGCTTGCATCTCGGCCCATAGCGCATCGGTTCTATCGGCGGTGCGAGTCGAGTCTGCGGTCTGTAGCCGGGGTGTCGTTCCGCGGTTTCGGGGGTTCAACAGGGAGCCGGTGCGCGCGAGAGAAGGAGGAGCTTGGGACGGTTGTGTCGATGCGCCGCCGCTAGGGATCTGGCTGTTCGATCTTGGACCGGGACCAGAAGGGAGGGCGCCGCTGGCAGCGACCAGGCTTGAGAGGGAGACATGGGAGCCAGCGGGTGATGGATGCAAGAACAGGCTCGGGGGAGGCTCACGAGCCTTGGAATTAGACTTCAGTGGCGCCATTGCTACATTTTGAATGAAGAACGAAGCTCAGGGGAAATGAAAAGAGACACTGAGATAGTCAGCGCACAGGTAGAGAGAATGAGCAGGGTGAGCCGTCGAGAGCCGCTCAGAGTCACCGCAATGGAGAGAGGGCCGATCAGCTGTACGGAGCTCGAGCTTGGCACTACCTTAGGCACAAAGGTGGGCTGTGGCTTGTGCACGGCTCCCCCCACCCGAGTCAGCCACAAGAAGCAGCGGCAGGCCACCGCCACTTTTGCTGATTGCACTTCCCACTAGGGTGAGGAAACCCTTAGCAATTTTCGTCAAACCACTCGTGCAAAAAATTAACCGAGAACCTCACATCCACGATCGGAAGCACGAACAAGCTAGCCATCCACGCAACCAGACGTCAACTAACCACCCCATCTCACAGCGATACCACATATCAATCGGTAGGTCTCTCCTCCCACCGTCTCCTCATCCTCGATTCCTCCGACTTCGACTTCGACACGATCACCCCTCAGCGACAAATCTACCCCATCGATCCCGCATAGACACCGATCGCATCCACCAAGAGAACACAATCACTGACCGCGATCTCCTCTAGCAATCATGGGTAAAGGCAAGCCTCGTGGTCTCAACGCGGCCCGCAAGCTGCGCACCCACCGAAAGGACCAGCGATGGGCGGATCTGGGATACAAGAAGAGAGCCCTCGGTACCGCCTTCAAGTCGTCGCCATTCGGAGGTTCCTCCCACGCCAAGGGCATCGTCCTCGAGAAAGTCGGTGTCGAAGCCAAGCAGCCCAACTCCGCCATCCGAAAGTGTGTCAGAGTCCAGCTCATCAAGAACGGCAAGAAGGTCACTGCTTTCGGTATGAACCACCATTTTCATTATGTTCCCCGGTGGATTACCTCGCCTGTGGATGTTTTCGGGGATTTGGAGCCGATATGCACAAATCTGGGCCAAGGGGACTCTAGAAAACTTCCACATACGTTAGAATCGGACGCTAACATGTTTTTCTTCTGCAGTCCCTAATGACGGTTGCTTGAACTTCGTAGACGAGAACGACGAAGTCCTCCTCGCCGGTTTCGGTCGCAAGGGCAAGGCCAAGGGTGATATTCCCGGTGTGCGATTCAAGGTCGTCAAGGTCTCGGGTGTCGGTCTATTGGCTCTGTGGAAGGAGAAGAAGGAGAAGCCCAGATCGTAAACGGTCTCGGGGGGATCAACAAATGGACGGGGAAGACAAAACGTGCAGCGAGCAGAAGAATCTTCATTGGGCATGACGGAGTCAATACGGCTGCTTGATTTTCCATCGGCATCATAGGGTCGGGCCTTGATTCACTCTTCATAGGTGGACGGGATCCATAAATAGAGATTTTTCGTCGCCTACATACTCACCGCATGCCGATATTGTGAGAATCGATGTGGTTTGAAAATGCCGAACAACGCGAGCGTACAGCTACCGGTGCCATGATCAAGCTGTGTGCGAGGTTCGGGAATATTAATTGTTCTACACTACTGTACAGGTTGATCTTCTATGTCGGCTGGACATCCTTCTCGCCGTCTTCGACATATCGTATCAAGTAGTCTGCCCCCAGCCCCAGACTGATTACCCCACCAGTGGTCCAGCACCCATTAACAAACCACCACCAGCAATCCTTGACATTCTTCAGATTAACCTTCTTGATCATCCAGCCGAGCGTCAGCGCGGCGCCTCCACAACTGCCCACGAAGAACACCGGGCCCGCACCCGCCGCCACGCCCGCCGCCCCAAGCAGGCCGACTTGCACCACCGCCAAGCCCGACAGCACCTTCTTCGTGTCCGCATCGTGCTTCAGCGCAATGCTCTTGATGCCCGCCTTGACGTCGTCCCGGATATCCATATGCGCATATACCATATCGTACAGCACAGTCCAAGCCACGTTACTCGCGTACAGCAGCCCGGCGGCAGTCAGCGCCGCGCCGTCGGCCAGCAGGTCGACGCCCAGCGCCGGGAACCCCATCATGGCGCCCCACGAGAAGGTCAGCCCCAGCACAAACTGCGGGTAGTACGTGACGCGCTTGGCCAGCGGGTAGCTGGCCACGAGCAGCAGGCTGGGCGTCGCCCAGAAGAAGCACGAGGTCGGGAACTGCAGGAGGACGGCTAGACCCGTGAGCAGCTGCGCGCCGGTGAATGTGAGCGCTGCTAGGGGCGTGAGGGCGCCGCGCGCGATGGGCCGGTGTCGCGTGCGCGTTACCGAGGGGTCGAGGTTGCGGTCCCAGAGGTCGTTGATGCTGCAGCCGGCGCCGCGCATGATGAGGGCGCCGCTGAAGAAGAGCGCCGTCGTGCCGAGGACGGTTAGCGGGGAGCTGGTGGGTGTGGCTAGCGGCGCTGCCATGAGGGTTGAGAATAGGCAGGGGAAGAAGAGGTAGTATGTCCCCGTGGGCTTGTCGATGCGGATCAGTTCGCCGTAGGGCACCCATGATGTCGGGAGGTAGGAGAGGATGCCCGATGTGGGTGGTGAGTAGGGTGCTGGGATGGCTGGCGAGGACGGGGACTCGATGGTGTGTGTCCTTCTTCGATGATTTGTTGCGAGGTGAGATGATGGTATGTGACTTGACTCCGTTGAGCTAAGAGCGGTTGATGCCCCCAGGGACGTGTGTGATCTCGATCTAGCCACCGTATCTAAATGCTTGAAGAGACTCGGGAAGCCCTTTGGCATTTGCTTATGGATTGCCCATCTTGGGCTGCCCCGGGCCATGAGTCGATATGTCATGGTCAGGATGGTTGTGACCTATATGACGATTAGTCAGGCTGTCTTGGAGCAGACCGTGTAAGTGAGTTGTGCATGTGAAACCCCAGCGTCAAGTGCCTAGTCATAACAGGTCCAGCAGGTGCGTTCGTCCTCAAGGGCCGGCCTTGTTGAGTGGAAGCTGCCCTGAGACTCCAGTCTGCATTGGCTTCTAGTTTCCCTCAACACCGACGTAGATCCAACCCTGATGATCCAGTTCGAAAGGGCAGCAGGCGTGGGGGACCTCACCTAGATCACAGGTCTGCGTCAGATCACCTGAAAGGCCACTTCCATTGTCTCCAGCTCCCTCAATATCACATTTGCCGACTTGACGACAGCCTGCTCTCCTAAATGGTTCACAACCAAGTGGGCTGTTCATTCTCCTACCCAAGCAAGTCGTCAAGCAGCTCAAGTATTGTTAAGTGGAGCTGTATTCAATGTCGCGAACCTTTCCTACGTGGTCTGTGCACAAGCACCATTCAGTCGCCCACTTTTAATAGGTGACGGTGGCGCGCCCCGAATTTCGCGAAGCTGTCCCAACCTCCGCGCCAGCCCTTCGTCGCATCCCATCTTCACATCGTCAGAACCTCGCCCGTCGCTGTCACAGAGCTGCTGAGGCATCATCGGCGACTACCTATCCAACTATCAAGCGTTGTCTAACCACTTGTTTCCACCGCTGCACACTGCAGGTGGTCTTTCCTGCACTGTATGTCGCAAGCGTGGGCTTACCTGAGGCGCGCGTCTGATCTCTAGTGGTTGTGCTTGCTTTTGCTTCAAAAGCACGAACACCCCGCATCGACAGAATTCCACCCCGACTCAGCTTCAACATTTCTGGTATCCTTCCTACGAGAAAATTTTGCCAAAATGCCTCCCTCACTTCACCCTCAGGCGAAGTTCGATCCTATCCCACCGGATCTAGATCTGCATAGTCTCGTCGACCGAAGCCCAAACTTTGACTGGGTGGTGCGCATTTCTACCGCGCAGATTCGACGCCTCGGTTCCTCTGGCTTTGAAAAACTGGTACAGCTACATGTCATTGAAGGCGGCCGGCCGCTGGTCATAGAAGGATGGAACAGAGTACTTCCCGATGACTTGTTCAGCGCTGCGTGGCTCGAGGAAACGCACGACAAGAAGCGTGAGTACTATCCGTCACATTATCAAGCTCCTGACAAGTGCTGTACTCACTACTTACACAGAGGAGAACGTTCGTGATATCACATCGCAATCTGATATCCCTATGACGACTGGTCACTACCTACGTTCCATGCGACAACTTACGAACCAATGGAGCCCCACGAACTACCGCGATGAACGGCGACAGCGTCTCTACCTGAAAGATATCGACTGCCCTCCCGAGTGGTACAACCACCTCAAGAAAGTCATACCGCCCAACGTGTTCTACATGAATGACAATATTAGCGAAGTGCCAGGTGCAGATGCCCGTAACGATGACATCTTTGGCGCCCCAGAGAAGACTTCAGCTGTGGCAGGCGACCTGATGAGCAGTCTTGACGAGGATATGCGCGCACAGAATCTGATGTGCTATATTGGCCACGAAGGCACCTTTACCCCAGCTCATCGAGAGATGTGCGCAAGCTTGGGCCAGAACATTATGGTCGAAGCATCGGGTGATAAGAATGGAGAGAAGCCGGGTAGCTCTATCTGGTTCATGACCGAGACCAAGGACCGTGAAGTAGTTCGAGAATACTTCCTCTCAATGTTGGGTCATGACATCGAGATCGAAAAGCACTTTGCCCAGATCAATGCTTGGAAGAAGGCCAACTTCCCAGTTTACGTGGTTGAACAGAAAGTTGGCGATTTCATCTTGGTCCCTCCCCTGGCACCTCACCAGGTCTGGAACAGAGGCACGAGGACGATGAAAGTCGCTTGGAACCGCACAACCGTTGAGACGTTGGACCTAGCTCTTCACGAGGCTCTCCCAAAGGCGCGCCTCGTCTGCAGGGACGAGCAGTACAAGAACAAGGCCATCATCTACTTCACCCTCGAGAAATACTACAAAGAGCTACAGTCACTCGAGGAAAGCTCCGAGGTCAGCTGGTTAGGGTTTGGTCAGGAGCTGATGCAGAATTCGTCACGGACGAAGCAGATGGCAAGCGACTTCAAGAAACTGCTATCCCTCTTCACTGGGATACTCGTCGACGAGATGTTCGCTTACAAACAAGCGGATGTCGAGTATGTCCCCTTTGACTCAAATATCACCTGTTCTTACTGCCGCTCTAATATCTTCAACCGGTTCTTGACTTGCAAGTGCTGCGTGCGTCTGCTGATCAACGGCGACGAAGATACATACGACATTTGCATGGAATGCTACGCGATGGGCCGCTCATGCGTTTGCATGTCCGGCCTGCAGTGGTGCGAGCAGTGGAAATGGTCTGACCTCGTCGAGAAGCACGAAACATGGCGTGCCATGGTCATCAAGCAAGACGGGTTCGTCGATATCGATCTGTCACCTCAGCCAATCGAAATCGCCCGCAAAAAGTCTGGCAAGAGGTCGGTGGGTCAAATTGCCCAAGAACAGCTCCGAAAGCGACCTTGGAACGACATCTCGAAGCCACCCGAGGTCCCCGTCGACGAGTCGGAACCCGAGCCTGAAGTCGATGAAGAGGGTCGTGTAAAGAAGAAGCCAAAGCGGAAGCGGAAGCTCAAGAAGGGCGATACTCACGCCTGCCACGTCTGCTGTCACCAAGAGTACACCTACAAGCTCAACTTCTGCACCACCTGCACTCAAGCCTACTGTTACGGTGTACTCTGGAGAGCCTTCGACCTAATGCCGCAGACTGCTATGGAGCAAGAACATTGGCAATGTCCCAAATGTCTCGGCATCTGCAATTGCGGATCGTGTAGGCGCAGTGGTAACACGGTTCCCTATGTGCCCAAAAACACGCTACTAGGGCATGACACTCGCCCTATTGCCGATGACCGCAGTGTCGAGTCGATTGTCGATTTCCGTGCAAATAACCTCAATTGGTTGAAGGCAGCTGGCGACGACAATCGAAGCAAAGACAGCAAGCGCATGCAGAAACTGAGACAACAAGCCGATGCCGAGAAGGCCAAAGACCCACTGGCGACTATGGATGCGGACGACGCTCCTCACGAGATGGACTCGGCTGTGCAGGACTCGATTATGAATGGCTACGGCGACCAAAGTCACATACGGGGTCAAGACTCAGGGGCTAATGGCCACGTCAATGGCCGGCCATCCAGCTTGCAAGGCCAAGATGACCAAGACAGGCCTGGCAGCCGGGTTGAGACTGCTGACATGTCGGGTATCCAGGACGGCGAAGGAGACTCGTCTTACCCTGACCCATCTGAATATTCCGATCCATCAATGGGTACCGGACGCATGATGGGTATGGGATTCTATGACCAAGATGAGAGCGCCGACAAGATTCTGTTCGATGTTTTCCAAATGCCTTCAACCGATGTTCTCAATAATGAGCCCCAGGTGTCCGACTTCGTCAAGAAGACACTGCGACTTGCCAAGAGAAAAGCCAGGCTCGAAAATGACGATGACCCTGACTTCCAAGGGCCGAGAAGTCACCATCGCAAGAAGCCCAAGACCGGCAATATTGACCAACTTGTCAATTTGGACCCGGCTTTGCTTGGCTCTCTTGGCGAACCGGGAACTTCTACACCGACTGCTCCAAGTGCTCCTGATGCTTCCGTGGCACCTTCTTCTCACGGGGGTACGGAGGGGCAGGGGCAAGAGGCAGAGCCTTCGGAGCCTCCGGAACCAGCTCCGCGGCCTAAGCCGGCGAGGCTACCCATCGATCCGCTTCGACCAACGTTACGCCACGCTAAGCCCATGACCTCGTACGTTGATGCTGAAGATCTCGGCGAAGATCCTGATGATATCGTCCCAGTAAGAATCTCTGGAGACGGTGATAACGGCGCGGCTGCAGGATCAGAACAAGATCCGGTTGATCTAGCTGCGGACGCAATACGCGCGCTGGCACAATTTCCTTCTGGAGAAACCCCAGTACCTTCCAAGAAGACTGCGACTCCACGATCGACTGGAACGGGGAAAAGACGAGGACGACCGCCCCGAAGCTCCCTCGGCGCCAGCACTCCGTCAGCAGCTGCAAAGGCAGCCAAGAAACCCGGTCGCCCTGCAGGTAGACCAGGACGACCACCACGACGATCGACCCTTAGCAATGTTGAGACTAACGGAGACACTACCGTGGAGGATGTCGAAGACACCACGATGGAGGATGCTGATAACGGCGAGAATGGGGAAGACGTCACAGTGGATGAGCTCGAGGCTCAACTAGCGCGAGAACTCGGGTCTGCTCAGGAGCGCGACGAAGACTTCCAGCCAGCACCTGTCTCGTCTCGTGGCGGGTCGAAGAAGCGAAGAGGTCGTCCCCCAGGACCCCGAGCCTCTAGAAGCGCGGCCCGGGTGTCGTCAGAAGTACAGCCAGAGTCAGAGCAAGAGCCGGTAGATACCGAAGTCCCCGAGCCGCCACAAGACTTGAGTCGATTGTCCATGAGAGAGCGTATGGCGCTCAAAGGCAAGAAGATTCGAATAGGTCAGCGGAAACGACCGGATGGACAACCAGCCACTCCGGCCACCAATGCGCCAAATGCAACTTCTGTGAGTGGCAGTCGGACCAGTACCCCGTCTCGAAATTTGGATGCACCCAAGGCCGAACCGACCTCTAAGCATGGTCGTGGCGAACTTCTCGACGATGCATTTGAGCCTCCAGTGGCAGAAGTCTCGTCATCATCCAGCTCAGAGTCAGATCAAGGCGTGGCGGCAGCGCCCCCGCCCGCTACGAAGCCAGGCGGTCCAACAGTCGTCAGACTTAGCTTCTCCGACGATGATAGCGACAGCGATTCGGGATCCGACATTAGTAATGGTGATGGTGGCCCGGCAAGGCACTTTGGCGCGACGCGTGGAAGAGGACGGGGTAGAGGAAGAGGCGGTCGAATGGCTACGCGTGGTCGAGCGTAACTGTCACGGCAAAGACTACAGAACGATTTGCTACGGCTTGTCACTTTGGACTGCCCTCGGATTAGGTGTGTGTTTTGGAAGCTGATTGGGCCGTCTTTCTTATGATACGATAGCAGAGTTTCCTATCGCCGATTGCTATTGCAGATTGTCATCCGTATATCCATCTTCTCAGGGAAGTCTCAGGTAGTCAGTCAGCCAAAGAGAGGCGACCAATATAATGCATTGCTACAGTACATGTTTGCTGCTGTGATTGAATATGATGGTCGTAGGAAGCATTTGTTCAGGCCACAGAGTCATCCTCATGGGGAGAAGGAGTCATTCGTGCCCGGCATAAGGAGAGGCGACCCTAATATGACGCATTGATACAGTACATGTTTGCTGTTGTCACTTAATAAGGTGTGATTGTCGCGCAAAGCATTCGTTCAGGCCACAGAGAGTCATCCTCATGTGGATGAGTCATTCGTAGCCGGCATAATGAGAGGGCTTGTGATATATAAATTGACCATGCGGTCCCCAGAAACACTGTGCTTGCGTTCTCATCATCAACCCCATGTTCACCCCAGCCGGCCGTGCATGTATATCGTTGCAATTAAGAACTAACCCTTCTCATTTCGTTTTGATTTCCCGGCACATGCGTTATCACGGACGATCAAGCCTGTTCGAGGGCGTCAACGACACTTATTACCAATGTGGGGAGGTTTCCTTTCGAGTATTTTCAAACCTTCACGGATTTTACCTGAATACAACATGCGGAGGACCTGGCGAGCATTGGCGGATGCTTCTTCTAGCCAAACCCTCGTTGAGCCTCCCCGCCACAACCCCCTTTTTACCTGAAATTTCAAGCGGAGGACCTGGCAGTGGACCCCAGAGATGCCAGCATTGGCAGGTGATTCTTCTAGCCAAAACCTCTCGACTTTTTATACCCGAATTCGGGCGGAGGACCTGGAAGTCGACCCCGGAAGTGCAAGCAATGTCAGCGGATGGTTTCAAAGCCGGCATTGCTTCCAAAGACATGCCGGTCAACAAGCGCAAGGCAGAAACCGAGCATGGAGCAGGTGTCAAACGACCTTGTATGGTTGCTTCTTTCTAGCGTTGCGGCGTCTGGACACAACTTGAGCTGCAGATGATGAGATACCTGCCAGCGCGGCGGCGATGGGTCAAGGTATCGTTGCTGCTTGGGGTTTAGTTCAGCGCGTCTCCGCATCTTATTCCAACCTCACGTCCCGGGTGACCTCGGACACGTCTTGACTTGATGAGGACGGAGTTGAGAGCATAGATAGATAGCGTCAGGGCTGCCCGTCTTGGAGATGACCATCAATCATACAAGACACACTTGTCTCGTCTTGGAGAGGTTGCGTTGCGGTCTATTTGACTGGGGCCAAGAAATCGGGTGTTTGGATCTAACTCAGCTGTCGAAACTACTGAGTTTCGCCTACCAGTAAGTGTTATGTGGTCGTTACCCATCTACAACTTATGGCACGTGTCCGACGCAAAGCAGCACGAACAACGGAAAGGTGGCTCTGAAGAACAGGCGCGATTCCCGCCGCGATTCCCGCCATATTTAGGTTGTGTATATAAGTACTCACTTACATCGTATAGGCAGCTTAGCATCTGTATACGTTAGCTACTAAAGACTCTGGCTTTTATTTTATTTATTACTCCTGTTTTCCTTAGAAAGGATCGCTTAACCCGAGCATGTCGCATCTTTTTACAAGTTCATATAGTCATGCCTTCTATCATCTGACGCGGACTGTTGGCACAGCCCCCCAAACAGCAACACCACAGTGTTGTTATGAAGTGAGTGCGAGGCGTCGGGGCAGAAATCTGGAGTCAGCCATGGCTCCAGCTAAGGTCAAGTCTGCCGGGAAGAAGACGAAGAAGGCCAAGCCTGGTAACCAGTGGAATGTAAGAAGATTGCGATACCTTATTCCACAAGCGGCGCGCCGGCGGCTAACGTAAAGGTATATTACCAGTCTATGGACCCGGATGCCAAACCCATCCTCATCGCACACAACTCGTCAGGTTGGGAAAAAGAGGTCTCGAGACTTTGCCTGGCTCCGAACGGCTGGGTATCGATTGGCTAACTACCTATGAGCTTTTCCGCGCTATGCCACTTACTGAGATGCCCAGCTCAACAGAGGACAATACGCTACTGGATGTGTTGCTCCCGGTGACCGCGGAGGGTCCACCGGACAGTTTTCAAAACACCATCAACGGCGCGGTAAGCCTGATCAAACGTCTCATAAGCGTTCTCTGGGTTTCTACAAGCGTCGCCATTGTAAGGCAGTCATGTAACCACAACATTTAATCAGATCCCTAGCTAGCAGAAATCGGCACCATCTCTATCTCTTCTTCATACCACAGTTTATCTTCATGTAGCGTCCTGGTTTTTATCCAAAGAATGGGCTTAAAACCCTCACATTAGATGTTCTAACGGTGATCACCCTGAAGGATCTGATGGGAGGCACTGGACCACATGCGAAAGGAGGCCGAAGCCCCTCCTCTTTCATCTCTTGTGCGTGAAAGATTAAGCTGTCTTTGCTTTCCTCCAATATCATAGTTCGTCTGGTATTATACACTCAATGTCCCGCGAGATTCCGACCCCGAGTGCCCAGACCTACAAGATATCGTCCGCTACAACGCGGTAGAAGGACTAGGCTAGGCACTGGCTGCGTGCTTTGCGTAGCAGGCGCTTTCGTCAACCACTCGTAAGTTAAACGGTAGCCCCCCGCAGCTCACGAGTGAGGATGCCGAACAACAACCAAGACCACGATACCTACATCGTAGACCGTCCCCATCACTGCCACCGCAGAAACCCACAGAGGAGAGTCGCCGGGCGAAGCATAAGTTCTTAGCATTGACACGTGCCTTGCACAGAAGAATGGTCTCAAGCGTGCAAGCAAGCACCGACGACGTGATCAAGTGCCGAACGCGTCCAGCACGCCAGTTTAGCGTCCGATCTCCCAGCAAACTCAACCCGGCACGGCACGTCAGGACATGGACAACTTCCCCAAATTACACCTGCGCAGCTTGCCAACATGAGAAGCAGCAGCAGAACGCAGGTCCTAATGGTAGTTAATACGACGGGCTCAGTCCCCTGCTAGGAATACCCAGCAATATGGGCGCGGTTCGGCCATGCCGCAGAGATCCATCGTACCGCAGGAAAACCTTTTCGGTTTACTCGCTTCCGTACAAGATTAAGCAGTCTTTGCTTTCCTTTAATCATAGTTTATCTGGTATTATATACTTAACAACCGACGATAATACGATTTTTTACAGTGTTCCTTGTTAGTCTGTACCCCTACTACATGGCCCACCGGAATCTTACCAGGCATTAGGCACCGACAGTGACAACGATCAATGACATCGGAGAGCTAATTGAACACCCCTTAGCCCCAGCCAGCAAAGAGAACATTTACCGTGACTGCGGCGCGGCCGCTACAGACCCGACTCATGGCCGCGCGGTACTTCGGGCGTCTCGATTGGCTTTCCTCGAGACCCCGACTTAGGTTTCACTTACTATGCCAGAGGTCAGTGCCGATTGGAGCCGGACCACCACGTTCTGTCTTTCATGATTCCTAAATTATCGAAGGGACCCAGATCCGCGAACAGCACGCCGTGAGGATCAGCAAGGCGGCACTGGAACGGCTTGCCAAGATGCTGATGTACCTCACCGAGCTGCACTGCACTGCCGCTTCTATTTCCCCCGCGCCGTCAACGCCACGCCCAAGGTGGACAAGTCGATAAACAAGAAGTGGCCCAGCTTCGTTGCGGAGCGTAACGGCTCGATGCTGAGCCCCTTCGTGGCCTTGCTGACCCTGGCGTGGGCGCAGGAACTGAGAGGTGCGCCAACATCATATTCCACTAGGTACCTTACCTTACTTTGACCCATGCTAACCAGTGTCTTCAGCATAAGTTACTCGACGGCCTCATGAAAGACAATGACGTTCTGTGCTAGACAAAACATGGATAGAAGGTGGACACGAATATGCGGGACAAGCCAATGTTTGAGCATACATTAATACGTAAGATTTGAGATTCATGGATGTTCTGACCCATGTTCGAATCATGGTGATAGCCTGCATGTTGTTACCACACAGATGTGGCAGAATCTAGAATGCACCGATGGCACGACCATGGAGAACTTCACCGAGATGGGGTCATGGAGTCATCGGATTGATTGAGTGAAAGCTGATGATCGTACAGTACGACGACACAAGGAAACACTTCATCATGGCTAAGAAACGGAAAGACTTGCGTCTGCATTCGCAATACGAAATTATCAGAGAAGACAAGACAAGCAAACATGCATGACACAATAAAATCAATAATGCATATGAAATCATCAATTATGAGCCTGATCGCAGTGAGCAATCTTCGTCGGCCATCATATCGTCGCATAGCTCTCCGAACTTGGTCAAGAACTCAAACACATGAAACCCTGCGGAAATCCTGCCCCGTCTATTCATATACAATCATCTTCCACTCGCGAACCGAGAACCGAAAAACCGGAAACCTTGCTGCTGATTCCAAACCGTGGCCCTTCATCATTCCAAACCCTTAACACCGCCGTATACGTCTGCGTCGTTCGTCTTCGTCGTTGTCGAAAACCGGACAAGAGACGGCGAATGAGGCGGAAGTGATGATAGCGGATGGAGGAGGAGGGGAGAGGAGAGAGAAAGGAAAGAGGAGAGAGGGGAAGAGGATGGTGAGGATGATGAGGAGGGCAAGAAGATGCGTCGTCTAGTCCTCTGGGACAGTCCTCTCCTTAGTTTCCTTCGCTGCCCTTTCCCTTGATGACCTTGCGGATGGTCTCGATGTCGGGCTTGCGACCCTCCTTCATCATAACCATGAGGCGCGCGTGGACATCTTCGTCGAGCACATTGAAGTGCAGCTGGGGACAATGTTAGCCTCAAGGCCGGATTGAATAAATCAGATGGGTCGCATGAATTTTATGTGTGTCCTGGTGTGACAGGACAAGTGAATTTTGGATGATGGTCCCGCGTAGTCTCTCCAAAGGCACACTCGAAGCCGTGGTGAAGAGGATAGAGAAAGAGAGAGAGGGAAGAAAGAACTGACCTCGTCCAACTCCTGACAGAAGATCTGCCACATGACGCCAAACTTGTCGGGGGTCCATCCGTACATCTGGAACTTCTCGTCGATGCCGGCGCCGAGGCGGTCCCAGTAGTGGTCGATCTCGCGCTGGTTGCGGCACATGATCTTGAAGGAGAATGACCCCGTGCCCCATCGCGGACCGACGCGGCCGTCGGAGTTGGGCGTGGCGCCCGACGAGTCGATGACCGCGAAGGGCTGGCCGTCTAGCTCGAAGGTCGTCATGCTGCCGTCGGCGCAGACCTTAACGACGCGCGAGTGCGGGAAGATCGACATGTAGAAGTCGATCGCCGCCTTGGCGAGGCCCGCCTCGGTGAACCACATGGTGGGCGTGATGGGGGAGACGAGTCGGCCGGGACGCAGGTGAGGAGGCGTCTTCTTCGAAGTCGCGGAGGCGACCCCAACGACGGTGTCGCTTCCGTAGGTGCCCGTGGTGCCGTCACTGTTCTTGCGTGCGGCGGTCGAGGCAGAGGCGCCGTGGCCGTTGGTGACGACGGCCTTCGACTCGGGCTTTGCAGCCTTTGCAGCCTTTGCAGCCTGCATCGCCTTTCGTCTGGCCTCCGTGCTGAAGGGCGACGGAACGTTCGCGGACGACATCTTGTAGAGCTGGTATGAGTACGATGAGTCCGAGTGGAAAGTAATGAATGAATAAGGTAGGTAGGTAGGATTGTAATGGGAAGATTCGTTTCTGTTTGTGCATCCGCGTGTGCGTGTTGTGAGTGCGTGCGTGACGAAGATTGGATCGAAGTGCCCGAAGATGTGATGAGGGTGTGAGAGGGTTGGAGGAAAATGCAAAAGATGGAAAAGTAGCAGAGTTGTGCTGGTGGTCAAGTAGGAGACATACCACTGTGTCAATGCCTGGTTGCCCGGGCATGTCAAAATTTCAACCCCAGGCAGGCATCGTGCCCAACCTGAAAAAAACGGCATAAGCACCTTCCCAAGCGTTTATGCCAGGGGATCGCACCTGTCATAAGCATCATTTTCAATGCTTATCCCGCCATTCTGGATCGATCCAATGCATTGCACCAGTGCACCATCACCTCAAAGCTTGGGTATGATGTATGTGCCTCGGGCAACAAAGTTCCAGTGATCAGGAAGCCACGTGCAGAGACGAAGATGTCGGAAGTAATGTACCTCAATCAGAGGCCCGTTGACCTTGACCTTCCTCCGCTTGCCAGACAATGCCCAGCAGTGTCGTGCCTGCCTGCCCGTAGGCACCAAGGGTACCGGTTCTGGTAAAATACAGTACATAATCGTACACTGGCAGCCCTCAACTATTCATTAGCACTGACCATCCCCCATCTGAGCATTGAAGGTCAGACTCACCAACGGTATCACATACCGCCCACCATCGTTGGTCGGGAACCTCGAGATGCGATCGAATCCTCCTCAGCTGCTGTATATATATCGAGTTGAGCCCGCTGCGTATTTTCAGGGTTGCTACCTTGCGATAGTCCCCAGAAAGAAGCAACCAGGCATCCATCACACGCAGGGCTCGGGCTGTCGTCGAGGGCTTTCTGGAATGATCGATATGCTTTTGTCTGAATCCTCCAGTGTCTAGTTTGAAGGCAAGGACCACGTCTCTCCAAGCTCGCAAAATATATATCCTGTGGTTGGTCGTCCAAAAGATCACTCTGGCTCTGCTTAATTCAGCTGTGATCACTTCATCTGATAGCTCAACGCTGTCGATCTTTTCTCCTGCGCATACAGGCGAACAGCTCGTCCTTCTTTCTTGCGAGGCTGGGGAGCTCGACCATTCTCCTGGACATAGAAGCGTCGGAGCAGCGACACGGCATCATCACGAAGGTAGCCATGCTCGACAGGATAACCAGGTTCAACATTGCCATCATCACCGTCATCATCGTCCCGAGTGTTGGGGTTGATTCTGCCCTTGGCGAATCCACATGAACTCCAAGCTAGTACCGAAGCCTGACGTTTGATTCAGGTTGGCGGTGCAGGTTGGCGGTGAGTCTCCTCCGGTCTGCGAGTGCCGATGTCCTTCGGCTATAGGGACGAGGCTTGTCTCGAGCGCCTGGCCCAGATTCTCAGCCTGCCGAAAGTATACTACAGCCTTGACTGTTCGTGTTGCATGTCAGCTTGCAAGTGCATGACACCATTACAAAATGCTACTACCGCCGCAGACTTACACAGCGAGCGTATGTCTCTGTGCGGGGTCGTACTGCCCGTCGTTGGCCATATATACGCGCGCGGTCGCGCGAACGAGTCAGGGCGAGGACAGTCTCTGGGTCTTCTTGAGAGAGTTGAGAGACCAGACCGGGGTTTGAACGCCAGATGTCGTTGAGCTCCATGGTTCCTCCAAGGAATTGATCTTCCACCGACAAAGGTGGTCGGATTCTGGTACTCGGCCGTCTTGCGCTTCTTGCCTCCCTGGCTTTCGGCCTTGGGAGCAGAAGCTGTCCGCTTCCCGTTCTCGCCCGGACTTCTCTCGACCGGAGCCCTCTTCGCGGGGCCCTTCTTGACAGGACTCTTCTTTGAGGCAGTGGGAGCCTGGACCTCAACTTCGGCGGGCTGAGCAGAGACCGGGTATGCAGGAGATCCGGACGGGGGGTTGAAATCGAAGTTGGCCTGACTGAACAAAGGAGTACCCGGGTTGAAATTCGCCATTGCGTGTCGATGCGGTTCTATTGGACCAGGAGAATACCGACTTCGTCGGCCATCTCGGTATCTTGATCAGCAGCGGTTGTATCAGCGGCGACTGCATCAGGGAGCGCCGAGAACGGAAGTTCTAGAGGGAGGAGCGAAGGATCGCCCTCCCAACCTGTTCTGCAAGGCGTTTCGTCGACGTAGTCGTTGTACCAATCTTCTTTACTGTGGAGTTTATAACGTCTCCTCACTCGCTTTTCAGCAGACTCCTCGATATGCACAAGCAACGTTTTCATGCGTTTGGTTTCGGTAAACCATGCCAGAGGAGCGGTGCGCTGTGAGATCTTTTGAGTCTCCTTAGGCAAGGGGCACTGTTCGTGCAACCTTGAGGCTCGAGGTAGCATGCTTCCATGCCGGTAGGGGTGACAAGGCTGCGTGTCCATCCTCATCGTTCTCGATCCGGGGAAGCTGATCTCGAATGCTAGGGTATCTAGACAGCCATCGAGTCACAAGCCACCCTTGATGCCGTATAACGTGGAAGGGGCAGGTTCCGTGCTTGTAGTCCGTCCTGATCTGGGCGGCAGCACCGTAGTACATCTGCCCCGTCCCGTTGCTAGCAACCGATTCACGATTGATCCGGGTCGGGGTAGACATAGCCGTTGCCGCCATTGCTATGAGACGGCGAAGGCATACCATGTGCCGGCGAGTGCCAAACCACGATACCCAAGTGGGGGCTACCCCTGTGCTCCGTTGGTTGTTGTTGTTGTTGTTGTTGTAGCATTTAACGCCGGGGGGACTGCCGCGTAGCGGCGTCAACCAGGGGCTCCAAGAGGCCGCTCAGGCGTGCTAGGCTAGGTCTTCTATGTACATACACTGCCCATCTAGCAGGTCAAGTCCGTAGACAGCCACCACACTTAAGCGGCAGATCACACCGTGTCCCCCCTCCTCTGGGTGAGGGGAAGTATCGGCTGAGGTCCCAAATGTTAGTTTCAGGGCGCATCGCTAGGTTCAGTGCTCTTAGAGCTGTAGTAAGTGTCGCGGCATGCCGCAGTGGTTCTCACGCGCCCTGTAAGACATTAAAAAGGAAAAATAAAAAGATAAAGCCCCCAGACACCGTAATAGAAAGAAGGAGTGAGTGTGCCCTTAGCGAGGAGGGCAGATGCTGCCATAGAAGTCGGTAGCCACGAGTAGGTCCATGTACTCCCGTGGGGAAGTCATGAGTTCGTCTAGATACTCGTGCCTGGCTCCGAGCTCCGGCTGGGATGCCGGGGCCCTTGGCCAGACCATGTACCGTGCCAGAGTCTTCCGGCATTGGATGAAGTGTGTCGGAGTCTTGCTCCGGCCGCACGAGCAGTCGAGAACAGCGTCCTGATGTTTGAACTTGACATGATACCAAGACAAGTCGCCGTGCCCTGAGCGGACAGCAAGGAAGTGGTGTAATAACGGCCTGTTGAGTACCTGCAACTCTTCATGACAGCGCAGTTTGTACTCCAGGTCCCAGTACTTGTAGCGGGCCGACAGCTTGGTCTGGGCCTTGGTCCACCATATGTCGCGCGAGACTTCGAGCTTTAATCTCGCCTCTGCTTTGATGCCGTACGCCGTTGGCGTGCAGTCAGAGTCAGTATTAGAGAGCTTAGAGCCGGCCTTAGCCAGCTTGTCTGCCAGTTCATTGCCCTCAATGGCGCAGTGCCCAGGGCACCACTTGACGTTAACATTACGGACTTCAGCCTTAGCATGGAACTTCAGGTAGGCCCACTGGCAGGACACCGCGGCATTGCCGCGGAGCCCCCAGATCGCTCCTGTGTTGTTCACACATACCCAGATCCGGCGCTGACTCAGCTCCGGGGGTGACTTGACCACGTGCTGAAGTCCCTTCCAGGCTCCGAGCACTTCTGCATCAAACACGATAGAACACGGGTCTAGACGACCCTTGCCAGTGGCGAGCAGGCGCCCGCCCTGGTAGATCGCATAGCCGTATCCGACGTGCATCCGTTCCTTCGAGCCGTCTGAGAAGACCACCACGTCATGTAGTGGCAGAGCCTCAAACCAGGTCTTGAAGTCCTTGGCAGCCTGCTCCTTGTCAATACCTCCGGAGGTGCTCCGTTGGTGAGCCAGCGGAGGGATCATTATAGAGTTATACAACTCCAAACCCGTGTAAACGTACGGGCTACCCATGTGCGGGCTACCACCAGTAACTGCCCCCCAGCGGACTGGTGCGACTCGATGCTCGGCTCGAGAGTCGGCGGCGGGGCAGGAGAGAAGCTCTCGGATGAGACGTGGGCCGTCCACCCGAACGCCCATAACCAGGAAGGTAACGGTGTTCTGCTGGTAGGTGGAGAAGCTGAAAACCCTCATCTTGGGCGACGATGAGCTGGAGGAAATGATGCCTCCGCGGCCATTATCTACGTAGGTCGGGTTGGCGCGCATATTGTCGACAAAGTTCTCAACGCGGACGCTGGTTGGCGTTGTTGTAGGCCGGAACGTCCGGGATGCCTTGCAGGGGCGCAGGTCCCCTTTCCGCCATCTTCCCAATGAGGGTTTTAAACTTCTCCTTGTCGAATTTGTCGTTGATCTAAAGAGCGCGCCAACGCTCGGAAAAAAGCGCCCCGAACCCTCTCGGGGCTGGCAAGAAGAATCCAGGTTGTTCATCTTGCGGCCGGCTAAGCGGGCGCCGATCGGAGCGGTTTTCCCAGGTTCACTGCAAGAGTGCTCATTCCTTGCGTTCCCCCATTCCCCCCTATACCGATCGTTTCTTCGTTCAGTGCTGCTACTAGCTTAGTAAGGCTCTAGAGGTTATAGCGGGCTATAGGGGGTATACTCACGCCTTGCCCCTTTCCTTTCGGTCTCGGCTGCTGCTGCTGCTGCCACTGCTCTCGGGAGCGTCGTACACCCTTCGTCGGTCTCGCCGTCGGCGTCAGCGTCGGAGTCATGCATCTCTTCATCTTCGTCACCGTAGGAGGACGAAGGAACGGAGGGCGTGGTTAGCGTCAGCGTCGGGACGTTCGGGATAGGAGACCGGGGCGAGAACAGGAGCCTCGTGGTGTCGATCGATGTACTTGGCCATGTTCACCACTCTCATTCCCATTCTGGTTCTCGTCTCGCCTTCCCGGCGGAGTCACAAAGAACCACCCGGGCGTCGCTGCAATGTGACCAACAGTCTCTGGTTGGCGGGCGGCGCGACAGGCTCGGCACCGGTGCCGGCATTGGCAACGGGTCTGATCTGCAAGACGAACGTCTTGCGGATAAGGAAAGGGTCGGTGACTCCTCGATTGGCGAGCTCTTGGGCGATGATGATTTGCAGGTAATGCTGCTCGGCAACCAGCAAGTTGGGCGCGTTGCTGGGCATGCTGTTCACGTAGTTCTCGACGTGAGCCTGGTTGGCATTGTTGTAGACCGGCACGTCGGGGATGCCTTCAAGAGGCGCAGGCCCCGCTCCGTTGCCGCCGGCCTCGTTTTCCTCGTGCTTGATGGCGACGTCCTCTGAAGGGCCAGCGGACGACTTTCTCAAGTGTTAGTATTGGTGCAAATAAGACTGGGCATACAATGGATCACTCACCTGCCCATGCTGAGCACTGGAGGTCATGCGACCCTGCTGAGTCGCTCGGTCCTGGCTGACATGCAGAGCCAAGCCCCTGACATCGTTGGCGCCGTATCGCATTTCTTGGTGACCCGGTATGGCTTGTAGCCCTTGCCATGCTTGGTCTGGTACCAGTTGTCGAGGTGGCCCCAGAGCCTGCGACCGGGTAAGCTTCGCTCCAACATGAGCACGGATCGTAGTCTGGTGGTAGGAGGACTTGGGCAATTCTGGCGGTCGCGCCACGATTGGAGTTGGGCGAGCATATAGAAGATAGGGAACAATAAGTTTTTTGCCATACCAGAAAGCGACGAGGATCGCGAGGATTTCTGGGGAGAGCTGAATCAGATTGTAGCCCATTGCAGCGGCGACGACAACGAGGTTGACACCCATTGCGGCGATGACGAGATTGAAACCCATTGCAGCGTCGTGTCCAGGGATCAGAGTGTGTGCTTAATAGTGTACATACCGCTCCCTTCGCCTCGTTGTTGGTCAAGCAGACCGCCGCCTGCGTATACGGGTGGCTCGTCAGCGAAAAGCCCAGGTGGGATGTCCTTCCGACTTTTGCTGCAGCAGACAAGGTGTACCAATGCTCAAGATCGTGTTTGTTCTGGGTGAAGTGTATGCGCAGGAATGGATGGAAGGTCATCTGAAGATGGGATAAAGAAAGGACATCTGCGGGAGGACATACCTTGCAATGTGCAAGTATGGGACTTATGGCGGATGAACCGCCCGCCCTGTTTCGTGTGGGAGGTGTGAACCCACGTTTGGATGGAGCGGTGGTAGAAGTTTCTACCACCGCAGAACATGGAGAGGTGGTAGAAGTCTCTACCACCGCAGAAATGTAGAGTTGGTAAAAGATTATACCACCGCTCCTAGGAAGTATCATGTGTCTGTTGTTATGTTGTGAGTAACACCACCCACAGGTGACGTGGGTGGGAAAAGGTTCGTATTGCCAAGCAGGCTGGTGGGAGAATGAGGAAAAAGAGAGAGGAAAATGTGGGTGGGAAGGCAATGCGGAGATTTAAGAAGACGAGGGGCAAAGCTGGTATTTGTTTCGAACGTGGGTGGTGCTGTATTTGCTCCGTAAAACATGGCGGTTGAGCCCTACCTGGATCCTCTTGTCGATGTCTGTCAGATGGTTCACCTGCGTGTGTGTTGGGGGTCGAGGTGAGTCAGCGGCTCGGCATAGTTTGCTGGGCTGTGATGTGTCACAGCAGACGAGACTCAAGCCGCAAAGGGGAGACCATGCCGAGAGGGGGAATACCAAGCCGCGAGGGGGACCAGGCCACGAGGGGAAGACCAAGGGAGTCGGACGACTAAGCGGTGAGAGACACCCAACAGTGAGAGACCAAGCGGCGAGAGATGACTCAAAGCAGTGTCACTGATCTATTGACAAAGATTATGGCAATGCCACCGATATGTACAAAGAAGGATAGAGCATGGCATCCTCACGAACGCTCTGGAAGCCACATAAACATGATAACATTATTATTGTGATTAACCCCTACCCCCCTCGAGGACATCCCCTTTATAGCATGAAAGCAGCGATACCACCAGCAACGGCAGCGAGGCTAAGGCCGTTGGCAGCAGCACCGGCGGTGGGGATCATGGTAGTGGATGAGCCGCCCACGGTCATGGAGCTAGTGCCCATGGGCATGCCAGCAGTGCCGGTAGCGGTAGCCATCCTGGAAGACGACGAGCTGCATGTAGTAGTGGCGCTGGCGCTGGCGCTCATGGACATGGAGACAAGGGTGGGCTTGACGACAGCCTCGTACTTGTCGCAGACGGCCATCGGGGCGATGGGGCAGTCCTCGGTGATGCAGATGGACTGCAGCTGGGGGCCCTGGGCCTTGACGGCGGTGGCGGGCGGGGCGCAGCGGTAGCCGAAGAGGGTGTTGAGGGCGGTGCCGACGGCGGTGACGTCGGTGTCGGCGACGCCGAACGAGGCGGCCGCGAGCCCGACCTGCTCGATGAAGTAGCCCACCTCGGTCGTGTTGAGGGCCATGAACTTGTGCACGTCGTACATGGACGGGTCAGCCGTGTAGGCGTCGAAGCCGGCCATGCCCTGCATGCTGCAGCCGAGCAGGGAGCCGAAGAATTGGTACAAGTGGGTGAGCAGGAAGCTGGAGAGCGTCAGTTAGTTGGAGCATTGTCGGGAGAGAGTGGATGATATGGCTTACTATTGCTGCGAGGTCTCCGTGTTGGAGGGCTTGTTCTTCATCAGGGGCTCGGCACCACCGTCATCGAGGAAGTTGATGGAGACACCGGCGTCTCCGCCACGGTTGCTCGACGCGAGCTCACCGTTGAAGTACGGGAGCAGGTTGACGTCGTTGCCCTTGTACGTGCCCTTGGCCAGGATACCGGCAACACTGACTCCGACATTGGGCATGGTGTCTGTTAAGATGAAGTGGTTAGCCTCGGCAAGTTCATGATGGTTACCGTCAAAACAGATACCTACAGTTTCCAATGACGACGGTGTTGACTAGCAGAGTCAGGAAGGTAGCCTGGTTGTCGGCAGTGTTCTCCTTGAGCAGAGCCGTGGTGTAGTAGTCACAGATGGGAGTGTCCGCGGGGCGCTGGGCGTTGGCGGTGCTGGCGCCAGCGGCCACGGCAAGGGTCTTGGAGAAACGCATGGTGATTTTGGTTGTGGAAATTAGGTATTATAGAAACACGAACGCTAGAAGCCCGTTGAGTGAGTATGTAAGAATGAGAGACTGGGCGATTGCTGTGATGAACTCCAGAGACGCTTCTGTAGAGAAGGGACAAGGCCTTTTAAGAGAGTCTCTCCGGTATGAGCTCCTTCCGGATAGATACGGCCAGAGGTTGATCTCCCATAGAGCTAGCAACCTAGACATCCGAAGGGTCACCTTTTGCGGGGAACGTTGGCACCAGATTCTAGACGGCGTTCTCTTGGTGATGTGCTGAAGACATCTCTAATTTCCCGATTCGACCATCTCGACGCGCCGGAAGAGTGCTACCCGTATCTGGGTCGCCCCCTGCCCCCTTTGAATGCCTTTTGGCAGATTGTATGTCTCTTTTAGCAGTTGCTACTCTTGCTCGGGCTTGCGCTAGAATGCTGATCAGCGCTTGTGTAAGATGACAGCTCATTGCTGCAGAATCGCGTTTTGCTGGAGAATTGTTGTTGCTCTTCCAGCGTTGCCTCAGAAATCCAAACGGAATTCGAAGCATATGGACTTATTCGCTGTGTCTTGCTTCTAACGGTTTGAAGGCGTAGAACGCATATCTTGACCTGACATCTGTCTATCCCAAGGAGGTCCGTTCGCCTTCACGCGTCCAGCATCAACACGTGCTACCTGCCTACTCAAGGACGCTATCACATACCTAGTAAGTACTACGCCCATCCCCCAGAGCCAAGCGCTTGCTTCTATCCAGACTTAGTTCGGTTGATTGATACAGTACCTAGGGCTTGGAATAAGCAACAAGCTAGAGAATTAGTCACCAGATGCCGTCGAGAGCGAGCTGCAAGGGGCAAAAGCCAGTGTCCAATGAGACACCCCTGCTTTCAAATAGTTTCGGTAGGAATGTGTGAGGAAGAAGCCGAATCAGGTTGAAGAATGACGGATGGCCGGCACCCCTACGGCACGCTAAGCCAATCCCCAGATCTGCGCTAACATTTCCCCAAACGACGCGGAAATCCATCTCTGCGCCCGGAAGCCTAGGCCTCCGTCGGCAGCCCCCTTTTCCGTTGCAGTTGAGCGGCAACATTCTCCCCGACCAGGCATCTGCCAGGTGGAGCGGCATTGCTTCGTTAGCGTCCGCATTGTTTACATCAACAGACAGAGTTCTAGTTGACGGCACTGCAAGGTTATCTATCACGGCAGTGCAATGTCCCTCTACCCACCGGTCAGCTGGCCAGAGAGGTCAGCTGACAGTCGGTTCTCATCAGCGACGGCCCCGACACTAGCCTGGCCATTGTCGGAACTTGCCATCTCCTGAAAAACCGAAGGCAAAGCAGCTTCGAGCCAGGAACCTCAAAATCCGCCCCTTCTCGAGGATCCTCTAGTAGCCGACCCACCCAATCCCGCATTGGGACGCTGTCAAATCCACGAGCCGGCTTCCGGCAAGGCAGCCCAGGAAGCAAATCCGTCTCGTATGCGTCAGGTCGCTGGCGATGTGAATCAGCAGATGTGACAGCAGGATCGAGCTCGAAGCCTTCGCACACGTCTACCGGCAACCAATCGACCACTGCTGAAGCATGGAGAGCGTGAGGCAATCGTGGAGAAAGGATGAACTTCGACTGCGCATATCCCACGCTTGTCGCCAGAAGTGGATCGTTCCTGGATCCTGATATGGGTTTCGAGCACCCCTTTCTGGCCTCTTGCCGCGCTACCCATGCGGGTTGCCACGCTGCTCATGAAGGCGAACATCTTCTTGATCCCAGAGTAGCTACCTGAAGGAGAGAGGTGCATGGTGCCCTATGGAGCTACCATCAACCGTACTGCCATGCTCCTGAAGACCTGATTATTTGCTTACCTTCCAAGCAGTGCATCTCACGCTGCCCGACAGCATGTTTGAAACCAAGCCTCCAAGTATTGTGGACTATCGTCTTGACCTCTTGCGGTGACTGCTCGGACACGGATCGAGGGTCTCGTCCTCATGTGATCAGGTATACCGCATACCTTTCTATCCCCGATGATCGCCACCGCATATTCCGTGATTCTCGGTGATCCCATCAAATTATCCTGCGTATCACAGCCTCGAATGGCGCAGTAGATTTCCTCTGCGTCGTGTCTTGTACCAGGACTTCGAGCAAAGCGTCCCCCGGGCTACCATTTGCCCCCGTCAGAAGATCGCATTAACACTCCCCGAGTTCGCATCTGCTGGCTCGGGCTTTGATGCTTTCCAACCGCGACCGCTCATACCTATCGATGGCGCCTCTCATCCACACAACCCGACCATGTCTCCCTCAGCTCCATCGTGCCACCAGCCGACATTCTCAACAAATCAAGCAACTTCACGATTGTCCGATTCTTAAAGGTGAACTTCAGCGGATGCTGGCCGATCAGCTTCACCCACCGCGCCCACTGTTTGATGGCTTTCTGAACAACAAGCCCCAGCTCATCGAAGCTGGCGCCGTTCGAGACTGACGTTCTGAGACCTCCCAATGCCCACCGCTGCAAGGGAAACGAACTCGTGATCCGGAGCACGGTAAATTCTCTTCGAGGTGTCTGTCTGGTCACCGCTGCCCTCGTACCGCTCACGCGGCATCATACGAGACCCGTACCACTTCAACGCGACCAACCTACAAACGTCCCCGTTCGGCGTGACAGGCAACGTCTTGCCCCGAGCCAGGCTCAAGACCAAAGAACGATCCACTCTCAAATACTTCGGCGCTCTCGTACGGCACGTCTCTACCGCTCGCATGCCCGCTCCTTGTATTCTTACGGGTCACGTTCAGATACGCATTAGCACTCTGCTAGACCACTAACGCCGTACACGGCCTACGGGTCCTACAATGAATATCACTGATAGGAGATATGCTAGATAGCGCATATATTAAAGATAGCACCTTTTTTTACAAAATTAACGGGACTTTTTAATAGGCGAAATCTTTAAATAGTGTCAGATGTTGGATCCCAGATATGGTGCCCTTAGGTGCAGTATGGTATTTAGCTGTAGATTAGCCCTGCCGAGCATACTTGAGAATGACAACAACATTTGCAGCGACCGCTCACACCCCCAAGGCTTGTGACCCTTCTAGAATCTCACAAATAATATATAAATTTAATATCGTATACGTTTTATTTAACAACTGAGGTTATACAAGTCGCTTTTAATTTGTTATAACGTATATTTAATCTTATATATTACTTGTTTTAATACTTAAATAAGTGCTAAGCCTTAATAAGTATTAAACTACTATTTATAATAAGCCTTAATAATAGCCTTAATAATAGCCTTAATAATAGCCTTAATAATAGCCTTAATAATAGCCTTAATAATAGCCTTAATAATAATAATAATAATAATAATAATAATAATAATAATAATAATAATAATAATAATAATAATAATAATAATAATAATAATAATAATAATAATAATAATAATAATAATAATAATAATAATAATAATAATAATAATAATAATAATAATAATAATAATAATAATAATAATAATAATAATAATAATAATAATAATAATAATAATAATAATAATAATAATAATAATAATAATAATAATAATAATAATAATAATAATAATAATAATAATAATAATTCTATAAATGTTAAGGCTTAATAATAAGGCCTTATCAATACTTGTTAAATATTATAAAGGCGTTTTTCTTTCTCTTTTTGTGACGAGCCGTCTAACCTATAAGGCTAAAGGGTTCTATAGGGTTTATGTTATAAGGTAAGTCAACACAAAGGACGATAGAGGCTTCTGTCAACTAGAAGACACTCAGATGCTGGGGCTTGGTCTGAACTGGGTTCATTGCGTAGTCGAGTCATCAGGAGATTTCTTCCACCTTAGGGTTGGCTAAGATGCTTAGATTGATCACTGAGGTAGAGACTGTCTATCTATCTGGTTAAGAAATGTCTGTCCTTATATATCCAATCTCTCCCTCACTAATTAGGTGGCTCACCCTGGAGCACCGGTGATCCAGTGATCCAAATTCTTAGTCACATGACCTAGGCTCTGCTGGTCGCGTGATCTGTGCACCGTTGCTCCGTTGCTCTGATCTCTCCACTGATCAGCACCCCACTCTCTGGTCAATTTGTTTCTAATCGTCCCTTCTAGACCTGCTATCAGGCCGCACTGTTCGTTGGTTTGTAACATTAATATTTTATATTTTAATTTTATAGCTTTTATTTATTGATTATTCGTTTGTTTGTTCATTTATAATAGTATTTTATTAGTATTTATAAAGAAACGACTATTTATAAAGAAGCGCTTTAATTAATAAGCATGCATTATTTGATTAATATATAAATAGTACACCTAGCTAAGTAACAAATTATAAAAACATAAAATCGACTTTTTATTTCTTATTATCTATCTTTTATTTTATATAATGTTTTTTAATAATTGATATTATTATTACTGTTATTGAGTTATTTTAATTTATAATTTGAAGTTATCAAACCATATTTAAAATAAAAGTTTAACGATAATAATAAAAGTAAATAATACCGAGTTGTTTTATTTTATAATGATAAGTTACTCAAATGTAATAATATTAAAGGTTCCAAAAAAATGTAAATAATATAAAGGTAATATTTTTAAGCTTCAAATAATAATTAGGAAATTACTAATCTAACCTTTAACTTTAACTTAGTTTTTTACTATCTACTATTAATTACGTAGTTTAAAGAGGTCTTTTTTAGCCGCGCGGTTATAATATCAAAGTAAACTTTGATAATAATGAATTTTATATCTTTATGTAATAAAAAGTCTTCGTTATAAGTTATGTAAAACCTTAACAAAAGCCTTTTCTTATATATAATAAACTTAAGCACTTTTATTTTATTAAGTTTAAGACCCTACGATTATTTAATAACCGCTTTAAATCGTTTAATTTTATATTTATAAATTTTTAGAAACTTCGTAAATTAATATAAAATATAACGTTATAATAATTTAATAAACCTAACCTTTGTGCCTTTATGGTAGCGGATCCAGAACGGAGATCTATCATAAGTCTTGATTCGGATGATCTGTATTCTGGTTAGTGCTTGGTTACGTTCGGATGGGAAGGGATCTCATCCGAGAAGTATCTAAATACCTAAATTACAGTGGGTTGGTACCTATCACCTGGGGCAGCCAGCCCAGGTAACCTTATCGTAGAACGCCCTGGATGACAGGAGATCCGATAAGGTACTGGTGGCTGGATCCAGTGGCTGGGATCCACAATCGTATGGGTGCGGTAAATTATCACTAAGCAGCCACTCCCACAACGCAACCGCCGACTTGCTAGCTTCAGCAGTGCCCACGAATTTTATGTCGCATCCACCCTTGTAGTCGCTAAACACTATGCGAGACCACGGATCGTCTTTGCAATGCAGAGTAACCTCTCAAACTTGGTAATAGTCATCAAGCTCATCGTTGGCTGGGGGCATGCCAAATACAGCAACGAGCCGATAGAGAAGCAACTGCGACGAGATATCGCCCGCGGGCGAGTAATCTTCGTCCATCTTGCTCACCAGACGATGGCCCCGCGGGTCTCCCGGATCTTTTTCAGCGACGGTGTAGCGTGATGTCGAGACCGACTTGTATATATCCCTCTCAGTCCACTGAATAAGCGGTTCTTTGGGAGGAGTGATTTCGGGGTTGTCCATCAGCGCCAAACTCCTCCTTGTCGTCGTCGTATATGAGACCGATGAACCCCTTCGTTTGTTTTGTTTGTTTTGTATTTAACGTGGGGGGTAGCTCCTCAGTAGTGCAGACCACGCCTCCCAGAGCCTCTGCATCGCATGGTTGTGGAGGTCTCAAGAAAATAAGTACAGTCAGTCCCGCTCACGGGCCCATCCCCGTTATTGCGGCGGTATGACCTGGGGTCATCTATCTGGTCCTTCAAGAACAGATATCTATTGAGGGCAGATTGATGAAAAGAACTTACTCTTTTCAACAAATTTTGTCTATTCTGTGCTCCTCTCCTTTAAGTATTGTAAACAAGCTGCCCTAGGCGAGTACCTGGGCAGCAGCCGATTTTTCCCCAGCCTCTTATAAAAAAAATGTATTATGGTGTTTTCTTCTCACCACAGCTGTAGTGATTATTCGGGTCTGTATGCCCAAAGCGTTCGTGGTATCTAATAAAGTCATTATGTCCAGATCTAGCTGCTAAAAGTCTGTATAAAGTACTCCTTTTAAAAGATATAAGGTTTCTTTTAGTTATTATATATGAGTATACTTCTTGATACCTAGGTTCTGATTGGTCTTTCCACCATGGATTGAATTCTCTCTTGCTCTTCCTTTTGAGATCTCTCTTAACCTAAGAGATTGTGAAAAGGTTTGTTATGTCTGTTTCTAGCATGGCACCCTTTTTTATTAGTGTATTAGCAGTTTTGTTACCATTAATATCTCTGTGTCTAGGAATCCACTTGACGGTCACTCCAGGAGTGTGTACTGTGGCAAGTTCTTGGAATCATAGAAAAATATTCTGTGATATCTCGCGTGGAGTCCCATTGAGCCCATCTATCACTGATGTGTTGTCTAGGCAGACATATAGCCGTTTTCTGTGTCTAATCGCCCTGGCTGTTGTGAGACCTTGGAGAGCGCCATGGATTTTAGCATCTATTACTTTTATTTAAAGAAGTCTGTCTTTTCTCTGGTGTACTTTTTGTATGGTGCCGCCTTTCCTGATGGTATAACCCCATCCAGTGCGGGTTGTGCCTTAGTCGTCCAACTGTGATCTATCCGAGTAGATGACAAGGTCAGTGTTCATGTTTCTCTCCCGTAGCTATTACTTGAAGAGCTCTGTTTCTTTGTCTTTGTCCTTACGGATTGGGGGCTTCTTCCATAATGGCTTGGTGAGTATTGGTCTCTGGAAGTCAGGGACTAGCTGGAAGTTCCTTTGTAGCCTTGTTGGTTCCTTGCGAGCTTGTACTTGGAGCCTGCTAACAAGAGGGTGTCTTTGGTCTAAACGTCCGAGTCGTAGGCCGTGACGCCGTCTTATTGCCTCTGCAAGAACTCCTGCTGGAGGAATCTGTGATTCAAAGTGGGTATGTCCATACAAAGCATGATTGTGGTGGCCATCCAGCCTGGCAGAGGCATTGGTGCGCTAAGACAGGGGGCAACAGCTGACTAGCAGGTGGAAGACTCCACTAAGGTGCAAATAAGGAATTATGGTAAGGTGCAAATAGGAAGACTCTTTAAAAAAGGTATTCGGGGTCCGTTCGGACCCCTATTCGCCTGTGTCCTTATTCGGTTCTGAATACGACCTGGATACTTGGTGGATTTTGTGTGTGGTGTGTAGAAAAGAAGAAGACTATCATCTTCTAATATAACACCTTCAACACTAACCAACTGTCTCCCAACTACTTAGTGATCAACCTTCGGTGTGTTGGATTCTGGGCTACGTTAGCCCATCCATAGTCATCCTTCAAGATCAACATCTCCATCTGTGACTCTGTCACATACGTGGCCAATATAAGGCCACATATCCTTTCCTTTAGTATCTTGGATATATAGGGCCACTCTGGCCGCTCCAGAGTAGCTGGAATTCCTCTCCTTAGATAGAACACTTTGAAATCTCACACGGTGTCCCTGTCACCATCCAATAAAGGAAGCGGGGGAAACGTTCATATTGCATGCAGTATAGTATAGCCACAATAGCTTATATAATAGCTGCAATTTGCCAGGCGTAGCGAAAGGTTGAGTATCAATGAGAATAGAACGCTGATGACGGCAGGTGACCGTATGTGAGACATGCAATATATTCGCAATCCCCTCTTAGTCAACGTCTTTCTACATCACAATTTCACGCACGAAATATCAGATCACTTTCATCCGAATCCCCTTCCAGTCTAATAGCCTTCGTCACTCTGTAATATTCTCCAGGTACAGCAGGATACACTCATTCATTACAACTGCCCTCAGTTTTGCCGGCGCCGCTGTGCAAGCTGCAAGCTGCAACCCCTCAGTTCCAGAAGACCGGCAACGAGAACCTGATTACCCAGGGCCTCATCATAGCCCCAGATTACTGCCGAGACCAACGTTCTTCGGATCTAGCACCCTCTCGTCTACCATTAAGACATTCCATCTGGACCGGTACCCTTGCTTTCGCTATCTATTCAGAAACCCTCCGATGTACAATCGGAATGTTGTATACATTCATGACCCATCGTAGCATCAGCACCTGGTTGCAGCACAAATAGTTGGATTGCAGGCTTCTCGGCTTACCCCGTCGATGAACCTTTGAGCTCATCTGTCGTCTTGCTCCTGAGCCCCCAATCTTCCCAACACTGAAGGCCAAGTTGTTGAGCGAGGAGTAATCTTTCGTGATCTTCTCCTCTAACGGCACTTGTGGCTTTGAAAGCTCTCAGTGAATAATGATGGCTATGGGAATTACATACAGTATGATGAAATGGGAGTGTGCTTTTGCACCTAGGGTTTGAACTCGAAGATGGATATAGACTGAGTTCCCCTGGATCGCGCCTTAGATCGTGTCTAGTTCATCCGTTCGTCCGATATCCATTAGATATTCTCAAGCCCAAGCCTATCTCCCGTGGGATGCAGCGGGGTTTATTAGGGGTCCATAATAAGCTAGCCAACCGTCAGCTCACAGTTAGCGCTGTGTACAATTTAAGCTACAGCTTGATGGCATGCCAGAAGTGGAATTGGGATGGAGGGGTTGGGCACCGAATTCGGGAACCCCTATTCTTCTCTGTTTGCTAAGGCAATGATATATGTCAGAAACGGTGCTAACGCACGTCAGATCTCGCGATCTATCGGCCTGTGGCTCCTCAACCCATTTTCCAGCCACAATGACGGATGGGTCACGGACCAGGATACAAGGTACCTTGGAGCCCAACGGGTACCCGTTTGTACCTGATTTGTACCCAACTGGGATGATAGCTACTTCTGGGATGGGGACACCACCCATCCCTTCTTTCAATCAAGCAACTTCCAGAATACAGACCAATAGCCACCTATCGTGACCCTGGTCCTCATTCTGGATACCGCTCCCACAAGGCACAAATAGCTATTTTTGCAGGTAGACCACCAAGAACGGTAGCACCACAAAGGCCATCACGCCTTCGAATCCCTGCGAAATCCGACCAATCCGAAGCAAACGAGCTAAGTACGCCCCTTCAACACCCTCCCTGTCACCATGGCTGGCACCACTCGATCCGCCACGGAGCCCGAGCGAGCTGCTGCCGAAGCGGCTCAAGCCAGAAAGAAGGAGATCGCTGAGGTCTTTAGCAAGGCCTTACAGGAGGTTGACTGGACAGAAGTTCTCCCATGGGAGGAGCTGATCAATAATGTGACAGCACCGATTGTTAAAGCTCAAGGCAAACAGAATCAGAAGCTTGAGGAGTCCATTACCAACCTTAAGGACAGCCTGGAGTTCTCTGACAAGAAGCACTCTGCCAGATTCAAGCAGCTCAAGCTCACCATCGAGTCTGACAAGCTGGCGAAGAAGGAGATCGATGACCAGGTCGTCCAGATAATGAACCTCCAAGGCCAACTTTTACCTCTGTTGGAGGCAAACGGGATCAAGAAGGCCCAACCAACCCACCAAGATGATGCCTTCCCATTCTCAACAGTACCATCGGACGATTTTAAGAGTGAACGCCTCGCCAACGGCTGACTCAACCTCTAACGATTACCATACAACTCATTGTTCAAGAATCCTCAGGAGAAGCGAGTCAAGTCGGCGTGGAACGAAGCAGTGCTTCAAGATGAAGTAGACACCTTCCAGAATACCTCAGAGAAGAACAAAGTTGCCCTTCTTCCTGAACTTCGTCTCCAGTAAACGAATAAAGAAGTCTTGAACAAGTTGTCAGCTATCCAGGACCGTTTCAGAGCCGCGTTGGTGCCGTACGAGAACTGGGCACAGAGAACGGCGATCGAGATGTCTGGAGACTTCCAGCAAGTCGCTATATTCACTCGCGCTGGTTCAGTGAACTGGGTCACCTTTTTGGAGGCCATCCTTCAGGTCCTGTCAGATCATCAGGTTCTTTACGGATCAATGGTGTCGTTTAACTCATTGCTGCCAGCGCAGAACGAGAGCATGTTGAACTTCACCAGACGAATGAGAGAAGCATGGTACAAGCTGCCCACGACCTATCGGGCAGGAGTGATGAACAGAGAGGGCGTGATCAACCTCATTCGTTAGTATATACCGAGTATCTAGATGATGATAAAGGACAACCACAGCAATTGGTCGACCACAGAGATGATTGAGCAAGCTGTTACGCGCAGTCAGTTGATGGCTCGCACCGCTATCGAGGATCAGATCTACATGAAGTCGTCAGTAATAGTACAACTTTAGGGACAATTATCTCCCTTTTATAATCTGAACATCTCTGAAGCCACACCCACGAAGCCAGGAGTGCTCAAGATTGAGCCTGCTGACGCTCGAATCACCGACATCCCCAAGCAGATCATCGCAGATCCTCGCCTAGAGGATAACAAGGTGAACTCAACCAGAAAGGATTCTGGATATCCGGCTTCAGAGCATGACAAGTGCAACAACTGCGGCAAACCAGGACATTGGGCACGAGACTGCCCTCAAACAAGTACGCAGATGACGCGCTTTCGGCGCTCCATGTCACCTCGCACACCGGCCCAAGGCCAGGTTGACAAGGTCACAATCAGAGGCACGATGACGAAGGAAGACAAATCCCACATTGACTTTAGCAGACTGAAAGGCAAATTGAGGGACTGGGCGTCCAGGCCCGGCAACAATACTTGACCTTCTACCCCTGCCCGACCCAATAACCCCAAGAAGGTACATTACTCGGACACCGTAGAGTTGTACCAGCCCGAGGATAACGACAGAAGCAAGGCCAAGACCCTGACAGATAAAGATGAAGACGACCCCCTCTTTAATGATTTTATCCAGAGAATACTGGATAAAGAAGATGAACAATAGGGGAGCCGCGCACACTTTATGGCAATGTGTGAGGGACATGGTCCGCCATCCATACCTCTGAGACCTCTAAGAGAAGGCTACAGCCAACAATATCAGGTTTATGCCGCCAGGTTGAGCAACAAGACCCTGTTCACGGTCTTCTTTGATAACGGTTGCTCCGGCTGTTACATAGATCACGAGATTGCTAACCACCTGAAGCCGTATCCTAGTCAGAAGCCAACCATGATGAGCGGAGTTGGCGGCCAAGGGCCTTGAATCGCACAGTATGTGATCGTCGAGGCCACATTTCGAACCATTTCCATACCTTCCGGCTACACCAAGCCATTTCAGGTCTCAGCAGGCCTGGTACCCAACGGCACCTTCCCTGCCAATCTCACGATAGGCAGGACCGTTTTCTATACTTGGGGCTTCCAATTTGGCAATGGATCAATCACTCTGACCAACTACCCATCGTCTCCAATACTCAAGCCGATACCACAAGACCGAGCGCACCTCTTTTCCGAGCCTGCGTACAAGGCAGACGAGCCCGTCAGAGAAGGACCAGCCAAGGAGATCAAAGTCAAATGGAGTCACAAAACCCCCACAGACAACGCCCAGATCAACGAATACCTGGCGTCATATGAGAGGGATTTTCCTGGCTTATTTGACCCTGCCAAACGACGCACCGACGTTCTCACGAAGACTGTACACACAATCGATACAAGAGACTCTCTACCAGTGAAGCTACCCCCAAGACGGTACAGCCCTCCGCAAGTACAAGCCATGAAGGACTTCGTCAACAAGCATGAGGGCAAGATCATACGGAAAGGCAAAGGTCCATGAAGAGCGCCAGCACTGTTGACACCAAAGAAGGCACCTTGGCAAACCACGATGCCCACAAGAAAGGATGACGACACTGTCATCTGGAGATTTTGCTACGATTACAGGGAAGTGAACAAGAAAACCAAGAAAAACGCACATCCACTGCCGAATGCGTTTGACCAAATCCAAAAAGCAGCAGGTCACCGCTGGTATGCCTTTATTGATATGCTCAACGGGTATTGGCACATTGGCGTGTATGGACCAGATCAGGAGAAGACTGCATTCGTGACACCTTTTGGTGTATATGAATGGCTTGTAATGCCATTTGGGCTTTGCAATGCCCAAGGAACGTTTCAGGCATTTATCTAGGAAGTATTGCAACCCTTTCTAGAATGGTTGGCCAACCTGCTTGAAGATATCGCCGTCTAAAGTGACACTCTCGAGCAGCTTCATGTACAGTTGCGGATTATCTTCGCGCGATTAGTGATGTATGGATTGATGCTCAACGCATCAAAGACCGTCCTATTCGTACCTCACGGAGTATTCCTGGGCTTCCTGATCTCCATAACTGGTATTCAGGTAGACCCAACCAAGGTCTCTGCGATCAGAGAGCGACCAATGCCTACTACCAACACAGAAGTACGAGCCTTTGTGAACAGAGCTGGCTATCTTTGTAGCCTCATTGCTAACTACTCCAAGCTGGCAGGACCACTGTCTGAATACATGACGGGTCCTAAACGCCAGAAGGTGGTACTCTCAGAGGAGGCATAGAACGCGTGGAGAGCAATTTGTGATGCTATCACCACTCTGCCAGTGGTCAGGCATTACGATTGGACCAAACCCTCAGTGTTGGAATCCGATGCCAGTGGAGGATACGTTGGAGCTGCCCTATTGCAGCCACACACCCACGGCGCTCAACAAGTACTGCATCCTGCTGCGTACTTCTCAAAGAAGTTGACGCCTACACAAGTACGGTATGCTGCTCAAGAGAGAGAGCTACTCGGTATCCTCCTCGCGCTTCAACACTGGAGAATTTGGGTCGAAGGTTGCCAGATCACAGTGGTCACGGACCACGAATCTCTCCGCCAAATCAAGAACAAAGCCGAACAATCAGCGAGAATGTTACGCTTTCTTGATGCTATTGAGCATTATCAAATCAAGATTATATATCGACCTGGAAAGGCCAACCTCCTGGCTGATTACCTATCCAGGCCACCTAAGGACTGGGTATTTCCAGCTGCAGAAGTGATTGGTCTGGTCAATCCGCCGCAGGAAGAGCCCAAGATTCACCAGATCCAGCAACCGTATCAACTCAACCAGCTGGATTTGCAATCAATCCACGAATTTCTGGTACTCAAGGCCCAATTGCCAAAGAATATTGAGCCAGAATAGGCAAATCAGAACTTCACCGTGGTACAAGGCAAGCTTCACCGACTCTCACTCAATACGCGAGCTCCTGGAGATCCACCACATGCTACAGGCACTGCTACAAGTGCTAGAGCACTTCAGGAGGTCCTTGAACCCGGTGAACTGTGTATCCAGGCTCGCCGCGTACACCATGAATTAGGCCACTCAACAGTTGGAATCACAGAAAGGGAACTTCTGAAGCAGTTCTGGCACCCTGAACTGACTCTAATCTCACAACAAGCTGTTGCTGAGTGCCCTCAGTGCCAACTGATGAAGAAACCCAATCCTACGTTGCCAGATCTCCATCCAATCCAACCTCCGCCGTCATTAACTCGATGGGCAATAGACCACACCTTTTTCAAGGGTGTTGCTATCCTAGTCGCTATTGAGTACGTAATAGGTTGGATAGAAGCTGAAATAACAAAAACAACTGGATGGGAAGACTCCAAACCACTCCTTCAGAGAATTAGAGACACATTTGGCTTCCCTCGTGAATGGATTAGTGATAACGCAGGCAACTTCATCAGTGGAGAAGCCAGAGCCTGGCACGAGAAGCACGGTGCTGTGGTGATGCCAACTACACCACTTCGGCCACAAGGAAACGGCAAGGTTGAGAAGGCAAACAGAGATATCAAGAGGCAAATCTATCGAGAATTTCAAGCTGATCCATCTACACAGACCTCCTTGCTACTCAAGAGAGCACTTACAACACTCAGACGTGTACCAAGACCTTCTGGGTACAGCACTTACTTCTTGATGTTTGGAACACAACCACCAACGCACCTGCTACCAAATGAGGTGACCAAATACGTGCAAGAGCCAACAGATGAGGAAATGGACGAAGCTGAACGATTCCTCGCCATCAACCACGAAGCACCAATAGCCAGAGGGCACGCCACTGGTCTGAAGGCATCTCGAGCCCAGATCCGCGCGTATCTACAAGAGAAAAAGGGACTGTTGCGAGTGTATGCACCAGGAGATTGGGTACTGCGAGTACGCCAACGCAGCGCCAAAAACGAGCCATATTATGATGGACCGTGGGCTATTCTGAGCTGCCATGCTGGCAACACTTACAAGCTGCGAAGCCCTAGAGGAATACAACTTTAGAATAAGTACAACGGTACTAATCTTTCCCCTGCGTATGTGGATGATGGCCATCCAGGACGTTCCTTGTGGTACGCAAGCAAAACAATGCTAGAGAAGGATCGGAGGGAGCTCAAAAAGATGCTTTTGGTGCAAGAGGAATAGAAAACACCAGAAAATATCGTAAGATTCGCTGGCTGCTGTAATTGTGGGAGAATCGGGACGATTCTGAGCGAGGAGAGGGATTATGTGGCTCCTCAACCCATTTTCCAGCCACAATGACGGATGGGTCACGGACCAGGATACAACGTACCTTGGAGCCCAACGGGTACCCGTTTGTACATGATTTGTACCCAACTGGGATGATAGCTACTTCTGGGATAGGGACACCACCTATCCCTTCTTTCAATCAAGCAACTTCCAGAAATCAGACCAATAGCCACCTATCGTGACCCTGGTCCTCATTCTGGATACCGCTACCACAAGGCACAGGCCTGCACCAGGAGTTCAGGAGTGAACCCCAAATGTGCATGTATTGACGAGTATCTTGACCATTGGTTCCCTCCTGTCCTCTTCAGTTTAGATGGTAGCCTCATCCGTTTCGGTGGTTGAGGAAAATGGGCAGAGTGTCTGTCCTGCTTCGTCACATTTAGATCGAATTTAAGCACTTGACATCTACACGTAGACGATTCAGATTGGAAACCCTATTCCCTTTTTGCCCTAACGTCACCAATGCATTCGAAGAAGTGATATGGAGCATCATGTCGTCGTTGACTTGCCGAGCCTTATACCGAGGCAACGGAACTCGGAATGCCCGGTCCGCTAAGCGGCTAGAATTGGTCCACAAACGCCTGGCCGTGAGACCCGGGAGACGGCCTCGGATCCAGACAATTCGGTCCGAGAGCCGAGCCCGATATGGTTGTCTGGGGCAAGATGTGCCTGGCTCCATTACGATGTTGCCTCAACTGAAGAGGCCTGAGCCAAGTGGAACGTGTCTGTCATAGGTCCAAGATCGTACGTAATCGGATGTCGGGATATAAAAAGCGACAGGAGGATACCTTGTCACTTGGCTAGTCAGGAGTCAATGACAGATGACAGCGGATTGCCTATTTGAATAGTGTACACGGCTGCTCGAGGTCCGGGCGTATAGGGACCCGGACCACTTCCGACGAAGAACGCGGATCATTAATGCCATGGGACGTGGAGAATATACCTACGGCTATGAACTATGTATATACAATTTAAATGGGCTTCAAACATGCCCATGCCGAGATAGCTGCTGGTAGTTGGGCGTTCGGGATACCAACAGAGATCAGAGGCCTCCGGAGCCGGAGCGTGTCCTCAAAGTCGAGCTGCATAAAAGACCCGTCATATGACAGAAAAATCCAAGATTATAAGGCCCAGCGCCTTGTAGGGCTAGCACCAAGCATAAAAGGCTTTCCCGCAAACGCCGAGAAAGCTTCGGGAAAGCCGCCACGCATACTCTCGACGCGTCCCTTCAAGAAAAGTCAGAACCTCTAGAAGCAGACAAGTTTGCAGGCGGCGCGTTCTCTTTTAGCTACCTTTGCCCCGTTCCCGACATTCGGCACATTCATGTGGTTTATCAATCAGGGGAACTGAAGTGATTAGCTCGAAGATGGATGCACGGCTCCGGATCTCTGGTATGCCGACGGGATCAGAGCCTATTGGCATGCCATAAGTTATGCTGTCGAACTTGCCGTAGGACATTCTTCGGTGGTAGTAGTTAAGCTATCGTCGGTTTGGCAAGTGTGTGCCTTAGGCCGTTCTCAGGGACTTCGTTCAGTACATACTCTAAGATCCAGTGGATATCAAAGACTCACGAAAACAACATCTAGCGACCTGGGAGGCGGCGCGTAGCCTGCATGTTGCATAACTTTACCACGGTAGTTACGACGATATGGTATGTATTTGGTGGGTGAATTAGAATAAACAAATGACTACTCAGGCTTCATCACCAAAGGGCTGATAAGCTAATGATGGCGGTTTTACAAATAATGAATAATATGCCCGTCTAGAAGGAGATTCGTGGCTCCGAATCCACAGCTTCTTACTTCTCTCATGCCCATTGCCGACGGCAATTGGCACTTTAGAGCAAATGGGCAGAATCTTTCCCCTAGCTGTCATCCCATCACACTGCTCGCTGCTTCATTTTAGCTGCTGGAGTGGCAGCAGCAAACGCCGACACTAAACCGCTAGAGAGTTAGCCAGCCCTCTGGCCAGAGACGGCTTGGGGCGCCGTTCTGGATGGCGGAGTTCTAATCAGGCCTGGTGTAGATACCTACAGGAAGATTTACATAATCTGAAAATATATCAAAGTAAGGAGCCGAAGTAACGAGAACCAGCCCATTTCACAGCACGAGTGCGTCGTCTTCGCACATAGGAAAACTATCTAGAGGTTACGGAAATCATATACTGTATATCGGACGTGGAGAAGCCTGTCTTCTGGAGGCTGGCGGGCTCCCCCAATACCCATACGATTAGCTTCCGGATGATGAGGGCACAGAAGCAGGGAAGGTGGTAGATCGCAAAAGCATCCACAGCCTATTGAACCTTGGACAATGAAGACCCATGATCACGCAGCGCACGGGCATACCGTAGCCAAACTAGCCCAGCGATTCGCACCGCTGGTAGATTTTATTGGGTATCCTGGCTTTGGCGTCGACCTAAGACATGACGACGCGCGGAATTAGTTCAGATGCACACTACCGTTCGGCACAGAAATTGGCCAGCCCCGTGGACGGTCAATGAACTAGACCGTGAATCTAGAACTTTCGCCGGCCTGGCCCTTAATATTAAAAGGGTAGCCATGATAGACTACACACATTACCGTTCCGGCAAGAGATCGACCAGCCCTGTAAACGTCTGATGAACTCAGTCGGGTAGTCATGACAGGCTATATACACACATTTACGGTCCAGGCAAAAGATCGACGATGTCCGTGAACGTTCGATAGACTAGATCGTAAATCTAGATTATAGCAGGTCTATCTCTTCAGATTTCAAGGGACAGGCTGCGCAGCAGGCAGGCATTAAGCTACGCAACCCCTGAACGACAAGACTGAAAGAATCCAGCCCGAGAACTCCATCGCCCCTCATTCCCCACGATGGTATGAACGGCTTGCCATCTCTTCCAAGGTTTCCAAGGGCTTGCAACCTTCCAAGACCCAAAGCTGGAGCGATGAAGACGGCCTGGGGCTTGTCCGGGACATTCACGCTATAATCGCCGAGATTGCTTATTAGTTTCCAAGCACGATTTGCGAGGAAAGCTAGATGTGAATCAAGCAGTTCGTTCATCTAGTCAGCCCTCGGAAAGTATCTTTCGGCTGGGCGAGCAGTGAGCTAGCTAGCAATCTTGACACGCGGCCGGTTATTGGCAGGTAAACCATATTTTAGCCAAGCCTTCAGTCCAACCTTCCAATGAACCTGCTACAGTTCCTGTGCGGTAAGATCGGCGCAGGTCTCCATTGAAAAAAGGGCGCCGGCTTCCCTGATCCGAGCGCATTGGGTCCAGCGGCGGTATCCAAGCACGGCTCTGCATTTACCCCTGATCAGCATATTGTTTCAATATATAGGTCTATGCGGCTTCACGTCACTCTCTTACCGTTCGTGTCACTCTTTTACAGCCCAACCCCAACCACAAGTTCGGCCGCCGCACCAAGGTAGCAGTCAAGCCCGCGAACGAGTCAAGTTCGCCCGACGGCCCGACGACAAGATGGCGACCAACGCAGATGGCGTCCCCCTGGCCTACTACGAGGCACCCAACAGCCTGGTGGACATGAACTCGCAGACATCCCAGGGGCTGCTCGCGATTGGATCTCTGGCCGTTATCTCGCTGCTCTTCACGTCGGCGCTGCTCAGCTTCATCTCGTGGCGCATGATCTCGTGGCGATCCCACTACACGAGCTTCATCGGCCGCAACCAGAGCGTCGTGCTCATCTACCAGCTCATTCTGGCCGACTTCCTGCAAGCGCTCGGCTTCATCATCTCCTTCCACTGGACGTCCCAGGGCAGCATCACGGGGCCGAGCGGGGCGTGCTTTGCCCAGGGATGGCTCATCCAACTCGGCGATGTCTCGAGCTCTTTCTTCGTCCTGGCTATCGCCTGCCACACGACTTACCAGATCATTCTTTCGAGGAGTCTTTCCTACAAATCATTCGTTATTTCCGTTCTCGGCGTATGGGGAGCCGCTCTGCTGCTTAGTTCGCTTGCCCCTATCATAGGGGGCCGTTACATCTTCATGAGAGCTGGTGTCTGGGTAAGCAACTCGAAATATCGAATCAAAGTCCTATCTGACACGTACAACAGTGCTGGATCTCGTCAAACCACGAGGACCTGCGTCTTGTACTTCATTACCTCTGGATCTTTATTGTCCAGTTCGGCTCCATCCTCATCTACACGGCCGGCTTCTTGTACCTGTTCCGTAACAAGCGCCCCGGCGCCATTATGATTCAGGGCGCGAGCGTGGAGGCACTGAACAAGGCGGCGAGATCCATGTTGGCCTACGCCCTGGCTTACACCATCTTGACTCTTCCTCTTGCGTAAGCTCTCCGAAATCGCATAATCTGTAATCGATTGCTGACAAACGCCCAACAGCGCCGGCCGTATGGCAAGCATGTCCAACAACTCATTGTCCGACGCATACTACCTCTTTGCGGGAGGCCTCTTCACCTCCGCCGGCTGGGTCGACACCGTTCTCTATGCTTTCACCCGCCGCACAATTCTCTTCAACGAACTCGACCTGATGGGCCACCACCAGCAAGACTTCGACAACCGAGGTGCCACTGGCAACTTCCCGAGACAGGGCAGCACCGACGATATGTTGGCGGAAGGCGGGTATGGACGGTTTGGTGGCATCAAGACGGAGAGGACTGTGAAGGTCGAGTTGGACGACCTGGAGAGTCAGGGAAGCCAGGATGGAGAGACCAGCAAGTACCACCACTCGGCGACGGCATACGCTACCTAGAGCTGCGACTACGATATTTGGGTATGGATTTAAGCCCAGGACCACGATGTACTGCAAGCAAGTAGCTCTTTCGTGCTCGCCTTTGAAGCATAGTCTAGGAGGAAGATACCCCATGGATTCCTACGATACCATTCTTACTGCCAACTCGGTTAGTCAATGTTAATATTGAAGCCATCAATTCACATTGAAGATGGTTAGAGTCACGCTGCACATTCGCGATCCCTTGATAGTTGTGCCATACCATGTCTATGGATAGTCGTATGGTAGGGAATCCCGGCAAGCTAGACGCTTTCGTAGGAGGCAATGCGCAGCTCCCGTGTGCATCTGCCGCGCCCCCATACTCCAAAGCATCATTTCCACATATCAGTCATGGCCCAGTCTGCGCATAGAGCCAGAGGAAAGGTAGTGGAATCCCCACCAAAGAGTGCTGGTGGGGTGGCTAGTGGCTATGGAAGGTTTTCTGTGATATCTGCCTGAGAGCCAAGCCACGACGGTGTCACTGTCGACGCGCTATAGCACATTAGCGCAGGGAAGGCCATATACTTGTCAATGTGACACTTGACGATGCCGGCGCTTGCCGTGCTCGGCCAGTGGTAGGGCAATCAATCAATGGGTCTTTCATTCATCACTAGTGCCCGAATAGGGGATGAAAGTGAAGCTTGTGGTAGATCAGATTACACAAGTGCCGCCGGCGTCTAGTCGATGAGAACTATCGTAGCTGGGCCGAGTCCGAAAACCAGGTTTGGCGCGTCGTCATCGGTCCCACGTATCTACTGGACCCTGAACTGCAAGGGGCTGGCTTCGAGAAGCACAGGGTGGCGACTGCGCATAGCTGCATCGACAGACTCCTGTAGGTACTGACTTGTATAGCTATCCGGTCGGACCGAGAATGGTGAGCCCGTCAAACAGGGTCCATCAAACCCGACTCAAGGTCAAGCACTAGCAATGTCCTCGTAGGTGTTTGCCAGTTTAAAAGACATCATCATCTACGAAAAGGGGGATGTGGATGGAGAGACACAGTCAAAAACCACAAATACCCTGCTCGACATGCCGGTAGCCGATACACAGCGATCGCTTGCAGACGCAAATATATTCCCATAGATAGTAGGTGATCCATAACGCTCAATATTACAGTATCAATCTAAATAATTTTCCGATGTTTTTATTAAAATTCATGACGTTAAGAAGAACTCCGTAAAGTCTCACAGACCAAGCGGTCGTCAAATTAAAGACTACCACCCCAGCTGCTCGCGAATCTACGTTACTCGATCTCCTCACAGCGGGACGTTCGTCCCCACAAGCACTGCAACGGACCCCTGCGCCGCATGGCCATACGATGATGAACCCCGGAGACGGATCTGGAAAAGGCAGCCAAACTTGCCAAGCCACCTGAGTACTGTCCCCAATCCCCAGATAAGACGGGTCGACTCCCTGCTTGAGGTCGCAGCGACCGTCTGCCAATCCAGTCTTTCCCTATTCAGGGCTCGATATCGCAGAGGGGAAGTGTAGATCTGTATTTTTATGATGTGAATTGTCGTACTTGAACACGATGTGTCCCCCGCTGGGACTTTCAGATACGGACTCTTGTTGGGGTCCAGTCGCTCGTTTGGACTCACCTGTGTATTATCCAGGATGAGGTCGCGACTGTATTTGCCCTTGCCGCCATTCCCACCGCGCTGGCGGTCCTTGAACGCTTTGATGCTCGAAAAAGGGCAGACATACCTTTCGGCTTACGTGCTCACTGGGCGGCTTGAAAGACATCATCATCGAGAGGCTCTCATCGTCATAGATCCTCATCGTCATAAATCTCCACGGCTGTCAAATCGCCCCTTGGTACCCGATGTATGGCCCGGGTGTAAAAGTAAAGAAATCCAGTCTTTGGTGTGCCACTTGGGGAGAAGCGAGACCGCAGATGGGCCAAGATGGACATCCTTCTTTCACAGCCACGAAAACAATGTGCAGAGGAATAGTGGCTGGAAGATGTCGTCGGGATCAAGGTGATCGGAGCGGAAGGTTTCGAGACTACAGCTGGTGAGAAAGTCGCCGCGACATACTGGAAGGATGGTACAGGGCTCAGGGGTCTCGTGAAGACACTGCTTGTGCGGAAAGGGGTGTACTTCCTGAAATTGGTCGTGTTAGTGTACGTTTAATAGTCACGACAGGCGATGTCAGGCTTACACGATGAGCTAGCATGTATGATACACCGCCTCCGTTCAAAGTGAGATCTCGGTGGACTGGACACAAGGGCACCTCTTCTGTGCATTCCAACATGTCGGAATGATCAGTTTCCGTATTCGTGGGATTTGGCGTATCGAGCACGACGGAGGCTGGGAAGCGGTGGGATAGGTATTGAAAGCTGTGAGTTTTGGCGAAAGTGACACTGCCGGCGACAGGCCCTTCCTTTCCGAAGGGATCGTTGACGCACATGGCTCGAGTCAATTGCAAGTGATGAAACCTGCAGGCTGTGTTTGCTGACGCGATGGCAGATTATCCGTGTTATTTTCCATGCAGTAGGCCTTCGTGCGTACTGCTGACTACACCTTGGGCTGGTGAGATTCAAGGGAAGCTGAGAGAACAAATCATGTGTCTGTTTCTTCACCAGTGTGTAATCACCAAGGAGGTGAGCGCACCGGTGAGAGCCCGTAGGTTGGGTCGGATTATTCAGGTATTCTTATTGGAGGAGACACACCAGATGGTGATCGTCTTTCTCAACGCTTCCAAGGTGCCGGTTAGCTTGGACGTCACCCGATTTTCCAAGGTCCCACTGGGCAAGGCTACAGAGAGCCTCATTGAGAGCCACTCTAGACCTGTTCCGCCCATTCATGTGTCAGCGAGGGCGGGCCAAACACATATGGTTGCACAACAGCAAAGCTAGTGAATGTCCTTCCTGGTGGAAGTTCTTCTAGCGCGACCACTAACGGTAACTATTTTCGAACATCAATCAGACGTGTTCTGAGAAACGCCTAAGATTAGCACATGTACTCAGTGTGGGATTTCGGGATGGTCTGTATTAGAAGAAGAAGAAGAAGAATAGCTGAAGGGGGTACCTTCCTACATAAATAGCTGTGAAAGTGACCACTGACAGCTATTAGGTGATCCCATAGGATGGCGAATATACTGCTCATACTGCGCCACTGAGCACGTTGAGCACGTATTCTAACACTCGGTGAAATTCAAGTCATATAGTCACATTGATCATATGTTGGATTCTGGGCTACTTTAGCCCATCCATAGTCATCCTTCAGGATCACCATCCCCATTTGTGACTCTGTCACATACGTGGCCAATATAAGGCCACGTATCCTTTCCTTTAGTATCTTGAATATATATAGGGCCATTCTGGCCGCTCCAGAGTAGCTGGAATTCCTCTCCTTAATAGAACACTTTGAAATCTCACATCATATAGCTCAAGGTTGCCGCAGAGCCTGAACTGATAAAGGTATTGATGCCATTTCTCAACCTACTGGGCTGGGATCCATGAAGTCAAGACATCCAGCTTGGTTGGACCAAGTTGACATCTGCAATCACCCCTTACGCTACAGCATGGACATTTCGGTCGACTAGGCCGTGATGAGTCCCCAACGACGACAGACGAAAGAAAACCCAGGAGCTTGCACCTCCAGGTCCTTTGGAAATGGTCCAGGTTTACTCCCTCGACCGCCAAACCCACTATTCGGTTCAGAAGCGCAACCGCACCCCAGCAAACCCATACAATATGACAAGGTACTCCAACTCACAGCCATGGAAAGCCACCGGCCCCCAAAGAAGACTGACAACTATGATCCTTCCCAAGTCACTATCTTGGACCAGGTCTGCGCAAGATTTAGAAAGCCATCGCATGCTCGGATAATCACGGATCAGCTTCTGATGCGCCGTGTTGGCTTGGAAGCTCTACACTTGCTATCTCCAGCACCGTGGAGGTTCCGTGGAAGTCCCGCACTCCTGATGGTAGGGAAGTTCTCATTCCTTGCATCGTGATTTCTATCTGAGTGTACTCAGTCTGAATGTTTTCAGTTTGACTAGAGAACATCGGTGGTGCGCGTTCAATCTTGAGCAACATCTCCCCTCCTGTGACAATCAGGCCTGCAGCTGCACTGGTCAGGGCTGATGGGATGAAATATTTAGATTCAACGATATCTAAGGAAGAAGAGGCAAGGTCAGAAGAGAAAGGGGAAGCTAGAGGTATATATGTACATAAATATGTGGAAGTATTATGTAATACCGTAACACTTCCCACCGGCAACACCTAGTGAACTCAGCCGCAGAACCCGGCTACTGTCGGTGTGAACTGGGAGAAGTACGTCAAATTGATGCGGGGAGGTCAAGCCCATTGTTGCCATAGTGCCCCTGTCCTGGTATGGGGAAATCTGGTGATCAAGTCAGGCGACGTCGAACAAAGAACTTCTCAAGCCGTCGACCAACACAGCCAACACATCCACAACCAACCAACCATGCGTTTGAGGCCAGCTCAGCTAAATATCCTCGGTCGACTCACAGCAGTTCTTTGTTCTGTTGCGCGGCGCCTCATGGGCGTGACGTTGCAACTTTCCCGCTCGTATCCCTCCGGAAATCTCTATCTGTACCCTCGGCCCGCCAACATCGCCCCTTCTGCTGGTCTTGTGGTCCATGTGGCCAACAGATCGCATCGACTTCGCCACCAGTTGGTAAAAAAAGCTTTATGACATGTTTCACGATGTGGTCATCAGCCAACCAACAGGCAAGAACCCAACGTCAGTCGCCCGGCAGAGCCCCAACACGCTCGTTTCATGTCCGTCATCTGGGTCTCGTGCTGGGTATAGAAATGCTGCCGACTGCTGTGCCGCTGGGTGATTCCTGCTGTGCCGCATCGCCTCTGTTTTCAATCTGTGTTCCTCGGGAATTCGCAACCAGCCACAAGATAACCGAGCTGAGATATCGCCATGGCGCCCTCCAGCAGCAACACTCCCAACCATGGACAGGTGAGGACAAAGCACAAAAAAAAAACCCCCAAAGATCGCTTTATCCACCGACCCAAGGCCGGAGCATGATCGAAGTCTTACGCCCAGTCCAACGCCCACTCCAACCCCGTCGCCGAAGCCAATCCACAACATCGATGAAGAGAAGCAGAACAACAATCACCATGGCCACCACGTTCACGTTGAGCACGACAAGGTCCAAAAACAAGAAGGTTCCCTCTGACTTCACACTGTGAGACGCCCATCGCGGAGCCCGCATTGAGTTAGTCGCCAGCCCCGTCAACAGCCAAGCCGGCTTTCTCCCATTCGCATTCGCATTCGCACTCGCACTCGCAATCCCCATGGGCGTCCACACTGCGAACCATCCAGACACAACAAGGAACAGTATACGAGCACCACCCTTCTACACCCACGTTCCTTCGCAAGCATGACATCATCCAAGTGCACACATCCACCATTCTCTCTTTCGTAATCCACAACGTCCAGCAATGGCACCAACCCCTTTCCCAAAACAAGAGATCCCGATTCCACTCAGGACCCACACTCGTTTCAGGCACTCAGCCAACTATTTCCATTTTCCTTTCCACTGCGCCGAATTGCAATAGACCATCATTTACGCACACGATCTAGCCGTCAGAGCACAAGCGAGTTTGCAATATATAGCCCGATATACACGTGGGGGCATGGTCAATTCGCATTCCATCCAGTGTGACTGCAGGAAATAAAGCATAAAGAAGACCAGAACATCATGTCAGCGATTAAACATCTAGCATTTCCTATTTATAAATTCCGTCAGTATCTCATCAATATATTGTATATGTCAACTTACCTCGAAGTCCAATCGAGTCTAAACTGCCCCACTTCCGACCCCTTTTTGCCCCTATTTTCTGTGCCATTTTTCCATGCAACATCAAAGGCCATGAACGTTCAAATGACTTACGTATGCCACTAGAAAAGGCCAATCCGTATACAGTACTTTCGAGTTGCCCTTGTCATTACTGCCTACCTTTAGTCGTCCTGCTATCGTTATCGTCGTCGTCGTCGTCGTCGTCGTCGTCGCAGCTGTGTTCTAAGAAAAAGTAGAGGTAAACAATGAAGCTAGGAGTTGAGAGGCCGTCCAGAACACCGCAACAACAGCCAGCGCAGCTATGGAGGATATTCCAGAGATACACTTCGCCTATAAACCGGTAAATGGGTGAATGGACAAGCGTCCGAAGACCACCGATGTGCTATCATTAAATCGGCGATGTGTAGCGGAGATAGTCTGCTGAACCTACCAACTTACATGTAACTCGCAATTTTTTTTTGGTCTTTTTAGAAAAGGGGGAACTTAACTCAAAACCCCAACAACTTCAACCTCACTTTCACCCCCGTCTCCCCACCCCGGGCACACACGACTACACCACTCCCGAATTCAACCTCAGAACCCCCCGAAACACCTCCGCCTGCCCGCGCCCGGTCCCCAGGTCGACGAGCCTGTACCGATCCGCAATTTGGAGCCAGTCATCCCTATGCACCTCGAGCTGCGCCGCGACGAGCCTCCGCTGCACTGCCGTATGGCGGCGCAGCCGCCCCGCCGCGTGGTCCTCGGCGTAGTCGTGCAGGAGCCCCACGGGTTCCTGGACGACGAAGAGCCGGTGCTGCCAGATGCCCATGGCCGTCACGCGCGCGTCCGACCAGAACCACCACCCCGTCGACTGCAGGTAGAATTTTACCTCGTTGAGGTCGTCGTGGGGCACCGTGCTGCGGGCGTACGAGTTGTTGCTGTTGTCGGCGTCGTCCATGTCAACGTCGTTGTTATTGGTATCGCGCAGGTGCTCGATGAACACGCGCACCGCGTCGTTGGGGTACTCATTGTCGTCAACTGGCGCCGGCCGCCGCCGGATCAGCTGCGTCAACGGGCACCCGTGCATGGCGACCCACCGCTGGAACGGCGGCGTCAGCCAGTCGCGGCTGAGGCCCAGGAATTGCGTGTACGTCGACGTCAGGATCGTCCGGCGGGCCTCGTAGCCGCCCTCGCACAGGTGCCGGTAGAGCGTCAGGCCCAGGCTCTGCAGCACGCCGATGAACTGGTCTCGGGGTTGCCGGAATGCATTGGCCTGCGTGTCGAGGAAGTAGGGCAGGCTGTGGTCCATGACGGCATCGCTGACACGCACGGAATTGTCATACCCCTCCATTGGTTGCGCGCCTTGGTCCAGCGCCGCCTGCTTAAGTGCAGCCCGATACGCGGCGGCCTTTCTCAGTTCTAGCATGAAGCTGGCCTCGAAGTCGTTGAGGAAATGGCGGTAGTCGGCGAGCACCCAGTTGTCGATCGTGAGCAGCTGCTGCATCTCGAAGCCGTCGAAGCCGTCGAGCATGGCGTCGATCTGCTTCGTGGGGAGGTTGGGATAGTCGCCTCCGCTCAGGCCGACGGTTCGCGTGAGCAGCTCCCAGCGGAACAGCATCGTCTGCAGCCGCGCTCGCTCGGTTCGGGTTAGGGAGTAACACTCGGGTTCGGTCGGGCCCTTCCCATCACGATCGAGCTTATACACGTTAATCTGCCAGCTCTGTTCGGTCCATCTATCTACAGCCCAGTTGATGATGCAGGTCAGGCGGTAGAGATCTGCGATGCTGCGTTCGTCGCCAGGGAAAGGCAACTCATCGAGGCTGTTACGGCAGGAGTCGATATGTTGCCCAAGCCTATCCTGGATGTCCTTCTGGCTGGCTTCTTTCTTCTCACTCGCGTCCCAAAATTGCGATTTGTTGCGTGGGCAGAGGTGGACTGCCAGTGCTGCAGAGTACGCCTCGGGCTCGAGGAGGTTGCGCACGATCTGCCCAAGAATGGTTTTACGGTATGCGTAGAAGGCACTGCAAAGAGACCGGCTACTTTGGATAGCACTGAAACGAGCACCTGTGGTCAGCTTGTCCCGTACCGCAGTGGTACTTCCGGGAACCTTGCAAATCAATCACAAAGGGACCCGACATACCTCCGCAGGTCCTCGTACGAGTCCAGATTCTTGAGCACCCCAGCTCGAAGCTCGATGGGAAGGAAGGGCAGACTCGGTACACCCGTCATGGCTCCTATCGGGTGTTCTTTCGTTGGTGGTTGGAGTTCAGCTTCCGAGAGAGGCGATCGTTTACTCGAATAGCTGCTGCAGTTAGTATTCTCGTTTTTTCCCACGCAGGTCCAGAGCTTGCGGAGAGGTAGGCACATCTCCACTATGGCAGCTCCAGACCATTGATGGTAGAATCGGTGTAAGTGGAGGGATGACGGCTGTAGTTAATGATATGTGTGAATCGAGTGTAGAAAAGGAAAAGTGAAGGACAATGTTGTAGGAGAGTTTGCGGGGGAAAAGATGACAGATATGAGCGAGGGGACCGGGAGGCGCACGTAGAGTTTGCTGAGAGCCAACATGAAAGTGCCCATGCCAAATGCTTCCAAGCCGATTGAAGCGTAGATAAATAAACATTATTCATAGTGCTAAATGCGCCAAAAAAGGCAAAAAGATATGCACTGTTGTACCGGGTCATGTTGGAGCGTATGGCTGGTATCTATACCTGACCCCGATGGCAGCACCATGGCAACTAAGTGAAAGGGAACGCTATAATCACTGGTCTCGGAACTGCGCCACTCCGGCGGTATAATTCGGCAGCTGGACAGGATGATTCGGCTGCTGAAGACCGAGATGTGAATTCAACATGGTGGCAGGGACCCGGTCAGTGCCTGGCGTATCGTGCACGTGCGTTGTCGTCGGAATTCGAGAAAAGATGGTGTGCGTGCACTCTGGATGGAATGCGGCGCACGGGACATGGAGAGTGTGGTGAGTGTTTGCCGTTTGCTGAGTGCTCTGGGTTCCAGGCTCGAACTCGGTGTAGGTTGTAGGCTGAAGTGACGAACGGGGTATCCGGACCAAGCAGTGTGATATTCGATACTCGACGTGTAGCTTTGGAGTCGCCTGTGTTGTCCGAGCTCACTCAGCTGGAGGTCTTCAGATGCTAGCGAACAATCGACTCAGTCGCGTCATCGAGGTGGGCTCGGCCTGCTAGATACCGTTCGTAAGGTGGGGTATTCTTCACAATAGCAGTTGGTTGATTCCACTGTCTCAGAGGCAATCACAGCAACCCATGCACAACGTATGCAGCCTCCCGTTTGCCGGTGGCGCAGCGCCGTCGACCTTCGGGAGGGGTACTGTCACATGGAACCGCAGCCAGATGTGAGCGACAACCACAAACCTCCAACTCTGAAGTGCTTATCATTAATTCCTATTCTCATCTCCCAACCACGTGCCCACTGTGATAAATACCTATCCAAAAATCGAATAGGTCAGCTAGCCAAAGCAGTATAATCCAAAAACCGGGGTGTCGCCTCCCAATGCTGATATTCTAAGTGCCCACCGTCCCAAAGGTCTCGTACAGAGTATAGACATGATATACTTGGAGGAATCGCATTAACACATACTGTGGTGACTCCGACGTTATTGTTCCCCGATATGCCTAGAAGAGAATATCGAACAGGAATGGCAGGTGATTTGTTGCTGCTTGTGACTATCCCAGGGGGCTGAGTGGGCTCTTGCCAGGGCCTTGGGCACGTTTTAGTGCCCGGAGCTCGTCCTCCAGTCGGCGGCGCACCATTTGCTCTGACTGGACAATATGTTAGCGACAAGTTCTAAGGGGTTGGAACGGCTGGGATAACGTACTCTCAGCTGCTCCTCGTACTTCTTTCTTTCGGCTCGCAGGCCAGCCCGGTACGATTCTGTGAGATAAGAGGTCTTGCTCGTGCCGCCGGGCGACAATGGGCCACTGGCTGATCGTAACCGTTCGTGATCGAGCTCGTCTTGTACCTTCTGCTTATCACTGCGTAGCCTGCCAATTTCGGCTTCCAACCTCTCTTCGATATGGCCTGTAGCTTCGCGCAGTCGCGTTTCGACCTCCTCATTCATCCGCTCCTTCTCATCCCTGATTCTGGTCCGCTCCGACTTGACTCTATCGAGCTCGTCTTCGAGTTCACCAATCTTCTTCTCACTCTCGAGCGATTGCTTGACCACGTCGGTCAGGTCCTGGGCCGTGGCCTTCAATTCTGTCTCGAGGGTCTCAAGTCTCATCTGCATCTTGGCAGACTCGGAGCTGTTGTGCAGTTTGGCCACCTCGGCAGCGCGCTCCTTCCTTGTGCCGTAGGCACCATCGAGCTCGGCTTTGGCAAGAGTAGCCTCCATCTTAAACTCGGCGACCATGCCAGTCATCTGTTCAAGCTCCTCTTCCTTGGCCTTGATCGTCTGCTGCTTGTCCTCGACCGCCTTGTCGGCTGCGTCTTTAGCGTCGTTAGCCTCTGCCAGCTGTGCCGTGATGGTCTCAATGTTAGCCTCCGCTGCCGCCAGGCGCGTCTGAACGTCCCTGGTGTCGGCTTCCAGGGATGCGATTCTAGCGTTGCGCTCTTGGAGTTGCTCGCGGGCCTCCTCAATTGCCGCCGACTCGTCAGACCGACCGTTTTGTGCGTCCTCGAGGTCTTCGAAGGCCTGTGAGAGCTGCGCACGAACCTTGTCTGTCTCTTGTTCTGCCCGACCAAGCAGCGTCCTTGCCTCGTCCAACTCTTCCATCTTTTCACTCAACTGTTGGTCCTTTTCAGAATCGGATTTGCTGTTCAGCTCGCGCTGTTGCTTGATTTGGCGCTTCAGCACACCTTTCTGCTCTTGTAACCTAGTAGCTTGCGTGTACAGCCACTGGATCTTAGTCGAGAATGCGGATAGCGAGTAAGGCTCATCAGTGTCGAAAGATTCGCCATCAGACATGTCTTCCTCGTCCACCTCCAATCCTCTGTCCATCCGATGCTTCCTCCGTTCCTGCTTCCGTTGCCGAATGTCTGCATAACCCGATTGGATAATATCCCACAGTCCCATGAGAATTACTTCAGACTGTTCAGTGTTCTGTCTATCGGCAGAGTTCGAGCTTGTCGTGTCGGCTGCTCGTTGCAGTTCATCCTCCACTATGCGTAGAGAGTCTTGCAGATACGCAAGCTGCTCGTCAACGCCCAGTGATGTATCGGGCGGCGAGGGGTGGCTAGGGTCGACATTCATGAGGACGTCCTGGATCTGGGCGTTAAGTGCCTGTATCTTTCCAGCGGCTTCCGAGTTGTTTGCTCGGCTGTCGCCAATGGCGATCAAACCGTTCCCGAGATAATCTAGGTGGCTGCCGATCATATCTCCGGGCTCACGCTGCCCAGAGGGGGCAGCCTGGTAGTTGATATTCTTCGCTGGGTCTGCCTGTACAATGACCTCGCGTAGTTGACTGTTGAATCGTTCCAGTTTCCGTTCTGTGTCTGATATCAACCTGAACTGGTCTGATTCTTGGCCTCTTAGATCGTTGATCTCGGCAAGCAACGACTCAGCCTGGGCTTTGAGTTGTTCGTTCTCTTCGCGCAATTTCTCACTCTCTTCAGCCATTTGCTTGCCGTGCTCACGATTGGGGGATTTTAGGGGTATCTCGATCGTATTCCGAGCGTTCATGATTTCCGTAGTATCGAAAGACCGATAGAGACTGGCTTCGTCGAACACGAACCCATCATCGAGGAAGTCCAGGCTGTTGCGTCCATTGGTGGTGGTGTACATGCTCTCGGGACTAGCGGGAACACCGTTGACAAGAGGGACTTTGGGAGTCGATGTAGCCTTCTTCTTGTTTGCCATGTGATGATGTTGTAGTATTCCTGCCGTGTGTTCAAGAAGCCTCCGCTGTGGCTCAACAACACGTTTCTCGAGGTGCCATAACTCTGAAGTTAGGTCCTCGCATTTCCTCTGGGTCGCATCGCGCTCGGCCTCGGCTTCGCGCGCGGCATCACTTCCTTCGCTGCCACGGTTACCCAATATGCTCCTCCTCTTCCCGTTCGTAGGAGAGTAAAGTCTGGACATGGAGACAGCAGCATCTCGATACTTGGATTGAATTGCGAGATTCGATCGAACCTGCTCAATCCTCTGGTTCAAGATTTGGCATTGTTTCTTGAGGTCGTCAACTTCCTCCTGCGAAAGGATTTCGTACCCTTTGCTGTCAAATAGGGCAGTCTCGGTGAGAAGATGTACTTGAACAGAATCTTTGAGGTTGACGGCAGTGGAAGTCTGGGCCCGTTCCTGGTTCAGCGGATGGCAGTGTTAGTACGCGCAGTAAGCATGGCGACCACGCCCCTGGGAAGTCTGGGCTGGAGGCTTACCAGATTAGACCGCGGTGTCGCCTTCTCGAAGCCATTCAGGCTGTCTCTTCTGTATCCGTCGACAAGTGACGAACCCTTGGGCGCAAGTGGCCTGATGGCTTCGAAGCTATTCTGACTTCGATGCGCGAACCCGTCCATCTTCGATCGTTCCAAGCAATCGCGTCGCTAGCCCAAATGCATTATATCAGGATGTAGTCAAGAACAGCAGTGTTCCAACAAGTGTCTGTTTCCAAGAGTCTTCGTCGATCCAAGATGCGCGTCGGTGATTCACGGGTCGTACCGACTTGCTCGAGATTTAACAAAGGCGGTGCTTATTTGGAACAGCGGGCGATGGCGGGACGAGGCGAGGGTGATGAGTCGTCCGTCGTTTTCTTGAAATTCGTTCGACAGTCGTTCAATCAGTCCAAAAAGCAAAGCGATAACGATTGCAGCAAAAGGAAGAAGGCAGAGCTGGCGTGAGTGTAGCGAGGAAAGGAGAGTCCAAATCCAAAAGTCGCGGCGGCGGGTTGAAGTGAGCGCCAGGCGACAGCCTACAGGCGAACGGGCAGACGGGCAGACGGGCAGACGGGGTCAGAGAAAAAGGAGATTTGCGATTCATTGAACTGGAGCCGACTGGCACGGGAAAGGAAAGGCGAGAAACACGGGGTAGGCCTTGGCCAATGGGAATCCCGGCAGCCCCAAGACTGTTGCGCTAGGGGCTGCACCGCGCTGAGGCTTGCATCAGCGCTAAACTTAAAAGAGTAAGAAGGGACGACACAGGTGCATTCTGTCGTAGCTGGGACTTTCTTCGCGCCCATTCCCTTTGCTCCCTGCGTCAATGTTATCTGGTAGTTGACTGCGGCCGTACGCGGATCCTAAAAATAACTGAAGCAAGTGCACTTGATCAGAGGTGATCTGACGGTGACAAGACTGATTCCATAGCTGAGCCCCTATAACGCGTGTTGTCTTACACCCATACAGGTGAGATCAATTAGCGAAGTGTCTCACATCGTACTTTATGTAAGCAACGCGAGCCTGTGTGGTAGCAATAACGCTGACGCATGGGGATATTGGGATATCGCGCCTCTCATTTAAAACGTGTCTAGAGGCGCTGTACTTTACGCGTCAAAACACTCACTGGAACAGGAAATTCGCTTTCCGCATTGCTGCGTCGAGATCACAATCTGACAGCTCGAGGGATGGTGGGGTGCCGACAGGGGCCAACACAACCCCTGGTAATTGGTAGAAATAGAGTTCTGGTTGGTTATGTCGTCAGCAATGCCTCTTCAATTCTGCGCGGGTGAACAGCCACCCTGACCAACACACCATACTCATTCCATGTACTTGATACAATACGCTGCAGCATTGAGGTGACTTCTATTCATATCCATACCTACCACGCCATATATCCTACGGTTAAGGGTCTCGGATTATCTATACGGAATTACGAATGAAATTTAACTTGATTGAAAAGGGGGCAGTGTGCTCCTTGTACAGTTACATGCGTCTAGTACGCATCAATATCACCCAGGCATGGAATAGGCTGGCTGACGCATAGCCATAGGGTCGTTCGGGATGGAAACGAGAGCAAATCCGGCGCTCGTGACTTGGGGTTCACAGAGATGAAGTCAACGTACACCGCCCATCAGGTCATATATACTCCTCGATATCCCACCAGGCGTCGCTCGTCGATTTTCTGGACAAGAAGACGTTGTTTGATATGACACCTCCTGAAACCCTATGATAACCAGTAGTAGGCGAATACTATCAGTTCGCAATCGTCGCGTTCATCTACGCGCCATGACCTGAAGCTTACTCAAGTATACTAGGATGTTGGAACTAAAGCCGACAGCGCAGTGCTCACAATACTGCCTGATTCGTTTCTTCAGACTTGCGGATGCTCGAACTCCTCGACCAAACGACAGTGTCAAATTCCACTCTTCCGTCCGGCCTCTTTAGGTACCAACATAAGTAGATGCAGCTGGACAATATTTCCACGGCATATAGCTCTGCATCTCATCATTAGCCTTTGAGAACAGTGTTCCCATCTTCGAAAGAAGCACCAGGTCGATCCTGCGCCTCAGGCGCAAAACCGTGTTCGCCATCCGTCCAACCGGCCTCCCCCACTGGTACCACGACGACCGTGGCCCGTTGATGAGCAGCACGCTCACAAGACCAGCGGGACGTTCTGGAGGTTCTCGACGGTAGCGTAGAGGGCGAAGGCTACGTCGTCCGTCGTGGACAGCACCGCTGGGAGACGCGCCACCTTGACCACACCCGTATGCGTAGTCGTCGCGGCGATGTTTTGCATTAGCGTGTCGGTGCCGCCGCCAGCCGAGGAGATGACGTCCCTCGTATTCGGCATTGTGAAGTCCGACTTTGCCTGGGCCTCGTTAGGCCAGTGGCAATAGATGGGGCTGCAGTCGCCGCCTAGGGGCACCCTGCCACGCGTAGCGACTTGGTCTCGGCTGCGAAAGGTTGCCTAGTCTTTGGTGACACCGTAGATATCCTCCAGGTTCTTGTAGAAGTCGTCCTGGTCAGTGACCTCGTAGTGAAAGTCCTCCGCGTTGGGGTGGTGATCAGGCTCGGGACGTTCGGTGGGCGTGTTCTGTCCACCGTCATACCAATGTGACGAGCCGTCTAACCTATGAGGCTAAAGGGTTCTATAGGGTTTATGTTCTGAGATAAGTCAACACAAAGGACGATAGAGGCTTCTGTCAACTAGAAGACACTCAGATGCTGGGGCTTGGTCTGATCCAGGGGATCACTGAATAGTCGAGTCGTCAGGAGATTTCTCCCACCTTAGGGTTGGCTAAGATGCTTAGATTGATCACTGAGGTAGAGACTGTCTATCTGTCTAGCTAGCAAATGTCCATCCTTATATATCCAATCTCTCCCTCACTGATGAGATGGATATGCTGGATATGCTCCTGATCCATCATATCCATCACGTGATGCTTCTGATCCCGTGATCCGTCCCCTTCGTATGGTCCGTGCGTTCCTACGGCTTCTTCCTATTCCCGTTCTGTCCTGTTGGGCCTGTCAATGGGCCTCATCCTTTGTCCTTCTTGTTGGTTCGTAACAACCAAGTGCAGGACATGTATATATACTTGAGATATGGGCCGCCGACAGTGGTACATCTCGCGCAGGCCGTGATCTGGTTTAGCACAAGCTCGTGGTAGTACTTGGCGTAATAGCCCTTGTCGGCCTTGGTGTAATTCGCATTTGCTTCCTGCAGCAGCGTCATCAGCACAGTCAGCGGGTAGAGGGCACGGCTCAAGCCTCACAAGAAGCATTCGCTGCATGGAAATGGATCACTGCCGAAAGGGGACACATGCTGCCACGCCTCTCAGTCCCCAGGTGTCACTCCGATCCGTCGGGAAGGGGTAGGTCACATTATGTCGTAAAAATAAGTACCCTGGTATAACCAGTAGAAGCGGTATGCGAGTTCCGGGAGCTGCTTATTACAATGGCAGTTGTGCCTGTTAAAATCATGATGGAAGGTGTTGCTGTGGGGACGGGTTATGACTATTGAGCGCAGTCATGACGATAGAGATACATGGCGCAAGGCCGAGGCTTGCAGGCATTGGAATTACAAGAGAAGCTCGATGATACAGCACGCAGAAACATGGGCAATCACGGCATGGAATGAACATGAAAGGGTCAAGTGCGTAGTGCTGGTAGAAAATGCGACAGCCAGGATGGGCAAAGTTGAGAATGGAGAGGAGGAAAACCCAGAGCTGGAGTTGAACTCTCTGTTGAGTGCAGGTCTGCTTCTTTTCAATCACCGAGGGAAGGGAGCAAACATACCACTCGACCAAACGCCCATCTCTTGCGCTGGCAAGCCGCCATACCCAAACCCACCGGTGCCGTATGGCACCGTCGCCAACACGACAACTCAGCGACATTGTCCAATGCCACCACAACATTTCACAACCATAAAGTAGAAACAATGAATCTTGAAAAACGAAAACAAGAACTTGCCAGACAAAAATAAGCTAGAAAAAAGGTAGACTAGAGGTAAAAATAACAAAAGAAGAATTGTCCCCCCCGGGGGAGTTCCCAGAAACTGTGACCGGACTAGCCCGTTTCTACAGCCGCTGCCATCATTGGTTGTCCAGACCTCGACAGACTCCTAGCACTACCAGCCACCCAGCAACTAGTGCGATCCCCCGGATTCCCACGGAAAACGATCTTCACTTTTTGGTATATGTACCCTCCAGCGGGACAGAAGGATTAGGCTGAGCCGTCACTTGATGATTCCCACCCCAGCAACCAAGGTGCTATTCCTGAAGCACCAGCAGCCCCTTCCAGCAGCCGCAACTTCATGGACAGCATTTTCTCACTGCACTGGTTGGATGGACTCTGACAGGGTCCCTCTCCGTATGCTGCACAGATGTTTTTGCAGCTATTCATCATGCTGTCATGGCAACTCATCCCCACTAACCACTCACTATTCACCACGCAACCATCTTGCAAAACAACAATGCAGCAGTCATGTTGCGAAAACGCACCCAGTCACTCTAGTATATACGTACAAGCATTTGGCTGATACCGAAGAATCATTGAAGTCAATTTCCAGGTTGGGAATGCATGCAATGAGATTATGACAGGGAAAACAGGGCGCTGTCACGTCTGACCATCGTGGCTCGTCGTACGGCTTGGTACTTTGATTTGGTATTTACCATGACCACCTGTAGTCTCATACATTCTCACGTGACAGCCACCACCCCTTGGGCATTTTCGATTCGATCCATGCGGTATTGATCCCTTAGTCTACCGACGGTCCTCCACTCTGTCGATCTGCAAAAGTGTGTGGTGAAGCTTGGATGACCAGGGACACAAAACAGATGAGGTACTATTATGCGCCTTGCGATTAAGAGGGAATGGGATTAATTACCTACCAACTGCATACTGGCGATCAATGCTCTCTCGTCCGGCCGTTACATTGCCTCGAACGTCACCGGCTACTGTACTCAGCGCCAGATGGTATGAAAGACACACTCGAGGGAAAGACAAATGCAACTACAGAGCGACCAAGAGTCGTTCCATCTATGAAGGCATCGCATGCTGCTGAGACGCAATACTTGGAAAACATCTATCCCTATATTCGACGCTCATGGTCCAGATGCTTTCCTGATCTGAAAGAAGTCTCTCCCTCGAGAACCCCGGCCTCGTGAAACGCCCCGACCTCGTTGCGCATCCCAACCTGGCTATAATTGAATGGTCGTTCGGGTGGGTTCAATCGGATGAAGTATCCGCGCTGATACGCTGCCCACCGCGCTTCGTCGACGTGTGCTTTCAAGTCCTCGTTCGCCTGGCGGAGGTCTGCCATGTCCTGGCTGGCTCGTTTGGAGTCCGCCGTCACAGTATCCAGAGCGGCCACAGCGGCCATGGTCCGTTTCATTTCCTCGGCGAACTTGTCCTCAGCTCTAATCTTGGCATGATAAGCTTCGTCTCGCTGCGTGATAGTGAGTCGGGGACAGCAACAACACCCACAATGGGGCTGCTTGTATAATGGATATAAGAAGGAGGAGGGAGAGCCATTGGCAAAGCCACGCAGTGAATTTGAAGGGTGTGTCACATGGAGATAATACAATGTGTGTCTGAACTGATCGCTCAATTATATGTGTTATGAGAGAGAAGTGGCTATCCAGAAAGACGAAAGAAAGTAACGAAAAAAATGAACGGTGGCCTTTATATGCCACAGACCTGGCTGTACATGACATCAACCCTGCCCCGAAACAATAGCATTGTCCCGTTGCTGGCGTAGCTTTTGTGTCTCCTCTTGGGCCTCGTTCCGCTGCGTGGTGGCATCGTCTCGTTGCTGGAGTAGTTGCTGTGTCTGTTCTCGAGCCTCGCATATCTCCATCACGTCGCTACTGCGTGCGTTCTCTAGAGCCTCGACTACCTCGATCTTGCGTGAAAGCCTACGCCTGGCTTTTGCTGCCTTTGCTTTGGCCTTTTCAGTCCTTCGACTGGCTTTGTCGGCATCACGTTTCGATCGATCCAGTTTCGCTTCCAGATCGCGGATCATGGCGTCCTTCTTGGGCCCTGACATGGCCTCACCGCCCTCGTCATTGGCAAGTCTACGTCGTTTTCGAGATTCCTCGACATCGTAAATCTCAATGACTGGCGGAGGACGTCTGCCATCTTTCGTGACTAGCAGGTTGTAGTCGACGTTCTCACTTCGCCGAATCCAAGTAATGACGCTGAGGAAAGCTGCGGCAGATTGGGGCGTGGCGACTGCATCGCGGCCGGCCGGGTTGGCTTTCTTGAAGGCCTTTACATAGAAGTCGATGACATTGTTGAGCATATCGTCCTTCATCTAGTACCGGTTGCTGCGGACGATATCCAGCGCTGACTCGCAGGACTGGATGTCGCGTGCAGGGCGGTCCTTGTATGCTTTGGCAGCTGCGTCGAACAGATCGCGTATCCGTATGACAATGTCAGCTTCTCCCAACGCCACCCACCTTGAGCCATCCACGACGACATAAGAGAAGCGGTAGAGATTCTCCCCGGTCATTCTGGGAGCACCTGAAAAGTCGAAGCCCTTGATGCTGGTCAAAAGTTTTCGCACTTTCCCTTCGACTTCGGGATTGAACATCTTCCCAGGTCGGGGAGGCATGGTTGTAGATTAGGGTATGGACCTGCAGCAAAACGGTGAGTCGGGGAGTGAATAATAAGATTGCCTCGATAGATGCAAGATGAAGCGAGAAGTGACTTATTGGCTGACAACTCTGTGGCTGCTGTTCTTACATGTAGGATCGAGACCCGACGATGCGGCGTGCTAGGTAAGGATTGGTGCGCGATCTTACCAAGTCCGCGACGCCGAGACCAGTGAGTGGTGGTGAGAGTGTCGCGAGGGGAAAGCAGAGCGTGAGAGTGTCTACATTCCTTTGCCATGCCCAAATGGAGTGGCCTTAGGGCGTTTCGTGATGGCCTGGGTCTCGGCGAGTGCCAAATGACAGCTTGGAGCAACGTGAACCGCCTGGAGGTACCTGTGGGCCGCAAAGAGCCTGGAAGAGGTAATACGGTGATGTCGACAGATGTGATTAGATACAGATATCTCACGCAGGCACCCCTTTCCTCATCAATATTTACTTGCTGGCCACAGACTTGGTGCCCACCAGATCAAGTCCTGATCGAGAATGTGTTCATGTAGAACTTCACGACTCCATATCCACCTGCACATCTACGGGGAAGTGGTGGCATTGATGCTCGTTTTTGGGTGGTCTGTGCGGCGTCCCCATGGGTCGGGACGTCTCGCTCGTTGTTGCAGAACCTGACGGCGAGATTACGGCGGCGGGTCGCTTGCTAGGTAGCAATGACCACCAGTGACGGCCCCGAACAACAATACGAAAGAGTCCCGACGCCGCACGCGACTGGAAGCTTCGTATCTGCTCTCTTAAGAGCCGAAACACCAGACATGACGTTCTAAAAGGAGTGAGCGCGTGCTTACGACGCGGCATGCCCTGTGATAGGAAGCTTGAATCGGCTCCAGAAGCCACATGTATGTACTTAATAAGTGTGGATGGACTGCTTGCCACGTCCCATCGTCCTAGAGACCGCTATCAGACGTTGAGGATTGCAATCAGTCAATCAAACTATCTAGCCCATCACCAACATGGCCCAACTCCCGACAACACCGGCTGCCTCGGGTTATACACATTCGGGGGCCATCGACTCCGGGCTTCTGGAGGTCGACTCTATTCACCAGATCTATCCTGGGCCGTATGGACAAGCAACAGACTTCCCTGGTATGTTATACCATCACCGAATCTGAGAATAGGTGCTCATGGAAGGAACTAACCTCCATTCGCGAACTCGGACACTCCCGTCAATACAGTGCTTTCCTTAGGGGACAAGGCCCCCAAAGGTTATTGTGCCGCTCAGCCCCTGACCTACCCTCTCGCTCACCGCATCCCATCTTCGAACAGAGGGATATCTAATTACCATGCCTAAATCAGAGCTTGAATCTGTCTAATAAAGATCGCCTTCGGGGCCACAAGCAGGCAAAGGTCGTACGGAATTGATTTGAGGCCGCATGGCTCTGAGCATGTCCATAACTGGTTCTTGTAGTCTTTCTGTTTGGACGTCGGATGAACATGCCTAAGGTATTATGTAATCCCGATTATTAGCATAATCACGTAACTCTCTGACCACAAGCTCACGAGACGCCGCATATCATGTTCATTGGCCGTCAAATCCGGGGAAGCCAGATCGCATGTTGATCATCCGATCAAAAACCTGGGGGTGCTAATCATACGAGAGCAATCCCGAAGAAATGCGGTTCTGACAATATTCAGGGATGGACAAAACCTTCGGTAACATGAACAGCACTGAGACCCGTCCGGGTGACTTGATACTCTGCGTGTCACTTTGCGAACTCTATGACCCCTTTTCCGCGACATATGAAAAGGGGTAAGGGAGTGGGGATACTGGCAGCTGACTGCCAAGTGGCAAAGCACCATCTGTAGTCGTTGAGTCACCACTTCAAGAATGCAAGCAAAGAAGAGGAAAAGGGAGGGGAACAGCTGTAGTCACTGCGCTGCTAATCGGTGAATTACAACAATAAACATTTTCTGTTCCGTACTCGTACGGGATTGTTGGAAATGTTGCCTGCATTTGAACTGTAAATAGCCTTGAAGAAGGTGGACAAGCATGGCTTGGGGCCCTTCGACGGATCATCAGCATAACATTAGTCGGCGTATTCGCTCATGCCGTTCAAATACCGTTCTCGCAAGACTCAGCCACGCCATGAAAATGTAGACCCGTGCTTTAAACATAGAGTAAATTGTTAATCGACCAGTGTCCTTGGACATCATCATCCTGAATTTATCAAAACGCCCCGCTGAATTGGTCCATGACCTGTTGGCCCATGGTACGTCGCCGTCCACCTTCGCCATCAGCTTGGCCCTCAACTCCAGTTGCCGCCGCGGTGGGCGCATTCTCGCCCTCGAGTCTACGCCGCAGCCCCTCGAACTCTTCGCTGCGCCGTTGCGTCCGGATACCCACGACCCATCCCGGTACTCTCCAACGAATCAAGGAACGTGGTAAGACTTCCATTCTCCAAGCATAACCTACCACCCAACCAACCAACCCACCAAGCAGAGATCCTGGCCACTGGAAAAGGGCCAGTTGCAGCGCGAGGAAATAGCGATATGTTTTGTCCGAGAAGGTGATCCCCTGGAACTGGTCATTCGTCGACTGGGATATCGAGGTTGCCACCCTGTACTTGTAGACGTGTGGTATGATGGCATGGTACTGGGCCAGAACTGCGTATATGATGGGCGTCGGTCCTGCTGGCAGGTAGTTGAAGAGTCCAAATGTAAGCGGCCTCAGGACGACGAGAAGCATCGGGGATATGACGCTTGTCAGGGAGTACGTGACAAAGATAAAGGTCTGCGAGAAGCAACTATCAGCCAACCGCATGAACCTCTGCGAGGGTTGTAGCAGGGCAAAGCACAGAGCACTTACAGCGTACTTCCTCGACCCCCACATCCTCTCGACTGGTGTCATATTATACAGGGTCATGGCGGCAAACAGCACCTCGGACGAGTTGGTGTAGCATAGCTGGTAGATGAGCGACCGCCAGAACTGGTGGTACTTCCAGAGATGCAGGTCGACCAGGATGTAGAAGTAGTGCTTGATGTCCAACAGGCTGACGGCTATGGACATGCCAATGAGTCCGTAGACCAGGCTGCGCGTCACGGGCGCATTCGTGAATGACATTGCGGTGCGTCAGATGGTGCGTGGCTATCGGCGCATTGCAGAACCGTCTATCGTGCCACGCGGTCAGGCCAGGCTTGCGTTGCGGTCAGGATGCGACCAATGTGCGCGTAGCCAAATGCGAAGAGCAGTTGGGTTCCCTTTAATTCTCCTGTGGCAGTTGGGTTCCTGATGTCAAGCTATTGCTTGTTGGACATTGACCAGCAGATGGCTTGAAATGCAGAGAATGGGGTGTCGAGGTTCGGCTAGAGTGGTGGTGGAACAGGTGTCTTCATTCAGCCTTGACTAAATTCCGTGCGGCAACTGCAAGGCTGATATAACGTCGTCAAGGTTTATTAAGGTTGAGCCGGAAGCTATCGGCGACCCAAAGTTAGACTTTACCTACCTCCTCGGACCTCACCAGCTACAACAAGGTTAAGCTTCTAGGCAGTGTCGTCTGCTGGAAGGGCTGGACATTGCAAGTGTTCAAATCAGGCCGATTTGGGAACACCTTCCTGGATAAGACATTCAAGTAGGAAGGTACAAGAGTCGGGATGGACATTGCCCTCGTCCTCAGCTGAGGTGAGAGCCTGTGAGACCCGATGCAGGGTTATCCACTTTTAGTAGTTCCCGCCCCTGTCAGCCTGTCAGGCACAAGTGACTTGAAACCAGGCGCGAGCACGCAGCTGCCACGTCGGCGGGCAAGTGGCCAAAGCTCTCGGCTCAGCTTCCTTGCCAAGATTCGAAGCGAAGCTGTTGCATTGCCATCCAGAGAACCCGACATCCGCGACAATCCAACCACTGGCGATTTATTTCTACTACCTGGGCATCGGCCTTCTCAGAGTCGCCGTCATCTCACTAATATGCGGCAAACATAATTATACCTACGACAATCATTGGTTTCAGAGCATCAATCAATTCGTCGACCAATCCATTTGCCGAGTCACGAGTTCTCCCTTCATCGCGTCGCACCTAACGATCGTTCCTTACCGACATCAGCCATGTCCGATCTATACCTTTCGAACCTTAGGAATTGGTTCTGGAAGTCACCACCGGCAGCATGGCTGATGAAAGGGGCAAGAGAAGTGCTCATTGGTACCCTCAAGCAAGGGCCAATCCCCCGACATGTCGCCTTCGAGATGGATGGAAATCGGCGCTTTGCCAAGAACCACAAGATCGAAACGATAGAAGGCCACCACCTGGGCTTTGAGGCCCTGGCAAGGGTATGCGACCCATTCAATGCTGGCTGCAGCTAGCTAACACATGGTTCAAGGTCTTAGAGATATGTTACAAGTGCGGCGTCAAAGTTGTTACCGTCTATGCATTCAGCATCGAGAACTTCAATCGACCGCGACCTGAAGTCGATGGTTTGATGGCAATGGCCAAGATTAAGTTAGAGCAGCTCATTCAGCATGGTGAGCTACTCGATCGGTATGGTGCAGGAATTCGCGTGCTGGGAGAGCGATCTATGATCCCGCCGGACGTCTTGCCGTTTGTCGATCGAGCCATCGAAATGACCAAGCACAACAAAGAGTACGCATCCCAAACTCCTATGCTGTATGGGTTACTGACCATGTGCTCAGCGCGGTCCTCAATATATGCTTCCCTTACACGTCGAGGGCCGAGATGACGAGCGCGATCCGGGCTACGGTAGATGAATACACGACACCCACTCGACCGTCGAACAGCCCCTTTTCGCAAACACGAATCAGCCAAAAGATACGATCGAACCAGTCCAAGAAGGCGAGCTCGCTTGCTCCGATCAGGGAAGCGTCCCCAGATGCTAGTGCCACAGATACCGCTCCCAAGTCAGATGTGGATGACTCGATGTCCTCAACTACTGCTTTGGACCATGAGTCACCTCCTCTGCCGTCAACGTCGGCCAAGCCTCCCAGGCTCCCCGACCCAGAGAAGATCACGGCCGAGACAATCAACAGCCATACCTACACTGCCGATTGCCCGCCGCTCGATATCTTCATCCGAACTAGTAATGTCACGAGGCTGAGCGACTTTATGTTGTGGCAGTGCCATGAAGACGCGCACATCTTCTTCCTGAAGTGCTTCTGGCCCGAGTTTGACTTGTGGCACTTTGTACCAGTTCTTCTGGAATGGCAGTGGCGGAAGAAGAAGTTGACTGAGAAATAGGAAGATCCCTATGTGTGAGTAAAGTGAAAGTAAATTCTGTTCTCGTACCACTATAGTAGACTGCATGTGCTGTTGGTGGGTTCAAGAGTTAAGAGGCTCAATGCGACATACCCTGGTTTGGCATTAAGGCATGGCATTGCAGTCGAAGATGGATGTGTTCCTGCAGGCACAGGGCTTCCTGCGTCAATCATATGATGGTATCGGCATTGCGTGTAAATTTGTGACGTGATAGAGCCGAATGCGTAAGGCTGCTGGGTGTTGGCTCAGTGCTCCCAAGGCTGCCTGGCGCATGTGATTGCCATGTTAACTGTGCCTCTCCCTTAGTGTGTGATCACCTACCAAATCAACAATCGCTTTCACCACCAGCACAGAAAATCAATCAACTCATCAGACAAAACTCCATCTCGACTTGCGACATACCATGCTGTTGCCGGTGAATCACTCACCTGACGAAAACGCAAACAGAGTCAGGAGGAGCAAGGCTGAAATGATCATCCCTACTACTCCTCATGCGGTCTACTCCTACACCGCCTTGGAAACTGCGCAAGGCGCAAGGCTGAAGGATCTGATCGGATCGAACAACCAGATCGCAGACGGGCTGCATTGAACTGGAATCACTGAGTCAAAGAACAATACGATGTACGCATCGACAACCAAGGTCGGTTTGTCATGGCAGCATTGTTCATTGTTGCCAACATCGGGTTTTCCTCCGAACTCTGTAGCCAACGCGGCTGCGCGGTTGCCCACAAAGCGATCGACAAAACGCTGACTCCCCGGATGACATCGTTCCTGACGGGCAGCGGGCCAGGGGTTGCCTCGGCAGGCAGGGGGGAAAAAGTCGCGGGGGTAACGTTGAATCCACGCAGCCAGGCAGCCCACGGTTCCAGCTGGCAGACTTCCGAAGATCATGTCATTGTCTGTCTGGCGTTATCTTATCGCAGCCAGACGCAGATTAATCATCAGCCAGGGCACTGCAGCAGAAAGCGGTGCAGCGCCAGTCGCGCTGTGTACCTAGTGGACCCCTTCTCAGGTAGTCCCCGTTGCAGATGGCCCAATCAGACACAGTTGTCAGGCGGTGCCAGGTCAGGTCTGCTTGCGCGCCCGCCGAGCCAAAACCGAAAACCCACGCCATGGGGGTCCTCGCCCAGCACAGCTGCTGGTGTCAATTATCCCATCCCATCCCGTCTTCTCCCTGTCTCTTCGCAGTCTTGCGCCTCCCCTCCCACCGCCTGTCCGCGTTACTACGCAAGTTGTTCTACCCAGTATTATCTCCCCGTGTGTCGCAACATGACTTGAGCTTCTACTTGAAGCTCCTTGTCAACTTACTCTTGCTAGACCTTCCGCCAGTCTCTCAGACTAATTCCCACCACCCACCACCACCCACGCCCTCCCAGCTCGACGGCCACTCACGATCCGAACCTCAACCACCATAACCCATAATGAAGACGGCCAAGCCGCCGGCGGCAGAGGCTGGCCCTTCTTCTAGTCGAAGGGCCCAGCCTGTCCGCCAGACTCGCGCGAACCCTCCGCGGACGTCCTCTGGCCCATCTCGTACCTTTGGCGCCAGAGACTCGCTCGGAGGGGGGAGTGGGCATGAACAGCCGATCGACATATTCCCTGCGATCACACACTTCACCGACGCCATTTCCTCTCTCCCGAAAGACCTAGTCCGACACTTCACCCTGCTGAAGGAGGTTGACGCCAAAATCTTCGCCCCAGAAGAGACCCTGTTTCAGCTGGTCGACGCTGCGATCAAGTCAAACCCTCCGGAACCTCGACTCGCGAACGATGCCTCTAGTAGTATTGCGCCGTCGACGCCCATGAGCGCCCAGAACAGCTCGAGTGGGTTCGCCGCCCGTGGCAATCTGCCTCCTGGTTCGATCGACGAAAACCAAAACTCTGCTGTATACGACCCGGGCAACATGCCACGACGACAGTTGTTTCGTCAGACTGCCTTCAGGATTCAAGAGATGCTAGTCTCCCTCGAGGAAAAGAACCATGTCATAACGACCGCCAACGAGGCGCTGTCCAAGCAGCTCAATCGCATCAGCACCGTATGGCCGCATCTCGAGGGTGAGTTCAGTGACGAAGCCAAATGGGGCAGCACCACACACTGGGCCTACCCAGAGAATCGAGCCAATCGAGCGAACCAGGCCGAGCGCTCGCGACGCGACGGTGCTGCTACCATCACGGCCGCCGCCCAGCAGCTCGCAGATGAAGCTGCCGCACGAAGCGACGCGAGGAAGCAGGCCATAATAGCTAAAAAGGGGCTCAAGAACCAGCAACAGCATCAAGACTCGGACTTGGATGATCACGATAACAACAATAGTACCAAGCAGAAAGGCGAGTCTTCAAAGAAGGCAAGCGGCGGCAGCAAAGCACGGAAAGTCGCCGAAGCGGCTGCACCAGTGGGCCTGGGCATTACTGCAGGCACCACTGCCAACGGAAACCCTCCTTCCAAGCGACGAAAGGTGGAAAATAACAAGACAGTCAATGGCGGACAGCCAATGGAACGGGCGATGAGCTCGGTGTTTGGGAGCACAGCTACGAAAACGAAGAACTCCAGTCCGCGAGCCACACCTGCACCTGAGCCGACTAAAAAGAGAAAAGCTCTTCCAACGGCTAACGGCATATCGAAAAAGAGGTTCGTATTGTTCCTGTGCCGAATGTCGCTCTTCCTGCCACTGACCTCTGTCCAGTAAAACCGCTCTCGCAGCCGCCGCACTCTCGCCATCGACTGTGTCTTCACCAGTCCAAGCTACTTTTGCGGACCCCAAGACCACCGCCCGCACTTCTCCCGCTCCTTCGGCAAATGCATCACGTCCCGCTTCATCGCGGGCTCGGCAGAATTCTATACAATCGAATGTTGAAAATGGACGGCAACGACCTGCTTCTTCAGCCTCGAATAAACCGAACGGCATCGCGATAGTGGCTCCAGAGATCGCCGCGATACCACGTGGGCCACGTCAGACCACTGAACCCAAAGCGCCGAAAGAGCCAGCTATCGCCGCCATCAAGACCGAGACTTCGAAGGAAGAGCCTAAGCGTTCTCCACCGATCACTACCAACGCAAGTGGAAGCAGTAAGAAGGAAGGCGCCGCGAAAGGAGACGAGTCAGAAGCTAAAGGGGATACTGGTCCGGCGGTTCAACCGACTGCGACGACAGTAGTCACGACCAAGAGTGGACGAGCTAGTAAGCCATCAACGCCTGCGCTGGGCAACTTCCCAGATTCGGCGCCGCGTTCCCGGTCGGCGAGGAATACAATGTCAACGACAACAACCAAGAGGAGTCACAAGAAGGGTGCAGCTCAGCAGGCAATCGCGGCTCGGCTCGCAGATGAAGATGCGAACAGTAGCGCGCAAGGCGACGAGGAGGGCGATGTTGACGAACTGCGGTACTGCTACTGCCATGGTGTCAGCTACGGCGAGATGGTTGCTTGCGATGCCGAGGATTGCCCCCGAGAGTGGTTCCATCTCGATTGCGTTGGCTTGAAGGCGGCACCGCCGTCAAATGGTAAGTTGGCTTCCGGGAACCCCCCAAAAGAGGAATCAGCTGACATGTGTCACAGTAAAATGGTACTGCGATCATTGCAAGGACCGCTTGAAACCCGGGAAGAAAGTGAATGGCCGGTAGCAGATCTGCTGATTTGTTTGATTGATATAATGTCCGTTCGAAGCGTGTCAACATATCTCACGGAGTTCAGGGATTCATGCAATTAGCTGCACGGCTAGACGGCAATCGGCGTCCGGTGGGGATTGTTACGGGCTACGAGGGATACACGTTGCTTTTCATGGGTATGGGCGGCGCCTGCGGTTTGGAGCTCTCGATACGCATTCTCACGATATCGGTATTTCTTCATGGACGGCGATGCCGGCGAAGTTACATGGGTTGCTTATCATTTATTCGGGTAAAACAGTACGACGGCCACTACGGTGGATAGCTCGGGATGTTAGAGGTTATCTCCAGTATACACCACCATCACGTTTATCGGAATGTGTGACGGTGTACAGCTGTATCCACCTGGTTGGATGCTGAGTCATCAGGTCACGTGTAGATTAGATAAGGAGCGGGACCACCACATAAGGAGGGTGTACGCACCACACCTTGGCTGGCTTCCCTTTCCTTCCTCACCTTGTTATTTTCGTAATCAACACCAGATTGCAACACACCGCCGCAGGCATCGTGACAGAATGTTAGATACCTACCTCCTAAGCTTAACGGGGGATGTTATCATCTTTCATATACCATGTACATGAAACTCAGATACATTAGCTTAGACGATCCGAGTCTATCGATCTGAATTTTGATCCCAATCAGGCCAACGCATTAGACGATGACTGCCCGGTGAGGGTGTTTCCCAGCGGCAAGATTACCTAATGTCACGGCGGCGGCCAGCGATATCGCTATATTTTTGGTCATGGGAATTCTCTCCCGGGCAATTTCCAATGACCTGACATACCTATCAGCCGCAAAGCTAATGTCAACGAGTGCCACCAGGGACCGGCCGCGGCTGGGGTTTCGCCCAACCAGAGGTCGATGCTGCTTCCCCGCAAAATGCTAATGCTGATGCTATCCATGTACGTAGGGTAGGGTCATAACCGGGAAACTCTACGCGTGGGTGCCGTGCCGGTGCTGATTGGAAACAACCCCCTCGACTGTGTTACCTGGGTGACATCCGAGACACCGGTCTGGTGACAGGAGGAGTACACCTTCCCGAGCCGGGCTGGACCGAACACGATGTTTGAGTGACTGCCTTGATCCGAGCGGATATCACGATGTTGACTGCCGTGGTTCATCTTAGTAACGGAAATTGTTGTTTGCCTTGATGCTGGTAGTACAGGCAAGACAGGTAGAGAAGTCCGGGATCGGCGCATCGCCAGGGGTTACCTATTACCCGATATCTACTCTAGACGGACAAGCAAACTCACCAGTTCCCATCAAGGGGGAATAGAGCTACCTACTCCCCTAGCCTAATAATGGCGGGTAGTTAAATCTGAGGTCACACGGTCACTTGGGTTGATAAAGAAACTTCGCTTTTGGGAAAGGTCCTCGGCTGGATACGGCAGAGCAATCTGGAACAGAGCAGCAGGCGGTGAAGTCAGGTACCGTAACAGTCCAATGACAGCGACAATCGAGTGGCACTCCAGTCATCATTCCTGGATGGCGTTGGCGTTGGCGGTGGCGTTCCCGTCTCGCGCTCTGCTAACTTTAGCACCTCTCACCCCTCCAGCTCCGATATCGCAGGGTTACTAGGTCATTAACTTTGAGGCAAGAAAGCGAGTTTGCAAATATTGGGGAGCCAATGAGAAAAAAACTCTTCACCGATGGGCGGGCGCATACATAGGTTTTATTACTATGACTTTGTTACCAGAGACGTGGAACAATAGAGAATGATGGATCTCTCATGCCATGCGGCTTGGCAGGATTTCCCAGTCAGTCCGGGGAAGCAGCAGTTGATTGGACACCACCCACCTGCAGCCTGCCAAGAGAGCCGAATGACGGCACGCGGCGGACCGCTTGCGATTTCTTCCCATCCGCCACTCAGAAAATTCATATCTTTCTCCAGTATTCCCAGACCGACACATATCGGGGTGGATGGGGACGGGAGACATCCAATGTTTCCACATCACGAAGGATGACGCTCTCCACACGGCCTTTCTCATTACACAATCGCCATGGTTCTGTCACACGTGGCCCACGGTAAGGGTGGAGGCTAGATTGCGAGGGGCGGTGGAGCAGAGGGGGTGACACAAGAAGAATCCGCCGCTTTGTTCTTGTTACCTCCCAACCTTCGCCCAACGGAGAAGCATCGTGGCTTGAATTTGGTCGGTTAAGCTTTTCCAATCTGCTCTTTGGTTGTCTGAATGAGACGGAGAATACGTTAGCTCCACCTACTTATAATTATAGTAGCCCCTCGAGTTTCCCGTCCATGTGCACCCATCATTGATAGCTAGGTCCTTGTCGTTGTCTGTCAACGACTCAACTTTACGTAGCAGCAACTCGACACGATCACCCCAGCATCGCAGCATCGCAATCTCGCCCCTTTACCTCCAGCTGTTCATTCGGCAACTATATTACTATTACGGACTCGGTCAGTCGGTCGCACCTGACCTAGCAGCTCTCCTGCTTCATCGCATTCATCAGCGCTCCCCCGCATTGCGCCAGACGAAGCTTTTACCTAAGATCCCGAAGGTGTGACCAACAGAAAGCCATCCGGGTGGTTGGTTGTTTGCGCGTCCGGAGGAAGCTGTTACCAAATCCCGACCACGAGGAACATCGCGCTATTGGAGCTGTGTCTTGCACCACTAAGGGGGTCAGCACCTATGCACCCTGCCTTCACCACTCCTACCGCCTCTGCCTCTGCCTCTGCCTCTGTATCCGCCTCCGCCTCTGCCTCTGCCTCTGTATCCGCCTCCGCCTCTGCCTCTGCCTCTGTATCCGCCTCCGCCTCTGCCTCTGCCTCTGTATCCGCCTCCGCCTCTGCCTCTGCCTCTGTATCCGCCTCCGCCTCGGGGCGACTCGGTGGTCAACACCTTCCTAGTCAGCACATCGTCGAGCATCCTACTAACGACAGCCCTACACCCTACGCCACGATGGACGGAGTCCGCCAACCTAAACACACCACTTCACCTGACATGAAGTCTCTTCGGTCGTCGTTCTCTTCCGTTCGAGAGGACGACGCAGACCTCGCCCAGACCTTCACTAGCACCAAGGTCTCTTCCTATTCCAAACCAGCAGAAGAAGCCATCGCAGATCAGTCACAGCCCTCGTCGCCGAGTGTGGCCATGTCGGAGACGCAGTTCGTGCCACCGGTGACGCGGCCGAACAGCAGACTGCACGGCTGTTGGTTCCCCGCTGTCGCCGCCGATAGCTTCCAGGGATGGAAGCAGATAGGCGTCAAGGGCAGACTGGCCAGCAAGAGTTTCGGGGATTTGCAATCTTTGAAGATCATCTGGTCAACGCCAGCAGCGCCCCCGAAGACGAAAGACCCCGAGCGACCACTCCCTAGTAAGGCACCAATCGAGACTTTGCCTGCTGAACTTCTTGGTAAGTATCCTCACTCATCAGCCTTGTTGTTGTTTCACGACTGTGCTGATAGTCTTAACAGTCCAAATCATCGGCTATCTTGTGATTGATGTACCCCCGAACGGCATCTCGGCCCGCAATGTGGACTTGATGTCCATGTTATTGGCTTCACGGACACTGCACTCGGCGACGCTGAATGCACTCTACAGAAATATCACGATCCCCCACTCGAGGATCTTCCGGAAGTTCTTATCTCACGTCTCGCAGAACCAGGAACTGGGCACCATTGTACGGCGGCTGGACTTCAGTCACTTCAACCCCACCACGCTCTTCTCGACGGCCGCGGAGCGAGCTACTACCCGCAATTTGACTCCTGAGACGCTGCTGCAGTGCTTAGAGCTGACTCCGTACCTCAAAGGGTTCCTGGCACAGGAGTATATCGACGACGAGCTCGACGGAAACGTTCTTAGGAAATTATTCTTCGGGCTGGAGAGGCTGAGGGCGCTAGACTTCTGCGGGTGCTCTTCTACAGTCTTCAAGGGAGCCTTCCTGTCAATCCTCCTGTCGGATTGGCCGGATACCCTCGGTCTCAGACGGCTATCTCTCCATAAAAACATCAATCTGCCACCAACCGTCTTTGAGACCCTGCTCCCTCGACTCGGCAAGTTGACACACTTGGACGTCGCAGGCACGCGCATGACTGACGAGGCACTCGTGTCCATCCCACATACTGCTCGAATTACGCACCTGAACCTAGCCAAGTGCAACTCACTGACAGCTGAAGTTGTCATCGACTTCATTGAGAACCATCCTGCGGTCAAGGATCTGGTCTACCTGAGCCTAGCATCGGACGCGCGAAGCCACCAACTGCTAGACGAGGACGACGTGACACGGCTGCTGCCGATCCTACCCTCCACCCTGCGATCCCTCAGCCTCAAGGGCAGCAAGATGGCCGCGTCGCACATCGACATGCTCCGGCCCCTCTCGAAGCACCTTGAGGAACTGGCGTTGGGCCGCCGCCTGAAGATCACCGAAATCAACCGCCTCTTCGTGCCCGACGAACCCAACAGCGCCGAAGGGGACGTGAGCCAGGACCAGCTCGAGTGGGTGCCCCACACCCTCAAGTACCTCGACCTCTCAGACTACTACGCCGCCGAGCTAGACCTGAGCGCGCTCTTCGCCCGCTCTACGTCCATCATGAAAAAATATTCGGCGCCGCTCGAGATCATCGAAGTCGTCGACGATCTCTACTCGCGGCTGTCCAAGTCCAACGTCGTCAAGCAGGCCGGATGGACGGTCAGGGACTCTGGAAGCCGGGCGTGGCTGGTGCGCGTCCCCGACGACGGCGATCAGGCGCGCGACTCGGGCCTGCGGAGCTGGAAGATGGGCGCTGCGTTCTGGGGCATGAGAAAAATCCCCGTCGCGGCTTCGGAGGTGGGTGGAATGTATGGGTCTTATATGTTTAAGCGGAAGTTGTGAGTGTGAGGGTGGGAATCGACGCCCTCGACCAAGTATGTCGAGGATCCCTATCATCCGCCGCTATGTTGGATTCTTCACTTTCGGCAGTCCATTGACAGAAACTCGGTTTGGTTTGGGGGCGTTATCTGTATTGCATCTTCGACGCATTCGGATTCATCGGTTATCAAGCAAGCAAAGGCGAACGACGACATGACGAAACGAACGAATGGATCCACATCTGGCTTTATTTACGATATGAATCGGGGCAAGGGCGTTTCGCGGCTGGGAAAAAGTTGTATAGGTTTGTAAGCGTCGTTATAAGTAGTCGGATTAGCGATTAGCATTTGGTTATGTGGTTCTTCCTAATGATAGCTCCACCTCTCATATTACTACTATCACGCGTGCCAGGTCGCGAATGAGCCTGTTCGTGTCTAAAGTTTAATTTGTATCCGTGCAAGTGAGTTCAGTACTAGTATTGATAGTAGGCGGAAGGAGAGGCTATCGCCATGTTTCTCCACATACTATACTCCGTACAATACTACAATGACCACTTTGAAGTTCGGATATCGGCGGTTTGACCCGCTCGACCTATTTCATGCCGTGATTCCATATTCATCCAGTCCCATACATCATCTCACTCTGCCCGAGGGTAGAACATCGATGGAAGTACTGGCAGGGCACCTTAGATATAAACCTCAACACCCATTACCCTCTCCTCCACTCTCCACTGTACTCGCCATTCGAACCCTTTCGTCTTGGGGTTTCCCTGGTCTAGCAACGATTTCCGGTCCGTGTTTATTAGTTTCTCGGGTCGTCTTCTGGACGGGAATGTATTCGGCCCCAACAACAGGGGCCGGTGCGAATATTCCAGTCGACTCCGGTGTACAAGCCATCTGTGATGAGGATGTCTTCGTTAGCGAGGAGTAGTTCCGATGTCCGCATCCGGAACACCTGCATCTACATGCTCTGAATCATACTCCGGGTGGTAGGTACATCTGCTTCGAGTGTCGTCTCTACTCTAAATGCCCCTATCTCGTCTGTAAGCTGCCCACTCTGACAGCGGACAAGTAGCCGTGTACATCGGGCACGCCATGTCTTGGCTAAATATCTGGTACGGGCATACCAACCGTCATCGTGAGAAAGATTTAGAGGCTGAACGCCATAGTGCCTGCGTCTCGATCACTCAAACGCTCCTGGAAAGACTCTTCGGATCGCCATCCGCGTCCTTCAGGTCCTCATCAAGTGCGGCAATACGATTCTTGTAATACTTTCTTAGCTTGTACAAGTTGCGCGTGTTCTCTTTGAGCTTCGGAACTCGGCCCGTGCAGCGGCGGGACTACCCGCGCTCGAGATTCGTCGACGGCGGCGGTGACCGCTGCGTGCGCATGTCGCGCCCCTGTTTTTTGCTGTCACGGGCCGGCTGATGGATTCGGAAGCCGTGTGATTGTTCCATATCCCCTGGTGGTGTCTGTACCTGGCGGCACTGACCGTATCACTTTCCGGTAGTCCACGCTTCCCCAAAATACCGCAATCATCGGCATAGCCACTTTCAGGTCTCTGCCGCTCGATGTGAGGATGTCACAGAACTTGAGGCAGATTCGCAGATTGCACCAGGAGCAGACCCTTCGCGGCTTCTTGTCGGGAGCCTCGCACGCCTGGCACGCCAGGGAGTAGGTGGCATTCTTCGCGATTCAAAGTGCCATAGCTCGATCTCTATACAACGGCCTTTTGCAAGGCTAGCCGGACCAGCATACCCGCTCAAACCCCCATCTCTCAGGACAGTCGACGCAGCGGAGGGGCGGCGGACGGAACTGAGAGAGAAGAGTCAAGCGGTGATACCGTGCAGGGGCGGTGGTTTGAGTCGCGGCGATGTCAACGTCATGGATCATAAAGATAATGAGAAAGTATTAGGTGGCGATGACGAAGAGGTGGTCGGGGTCCGCAGGGCGAGATGAGAGCGCTCGTATCGAACATGGGCAGCGAGGGGACCCGCACCGAGATCTTACCGCAGGGACAGTGACCGATGGCGCTGGTTTGGGTCATGGCTGATGTTTTGGCGAAGGCGCGCTGGGGAACAATGCGTTTGGGGTTTGTGGTTTGTGGTTGTGGTTGTGGTTTTGAGTAGGCTGGGTGTTTGGGACTCTAGGACTTTGATATGGTAGAGCGTCGATAGTAGCAGCATGGTAGAGCATCGATAGTAGCAGCTGTATTGATTTTGCGATTATACTACTTTTGGGCGGTAGCCATGGCCATCATATACTCAGTTAGACTTGAGGTTTACGGGAGGTTGGGACTTGGGGTACGTTCTGGATAAATAGGGGTAATGACAGGCACCACCACGCTAGACTTTGCCAGTCTAGGCAGTAGGTAGGAACCGAACGACCATTGACGTTTCGACGACTCGCACTATGATATCCAGACTATGTGACCTATATATGCTGACTTGGGGATTCTGGTCTACATCACCTTCCACGTCGGCTTCACCGCCACAAACCGCCCATCAGCCGGCCGATAGCAGACGAGACTGTCAGGAAGGCCACGCTGCGGGTGGTTGTAAGCGACCATCCAGTCAGTCATCTGCGAGAGGTCAAACCCGCCAACCCCGGCCCCTTTCCCCTGGCCTGGATTGCCTTCCCCAAACACCTTCGTGAAGCGGCCCCCTTTCCCTTCGATAACCCAGAAGATACCCGCGCCCGGCCTGTACACCGCGAGGTACTCCTTCCTACCGTTCCCCTTGAGATCGAAAGCCAGGATCCGGTCTCCCCGTTGCGATAGCGGGTATCCACCTATTCCGTCTCCCGCGGGCCCCGGAGTGCCGAGCTGGATGCTCCGGAACACGGGCTTCCATACGCCATCCTGGTTTTGGAAGATGGTGACCAGACCCGAGCCAGGTCTGTATGCTAGGATGTGGTCGACTCGACCAATGTGCTCGTAATCGAAAGCGACGAGACGGTCGGAGACGGAGCTGAGATCAAACCCCGGAAGCCCCGTCCTGGTGCGGAACACGGACGCGAAGACGCCATTGTCGTTTCGAAGGACTGACAGCAGTCCGGATCCAGGGCGGTACACGACGAGATGGTCCAGCCGGCCTGTGTGCTGCAAATCAAACGCTAAGACGCGGTCCTCGGTGGAAAAGAAGTCGTGCTCCCCGATGCCTTTCTTTGACGAGTACACAGCGCGCCAGCCAGACCCGTCACCGGCGCCTGGCGCTTCGGGCGCCAAAATGCACACCATCCCCAAGCCCGGAGCGAACAAGAAGATATGGTCGCACGTCTTGTTCTGCTTGTAGTCAAAGGCGAACCCGCGCCAAGCGGCGTTTGAGCTCATGTCCTCTGCGCCCAGAAGAAGCTGGGCAGAGACCGCACTCAATGAGTCTGAGGCAAGGCGAGCCGTCGCCACCGCGAAGGCCTGCCCGGAATGGAGGATCATCACATGGTCGAGCCGGCCTGAGCTCGTACCGTCGAAGGCGAATACCTGAGCAGAAGTGCTCTCGGCGCCGTACCCAAGGGATGCCACGATGCCGTCGAAATGCGAGGCGAAAGCCAGCGTGGGATAGACTCCGACTTCCATCCATGCGCCCTTGACGATGCCCTGGACCTCTGGTCCAAAGAGCTTGCCCGCCGACTGGCAGGTCAGGTCCGCGAACTGGATGAATGTACAGTTGGGCTTGATGTCGGGACTGAGCAGCGTATCGTACCAGATACGCCCGGCGCGCTCCCAGGAGCAGCCCCCAAGCCGGAGGCAGACGAGGTAGAAGGCGCGGTTGGGAACGCCCGAGTTGATGTGCACGCCCCCAAAGTCGGAGCTGGTGTCGACATACGCGGCCATCGACCCCGGCTGCGGGTCCCTGGACACGGCCAGCTTGTCGTAGGCCGTGCCGGGGAACTTGAGCGAGCGCAGAGCGAGCCCCTCGACGCCGGGGCAGAGACAGCTATCGCCGATCATCCAGTCCGCGTCGGCGCTCTGCTGGCCGCGGTCCCACTGCTTGACCATGGAGGCGAAGGCGTCCGAGATGTGTTCGTTCAACGCCCCCGACTGGCCCTGGTACTCCAGACACGCCGTGAACTGCGTCAGGCCGTGCACGAGCTCGTGGGCGATCACATCGAGGCTGGTGAGGTTGGTCAGGATGGCGCCGCCGTCGCCAAAGATCATCTGTCGCTGGCTTGGCAGCCAAAAGGCGTTGGCGTAGTTGGTGCTGTAGTGGATGTTGGCGACAAGCGGCATGCCTCGGTCGTTCAGGGAGTTTCGGCCGAACACTTTGTGGAAGAAGGTAAAGGTCTTCTCGAAGTTGTCGTATGCTGCGTTGAGGACTGCTGACTTAGGTTGCGCTGAGGAGGGTTCGCCCTCGGCGCGGAGTAGGATGCCTGGGAGTAGGTCTGGGCTGTCGACGTGGTTGGCGTCGTAGATCTCGCGCCATAGGTGCCCGAGCTTGGACTCAGATACATCATTGACAGTCAACGCTGATAGAGCAAGCATAGGATGAGAGGCGTCGCCGTTCACGACCTTGAAATCGGCCTGCTCGTTAACGTTGAGGCTGGTGACGAACTCCGTCTTCAGCTCTTGCTGGGTCAGCGGTGCTCCAGTCAGGACATTGGCGGTTGGTTGACTCTGGATGGAGTTCGCGAGGCGGACATCGTGGGACAGGGTGTTCTGAGCACCATGACGGTCCACTAGAGGGATGCTGGGCGACTCGGAAAGAGCCTGCAAGAGATGGAGTGGTACGAAGCTGCACATTGCTGCCCCTTTCTGGCTTTGGTGACTTGGTGATGTTTCCGACGACATAGTTCAGGCTGTTAGAGACTAGAAGTCAGTGTAGGGATACTGGTAAGTGTTCTCGATAGAGTCTTTGCAGTGCTTGTGGGAGATGGGTGGTGCTTTGCGGGGACATGTAGTCATGTCGTGGGCTTTTGAGTCCTTTCCGACCTTGGGCCCCCTTTTAACGGGAAGGCCTCGCAGTTGCTTCGTAACCAGCACGCGTATGGTGTTCCGGGGGTGTCTGGTGTTTTGTGAGCATGGCTCAGAGCTGAACGCAAACAGTCACGACTCATGTTGCATGGCGCAACTGTTGCCGGAGCGTTCCAGTGCCGCCATATCTCTACAGGCCTCGCGTGATCTGAGCAGAGCATGCATTTTGAGCCTCGCACCTGTGATCGACGCTGCTTCAAATACCATGGGATGAAAGAAGCCGTGATTGGCACCGTTGAAGATGCGTCCAGCAGCTGAACATGCACCCCTGCATAAGCGTGTGGCCCAATCAAGACAGCTACGACCCCATGTGACATTCACTAGGACCCCAGTCCAATATTTTCAGCGCTGAAAACGTAACATGTTCCGGATCCGTCACTCTGACGTCGATACCACTTCCTTCATGGATGATGGTCCAGACCGGACTCCAGAGAACGATATGGTTGTCCAAAAGGGACAGCAAGTCGTCACCTGAAGCTGAGCTAAGCCAAAATCGAATGACTCAGCTCTTCCAGTCGACGCCATGTATGGAGATGATAACCCAGAGTGTACACTCTTCCGTTCTCCGTGAGCGCTGAGTTGATAGTTGTTTTGCTCGGTCTGGAGTGGGACCGAACTCAACCTCGCGACGGCCAGAACCCAGTCACTTCCGCTTGTGCGGAGTAGAAGTTCCGAGTATGGGTGCGAGGACTGCTCGATGGCAAGATCTGAACCGAGGTCACGACTCCAGGAGTTAACGCTCTCATGGATGCTGGAGACATCGTGGTGAAGCAATTTCGGCCAGAAGGAGGCCCGGGGTCGACGCGAACTATCGTCGGTGATCCTGGGACCCGCGGCTTATCATTTCCTATCATCGGTTTCTGAGACTGAGAAGACGAGCTAAAAGAGTCGGACTATTGTATTTGGTACACCACGCAGTTCAGGTGGGCAGGGGAGGTTTACCTCCAGCTGGCGGTGAACACTCAGGAAGGGTCGAGGAAGCAGTATAAATGCCCCCATGAGGCACTGGACAGTTTTCCCCCTTGGTCTTTCTCTTCACCATCCTACCAACTTCTCATCAGACTGCAAGCCCACCTCGATCATCCTCTCTGATAAACTCTTCTGCACCCAGTCCATCAAGAGCAGTTCGGAATCGCAGACTCGATTTCACTCCACCGGACACCCAGTCACAATGTCGAACCAATACCGGTAAGCCAGGTCTTCCAGACACAGCAGACACGACTGACTTGCTCGCAACAGCATCGTTCTCAAGAACACCAATGGCGCAACGCTCAACTTCTGCTTCTTCAGCGAGCCTCCCAAGCTGAACACCAACTCGGCCAAGGATGTCTACACCAACGTGTGGATCCAGAAGCGCGTGGTCAACACTGGTCGTGCTGACATCTCCTTCACCAAGGAGTTCTACGCCTGTGAGCCTTGTGGCCCCCATGAGATTCGGAGATATGAGAGCTGACATGTCGACGCAGACACTGGCCAGCCGCCGGTTTCTCCAGCGCCTGGTGTTTCAGTCACCGGTGGTGTATTCAGGCCGGCCATCCTGGGATCTGCCAGTTCTCCAGGCAGTGAGTACTCCATGTCTTTGCTCAAGAGATTGTGCGCAAGGTCTAACGGTTCCTCCTCAAGGTCTTTTCCAGATGTTCAACGACCAAGGGGTCCCGAACCTGGGGGCAGAGACCCGTGACGCCGTGTGCGTTGATTCAAACTTCGCCATCGAGTCTGGCCAAAGCGGCGGCCCGTTTTCCAGGGCTGACAACTTCCTTGTCGGAATGGGCCAAGTCGACGCCACCACTGGCCAAGTTGTGCCGACTTTCACTGTGAGCTTCACGGACTCTGTTGGATTTTGGGGCTACCAGCTGACATGAGACAAGACCATTGCCGCACCCAAGGCTTTCGTCCGGATGAAGCCCGTCATGAAGTACTACGTGGCCCAGTGCGACAGTCTCCAGGGTCAGATCCTCGATTACCAGACCTGGTGCAGCCAGTCTGGCGTCATCGACTTCTCGGCCAACAAGGCCTTTGGCGCCGAGGTTGAGTACACCGACGGAGGCAGTTGGAATGTCAAGTACCATTCCCAGGCCTCCTGGATGGGGTTGATGGGCATGGATTCGGGGGCGTTGGGTCTCATGGGTTTCGACGCTGCTGCGCCATCTGCTGGCAGTGCTGGCAGTGCTGGCATCCCTGGTCGGGGAGGCCTTGCGCGCATTGGAGACAACGACAGGGCACGCGGGGAAATCGAAGCCGAAATGTGAGTGTTGCAAAATGAAGGCCGTCGTGAAGTTCCATGTTTGCTGACAGTCAATTCCCTTGATCAGTACACGTCTCAAGCAACTGCTTGAGACCAAAATGCAGAATGGCGGAAGACGAAGCCTCATCCCGGGCATGTACGCATTCAAAGCGTATCTGAGCCCAGGCGCTGCAGCAGCCATCGCGAGCATCATGGTAGGATCCGCCATCATCATCCGAGAACTCGGACAGCTGGGCTACAAGGTCAAGCGCGAGATCGAGAAGCGACCGGACGGCACCGAGATCTACCGCTTCGAGTTCGGACGCAATGAGGGCGCCCCTTCCCTCGTGGACGACATCGATCAGGCTCAGCAGGCTTGGGACCGTGCCGTGGCGCAGGACAGAGAGAAGGATGGCCACACTGCGACTCGCGTCTACCGCGCTGATGATAACGTCTCGGTGAGAACGTTGGCTGGAGGTGATAGCCCCTCCTACAAGGAAAATGGATTCAGTAACGGGGCAAGTTACACCGAGGTTGAAAGCTACTGAAGCCCGGTGTCGAATCCTAGGGTCTACCGCAATGGCTTTGAGAAGCGTACATGCTGGAAGGGTCAAGCAAACGCTAGGGGAATAGGTGCGCAGGATATCTCGTTTGGTCTGTCTGGGAACCATTGGTACATGTAGAGTAGTTATGTACTGTCCGCTCATTCAAATTGTACACGGATGAGTTTGTTGCTACTGATGTGGTCTTTTCGAAATCTTGCTATGCTGCTCTCGATTGACTGTCTCGATGAGTGTATCTGCTTCGTGCACTGTTCTACCAGACGAGGTAGGTTCGTTGTTGATAGGTAGTATGCCAGGCTCTAACCAAGGGGTGTCTTGAATTTTGGTTGCAAAATTGATGAGCCCCAGTCAAGAAGCTGCCTGCCTTCGGAACAGCACAAATGACGTGCAATGAGACAGCTTCTTGTTTATCAGCCGTCAAAAGCGAATTATCTCATAGCCGCATATGAGCATTGTCGTATCCGCTATATGGATGTATCGAACCACTGTGGAGTGGGGCAGCCGCGTGCGCCACATTACGGCTCGTTGTTGGAGCCACGCAGGCACTTGCCCAAAATAAGCGCGTGTGGCGGGAAAGGCGACGACGTTTCATTTCAAGCTTGGTCAAGCTCCTGTCCAACTCTCACCTCTCCGTCACCATCGACACAACCGCCCGACCGCCCGACCTTGGAGCCAACACCATCGCCATGGCTCCCCAACAGCAGACCATGTTCCGCTCGGCGGACATGAGTATGGTGCAGCTGTACATATCCAACGAGATCGGTCGCGAATGCGTCAACGCGTTGGGAGAGCTTGGACTGGTCCAGTTCCGAGATGTATGCTCCCGTCCCTCCGTCCCTCCGTCCCTCCGTCCCATCCGCCTTCAACAGCCTCTCGCATGTGGCAATGCTGACAGCTTGTAGCTCAACAGCGAAGTCAGTGCGTTTCAGCGAACCTTTACCCAGGAGATTCGGCGACTTGACAATGTCGAACGCCAGCTTCGTAAGTAGTTACTAGCATGACGTGTCATGACAGTGTTTCTGACTTGCTAGGCTACTTCTATACACAAATGGAGAAGTCCAACATTCCTCTACGAAGACTCGACCTGGACGCCGAAACCATCGCTCCACCCACTACCACCGAGATTGACGAGCTTTCCGAACGTAGCCAAAGCCTCGAGCAGCGCATCTTCCAGCTCAACGACAGCTACGAAACGTTGAAGAAGCGCGAGGTCGAGTTGACCGAGTGGCGATGGGTGCTTCGGGAGGCTGGAGGTTTCTTCGACCGGGCTCACGGCAACGTGGAGGAGATCCGGGCTTCGACCGAGGACGACGATGCTCCTCTTCTCCAAGACGTTGAGCACAACAACCAGGCTGCTGATGTTGAACGCTCTTTCTCTGGCATGAACATCGGCTTTGTTGCTGGAGTCATCAACCGCGACCGTGTTGCCGCTTTCGAGCGAATCCTCTGGAGAACACTGCGTGGTAACCTCTACATGAATCAGTCTGAGATTCCCGAGCCGCTGGTCGACCCGGCTACCAACGAATCCATCAACAAGAATGTATTTGTTATTTTTGCCCATGGCAAGGAAATCCTGGCCAAGATTCGCAAGATCTCGGAATCGATGGGGGCAGAGATTTACAGTGTTGATGAGAACACCGATCTTCGTCGAGATCAGATGCACGAGGTCAACGCACGCCTCAACGATGTTCAAAACGTCCTGCAAAACACCCAGCAGACGCTCGAGGCAGAGCTGACTCAAATCGCCCAGTCGCTGGCAGCTTGGATGATCCTGATCACCAAGGAGAAGGCTGCTTATCAAACCCTGAACCTCTTCTCGTTTGACCGACAGCGACGTACCCTGATTGCGGAGGCCTGGTGTCCCACCAACGACTTACCCCGTATTCGAACTACGCTTCAGGATGTGACCAACCGAGCTGGTCTGTCTGTTCCGTCCATTATCAATGAAATCAGAACGAACAAGACACCGCCGACATACTTGAAAACCAACAAATTTACCGAGGCTTTCCAGACTATCATCAATGCTTATGGTACGGCCACTTACCAGGAGATCAATCCTGCCCTACCCGCCATCGTTACCTTTCCTTTCCTGTTCGCTGTCATGTTCGGTGACCTTGGTCACGCGTTAATCATGCTGTTGGCTTCCTTGGCGATGATTTACTGGGAGAAGCCTCTGAAGAAGGTCTCGTTCGAGCTGTTCGCCATGATCTACTATGGTCGGTACATTGCCCTGGTCATGGCCATTTTCTCGGTTTTTACCGGCCTCATCTACAACGACGTCTTCTCCAAGTCAATGACACTGTTCGATTCGCAATGGGAATGGGACGTTCCTGAAGGATGGAAACAGGGTCAACCTCTCACAGCCAAACTCAAGGGTGACTACCGATACCCATTTGGTATCGACTGGATGTGGCACGGCAGCGACAACGACCTCCTGTTCAGCAACAGCTACAAGATGAAGATGTCTATCATTCTGGGTTGGGTACACATGACCTACTCGCTTTGCCTTGCGTACTTGAACGCGAGACACTTCAAGAAGCCCATCGACATCTGGGGCAACTTTGTTCCCGGAATGATTTTCTTCCAGTCCATCTTCGGTTACCTTGTCATATGCATCGTCTACAAATGGTCCGTCGATTGGCTTGCAATCGAGAAACAGCCTCCTTCGCTGCTTAACATGCTGATCTACATGTTCCTGCAGCCTGGCACAATCGATCAAGAACTATACAAAGGCCAGTCGACTGTCCAGGTCATACTACTCTTGCTCGCTGTCATTCAGGTTCCCATCCTGTTATTCTTGAAGCCGTTCTACCTACGTTGGGAGCACAACCGGGCTCGTGCTAAGGGCTACCGTGGTATAGGCGAACACTCGAGGGTTTCAGCACTTGATGAAGATGATGGGGATGGCCATATCGAAGGCAACGGTCGCCCCAGCGTGGACACTGATGATGGCGAAGGTGTCGCTATGATTGCGCACGGTGGAGACGACGATGAAGAACATGAAGAATTCGAATTTAGTGAGGAACTGATCCACCAGGTTATTCACACCATCGGTAAGTCTACACTGAACGCATGACCCCTGCCACTACTGTTAACACTGTATCAGAATTCTGCTTGAACTGTGTTTCTCACACCGCCTCCTACCTGCGTCTCTGGGCCCTATCACTTGCCCATCAACAGCTTAGCGTTGTGCTATGGGACATGACTCTGGCCGGTGCTCTCACCAAGGGCGGCGTCGTTGGTGTTATCATGATCGTTGCCATGTTCTACCTGTGGTTTTTCCTCTCCTGCGCCGTTCTCATTTGCATGGAAGGCTGCAGTGCCATGGTAAGTTATGATGTCCTGCTTGGTTATTGCACTTCGCTGACAGTTTTCAGTTGCATTCTCTGCGTCTGCAGTGGGTCGAGGCACAATCGAAGTATGCCGAGTTCGCCGGTCATATGTTTACGCCGTTCTCTTTCCTTACTATGTTGGAGGAGGATGAGGGCTTAGCCGAGTTTAGAGGCTAGCCTATGTAGGGATTGGGTGTGTACGAATACATATGTATTATGCAGTCCCTAGTTATAGATAAGCATATCATCATTGTCCAGTGTACTTATATATCCGCTTTCAAACTTTTACCATGCCAACTTGACGTATCTGGCTTTTGTTCCGTCCAAGAGTCAATCCAGCCATTGATGTGCCGGGTAAAGGGGCAGGTCCTGTTTTCCTCCAAGGTGTTAAGCCGCGCTTCATATCCTTTGGCCTAACCTCCGTGTTCCCCCTATTCAGTTCATCGCGTCTCATTGGTGTAAGAGTCGTTGTCGTCGTCGGTGCAACCGTTGGTGCAATAGACGGTGCTGCAGCAGTTGCCCATCATTACTTGTTCGTGACGTAACGGCACAAGGTAGGATATACGGTTTCCTTGCGTGGTTACTTGGGGTGGTGCTGTCGTCTTGGTGTTGGGCGAGGGCGAGGGTGAGGTGTGGAGAGTAGAGGGAATAGGGCACGAAAGGCACGCTGCATTTATAGATATATCGATAGTCAAGGGGAGCCGTTGTTATGCTGTATTTGCATTGTGACTCTCTACTCGCATCTGTCAATGCGTAACGTCGGGCTTCTAATTGCAGGCATGGTTCCGGTGACATGCTGGGGGGCGTTCATACAATGGTGACGCGGTGTATACACTCCTGGTACATGCCTTCTTCATTGAAAGTTTCTCTGTGGCTCCTGCGAGTCACAAGACGATAGACTCTAAGGAGTTCAGAGGAGGTTGTTCAACTACCTTCTTGGGAAACTACTATGAAGAGGTTGACGATAGTACAAAGCACGACATCAGTACAGTCAGTCCAACAACCCATTTATAAGCTCAAAATTGAAGTCATTTTGTTACATACGACCATGGGATCAAAAGAACATGGCATGCCGTCCGCTCTGCCTAAAATAAGCCTGATACCGCCGGATTAGTAGTAGTTGGGTCGGTGACGACCAGCGAATCCCCGGTGTTGTAAGTTTCTGTTTTTCCTACTTCCTTTCTCATTTTTTGCTCTATCCCTGCATACGCAGCCAGGGAGATCTCAGTTCCTCAGGGCTGGCTGGTGTTTTGCTCTGAAAACATCTTCAGCAGTTGCTCTGCGGTAACGGTTTCCCTTGTTTTACCTAAGTAGGCAGGTGCTTCTGTTTCTGGAGAGCTCAAATCTTCTTCAGAACGCTGCGTCTCCATATACCGTGCAGCGTGGTATGTACTGGGTGGAGAGGCAAAATCAAGGAAGCACTACTGAGGACTCTGGGGAGGTGCCAAGATAGGGGTCATGGTCAGTGGGCTTCGATGTAGCGTACAGCTTTTCACGAGGTGAAATGGGTCAATTGGTCAGGATGGTCGGTCACTCCCAAATATTCACCGGATCTCATCACTTGGGATGGTTCATCATGTCGACAACGACGTCATGTTTACGGTCGGTCGGTGCTACATATGCGACGAACGGATTCTGAACGCGGCGCAGTTTGGGTCGAAAGCCGGTGTATTTAATATACGATGAAGGTAGTACAAACCCCAGTCACACTAATGGAAACAGAGGTTCAGTATATAGTCTCATAATGGCAGACAGCATTGCCACCAGTTCATCGATATGACATGTCATATGCCGTAGACTTGGCCGTCCTCTTGGCTCCCGTCCGGTCGTTAAAGTTTGTCCCGTTGCAGCGTCCCCCTTGCAGTGTTCCCCATGCACAGTGTGGCAAGGATCACGATGTTAGATCCTTCCCAACCAGTAACCAGGCAGACCGCTCTATTTTCAATGACCTGGGGAAGCTTGGTGATATTCATGACAGAGCCCCTGAGATGTGCGCAATGACGAACATGTTCTTAGCCCTGAGCCATCAAGGTCCTGTAACATGATTCACCGCTTGTGCAATTACGTACTTAGGTACTTAATCTCGCACCGCCGAATTCGTACGGTGACAGCGTAGCGCGCTACCGAAATCAGATCACATCCAGCATCCTACATTTGGCGATGATGTCCTTGGTGTTGATGCATGGTCAGGATCATGTTTGCCTACCGACAAATACCAGACCCCAGAAGGACTCTATCATGATGGTTGAGGCCCTTCCTGTCTATTCGGCCCGTGCGCTGTGGGCACTGGTATAAGACTCGGGGGTTTCTCTGGACACGAGGTTGCACTTGTAAGACTCGAAAAGGCACTTAGCCGCACCCCTTCACTCCTCCTGCCTATCGGATCTCTATCGTCAAAGCCAGTCCATCGCCGAGATGAAGTCGTTCATAGCCGCCCTTGCGCTTGTTGCGCCAGCCTACGCAGGTCTTCGCTTTGCGTGCTCACAGTTGACCATCCAACGCCTCGACCCCATCGTCAACCCTGGTCAAAACCCCTCTAGGCATGTTCACCAGATCGTTGGCGGCAATGCTTTCAATGTCACCATGACGGGTGATATCGGAGCGGAAGCCACCTGCACCACGTGCGAGATGTCTGAAGATCTCTCCAACTACTGGACCCCTGTGCTGTACTTCAAGCACCCCACGAACGGCTCTTACCACCGTGTGCCGATCATCAAGAATACCTCTCTCGCGAATGGTACCAAGGGGGGAATGACCATCTACTACACCCCGCACGACTTGTGCAGGGATGGCCTGGAACAGCAGCCCATCACGGCCTTCCCAAAGGTAAGTCAGCCTGATGCCCCGTCTCTGTATCAATACTGATGCTTTCTAGGGATTCCGTATGACAGTCGGCAGCCCAACCACCAGCACAGAGGAGCAGGCCAAGGCCCACGCCGGCCTGCGCTTCCAATGCCTGGTGAACACTCTCAACCGAGGCCCGGAGACGGCGGACTTCCCTACAGAGCCATGCCCAGGTGGCATCTTCGCTTCTCACCACTTCCCGGCGTCAGTAGCCCATACACCCTGATACATGAGCTCACATTGACCAATCCCAGATGCTGGGACGGCAAGAACGTTGACAGTCCCGACCACCAGTCTCACATGTACAACACCATCGAGGAGGACGGCTTCGAGAACGCGCCCCCATGCCCGGCCTCCCACCCCGTCCGCGTGCCCCAACTGACACTCGAGACCGTCTGGGACACGACCAAGTTCAACGACATGTGGCCGAAAGGTGCTCCCAACCCCTTCATGTGGTCCTTCAATGGCACCAAGGGTTATGGCACTCACGCCGATTATCTGTTCGGCTGGAAGGACGACTCGCTCCAGCGCGCCATGAACCAGTCCGAGTGCTTCTACGACGGCTGCGGGATCCTCGAGAAGCAGACTATGGACGTTGCCAACCAGTGCACCGTCCCTGAGATGGTCGGTGAGGAGACTGATGGATGTAAGTTTCGAAGAGGCTTGTCAGTAGGGATACGATGCTAATTTGTCATAGGGCTCACGGAGCTTCCAGGTCAGGGTGCCGACATGCCAATGAAGTAAAGAGATGATAGTTTTTGGGATGGATTTTCATGGCGGAGAGTTTAGCGATGTAGCTTCTGATTGATAATACTGCCTATATACTTGTCTGTCTCTCATCTTCACACAATATTCTTAGCCTAGAATAGCCACAAATAGTGAGATGATTATAATTTATTGATACCATATCACACGACCATACCAGCATGCAACATTAAGGGGGCGACCTGCCCTCCGTCTATTCGCTTCCCCTCTCGGTTTCGGTCCAAGAGACAAGATCTCCGGACCTACTTACGAGCAGCACCACGTGAAGGTGAGGAGTCCGACTTCGCTGCTCGGCTCCCTCGACGGGACTTCCCAGTCGAAGGAACCATCTAACTAGTTTCTCATACTATGTACAAGCATCGTCCAACACGATCCGTTCGATCCAGCGAATTGTCAAAACTCTACTCCCTCGGTCTACATCTCCAGGATGCGGACCGAGTCGCAACCTCCCTCGATCATGCCCATGACATGACCGAATCCAACTGCCCACATGGCCAAATGCCCGTAGGCGCCCCCCAAAACGCCCGAAATCAGACGAAAGAAACAGAGACCCAACCCAAATACTCAAAATCCAGTGATGCCTCAATGCCCCAAAGAAACGAGAAACCAAAACCAACCAAAAACTCCAACAAGGCCTCGAGGGCTAGAACAACGACAGCAAACAACCAAACCCCAACCAAGCCAGAAAGCAAAAGGCCAAAAAAGCGAGACCAGAAAAATATAACCAAACCCATCCGATCACTGCACTACAATGATCAGACTCAATTAGCTCCCTCGATCTACATCCCCTGGACGCAGATCGAGCCAACCTCCCTCAATCGTGTCACCATGACACAACCACAGCTCGCAGTAGCCAAAAGCCACAAGAACCCAAGTCTCTGCGGACGGGCAAAAGAAAGCCAGTCCCAAGAGAAACGAAATCAGCAAGAGAACCAAGCGCACGGAAACCGCGTAGCCACCATCGTCGTAGCCGCGCCCATCAGAGCGGCGCCGACGAGCGCCTTCCAGCCAAATGACGCAGTCGCAGGCGCGGAAGGCTGCTCTGTTACCACAACGATAGGGGCGTCTCGACGCTCGATCCGGAAGGGATGTCGAACAGGAGGCTGAGCCGAGAAAGACCCGAAGGCCGCGGGGCTGGACTGTTGTGGCGAGCGAGCGTCGAGGTTGCGTGGCGGCTTTACGTTGGCGGACTCTTAGACATCTTGGCTAGCCGCAGGAGCGGGCTGTTTCGGCAAGCCATATTGATGTGGTCGAATGTGCACAACGCGACGCTTTGGAGGAGAGGACTCATCAGGGGAAGCTGTCGGAACGGGCGGAGGCGGGGGCGGCGGAGGTACCGAGGGCTTGACAATGTCGGCCTCGTCAGCCTCTCCGTTTGGGACGACAGCTCTGCTGTCTGTGCAGGAATCTGCGTTATTGGGCTCCTCTCTCAAGTCGCGCGCTGGTATCCTGTCCATCATGGCGCTTGGTTCTGGTGATGACGGCTGCTCGTTGTCATTGACGGGCGACCTCGAGCTCGAGCTCGATCCCGACATCGTGATACGCACCGACGCATCGGATGACGTAGACAGTGTCATTATGATAGTCGAAACCAAGCTCGACGAAGACTCGCGCCGAAGTGCTGGGTCGGTCGGAACCGACTGTAGGTTGAGCTGTTCAGGGGTTGGCTGGGCAAGCCCGGACATGACCTCGCGAAAGGCATCGCCCATGGCCTCCTCGAACCGCTGCAGCACTTCGGTGTCCAGACTGCTGTCAGGTTCTCCAGCGAACAGGGGAGCACTGATGTCAGACTGAACGTCTCGCAAGGGTCGAGCCGACGAATCGCATTCCTCCGAGGACTCCGAGGGACCGTCCCAGGTAGACCAGGTCCAGTTGTACTTGTCGGGCTCGGGTCCGTAGGTCCGCTTGAAGCGCGCCGGATCCCAGACGACGGGCTTGTCGTCGAGGTCGGGGTTGCGGAAGGGGACGCCGAAGACGGGGTCGTACTGCGCGTCTGCTGGGCGGTTGACGGGAGCGTTGAGGGCCGGGGCCGGTAGACGCTTCTGGGCAGCAGACGGCGGCGAGAATGGACCCTGTCGACTGGCGTTTGCGAGCGCGCGCTGGTGACGCTGGGCAGCTATCATTGTCATTTGGCCGGGCCAGGGAACGACGTTGGACATGCCGTTGGATGTCTTGATCGCTTTCCAGCGGCGTTCAAGCTCTCTCCATCGGGCATCTTCCTCTGTCGCTTTCTTGCTTGGTACCGTGATCCGCACGATTGGATTGCCGTTCTTCATCCTGGATGCTGTCAACAAGTTAGTGATTGGATCTTGTACGAGACGAAACAGAGGAGCGAAGCATCAGGCGATGAGTAGTGACGGTGCGCATGGTGAATAGGGGGGGTCGACGGATGTAGGAGAGACAGGGTTTGGTCGAACAGTCATGGATGGTGAATTGTCTGACCACCACACAGAAGGGATGGACTTACGAGAAACTTGATGCGGACAATGGAAGGCACCGATCATAGCCTTTACCTTCACACAGGCGCCACCGCATCTGGAGCTGGAGGGAGGCGGGCCATCCTCCAGTCGTTGTGCACTGGCACCCGCGTGATTCTTGCGGCTTGATTGCGTTCTCTTGTCGACGAAGGGGTCCTCTTCAGCTTTCGGTTGGCGTTGCTCCCGTCTTGTTTCACTGGCACCAGAAAGCTTCGAGGGCGATGACACTGTCTCCAGTCTTCGTTCGACAGGACCTTTGGTTGTCGGGGTTCTCGGGGGTTGTGATTGTTGTTGCTGGCGTGGCTCCGATCTTCTTTCATCGGCACCGAACAACTTCGTATCTTTCTTTCCGCCGACATGGAGGTAAGGTAGTCTTACGGTTCGCTTGTGGACAGTGGGTTGCTGCTGGCGTTCTTCCGATCTTTGTTCATCGGCACCAGGCAACTTGGTATCCTTTCCCTTTTTGAACGGAGAATCGAGCTTGACGAAGTGACTGGGGAGGCTAGTTTTCTGTTGGCGTGTGTCCGGTCTTGTTTCACCGGCACCGAACAGCTTCTTTTGCTTTCCCTTTCCGAAAGTAGGGTCGATTCTGACGATTCGTAGGGGGCGGATAGGGGACTGCTGGCGTTGGTCCAATCTTCGTTCATTGGCACCGAGCAGTATCGAGGGCGAGCGGCCTGATTCCGTTCTTCGTTCAACGGGACCTGCTCGTGTAGGAGGGGGTGTGGACCAAGTTAGCCACGGACCTTTCAGAGAAAGGCCGGCGAGGGATAGGGACTTGAACCCTGACCGCTGGGGCCGAAGCAGTAAGTGGGCGCTTTGAAAACAGCATGCTGAGATCATAGATGTACACGAACGTGAGGAAGAAAGAAGGGAAAGAGGGCGGAGGTGGGGAGCTGAGAATTTCTCTAAGTATCTGAGTGACCGTCACCAAGGTGCTGCCTCTGGCCCACCAGCAACCAGGAACTAGCTTGATGCACCCCATTCAATATCTCAGTACTTCATGTTCATCGGCACTGTAATTCCGTGGCAGTAATTCACTGGGATGCATGGCTTCTAGGGGACTTGATTTGATTGCACTTCGTCTTTCAACCAGGGATACTGGATCAAGGATGGCAGACATGAGCCTGCGCATGCATGTGAGCGCTCACCTCTCACCTTATCATTCATCCCACCTCATTCTACACTTTCACCTATTTGCGATCTATAGGTTCCGATATTTCACAGATAATCGGCCATAATGGCCGTGTAGCCGATCAAAGTAGCTGAAGCAAGGGTTCCAGGTAAAGGGGCTGCCCCTGAGAGACCCGAGGGTGTTAAAGCGACCGCTGGGAACGACTGGACTTGACTTTTCAGCCGCCACAGTACAAAGAACAACTAATTACATGCAATTGATACTGGTCCTTCAGTTAGGTAGCTTCAATGTTGCTTTATGGTTCAACAGCGTCATGAGGATTGTATACTGGCCCCAAATATAGGCCCCTGAATTTGGTCGAACCCAGGCTTAGGTTAAATAGCACATCCTTCTCTCTTCTGACCTTCCAAGCGGCTGGAAACCCTTGTATCTGGGTGCATGAGATTCCGACACGTGAGATGCAATACGCACCGCAAGGAGTGAACGGGTTAATATGTTTTGAATTGAGAAGCATCGTGGTGCCATAGACGCATGCGCGATGGTAGCATGGACTCGTAGTGGATGCGAAGTTGAAATAAGCTCATTGGCAGATCTGACAAGCTACTATTTTGATACATCGGACAGGGGTGAAGGAGACTCCACTGCCGCTCTGTGGAGATCGCCTGTCTCGAGTGGCAGTCCAGGACGAGAGAGACCCTTATTAGTGTTTCGTTGGATTCGGCATTCATGTCTATCGCCCTCACTGCGGCTTGATCACATGTAGGTATGTGAGATGTACGTACCGTATGTGCCGCAACGAGTCGGCAAAGAGGTACTTACGGTACATAAGCTGGCCTACCGGTACATCCTACAGCAAAGGCGCAGCCAGGTGGGGTTGCCCTCTGCTTGATAGCAGCCCACGCCTCTCGATCATCTTCCCAAAACCCAACAGACCTTGTCGCGACGTTCATGTGCGATGGGGCGGCTTCACGACCAGGGAACGGGCCGATACGGCCTATGCAAACGTTCTTCTACTTCAAAGATCACGTTTCCTACTGGGCCAAGAAAGCTAGTAGGGTAGCAAACCACCTTCGAGGACTATGCAACACAGTCAAAGGACTTCCAGTAAAGTCAACCAAGAGGGCTGTGAAAACTTGTGTTATTCCTATTCTTACACATGGCCTGGAGGCCTGGTACCCAGGAATAGAAAAAATTAGGAGCTTAGGTGGGACATCAGCATGTCGCATTAAAGGGCTTCTTAGAACGATAGATGCTGTACTACGAACGGCAATTAGAGCTATCTTGCCAGTCTGGAAAACACACCCTGGACATATCCTACACTTTGAATCACAGATTCCTCCAGCAGGAATTCTTACAGAGTCAATAAGAAGACGTCACGGCCTCCGACTCGGACGAGTAGATCAGAGACACCCTCTTGTTGACAGGCTCCAAATACAAGCTCGCAAAGAACCAATAAGGCTATAAAGGAGCTTCCAATTAGTCCCTGACTTCCAGAGACCAATACTCACCAAGCCATTATGAAAGAAGCCCCCAGTCCGTAAAAACAAAGACAAAGAAATAAAGCTCTTTAAGCAATGGCTACAGGAAAGAAATACGAATACTGACCTTATAATCTATTCAGATGGATCATAATTGGACGACCAAGGCACAACCCGCACTGGATGGGGCTATACCATCAGGAAAGGCGGCACTACACAAGAAGTATACCGGGAAAGGGGCAGACTTCTATAAGCAGAAGTAATGGATGCTGAAGTCCATGGTGCTCTCCAAGGTCTTACAACAGCCAGGGTAATTGGACACGGAAAACAGCTATATGTCTGCCTGGACAACACATCAGTGGTGGATGGGCTCAATGGGACTCCACCCGAGACATCACAGAAAATTTTTCTGCGATTCCAAGAACTCGCCACAGCACACACTCCTGGAGTGACCGTCAAGTGGATTCCTGGACACAGAGATATTGATGGTAACGAAGCTGCCGATATATTAGCAAAAGAGGGTGCTATGCTAGAAACAGACACGACAAACCTTCCTATAATCTCTTGGGTCAAGAGAGATCTCAAGAGAAAGGGCAAAAAAGAGTTCAACCAATGGTGAAAAGACCAATCAGAACCTAGGTATCAAGAAGTATACTCACATGCAGTAACTGAAAGAGGCCTTATATCCTTTAAGAGGAGCACTCTACACAGACTTCTAGCGGCCAGATACCACGAACGCTTTGGGCATACAGACTCGAACAACCACTGCAGCTGTGGTGAAAAGAAAACACCACAACATATTTTCTTTTGTAAGAGGCTAGGCAAAAATCGGTTGTTGCCTAGGTACTCGCCTAGGACAGCCTGTTTACAATACTTAGGGGAGAGGAGCACAGAATGGGCAAAATTCGTGGAGAAGAGCAAGTTCTTTTCAACAATCTGTCTCCGATAGATAGCTATTCTTGAAGGACCAGATGGATGACCCCAAGGTCATACCGCCACAACAACGGGGATGGGCCCGTGAGCGGGACTGACTGTACTTATTTTCTTGAGACCTCCATAACCCTGCGATGCAGAGGCTCTGGGAGGCGTGGTCTGCACTACTGAGGAGCTACCCCCCACGTTAAATACAAAACAAACATACAAACAAACGTTCTTCTAAGATTGTGAGACCTAGAAAAATTGGGTTCGATGCAGAGGAATCTCTAAGCCAGGAGGTTCAGGAATTCAATCGCCGCCAGAGATCGCATCGATGAGAGACTTCGGTGGGCGAACCAGCTGTTGGAAGATCTGCTGGACGAGCAGGTCTTCATGGCCCAGACTATACCTTTCTTATCCAGACTCTCCGGCGGCACTTCTGAGCCTCCTCGGAACTTCTCGCCGAAGGACCTGAGCTATGGCGATTGGAATCAGGGGACAACCATGGGCGTCGAAGAGGAGTACCGTATGATTGCTCTCAGAAGAAAGATGTCGAAATGATGCAATCCCTTCTCAGATCGACACTGAGGGCTCTTACTTCATCGCTTATCTCTAGGCCTCTGCCGACGATACTTCCAGAGATTGACACCCCCGAAATATTCTTCCGAGCTTTCCAGTTTGAATCATACAGTCGTCACGATACGCAATTGGGATTTCGTTCCTCCAAGGTGCCACTAACGCCACCCGACTATCACGCCACAACATTGAGCGAATCCTCTATGCTCAGCGAGAACGAGTTTCGAAACCATTGTGAGGGCAATCAGCCGTCCGATCTGATTGCCATGTCAGACAGCCCTTTGCACATTTCCAATAACCTCCAGAAGTGGAATTTTGGGCAAATGTCCGGGTGTGAGATCGCTGTAATCAACGCTTCCAAGTTACTTAAGGCAGGAGTCCTCTTCAATCGCACCACGACCTTAGCACAACGTCTAGGTCTATCCCCTGGATCGTACCCTCAGTATTTCACCCATAATTACTGGGTGGCATACAGGTGGATACCTGCCGAATGCATCGAAGGCTACGTGACGAACATTGCTCTTCGGCAGTTGTGTGGGAAGAAAGGCATCAATAAGTACACAAAGTGTAGAAGAAGAACAGCTACTGACGATACGTAGCAAATCTCAACTACCACATCATGCCAGGGCTCTCTCTAAAAGACTTGAAAGACATTCTCTCTGAGACACCTCTCCTCGATCGGCGTAAGCATTAGGCTTTGGGGGACGACTCGGACGAGCGGGTCTCAATTGATGTAGATAGATACGGGTGGGCTTTTCTTCCCCAATGAAGGGACAACATAAGCAAATTAGTGATGTATTTCTTGGGGAGTCACGTTATACGGGACTAAGGGATGTAGAATGTGTGTTCAAGAACCCTATGGGCGTGGAGGATGCGCTGATCCTGGCTAAGGCTCGGAGGGATGTGGGACTATCGGACGTTTTAAGGATGGGCGCGTAAGGTGTGATGTACTTGAGGACTCAGGGTCTTTTAGCAGTTCCTAATCCTACAGCTTCTTCCAAGTTGTTAAGTATATTACCGCAAGTATCATTCGTGCACGTATCAAATCCACATTAGCCATCTCGCTCCTCGTTTCCACGCCTGCATACTCACCGCCAACCAAACCCAACCTTCTTGAGGAGCAAAGTACTGCTATATGTTATCATCATCCCTCTCCGTCTCGTGTCCATATTGATCTGCCGTCATGAAGCGAAGCCTCCAAGGATTCGTCAGCCCTAACGATTGTGTGACGTCGTGCACGACGGTGTAATCCGGCACATGAATCGGTTCATTAGTGTCGCGATGTCTAAGCTTGCCACCAAGCCTCGGAAAGAGTATGCCGGTGCGATACTTGCAGTACAGCTTCATCCGGAACCCGGGCACAAGGCTATCGAGGTAAATCTCCAGACTGTTCCGAGCAGTACCCTGTGCGGCCGCCTGCAGGTGACGCGGGTCGAATTTCGGCAGAGAGAAGACATGCGCGTAAAAGTTAAACAGCTGCCAGCGCTCCCAGACCTCGGCCGCGTGGAAGCCGTATATAACTTCGGAATCTACGGAGAGATGGCTGCCGGGATCTCGCTTGGGAAGCCCCAGTGCGGCGCAGAAAGCGTTCGTGTCATCGTGCTGATGCTTGAAACACTGGCAGTACCCCCCGGATAAAATATGGCCGACTTCAGCGACGAAGCGGTACGCGCCTATCTCACTTGGCCTCGGAAATGAAAGGGCTGTGTGTTCACCGGCAAGGGGTGAGATACCAGCGTTGATGTCGCGTCGTATCAGACTTGCTAGGTTTCCTGTAGATTCGACGGTGTCAATTATTTCTTCGAGGGACGTGGTGTTTAGCAGCACGTGATAGGCACGGCGCAACTTCTGGCGCTGGTCCTCGGTTCGACATTGACAAAACCCATACTCGAGCCACTCCTCGTCGAGAGGGCCCGGGACGTTGTTCATCGGCTGTAGAAGCTTTGTATACAAAGATAAGACCCGACGAGCACTTTCCGAACGTCTTGACAAGGGCACCAGGTCCTTCAAGGGACCAAGTAGCTGGCGAGTAAAGTCCACTGCGAACAGGTGGTGTTGGTATACTGGATGAATACATGCCTCGTCTATCCGGGTGTCGATCCCCGGCTCCAGGTACCACTCTAAAACCTTCTGTACTGGCTCATGTATGGCACCAGAGGATCGCGATAGATGGTGGCGCAATTGTTGATGGAGTCTCTTCTCACTCGTCCATTCCTGGAGCTCACGGAGCCTGAAATGCCGGACAGCATGCCGAAATATGGTCATCAACTTTCGCACTTCTGATTCAAGTAGGCAAGCGTTGAACCCGAACGTGAAGCACAGCTCGTCATCAGCCAGGAGTTCTTGTACAGTGGCCCGGCTCACAACGATTGTTGCTTTTGGGGCCCATCTGCGTAGGAACAGCCTGAGGTAATCGACCTGGTTCGGCCGGCTGTCGACACGACACACGAAAACATGAGCGTGCCAATTCTGCTTCTGGCAAAGCTCTCCGCAGTACCTCGTGTGACAAGCTGAGCAGTAGAACAATGCTGGCCGATAACCACAGTGTCGACATGTCTTCGGTCTGTGAAGCTCCTCTGGGGGCATTTGGTCAAGCTTCTCAAGGCCGTGAACTTGCCTTAGCTGATCAATGCGAAGCTTTTCAGCCTCTCCCAGCTTCATCTCTCTCGTTCCGTCTTTCCACCTCCGGTTTGTTACGTCAGCATAGCCCGGTTTGTCCGGGATTGCATGGATGAAAATTTCGTCGTCCACCGCGCTGTGCTGAAAAGTCATCATGCGTCTGTGTATGATTGTAAGTTTCTATACGACACTGAAGCCGGTGATAGCTAGGGGATCACTCACAGGGTCTGGAGGCGAGAAGGTACCATTTTCTCAATCTCATTCTTGAGAATCGTTGCGACAGAGGGAAGACCGTGAGATGACTGCGCCATGTGCTCCTCGCCGCGTCGGTGGGCTGTCGAGAATAATTCCTTTAAGACACTTCGGATGCGCTCTACTAAGCTCCTCACTCCGTTTTCGAACTTATCCCTCTGCTCCTCCGTAGTAAACCACTGCTGAGGCTCCCACCGATGAATCACGGCATTATGGGTACCCCGTGTTCTCATGTTGGGGAATGTGGCCTGGATGAAGGCGCCGCAAAGAAAGCAGCAGCGCCTGCTACATCCGATGTATGGATGTGCTTTGTGCCTTGAATCTACAGTAGGGAAGAGAACGTCGAGATGGTATAATACCTGCAGCTCGGCATGTATGTGCCTGCTAGCTTTGGCCTCGGCGCGGATGGCTGGCAGGTGCTTCTCGATCCTCCTGCCAATGTCGTCAGGGATTCTGGGCAGAGAAATACCTAGAGCCGACGAAATCTCCATCCGAGTTTCATTCCGCTTTGGCTCTCGCTCTCCGGACTCGTGATATGGCATACACATAATACTGATAGCTTGAATACCTTTTAGCTGGCGGGCCGCATTAGAGAACACTTCGACGCCATATAAAATTCGAGCAAGGTAGAGAAGTGACATGTGGAACTTCTTTGCCTGGGGCTTTCTCTGCTTGAAGTGGTACGTTATGTGAGATTCCAGAACGACTCGACCATGACTCGTCTTCCAGAGACTAAACACGGCGCGCATCAGTCGCTCCAGGGCGGTAGCTTTATCGGTATCACAAAGCGGTGCCTGGCTGCAGATCTGAGAAGCTAGAGGGACGATCTGGTCGAGTTCGACTGCAAGATTTTTGGCATTCGACCATGCCGAGTCGGCAGCTGTACGAGCCCGAATTTCCTCATGGTCCTTCCCATGGAATCTGTATCGCAAGCCATGGTTATCGGTCCAGTGTGGAAGGATACCTTTTGTCGTCTTTTCAGACTCAAGAAACCGGCCCAGAAGCGATGCTGCTCGGTCGTCTGCGCTTTCATTGTGGTGCTCCCCATTTTCGCCATCAGACTCTCCAACATGGGCCGACTTCAAAGCAAGCCTCATTTGGTCGATGTAGTATTCAATGCGCTGCCTCTGTTGGTCAAGTACCAGTCGTAACATCTTAATGGAGCAGGCTTTGCTGTTGATATCATCTGGAATTCCATATTAGTATCAGACGTAGATATCAAGATTCTGGTACAAGTGCATGACCATACCTGAACAGGCCATCTCCTCCATCAGCTGCTTCCATTCAGGCAGGAAGACACGTTTATCTTGCTTGTCCAGACCTTCGTTCCTTGCGCAGATGAATGTGACACTGCTCTGATCTGCGGCTTCAAGCAAGATGACGCTAGAAACGTTTTTGGCGTCTTTTAATGCCGTCTTTCGCGGCGACTTGAACCTGGCCAGCATCTCCGACAGTCGATCGACCAGTTCATCCTTTAACTTCTGGAGTCGTTCCTCATCGCTGTTCGCTGCAAACTGCCCATCCGGTTCGCCGATGTCGATGTCTGTAGTGTCACGTTCTGAGATATTGAAACCTTCCTCGAATCCCTCAACGCCTGTGCTGTCGCTCGGGGCAGTCGGAGTAAGTGACGCTAGGACACAAATAGCATCTCTGAGCTCTCCATACAGGGAAGGTTTGCCACAGAAACCATGGCCGTCAGTACCGGAAAGGTGTGCTTTTGAAGCCATGCTTGGTTATTATACATTGGCCAGACTCGGTGCTAGGAAACAACAATATGAAATTTGAAGCTTAGGTGCAAAGGATAGGCAAGACGTGCGGGGTACAATGTATGTGTAACATGAAGCTGTTGTATTGGGGGTACGATATCGTATGACATCCCACTCTCCCTAGAGCTCCGGCCCTGCCCTGCTGTCTTTATATATGCCATGACGTGCCAGATAGGTCGGGCCCGGGGTTGGGGAGCCATATCCTTGGACGACAAAATGATCGCTGTAATCGACGCGTCCAACTTAATCCTGACAGGAGTTCTGTTCAATCGCACCACGACCTTGGCACACCATCTAGGCCTTATCCCAAGAAGGGGCATTGGCATTCCTTCCAAACGAGAATACCCCCAATATGCCAACGATAATTACTGGGTGGCATACAGGTGGATACCTTCCGAATGCATCGAAGGTTACTTGTCGATCAGTACTCTCCGTAAGCTATGTGACAGCAAAGGCATCGGTAAGTAACCAAAGTAGAGGAGATCAACAAATAAATGATGGTACATAGTCAGCTACTGGACCAGGCTCTCGTTGGAGGACATATTTCCTCGGGTGCCAAACCCCGAGTTGGCTACCATGATCTAGAGTTCCCTCTTGAAATATGTTAATGGCACGCAAGCCACCGTGGCGTTCAGGGAGGTGGCAGTGCACCAACAAGGCCAATAGGGCATTTTGGGGCCACTTAGCCCACAGAAGGATTTTCACAGAGATACAACAAGAACACGGATTACACCAGAATATACGTTTTCACCCATCTAAAAGCCCCCACGCTCTGTTTAACAAAATACGGCACCTTTCAAACATACACATCCCCTTCATAGGCTGATAGAGACGTAGGTCTTGTGAAACAAGGTGCTCTGCGTGGATTGAATAGGGGACGGTTGGGTTTCTCCCTCACCAACAGATTCGTCTCTGATGGTCTTTTACTGTAAGCCGATAGATCCAGGTATGAATGATCATGAGGTCTTGATGGTACTTGCGAGGCATGGGATGGCATGCACATCTACACCTGTGATCAACAATAGGAGCTCAAGGGTTCCGCTGATGCCTTCTGGCGCTGGAATGCGGCTCCTCACCTGACGATTTGAATGGCTGAAACGGTTGAAATGTTTTCTGGGATGCCGTTGAGTAAACAGAACACTAACAGCTGTTTCCGAATAAATCACGGGAATGATCTTACATCGAGAGCATGACATGGTCTCCGCGTTTCGAGTACGAACCTGATGATCTACAGCCCAGTCACGACCCAATATTGTGCTATGATGTCTACCGTCTGGCAGGGTGCTGACCCTATGTTGTTGACACCAACGCGAAGGTCATTCCCCTTCAATTATCACGAGCTACAGTCAGTATAACCTAATGACTCAACCTAAGGCCATCAAATCATCTATATAAGGACCCGGCATATGCTCCTTGCTCTGTATAATCACGAAACCACACCTTACAGCTTCCCAACTGCCCGTACCACACTAGTCACTCTTGCATCAAGCAGAACAAAGCCAACGCAACCAACATAACAAACCACGCTGAACTTACCGATCACAGCATCACAATTTCCATCTCCCATTCCAGCAGATTCACTCCGCCGTCAACCAACATGTCGAACTCGAACAACGACAACAACGACATTAGTCACTTGAGCGACAAGCCCGGCAAGCCTCCAACCTGGCAGAACATGCTGGACCAGCCGAAGTATGCCGGGTGGAAACACGAAGACAAAATGGCGACTTGAACGAGCAAAGTGAGATACGTGAACAGAAGAAGGACGAGGAGTACGCAAAGGAGCAGGCCGCGAAGGCTGACAAGCAAGGGTCCGACAAGAAATAGCTTGAGCACGTCTGAACACCGTACGATCTCGATGACGAATGGTCCGCGCTGTCGTTCGTTGTATGAACTCGGGGAGGATGGCTGTGGAGGTGGATGTTAGGTGTTTCTCCAAATCTTGATGGCGGTGGAGCTTGAGGGAAATGGGTATGGGGGAGGATATTAGGATATTAGGATATTAAGATATCTTGCGGATCTTGATGGCGGTGGAACTCGAGCAGCGGGTCTGTTCGTTCACGCTCGTTTGTACTTTGGATGGACCGGTCGGCGAAGTAGTATAGACAAACCCAACTAAAGACACTCTTTTGGCGCACTACCGTTCACAATTTTCTGTTTCCCGTATGTGAGGCACATGATCGGCACCAGTGACGCCGTTAAGCTTGAGCAAGGATAAATGACGAATCATGAACGTCGAGAGGAGCATGGCTCTGTAGAATGGACATCTGAGTTGACAGTGCGCCTCATGGAGGAAGTAAGGTATCTGGGAACAAGAGACACCGCTGGCGTGGACCCAAGTCGAAATGCAGTAGGTTGCCCCTGAACAGTCACCGGGCTGAGCTCACTGTGGAAGTTGCAATGTCCGGATCCCCTGACACTGCAGGTCTTTGGCGGCGGACGTCACAGCGATGATTGTCATGCGCCAATGCAGGGAGACGTAGGGAGTTCTGGAAATCTGGCGTCACGTTAACCTCACAGTAGCTCTCTTCCACCTGCCCGATGTCTGGGGTTCGTGTCAAGTTTTCCGCATTGTATTGAACCTTGGAGGCAGAAAGCGATTTGCTGATGCAAGAGAGCCCGCAGGTATGGCTCCCGAGGCCGTTCCCATCGAGTCGTTCTGGTTAGTCATATTGGATCAAAAGGACAAAGAACTCAGTTGGTAGGTAGCATGGCTCGGGAGTCGCAAGATGACGAACCACAGCAAGGAACCAGTGGTGCGGTTGTGGACGTTGGAATGCATCTGTGGTGGTTGGAAGCGGTTGCAGTCATGACCAGGGGGTGGTGTTGGCGACACAAAGTGTCATGCTGGAATGCGGAATGGCAAATCCGGTCATGATGCCAGATGTGCGACAAGGCTACCTCACATAACAGTGAATCGCTAAGCTAGCGAGACCAACCGAGCCAGGTCGTCTATATTTTACCGTTCATGTGCCATGTGTTGTTTGTCGACGGAGATGTTGGTGCGCATCAGGCGACTCCAGAGGGAGCACCCAACAGCCCGTGCCAAAACACCAACACATATGACTCTTTGTTCTCTCCATCACGAGGATCGAGCACGCGAACCATGTGGCCGCGTAATTGGCCTCCGTCTCGTCTCGTCTATAAAGCTCGCTCTTGATCTTGCTGTTCTGGTGGTTGCAATGTGCTCACTATCTCGCTCTTCCACTGTTCCAGTGATTCAACAATCATACACACGATCGGGCCTTATTCTTCTCGCTTGAATCCTGAAAGCCAGGCTTATACCACCGCCATACCGGAATCACACACACACGCTCCGACTCCTCGAGTCCTCGTCTTCAATTTTCCAACATCCGTATCCGACAATAGAGCTTGCGAGACCGTCGAACTTGCCACCAGCCATTTGTCACGCGCAATCATAGCCAGTATCGACAAGGAGCACTCAGTATGCCGCCTACCAAAGACATGCCGATCACGACGCCTCAGCGAAGGGCTACGTTGGGAGAAGACCTCAAGATCGAGGCACCCAAGACCGGAGAGAATGAGGTCGATTTCAGCAAGGCAAGAACAACCCGGCCACCATCCGAGGAAGACGAGGACAAGGAAGCCAAGGAGAGCAAATAAACAGCCAATACGTTGAGCAGTTGTGGTCACGGAAGGGTCCCATCGGACTTCCTGCAGACGCGTTGAACAAGGCTGGGTGGCGAGCCACGATGCTTCCCATGCCTTGGCATTGCTTTGGAACGATTGTACTGGCCTGGACTTGATATGGGCTCCTTGGGGGACTGTGGACGTTTTTTCTGAATCGCTATTAGACCTAGTTATACTTATGAGAAAAGATCGATTCGGTTTCTGTCGTCCATTGGGTTCGGTTCGGGCGGGGGGGAAACGTGCCGCGTCATTACCTGCGTGAATGCCAACCTCAAGCGGCGTTAGAGGGAAGCAAAATGTGTGCCGCATGGATCATCGAGACCTTTGCGACTCCTTGCAAACGCGCACAGGCGTACTGATTTCAATTATCGTTGGATCTGTTGTCCGAATATTGCGGGTGGATTGCAGCGTTCGAGACGGGACCGGGGAGGGCAGCATCGCAACGTCCGCCCGGAGGCTGGGGCAACGATTGTAGAAGATGCCGTCCTGTGCGATGGCGGTTTCGATAAGGGTCGCATTGATATCGAGAAGGCTGGAAGCAAGTGTCGGTCTGCAACTGTGACGTGTTAGCAGTAGCTCACGACATGGAAGGATGTCGGAACCTAGACAGAATAAGACTGAAGCACAGCGCCGGGGATTGGTAGCGAGCCATTCACCGCACAGGAAAGGTGACGGGAAGAATGTTCCTGCGCTCGTTCAGATCAGGGCGCGAAGCGCGCCAACTCGAGAACACGGCAAGTCGAACGGCAGCGCGTGGTCTGAGGGCAGAGCAGGCGGCCAAGGTGATGGGGTTGGCTCCTCGAGCTCCAGGTAAGACAAAGATGGTACCGACGCGGCAGAGCAACATCGCGTCAGCTTCCATGCGAGTTCACAAGAGACATATTGTCAGGTGCGCAATGACACAAGCGAGAATTTTCTTCCTCACAACGCGTGACCAGCACACGAAAGCAATGAAAAAAGTAATGGGAACACGGCCTGTCAGACTTCCGCCGTCGCCCACCCCGGCCGCGCGCCCGAAGGCAAGACCGCAGGCAATCGGGGTTGAGATCATCAAAGCACTCTCTATACAACGGCCTCTTGCGAGGCGCGCCGCCATCCTTGCGGACAGGTCGAGAGTAGAGGTTTTTCACTCTAGGGCGACGGGGATATGGCTCATCAACCAGGGTGGGCTCTGTGGCTCTTTTGGAGAATACAGAGTGGGACGAATACTATAGAAATGATTCTCTGAAGTCTGCATCGCGTGGTGTGGTCAGTAAATGGTGCTGGGGAGAAGTGTAGTGGTAACCCTTTGGGAGTGGGTGTTGGACTCACATTGTCGTATGAAGAAGAAAGAAAATCAGAATCAGAGAAGGGAGCAGGAAGAGACTTAAATAGGCGTGGGAGCCGCATCCCAGGCGGTGTACAATCAGCTTTTTTTTCTGCCGGCACTATTTGTCCCCCACCATTTTAGCCCACCAACGCCGCGCGCACAGGGCGGGGACGGAGCTGCCAGCTGCCGGCTGCCGGCAACTCACCTGCAAGGGTCATGTCCCACTAATGATTTGGAACCTACCGCAAGCCACCAGGTGGCGGCCAGTGGGGCCACGAACACATTCCATGAGAACAGGAGCAGCTCGCAGCGCCATGCCAGCCTACTGGCAACCCTGGAGACAGAGAACCTCATCATTGTTTGATGGCCAACACTCGGCTACTTCACACACATCGTCTATATCACTAAGTGTTCTCTCCCAGTCACAACCTGCCGGCTCTCGTCTGTAGAATTGTTCGAACGTACGAGCAAGTTGAGACAACCCAGCGATCATGGACTCGACATCAACATGAAGTCCTCACAGCGGGCATACTCTCGGAGCAAGTCGCCTGCTCACATGAAATCGACCATTTCGAGATGATCAGCAGCTCAATGGGCGTCTATGTGTCCACCAGAACAATGCTATCTATCGACGTCCATGGGCTACCATCGCCTTGATGTGAGGATCAGCGCCCTTCTCGGGGAGAAAACAGAGCTTGCGAAGTAAATCCCGCATGGATAGGCTATTTTGCCGTGGTGCCCAGCCTCATCGATCTTGCCGCTTGCCAGTTCGAATATGCTTGCAACCGTCGGTGTACAGATGTTCCAGGATATGGACGTCGTGAGCCATCCCGGCTGCAGTAGCACAATACAAACGTCCGTTATCTAGGACGATGGCGTCTTCGATACCAAGATGTATTAGAAGCCGAAAGGCTGGGGGCTATGCACACCACATCGGATTTGTATCTGCAAGAGCAGACCACCCATTGGCACACCTATCTCGAAACCGAGATACTCGTCCGACTTGAGCAGGTTGATGAAGCCCAAAGTCTGAGCAGGAACTGCACGCTCAACTCGCCAGATGCCACGTTAAGGGTTCCCCGTGCTTTCCCATGGACACCCCGGAAATTGAGGCATTGTGTACGAGAAGCGACCGAAGAAGTCCAAGAAGTCTATGCATAGGGATAACAGAAGCTGACTCCACACGACCTGCTTCGTTTCCGCTTCCCTCACCTGCAACCGCCTGTCAACGTGGTCTCGATTCTTGACAATGTACCGGTCCAACAGCCGATTAGCGAGGGCAGAACCACGAAGATTGAAACAGTCGGGAGAGCGATGGACAGCATGGCGGTCACCATTGCAAGACCTAAAAATATACTCAGTTTGAAGATACTGGATACTACTCGGTCTTGAGTCCAGCAAGACCGTCCTCCCTAGAAAGCCGACTATGCGCCGTGTGGCCAAGATCATATGACGATCGAAGATGGGCAGAGAATGGGAAGCAGCAATATTCCGACCACTGAGATAAGAAGAGTTACTTGGCGCAGGTCCACCATCCCAATCGCGTTCACTCGGCTACTGCTCACTGCATGTATGTATACAGGCTGGCCGCTGCCCCCTTTACGGAATATTACGTCCTAAAAAAGGTACCTGACCCCTCATCTCTCTTTATTCCTAGTCTTGGTTGCGACACGGAGAACAGCCAACTGCTAGAAGCGAAAATGGCCTCTCTAGGCGACCTCAGCGCTGCTTTGACCAGCATTAGGCCGGCGAATACTAATGCGCTTTTGAACGCGACCGTTGAGTTGAACATTTTTACCAAACGGTTTGTCCAGCCGCCACCCGAGTATGCTAGTATAGGACAGCATCTAGCACCTGGTTGGTTACAGGAGGCACAGAATGGCAATCGCCACTCAATCGCTAGGAAATTGGGACTGCTCTTCAAAGGGAGAGAAGTCCTGCCTTCGACGCTGGAACTCATCAAGGCCTATGGCTCGCGTGCATCAGAGATTGCCGGCAACTCCGTTGCCAACCCCCAGGGGAGCGAAACTCACGGCGCCTTTGCTGACATGATAGGAGCTGACGCCACCACCTTGTGGGCTGCGGCTACGTCGGGTCGGGCTGCGATACAATGCCATCTGCTAGCCTGCCTTCTGGCCAGGATATGGACCTATTCCGAGGCGACATCGATATGGGTCGAGCTTGTTACTAGACGTAAGGAGGCACTGAGAAGGCAGCTAGCGGAAGAAGGGGAGCTTGATCAAGAGGTACTTCTTGCAACCGGCGAAGAGCTGTCAAGAGAGCATCTTAGAGACTGGGACGCCAGTGCGAGAGCCTGGCTCCGAGTGGCCGACTTGGTAATGGCGAAGCAGCAGCGCAGCTTCGACTCATCGTCGACAATCTGGACAAATCTGTCAACACACGAAACCCGACACGTATGACAGTGTGATTGACGCGTGGACTTCGGCTATGGCCCAGACGGAGAAGCTACTCAGCTGGACGCCCCTCCAAGTCAGCCAAGGTGATATTCTGCTCGGTCTTGTGTCTTGGCATCTACCCGGATATGAAGTACCTCTCGGCGAAAGAGCAGAATATCAATCAGCGCGATCCCCTTTTCAAAGACCGAGGAATCCTGTCACTCGGCCTCGGACCCTCTCCCCGAATGGTCAAAGAGCGACGCTCTATCTATTGGGCGCTCCCCCTCGCCCACCTGCGGTACTATGGGAGGCTTCCGGTCACCAAGATGCGTTCATTCAGAACCTCTGAACAGGACAGAATAACAGTGGACGAGATGCTCTTGGCAATGATCTCAGCGTACCTTCTTCCCTGGGACGATGGCTCTGTTTCAACAGAAGAGGTTCTGCAGTTTGCCAGCAATAGTGCGATGGAGCTACATCGAGCTTGGCACTCCAATATCCAGCAGCGGGCCACCGGCCACCATAAGCCCCAGTCGGAGACAGTCAGACCCAATGGCTTTCACCCCGGCTCGTGGCTAACGATGTTATCCCGGATTTGTGTTCAGTACAAAACCCGCCTTCATGACCAGCGGGTGCGCAAGATCCAAAATATGGGCCGGCATTTCTGCACGGCTTTCCAAGGCATCCCGTTTCAGAACATTCTCAACGTGTCGACTTACCTACAGGCTGCCCGCAGTCAAGAGAACAAGATCGGATTACTACGACATATAGCCGCAGCACTCTCAGCACAGACGCCAGGTCACCGGCAATATGAGTTCGTCATTACTTAAAGACACCGTTATTCTTACCAGTCAGAAGGAAGGTTGAAGTACTTCGAGGGGTTCGAATATGCGACGGCATTGCCAGAGCCCAATAGTTCCAACGCCGAGTCCTCGCCGCCCGGTATGGTCCGCTCTTCACCAAGGCATGAGAGATGGCTAGCATTCGACCCTTTCGACATAGGTGAACATGCCATCACTAGCGGGCTTTTCGGTAACAAGCAAGACTTGGGCGGATTGAGACTCACAAAGGCTCAACGGTTCATTCTTACGGTGCTGGAGGGCGAAGGAATTCAAGAAACAATATCGGCCAATACGAAGGCCAACAGCACTTTGAGTAACCGTCTTGACCGCATCGAACAGCTGGGTGAGCAAGCCTTGTACCCTAGCGCATCGTCGCCTTATTTCGAGCGGCACGAGAGCGTCGAGGAGTCATACCTCCACAGAGATGTCCCAGGGTACTCCGGTGACGTAGTCATCGTGCACAACCACTCGACACGCGATGGTCGACGGAGACGCGATGGCGAGAGTCATATACCAGGGTTTGTTCCCGCAATATCCATCGTGATGAAGACTAGACTAGGGGTCTCGCGGTCAGTGGTGAATTACGACGTGGTACACGGAGATCTCGACAGCATTGCGCTCCTGTGTCGTTCGGCCCGCGGCCCACAAGTGACTCAGGCCGGAAAGCGTAGACAGGAGACTGCAAGGTCAGAATACTAATTTAGAACGCGGCAGCTCATGGAGCTATTCAAGGCAGACTCGATCGACTTCGGCCGATGTGCCAAGGAGCTAATGCTTGACGCGTCTCACAATGCCAGCTTCCTCGGGATGACCTTCGTTGAACAGCTTTACCAGAGTATGGCTGGAGCTACCATCGACGTTCGTGCGGTTCAGATGGACCTGGGGAAGGCTCTATGGCTAGAGGCGGCTATCGAAAGCGCAGGATCGAAACACACATTGCCTGCCGTGGTTCATGCCACAAGATCCATACCACGCATCGAGCTTCGTGGCGTGGACGTCGCTACATGTTTCGCCTGCATCGCCATGATGGAATCGGGGAGCTACAACGTGAGCCCAGCCGAGCTTCAGAACGTATTCGCCCTCTGTGCCGCAGAATCTCTATATGTCGCATCGACGCTGCTCAGGGATCCGGCTGCCGATGCCGCGCTGCCGAAGGTCCAGCGATTTACTGGCAACATAGGTAGGCAGAGAATACACACGAAGACTCCATTTTCCTCCAACCTCTGATTACTGATGCCATCGGGCACTAACCATGCTTCTATAGGCAAAGCCGGCATGGTGTTTATGGTACCTCCGAAGCAGCCCGAAATCAGGTCTTACGATCGGATCGACGAGTGGTACCAGTACGACCACGCCGAATTCAACGGCATGATGGGTAGTTGCTTCGAGGGCACCAGCCTACACCTATCCTTCTCCGAGGCGTCACAGGCGGTCAATGTCGATTTCTCGGGCGGTCGGGACACCGAGGCCTACTTCCTCGAGACTCTGGTATCCGTCCATGATAAGGGGACGTGGATCGCCGAGCTCGACGTCTTGGGCACCATGCAGAGCGCTGGCCTCATCCGGCGGTTCATCGGGTACAGCGCCTGCGAATGTAGCAGTAAGACGGCGGCCCCGGCGTCGAGCCTGAAGATCATATCCATCCCCAACTTTGCCGAGATGATCGTGCCGCCGAGGCAGCCCGGCATTATTCGGGCCCGCGAAAACTGGCAGGCCAGGCTGGCGGCCACCTCGCTGTGTCTTGCGAAAGGCTACAAGGTCCTTTTGAAGCCGGAGCAGATATGCTGGGGATGTTTCTCGACGAAGTCGGTTGATGGTGTGACGATTCATTCGGTCGTCCGGCAGCAAGGCGGTGTGGTTGCTGTTCTGTAGATGTCTGAGATTTGATTATACCATACTATACCATACTATACCATACTATACCATACTATACCATACTATACCATACTAAACATCGGGTTCTAATTCGAGTAGGTTCCTCAAGACTCGTTGCAGTGATGCATATGGTCGCTTTCTTCGTTCGTGTCGAGTGTGGTAAAATCTGCTCATATTGGGCGGCAAGAGGGCTTCTTCGGCGGTACCTGGAATATGCTCCCGGATGTCATAGACCGTTCGATCTTTGAGGCGCCGCGCAGCGCGCGATGCTTTGTGGAAATTCTCGTTGGGGTTATGCCTAGCCTTGACTGCTTTCAGTACAGCCTCTAGGATGGGTTAATGGCCGATAATTACCTTGCAAGATTGTCACTGGGATCTCGACTGGACCGATTCGTCCTCAGGGACTTCGAAATGCCCTGTGAGTCTTTTGATTTGGCGTTATTGCTTGAGAGACGGCGTCTCCCGAACAGGCAAAAACACTGGGACAGAGCAGCAACTCAGCTCGCTAATGTCCTCACGGGACGCTGCATCATCTAATCTGTCGACTCGACTGCCAGGTGCAGGCGCAGGCGTGCTGTCTGCAACGATTAATCAAATACTGTTGGCAGCTAGTGCCAGTCAGGTGTGTGCCTATCAAGTGACTACAGCTAAAAGGGGTAAAAGGGGTAAAAGGGGTCCTTAGATGTACGGACATGAAAGGAGCTTTGGGTGCCAAATCAAAGAATGGGCCTTACCTTGCCTCCAGAGTATGTATTTAGTCCTAGATATCACCTCCTGACCCATGGAGTGACCCGTCCATTCAATACACCATCATCTAACCCATCTGAACCCCTGACTTCCACAAGTATCTACTTAGTACTAATGCCACTTGCGGTTCTGTTCAGTCCAGCCCGGCTTCGAGTAATGCTGGGATAAGCCTCCTCGACAGCTGAATCAATGCAGATCATATCATTTATACCATCACCCACGACCAACACCATCGAGACTCGAAAGCTTAGGATGTAATTTATTCAGGGAGCCACAATCGCCCAGATACCTCGACAAGCAGCTGCCGGCACATGTGAGCCTCAATATTAGCATTACATACAATTACACTGAAGACAAAGCTGATTTGGCTCTGCTTGATCCGGGTCAGTTGCCAACCACTGCCGTGTAAACTTGGGCCAGCCTCACGAACCCATCAGATAAAACCATTTCTATGCTTCCACGCCGACCCAATGCAAACGGCCGGTCAATGGACACGGAACCTCACTCGGAGCCCATGCCCAGGCCCCTCACCCCTGTTCCCTTTGCGGAACACGCTTTTGTACAATTCCAATCAGCGACTCAATCCTCCCATATCTTTTGGCGACACGGAAGTGTTCTCGGTACGGCCCACTGCGCCGTTTCCCTCCTCTATCTTGGACGCCTGACTCGGGCGACTTCATTTGCTCTTGCGGCTCTTCTTCCTTTTTGGCAGCGCTGCCTCCTTTCTCATTTGCACATCACCCTCGGCAAGCCACTTGCTAGCCTTGACGATCTGGACGATGTTGAGGAACTGCTTGATAGCCATGACCGGGGCACTGATTCCTGCGAGGATCCAGGGGAAAGTCGAGTCCATCTTGTTCGCTCGGGCCATCTCCAGAGCTCCAGCGCTGTAGGGGTTTGTGAAGAGCTGGCGGAGGACGGAGCTGTTAACTTGGGCTCCGGACTGGATAGCAGCAGCCTTCGCTTCGCCCACATTCTGAAGGAGCTGCGGGGATAGGAGGGGTGACGAGAAGGAGAGCAGATATAAGGCGATGAAGAAGACTTCGTTCAGGGCACAGCATACGAAAAGAACAGTCTGGTATTCGGTAAGCTTCATGTACAAGCCAGACCAGGCAGACAAAGTGGACGAACCTTGTTGGTGTAGTAGAGGTTCAGCAACCAACTTCTCGACTTGTCCACATTCTTGTGGCTCGTATCCGAGCCGCCCATGGCAAGAGTTGCGTACATGTGCATGTAGTGGCTTGCGAAGTCCAACGAGATTAGACTTTGGAAGATGATAGCCCATCGTGGGAAAGCCGACGAGAGGAAGACGAGCAAGCAAGACGTCGTACATCTGTCCGTCACCATGTCGAGGACGGCACCGAACCTAGTCGACTGGTTGAAATACCGAGCGGCGTATCCGTCAAGAGCGTCGAGGAGACACGAGATGCTGTAGAGCAGAGAACACGTTTGGGGATGCAGAGGCATGTAGTATAGGGACGCAATAGCCAAGACGATGCGGAAATAGCCTGTTGCATCGCATATGGTCAGTTGGGCAAGACGTGCGAGGGTACATGGTCTACGAACCTATGATGTTGGGCCAGAATATGAAGATGTTCTCGCGAGGTCCGCTCGTGCTTGCGAGGTCCCTACTTGGCATGACCGCCTGGACAGGGCCGTTGCCGTTGCCGTTGCCATTGCCATCGGCGTCTGATTTGGATGAGGACTTGGTGGGGGTCTCATCGGCAGCTGCTAGGGCGGCTTGCCGTCGGGTCCTTCTTTCTGACATTGTAGTTGATTCAATTGGGAATCATGCGCGCAGGGACTGAGGTTCTCGGATCAACCGAGAGTGTAGGCTGTCAATAGCGGAGAGGTCGGATTGCACCGAGGCGCCGGATCGATGGTGTTGATGCACTCTCTGTGTCTGCGTCCCTGCACTATGCGACGGATGACGACGGAGTAGCTCGTGTCGAAAAGGATGGGGAGCAGAGACACGTAACGAAAACGAGGCTTTTCGAAGAAGCCGGGCCGTAAGCACACGGATGTTGGACAGAAGACGAATCTCATCAATAGGGTTACAAGTTTGCGATAAGGGATGACCGGCTCGGCTTCACCGGGTGGGTTTAAAGGGTCTTGCTAGGATTAATCTCACGACATCCAAAAGGTTGCCAACAGGGGGGAGCTGCCGAGCTGCTGGGCCCGTATAAAAACAGTCGAGCGATTAGCCCTTATCGCGAGCTTGTTAGCTTCCGTTGTCCGCCTCTACAACACAGGGCTGACAGGGCCTCACGTGATCATCCTCTAATTCTACACGCGCACACATGCGACTCGACAGAGTGCAGAGAGTCAAACAGACACCCCACCCATACAACAGAGCCCGACATCTGCTGGGCGACGCACATATGGGCATCAGGTCACTGCATATATGCATTCGAGAGGCACCGCATCAGTTCAAGACTTGCTTTCCCGCGTCTGCTGCACCCTGCCTGCAGCCTGTCTCAGTGCCCCGGAACACGGCATTCTCGAGACCGATGTGCCCTATTCCCCGTGCCACCTCCAAGTAGGTATGGCGAACTGATTCGTTAGTATACGGCCTGCCCCGGAGACGGAGGAGGTGAGGTCTCGAAGGCCCTTTGTCTTCGATTGAATCCATCCCTGGATTCAGAATGTCTCCAAATCGTCGATGCCGAACTGCTGCGGAGTTCCAGTTGCTTTGCGGAGCTTACAATCTGCTGTCATGCTGCGCAAAGGAAGAGATGATCTCTGCGGCTTTCCGTGATGCCAAACGACATGAGCCGAGGGGTTGCAGTCGCCAATGACGTTCATTGGTAGTTTTTCTCCGACAGCCACCGTCATACGACGACATAAGTACCATGCCTCTGCGCGAAAGTACTCTCTTGGTCACCGACGATGGCACCATCGCCCGACTTGGATTAAAAATCAGCCGATGGCATGCAGGTTGCATTCGCCTGCGGAAAAGAGGTTGTGACAAGTGAACACCTCGTCCAGTATCAGGCTACAGGTATCAGTAGGGGGGCAGGCATCAAGGATTTGATGTGGTATGCTCGAGAAAGGCCACTCCAGAACCGTCCAATACTGATCTCAACCACATGGGCGATACTTCTACATAAAACATCAAGGTCGTCGGTTCTGGTACCATTAGAGGGATAGGTATCAGCTACCGTGGTTTAGCCTTAGATGATGCGTATCTGCTGAAGAGCCAGTCTGGAGGACCGGTGAGGCTGTATGGTAATGTACATGTGCTTCTATCCCTTGCAGCAAAGAACGCGTGTGTAAGCCAGAAGAACAGCACCTGGAAGAGACGACATCAGAGTTTCGGCTACAGCTTCATATTGACATCCGATACCGGGGTTAAGAGAAGCACCCGAGCAAGTTGCATATGGTCTAGGTTCTACTGTCGAATCGGCTCGGTTGCTCGGTATACCTACCGCTTTACTCTGCCTACCCGATACGTTGGTGTCGAAGAATCAATGGCAAGCATGACGCATCTATACAACCATGTATCATCACCAAGGTTGCAACAGCTCAATCCGGACTCGTTCACCTTCGCAGTCGATACAGTCGTAATGGATGCAGGATATTAAGCTCATCAAAATGCAATTGCATCTGGTTTCACAACCTCCCTTTCACATGCTGACTCCCTTTGGAGTCTGGACCAAGATGATGAGGTGCTCTGCTGCCCTTCATATATCATAAGGGAAGGCCCGGCCCCTCAGCCGGCGCAACCCCAAGCCTCGCAGGCGGCTGTGACGATCTTCCCCGGACTCCCTTATTAAGAGCATATTCCCTCCCGAATCCTGCACCCTTTTCAAAAGCCGAACCTCCGTTCAAAATCCAAGTTTTTTTCTTTCGGCTAGCTGTTGGTTTCTTGCTGCAGTTGCTTTGATATCATCACTCTTGCGGTCAGTGGTCACCGTCTCTTCGTCACCGCCAGATACTGTTGGGTGCCGAAACCCCATCGCATCATCCATCTACCTAGGTATCTCGGGACCAACCGCATTCGCCTGCTCTTTGGCAAACGTCCCGGAAGAGCCAAGAAGGCCCGGAGACCCCAAATTCCGTACGTTGATCGAGTTCCAGAGCGACGGCCATTCACCATTCCAAATCGCCAGATTACATAAAGTACTTTAACCAAAGAGGTACAAGCACTACCTCTCTACCCGTTCAAGGTTGGCGGTACCGACGGGACACGGCCAGTCCGGTAGTGTCCACTCGGTTATTTATTCCGCTTGAGCTCCCATAGTGAACTGACATATCCTGCCTGCCCTGCCAGCGGGTAGCTCCACCGCGCACAGGGTTGTTGTAACTTGTCGCCCAACCGCCGATCCCCGATCACCACCGACCCCGACAAGTCACAACTTGTAAGTCTCAAAGCACCCACCCACCCGCCAGCCCACCACCTGGCACCTGCAGTGTGCGGTGCAAACCTCGCTGCCGGCAGAGTATTCGTCTGACAGTGACAGTGACAGGCTAATAAGCCAAGCAGCCCCAGGGCCGCACCGTCGCTTCCACCGGCGCCTCCACCGTCCCAACTTGTCACAAGGCACACCTCGCGAGTGGCACATTGTCATTACCGCACATACCACACCACGTCAACCACGACATTGCAGAGCCGTTGCAGAAAAAACGACTAAAAGAACCGACTAGTCATTCTCGCTGTTGTCCGACTCGACTGCCAGCGCCAGCAAACAACAACTCGTCACCACCTCCTCTGCCTCCTCTGCCTCCCTTGACGTCCCTTCTCCTCTGTCTACTTCCACGTTATAACCTCGTCCTCCCCCTCCCCGGCTGCATCCATCCCGCGACTGCGATTGCGACATTCGAGATCTAGATCTGGTCTGCACACATTCCGCGACAACTTGCGACAAACGACACCACCCCTACGAACCCAACAAACCCAATTCGTCATGAGCGCCACCCACGATCGCCATCCCACCTTCAAGGCAAGCTTCGCCGAGAGAGCCAACAATGCCTCGCATCCGCTGTCCAATTACCTCCTGCGCTTGATGGAACTGAAGAAGTCAAATCTATGTCTGAGTGCCGATGTCACAAACGCCCGCGAACTTCTTCAATTGGCCGACGACATCGGCCCGTCCATCATCCTACTTAAGACACATTATGACCTTGTTGCCGGGTGGGACTACCGTCCCAAGACCGGAACGGGCGCGAAGCTGAATGCACTTGCGAGGAAGCATGGGTTCCTGATCTTCGAGGACCGCAAATTCGGCGACATTGGCAGCACGGTTCAGGCGCAATACACGGCGGGCACCGCTCGCATCATCGACTGGGCTCACATCGTAAATATCAACATGGTGCCGGGCAAGGCAGGGGTTACTGCCCTCTCGGAAGCGGCCAAGCGGTGGCGGTCGCGCGTCAACTATGAAGTGAAGACGTCCGTCAGCGTGGGGACCCCGATGTCTGACTCTTTCGACGATAATGCAGATGATGAAGACGAGGAGCACCAACTCGCGCCCATGGACCCCCCAGCGCCACCTCACCACCACCAACAAAATGGAAGAAAGGGAAGCATCGTATCCATCACTACCTTGACGCAATCGTTCGAGCCGGTCGACTCGCCACGCTTCTCCAACGCTATAGCCGAAGGCGAGGAGTCCTCGGCGGGTGCAGGGATCGAGGAGCCTCCCTGGGAGCGTGGACTTCTGATACTGGCACAGATGTCGACCGAGGGCAATTTCATGACGCCAGATTACACGAAAGCCTGCCAGGAAGCAGCTAGAGAAAACAAGGATTTCGTTATGGGCTTCATCTCGCAAGGCACCTTGAACAGCGAACCGTCAGACGACTTTCTCTCAATGACGCCCGGCTGCCAATTACCTCCCGAGGGAGAAGAGGACGATGGCGTCGTTGCGGGTGACGGGCTGGGCCAGCAATATAATTCACCGACGAAGCTCGTGGGTCTGAGCGGCAGCGACATTATCATTGTCGGACGGGGCATATTCAGGGCGGGCTCTCCCATGGCGGAAGCCGAACGGTACCGACGGAGAGCGTGGAAGGCGTACCTCAAACGGATAGGGAAGCAATAATGACGGTGGGCCGAAGGTCTCGGCACGGCATGGGTTGGTTCATCTCGAGTTCGGGTCTGGACACGAGCGACTCGGGGCCTGGGACTCCTGGGTTGAACGAGGTAGTAAGTCCCGGCATCAAGGCATAAAACGGGCATCTTAGCAGGCATTGATATCAGTTATGGATAAGCAGAGTAAAAGCCAAGAGTTATCGATACCAATACCAAACACAATGATTAGTAAGGAGCGGAAAGGATCCCGTCACAACTCAGTGTCATCAATCGTCTCCCACCCCTCTGAATGTTCCCCGCTATCCCCTTCCGCGCCCCTGAATGTTCCCTCCCGCATAACCCGGGGCTCAGACCCCTCGGGATTCCGCCAGTACAGCATCAACACCCGCTTCGCCTCGTCTCCCGCCCCCTTCTCGACCAGCCCCTCGGCCTCCAAGTCCGCCATCACCACCGAAAGCCAGAACCGGCAGCCCTCCCACTCGGGCGAGAACGTGAATGCGTCCCGGCCCTTTGCAACGATGAACTCCATGATTTCGCGGGCGGTCGTGTTCCGGAGGACGGGGAAAGAGAACGCGCGCAGCGTCTCGTCTGAGTACGGTCTGGAGTCCTCACCGTCGTATTCCTGGTTCAGGGCCGAGACCTCGATCTTGCCGCGCCGGCCGTCGCTGCCGTCGCCGGGGACCATGTCGAGCATGACGCATGATGTGGGCGCGGTCTCGAGGCAGAGCGTCCAGTGGTTGGTTGGCGGCTCGCCGGCCTCGTCGCCTTCGTTGTGGTCGTTTCGCAGGGCGCAGAGGTAAAGTTGGCTGATTGGGATGCTGAGGATTAGGGAGTGGGATGTGAGGGGGTTGGTGAGGTCGAAGTTTGGGTTCGTGGCGAGGTCGGAGGGGTCGTCTGGGGTGGGGGATGGTTGGGGCATTGTGTTTGCTGGTTTAAGGTGACCTTGCAAGCGGCTGCGTTTGGGTGCTTGGGATGGGATGGATGGGCTGGGATGGGCTAAGAGGGATGACACTGGATCTCGGCGGAAGGTGCGGGTTGCTTGTGTTGGTGTTTGGAACATTCGCTCCTGCTTTCAGGGGGTCGGTGGATGTTGGGCAGGTGCTAGCTGTGGATATACCTATTTGACCATTTCGTCGAACGGGTGGGTAATAGTATGGGATATGTTTCCTACATAGTACTCCTGTTGATGAGTCAAGAGTTACAGGCTGAATAGCTGGCATGACTGTTTTGGGCAAGAATAAGGTTTTTGTAGATGGAGATAATTTGTGTCGTTTTATTATGCTAGACTCTGCGTACAGCACGGGCTCTGCTTATTCATGTATTCCAGGGCAGCTGCGTTTGGCTCTTCCGTTGTGGTCGAAGAGCTTGATAATAAAATAAATCCGGCATGACTGCGTCGGGCAAAGATAAGTTGGTTGTTGGTGTTGTTGGCTGGCTGCGGAGCTACTGGTGTATCACAGCTTTGTACGCGCTCGCCCATACTCCAGGGGACAAGGGTCGTCAAAAAACACGACTTTGAAATGGACTCAGTGAGGTCTACAGCTTCACTTGGAATTCTCCAGTCAACCAGCTCCGAGTTAGAAGCTTTTGTGCTGGTGTGGCCTGTCGTGGTCACGCATCTGTATATGTTACCGTTGGGTCCTCTATCAGTAAGCATGTACTCAGCTTGCATATATAGTTGATTAAATTAGCTCACTCGTGCCTAAGAATACGTGTCTCCTACTAAGCATGCTCACAATTATATTTTAGACTCAGCGTCGCGAGAATGTTCTTTGGCCCCTGGTTATCAGTCGCCCCTTTTGTGGGGAACTTCACCCGCGAACGTCGCCTCGTGGTCGGAATTAATTGAACCCATAATACCTACTCCACCCACCAATGCGACATATATCGAACGGCTACTGGAACGATATGTACACCAGAGAACTGAGGTTCACTGGGTCGCTCTGTCACTAGGCAGGAGGTTTTTCTGACGGAATCGTGCTTGGGTATTGACTAAAACCATCTGAACACTCCAGATTGGTACCGCTACAGCGAGGATAGGCTCGTGCGCGGATCTGAATGTATCTAATTTGACACCTCTACAACCTTGCGATGCAATGGCTCTGGGAGGCGTGGTTTGCACTACTGAGGAGCTACCCCCCACGTTAAATACAAAACAAACAAACAAACAAACAATTGAACCCATACGCCTATTTCTTGCCCTGTATCGCAGAGTCAGGCTATCGATACTCGGAATCGTCATACCAGTAGATCCAGTTAGTAACGTATCCTCCCAGCGTCGCAGGAGTTTCTGCACATCTCTCCACCAGCTCAGGTAAGGTCTTGCGATTCGTCCCAGGCTGCATGACAATGGAATAGCCACGATAGTTCATCGTCAGCGGACGATCTCGCAGATTTGGTGAAACCTGAGATGCCCAGAGGCCTTGGAGACACCAACTATCTTTGTTTCTCAAAGGGAGTAGCTAGTTATTATGTGCTTACTTTCGAATCGCCTAACCCAAAGAGTCGGAATGCGTATCTCGGGAGCAAGGGCTCTTGACACAGGCTAGAAGAGGAAATCCGCCCCTGAAACACGCCCATAAGGGGCAATAGGAGAGTCGAAAATGTACACACAAAGTGTTTATCAAAGGACAACAACAACTATGCTATTGTTCCCGACAGTTCACAAAAATATCTTTTTTATCCAGTCATCAATTGTTCATGACGGCTTTTTCAAGATAAATAACTTTTCTTGACATTTGTTGATATACCAAAAAGTCACTCCCGAACGTCCTTCTTTTATCTTTGGAAAACAATGACGATGATGGCATCGAGGTTTCGCGAGTTGATGTATATATAGGTTGGCATGAGACATTATGTTCATGAATTTGAATCAGGACAAACCAACCAACCATTCAGAATACCTTTCATACTAACAGGTAAGTACACTCATCTTCATACTAACAAGTAGGTACACTAATCTTCAAATCAACCATCAATCATGGCTCCAACCATCGACATCTTTCGCTCGGCTCCGAACGTCGCTGGTCGAAGAGATGGTCCACTGACAAGCCACGGACTGGATCAATGCGGTATTTACGGGATACAGTACCTCAATCACTACGATCAGGTAACAAAAGCCATCATCTCGCCCATGCGAGGGTCCATCGAGACCTGTCAGTTTTCCTTCTCCGACATTGGGGGGGGCCAGGCCGAACGGGAAAAGGGTAATCCTACTACCGGAGCTGCAGCCCATTGGCCAAGAACCGGAGAACGTTGGCTCGGAGCTGGATGATATTATTGAAGAGTTTGGCAAAAAGGTCGAGACGTTCCAGGTCACTATAGACTGGTATCTCAAAGGACCCGGGACGCAGTACGACGCAGATGCGGCCGCGGTGGAGCAGAGGGCGAGGTGCGCACGCCATTTCATCCGAGACTTCGCGCGGGACGCGGGTGAGAACGGCCGTATCATCGTCGTCTCGCACTCGTCATTCCTGCACTTCCTAGTGGAGGACTTCACGGGGCTCACGGAGACGTTGGCCTGCTCCTGGGAGGAGAACACGTGGCGAAGCTTCACCTTCGAGCATCTCGAACCCATCGGGGGGAATGATCCGGCCTCTCTCATCGAGACGGACCAGAGCCTGAGGGACCGCACGGCGAACAACTCTGCGGTTGTGGTGAGGTTCTCTGAGCTGCCTGCGGCTCAATGGGCTGTGTTGAGGGGCTACGCGCATAGGCACGCCGAAGATGGGACTGCCGTGGGTGTAGGTCAAGAAGAGTCCTGAAGCTGGTACGTAGTCGAACTGCTCGTATGATAAGTGTATAACAGTTGAATGAAGATACTCTCCTAATTTACGAATGCCATAGACTCGTTAAGTTGAACCGTGAAATGCCGTCGCCTAAAGTAGGCACATCGTACTACAGTTAAACGGTACACTCAGCCCTCATAAGTCTCCGTCCGGCATGCCTCCATCAGTTCTTAGATTCTAATAGTGCATCGATATCAATGAAATAAGCACCCTAGAATAAGCAGGTTTAATCTAATAAGCCTGCTTTCATGCTTGGTTTAGAACCATTGTTCCTCTTCCGATGAATACACCCTTTGGTTGCCAAACCAGGGGTGTACGAAGACTTTGGAGGAAAGGGTGTTCTGGTATCCCAGCGATAAGCTGATGACTTGGGTATATTTCAATGATTATTGAGGCTGAAGCTAAATTAAGAAGGCACTGACATTGTCCTGTAACCATTGTGTTAGATAAGTACTTGCTGTCACTTGCTGGCGACAAGACCTTGATTTGATAACAGGTCTAGAGTGCACCTATGATGACCCTCAGGCCACAACTCTTTGCCAGGACAAAGACCAGAGAAGGGGGTTGCATGAATGGGTGGGTCGGCATTGGAAAAAGCCACGTGAGTCGGGCGTCTCATGGCCAATCCCTTCAGTGTCTCCTTATAGTCACGGCATTGCCGAGCTCATGAGCTTCAAAGAGTAATCATGGGACCAAAGTAGCAAGCTGCCATTTGTGTCAGCCCTGTCACATGGATGTCAGAATGGATACAGATGGATACAGAATGGATACCGCCTTTTCCAGGCAAACCTTTAATCTGAATCACGGACCACCTGTTCGCCAAGCCAGACTTCTACCATCCTTATTGGCTTCAGAATCCGGGGAACCTCGTCGCACGTAGATCTATCGTCAACACGATAAGGATCTTTGGTGTGATTGTCTGGCTTGGCAAATAGGTGGTCCGTGATGCAGATTAAAGGTTTGCTTGGAAAAGGCGGTATGTGTGGTTCACCCCGGAGTCAACGGTGATAGCGAGATTACCCCGGTGACGCTAGTGGAGCTAACGAACTTGACTAATTCGCAACGGGCAACGTCCCTAATAATGCGTGAATCGTCATTGCAGTGTTGGAAACACCTAACAGTTTGCTTGAGAGGTGAGGGGTCCATCCATCTACACCTTCAACGCCTTCAGCGCCATCGTACCATGTAGTGCGAGTTGGCGATAGTGGCAAGCTGAGGTGTCTTTTGCGTCCACGCTCATATCCTTTTCCGCACAATTCTTCGACACATCCCTTCCACGCGATTGAATCGAATTCCATTTCACCAGCATACCGCTCTGACGGGTCACATCAGTTGCCGCCCGTGTCGAGTTGTACATCCATCATGTCAGGCCCGGACGGGACAGAGATCGCGCCACCGCCTCAGAACATTGCGATATCAGACGGTACTAAGGCGCCGCCTCGTAAACGAAGGCGCATCGTCATAAGCTGCACAGAATGCCACCGGCGCAAGCAGAAGGTTTGCGCCCTCATCACTCCCAACTCCACGCTTTGCTGATAAATGTCTCCCAATCGCAGTGCGACCGACAGATGCCATGTACGAACTGCCAAACGCGAAATAAGTCATCAGCCTGTCACTATGAGACAGGCACACCGGTTCCGAAAGTCGACCGACGAGACTCGTCAAATAGCTCTGGCCAGGATCGCCCACCGGAGGCCTCTGACCCGGCCGTACCTGTCAAGGCTGCGGATTTCGGCTACTCTCACAATGGCGTCTCAACTCTCGGCATATTGCGAAGAATAGAAGGCGCTGGAGAGCCACTGGCAGGCATGCCAGGCGAGGGCAATATCGACGACGGGTTCGGTCTATGTGAGCGGTACAAGACGTTGATTCGCCAGCTGCCGGCAAGGGAATATATCGACAAGCTGGCCAATATATATTTCCACGATATCAATTGGCAATACTTCGGCGTCGATGAACCGCTCTTCCGAGCACTCATGGACCTATGGTACAACTTGCCCTTCCAGACTTTGTCGAGATCGGGCCCGCAGGCTTTAGATCCAATGCTCAGGGCGTTCCCGGCGCTCCTGTTCCAGATGCTAGCTTCATCTCTTCTGTACCTTCCAGATGGCTCAGGCCCGACGTTCGAGTCGTTGAAGTACACAAGCCAGATGACGTTTGATGATTTGGCTTATGATTATAGCGAGTCCGGCAACGCTATACTGTCACTTTTGGGGAAGCGCCAGATGTCCATAATCACCGTCTTGGCAGGTTGGGTCAGAGCTGCCTACCTTAAGTACACGGGAATGGCATGTATAAAAACATCCCTATTCTAGACCCCAAGTCCCCGGTTCTGAAATACACTTGAACCTTCTGCTAACTTCTCGGCAGTAAGTAATTCTGTTAGGCGATTCCAGAGACATAGGGTACGGTGACTAACCAGGGATGTTTTCATACACTAGGGTGACCGAGGCTGTGAGTACAATTTAAACACGCGACATTAGGCACGTATATCTAATACTGTGGCAGTGGCATCAGGTGGGAACCTGTATACGGGATGCGCAAGAGATCGGTCTGCACCGGGATCAGATGGACCCTCAACCGACTGCGGATGATTCGACTGAAGAAGTCCTAGAGAAGATGTGGATGGCACAGCACCGGCGGACGATATGGCAGATACTACTGACCTGGGACTTGCATACAGGAGCCGTGTTGGGGAGACCAACAAGCGTGGACTTCCGTCCGATGAATCGAAGCCCGCCGCTGGATGCCATCATTCCCAGGAACCCAAAAAGGGTGCCTCTGGTACCGCGTACCGAGAACGACCCGCCGACCCCCTTGACACGGGCTTTATGGGCATTCGAAGTCATGAGACCTTTACGAGACATCATTGACTTGGAGAAAGAAGGCCCCTTCCCCAAGGACTTCTCCAAGGTTGAGAAAATTCACCAGGACATTCTGGATCTGCAAGCGCGGACGCCACCGCCTTTTCGTCTCGAGAACCCCGACACTCGATTCGATCACCTACCTGAATGCTGGTGGCTACCTGTTGTACGACCAAATCTGCCACAAATCCCTGCTTTCAATATGATGGCCTTACATCGTCCGTATGTATTCACTCGCCCCGACAGCAGGCGCGAGGCCCTTTTGGCCAGTATACAGATGTTGGAATCACAAAGGCAGCAGTTTGCTGTGCTCCAGCCAGCGCAGCACAGGACATTTGCCCTGTTCTTTGGCACTTTCGATGCGATAGTCATGATAGCGTCTATCTACATTCTGTTTCCTAAGGAGCATCCAGAACTCCTGTCGAAAACACGCCAGCACTTCCAATGGGCGGTGGAGCGCTTCGAGACCATGGCGCGTCGTAATCGCCTGGCACAAGCCGCATTGGGTGTGTTGCATGCGATCTGGATCCGCTTCAAAAAGGCAGTTAGCAATGGTTTCCTGAGCCACCCATCCGCGGCGCCAGAAACCACTTGTGCCAAAAGCAGTGAAACGGAAGCGGCTGGGTCTGATACACAAACACCAAGTTCCCAGTCCGGGTTTTCTTCATCCCATCAGCCCAGCCTCGCTTCCGCGTCAGGTTCTTCATCGATAATGCCCACGCCGGTTACAGAGCAGACCAACCCCATTAGCCCCAGTACCGGCCTCACACCCGCGTCTGGTACGGATAACCAAAACAACATACTTTCGAACCAGGAATGGTCATTACCGCCCAACTTCGATTTCAGTTCGATAATGCCGATGTATCCCATGGGAGACCTGGCTTATAACGACCTGACAGGTATCTTTGGGGGAGCCGGATCTGGGGCCTCCACAGGAGGTTGGTCTGAACCCGCGCCGGCCACTTCTCCGGCACTAGTGACGGGCGGAATGCCGGCCTTGCATACTGTGGCTCCCGGCCAGGAAGAGGTCCCTTGGCAATTTGGCGGTGAATTCGGGAGTGATACCATATGGAACCTGCTGAATCAAATCCCGCCCAATTAGATGTGGCCGTGGGATGACGAGGTTTCGACTAAGGGTCCGTCATGCCAAGAGAGTTCTCCGTATCCTGTTGGACCCCTGGATAGCTAGTGGCATGATGTGTGTTGTGGTAGGACGTCGCAAGCTAGACGACCACCGCGAGATAGCTTCTTCCTGTTGGAAGGCATGTCCAGTGGAAGATACGCGCAAATGTAGTATACTTTCCGTTGATGACGATTAATATATCAATGCAACGCACTTGAAACTGTGCGCTGATCAATCACGACTTTGAGCGAAGTTTTCAGTCACTTGCTTCCCATGTGGCAGTGCTGGACGTATTTGACCTAGTACCTCTATCTTTTAGGCTTTTTAATCTCCTCTTCCATGTTTATTGATAGCGGCGACGAGGGCGCGGCGGACGTACGTTGCTATGTAACTATGACACCGCCCGCGCCTTATGTACATAAGCTCTATGCCTGTGTACCGGAGTAGTAGGTAAGAGGTAATCAGGGAGTCTATTGCAACTTCAGCCTTGAGGGCTGAACCGCGGCATCAAACCAGCACGAACAATATTATTTCACTAAGTATAATTCAACATTGATTATAATTACCCGGCCCATTCCCACCTCGTTTCCTGCCGGGAAAGCAACTTCTATACTGGAAGTTGCCTGACTGTAGCTATTCAGGTGCGCAATGACGATCTGAGGGCAGCACCTCCCCTGGAAAGGACTGATGGAGTTCCCCGAGAGATGAGGGGTCGACGGGCTTCCGGCATGGAGTGATCGGGATGACTGAGAATCCCCGGGCATGGTGCTGGAGAGAAGTGCGTGGTTGGGCGTTTTGATGCGTGCATACGGGCAGTGAATATACAGGTTGGCTGGGGTTTGGGAGTATGGCTACCGTTATTAGCATTCTACTTGGGGTCGGGGGGTGCGACACGAGTGCAGAGTATTTGGTTGAAAATCTTGGGTTCTGGAAAGAGGCTACACGGTATGGAGCTGGGTATGTGTACATATGTGTATTTAGTCTTGCTCCTTCAGATACGGTACCGATGTTCGTCTATGAACCCCCATCTGATGTTGATGTCAGTATGGCCATGACAGTCACAGTAGCGGACGGGCTGAGGCAAGGCATTGTCGACTATCAAATGTGCAAATGCTACGTTAAGAGGGCCATGAACATAAAGCAATCAAGATCGTCATATCTCAGAATCGACGGGGCGGGTTGGGTAGGGTAGACTGCAAACGCTATCCGTACGTTACCAGACAGTCGGTAAGTTGGGCGGCGAAGACCGGCCACACCGATCCGGGAGTTTGCATGTCGTGATGTCCTTCCTGTCGGGCCTGCACAGATCGACGTGGAAGAACCGGGTTTGTGGCCATGAGGCCAGGCTCCCTGTGACAGCGTGCTTCGACGCCTGGAAGGGGAGGGAATTGAGGGGCTGCGATGGAATTGAGGAGTTGCGTGAGACGACTGACCCCGCGAGAGCTTGCTGGCAGGTGTAGTGTAACACCTCTCATCAGATACGTCGCGTAGATCAGGTGCAGTACCGCCGGGGAGCTTCATGACAGCAGAGGTGAGTATCCGTACTGGGATAAAGTTGGGCTTTGACTTATAACCCCCCTCTATGCAGTGTAGAGCCGTAGGTCACATAGGGGCTATGTTCAAACAGTGAGATTCCGAAGTGAATACCATGAGGCTCATGTATAGCCTCATGCATGTCTCGTTTTGTTTTGTCTAGGGCCAAGATGGGGTCCTGAAATCGCCTATAAGTGCCGTGTTGTCGTGTTGACAGAGTGGCTGCGCACACGAGCACAGTCACGGAACCACGAAGCAAGATGTGCTCAGGTTGGGCCATCACCTTGGTGTTGGTGTTACTGGTCAGACAAGGCTCGAACGGGGTGTCAGATCTGAATCTGAGTGCTACCGACTGAGACAAAGTGTATCAACCCTCGGCAACTTTGCAGAAGAGGGGAAGGTGGTGAGGTTTGGTTTTTCCATGGACCATAAGCTTGTCTGCAAGTTGTCTGCAGGTTGTATACAACTTGTGTATGCAGCATGGCAACTTGCATCTACAAACGGGTAGATCCTGACTAGGCACTTTGGGGGCTGTGAGTCTCTCGGTCTCTCTAACACTTGCTGAGCTCTCTCGACGCGTAGCATAGGAATCTGCCTTACTCTAGGCATACAGCGCGATGTTGCATGACGAAGTGTACTTTCGTATGGGGGCGACGGCAGTGGAGGTCTGGAGCATCAAGGTGCTGATGCCAAGGACAAGACATGGAGTAATGGGGCTTCCCGGTTATGCCCAGCGATTCGCTCAGTCGGAACCGGTGAAGGCCAGATCCATCATTCACCAGTGGTTAATGGATGGATATTCTCACGCGGCACGCCACGCCAGCGAGGGCACCCCTCCGCGGGCGCTAATGTGTCCTCTTCCCTCTCTCTCGCGAGCTGCACGAGCCCGGGTCGAATTGGTGTACCGGCCTGGGTAGCGATTGGCTGGATCAGGATTCCAGGAGCAAATGGCATGCCTGAGCCTGCCGAGCCTGAGGTGCTGAGCTCAACGGGACGAATGTGATAGAACTACACAGTAAGGTAGGTAGCTTGAGGGATTTCATCCACTAGGAGGTGGGATTCATATTGTGCCGCAGACGCGTCAGTATGATACACTAAGGTGACAAAAGTCTCCGCCCGACCCTAGATTTACATCAAAACACCCTACATTTAGCTTTAAATAATAAAATAAAGCAAAATAGTACCGCATTAACGGTATTAGTAGACCATGGTTTAAATTCGCTTGTAAATGACACATTGAAGATAGCTTGTTCATAGACCTCAAGGTCATTTTACTATAATATTTTGAACATGGGGTGTCTTGGTTTATACGCGGGCTCGGGCGGAGACTTTTGTCAGGTCAGTTTTAGATATTTCGGGGCTGCATGCACCGCAACAGGACTTCGCAGGAGCCTTCCACGCGCTTTGTTAGGACAAGCTAAGCGGTTGAGGTTTCAGTGAGGTGTATGTCTTCCGGTTAGCGTTGATGCGATTGCTTGACTATTCCTTGACTATTCCAACGTGCCTTGTCGTGAAGGAGTTGGATACCTACCTGGTAGGTGTCTTACAGTCTTATAACCGGCATATGGAACTCGATATAGCGCTAGACCTGGCACTGCCCCAAAAATAGCATCCTGGGGGAAGAGGCCACAGTCGGTAGGTGCCGTCCACTAGTGTAAGTAGCGCGCCAAAACGGAGGCCTGTCGCATCCATTAGGCCCCAGTTTATTTTCCAGCCCAGGGCCAGCCGAGAGAGCTTCACGCTTCACGCTTCACGCTTCACGCTTCACCCGCAGTCGATATTCCGACAATTGGAACAGCAGAGGATCAATCTGCGTCCAGACTGCCGGACTTCAAGTCGCACACCACTAAACCCAGCATTTTAGGACGTTATTTGCAGCCCAAACAAATACCTTACAGACCACGTCGTCTTCGTTTGGTACCTTACCTAGATATAGCTTCTGGACCTGTCAGTAACCACCTTCAATCACCAATTCCTGCCCACCTGTCTTCCTCTTATTTGCCTACCTACCTGAACTGGGTAAATCAATCAGCTTGGACAGGACTAATTGCCCCGAGCACACAGAGCAACATCCAGCATCAAGCACCCAGCAAGGAACAACGAGCAACAACAACAAAATCGCCTAGGAAACAGACAGCTTCTCGCAAGCAAGCTCCTCGCCAGTCACCCTCTCCCACGATCGACCCAAGCGACCCAAGCGACCCAGCTCCTATTTAGTCCCATACCAGACCCCATCTGCTGGTCTTTGTCTGACTCTGCCGACCTTGCATAGGCTGTCTACCGCCTGCCTGCCTGCCTTTACCGACTGCATACTGTTTCACCCAGCGCCCGAGGCCCTTCCGAGTCGAGCTTTCAAGCTGGCGTCCGCGAAGCATATCATGGATACTGGGGTGAGTATCATGGACTTTGTCCACCGGTATCAGCAATACGAGATCCATCGGGATGCCACACACGAGTTTATTAAGGTACGCTCTCGCCCCTCCTACATGGTGCTCCATCTGGGTTGTCACTCCTGTTCTTGGACGTGTGCGGGCCGCCCACCCTGTCTACTGCCTTTCTCCAAGAAACCGTGCTAATGTGTGCCCTCCTTCTTGCTAGGAACTCATGATCTATACCGATCACATCGAGAGCACCTTGCGTCTGGAGAACAATACATTACGCCAGCAGATGAAAGACCTGCGTTTGGACCTTGACGATGCCGCCAAATCTAGACGAGATTTACAGCAGCGCCTGCGAGATGCCGAGTCTCGTATGGGTATGGCCACTCAGAGCACTGATCAATTGAAGGTAACTTGGTCATAGGCATGGCTGCTGCTTAGACACGGATGACTGACGCAAGTTACCGCAGAACCATAACCCCTACGTTTTGGTCCTGATTGATGGCGATGGCTTGATTGTAAGCCTCGAATACCCCTCAAACCCCTCCCTCTGTCTCACCTTGCTGACTTCGTTCGTGGCCAAAGTTCAAAGAGAATCTCATCAAACAAGGCATTGAAGGCGGGCGAAGAGCCGCCAATGACCTTCGCCAATCTATTGCCGAGCAATGTACCAGTGTCTACGAAACTGAAATCATTGCCAAGGTCGTTGCTAACTTCAGTGGCCTCAACAAAGCAATGAAGCGTGATGGCTCCGTCGACAGCGAGATGGACCTAAAGGACTTTATGATGGGGTTTAATCAAGCCAAGGCGTCCTTTGATTTCGTGGATGTCGGCCATGGAAAAGAACGTGCCGACTCCAAGATCAAAGGTAGGATATCAGTCACGTGAAGCACTGCTTACCCCCTTTACTGATTGCCTGGACAGAAACTGCCAGATTCCATCTGCGAAACTACAACTGCAAGCAGATACTCCTGGGTATCTCGCATGATGCCGGCTATGCGCCTTTCTTGGATGACATGATTCGTGACGAGAGCACCAGAAAACGAATAACAATCCTCGAAGGCTATCCTACGGTTCGCGACATCGTTTCGACTGGAGTTAACATCATACAGTTCCCCAACCTCTTTCGATCCGAGAAGCTCATTGATCGGTCCCCTCCATCTGCTCACGCTGCTCACGTAACACCATCCCCATTTCCACCCATAGGCCCTTCCCCCGGCATGTCATATGCGACCATCACCCAGAAAGCCAGCCCGCCCCCTCAGATAACTCTTCCGATACCTCCCAAGACTACAAACACTCCATTGCGTGCCGCTAAACAGCCCCCGCCGGTTGCATGGAACCCTGGTCCACGTGGGTTGGATACTCCGTTACCCCTGAATCAAGTTGCTCTGGATGGTATCAAGAAACGAAAGGACAGCAGCAAACTTTGCAACAACCACTATCTACGTGGTCCGTGTGCGAAGGGCGACGAATGCTGTTTTGAGCACGACTACAATCCGTCCAAGGACGAGAAAGTTGCCATTGCCTTCCTTGCTCGTCTCAATCCGTGCACCAATGGACAAGACTGTGACGTTGATAACTGCATATACGGTCACCATGTAAGTACTCCCGATGATGAGGCATTGAATGCGCGTCTTCTTTATGGGAGTCCCTCTGTGCAGCAATGTCAATCCTGGTCTTGAAGCTTGTAGTGCTGACACATATATTGCAGTGTCCCAGCGTCATTAATGGCATTTGCACCCACCCGTACTGCAAGTTTCGCGTTGATGAGCACCCTCCCGGCACCAAGATCAGGAGCATAAAGGCATAGGCTGTTGAGTAAAGCCCCTAGTCTCTGGTCTGCCGAATAGTCAAGCTTTCGAGTCCTGGCTATGTCGTTGCGCTGTCTTCCTCACCAAGAAGCGGCCCGTGACGAGAAGCCAGAGTGCATTACGCAGGATCCCCCTACAAGCAGCTGTCTAAGTCAAGCAAAAATAGGAACCAGGCATGGTAGGGTGGAAAAGGGATGTGTGTACGGATGGCTTTGCAAGCGATGGGTTCAGAGTGTTCAGAATTCTCTCCTCCATTGAGATACCTCTTGCTTCAGCAAATGGTATGAAGGACAGGAACTGATCATGATGATTTAACGACTTCGTGCATTTGGCATGTATTGGAATATTTTGTGACAACTTGGGTATTCTTTTGTCTGCCACAGTGACCAAGTGGTTCTGGGATGACCTCCAACTGGCATAGTGTGTCCGTTCAAGCAGAGCCCCATGTAGTCACCTGCCTCGGTCTCTTCCATCCCGAACCCGCTTTTTACACCTCCCTTCTCTTTCTTATCCTCCACGGGCTACCCCATACACTTCCCCGCCATCATCGGAATATGGCTTCCACAAGGAGATCCAGGCCGAGCCGTCAAGACTGCGAACACTTGCCGCCTCGCATTGCCATACAATGCTTCCCCACAGATGGGTGGCGGGGCCCCGCGAAAACCTTGACCATCATGTGCTCAGGTACAGGGGCCAATTTCGTACCGAAGGTTTCGTGTACCTATTCCCGAATATTGGCAGAACCACATAACGCTCTGACTATAGGCTTCAGGCGACGCCGTTAGCACGTTCATTGGCTGTTCGATCTGGGGAAGTCCCCAGATTGCATGTTGATCATCCTCAAAAACCTGGGGAAGCTAATCAGACGAGGGCAACCCCAGAGTAACCCCAGAGCAGCCCCAGAGCAGCCCCAGAGCAACCCCAGAGAAATGTGGTTCTGTCAATAATGGGGAACAGGTACACGAAACCTTCGGTATACGATCCGAGCCAAGTCGGCCGATGGATCATTACTAGACTACCTTGCAAGTCGCGGTCATGAGGCCTCTGTCGGGGGTAGGAAAGACTGATTCCGACGGGGGAAGGGTGGGTATGCCATGCGAATGCCGTCTCCTCGTGTTCACTCAAATATAGCCCAGAATCCTGCTCGTTAGGAGTTGACCGACGGTCTTGTTACCACCGATTGTTAGATCTCGATGTTGCGATTCTTGTCTTACGCCGCCGCTTTGCCGGTCGTGGCTCTCTCGAGCAGCCAAAGCGACAACAGCCCTACTTCGGTGCGATGGCAGACCGGCAATGCGAAAGTCGACAGCTTGGTAGAACAACTGACGCCTACAGAGAAGATCAGCCTTGTCCACGGTAGTGTCGACCCCGGCAACCAGAATCAAGCGGGCTATGTCGTACCCGTACCTCGACTCGGCATACCAGCTGTGCGGATTAGTGATGGCGAGGCGTAAGTAGGATGGATATACGATGCGGCAATCCATGGATGGGAGCTAATCGCTGAATAGTGGTCTTAACGTCGTCGAGAACGCCACAGCACTGCCTACTCAGCCGAATGTTGCGGCCACCTTCTCAAGACAACTGGCGTATCTTCATGGCAAAGTTTCCGGAAGGGAGGCAAAAGTCCTCGGGATGGGTAAGTAATTTCTGGGATCCAGCATTCTAATAACCTACCCAAGTGACAATCCGGTATAGACGTACTTCTAGCCCCAAGACTGAACATCCTCCGTGACCCAGTCACCGGCAACTTTTGGCAATCTTATTCCGAGGACCCGTACCTGAACGCCCAGCTTGGCGTCCAAGCACTCACGGGAATCCAGAGCGAAGGCACGATGGGTAACCCGAAGCAAATCGGGCCCTCCAGTACCGGCGCGAGTGATGGCGATGTCAACTCCATCGTCGACATGCAGACGCTGCAGGAGATCTATTGGTCCGCTCCCGGAGCCTTACTGGAAGCCGGCGCAGCGACTGTTATGTGCTCGTATGCGCAGATTAATGGAGTGCCATCTTGCCAGTACCAGCCGCTGTACGACATGGTTCGAGAACAGTACAACAACACCGCCATCATGATGTCTGACTGGGTAGGTACTCACTCGACCGCCGATTCGCTTGTTGCTGGTTTGGACTGGGAGATGCCGATGGCAGATTACTATGGCGAGCCGTTGTACAACTCCATCTATGTGGCGAAGAACCTGTCGGAGAGCTACCTCAACCGTGCGGTAGGCATCATACTCAACAAATACGAAGCTTTCGGCCTCCTCAATACTACAGCTCCGGTCACGCAGCCGATACCAGCAGCCATGGAGGCAGCTCACGCAGCTGTAGCCTACGAGATTGCGGTCAAGTCCGGCGTACTCCTCAGAAACACCAATGGAGCTTTCCCGATCTCTTCCACGGCGTCGATTGCCGTCATTGGTCCCAACGGCCTGCAATTCTCCCACGGCACCAACTTCGCGGAACGAGCGTTCGGCTTCCCAGATCGCGAGATCGCTCCCATTGATGCTCTGCGCAGCCGTCTCAACCGGACCGAGATCCCGAACGCTGTTGGTGTCGACCTGGAGGGTACTCTGATCCCGTCGTCTGCGCTCAGGAGCCTGGACGGCATCACGCAAGGTCTGTCCCGCAACGACACCACGGGCGCCACGAGCCTCGACAGCCAGGTGGACTTCAGTACCTCTACCGCACTACCGCCAAACCGGACGTATGAATGGCAAGGCTCATTCCACGCCGTCGAGGAAGGCTACTACACCATCTCTCTGCAGCGGAAGATCCCCCCTCTCCAGGGCCACACGAACCCGGACTACGGCCAGCTCACGTTCAACATCGGCACGCTGAGTATCGACGGCTCGCTCGTCTCCTCCGGGTATCGCCAGCTGCTGGACGGCGGGGACAGGTCGTGGAGTAACTCCATACCCACCCGGGACGGCTGGGACAACATCAAGGTCTTCGTCTACCTGACGGAGGGCTGGCACGATATAGCCGCGTCGATCGTGGGGCTCTTGGGCGAGCCGGTCGAGGTGCGTCTGTGCTGGGTCACCCCCTCGCAGCGCGAGAGCAACATCCAGACCGCCGTGGGCGTGGCGAGCGGGGTCGACGTGCCGATCGTCTTCGCGTTCGCCCAGAGTCCCGCGCAGACGGGCATGCGGCTCGACGACAACATGGACGAGCTCGTCTCCCGCGTGGCAGCCGCAAACCCAAAATCTATCATAGTGCTGAACAACGCCGAGCCCGTCACCATGCCCTGGCTGGACTCCGTCTCCGTTGTACTCGAGATGCTGTATCCCGGCCAGGAGGCCGGCTACGCGACGGCGGATCTGTTGTTGGGGAACAAGCTGCCGCGGGGGAGACTGCCGGTCACGTACCCGACGAGCGTGGAAAGGACGGTGACGCGCGACCCGAAGTACCCGGGCCGCGTGGCGGGGGCGGATGGTAATGCGAGCTTCAGTGAGGGTGTTAACGTCGGGTATCGGTGGTATAAGTACTCGAACACGTCCGTGTTGTTTCCGTTTGGATATGGCCTTAGTCTTACGACTTTTGCGTATAGCGACTTGCGCATCAGCTCGGTTGGAACGGGTGAGGATAATGATGGTGGTGTTGTCTTCACCATCTCCTTCGCCATCGCTAATACCGGCGACCGTGACGGCGTCGAGGTGCCGCAGATCTACATTGGGCCGCCCTCGACGGCCAATACCACGTATTCCGGGCAGGCTCAGTTTGCGGCCACGGCACTGGTGGGTTTCGACAGTGTCGAGATTGGCGCGGGTGAGAGTGTGCGTGTCGAGATCGGCGTTGCGAGACGACAGCTCAGCTTCTGGGATGTTGACGGTGCTGGCTGGGTCCTGGCGAGGGGCGAGAGGGAGGTGTGGGTTGGTAAGAATGCGGAGGAGGTTGTGCTTGCGGGTAAAGTGAGGATTTGAGAGATCTCAGGCGTGCTTGTGCAATTTGTATCCCATATATTGGAAAGGTCTTGGATTTCTATCTGGAGTAGATACTGCTGGGTTTGAATCAATCCAAGAACTGTTCCTATGAGACATATATGCTTTCTTTGCATCTACCTTAGTCTGTACATATCTGGATTTGCATTTGGTTCAAGATGCTGCTGTATACTTACTCTTCTCACTGGCCTGATGGCCACGGTGGCCTGCGCCGCTTCGCTAACGCAGGTGCCGAACTATCACAACAATGCCTGCCCACGTCCAAGGCACACATATGTGATCCCTCTCCTACCCTTTCCCCTTCTCCTCTCCTTCTCCTTCTCCTTCCCCTATACCTTCCACTTTACCTACCCCCACCATTCCCCTGAGTCAGCCCGCTGACACACACACACACACTTACATACAGTGAGTGAGGTTGGCTATGCACGCGGCTCTCTCCATTCCGGCTTGAAACGAAACGAAGAAAAAATAGTGCGTGGCCCGGAATCGAACTTGGCCCCTCCGAATTGCGGTTCGTTCACTTTCTCGTGACAACCAGAGCAGGTCAGGTCAGGTCGTGTCGAGTTCCCCAGCAACCACACCCGCCCACATGTACCGTAGAATGAGCCCAATCTTTCACCGACGCCACTGTACCAACGTCAACCCTTAAGGCCTCTTGGTATAGTGGTATGAGACAAAACCCTCCCACGGGGGTTTTTCGTAGGTCTCCGGTTCGATTCCGGGACGTGCTGGCATGCAAGTGGATAGGGCTTCGCTCGGGACAAGGCACGTTACCGTCCAATAGGGTCGGATTGGAGATTGAGCTTTTTGCAGTATCTCTATTACATACATTACCTCACACCCGCTGTAATGTTTGAATAAATCTTTTGATCTTGTCTTGTAGTACATTAGGTACTTCCTTGTACTTGCCTTCCCACACACACACACACACACACACACACACACACACACACACACACACACACACACACACAGAAACAACGGGTGGGTCTACAAGCCCAACAACATCCTCGCTAACCCGCCCGCCCCTCGTCGTCATGATCCATCCACTCATGGCAATCGACAGCGCAGTCGTACTTCGGCAATAGCAAGATGCCGTGGAGGCAGGGATCCGACAAGAAGGGCCACATCACGGTGTGGCCGTCGTCACCCCCAATAGCGACATGTGCTGGGACGTGTCTTTCCAAGCAGAAGTCGCTGGCGCACCTGGGCGACGGCGACCCCTAGGCCGTCGCCAACACGATCCTGTACGCCGTCGCTACATACAAGGCCGACCCGGCGCGCGTGTACGTCACTGGGGGGGCAGCAAGGGGCCTGCCATGATGGCGAATATGCTGGCCGCGACGTACCCGGAGCCCCATCCGGCCGTGACTTTGTACAGCGGCGTCGCGGCGGGGTGCTTTGTCAGTTCGGGCGGCGGCGTTCATTAGTGGAATAACTCGTGCTCGGCAGGCAGTCGCGCGTCATGGCCGAGATGTAGGAGGTCTTGCTGGATATGTATGCCGGGTACGGGGGCGCGAGACCCAATATGCAGATCTGGCATGGCAGCGCGGATACCAGGCTGGCGCCGCGGAACTACTAGGAGGATATCAAGCAGTGGACGGGCGTGTTTGGGGACGCGCCGACGAGCGAGGCTGCGAAGTAGCCACATCAGGTGTGCGCAATGGATAATTATGGCAAGTCGGTCAGCTTGGCGGCCGCCATGGAATTTGAAGGCGAATGGAATTCGCCTTTTATCAGCATATGCTGTTTTTGATGTCAGCATGTATTTAGATGATGTTACTTTGTCGAGCAACGCCCCGGCTCTGTACATACCAAATCTGTCGAATAGAGCATCGATCTTGCTGTTACATCTGGCAGGGGCATTGAGGAATTAAATGACTCCGTCTGTCACGGGTTGCCCCCATCATCTATCCCAGTCGGTATGTCAGATGCTTCTCTAGTGTTGGCATCGTATAACGTTCAGCGTGATGGTCAGAATTGACTCGGTTGCAAAAGTATGTGCAGACCTAAAAGCCTGCTACAAAGTTATGTATGGGTCCGCCAACACCCTTTGATAATGGTTGTCATCAAGTCTCCGTCGTTCAGTGTGCTTGGATGACCAGACCAGATAAGCGACACTGCGCCCTCAAAAAGAACGAGCTGTGCTGGTAGCATGTTCATTTCCACGAAGATGGCGACGATCCCGATGTAGAGAATGAACAGGATGGCGAGTGGAACGGCGACGACGACGACGAGGCTTTGGAACCTGGATCGGTCCGAGAATCCGTCTTCTCTGTTGGTGAACTCGCTCGCACACTTGGATCAATGGTTTGCGGCTCGCTCCACACGAGGTCAGAAGACTGAAATCTCCAGTGTCCCTGGGCCAATTGGACCTCAGTACCCTCGTTATTGATGAGTTTGAGGTCTGTCTTCGTCCTCGGATCTCGATGCTTGTGGTAGAGATCAATCTCCCCTGGCGTCCAGTTCTGATTGTCGATGATTATTCTGGCCATCTCAATTCTGTCGGTAGCCTGCGACACCATTCGAGGAACGCGAAGGAGATGTGCCCATTCGTCGCCGACTACTTCGATGATGTTGTCGATCTCGCGGTCGCCTATGCCTCTCATCCACCAAGCACCTGGCGGCATGATCCTGGTGAAGCACAGGTAGTAGGCCAGCATGATGAGGACTCGAGGCCGCCGCTCCTTAGCTAGAGGAAGAAGAGGCCTGGGAACGAACGTTAAGAACGTGATGACGCGAAGGTCCATGATAGGACTGAAACCATGGACAGTAAGCTCCATATAGAGCGACCCTAAATATCGGAGATATTCATAGTAGACCTTTTGGTGTTCATAGTCGGGGTCGTCCGGTTTGATCGACGTGATCATGAACAGGAGGTTGTTGGGGATGTACTGTGTGCACTTCTCGAGGTCTATCGGTGGACGAACAAACAATACAGACATTCCTGACTGCTGAATTGACATTGGTGAGATGATATCAATGATCAGGGCTATGCCACGCCATACGGCCATCCAGTCAATTATGTAAAGGGGTTTGGCGTCGTCTTCCCGAAACATCTGGCTGCTCAAAGCACACATCAGAAGCGAACAGGCAAGCAATGCGGGAAAGTCGGCTGGTCTGGCGGCTTCAATAGCATTTCGATAGCCTTCAAAGGCTCTGGCGCGATATGCTGCCGCTCGGCGAGTAGGTACGACCTGGTTCAGGGTCTGCAAGTGTAAGGAGGATAAGGCCATCAAGCAGTCCATGAGGAATGGAGACTTGAAAGCGTGCTCGACGATTCTCACTTTCAGTACGTGATCAACCACTTGGGAGTGGCCAGTCTCGATAGAGAAGGAATGGTATGTCTGGGTGGTGTAGAACCAGAGCATCTTCATGTCCATGCTGTCTGACATCTCGCCCGGTCGGAACAGAGGCTCTGAGATGACGAGACAGGCGGGTTCGACGTAAGGCACTTGTTCTACTGATGACTCCCGCGAACGAACCGCAAGTGTCTGCGAAGAGCTCGGCGGTGAAGCGGACGCAGGAGACAAAGGCGCGTTTGGATAGACGCATGTTTCCTTTCGAAGGCCGCAAGCCTTGCACGCTGGCTTCGCCTCGTCGCACTGTATTCCGGTCAGTCTCCGGGATCTCGTAACAGACGATGTGATGAGAGTGATATGCATACCTTCACTTTGCGCTTCTTGCACTGCTTACATCCTGCGCGCGATTTCCTATGTGGTCGCTTGGGAATGTAAGCCTTGCTGGCAGTGCCCCCTGAACGCTCACTCAAAGGTTCAGAGAAGGGGGTGAGGCCGGGGATGGGAACGGAAAAGGCGAAGTCGCCATCGTCGATTGGGAGACTGTCGAAGGCGAAGTCGCCATTGTCGATTGAGCGACTGTCAAAATCGAAGTCGCCATTGTCGATTGGGCGACTGTCAAAATCGAAGTCGAGATACAAGGCTAACGGGGGATCAGGGTTGGGGTCAAAGTTGATGTCCATACCGTCCATCTCGACACGATCGCGATGTCATGAGTCAGTTAAGCATTGGGGCCGCCCTAAAAATGTATGCATAGAACGGGTGAAATGACTCGTTGTAGATTATTAAGAATGAGATGGGTTCCTCACGGAAGGCCAGACATAAGATGGATATAGTAGTAGGTGAGAGTCCTAAGATTGGATGTATCTCAGGGGGGGTTTGTGGTCAGCTTGCGTACTACGTCAAGACTTTCTTGGTGGGATAGGACTTGACAATGACTGCCGCGTGTCTGTCGCCGACCACCGTCCCGACCATTGGAAACGGTGTTGACTCTTTGAGACGCACTACCTAATAATAAACGTGGGCCGCGACGCCGAACCATCGAATCAGCAACAGATCCAGAGGGGTGGGCAGGCGGCAGCGGCAGGGCTGAAGGTCCATCCCTAGCTGAGGTCGGCATCCGAGCTGCCGGTCTCCGTCCCGGTCTGGGCACGGGCATTAAAGGTTGGCTACCGTATCAGATCAAGATCCCCATGATTGAGAGCTGCACCTCGCCAGAAGCCCAATCGACGCGACTTGGACACGGCATGTCATGGAATAGTGCTCACTCGTGAAATAATGAGGAGTCTCATGATTAGGTAGCCACCTACCTCATCGAACTGACATCGGGACGTTTCCTACAGTACGGCAGTCAACCACCAACCCTAAAGTCAACAAGCTGCCACTGCTCAGTGCAACAACCACCCGCAAGAATGGCATCCATCTTCGAGCTGCCAGAAGACCTCCTCGCAACCCTCGCCGAGAGCTTCCCCTGCCGCGACGCCCAGATCCGTGCACTAGCAACGCTGCTCTACCCGCGCGCCGCCCCCTGCCGCAACCTGATCGTGCACGGCACCGAAGCCACGGGCAAGAGCGCCATCACCACCACACTCCTCGCGGCCCTGCGCGACGACCCCGGGACAGACCTCAACTATGCCACCGTGAAGTCCGCCGAGTGCGTCACGGCGCGGCACCTGTTCGAGCGGACGGTTGGCCTGGTCGCTGATGCGGTGCAATGGCAGGGACCGGCGCCCGGCCGGTGCGAGACCCTCGCCGCGCTGACGGTCGAGCTGAGCCGCATGCTGAAGTATGCCGAGAGAGACGCTGCCGACAGGTTCGTGCTGGTATTCGACGGCATCGATCGCCAGCGCGAGGCGCCGCCTACGCTGCTCCCTGCCTTGGCGAGGCTGTCTGAGATTGTGCGTTAACTGCTTCTGCTCTACATCCCTACATCCAACACAGAAAAGATGACAATAGCTAACAACGCCCACCCACAGATCCCAAACCTAACAAACATCTTCATCCTCACCACGCCCTCGCCCTCTCTCCTCCGGTGCTCCTCGCCGCCACACCTGCACTTCCCGCCCTACACCAAAGCGCAATACCTCAGTATCCTGTCGCGCCAGCCGCCGCCCTCCTCCCTGCCCAACACGGCACCCGAAGAGACAGCCGAGCTCTGGACACGCTTCGCGGCCGCCGTGCACGACTCCCTAACCCGGCCCGCGGCCCGCACGCTGCCCGCGCTGAAACACGCCTGCGCGGCCCTGTGGCCGCGCTTCACGGCCCCCGTCGCAGTCGGCACACACCGCGCGCGCGAGTTCAGCCGTCTGCTCATTGCTGCGCGGGCGTATTTCCAAGACGAGGGCGTGTTGGAGCCGGGGATTCTGTCGTCGGTTCCCTCTACTACCAAGCCTGCGACACAATCGTTGGCCAATGGCACAGCAGCAATCGCAGTCGGGGCAGGAGCAGGAACAGCACCCCCAGCCAAGAACCCCAACAAACCCAAACCCTCCACCGACCTATCAACCCTCCTCCCGCCCACCGCCCGCCTCTTGTTAATAGCCGCCTACCTAGCTTCCCACAATGCGCCGCGCCACGACAACACCCTCTTCAGCACCTGGCACAACCCGCACGGCCGTCGACGGCGGGCAGTCAACACGCAGGCGCGGCACTCCAAGAAATCCAAACACCGCAAGATCGCGCGCAAGCTGCTGGGACCCGGTGTTTTTGTGCTGGAGCGCATGGTGGCGATCTACGTGGCTACGCGGCGGGAGTGGGTTGGGGATCATGACGAGAATAATGCAGGTGGTGGGAATGGGAAGGTGGTGGTCGGTGTTGATGGCGACGTGGGCATGGCGATCGCGACACTGGCGAGTCTGCGGCTGCTGGTCAGGGTCGGAGGCGGCGCGGGCGCGGCTGTGGGAGGGGCGGATTTGGATCGTGGGGGCAGGTGGAGGGTCAATGTCGGGTGGGAGGTGGTTAGAGGTGTTGGGAGGAGCATGGGGGTCGAGGTTGAGGAGTGGCTTGTTGAATAGCGGCCGATGTACGAAGTGGTTTGGGACCGCTATTGGTTGTTGGAGAGCGATGTAAAGTCTATATCAATCCATGGACCACAGCAAAACAGTCACAACCACGAAGGGCAATGATCAATATTCTATTGCTACTGACATCGAAGACAAGTAATCTTGCATAGGCTTGCTCTACTGTACGAATGATAACGACAACAAGTAACTCCCTCCTGGATATGCACAACGCCTGGCATTCACGAGAATCAGTTCTTCCCCACTCAAGTCTATTGGGTTTCTCCAGACTCCAGACCCAGTACCTGTTCATATGTTAGCTTCCTGGAAATCAATAACATTCGTCATGGCTCTGGGGACTTACCAAGGCTGTACGACTGGGAAGGTAAATGTGAGTCCAGTTCTTGCGCTCGTTCCACTCCATGGGTGTAGTGAAGAATCTCGTGTTCGGGTCGACGCGTCCGTGGCCGCCGACTTCCTTGGTATCGGAATCAAGAATGATCTTGTATGTGCCGGGAACTTCGATTCCAATACGGTAGTCGGCGTAGCTGTTTGTCGGATGGAAGTTGAAAATGAAGACGCAGCCAGCGCGCTCAAACACAATGACCTTGTCACTCTCGTTCTTCAAACTGATGAAGGCTTGCGACGCATGAAGCCAGCCAAAGTGATTCTCAGTCAAATTCATCTGCTTGTCGAACTCGTTCAGTTCCTTGTATCGTAGGAGCTGATCGTCCGTCAAGTTGAGCTGGCGTCGTGCGTACCAGAACGAGTTCTGGTTGCCTTCTCGCGGGAAGTCGAGCCATTCAGGATGGCCGAACTCGTTTCCTTCGAAGTTGAGGTAGCCTTCACCGCCCAGACTGTGGGTGAGTAAGCGGATCATCTTGTGGAGGGCCATTCCGCGGTCGATGACAGGGGTCATGGGTGTGAGGGTTGACATGTTGGTGTAGAGCTCGGCATCGCAGAGATGCATCATCAATGTCTTATCGCCCACGAGGCTATGCGCGTGTCAGTAGGTGTATAACGTCCATCCTATCTTGCTACTTACGCTTGGTCGTGGCTCTCGCAGTATGCAATGGTCTTCTCTCCGTGACGTCTGTTGGTAAGGGTCCAGCAGATGTTTGAAAGATCCCAATCTTCGTCTTTGACCTCTTTGATGATCTTGATCCACATATCAGGGACAGCCATTGCCAGTCGATAGTCGAATCCAACACCGCCAAGTGACAATGGTAGGCATAGAGCCGGCATACCAGAAACATCTTCTGCGACGGTGATACATTCCGGATAGAGGTTGTGTAGCATCTCGTTGGCAATCATCAGGTACGCCACAGCTTCTTCATCCACCCCAGCGCCAAAATACTCATGATAACCACCAGAGAAGCCCCTGTAAATGTCAGCTTTCGCCATCATTTCGGTCACATGGGACGCAGCTTACGTTCCAATTCCGTGATGCACGTAGAGCATACTGGTAACGCCGTCAAAGCGGAACCCGTCGAAATGATATTCATCCATCCAGAACCTGAGGTTGCTAAGCAGAAATCTCAGGACTTCGTGGCTGCCATAGTTGAATAGCCTGCTGTCCCATAGCTCGTGTCTGCCCTTCATGCCCTCATGAAAGTAGAGGTGATCTGTGCCATCGAACTCATTCAGCCCATCGAGGACATTCTTGGAAGCATGGCTGTGTACCACATCCAGGAGAACGACGAGACCCATGCTATGGGCTGTGTCGATCAACTCCTTCAGATCCTCAGGTGTCCCATAGCGGCTGCTCGCGGCAAAGAAGTTGTTCACTTGGTATCCGAAGCTGGCATAGTATGCGTGTTCCATGACAGCCATCAGTTGGATCACGTTATATCCCAGGCTTTTTATTCTCGGCAGCATGCTCTGGGTGAACTCCTTGAAGGTTGTGACTCGCAGCTCGGGGGAGGAGATACCGACGTGAGCCTCGTATACACGAGCACTCAATGGCTTCTTGGGCCGAGGGTGTTTGAAGGTGTATTTCTCCGATTCCGGAGGGTTCCAGAAACGAGCATCGTAGGCAGGAGAGACGGACAGGTCTTGAGTAACGTATTTGATCCAGGCTGGTAGTCGGTCGATCCACTCCCCGTTCAGCGTCTTCATCGATATCTGTTTACTCGTATGTTAGTAACAGGTGGTGAATGGACTGTACAGGGTCCAGGCCTACCTTGATCTTCGAGTCGTGGGGAATGGCAGGTTCTCCGTTCACCGCAGGCAAGATGATCTCCCAAACGCCGAAGTCGTTCCTCTTCATGGGGTGCGCTCCCCTGTTCCATCCGTCTGTTTCCACGTCAGCGCCGTCTTTTGCCTGGTTCAGAGCATAACGGCGGGTGCCTACTGAAGTCTCCGACCAGGCATGCCTCGGTGGCGCCCGGGGCCCATTCCCGGTATATGATGGTGTTGTTCTTCTCTACATTCAGACCGTAGATCTCGGTTCCCTGGGTGCGGCGAAGCAGTTGTTAGTAGGCTCTCGCCGCAAGGAAGACCTTAGGATGTACGAACTCTCGAGAACTTCTCGACTCCGCCTTCGGTCTCGTCAATCTTCTTGATCCATGTCTGTGCCTTTGCGTATCTTCGTTTCAAGGAGTCCTTGAAGGGCGACAGCCACGGGTCCAGCTGGACGACGCCTGGGGAAGATGGTGTTAGTTCGCTGCCAGCAGTGTAACTCTGCACCAAGGGGGAGCTGAGCTGTACCAGTGCCGTCGTTTGGTATGCCCGACGCAGCACCTGCACCCAGAGTATTGGCTGAGTTGTCTGCAACGGCTGTCATGTTGGCGTATTCTCGAACTTGGGAGTTCTTGCGAAGGAAGCGAAGGAATGTGAAGAGGAGAAAGGAAGTTCGTCAGGCACGGGTCCCAATCACCGATGTTCCAAGCGAGAGAAGCTCCCCGCAAAACAGTCTGGAGAGCTATGGAGACGGGCCAGCTACTATGGAGCCAGCTGCGATAACCGGATGAGCGACCAGATACTGCTGTACTAGGTAGGGAGACCGATTGATCATCAAATGTTGTTTCTACCTTATGTTGTTACCCTCGACCGGGGAAGAAACTCAATTGAACAAACAGAGGGTGATTTATTGATAAAGTTCATCGGTTGGTTCCCCATATCAACATGCTCCCGCTTTCACAAGATGGAGGAGATGTGAGGAGATAGCTCCAACAGCCCACATGTCTAATGACGTCGTGGGGTTAGGCCGTCCCGCCTCCGCATCGATCAATTGCAGCGAATGCTTCACTTGATCATCCCTGCAATTGTCTCTTTCTGCTGTCATTCTATCAACCCGCCGTCGAAAGGATGCAGATCACAACCGATATCATGTACGAGACACACGAAACGGTCATTATGTTGGATACTATCTGCAATAAACGTTCATCGAATGCAGTGAGTTTGGGGGGTTCGTATGAAGTTAGAAGCTCTTGCGCGGCTCGGCTGGGCAGGATGGCTGGATGGCCGTCGTTGGTGGATGAAAGGGAACATCGATGAAGCTTGAGCACGGATCACTTATCAGTCTGGACTCTGCCAAGGGCCAAATGTAGTGCTGTGCAAGTGCCACAGCGCCTGATGGCGGCTTCTAGCGGCTGTTCCCCGCGCGAGAGCCCCGCCAGTCCACCGCCCGATGATGATTGATCCAGCTCTCAACTCCGAGCAAAGGAGACCGTCCTAGACTCGAGCCTCGTTAGCCAGCCTGCCGGATCACGTCGTTTGGGTGTTCTGCATCATTACTTCTGTCAGCTGGCTTGTTCCGAATTTCATCGCACACCTCCGCTACCGCCTGGCACTAGCGACCGCTCTGCCACTTAACCGCTAACGAGGACAATGTTCACCTCGTCCGTCCATTGATGACAACTGCCGTGTGAAGCCACTGGTTGAGTGTACTCAGTGGAGGGCAACCTCCAGGGGCCGCCACCATGATTACACGGCTCGCGAGGCCCAGAGCGTCCTCCCTTGCCGTACCAAAGCCGAACTTCCGCCGCCGAACGCTGTCAACGTCTACCATCCTACGGACTGGCTCGAAACGAACTTCCGACTTCACCTCCGGCTTCTCGAGCAGCTATGATCCGAACGAAGAAGGACGAGGGCCCATGTTCGATAACAAGAGTTCCTTTGGCGTTCCTCAGTTCTATCCACGAGATCTGAAGAAGCGTGTAGACGAGTACGTCGTTGGACAAGACCGGGCGAAGAAGACAATATCTTCTGTCATCTTCAATCACTACCAGAATGTCCGTAGGCGGCAACATGAAGAGGAGAGGGCAATCAAAAGAGAGGAGAAGATCATGCGCCAGACTATTGCGCGTGACAGGAATACGAGAGAGCGGGACACTCATCCTGTTGAAGGTTGGCACCATCCGACACTCACCTCCCGCCAGCACGATAACGTTGACATACCCGAAGACGATTACCCTGGACACCACGATTCCATACAGCATATGCACCAATCGTGGCAACAAACCGAGCAACCTGTTGACTTTTACATACCCGAAGATGAAGGCCATACACCAGCGGTTAAGATTGATAAGAGTAACATTTTACTCATCGGCCCCACTGGAGTGGGCAAGACATATATACTCGAGTAGGTGCTACACTATCCCTGAGTGTTATGGCTGATCTCATGCTGAATACCTTCTCTCTATAGAACACTGAGTAAAAAGATCAATGTTCCCTTCACAATATGTGATTGCAATTCGTTCACACAAGCCGGATACATAGGCCAGGATGTCGAGACATGTATCGAGCGCTTGCTAATAGAGTCGAATTATGACGTGAGAGCAACCGAGCATGGCATTGTTGTGCTCGATGAATTCGACAAGATTGCGAGGCGCGAAACTACGAATGGGAGAGATGTCGGCGGTGAAGGAGTGCAGCAAGCGCTCCTGAAGCTCATCGAAGGCACAAAGGTCACGGTGAACGTGAAAGACAACCGCTCGTCTTCCTCCTCACGATCGGCAAGTCCCATAATAACGAACTATACTGGACCCGGTTCTTCCTCCTCTAGTTCGGGACCTCAATCAGCGCCGCCTCCATCAGGCAAGGTGGACCAATACACTATCGACACCTGCAACATCCTGTTCGTCATGTGCGGTGCTTTCGTTGGGCTAGACAAGGTGATTCTCAACCGGGTATCGAAACCAGCAATGGGCTTTGGATCCGAGTTACGGAATCGATCAACGTCTAGCAACAAACCCGACCTACCACCAAAACTGTTCAATCACCTACCTCACCGACCCCCAAACGCTGAAAATGCATCAGCTCTCACGGCTCTTGACCTCACAGCCCCAGAAGACCTACAGGGTTTCGGTTTCATCCCAGAACTCATCGGTCGTGTACATAACATCGTGGCCCTCTCACCACTCTCGCAATCCGACCTCCTCCGCATCCTCACCGAGCCTCGAAACTCACTTGTGGCGCAATACACGGCGCTGTTCGAGACCTACCCCTCCACCCTCTACTTCACGCAGAAGGCCTTGCTGGCCATTGCGGAACGGGCAGAAAAGGCTCGAACGGGGGCCCGGGGACTGAAGATGGAGATGGAGCGGGTGCTGGCCGAAGCCATGTTCGATGCGCCAATACACTATGTGCTCGTAACGGAGAAGGCCGTCCGAGGCGAGGAGAAAGTCGGGTACTGGGGCAAAGGCGGGCGCTTTGAGGTCGAGCGTCGTATCCGCGAGGAAGATGGTCTCGCCAGGGTTCCCGGACAAGAAAAGGACGGCCGCGAGATCGTGAATAGTCTTGGACAATATCGGGAGGCAGGGCAGAGTGGCGCGTGAGCATGCATGCATGGTTGGGCATGGATGCATGTATACCGGCTAAGCGTAGTGGACTGACTTCGAATTGGGTATAATATGTTAAGGTGTACGGTGTCTGCAAGGCTAGGCGTAGGGTATGATCATGGCAAGGGTGACTACACATTGAAATTCAATAGCCTTGAAGCTGCTGTTTCGAATGGGGGTATGGTCATACTGGAGCAATGTGGGGGTGGTGCATATGAACCAGATTAGTTGATGTACGTATATAGGAAATTCACAGCAAAACAATGATCTGACTCGAGTAGATGGCTCGCCCACCTTCAAATACACTCGGCCCCTTGACGAGTAAAGAACCTGACCCCCTGACGAGTACAGACGAAGTAGACCGGTGTCAGTTCATAGTACCTACCTAAGAGGAGATCGCGAGGGCAATCCACTGCTCTGTCCACCTTCAGTTTGGACTTATGTTGAGGTCTTCTTATTGCACTTGTTAATTATGACGAATCGTGCTCTCCCCTACGTATTTCCTTCCGGCCTGTCCCCTCGTTAAGTGGTACTTCAGCCAACTGGGCTATCATCCTGCCACTACAAACGTATATGATAAAAGCGTCCATGCCTTATGTTAGTAGGTCATCCATCACAGTGTTTCCACTGTCGTAGTTGCACGGTCTTCGGAACGATATCGAAATTTGCCTCTTGTACATATTTACAACAGCCAGGCCTGGTCTCCTGCTGTGCTTCCTCAACCAGCCTGCTTGACCCCTTTGTGCCGAGTCCTTCCCCCGAGCTGAGATGGACAGGTGTGCTTGTCGACCCATCAAACCCCTATTCACTGCCCATCTGTCCATCGCGAGTTGCTGCAGGTCCGATGTAGAAAGAGACTCGCCGCCGACCGGTCTGGTAGGTTCTGCCGTTTTGTACATAGGTTTCGGATGGGTTGTCTTGCACGCACACACGTCTCGTCTCGGCTGCTTGCTTGCTTCTAAGAACAAAGGAAAATGGGGGTTTGATAAGAGTAGCTTTGCATTATTATGGTGACGATCGAGACTAGCTCTATTTCTTGGGAGGCGATTGGACCATGCTGATGCCGTTCTTTGCGTATCCCTCGGACGCGACACCAGTGAAGGGGTCGGCGCGTTGGCTCTGTGGGGGATGGTTGTCAGTATGGCAAGGAGAGGAGAGATTTGGGTTGCGAAGCTTACCTTGAGGTACTCGTCGGATGCTTCCTGGTACTCCCGGTGCATGGTGGAGGGTGCCGGGCCGGCGAAAGCGCGGATGGTGGCGAAGATGCCGAAGCTGACCAGTATGCCGATGGCAGTGTACAGAGCGACCTTCCGCCCCTCGTCGGCAGGCGGCTGGGCACGGGGGCCGTGGGGACCAAAGGCAATCCAGTAAGCTGTGGGTGGCTGTCTGTCAGTCCGGGCTGTCTATATATCATGCCATCGATCACTTCAAATACGTCCATCGTGATTTGCGGGAAGGTTGTGGGTCCACTTGGAAATGACCGAAAGAAGCCCCAGGGGTTCGATGTTCAACAATTCGAGTCTCAATTGGCAACGTGATGCATCAGGGGGAGCTTCCAGTGAGCTCCTCGAAGCTCCTTCGGTAACCAATGCCCAACCAATTGATGCTTCCCAGTTGATGTATGAGATGGAGATTTGGTCACGTACCAGCCTTCTTCTCCTGAATGGTGAGGTCTGCCCAGTTCTCCTTCATGCGGTCGCGCAGGGCCATCCACAGCTCGGCTTGCTCGGTCGACGGCATGCCCTCCCACCTCTTCTCGATGTTGGCCAGGGTCGGGTTGGAAATGGCGTGGGTCGAGGCGGCGGCACGGGGCGCGACGGTCACCATGGATGTGCGCATGCTGCTGGCCCGGGCGCCGGCGCGCAGGAGGGAGGTGGCAGGTGTGCGCATCATCTTGACTGTCGTGGGAAAGGAAAGGATGGTCGGAGTGGAGAGGGTCCAATTGAGGTGGTCGCGAGAGGTGCGTGTGTGTGTTGGAGCGACCCGGACGTGTGGTGAGGATGATGGATGGTTGATGTTGTTTTTTTGGCAGTGACAGACAGACTCGTTCCGTTCAATTGGGAGCGCCTTTTTTTGAGGTCAGCCTGTCTGATTGTCGTATGATGGTGGAACAGTAATACTGCTCTGTCATTGGCCCAGTACCTAAAATCCACAACTCCTGCCACAGCTGCAACGCAGCGAGCTCCGCTACGAGCTCTTGGCTGTCGGGAGAATTTCGGGCCAAGGTACGGAGCTCCCAGTCAATGAAGGTTGGATGCAGGCCCGCCTTGCGTCATGTCACTGGCTGCAACACTCAAGCGCTCTTCTGAGCCGCAACTCTACGATCAAAAGAGTAGCCAAACTTCACCAGATAAAATGTCTCTATGAATGACTCCATTTGGCACTCCAAGTGTTGCCTACTGAACTTACTGAACACTAATGAATATGACAGGTCTTCAGCTAGACAGCATCATAATCAGGATTCGATGACTCCTCTAAGAGGTGATTCGTTTTCTTGAACATGGTTGAATGCTTCAAGCTGGTATGTATATGCAGTTGATCATATTATGTAGTCGCGCAAATCATGCTACTACTCCAGAACGCCCCTGAGATCCGACAAGCCCCCATAAAGCTCTCAGATTCAAGCCTGCAACCGCATGACCAGCCCGGGCCGCACCATGCGATAGATCGGCGAGCAGTGTCGACAGCGACATCTACAGCCTAATTACGTGGCTCAGGCAAGGCTGTAGTCATCCGGTAGGCCAGGCTTTGTCGTCATCTTTAAAGACCACCTGCATCCCATCTTGGAACCGTGGTCTCTACCATCATCATTCTCGTGCCTCAGATGGAAGCAGTTCGGAACCTTCCGTATCTGCAACCCGGATGGTCCCGGAGCCATTGAGTGTTGTTGACTGTCAAAGTCTTCCAGCATCTCGGCCACATCATTCGTAATGAACCTCGCGTGTTTGCATTAGAGATGGTGCTTCTGAGCAATGATGGCTTGTCTAGCGGTTGGACGGAGGATCTCGGGGTGGCTGTCCAGGCTGAAGTGCGGCAGCCCGCTTGACATTCGCGTCCTCGGCTGTGTCCTTTGCTATTGGCATCTGAAGAGTATCTTTCTGGTCCTTGAAGTAGGGACTAAACGCATAGTAGCCTGGCTGGTGTCAGAATGATTGTAGTCGCCCAGGTGTCACTCGAAGACCGTACCATTCGCTACGCCGAAGACGACGGCGATACAGAAAGGGATAAAGTTGCGACCAAATGAGCTCATGGTTCTGAGATGAGGTTCGGCCCGAGTCTTTGATGAATTTTATAGGGTTTTTTGATACGTCTGAGCCGCGTCCGTGGCAATTAATTATTTGTAGTTGAAAATGAGACAAGAATTGAAGGTTGTAGCTGATGCTCGCATATGAGGTCAAGACTCAGGAGCTGGAGCCTAGATGGGAGGTTTAAAGTGGCGGCCCCACCTCGGCCCGCTACGCGTCCAAGTGCACATTCACGCGTCTGGAGCTCCGACTTCTTCACAAAAGCAACGACTATTCAACATGCGCAACATGACCAGATTCCGCTCCCAATATCCGTCACTATAATGCATCGCAGGTCCAATGGCGACGTGGAAGGAGCTTGGAGAGGTGCCCGACTCGGACGACGAAAGTGCTCTGGATAGCCAGGAATCTGAGCCTGCTCCTCCACCACAGATCGATATATGTGCGCCAGATGGAATCGACACAGAAATCCCCGTACCTGGAGTCGAGGACGAAAACAGACATGCAGATAGACGTGACGGCTCGGAAATTTGGGATATTCCATTCTCGTCACAAGCTTCTGGAGAGAACCAGGTCGCGGCCCGCCCTCCGACACCAGAAGCTCTACCACCGACGTCCATATTGAAGACCGACACACCTGCTCCCGCCCCATTGCGCCCTCTATCTATATTCGAGGACCTGAACAACGACTTTGAAGAAGACTTAGAAGATACCGTACAACCCGCTGAGCAAAATGACAGTCGTTCGGCAAGAGTTGAAGTCGCTCTTCAACTCCTGCCAGAGGACGTGCGCAGAGAATATGTTGAAGCCACGTACGAGGTTGAGCACAATGCAGCCAACGACGAAAATGCAGACGACGACGACAACGAGACCTCCCTGCAAGAGGCCATCCGACTCGGGCGTTCGCTGAGACCAAGGAAACCGATCCAAGAACATCCATACTTGCTGGAGAGCGCCCAATACAGCAAGACACTGAAGTCGCACGGGGTGCGTCCCCTGCGAATGCGTATAGAGGAAGCATTAAGGAGGAAGAAGCAAGAAGAAGAAGACTCCCAGGAACAAGACTATGAAGAGGACAGCCAAGTGACTGCTAAGGACACTGCCCAGGATGATACCGAAGAAAGCCAAGGCATTAGGGACGCGGGACTACTGGACGAGGCCGACTTGTTGCCGCTTTCGTCAGATGGAAGACCATCTCCATCTCCACCAGCCAGTCGACAAGCTGACATGTTGAGGAGCTCGCAAGATGACGAGGAGGAATTTCCTGACCCAGCCGATGTCGAAAAGTGGAAAGCGAACAAGAGACCATATCGCCGTGACAAGCGACGAGCATCGCCCAAAGTTTCTTCAAAACGCAAGATACCAAGAGTTCGTGATCCTGTAGGACCTCTAAGGGAGACACCTCCTGCGCCGCTTGTCGACGACGTTTTCGACATTCCGCCTTCACCTCCGCAGACAAGCCCCGCCCTCCTTGGGACGACTCCAATGACTGCTTTCAAATATGCCAGACATGGTCCAATCACATTACTCACCCCGAAGCCCAGCAGTACCATATCCTCACGAGGGCGCAGTCCTACGCCAGCAGACCAAACGCGCGAGACGATCGATCTCACCATGGCGGGCGACGAAGACAATACAAATGATGAGCCAGGCGGTAGCTCTGGCAGTGGCTCAGAAAGCGAGTCAGAACCAGTCCGAGCGGCTGTGAAAAGAATGCGTGGTGTTTTGCCTGCATCTTGGCTTCGGCTTGATCAACAGCGTGCGCGGCCAAAACCAGGGTTAGACACGCGGCAGCGAAGTCCCGACCCTTCCCCAGAACGAAATCACAGAAAGGGTGTGGCTCAACGTCGACAAGTATCACCTAAGCCAGGCCACGACGCGGCCCTTTCTCTTGATGACGATGATGACGATGATGCAAATCCACAACAGGACGATACCGGCAGCGTTCCTCGTTACAAACCAGTTTCTATTTTCGAGGACGATGCAGGCTCCGTTATTGAGGAAGACGAAATCGATCGAATGGTGTTCAGCAACAAAAGAGCTAGTACCAATGCCATTGGATCCGAGCGGCCGAAGAAACGAAGAAAAGATCAGCCGTCAACGTTCAAAGGTGTACAGAGTCGGCGGAAGCGACAGCAAAAGATCACCGGAGTACTTGGTCGGTCAAAGAGCACAAAAGCCAAGTCGAATGGCGAGGTGCGGCGTTCAACAGCCCACGCAAGTGCAAGAGGAAATGCGAAAGATTATAGGAATAGAAAAGTCGCAACTCCACCACCTCCACGGCTTAGCATCCTGGACGTTGTCGATGCTAATGCACCCCCTTTCATTCGCATAGCTGCTCGCACAGCCAATAAGAGGCGAGACCAAGGACGTTCGAGCCCATCAAGGAAACATATCATGCTCGGAACTCGGAAAGACAACATAGATGCAGTCGAGGTCCTTACAAGCTGGAAAAGGGGCATCACGCAGCCAAAGATCCTCCCAAAGAGAGCCACGACTCAATCGCGAATCAATATCCCTGAACCTCTCCGAGCTGTCTCCCACAATACTGTTGTTCAGCCATCCAAAGCTCATTCGAAACCACGGAGCCGCGGTTTTGTCCCTTCAGCCCGCTTCTCCCAGCCTCGACGAATGGTCCAACAAACTAGCCTTGACAATTTTGTCAATGTGGAGGCAGAAGGGCCTACCACAGCACCCAGCCTACACCATGCTGCTCCCCGTAATACGCACTCAAAAAAACAGAATGCTAGTTTGAGGCCTGCACAGCTTGAAACGGCAGGAGAACCCGCCAGCCGGCACACATTTATCACACGAAAGAGGGCTCTCGACGCCGTATATCGAAAGTCACGCAAAGCTTTGCCTGCTCCGACGAATGTGCGCTTGGAACGATTTGTCGATAGTCATGTGCCTACTGCCGTCCAGGACCATCCCATCGAAACTTCGTCGCCAACGGAAGACACCGATCTCAGCAGGAGGGTAGCCGCTCAGAGAAGGCCACGGGCTCGAAAGCAAGCCCAGCCTCGGCCCTTGGACGTTACTGCTCCTCAGTACGCGCATGCCAACGACCCTCTTCCCCGTGCCTTCAGCCCTCTTGCGGAGATAGTGAACGTCACAGAGGGCGGTGGAAAATTGTTAGGTCTCGGTCCCTTCGGCACACACTATACACAGCATTTTGAAGTTTTCCCACTAGATCCGGGCGTCTTTTTCCACGAAAGCACGTTCCTTGGAAGTGGCCGGCTGTTGAAAACACTCGACGAGAAGTCAATTGATGCTTCAAACCATCCACGCGCTCGACAAACCTTCACTCTAGACGAGAAAACCCTACTCTGGGGTCAGTGGGATGCCCAGACATCTTCAGAGTTCGGTATCATATTTGATTGGATAGCAGACAACTTGTATGCAGATTCCCTTTCTGATATGGTATCCAAATCTTCCGTGCGAGCGATCGAGTTCATCTTGGAATACCTCCAAGACTCGATATCCTTTATCGAGCCGGAAAGTCAAAGTCTCTTCACTGGTCGAGCACTGGAAGTTCTCCAAACCTTTGCACGACGCATCGAAACATTTCCAGACAAGTCTCATGATCGACGACGGCCCTTTATAGAAGTTTCAACTCGGGCTTTAGTTGTCACTTTACACGTTTTGCGCATTAGCCAGAATGCCAATCAACTACTGTCAGAGGCATTTCAGCTTGAAGAATTGCTGAAGCGCATCTCCAAAGCAATAGCCCAAAGATTACTTTCAACAAACCTTGTAGATATTCGAGCTCTTTACGACGACCTGCAACATATGTCCTTCCGAGAAAGAGGCATCCGCAATGAACGGTACTCAGCGATCTCCTGGGTCACGATCATCCGTGTCTTAGAGGAGGCCCGCATTCCAAGGTCCGGTTTCTGGGACATCGTTTCGCCCGTGTTATTGAGCCATGGCACAGATTTGATCACCGATACGCACACATTTGAGCGAGTCTGGCACAATTTGTTTCTTCTTCTCCCTCTCGGTGAATTTGACAACGGCGGGGTTGTGCTTCAGGGCATCAGACACAGAATTCCCTTGGAAGGCTGGTCGATACCACAAAGACTCCTGAAGCGTGTCTTTCAAGTATACCAGAGCAATTCGCGACAGTCCCCAAGTTTCAATGATTACTGCCGTGCTCTGGTGAGCCGGTGTTACTTTCTCGTCGAACAGTGGGGATGGCGTAAGGGCAATACAGTCGTAGGAACGATTTTCGACTTTTTTGCTGCCCAAGACCTCTCTCATCTACGCAATGAGGAGGTTTATCAATCTCCGCAGTTCCTCGAGCGTCTCGCAGAGTCACCTTCGCTGGCTATCCTACCAGAGGATCGATGTTTTCATATCTTTCTTAAGCTTCTGGCGCTGACTATCAAGCGACTCAGGAAGTTTGGTCTGGTCAAGGACGTCAGGAATCTGGTGACCCGAGTGTTGCCGAATCATAATCGACAGCATGACAAAGAGAAGGATACTCACGAAACCGAGATGGCTGCACTACGAAATCATCATGATCTTTTGTGCACCCTGTTCTGGGCTGCACCGGTAGAGCTGCGACCCTCACCACAGAACATCGAGAAACTCGTGGTGCCGGGTAGCTCCCACAAAGAAGCATGCCTGATCAGTTTGCGAGCCTGGAGTCAGCTCTCCCGGTTCGTCGTATCATCGAGCGAGGATGTCTCAGCATACAGACCATTCGCCGATTGGCAACGGAGCGTCTTTCAGCAGGTGTTAGGACAGTACATGTCCGTCGAATCCGATGTACAGCAACAGCTTTTGAGGATGTCTAAAGATACCTCGAGAACTATCAGCCAGGACTGGAAGAACGCTGTCATCAAAACAAACAAGACGACTGCTATGGACATACTGCACTTCTCAATGAAGGCCGTCCTAGACGTCATGCGGTACACCAGGACACTTGGTGCTGCTTCGTTTGTCATGAATCATTGTACGTCAACGTCTGGTGCTTCCAATCCAGAGATACTAACAAGCCGTAGATCAATTGGATCAGGCGTTCAGCAGACTCTCTTTTACGTCCGCCGAGTCCGACTGGGGCATGTTGCGAGTCAGCCTAGACGTTCTAGGTTACTATCTCACAAGGATCAAAGAGTTTGGGCATCAACCTGCAGTGAATGCTGATCACTCTTGGCATGGAGAAGATGCAATCATGGTAAGTTGACCGTTCTGGTGTTTCTCAACATGGGTATTGACGTTTCAGCTCCTTGAGCGTAAACTAGCTGTTCCATTCCTCGCCACGGTTCGAGGACTTGTGGGAGTGGGCTTCAAAGACTTCGCATTAGGGCCTACGAGCGACCGTGCCCTGTGTGTTGAACAAGCTGTTTGCTTGGCCGGTCGATTGGCAGTGTGCTTAATCCATGCTCGGCTTTCAGTAAGTACAAGGAGCACCATTTGTAATATAATTGCTGACCTCTCAGCGTGTATCCCAATTCTTCGCGTCGGGGAAGTATCACGTGTTTCAGGATCTGAGCAAGCCTGTGAGCTCACCTTCGAGGAAATACACAGCCCTCTTCCTAGCTACGCTCATGGAGGAGGGTCTCACCGAGTTCAAGGTAAGCGCCCGTCTTATGGTTAATACCAAACATCGCTAACCATACACAGGATATTGGCATGACATCTCTGGATTTGTTCTTGTGCGAAATAGTCAAGCCGTTCGATTACTTGGCTTATGAGAATCGACTCGCCATGGCAATGAAGCGCCAAGGCGATCCATACTTGGAGGCCGCGGTTATAGAGACTGGTAACAGCCCTGACTACAACTCAAACAGGGACCTGTTCAACTGTAAGCAATATCGTGTATACCAATCTGCAGGCGGCTGACCATTTACAGACACTCTCACTGCAATGCGCAAGGCTTTGAGATATACCGACACAGCCCAGAAGCAACCGCTGCAAACGCAATTTGCCAAATCATTGCGTTTCACAATGGACCGAATGAAGCTTGATCTGAAGTCGATGGCGCAGGACTCATCTGCACACATGAATCATATCGCCTTCGTCCGATCTATCATTTCTCTGATAAGATCGCAGGATATGTGCCCGGTCGACTCATTCTTCTACCAAATCAGTCGCGAGTACTCTCCGTCCACCCAGGATCCTCGCCTTCAGACCGCTGGCATCCTGGCATGGGGATTGAAGTTGGAAGAAGGCGACACCAAGGCAGCGTCTGGCCTGTTCTACCTGCTATTTCCCAGCTTCAAGCTTGCGCTTGCGAACGGCAAGCTCACAAACGAGAAAGAAATCCTTCAGCAAGGCATGAAAAACACACACGTGTTCTCGTTTATGCTGAGCATAATGTTTCCTGCCATAATCAAAGCTGCTGTCCAGGAGCCCAAAGGTTGGGTTCTCCTAGAAACCTACACAGAGGCTTTTCAGGCACAGCTGGCGGCGGCTTGTATTCACAGGGAAATCGGTCCGGGCAGCATGGTCCATGTGTTGAATCTGATGAAAATCATGTTGACAGGCGTTCAGCACCTACAGTCTCGTGATGTGTTCGAGCTGCGACCTGAACACCTCGTCATTCTCAGACTCATGATCAGCATCCTCAATCTGGTCTCCCCGTCCCTGGCAGCATACCTGATCAATGAGGCAAGTTCTCCGACCGCGCCTGAAATTATAGAGGTGATAGACGCCCTGACCGACTTCACGCGGGCGGGCGGTCGGTACCTATCTGAGCTTCTTGAAGAGACTCCCATGGAGCAGGCTATCATCGTGGACCCGAGCCATCTTTTCGGGGCCATCCGAGGACCCGGTGCGGTATCGTCACCGGAGCACAGCGAGCACATCAACAGGTTCGCCAGCCATATGGTACAAGACATCAATAACAACTGGACCTCGGACGATTCCGTCATCACAGTGAGGGGTCCATCACGACCGCAACAAGGGCCTTCAGCCACGCAGTCAGGGCAGGGGACTCGACTACCCGGGTGGAAAGCGGGAGACTTGGTTCGGGGCTTGAATGAACAGCTTCGGGAGTGGAATTATCATAACGATACGACGAAGACGGCGGCTACGGCATCAGGTGCTGTGCCGCTTGATGACTTTCTGTTTTGAATGAAGGCATTGCAATGGCGTTAGGGGACGGGCGGGTGCTCCCATGGTTACTTAAGCATTTTATGAAAGAGCATGTATTTTTGCATTGCGTAAGTAGGAGATACCATCTGTTCCGTAGTAACAGGCAGTGAGTTTATATATTTCATGAAGCGGACGGTAACTTGAAAGCTGTTCTGAGTGGTGGTTGCGTATGACTCGTGACTCGGCTTTATCACTCGTAGCCCCTGAGTCAAGTTTCTGTCATGGTCATGGTTCCTACCAGGTCTTGGCGATTCCAGTCAACGAATGCTCGAGAGTTGATGGATGAACTGCTGATAAACGGTTGAAACATCACCTCAACGTCTACAGTTATCACCATTCACTGATTTCAATATCCCGTCGATAAATGGCATCTAAACAGTAAGAAACCCTCGACCATTCGTTGGCCTCGGTGAAGTCTCGGTGTGGAGGCGTCGGGCGTTGGCGCTTGGACCAGGGAAAGCTCTAAATCTAGAACTTCCGTAGACCTCGGATTTCCTGCAACGCTCTCGCCTGTCGCAAAGGCCATGCATCTGCCCGCTCACGCCGAGCGCCAATTCTTCGAATGAATAGTCCATGGCTGCGTGCCATTCGCTCGGCGGCACTACATCCACGGCACGCTTCCATTGCGGCCCGTCACGCCCGGCCCTTCCACGCGTCCACCTCTGCGAGAGCTTCCGACGGTACCAACGATGCGCCCCGCGACGACGGCAAGAAACCCGACGAGAGCGATGGCGATGGCGGGAGGAAGCCCGATGAGGCCGACAAGGCCGACGAGAACATGTTCGGCGACAAAGACACGGCTGGGAATGGGGACAGCCACGGCCGCAAGGCAAGGCCCGCGAACGGCTTCTTGAGATCGCGAACACTGCGGAGTCGTAAGTCGGAGCTGCCCCCCTTCCAGGTGCCCAAGTCTTTCTTGTCCGGAGCCGTCGACCGCCACGGGGAAACGAGAAACACGCCGGGGTTGATCACGTACGACATAGACCAGAGGATGATGAATGAGGTGGTCGGGCGGGGAGTACTGGACTCGATAATAAAAAACGAGGTCGGGGCTGCCCGGAATGCCAGCGTTTTTGAAGCGTCCCTCTTGTCAGAGCAAGCTGTAGAAGAAGTGTTCAGGTCCTTGGAGGCGAACGAGGACATGAACCCTTTTCTGAGGCAAGGAGATTTGATCATAGCCTCCGCTTTCTGGTCCGTGGTACACGAGAGCAAGCACACATCTGGAGGTGATGTGGCTGCTGCCAAAGCACGTCTTGGCTCCGCGTCTATTCTCTCTTCCACCGACCTGTTGACGACCCTGATGCAAACGGGTCTGCTGTATCCCGAAGAGTCGAAACCCGCGCTGGACAAGATGAGAAAGATCGTCCACGATACGGTGAATGGTGTTACTGCCGTTCCTTGCGTAGCTTTATATAGCCCGCCTCTCATCCAAGAGGTCATTGCGTCTGTCAAGACCGATCTCCTCTTCCAAGCACCCAAGAACGTCAAGCTCTCGGATCTGCGACGACCCGTCACTGTCATCAACGAGCAACATTACTCTGGATGCTCGGTACCGCATGAAATAGTCCGACACGTCGCCACGTTGCTCGAAGCCGACGTCCTGCATTTGCAACCGCATGATCTTGCTCACATTATTGGCAGCTACATTGGCCAGGACGCGGCCAGAGCACCCGGTCCCGTCGCACAGCTTGGCTATAAGGCTGCCGAGAACAGCGGCAGGTTAAAACCGAAACCGCAACCTCTGGCCGAGGATGAAGGCCAAGATTCCGGTGTCTTCATGACCTTATTCGCCAGCGCGTCACGAAGTCCAAAGCTTAAAAGGGACTCGGCAAAGAGTATTGCGTCAATGGACGATTTCCTTAATGCTGCGAACCGCGGAAAGAACGACGACCTCTGGGAGGATATGAAGGTCAATGCGGCTGTGGAGGAACTGATACATTCAACTGACACTGACACTGAGGAGCAAAGACCGCTCATCGTTCACATGCACGACTTCAACGCCATCGGCATGGACTTGGAATGCGGCGCAGCAATTATCGGCAAAATACGCAAAGTTGTCGATGACCTCTGGCTTGGGGGGCGGAAAATAGCCCTGGTGGGGTCTTGCTCGTCTAAAGGCGCACCGCAGTCTTATGCGGCCGCACTGAGAGAACTTGAGCTGAAAGAGCGGGTGGTACATATAATCCTAAACACACCGAAAGAGTTCCCGCCAAATTTCCTCGAGGGGGAGGCGCGGGATTACCTCAATGAGAATGACGGCAACATTGTGAAATCATTGTCGTCGATGGTAGAACCTCCAGAAGACTCCAAGTTTCCTTATGGACTGCTAGGTCTTGCCGGATCGGACGCAGAGCTCCCCGCCGCATGGTCAACAAGCATCCTGTCATTGCCCGATGTGTACCGGATCGCGTCCATGATGATCGGGAGCACCTCCGGAGACCAGGCTGATATGTTTAGCCTAGCGCGCCTGGAGAAGGTCGCGGCACACATACGCGAAATCGATTCATTCAGGGACCGGTCGAACAAAGAGGCCCCAAAGAAAGAGGCTAAGGAGGACGTTCTTGCGGGAATGCGGAACCCATATGCGGAGGACCACGAGAAGAAACTATTGTCGGGTCTTGTCAAGCCGGAGGATATCCGTACGACCTTCAAGGATGTTCACGCGCCTAAAGAGACGATCGAGTCTGTCAAGATGCTCACCACTCTCTCCTTGGTTCGCCCAGAAGCTTTCTCATACGGAGTTTTGGCGACAGACAGAATACCCGGCTGTCTACTGTATGGTCCACCGGGTACGGGTAAGACGTTGCTAGCCAAGGCTGTGGCGAAAGAGAGCGGTGCCAACATGATCGAGATCAGCGGGGCAAGTATCAACAACATGTACGTCGGCGAGAGCGAGAAGAACGTGCGAGCTCTCTTCAGGCTGGCCAAGAAGAAAGAGCCCATGGTTATTTTCATCGACGAGGCAGATGCTTTGCTTGGGGCCCGGGGAGGTCGTGGAAACGCGGCAAGGCGGGAGACAATCAACCAGTTTCTACGAGAATGGGACGGCATGGACAAGATGAAGGCGTTCATCATGGTAGCGACAAACCGGCCGTTCGACCTTGACGAGGCCGTCCTGCGTCGGCTGCCGCGCAAGCTCCTCATCGACCTGCCGCTCGAGGCGGACCGCGCGGCCATCCTGCGCATCCACCTCAAGGACGAGGTGCTCGACGACAGCGTCTCCATTGATGACCTCGCCAAGAGGACCCCGCTTTACTCGGGCTCGGACCTCAAGAACGTGTGCGTGGCGGCGGCCATGGCGGCGGTGAAGGAGGAGCTCGAGGCGGCGGACCGGCACGCGGGGCCTGAGCCATACGTCTGGGCCGAGAAGCGTGTCTTGCATAAACGCCACTTCGTCGACCGCGCCCTGCGGGAGATTGGTGCTAGCGTCAGTGAGGATATGAGTACCTTGACTGCTATTAAGAAGTTTGACGAGCGATACGGCGACGCGGGAGCCGGGCGGCGGAAGCGTAAGGGTATGGGGTTCGGCGTCGTGGCGGATGGGGGGGATGCTGATGCGGCGCGGGTGCGGAGTGGGAGTGGGAGTGGGGGTGCGAGGTGAGAGGTGATGTCAGAGAGGAGAGGGTATGTATTATAGGGGGGTGGGTGGCTGGTTGTGTGTACTTCATAAGGGAGCATAGTGCGCAATGTACTGTTGTTGCATATCCATATCCTCGTAAGAAGAGAAGGCCTTGATCCTGCATGATGGCTTAGGTTCTTCGGTTTCTCTGCAGGCTTCTGATGAAGTTATCAGTGGGCGTCTACGCTGGACCCGACCTTACAGACGGGCTGGTATTACGTCTTCAGCCAGGCGTTGGCTGATTTGAAGTGATGTCGGGTATTACGAGACTGTCTTCCTACCTTGTGGCGATGCTGTATCCTGAGATAGGGGTTCTCAAAGCTTTCTTCGCAGGGAAGGGACAACGGCTCTCTCCAAGTTTGGCATATGTCTCTCGTGCCTTCCCAGTTTCCAAGGTCTGGGCCTTGGCATCCTCGCTGGCAGACGGTGCGCGCCCTCCTTCCTCACAGCCTGCCTCATGCCATACAAATAGGGCGTCGAGTGGCGCTCGACAGTCAACCTATCACGACCTGATCTCACACTCACCGACATACATATGTCTGCACGCAAGCACCTTCCGCCCTACTCGATCAAGTACCCAGACCATCTTCCGCTTAAAGCAGCGGTCCTCATATGAGTCCGGAGAGAAATACGTGGTGCTTCCCGCGTCTCCTCTGCACCAGCTCACAGCACTCCGTCTCATCACTTCAAGCAGCAACAGCTTCACCAGCCAGCCAGCCTCACCACCACAACCAATCCAGCACATCCACAAAGCTCTCGCCGCTTCAAGCAAGCCTCCCCTGTCAACATGTCGGACTACATTGGTGCCCCCTTCGACTTCGATGCCTTCATGGCCTCCAACCAGCACCACGACTTCCAGGGCCCGGACCAGGGTGCCTTCTCGGGCTCCAATCCGGAGGGTCTCTGCGACCCCAGCTACCTCGATGCCCTCTCGGCCCCCAACCAGCACGACGGCTTCCAGGGCCCGGACCAGGGCGCCTCCTGGGGCGCCAATCAGGAGGATCTCTCGGACCCCAACTACCTCGCTTCCGAGATGAACTGGCTCAGCGACATGCCTGTCATTGGACAGGAGTTCAACTTCAACTACAACGCCGGCCTGCCGTTGCCTGACGCTAATGATGCAGCACCCCTGGAACCGTGAGGCCTTTTTTCTTTTACATTTGCTAACAAAAAGGGTGTCAGCACCGCGCTTACTCCAGGGTCACATTGCATGGGTTTCCAGCCAACCTTACCAACCCACGAACAGCAGTAAGTCCCACTATTTCACCATCAGCCTCTTGTTTCTGCCTTTTCCAGGCCTGTCGACTTCCAACGCCATGATCAACCTTCAATGGGCCAGTATGACAACGTGAAAGAAGTCACCGGGCCCGGAGAAGCCATCAGAGCTTCAGCTTCGGCATTGGAATGTCTTGTTTGCCATGAGACATTCACGAATCAGTGGTACTTCAAATTTCATGCTCGTACCAATCTTCACGCGACGTTGGTCTGCGACTACGCAGGCTGCAGTCGTCGATTCGTACGCGCCGAACACTTGAAGACTCATGAATCCAAGCCACACGTGACAGACCACCGTCAAGTCGACAATGCTTCACCCTTCGCGTGTGCAGAGTGTGGTGGATCATTCCGCAGCCAGGGTCAGCTTCAGTCACATGCACACACCCATCAACACAGTCCTTTCGCGTGCTCTTGTGGGAAGTCGTATGCACGCCTCGACACATTTCATCGCCATATCAAATCTGTCAGCAAAGGCGATAAAACCCATGCGTGTACCTTTTGCAAGCTTCATCGCGGTAGACATGCCTTCGCCCGAAGGGACCACCTCGTTCAGCACCTCCGAGTCTATCACAAGTTTGATCCAGAGGAAATTGAGAAGGCGTGCCCAAAGAAAAGGTCCCTGAGAACTAATCAGATCCTGACCTGTCCCCACCACGACTGCGAGCAGCTTGAGCAAGGACCGTTCCCCAAGCAGGCCGACTTCAGCAGGCACATGAAAGAGGTTCACAAGGAGACGACATTCCCCTGCAGTGCGGACAACTGCGACCGAGTTGGGCCTAAAGGCTACATGCGAGAGAAAGACTTGATGAAGCACTTGGCTGACAAGCATCCGGACGCGCCGGCACATGTGGCCAGCGTTCGCGTTCGCGAGTTTCCTTTCGATCTTTGCGATGCCAAATTTTCGTCTGCCCAGAGCCTTTCCTCTCACACGATGGCTTGCGCTAGTGTTCGCCTTCACGAATTTCGTTGCGATTCATGCGATGCCAGATTTCCGTTTGCCCGCAGCCTTTTCCACCATCGCGCATGGGATTGTGCCAAGCGAGGGTAGCTTGAGGCTCTCACCAGGGCTGAGATTTAGAAATTCCTCCGGATTGTCGTTTTACTAGCCTCGTTGAATCTCTTGTCAGCTTTCTATCATACGTCCTATCACTTGAGTACTGGTTACCTTGCTCGTCTGGGTCTTCTCTCGGCCCGTTTTTTAAATTAATCCTGTCCTTCGCGTCAAAGCTTACGTGTTGAATCGTACTGCTATTGGAAAACCTGATTACCTACAATTCGTCTGCACCCATCGGTTTCTGACTATTGTCATCTAGGAGGGGAGGATACTGTCTCATGCTTCTACTTTCACTACCTACAATCCATCGATGCCCCATTTTTATCGATCCACAAACAACGCAAGTTTCATTCTTTTGTCCCTTGGGTATCTTTTGATTGAAATCAGTCAGGCAAGGCGGAATAGGTCATACAGACGGTCTTTGGTGGCTGTATTGGATTTTGTCGTGGTACCTTTTTCAATAAAGAATAACAATTCGTTGCGCCTTCATCCAACTCCATAGGTTCAAGACATTGGAATATGATCGATCAGTCTACCGTGTTCCTGCGCTTGCATATTTGCTCACGTACATGTGGAGTTCATATACATAACAGTCTAGTCACCTATAGTGACCTACTTAGGGTCGGCTCCGTGCTAGAAGCCGACATCGTCAGCTAACAACCAGATTGACCCGTATATTCCAGCAAGCATTAAAGATTGATAAGCATCCCTGGTATGCCTCACGTCCATGCGGTACGCGCCGGCTGCTATCGAGAGCGGTGCTCATGTTCACTCCGGGCCCGGAATATGACGGCTTGATTATAGGATATCTCTTTCTTACTGTTCCCGAATCGGTACCTGTAGCTTCGTGACCATGGGCAACAAAGGTCTAGGGTGTCCAATGGGTCCATTGCGAACTTGTCCTGACGCGCTCGGAAGACACTCTTTGATACACGGCCTGGAGTTATTCTTGCTTACTGGCTTGGCTGCAGCACTGTTACCTCTTTTCTCTATTGGGGGTTGTCTGGCAGCCCCTTTCCACGAAGACGAACACTGCCACTTTTAGATACCTCTCAGTTCAAATACTGCCTTGGAACCGCCTGTCTTATGGTTCTCAGAGAAGACTGAGCGACCATAGAGAGCTTGTCGCATCCCAGACCAGTAGACACAGTCATTGCCGCACGCAAGTATGGGACATATATTTGTAAAGGACAAGGATATGGCCCTCTGTCGTGCGCTTCCAAGCCTCGCACATTTCAGTTTCATGCACCTCAGCACCGTATCACATCCCTGTCAGTCTTCTCATCCATATACCACGTATGTTGAAACTATGGAAGCTTGCAAGCCCTTTATGTGGACGACTTCACCGGGTCCTTGTGGCCACCGGCACCCCAGGCATTCCAGTCCGCCGGCGTCCTAGTCGACAGCTTCCCGATCGAGTCGAAGCACTGGACGTGCCGCCCATGTCCCCATCTTCGGCCAGGTCCGGCGGGACCGTCAGCTGCAACATCTCGTCCATCTTACAAACCCCGGACAGGGGCAGTCTCGGCTCGTGTCGAGATCCCGCTCGCGGTTGACGTGTTCCTGCATGTTACTAATGGATACTGTCGACGTCCGCCCGGAGCTTGTCCATATCGTGGTAGTTGCGGAACCCACACTTGTGTTGGACTTCACACATTGGCTACCGAGGGCAAGATCCGTAAACCGATGAGTGCAGTATGAACATGACGGCATTGTTGTATCCTGGAATAAGGTCCATGGACTGTTCGTTGGTACGATAATACACTAAGTCAGTAGTGGGGGCCCTGTAACACCCGACACGTGTCAAACAGAGCGTGCGGGCTTTCAGATGGGTGAAAACGTATATTCTGGTGTAATCCGTGATGTTGTTGTGTCTGTGTGAAAATCCTGTTGTGGGCTATGTTACGGTATTACATAATACCTCCACATATTTATGTACATATATACCCCTAGCTTCCCCGTTCTCTTCCGACCTTGCCTCTTCTTCCTTAGATATCGTTGAATCTAGATATTTCAACCCATCAGCCCTGACCAGCGCAGCTGCAGGCCTGATTGTCACAGGCTAAGTGGCCTAAAAATGCCCTATTGGCCTTGTTGGTGCACTGCCACCTCCCTGAACGCCACGGTGGCTTGCGCGCCATTCAACAACACGTTGTACGTAGGCTGACCTCCATTCATATACTGTTTACATACACAGATGGGTACTGCACACAGCTACTTTATCTGTGGCGTCCGACTCGGTCGGCCATGACGACGCAATACCTGCCGACGCATACGACATTGGATGCAGCACAGACTGACGAAGACGTTCTCACAGGCATGACAAGTCAATGGCTTATCCGGCCTTGGAAATTCGAGCTTTGCGAATGGACCTGAGTTACTGAAGAGCTGGACCGGCAAACCGCACATCGGGCATCCTCAAGGGAAGGCTCAGGGCAAGGACGGCGCGGCGAGAAGATGTGAGAGACTGAGAGTGATGAGGCTTAGGCAGCAAACGCAAGCAAAGCAGTATGCATACCTACATTTGTGGCTCCTCAACCCATTTCCCAGCCACAATGACGGATGGGTCACGGACCAGGATACAAGGTACCTTGGAGCCCAACGGGTACCCGTCTGTACCTGATTTGTAGCCAACTGGGATGATAGCTACTTCTGGGATGGGGACACCACCCATCCCTTCTTTCAATCAAGCAACTTCCAGAATCCAGACCAACAGCCACCTATCGTGACCCTGTACCGCTACCACAAGGCACACATTGGTTCGCAAATTGCACATTTGCAGCTTCTGCCACTCGAAGTCGACGTGGTAGCATAGCCTGCATGAGGCGTGGCTTGCATAGGGTGAGCTGCAGGACTTCCACCCTATTCCGCCCTACACAGCCTAGCAAGTACCTACCATGTACATAGGCAGAGCCTGATCTGCGCCTCTGCGAGCCATTCAGGCCCAAAGACAAGATGATGGTGATTCCCACTCTCGGGTTACCATGCTTTGTCCATCGTACAGCCAATCATCTCGTCTCATTCCCCAGCTTCCAACACCCCAGAGCCTCATCATCATGGCCGGCTACAACCAGGTACCTGACTCCCAGTCAGGCGACAACGCATTCGCCAACAACTTCGCCAACAACCCTTTCGAATACCATGTCGACAACCCCGTCCTGCATGGTTCTGCATACAACGTGCAGCCAATTGCTGGTCCTCCCGCCCAAGATGGTGCTTCGCATGCGATGCTACCAGGGCTGGAGGAACGGTAAGGTTTTTTTTTTTTTACATTTTGCTGATAACCCATCAGCTCCTGCCTTGGCCACGCTGGGGTGCATGATGCAAGCGGGCGGGTACTCGAATGCATCAAATGTTCCTGGCCTTTCAGCACCAATGGCGAGCTCCGCAAGCATGGGAAACAGAAAGGCCACAGCCCATACGGGTGCACCTGCGGTCAGAAGTTCACTCGACATGACACTCTCAAACGACACATCTCTGAGAACTCTGCCAATGCTCTTCAATACCCCTGCCACTACTGCGACAGGCACACTGGCGACCAAGCTTTCAAGCGAGCCGACCATCTCACGCAACATCTGAGAGTCTACCACCATGTCGATACCGTCGACAAGCTCTTCCAGGACAGGGCTTCCAAGTCGTCATCGCCGCAAGGACCAGTTGTGATCAACAGCGAGTTCTTCCAGAACCAGGCTCCCGAGTGGTACCCGGTACCAGCCGTCGCCAATAACGAGCCTGCCCTTGAGCCCATGCCACCTTTCCCGTGCCTTGTTCCCGGGTGCCCCAAATGGGGTGATCTAGGCTACCTTCGACAGGTCGATCTCGATGAGCATCAGGCCCTGGTGCATGGCTTTGGAATGCAGAATTACGAGACTTTCCAGCTGCCGTTCAACCAGAATGGTGAATAGCCGCCGTTCAATCAGAATGGTGAATTCGACTTCACGCTCTGATGGACTGCTACAATTGTCACAATTGTCCAAGGACCATGCATCCGGGAAGGGGTATGCCAGTCTTGCTGTTAACTTACTGGCGCTTATACATGGGAAAGGGGCTTGCATGTCACTCGTTCAGATCCTGCTTTGTTCATGTTATTCCTCACGAGACGAAGTGCGACGGCGAAATGCGGATGCTGCTGGTTCAATCAAGGAAAAAATTCTGTTTACTTCAGTCGTTTATTTAGTACTTTCGCTCCTTACGTTCCACATGTTCTATCAGAAATGTCACTTCTCTCTTACTGTTGAATGGCGCGCAAGCCACCGTGGCGTTAAGAGAGGTGGCAGTGCACCAACAAGGCCAATAGGGCATTTTTAGGCCACTTAGCCCACAGCAGGATTTTCACACAGACACAGCAACAAGGCTGATTACACCAGAATATATGTTTTCACCCATCTAAAAGCCCGCATGCTCTGTTTGACACTTACCAAGGTGTGATATGCTTGCTCCTACTATGATACATACACCCCAATTCACCAATTGCACCGTGCTCCCGTTGCTGGCTACCCCTGAATGGCCACAAGTCCTGGTAGTCTGGGAGATGAACCCACACTTTTCCTGGTAGGACAGCAACCCCCTATCACTGCCTCGCCGCGCTCTTGCTGACGGGCCTCTCGAATCGTCGTGGTACGTCACATTACCATATTTCTGATCTCACGTAAGTATCGGCTTGATACTCTTGCCGCATCCATAATCCCAGAAGCAACGACAACAGTCGAAACCCCAACGCACTATCTACCAGAGCCAGCGCCCCTTTCGCAACTCACACATCCGCCATATCCACCAGCAGGTTTCACAGAAGCGCCCAATAACCGGACGCCCAAGTGGTAACATCCTCATACGGCGAATCCCGCCTCACAACCACCTTGGAGGCAACAAGCTGCCCGCAGGGGGGAATGAGAAGCCTGTGAAGAGACTATGGGTCTTAGCCTGCATGAAGATTCCACCATGGCATGTGATATGGATTCCGTGGTGTACCTAATAGTTCAGACCGAAGAACATAACCTGACATAACTAAGACTACCAGATATCGTCCAGCTCAGCTGATCAGATGAAGTGCTGGTTGCGCGGTTGTGTTGGGTCAGCTCAGCAGCGGCGTAGCCAGAACTGGCTGATGGATGGACGCCACAGGGGCAACCGAATGGATGTGTAGCACAGCATTGAGGACACCACGAATCGGTACTACATTGTTGGTGACACAGATTGAGAAAGCTCCGCGCGATGAATGTTCCATCACGTTCCCCTCTGCATCCATTTGCTCCTCCGTTCATCTGTACTGTCTACCACAACCCTCCTTATACCGTCGAGACCCCTTTCTATGGCATTCGTGCGAGAAGGCGATTCAGCGAATCGCCGCCATCGTCCACGTCCACGTCTCACCTGTCGCCCAACGCAACTCGATCTCAAAGCCCTAACCCGCTCGACGATGAGCAACAGCAGCGCGATGAGCAGAATGACCAGCTGGGACGCGATCATCTGGCATCATTACCTCGAAACCAATCTGATGCACAATCGAACGAAGAAAGACGGCAGATTTTCGAAGCGGATCGTAATGGGACGTGTCGCGAACCAGCCGGTACAGACTTCTACGAACTCGGCGAAGAGAATATCAAGAAGCGCTGGGTCGAGCAGGGCATCTGGAATCCCAAATGGAATCGCCCAGAGTCGTGGAACGGTAGGCCTGAAGGACGGTGGAAGCATGAAGAGCCACCGGAGCTTGAATCTGAATACGAAACCGATTCGCAAGCGGAAGAGCCGCCATTTCGTTTTCCTGGTCCCCGGGCTCCAAAACCGAAGCGACCAAAGAGCAATGCCAATATGCAACTGATCGCGGAGCGGCGGACTGTACGAGAACGCGAACGTGAGGCTTCACGTCCGTTCTATCAATTATGATGGCAGGTGTCGAGAGAATGCGAGCGAATCCGAGGCGCACAGAGAGTTGACGGGGCCGCTGTCACAGACTCTCCCGATATAAACACACGAGCATACGAGGAAGTGAAGGACACCTGGGTCAAGAGGGGGGTTTGGAATATGAAATGGGGTATATTGCCTGGGGTGTCATGGAAGCATGAACGTCCTGTTGAGGAGGTGCTCCACGATGAGAGGGGCGATACTCCTCCTGTCCTTACTCGGCCAAACGCGCCCGAGAGGAGCGGGTATGGAACGGGCGAAGTACCTCCCAGAAGCATATTCGGACCCTCCGTTCCCGGCGAGTCATGTCGACAAGCATCCGATCCCCTAAGTGTATCTCACCAAGAACCGCTTGCGGCTATCATCCCGGATGTGCTCGAGGACGATGAACCTGCAGCCGGAGGAGCACTTATTGGCCTGAATGATGGCCAACTGTCTGCTGTCTCCAACGTATCTCCACGAGGGCCACCTGCAGCCATGGATCCTGCGCCATTACCGAATGGCAGTGACAACCACTCCACTTCGCCATCAAGTGCACGATGCCGGCTGACAAGGAGCAATCCAGAGGCTAGCTCTAGCTCGCTGCAGAGACTACGACAACATGAGAGAGAGCTATCCCTGAGGGTGGACTGGTTCCACCAAAAGCACACCCTGCTCTTGGTCCGGGCCATCCATCGAAGGTGTCTAAGACTCGGGAGAAGAATGGGTTTAGCCCTCGACAACCGGTCAACTCTGGATTACTGCGAAGGAGCAGCCGCTTGCAGGAGGCCGAGAGTGAAACAAGGGTTTCTAAAAGGCCGCGTCCTAGTACAACACGGTAGAAGGCAATATAGGATGTTCAGGTGGTGATTCTCCAGTGGTTTGTTAACATGGTGGGATTATCTAGGTACCCTGACCTAATCTGTCTTCAGGCAACCCGGTTATCACCATCCCCGGCGGCCACTTATTTAAGCCAGGCCAGTGCCAGATTTCTTCTTGCCGAGGCTCGAGGCATGATGAGCAGTTCATACGACGGTGATAGCAGGCCTGGTGCTGTCATGATCTGGACTATTTATTGACTGTGTTTACCTTAGTGTACATAGTTATGGGCACGTTGTGGGTGACCTGACGGCTTTGGGTTAGTATTCCCATCCAAACTGTAGATTCGGAAGGGAGCGGCTTTCACTCATTCAATGCTGATGATCACGGACGAATGCGCGATCCATTCTTCCTGCTTCGTCCGGCTCATGTGCCACGCTATTATAACAATAATCCACAAACGCCAAACCATGCTGGGTATATGCCCAATGCCGAAGAACCAGTCCTGCGTATCATGCTATAACCAACAAAATTCCCCCTCCACATCCAAACGTCCCGTTGCGGTCGATGTCGAAGGCCGAGTTCGCCCCATCGGCGTCTGTCACATATGTATGGGCACTCATCCAGCGGCATTGCCGTTGTTACTAGCATTGCTGCCTGTCCTCTCGTGTCCAAGGCCCAAGACCCGTTGAAGGCTCCTCCGGACGCCCTTGGTATTGTTCGAATCCTCCTCCTTCCTAGGTTGAGAAGGGCTTCCCGGTACCGAGGCTGATCCAACACTTTGCTTCCGGCCAAGGAAGTTGAAGCTCATTCTCCTGCCAGTGTCCGCTTTCCTGCTTTCTGCACCGCTATCCTTCCTCTTCTTGCGAACTGCTACAACGGGTGGAACCTCGTTGGCACGTGGAGGCCATTCCCCATCTCGCTTCCAACCCACGACACACGCGCTGATCACGTCGCCCAGGTTAATAGGACATGCAGGTGTCATGGAGTGTACCACGATCTTGTCATAGATGGATGGGTAGTTACTAGGGGTGATAGAAGCGCGCATGGGGTTCGCTGGTGGGAGCAGGGGTGGAGGTATCGGTAGAAGCGTCTCCACTCGGTATGAGGCCGGGGCCGGCTTGGGCTTTCCTTCTTTGGCCTCTGTATCTGATGTCGACACAGCAGTAGTATCGCCGGACGTACGCGTCAAGCTTGGGCTCAGGGGTCCAGGCGTCCCAGCTGATCCGGTTGGTGATGTGGGCGCCGACGTTGAGGTCGATAAACGCCAAAGTGATAGCCGCCTGGCTTTGGTAGGAGATGTTGCAACTGGAGCAGGGGTCTTGGGACGGACACGAGCTACCTTGGCACCGGTCCAGGCGTCTCGTCGCGCATTGAAGCAGGCCAGTCCATTGTTCCATTCCATTTCAGCGCGTGTAGCTCTCCGGCGTCTTGCGCTTCGTGCCTGTTCAGTTGCGGTGAGAGTGTTGCCCACGGCATCTGGGGTCTCGAAGCGATATGCTGAAGGAGACACGGGTTCATCGTGTTCATCCTCGGACAGGTCCGATAGCCATTCAGCCCTGGGACGAAAATGGATGGGGTCTTCGGAGACAGTGCTATACACAGAAGCTGCATCATCCTCTTGGTCAGTCTGCTTCACGTCGAGGTCGTCCGCGGACGTCTCAGTAGCAGGGGTATCCGGGTTTGGCTCCTGGTTCGACGGAGTCTCCGGGTTCGGAACTGCGACTTCCGGTTCGGATTTCTCAGGGACTGATGCTTCAGATTCGGGCGGCCATTTGAACTCCCAATCATTCCGGATCCTTTCGGTCAAAAAGCGTTTGATGGCATCTTTCTGCTTGGCCTTATCCCTGCTCACGAGATCTGCGTCAAAGTCTGGAGCGGCGGGTCCGGAAGCAGGATGCGACGGCTGGCGCAACCGTGCCAGAGGCGACTTAGTAGACTTGTAAAGATCCGAAAACAACATTTTGGTCTTGACCGGCGAGTCGGTTAGGGCTCCCGTCAAAGCAGGGCCTGCGAAGTATGCATGGGCAATAGCGGCAGGTGACGAGCTTGATATAGCTCGGCCGGGTTGAGCTTTTGCTGGTGTGGGGTGCGGGGAAGCAGTATGACTGGTGGCAGCGGCGGCAGCCGTACCATCAGTGGAAGTGGCTGGGGATCCGGTCAGTACCTAATGTACCAGCGCGGGCGCTTGTGTGCACTGGCAGCTCGCCTGGGTTACGCGAGCCACCCGAAAGATAATGTGTACTTACAGGTAGCCTGGTGGTGGTGGTCAACGACAGGGCCTCTCGGGCTATGAGATGAAGACAGTCGATTTTGACTTTGAGTGGCGATCGACGACTGACCCGCCGGGGCCGACGAGTCTAGATCCGCGGGCTGCATCATGGCCTAGCACGGGCTTGGCGGAAACTGTTATGGTGGTATGTCTGTCAGGCGATGGGGAGGAACGCAACTGGCAAGTAATAGGTAGTAAGGGGACGGAGGGAAAGAGCCTGGTTCTGCCGACAGACGGGAGCGGAAGGATGCCTACCTAATGAAGAGTCGCGTGACAGATGGATGTGATGCTTTGTACCTGATTTGGTCGGGTGCCAGACATGCAGGACTCCCGTCGACTAGCAGACAGTAACATTAGAATCAAACCCCAAAATCCTTAGAACCGAACCCCTCTAACCCCATCAGGTATAGGGTCCTGCTAGCCACCGCCATCAATTCTCCCACCAATAAGGGCTAGCCCCCTACAGCCGATAGGCGCCGATGGGCTTTAAGTGGCATGCCCACTACTAACATTTCGCTTTTAATCGCGTATTTACATAATACTACTACGTTAAAAGCTACGTAAATAGTAATTAAGTAATAATGTTGGATGTAGTTGTGGCTAAGGGTGTGTCACAAGGTAGTCTGTGCACTGTGGGTAGGATGATTGCCCACAACTCTGTTACTACCGCAGATAGACGCGCTGTAGCAGTATTTAAGTGTGAATCCGTCTAAACCAGGTAGACTTAGAACAACAAACGAACACGCACGTATAAACCAAATATTCTGCATGACGAATTCTCACAAATAAATACTATTAAAAAAGCCCATTTAAATAAATTAAGTTTTAATTAATTATATAACATAGCTGATAAGCGAGTTGGCATTACAAGCGAGTTGGCACTTGTCATAAACTCTCTAACTGCCATGTTAAATAACTTCACCACAATGCATTCAATTCAATTCAATCAATTGGATTTCTCTTCTTTAGAGGTTTCTATCTCTATTATATAAGTTTGCGCATTATGGCCAGTGTTTCCGTAAATGCCACAACATCGCTCACGCGCTACTGTTCTTTTTAAACGACGATTACCTCTACCTATTTCCTATCTTGTCAACTCAATACCATCCTTTACAGCTTGAAGATTTATTGCATCTTTAACAAAAAGTACACCTCTTTTGATTATATATTTGTTGTTTGTTTTCTGGCATTTATTTTGTAAGTAATTGGCCTCCTCTAACTTGTGGACCCAGGAACCAACCAAAGCGACCTTGTACATAAGACCGTATATAGCCTTTGAAAACGAGCTCAATGTATCAATTATTGATATAATTGAGCTTCCCTAGTGGTTTTTGACTCAATTTTGGATATAAACCGATTGGTTTACCGCTTTGTTAATAGTGGTAGGCGTCTTTGAAGTCCAAGTAGTGGGTGGCAGATTGGGGTCTAGCAACGACGGTGTTCGTATCTTGGATACCATGTTTCGCGACTGCCGCCTCAACTTAGTAAAACCACGCGCAATACGCGTCTGGATCTTTGTTCAAGACCCTTTGGTAGTCCATCCTCTGATGAAAATGCGTTAAGAGGCCCGGTGTGCGTTTAATGAAGTTCTGCGTCCAGTTCTTTCCAACGCATCCAGTCCCACAAGCGGCCAATAATTGATTCATCATATCTTCAATATCACTGTGCCAGGGTGGAAATATTCGCGTATCCAGATCAAGAATGAAAGAAAGAATGGCATTCTTTTTGGAAACTATAAGTTTTAAAGTATTGGGTATGCTGTCGCGTCATGATGGCATTCCTTTCATTCTATTGCTCAAAGTGGAACAAGAGATGTTAAAGAGTTTCACAAGCTGAAATATAGAAATATGAGGGTCACGTCGTTTATCTTAGACAGTTAGCTGTAAGTCTGATTTATAACGCGGTGCTATTGTTGTTGGTGGAGATATAATGATTTTTTTCGGGTTGGTTGGAAAGTTTATGACGAGTGCCAACTCGCTTGTAATGCCAACTCGCTGGTTAGCTACGTCATTATAATTATAAAGTTATTGTAAATCAATAATTATGTGTATATAACGGTTACGGTAATAAATACAATTATAACAATTATGTGAAGTTTAGGGGTTTAAATAGGGTCAAGATGGGATGGATCAGGTTTGGTGTCTTGGTTATGGATCCATGTGTGACGGTCTGACCTCCTGGAAGCCTGTCAACCTATCAGGGTGGCCTGTGTGCAGCATCACATGACCTGGCGCACAAGACGTGTGGCCACACCTGTACTAGGCTAGGTAATAGTGGGGCGGATGGAAGGATCATTAATCCCACCAGAATTGGCTGGCGGGTCAGATCCTTCTTTCCCTCCCCACCAAGAGATTCTTACACGTAGGTAGTGCAATCAGGACTTTTATGTCCTCATCCTATTTACGCTTCGTGACACCATGGGGGAGATTCCCACCTACATACAGCTATAGGAGCCCTTTAATATCCGGCTGTCTAACAGCAGACAACAGACCTACTAGTGGTCACCACAATAGACCTTTCACCCTTTTTAGGTCTTTTTTACCCTTTTCAACCTACTGCTAGCTGCAGCACACACCTGATAAGCACCAATATTCTTAGATTATAATAAACGAAATGTTTTAACACTTTTTTATTATAACTTTTTTATTGTTTAAGCCCGTTACGACCGTGTATAACGCTTATAATTAAACTGCGGCTATTATTAAAAATTTTTAAAAAATTACGTTTGAGTTTAAATATCAATACTTTTGAAGTTGTTTACTTTACATAATAACAGATTCTTAAACTAGTATAATTTTATTAAAATTTTTACTCGGTTAAAATTCAAACCTAGGTCTTTTAACGATAATAATAAATTAATAGTAGTAATAGTAACGATAGTTGTTGAATATACGAATGTTGATTGATCCTATTGATTGTTCTGCTTAGTAGCCGTGACTATTGTTGAATGGGAGCCGGAGATACACACCGGAAGATCTCCAGTGGGGCAGAGACGCACAGGGCATCTGGCCCACCAAGAAGACAGATGATCAATCTCTGCACGCTGAAGAAGAACAGCAGAACAAGAACAACAACAGAAGACACTGGTCAACCTGAATAATCTGAACTCGCTTGCATCTTACAGTATTCAACAGCTATAGCGGTAGCTGTGGCGGTGGCTATGTCTGGCGGGGCGCTATACCAGATGGGGTTAAAGGGGTTTGGTTCTAAGGATTTTAGGGTTTGATTCTAAAGTTACTGACTGGCAGAGAACGAACTTGAAGAAGCTTGGGTTTTCTGCAGTGGAGCGTTCCAGGTTAGCTGCATATTCAGGATGCAGCGATTCGATAAGGCAGCTGCATCCGCCCACTCAGCGCAGTACGCCGTCAGACGCCTTCAATATCTTTGTTACTGTCCTAGGTTATGACGAAGAGGTGAAGTGAAGGTGAGCTCGAATATTGGATTTGAAGCTCTTGGAACCTGCAAGATACACATGAATCATGATGGATGAAGCTGACATGATTTTAAGGTCGATGTTCTGGACTTAAGAGGGCACATACAATCCCACCATCTGCTTCCTGCCCTCTCACTACCTGTTTATTCCCTCGATCAACTGAAGCCTTGACGATACTTACCTACCTAGGAAATGTTGACTGGTGAGCCGAGGCAAAATGCATCGAGGAGGTTGGCAATGGCAGAAATTAGAATGGCCCGATGGCGGAGTGGGTAAACTTGACACTGACAGTCACAGCGGGCTGGAGGCGGGGGGCTGAATCCCCGGCTGTCGATCTCCTGTGACGAACACATGACGGGACGTAGATCCACATTGAGGGTGACTTCGCTTAACAAGCGAGTGGCACGTCGTTGTAATCTGGACGCGACTTCAAACTCCTTTTCTGACTGCTAGTAAGCATCAGCATGTCGTGATATCCTCAACGCACATGTGCGAACCGCAAACGATACAACTTCTAGCCATATGGTCGGCATTTATGAAGATCGATTGGTCACGATGGCACTTTGAAATCATTACAGTTGATGGCTTGACAGTCGGTCTTGCAGCTCAGCTCAGCTAGATCACTTGTACAAACCACACAGCAAGGTACAAGATATCCATGTTATCATTTCTCAATAGCATTGCATTTATCTGCATCCCTCCGTGCTATGACTTCTAATTTACAGTTGACCATTAAGTCTAGAGAAATGAATCTGTGCGAAGTATCTGATCCGAATCCGAGGCATGCTGCAGCGATGTGATGCCAGATCTGCAGCAGCCACGAGAGCCAGCCGACTCCTATTTGGCCGTCAATCTGCCTTTCGCAGCACGTCGCGTGTTTCGTGAAGTGCAATACGGACTGTGGTCATCTGACGGCAGCTCTTCTTCTCCTGTCGTAGAGTTGCCGCAAGCAGTGTGCACTCCAGGCAATAGGGGATATGTCGAGTAGGGATCTTGTGTGTGGGCGCGCGGAAATACAAACGCGACCACCCAATCGGATGATGGAGGAAATGGTATAAAGCGAAGACGTCTCATGCGCCCAAGAGGTTATGCAGAAACGTCCCGAAAATCAACGCGATTTTTCTTTTGGTGTTATGTGGTTTCGGATAACGATTTTGTTTCGGCCATGGGCGAGTCCTTTCCAGGGAAGGGTGGCATCCAGTCGAAAGAGAATCCGATGATGTGTGTAAGGATAAAGGTACCAATGGTGTACCAGAAAACAACGCGAAAATGGCTCATAAGCCTAGAAAGTGGACGAAAATGCGACTGATCGGTGCATCTACCCCAAGAGGTGATCCAAGATCAAATCGAGGTTCTTGGAGAGATGGTGATGAGGGACCCAGAACGTTCTGCGAGTCTGAAAGGCGCAGTGTCCTTTGTGGAAGACATCGCAGTACCTGATGTGGCCAGCATCGACTGGTCTAGTTGTTCTGGGGGATTCTGGTGATGACCGCGCGTCCCTGGTCGTCCTCAGCGAGCTCGAACTGGCCCTCGTTTGAGGCGGGCATATAGTTGCCCCACATACCGACGTTGGGAACGTTGTGGTAGTTGGCGATATAACCCTGGCATTCACCGGTCGCTCCATTCGTCTGGTAAGCTCCGTCCTGGGCGTTGAAGTTGGCAGGCATAACCGGGGTATTGGCTTGCGTTGCCCACATCGCCTGCATCTCTTCGGGAGACATGAGGTAGTCTTGCGGGCGCGACATGCAGGGAACGTCAGGAGGAATGGTTGAGGCAAGCATCGCGTTGCCTACCATGGCTGCGACACCGTCCAGCTTCTTCACGTCGACGTTGCCAATGTATGGGCCGTTCATGTTGCCGTCCAGGGTGCTAACGGCGTTCACAGCATGAGGACCGAGCAGAGGGCCGCCCGCTCCGCAAGTACCGACGAAACCACCGTTCTGAGGAAGGGCAGTTACAAGACCTTGTTGGATGATCATCTTGGCCAGGGTTTCTTGGTTGGCAACAAACTGAGCGGCCGCTCCAGCAGCTTGGCGGAGATCGAATTGCGCAATACATTGGATCTCGGTCTTCTGTCGCATGGCGGTGAGGTTCTCATCCGCGTGCTCGGGCTTCACCACGTGTCCGAAGATCTTTCCCTCCGTCTGCAGCTCGTCGAGCAAACTCTTCCGGAGGGTCTCGACGCCCAGGCCGATTCCGTACTGGACTCCCATGACCCACATGCGGTCGCCCTCGTTAAGGACACCGTGCGTCGTCATGTAGTGATCGAGCGACGAGTACACATTTTCAGGAAGGACTTGATTGAGTGTAGGGGTCGACGACCAGGTGCCAGGCACGGTCTGTTGATTGAAGGTATGAGCTCCTTGAGCGGCGGCGCCCAGCTGTGCAGACTCGTGGAAAGCTTGCTGGTTTGTAGGCACTCCGTAATCGCTAGGCCCATACGGTAGGGGAGTATGAGAGTTCGAAGGAGTGACGGGCAGCTGCGGCGTGACGGGCGGCTGAGGGTTTGGAATGGCAAAGTCGAAGCCTCCGGGACGAGGAATGAAGGTCGGGCTGATGAAAGTCTGCTGCGGTGCAGGTGCCGGTGTGCTGGTCATGATAGGAGACTGCAGGATGCTATGACCGTTCTCTGGCAGGTTGGTGGGTCCTTGTCCATGCGCCATAGTATCGGGCTTCTTCTGCTTCTTTTGCTGTTGCACTTGTTCAGCAGAGCGAGGAGATCCTTGGTCTTGCGCCATAGTGTCCAGCTTCTTCTGCTTCTTTTGCTGCTGTACTCGTTCAACGGAGCGGGGAGTTCTATCCAGCACGTCCTGAAGCGATTTCGCAGCCTTGGAGTCCTTGGCATGAGCCGACTTGTCGGTACCACCGGCCTTGTGAGCATCAATGGCCTTCTTCTGTGGAGTATCGTCGGTGCGCTGCTGACGAGTAGGGGTATACACAGGTTGCTCAGAGGATGAGTCATGTGTAGGAATATACGTTGAAGTATTGTCAGTAGACGAGCGGGACGAGCCGGCAGCGCCGTTTGAGACCGGGGTCTGGCGACGTTGAGCTGTCTCTGTTTTGTCACTGGACGAGCGGGACGAGGTTGCATCGCCAGTTGAGACGGAGATTTGGCGATGTCGAGAAGCCTCTGGCTTGTCAGCGGACGAGCGGGACGAGCCTGAAGCGCTGGGTGAGACGGGGCTTTGGCGACGTCCAGGTGTCTCCGTTTTGATCGGCTCCTTCCTTCCAAACTTGGGCGGCGTGGTGGAAGTTCGCAGGGGTGCACTCGGGTTGAAGCGAAGAAAAGTAGGCAGTGCACGACTAAGCGCACCCGTTCGACTCGCAAGCGTCTTTGCGCTGGGCGGAGTGTGGGCAACGCGGACCTCGCGAATCTTGGTGCCGGGCGAGGTGGTGGCCTGGCGCATGCGACTGTTGGCGCCTGGGAAATGTCCAGTAGGAATTGGTGTCCGGCGAGGAGATGCGGTACCGTACACAGCTCTAGGAGCCTGGGCAGACTGAGGGCGGACAGCTCCGGCAGATGCCTTGGGGGTCGACATGTATGCGTGAAGCGTCTGTTGAGTTCTGGATGCCTCTGCCTTGACTGGTGTCGACTGGGACGATGTGGCCTTGGGCTGAGTCACTCGCTTCTTGACTGCAGGTCCTTCTGGGCTGTAGTCGTCGTCGGAATTGCGTCTCTTGTGTTGAGGTGCCATTTTCGCAGCGTTAGATGTGACTCTCGTCACGATGCAGGATGAGAGGGTGACGGGTTTTCAGGCGCAAGATGAGGTCTTGCCAAGTGCTGCCGAAGGTCAAGGTTGGTCGAGTGGAGAGAAGTGAGGAAGGAAGTCAGGAAAGAGGTGCGAGAGATTGTGGGGTTGGGGTGGCAGTCCGGAGAGTCGTGTATCGAGACTCGCAGCGTGAGCCTCTCAGAGATTCGAATTGCAGATTTGATTCGCAATTCAAAGTGCGGTAGACTGGGGATCTTGGTTGTGCGAGGCGAGATGGCCTGGAGTTGCAAGAGACTTGAAAATATCGGGTTGTGGGTTGTGGGTTGTGGCGACCTCGAGGTGTGGTGCGATATTGAGTGCGTCTCGGGTCACGAGGTTGGTACCGATCTTGCAAGAAATCGAGAGTCGCATAAGGTTATTGCTGCAAGAGATCTTTGAAATCTCTGAAATCTCTGTGCCAGCTGTGTGCAGCAGCAATTCACAATTCAGAACCGAGTAGGGCTTCTTGGCGGTCCAGTTGGGAGAGGAGGGAATTGGTGACTGTCTATTGGAGTGGCTGGGTGCAGAGAATTGCAATTGCCAGCAGTGGCCTGGACCTCCTCAGGCATCAAGCATCAAATTCAGGATGTTTTAAACACTTTTATACTGGGCATAAACTCAAGAGCCTCGTCGTGCAGAGACCTAGCCGTGATGGGATACGGGAGAACTGTACCTCCTAGTAGGGAGACCACTCCAGCCCAGGCGAAAACCAGTGGTCCCTTTCTATTGAGGGCAGTTACGAGATACGTTGAGATACACCTAGGTAAACGACTGAAGCACTAGACTGATGGACACATCATTGGCATTCGATGCATTGCTCGTGGCATCCGAAACGCCTAAGTGCTTCAACAACATTGCCATTTGCTTATTCTGTATCTCCTCTGCCACCTCAACCCCTCCAAATAGCCAACATGATAGACATGAAATTGGTACAGTCCGTGCACCATAGCGGCATATCAATCTTTATTTGCTATACCGGCATCTCCTGAATTATATCCGCGTGTCATTACCCAGAAAGGCTGTTGGCCAGGAACCTATGCCGAATATCTCTATAGCTGCAAGTTGAAGTCGTAGTCTGATGATCACCCAATGGCCCAGTCGGCCTATCCATCAAGAAGTTCCAGGACGAAGCCAGCCCTACCATGCAAGCTCTATAGAATCACCAGGGATGCGATTATCTACGGCTGGTTCCAGCTATTCCCTGTTCACCCATCACCTTATCGACTCTCTGGTGGTCAGTCGCCCTTTTCGTGTTCGTAGCTGATGATGAGTTCATCATAGGCTTGTCAGCACCAGGAAAGAAAGACTACTCCAATCCCCGGGCCTACAGACCAATATCGCTATTGTCGTGTCTTGGCAAAGGCCTAGAACGACTCATCGCGAAAAGAATTACCTGGTTTGTTGTCAAACTTGAAATTCTAGCTCCACAATATTTTGGAGCTCTACCAAAGCGCTCTGGCACCGACCTGGTAGCTGCACTCATACACGATATTGAGCAGGCCCTCGACCAAGGCCTCGTTACAACAGTAGTCACGTCAGATGTGAAAGGGGCCTTTGATGCTGCCCTAATGGGACGGCTGGTGGTTCGCATGAGAGAACAGGGCTGGCCGGGCTTTCTCATAAGATGGGTCCAGTCATTCATGTCCGAGCGGTCCGCAAGGGTTCAGTTTGAAGGTATTGTGACCGATATTAAAGCTCTCACTTGTGGGCTACCACAAGGCTCACCAGCCTCTCCAATCCTTTACATGCTGTATACAGAGCCAATCTGTGCCCGACTTGGTATGAAAAGGAGACATTTTGGATATGCAGATAACCTAGCGACTCTCTGCATTAAAAAGAATCTTAAGGAAATAGTTATAGAGACTTCTAAAAATCTTTATTTGCTCAGTCAATAGGGACATAACAACGTTATTGAATTTGACCCTGACAAAACTGAGATCATGTACTTCTCAAAGAAAAAGAACTCAGACAACCCCCCAGTCCGCCATAGAACAATGAACAAAACAGCAAAGGACTCCATGCGATGGCTGGGTGTCTTCCTGGATAGAAAACTAAACTTCAAAAATCACGTTTCTTACTGGGCCAAAAAAGCTAATAAGGTAACAAATCACCTTCGAGGACTATACAACACAATCAAAGGACTTCCAATAAAGTCAACCAAGAGGGCTATGAAAGCTTGTGTTATTCTTATTCTTACACACGGCCTGGAGGCCTGGTACCCAGGAATCGAGAAAGTTGGGAGCTTAGGTAGGACATCAGCATGTCGCATTAAGGGGCTTCTTGGAACAATAGATGCCGTACTATGAACAGCGATCAGGGCTATCTTGCCAGTCTAGAAAACACACCCTGGACATATCCTACACTTTAAATCGCAGATTCCCCCAGCAGGAGTTCTTGCAGAGTCAATAAGACGACGTCACGGCCTCCGACTAGGACGAATAGACCAGAGACACCCTCTTATTAGCAGGCTCTAAATACAAGCTTGCAAGAATCTAACAAGGCTACAAAGGAGCTTCCAACTAGTCCCTGACTTCCAGAGACCAATACTTACCAGGCCATTATGGAAGAAGTCCCTAATCCGCAAAGACAAAAACAAAAAAATAGAGCTCTTTAAGCAATGGCTACAGGAGAGAAACGTGAACACTGACCTTGTCATCTATTCAGATGGATCATAATTGGACGACCAAGGCACAACCCGCACTGGATGGGGTTATACCATCAGGAAAGGCGGCACTACACAAGAAATATACCGGGGAAAGGGCAGACTTCTCTAAGCAGAAGTAGTAGATGCTAAAGTCCATAGTACTCTCTAAGGTCTTGCAGCAGCCAGGGCAATTGGACACGGAAAACAGCTATATATCTGCCTGGACAACACGTCAGTGGTAGACGGGCTCAATGGGACTCCACCCGAGACATCACAGAACATTTTTCTATAATTTCAAGAACTTGCCACAGCACACACTCCTGGAGTGACCGTCAAATAGATTTCTGGACACAGAGATATTGATGGCAACGAAGCTGCCGACACACTAATAAAAAAGGGTGCCATGCTAGAAACAGACACAATAAACCTTCCTATAATCTCTTGGGTCAAAAGAGATCTCAAAAAAAAAAAGGACAAGAAAGAGTTCAACCAATGGTAGAAAGACCAATCAGAACCTAGATATCAAGAAGTATACTCATATACAGTAACTAAAAGAGACCTTATATCTTTTAAGAGGAGTACTTTATACAGACTTCTAGCGGCCAGATCTGGACATGGCGACTTTGCCAGATACTATGAACGCTTTGGGCATATAGACTCGAATGATCACTGCAACTATGGTAAGAAAAAAACACCACAACATATTTTCTTTTGTAAGAGGCTGGGGAAAAACCGGCTACTGCCTAGGTACTCGCCTAGGACAGCTTGTTTACAATACTTAGGGAAGAGGAGCATAGAATGGACAAAATTCGTGGAGAAGAGCAAGTTCTTTTCAACAATCTGCCCCCGATAGATAGTTTTTCTTGAGGGACCAGATGGATGACCCCAAGGTCATACCGCCGCAACAACGGGGATGAGCCCGTGAGCGGGACTGACTGTACTTATTATCTTGAGACCTCCACAACCCTGCGATACAGAGGCTCTGGGAGGCGTGGTTTGCACTACTGAGGAGCTACCCCCCACGTTAAATACAAAACAAACAAACAAACATAGGCTTGTCAGCCTAATACCACACCTCTCGACGCATCGTACTTACACACCCAGGCCCTGAGATATTACCTCTCATAAACGCTGCCAGTCTCACTTCCCGTATTCGAGAAGTCAAGGCCAGAACCCATTGCCAGCAGCTGGGCCACCAATGAAGTAGTTCACCGTTAATTATCACAAGCCTACGTCTGTCTCCCTTGATGATGCTAATCTGCAGCTGGAGGTTTACACGCGAGCACGCAGGTGAGTACCTACCTAGGTACCTAGGTAGGTAGTCGGTCCATTGGGGACGTTGGACGGACTCGGCGCCCCACATACCAGTGTTTCAGCATAAACTGAGGGAGCCGCCGCGAATATGCTGCATAGGTACTGTTGGAGCTGACTTGCCTTCCGGTATCAACCCGCATGGCATCTCGGGACATTGGATTCTGCAATGTTCTTCGGAAAACTTCAGATTCTCTTCTTTACTCGGGAAAACGCGAGTTCTGCATTTTAGCGGTTAGCTATGGTCCTCGCCGACAACCCAATCGTCCTTTCGAGCTATAGGGAGCAATTGTGCACTGAAAAGACACCATGTTCTATGCCCACCCCAGGTTACATTTTCAAATCCGATGCGATATGGTAAGGGAAGACGACCGGGGTCTGCGATGCCTTGGGGTGCGAGAGGGGGTTGAAGCCGTTGACCGTGTCCGACCCATCTAGAAAGGGAGGATGACAGAGTAGGCCCAGTTGGAGTCGCAAATGCTGAGTCTACTCCACTAGATACCCTAGTCAGAAAGTATCGCAGCTATACCGGACTTGAATCCATACTTAGACAATCTCATTACATAGACCACACCGACCCAATGTGAGATGCGATGGTACTAACTGCTGTGCATTTCAAAGAAAGTCAACCTGCCCCCGGTATAGATCAGTTTCCGGTTTCCTTCGCTGGACGTCGCAATTTGGGTCTAAACCCTATAGCATGTTCGTTCATTGCAGCCCTCTTGGAGGCATAACGTCATGTGAGAAACTCTGTAGTGAGTATGTGCTTTTCAACAGCAGATCAACTGAGCACGTTGCCCACTACCACACTAGGAATTACAGGCATGTAAGATGAAAATACTCACCTTCATAAGTTTAGATCCTGCAAACCAGTCACATGAGGCGAAGTCAGCACATTCCAAGACAGACTTCGTGTTCCCAACCCAGCAGATTGAGATGATATCGATGTTGTGGAATCAATTCAGGCTCTGCCACAACCTTGAGCAAATAAACAATGGTTTTTTTGGTGGCTCATGGCTGAACTGTGTTCGTCTTCTCCCTCAACCTCAACGCCACTAGCGACATTCTAAGACAGAACCCAAGCAGCAATAAATAACGCGGACACAGAAACATAGCAAAACACGCAAAACACAAAACAGAAAGGCAAAGTAAGAAAATCAAATTCAGTGATACTACAACAAGGTGAAAACGCTGTGATAGAAGAATGGGGTTCGGTTAGCTAACCTGTTATAGCAACAACTGGGGCGAAACGAAAGTAAGAATTACGAATGAAGACGCTGTGAATCGAATCCCTCTCCTAAGTTAATGGGGAAGACCATCAGAACAAATTCGTCCGCGGTGCCGTCATGATCGCCGATAGCACTACGGCGGACGTGTGGCTTGTACCGGTTGTGTTTCAGAGTCGGGGGTATGGCGGTACGTGATAGTAACGCTGACAGTGGTGGTGTTCTTAGCAACGGTGACAGCTATCTCAGCAGCCAGGTGAGTAGGTGCACCGGCAGGTGGTGTGACAGCACTGCCGTAATATGTAATGTAATAGGACGGTAGCAAAGAAAAGGAGGTGCGTAATGCAAGGGTTGAGTGTAGCGAGGTTGAGTGTACCGAGGGTTAAGTGTAGCAAGGGTTTAGTAGAGCAAGGGTTGGGTAGAGCAAGGGTTGGGTAGAGTAGGGGGTGAGCAAGATAGGAGGTGAGCAGAAGCTCCCAGTCTTCCGGGTACTGCAAGAGCCCAGCTCGTACATGGAACGCCGATATTTTCGAGATTGCTTCTTCCAAAGCTCTGTCTCTGCATTACCATGTCCTTATACTGGTGTGTTACTGGGATGAAGTAGGAGCAGGGGTCGGAAAAGTGAGCATTCCAGGAGGGCATGACGGTCCACCAGATTCACGGATTGGTCTTGCGTAGCTAGGGGCTCGTGACCGGGTGTTATCCACGCTTGTATTGGTGTTCGACGTTGACATCGATGCCTCTGGCGGCGTCGGTACAGTCGTTGGTGCCGTTGCCTTTGTCGCCAATTGTGTCGGTATCTGCTCTGGTATAAGATACGGAGACGCAAGGGCTGTGCTTGTACCAGCAATAGTCGACTGTTGAACTGTACTACGCAGAGGCGGAGACACTTGATGCCGAATGCCTTCGTGCGACGTAGCCCCAGGGGTGGTACGATTGCTCGGTAGACGGGATGGAAACCCGGGGTGGTTTGCTGTTACCCATCCACCAACTGAACGATGAGGTGGATTGATTCTAGGTATGTTTTCGTTCGTGGTATGGAAGGATTTCGTGACGGGATTTATAATTGAAGGCTGATGCTTCTTGTGCGTGGTCGGAGGTGCAAGTATCGTAGCCTGGGTGCTCGGGGAAAAGGTATGCGCATCAGACCCAGTGGTCGTGGTAGAAGGACTGGTATTTCCAACAGGAGAGCCTCTCGACGACGTTCGAGCTTTGGTAATTCCGCGCGGCTTTGCCGCTGGCTGCAACGGATGAGAATCGGGTGTAACAGGCGAGGTGGAGGTATACGCTGGATGTGCCGGATTCGCGAGGGTAGAAGACTCAGACACAGCAGAGGATGCAGGGAAAGGCTGTTCATCAGACAAGTCAACGATCTCGATGACCTTATCCCCAGTGGGCCTCTCTGTGGGCTTGGTCGATTGCTTCTCCTGAGTTTTCTGCTTCTTCTTCGCAGATACCGGAGTAGTCTCTTCGCCACTTCTCTTAGTCTTTGGGGCTCGACGACGCGGTGCCGCGGACGGAGGGGGTGAAGAAGGTTTCTCGGTTCGCGGTCTCCGGGGTGTCGGCAGCACGGGTTCGTTTGATTTCTTGACCGCCTCAACCTGCTCATCCGAGGCACCAGCATCGCGGATCATCGCTTCGAGTTCAGCTTTGTTCATGTTGAAGCCGGCTCCCCGCACGCCCTCGAAGTCGATGGTGAGTTTGGTGGGCGCCTCTTGAAACTCTCCGATGCCGAGTTCTTGGGCAATCTTCCCCGTCGTGATGCCCAGCTCTCGGGCTTTCTCGGGTCCTAGTGTCTCTGCGACGCTTTCTGGCTTCTGTATTAGTGCTGGTTAGCTTGTATTGCATCAATTGGAGAAGTCAGATCGCTAAAGGGGATAGGGCGGATAGTATTGTCCACCATTGATCTAAGCTCGATCGAAGGGGTGATCTGCTCTGGATTGGATTGGCGTACCTGATTAAGCCAGCTATATTTGCGGCCACCGGGCAGCTGGGTGTTGAGTGCCAGTCGTATAGCTCTCTGTTTCTCGCTCTCGGAAGCGCCAGATCGCCAGCCGGTTCTGAGCCGCTTTCGGGCGGCACGCTCGCTCTTGGCCTCTTCGTCGACGATCTTTTCATTTTGCTTCTTGGCACTTTTCGGGGTCGACTCCCGCTCGGGGCTGTGGTCTCCGTTGGACGGCATGGTACTGCTGGTGGCAGAGCTCGTTAGCGATTGATCTGCTGGTGGCAGAGCTCGTTAGCGATTGATCTGCTGGTGGCAGAGCTCGTTAGCGATTGATCTCCAGATATGTATGCGAGGATCGAAAGTTGCGGTCAAGCGTAGCGGCTTCGGTGAGCTCGGTATCGTGTGCATACCCTGGGGGCAGAGGGGGGAAGGGAAGTGAACTGGTGATTGCGGTTGGTAAGGACGAGCCGGGCTGGTATGTGTTGACAGGCTGGTATGGGGGATGGGGCTGGCTGTGGCATTTTATTTTGTTCAACTTTGCGTACAGCACGGGGGCTCTGCTTATTGTTGTATTTTGGGGCATTCAGGTTTGGCTCTTTCCTTGCGGTCGAAGAGCTCAATGATAAACCCAGTCGTAGCCTGGATCTACTGACTGAGTTGCAGTGCGAGCTGCGGGACAGTTCCACTAGCAAGTGCAGGTAGATAGAACAACGTAGGCGACGGCAAAGGGTTGCCAGTTGAGCTCGACGCTCCACGAAGTCGTCGTGATGGTAGAGACGAAGTCAATCTGCAAGGGAGACTGTGGATGGTGGAAGGGGACGTCGTACAAGGAGCAAAGCCCTCAGTAGGAGGCCAAGGGCAATCAAAAGGCAGTGAGTGTAGCTGAAATGTGACTTACCGGTCACTCTGATGACTTGGATTACCAGTTTGGTTGTGTTCTTGAATCGGGTGTCCCAAGGTGATGTGAGGGTTGCTTGGATACCAATCGCGGTAGCGAAGAAAGCCAGAGAGGAAGTAAAGTTAGTCGTACTGGATGATGCAGTAAGAACGTTGTTTAAGAAGCTTCGGAAGGGCTCGGTGATCTAGGGGGCGTGTCTGGGAAAGGGGTTGTAGAGACAATGTGCAGGATGACAAATGGCGGTGTGTATTGTGTGCTGAATAGGAGCTGTGCAGCACTTCACTAGGCCCCCTCGCCAATTGTGTGGTAGAGGAAAAGAATGTGGTGCTCCTGAATGAGCCGAGCCATTGAAGTATTGATTGCTACAACACGTGGGTGAGGGATAATGGCAGGGAATGATAGCATCATTTCTCATTGAATGGACTCGACTCCACCATTCATACAGCACGAGGCCGAGGAGTCACCCCCTCCCACTGCAAACGCCCCTCGAGACCGGAAGATTGGAACATAAAGCAATCATAATACGTCCTGGTGTGGATTTGGAAGGCTGAAGTTGACGATAGCTTCATCCCATCCTTTTGCTTACTCATAAAGGCCCACAAGCGCACGGGGCCCCTGTCAAGCGAATGAGCACAATAGCAAATCAAAAGTCGGTGTAACGAGCAGATATTCGCTTGAAACTTCCGTATCAAATGCAGGCATTTATATAGCGTGTGCAGTAGTGAATGAACAGACCAACTTGATTACCACGAGCCATGAATCAGCCAAATGTCTCCGGCTCTCCATGATAGACCTGTAACTAATGCGCATCACAAAAGTGACACGGATGTAGGAAAGTGAACGATTATAGTTGTGGTTATTGCAGTAGAAAGGACCATCATGAGGCAGCCAGCAACAAGACTCGGCATCTAGGGCGACTAGGTAGTAATGGAGGATGGTTGGAGGTGAAATCATGCCGCCAGCTGTGCAACCTAAGAGCAGATACCAGAATAACAGCCTAGAATAAATCATAAATCGGAGTCTGGTATGTCTGCTTGTGTGGGGAAATCACGCGTCAAGCCGAAAGAGTTGCGATTCCGGAAGTATTCATCTCAAGAACTGCCAACCTGTCGCGTCATACGTCAAACATGCGCAATGACTAAACATTATCAACCTAAGATCACCATAAGTAAAGTTACTGAGACACGACTAGGTTATGCTGTAGTCTGACGACGAATTGACCGTGTTCAGCTTCATAGTACATACGTATGTTGTTCATTCATGCGTACCTAGGTAACCATGTTCCCAGCTTGTAGCTGAAAGAGATACTAAGATACGCCAGTGACAACTCACGATATGAGGTCATCCGAGGAGTCATCTGCCTTGCATCAATTACTGTTTGTTGCAGTGCAAATCCCCGGAAACTCAAGGCAGGGCCGCAAACGATGATCAGGAACAATGCACCATATGCAGTACAACTGTACGAGCCACCATATACCCTCAAGAAACTTCCTCCACCATCTTGCCGCGCCCCAGACCACCGGGAATGAAGACCTGGCCAGCCGGACCAGCTAGCATCTCCTCAGGCACAGAGACTCGGCTGCCATCCTTATTGCTGACCCATCTCACAAAGATGGGGTTGGCTCTTTGGGACTCGGGATCTGGAGTTGCGTCTGCAAGCAACTGGGCTTTGCGGCTGATCTTGGGCGCTTGTTTCTTGAGGAGCTTGTTGATGGTTTCCATCTATAGTTGTTCGAGTCAGTTGGTTTGGAACCATATATATCAGTTAGCCAGTGATCGACCTACCTTGACCTCCTCAGTTCGCTTCTCGCTGAGATTCCGTCGTCGACGGGCCATCTCCGAGCGGCGCATTGACAGTTCTTCGGCAGTGAAGTGTTTCTTTGCTTGCACTTCTATATTGCATTAGCCAATGTCTTCGCTCCCCACGTGGGGTGGTATAAACTTGCCATCAGACAACTTCATGAGCGAGTCCCCGTTCTCTTCGAACCGAGCGCGCTGCCGTTTTGTCATCTTGGTCAGATCAGGAGCCTCGCCGTCACTGTCGTCGTCGTCGCTACCGAGCCCGTCGTCCTCTTCGGCTGGCTCGGCTTCTTCGATCTCGTCGTCTTCGCCCTCGGCATCTTCCTCGTCTCCCCCTCCGACTTTCACCGTGTCCTGTATCTCATCTGCTTCGCTTTCAAGCTCACTCAGCTCTTCATCGTCGTCACTGTCTGTTGCCTGGGGAATTACAGGCTTTACAGGAGGGGGCTTGTTGGATGTCTTGGATTTGCTGGTGATGCCGCTCTTAGCAGGCGCCTTGGAGACCTTGATGACGGACGCTGCCGGTGGGATCTGATCCAGGTCCATGTCGTCGTCGTCTTCTCCTTCGGCATCTTCGTCGTCCTCATCTCCATCAGCGTCAATATCCATGGTGTCATCGACAATGATTTCGCCCTCGGCGTCGTCCTCGTCCATATCGGCCATGTCATCATCCTCGCCCTCGGCGTCTTCGTCATCATCCTCGTCGCCGTCGGGTGCGGCGGGGTCGTCGTCGTCATCATCATCACTAGTGTCGAGCACATAGCTCTTCTTCTGAGATCGATTTCTCTTACCCTCGATGATCTCACCTCCAACGAAGTTCTCCCGGCTGACCTGGCGACTGGATTGACCGGCGCGGCTGGATGTGGCCTGGCGAAGCTTACTTGCCGGAAGCTTGACTGTCAGATGGATATGCGGGTTAGAATCTGAGGGTGACGAGGGAGGGCCGCGCGAGACCGTTGCAACGGCACTCTTATCCTCAGATCGGCGAGAAGTCCTGGATGACATGGTCCTGCCTGTTCGACTGCTTGTGTGGTTGTCGCTGTCGACCATGTCAGTGATTGCTGTGTTGGCCTTCTGGGCCGCAGCGCGACGAGGGCGAGAAGCCATTTCGGACAAAGGCAAGGGATGACAGGTCTGGTCTTGGTTGGTGATGGATGATGGATGATGGATGGGTGAGACAGGAGATGTATATCTGGTCTGTGACTTGGCTTGGTGGGCTTGCTGGCTGTCTCGGTGGATTGAATGACCTGAAGGATGGAGGAATGGGGGCAGGCGCTGGCTGTGAGGGATGATTTTTGGAGGTGGTAGCGTGCGCTGGTTTGGTTGGGAGGTTGAAATAAGCTTGCGGCGTAAGATCAAGACCCAGCCGTCGTGACACGGTGTCGCAGGCTGGCAGCAAACACCCGTGGACCCCGATGAGGCAAGCTGCCGCAGGGCTTGACTTTCCCTAGGATTGGGTCGGGGGGTGCGATCTATATCTGGATCGGGATTGGAGGAGGAGCCGTGAGCCTTGGCCACTTGGATTCGATAATGGACATGTGAGTGTGAGGCAACGCACAATCCAAAGACAGCAACAGCAATCACCACCTTGCAGCCAACAAAGCACAGCCAGCCTAGATGCCGCCCAGCCGCGCGCCCGCCACGTGATTGACAGATCGATCGTCTGCACCGTGGAACTTTTCGACTGGGGGTTTTGTCTTTGCGCGACCATCACCGGTCACAGCCGAGTGTTTTGTCACACATCATCACGGCTGAGTTTCTCTCTCACTCTCCCCCCTGCCTGGTCCGAACCTTTCGCTTTTGCTTTCTTTCACTCGAACAACTCTGACCTCCTTGATTCTGGAAGCATGACAACTTCCATCGTCGTCACTCAAGCGCGAAGGGGAATGAGTACTTCTCCGAGATACAGTTGGGTCGAAACACATGAAAAATACGAGACTCAAGCGAAAACTGTCTATCTGACCTGACATAGGCTGGCACTTACGAGGTATTGTTGAGATTGGGCAAAGACCCTTCGTATGGCTGGCGCGCTGAGCTGTGCGACCGGCTCGATTGGATTGGAGCGGTTCCTCAACTCGAAGGCAATTTCCGATCCCGAAGAGCTCTCTATCAGATGTGCGCTCCTCGACTATTCGGCTGCGCTCTTACAGGTCTAGGTGGTGTTGCGATTCAGCATAGGCGACCCTTACAGATGGAGGGGATTCAGGGGAGAGAACATGGCAGGTGAACGAAATGGTTTGCTTACTCGGTGCGTCTTAGCGAAATCCTTCGGCCTCGTCAAAAAGTATACTCCCCGCTGACTGCCGGCGTTGATGATGCTGGTGGATACCGATATTCTGCGGTGAGCGGAAGGTGTGAGATGTCGGACGGTCAGCCGCTTCAGGCAAGAGAACGCACCAGCCTAGTCGAATTCGCGTAGCGGTTGAATGGGAACAAGTCTGTGAGATCTGCAAATAGATCTCGAATTATGTTGATAAGATGCGCACCAAGGATTCCCTATTGTCCTCGACTCCTGGCATGGAAATGCGTTGATGGAGAGTTGAGACTGAGCCAGGAGGGAGTCACGTGCAAATAGCAAGCATCTGCCCCACAGCTGCCAGAGCTGCTTGGCACTTGCAGGCCGCCAGACCATCCCTGTCAGCCTGTCATGATCCTGGGCGTAGATGCCGAGGCACACCTGATCATCTTCATCAAGGTTCTCCCCAAGTGAGGTAATGCCTCCCAGCACCAATATCATATCACAATAATATGATTGCTTAGGTACCTGTTTACCCTCGTTTGTACTATACATCTACCTCAACAATAATGGCCGACAAGAAGAAGCCCAGCATACCGGCCTGGCAGCAGGATCAGCCCGCGCCCGGCACCGACACCGGCACCGACCGCGAGCCAACCGAGACGACACTCGACCATGCGCGAAAGTTCCTGACCGACGTGAATGTGCGAGACGCGAGTACGGAAAAGAAGAGGGAGTTCTTGGAGCAGAAGGGGTTTGACAAGACCCAAGTTCAGGTCTTGTTGGACGAAGTCGAAGCTGCCACCCAGGCTTCAGCCAGGCAACCAGAGAGCGCCTCTGCGGCCGCAAGCGACAACGCAGGTCAACGGACGAAAGCCAAACCAGCACCCGAGGCGAATACAACGGTAGCGTCTTCCACGTTCGATGCACCACCGATCATTACGTACCCGGAATTTCTCACCACCTCTCCTCGGCCACCGCCGCTGTTGACCCCCTCCCGCCTGGCCAATATTCTGAGCGTCGCCGGCAGTGCGTGGACGCTGATGTATGGCGTCGCACGTTTTGTCGTCAATCCCATGGTGGAGGACCTCAATGAAAAGCGGTCAGATTACTACAGTCATGTGAACGACAAGCTTGCCATACTCGTCGAGAAGCTCGAAGGCGCTGCGAGCGAAGTCCCCTACAAGAATGGCAAGCCGCTGAGATCGAAGACCGAGGAGGGCGCCTACGCAGACGACGAGAGTACCTTCAGCGATCCGTCTGAGATGTTCTACCGGGACGTCGGGGTACAGACTTCGCCGCCCGCCTCTCTCCCCGAACGAACCTCGTCGAACTCGGCTGATGCTACCGAGAAGCCAGCGGATGCCCAGGCGCGCAAGCTCGCTCGCATAGCAGCCTCCGTGCGCGAACTGACCCTGATGCGCACCCAAGAGGCGGAAAGAACTGCCGACCTGCGAACGACGCTGCAAGGCATCCGCGACGCGGTTGATAAGCTGGCGTCCCCGCCAATGCCCGACTACGCCTCCATTCACGGTTGTCTGGGCTATGGCCGGAGCTCAGAGCCCGATGACGAGTTCAAGAAGACCAAGGATGCGATACGCAGTGTCAAGGGCGTGCTCTTGAGTGCACGAAGTTTTCCAACTGCGACTGCGACGGCGAAATAGGAGAATCAGTCTGTCGCTTCAAACCGTGAAGAATGGTCTGACGAGGAGAACTCGCGTCAGAATCGACCACTTGTGAGACAGCCCGCACTATCAACCTTGATTCCATTCCCATCTGCTGGGACGAGTCAACGGAAACGTAGCCGACGGCCATGGTCTGCAAACGACACGCCTGTCAGCTTTCAATCCGGGTCGACAACATAGTCCAGTGTCGATTCTTATCGTAGGCGCACTCCGGTCTCTGTCAGTGAGCAGACGCCAACTGAGGGGATACAGCCCAGACAGGATATGGAGTTTGCCCTGAGCGAACCTACCCCTGGCGAGCAACATCGTGACTTCACTCCACTGCCTCGACTGCCCCGGGGCATGTCGTGGGTGACGCCCGCCCAAAACAATAGCGGCACCTCTGCGGACAATGGGAGCGGGGTTCTTCGCTTCGGTGACGCCGTTGAACTCGTCATTGATGAGACAAAAGAGCAGAGAAGCCGTCTATGATACTTCGGTGACGCCCCGAAGGCCGGCCAAGAACGAATATGATAACATCCAGCGTTTGGTACGAATTGTATGGGAGATTATGTCCAGCAACAACACCTGTTTCACCATAGAGCGAAAGAGATAGCGTTTCTATATTTTCGTACAAAAACATCATGATATTGCTCATAATAACAACTTGACAAGTATTTTTCTGCAGTTCTATACGTGATGACGGGCTGCCGCCCGCCTTTGAATATCTCGATACACTGGACCCCCATAACTCTCCGTACACCACCCGTTCTTGCAAACAACGGTATTTATCGAATCGGAATAAGCACGATGGAATAAGCATTAGAAGTGGCGCGTTAAACCAAAGCTGCTTATTCCTGTATGCTTATTTCAGTATTTAAAAATTGTCCCATCCACTGGTAATCTGGAATCTTACCAACATGCGCGTACAGAGCCCTATAAGGGCTGGGTATACAGGACATTGCGGAGCACCGCTCGGCACTTGTCATTGCTCACCTTCGCTCCCTCCAACTTGCAAAATTTGGTTGAAGGCCATTGATTCCATCCGTCACGGGCAGTTCGAAATCAGGGATACATGTCATTGTCGCGAGAAGGAAACATAGGATGGTGGACAGTAATACCTCTTCAACGATATTGTGACAGGAATTGGGTGGCCGGCACTGCCAGAACATATCGCTACATCACGAACAGAACGAAAGCAACAAGACGAGTCATGATTTAAACGCTGAAATATGCCTAGTCATCGCACTGATGAGTAGGACCGCTATGCAATTTCTCTATTCGGGTATCAACCACATCCACGAGGTCCATGAGCGTTGGGTGGCCGACAGCTAGCTCTCCTCGAATACACCTTCTGTATCCTCACTATTGCCTGCCGAACTACCTCCTGTCCATATGGAAGGCCGGCCTGGGACATTCGGCACCTGAACACCAGGGGAGGGGGGGGTATCCATGCAATGCATGCAACAGTAAATAAAACGCGGCGCAAGCCGGGACCATCTGATACCCTGTCCATAAACGCCTAACCAATATCTTCTGTAAACGCTTTTCCGGAATTTCGCTTCGTTTCGCTACTCTATTATGACGGTAGGAAACAAGGGTGAGCGGGTGAAAAGCAGAAGCCGCTGTGTCGTGATGGCTATGCAATCTGAAACCAAAACGCCGTTTGCAATGCTATGACTGCCGAAGTCGAAACGCTGTATCAAATTATGGTTCGTCTGTCTCGAACGTGTGGATGAGAACTGGGATCCAGCCCCAGGTCGGTCGGATTGATTAGTTGTAACCCTCCTCCAGTTTTCTACTAGAGGATCTTTTAGTAGTATGCTCGCGTCTGCGCCCGCGGCTCGACGACGGTGGGCGTTCCTACCGCTTCTCGTCCTCGAACGTGGCCTGGCGACTCATCCTAGTCCTGGCTGGAGGGTGTTCTGTCACCTGGCCAGCCCACACCGTTCCGTTTCGCGAATCAGACATACGTGACTCGCTCTTCGATCTGGGTAAGCCCGGTGACATGGGCGGGTTGGGCATGTTGTCCTGTGACTTTGGCGGCACCACCATCATGCCCATGGCGTAGATGACGCCTCCGAGGACAACAACGACATATATGAGTAACAGTGCGGTGGCGATGAGGGCTTCCTGTACGATATTGTTGTACAACCAGGTCGTAACGTGAGTTACTGCGCCAGAAACCTCGTCGGTGGTAACAGCGCTTGGCGTGGCCAGGAAGGTCTTGAGGTCAGAGTCGCCATTGACCGACTTGTCAGCACCGGCAGAGAATATGTCGTCGTCAAACAATGGGAAGTTGATGTGGGCATTGTCGTGCACCCAGGTGAGGCCCCTCTGTACTGCCTCAACCTTGAGACCGAGCAAACATCGAACGGCGTCTGCAGCGAAGTCCTTGAACAGCGTATTACCGAAGGCGGTATTGAGACCCTTGTCTATTTCGCTCATGAAGGTGTTAAGCGTGTCGTTGACGGCCGTGGTGGCGTTCGTCACTTTGCCCAGAATGTCGTCGTTGATTTCGTTGCTGAAGGAGGTGATGACGCCGTTCGCGTCGTGCGCCCATTCAGCCGAAACATTGACCAGGGCACCCACTGTCTCATTGGCGAAGTTGGCGACTTCTTGCGTTATGGCTGGTACTTCTTTCTCGATCGTCTTCAGCAATATGATCTGGCAGAGACAAGAAAAGAAGCCGGCCAAAGCGAGTGACAAGACAAATATGGCGGGAAGAGACGTCGCGTATGCAATCGCCCAACGCGTCATTATTCCTCGTACCTGGTTATCCTTGCCCGCGATCTTGGTCGATATGACGAGTCCAGCTCTTGCCGTCATAGGCCGCGAATACATGTATCCAACATCCAGGCCGTCGAAACTGTGTTTAGAGAAGATCCGAGCATATGCATTCTGCCTACGCCAACGACGCTTCTCCATGTAGGCCATCGGAATACAGGCAGCTATTGCCAGGGCGGAGAGCACTACGACAGCGGCAATCTTGGCCTCGCTGGCGAGTTTGAACAGTTTTTCGAAGAAATCGTTGAGGCCGCTGTTATCGGAGCAGAAGGATAGGGCCTTTTTGTCGGCAACAGGGAAGACGCTGTCGTCGAATGTCCAGTTTCCATAGGCCTTGTCCAGCTCTTGTCGGATAAGGTTGAAGGGAAAATCGACAGCCTGGGCGGTCAAGTTCTTAAGTTCGTCAAATGTAGGGATCTTGTCGTTGAGGTCGTTCAAGCCGTCGACGAATCCGCTGGTGTCGATATTGATGTCGTGCAAGTCCTTCATTGCATTCACGATATCGTCTTTGATTTGGGGTTCCGGTGGTATCGTAATGCTTCGGCTGACAACGACATCCCTTTCCTCGACAACGACGAGATCCCTTCCCTCAACAACGACATCTCCGCCTTCGAGATCTCTGTGGCCGATATGACTTAACCAACCCGTAGCCGGAGTTTCAGCAGCGTTGGCTGCACCCGCAACCCCGGTTTTGACAGCGTTGCCTGCATTTGAAGCCGTATCTCCCACTTTGTTCAAGGCATCCGCTGCAGACGTCGCAGCTCCATAGAGAGTGTGGATGGCACCTTGTATGTCATCAGCCTTGCTCGAGACTCCGTCGGAGACCTTATCGATCACCTCGTTCATGGCTGCGGTGGTTTTCTCGACGGCGACGGCGGATGCATTGAGGCCGCCGTGGACAACCATGGCAACCAAGCAGACGTAGGTGTCGGTCATCATGCCGATGACGAAGAGGATCAGCTGCTCGATTCCCGTCAGGATCATGTTGAGAACGGTCATCAGGGCGTGGACGACGTGGGTGATGCTCGACGCGGTGAGCTGGTTCACGCCGACGGACAGGTAGTGCGGCATCGAAGCCATGGCGCTGCCGATGTCTTCGACCTTGGTGCAAGCCGACAGCGCCTTGACCTTGGCATCAGTGAGCCCATCGGTCAGACTTCCTATGGTCAGGAGGAAGTGGACCAGCACAAGCAAGAGGAGGATGGTCCATCGGTTGAACCAGAGCTGGGAGTATCTGGCGCGGAGACCAAGGTACGGGGTGATGTCTGAGGTGGGTGTCGGCGGCGGAACCTCATCCTTGCCGTCTCTCATCTCAAATGAGGTGGGCGCATGGTGGTGAAGTGTGGTCGGGAGATCTGGGATCTTTTTTTCCTTCCAAGCCTTAAACATACCGGCGGCTTTTCTCGGTGCGATATTCGGTAGGGTTGTTGATGTTGGTAGTTGTAGTAGGTTGATGTTGCGAATGAACGAATGATTGACAGGGCGCACCAAAGATTCGACTCGCACGAGGGAGACAGACTACCCAAATACCATGCAAGCGCGTGTTCGATATGTTTGTTGTGTTGGTCGTGAAGCGCAAGAAGGCGTCGAGGTGCACAAGGGACAATGAAAGGAATGGCAAGGGAACTGGGGCAACCGAAAGAAATAGAGAAATAGAGGCACTCGGGCAACAATGGAAGGAAGAAAAGCGTTGTGCACGAATCAATGGTGACTCGATCCCTGTGACTCCATTGCCAATATAACAATGGAAAGAAAGGAACACAAATTCACAATGAGAAAAGTTGTGAGTAGCGGGCGTGTGGTTTGTGGTTTGGAGCTGCGGGTTATGAGGGCATGGCCAGTATGTGTACCTAAGGTATCACTGCTGCAAGCTGCAAGGCCGGGCAGTGAATGACCAGTCAAATAACGGAAGACCAGAGGACCAGGATGAAGCACAGTTGCCCATTTCCTTTGTTTCGCCATGCGGATGCAAGCAGCTTCTCTCTTTGTCTGGCTGTCGGGCGCGTTTGACCGTGAGTCTGGTGACTTGCAGTTGCGCGCGGGTCCGTCTTGGCGGGGAGTGACCCATTATCTCTAAGCGCTGCGATTGACTGAGAGCCAGTCAATTCCTTTGTCTGCAACTTGTACGCGAACTCGCGAGATACCGTGGCTTACCCTCTCTATCCGAAATAGAAGTCAAGCAAGCAAGCATTCGAAGACGGTTGGACTTGGCTCGCCTTCCGGGGTTGCTGCTATGTGTCCGAGGAATGATCGATTGGTCCGCCCTGTTCAGCCTCGACAGCGACAGCGCAGGGCAGCTGGGTTCATCCAAGTACACATTCAGAGTGCCAGATGTCATGATGGCGAGGGAGGAAAGGGTTCATCTTTCACCCAGGTATGTCAAACCGAGTCTCGTTCGATCAATGCTCCCGAGTCACTTGCCTACCTATCGATCTACCTCAAGCACGTCTGAGCAGGATGAGAGACGCGTGAAGTTTAGCGGGAGCCTCCCATTAATGACGGCATCCGAGGATAACAAGCTTCGAATCTGCAGTGCTGTACCCGCGAGCCGCACAAAGGGTCATCTGCATCTCGAGCCTCTCTCGGCGGCCTGCTTGAAGTTCATGGCACAGGCTCCCAGGATGCCGTCTACATAGAGAGGCACGAGAGAATGAGCAACGAAAATGATGACAGATATTGGGCATGGGTGGGGCTGCAAGGGGTGGCTGTCGTCCAATCACGAAAGCCCTGAAATGACCCCGCAATCCGCTAGCAGCTCCTCAAGTACCCCCCTTTCCTCTTCTGACCGCGAAGGCATCGGCTTGCACCCTCGTCCATCAACCATCTGCTTGTTTTCGTCGACACATCCAATTGTTTACCTAACTATATTCATGAGCCGCATAGCAATCTCCAGCTGCAGCCCGTTCTCACACGACCATAATCAGAGCTATGAGGGTCGATCCCGTGCAGTCTGGAGCTGCCGCCGTCGGTGTAAGACGATTGGCTGAGAAGCCATCGGCGGCTACAGCTCGTCGACTGCTAACCGCCAGTCGAAACGACCTCGGCTAATGTACCTCAAACGGCGCTCAGTTAACGCTGGCGTCTACCCTTGCACATTAGGTACTCATTTCCCTAGGCGCATGACCTCTGCCTATTATTCTTTATCGGGACATATCCTCGGTGGGATTCCGCCTTCGCGGCGCGCGACCGTGGATGTCGATGCTTTAATCGTGAGGCTCCTGGAGACCTGGTAGGTACTCAGGTAAAGAAAAGACGGACTCCCTTTATGCGTGTGACCTTCACCACCACTCCCCCCAATCATTGAAGATGGACTTATCAGCCATCCAATGTGCATAACCCGCTATAGAATATATCAACAGAACTGCTTGTCGACTGTCGCGTTGGCCCGCCGCGGAAGACCATGCTGGGTCTCTGCCTGGATTCTTCAGATCAAAATAGCTGCTGCAGTGAAGTTGCTTGCCTCCTTCTCGGGTTTGCCTGAGATCAAGAGCATTGTACAGCGATGTCGAGTCTCATTGTTGGTGTGTCGACGAGGCACATACAGTCTCAGCACCCCAGCCAAAACAGTCTATGGTATACCAGAGGGCAAGGTGTGCCTAGTAAAAATATGGGCCTACATAATGGCGGCCCTGACATGTGATCTCGGCGCACCAGTCATAAAATGCGGCTACCTTGCAGCTGAAGCGAAAGATCCGGAAGTCGATTGCGATGGACCGCAACATCAACCTGAGAACTTTGCCGCCATTCCCGAGATCGGGATCGCCTCTGGCAATCGCGACAATCATGGACATCGAAAGCGCCTCAAGGGCTACCCGGGCACGGGAGCAAGGAAACGATCTGTATCGGAAAGGTCGGCTCAGTGAAGGTCAGTCAATTCCGACGTCGATGATCCCTCGAGTGCTCAAGCCTAGAACACAGCTATGAAGGCTTACATGGAGTGGGCGAGACACGCTCCTTCTGATCCATCCCCGCTCTCAAACCTATCAGCCGCTCAGTTCGAGGCTGGCCAATATCTCGACTGCGTTACCACGATTCGACAAGCTCTCAAGCTGCTGGGGAACGACCCGAAAGCCCAGGATGCCGCATCGCAGAAACTCCTAGTCAGATCGGCCAAGGCGTACCATCCCCCCCCTACATCTCGGACACCCCCACATCTCGTACAGCAAAACCCCACCACCACCACCTAAACCCTATATGTTCACTTATACGCTTTCAGCCTGATATTGAAGCTATTCAGAATGTATTTAGTGCTCTAGGTAGCCCTGATCTTAAGGTTTAATCCAATGTAGAATTTACCCCGCGCGGCCTACGTGATTGGCTGTCTATTACCCCGCGTTTCCTACCCCGAATAGAGATTTTTGGGTGCTAGAGCCTCGTCTGAAGCCTTGTTCTGTATGCACCGCAGCATCGTATAGCCGCCTAAAATGCCTCTCAAACCGTATACAGAGGATCAGATGGCGAATGCCATCTTAGATGTCACGGATGAGGGCCTCTCGCTGCGAAAAAGCGCTCAAAAACACGGCGTCCCTGCTACAACGTTCTCTGGCCAATTTAACGACAAGTCCTCAAAAGGCAAAGGCCATATACACCAACAGAGACTCTCTCTTGCTCAAAAAAGCACTATATTCAACTGGATTTTGCGTCAGGAGAAGCTAGGACTAGCCCCTTCGCACTCCCTGGTGCGTGAGATCATCGTAAAGGTGTTGAAAAAGAACAAAGATTCAGGCCCCTTTGGAGACCACTTCATAACCGGCTTCAAGCGCCGCAACCCCCAAATAAAGACCAAAGTTGGCAAAAGGATAGAATCAGCGCGCTTTAAGGGCTTCATGCCGAAGGCAGTTAACTGGTTCTTCGAAATCCTAGAGGATTATGGCTGGGTCAAGCCAGAAAACACGTATAATGTCGATAAGGGCGGCATCATGGCAGGTTTTGGTAACTATAACCAACCCTTTAAATCTGTAGAAATTCTAATTAGCTTTATAGGCATTGATTCTTTGGTTTTAGGTAGTTCTACTACTAAGAAGGCCTTCTTAAAAAGCCCTTAAATCCATAACTGGACCTCTTTCATTGAGGCCATCTCTGCAACTGGAAAAATCCTCAAACCAGGTATTATCTTCAAAAGGAAGGACCTCCAGGCCCAGTGGTTCATCAAGGAGTTTTGAAAGACCGCCAATTGGCATTATATATGCTCAGGAAACGGCTGGACTTCGAATAACATAGCCTGCCAGTGGCTAGAAGATGTCTTCATCCCGTAAATAGACGAGATACGAGGAAAAGATCAGGCTAAGTCTATTCTTTTAATACTAGATGGCCATGATAGCCATACCTCCGCACGTATATGAATTTTCTTATTTAATATAGACTTCCTTTATTTCTTTCCTGATTTAATAAGGGCTAATGCGTGTTATAAGGACGAATTCATGACCATCTGTTATTTTGCCAACATATTGCTCTGTTTCTTCCCTGCGCATACTATTCATGGTATGCAATCCCTAGATAACGGGTCCTACAATGCCCTGAAGGCTCACTACCAGAAATTCCTTTCTCAGCTAAATTCTCTAACGGATGCCTCGCCTGTTGACAAGATCAACTTTATTCGGTGCTATAGCCAGGCCAGAACTGCTGTTTTTACTAAGGCAAACATCCTTTCTGGCTTCAGAACTACTGGATGTTATCCTATCAGCCGCAGGAAGTGCTTAGCGCATCTAGAAATCCAGGAAGAGAAGCAGAAGACCCCTGAGCCTGAGACCCCTGAAAGCTCTGAACCAGAGGACCAACGGACCCCTACTACGAGCCGCCAGATCATGAATTTCCGCAAAAAAGTCCCCTGGCACCCGGCTGAAGTACAGGAAGATAGCCACTGCGTTCAAGGCTAAGGAAACCGACCTTGTTATCAAAGACAGGAAGATCAAGGCCCTGGAGGCTGAACTAGAGCGGCTACGGCCAAAGAAGCGGCAGAAGATCCCTAATCCTAACAGGAAGTTCAGAACAGTCACGGAGGTACTAAGTACGGGTGGTACCATCACCCCTGGTGCCTCTGCGGATGTACCAGAAGTTGTGGTTGATGATGACGAGGAAGAAGAAGCAGAAGACGAAGACTCGGCTGAAGAGGCCGCTTCGGAGGCCATACAGGAGCCTAGGCAGACCCGTTTGGGGCGATTCATTCGGGCGCCCACTAGATGTTACGAATGATCAGCTTCAGCGCTCTTGAATGATAATTTGCTGGATTTCTCGGACCTGAATGACTTCTTTTACATGTGGGTGAATAAGGGGGTGTTTTGGTGGTGGTGGTGGGGTTTTGCTGTACGAGATGTGGGGGGGGATGGTATCTCCATCTAGGGGATTCGAACCATGCTGAAGAGATGATGGCTTCGACTGCGCCTGCAAAGGACGTCGAAGATCTGAGGAACGCTCTTGGTGACGCGAAAGCGTTCAAGGCTTTCGACTTAGGGCCTTCGTCATTACGTGAAAAGGTCCTAGTTACCGCGTCTGAGGCCGAGCATGTATGTAAGCAGCACGTTGCCCAGATGCCCACAGCTGACATTCATCAAGTCAAGACGAGCCAGACTATTTCGGGCCCGGCCATGATAAGGCCGTGTCGCAGTATACAGCTGCTCTTGGGAAGTCCTGCCGTGACGACCCTGTCTTGTCCATCATGTTTTGCGGCATCGGTGATGCTCGACATCTGTTCCGAACTGTAATGAGCTTCTTTGCGAGCGGCAACCGGACGCAGAAGGCGCACTTTACAATACTGGATCACAAACCAGTCGTCATGGCTCGGATACTGGTCTTCTTTGCTCTATTGGACGAAGCTGCGACCAGTAAATCATCGAAAGAAGAGAGCTTGTTGACCGTGGCCTACCTCTTCTGCGCTCACATCGTGCTCCCCTTCGTCCAGAAGAAGCTCCAGGAGACGATCAACCGACTTGAGCTTCACCTGGAGAAGAATGATCTTCCTTTCAAGTGGGCAGACTTGTCCGTTTCGCAGATTGCCAGTGTACTTCGTGTTCTCAGAAGTTGGGGCCAGGCATCCCCAAAATCATACGAGACCGACCGAGTGCGCAGCTTCATAGCGGAACACATTGCAAAGGCAATTCCGCCAGGTATGATGGATGACGAGAAGTGGCCCTATCTACCCGAATGCGAAGCAGATCACCGCGTCTTTGATGACTTCTCCGTCATCCTGGCCCCCACGGCTACTCTCGAGAGGTACGAGCCCGAGCTCGCGGCGCTGGTGAGAGAGCATCAAACTGGGGGCAAGGGAGCTCAGCTCCGCATCGACGAGTATCTAGACAAGCATTGGAAACTGAACGCCACACTCATAGACGCTGATTGGGAAGCGAATAAGGAGAATACAGACGAAATACCCGACATGGGCTTCGACCCATTCCATCTCGTCGAGGCCCTGACGGGAATGTCTTTCAAAAAGCCTAAAGCTGGTGCTGGTTCCGGCAGTGCCATGGAACGCGTGCGCCTTTTCTTCGAGCGAGTTGGTGATTCGATCGGCAAGCTTCAAGGGAGGTTAAGTATAGAAATGATGGTTGGAGATATGGCCGATGTACTAGAACGCATCCGCTACGGCCACCTCGATCGTTCAACTGGAAGCATGCATGATGGAAGCACATCGATGGACCCAGGCTGGCCATCGAAGTATCATGGCATCCACATGAGCAATATACCGCGAGTCCGCCCCAATTCTGACATATGGTATGGACGGGGGAACTGACAGAGTAATAGGGACTACGTCGGAGGACCTTGACCAACTTCTTGTATGCTGCGCCAATCCTAAAGGAGGGAGCCGGATCGGGACTGGTCTCGTGGGTTTTGCGGAATCCCCCTCAATGGAAAAGCATCGATCAGTTCAACGCAGAGTACCTGTTGATGTATGATCGTAATCTACTCCGGAAGCACTTCTCGGTCAAGCTATCGAATCTTACGCCAGAGCCTGGGCCATCTCTTTTCCCGATGCAATTCGACCTACCACTAACGTCGTACAAGATGTGGGAGAGATGTCGTGATTCAGGCCTCGCCCTTGACGAGCTGATGCCGCAAGTAAGCTTGGCCAAATGGCTCCATGCCCATTACCTGAAGATATGTCTACCGTTCCCTCGGCCTCAGTCTGGTTATACATTGGTAATGCTCCAACGAACATGACTGTATTCATGCGGATCCTGGTCCACGTGGCTGAACTTGGCTACCCTGCTCATTGGCTTTCCACCATCATCATGGCCTTGAGCACGGGTACCATTACGACGACAGCCAGAGCTCCTAGGAAGTACGTCCTACCGACACTGCCGCCGTCGACAAGGTGTATGAATCTGCGTCGAGCCTTGGGCGGCTGAATTCACGACACTCGTCACCATGTGGCGCGGCCTGCTACCTTCGGACTCATGGCACCGACGAAGGCACTGCCCCCGCCAGACATGGTATCCGAATACTCAATCACGTTCCCGCCCTTCCAGGCTCCCGACCTCAACTACCCGCACTTCATGATGGTCTTCTGGCACCAGCGAAAGTACGCAGAGGCGCCACGCAACCTCCGCCGGCTCCTGCTCGACGACGAGAACGGCGACACGACATCTTCTGCGCGTATGTTTAGATCGGACGGGGTTAGGGTCCTGACGACGTTCAAGTGGGTCAGGAAGACGAACACGGCGACATTTTGGTTGGGGAGCGATGTGGTGGATGGGATGACTGCTGATGACTGGACGGTTTATATCTGGAGGGTTGATTCGTGGATGAGACTCACACCGGACCTGCCGCTCCGGGGCGCTGTGGTGAGAAATAAGAGTTGGGCTGAGTGGGTGGCTTCGGGTTGAAGGTCAGATAGGGAGCGAATAGGAGGATGACCAGCGTGAGTCCGGCAACCTTTACGTCCAGAGTGCCCGCCTTCGAGACATGTTGCATGTACCTAGAGCAAATTTAAAGCAGCCATATCACATACCCTTGAGTCAGCCCAGCCACCCCTATTCCCTCACATCTGAACAACCGTGCAAGGTATATATAGCAGTACAGCTTGTCAGTCTGGTAGCCGGGTTGGTACGGCCTAGCGGTGTATCATTATAAAGTATCATTATATGGTATCCTCAGGCACAGCGGTTCGATTCCCCTAGCGGCTGAAACATTCTTTTCTACATCCACTTTGATGACATTGCAACGATGAAGCGATAGAGCCTTTGCTCCCAGTTGCATTGATCAATTGGATACACATCATGATTCTTAAGTTGCGTAAATACGTATAAGCTATAGAGCCAATTGTAATAGTCGTAGACAGGCAGTGGTTGCTACACTGAACCGTTAGAAGTCTCTGTACACCCTCATTGTAATGGCATAAGCACTTTGGAACGAGCATTAAAGATGGCTTTTCTGGATTAACGCTCCCTATTCCAGGGTGCTTATTCAATTAATATGAACTCAACACTGGTATACTCGACTATATGGAGGGATGTCGGACAGACACTTATGGGGGGTGACTGTATCTCGTCCCTTGGGCGTCACCCCTTCGATTTTTCCATACTAGTCAGGCCTGGTCCCCGAGGCGGGAGTTCCTCACTGCCGTTCGGATTCCATCAGGCATATCGTTCCCGAAAAGCCTGCCTGGTAGGACTGATGAAGGTTCGCTTTGTGTACACGGATACCTGAATCCTCTTTGTGGCCATGCTCAAGCAACACACCGCACCACCGTCAATTTGGTGTTGCCTGTTCGACCAGGCTGCCACCAGAAGCCCCTCCAAGAAACGAAGCGTGTAGCCCGGTCATCTCCTAGGCAAAGCCCTTTTGTTGCCTCGGGGGTCGGCTGTTGTCCCTGGGACAGCGTGGTTGACTCAGCGCGGACCTTGGAGTCTGTGTTTAATAAATTAGCCTTTATTTTCACTGTTCCATTATTGACCTTCTCCTTCTCCTTGTTCACTTCTCAGATCATATCTGTAGAAGCTTTTCACTGCTCATAATATCTCAGGGGAACACCAAGCCACAGCTGCTCCCACCCAGACAATCTACAGAGCGATCCGCAGTACCCCACGGCGTCTCTGACTGTGTCATATCTCAACATGACGCGCATCCCAGCTGAGCCTTCTCATGACAACACAAGTTCTCAGCCTGATGCCGAGTTTCTCTCACCCAACGCCGGCGTTGAAGCAGGAGGACACATCAGTCCTCAGGACCAGGCTAGTGTGAGTAGTTCACCACTAGACGAAAAGCAGCGGTATCCTTGAGTATCATACTGACGGTTCTCAACAATAACAGACAGCAAGCCAAGACAATCGTCACGACCATGGCGGATACTCGACTCAGCCCGTAGACAGCTGCAAACCTCATCACCGGTATGCGACCCAGTCTACTGTGCCTTTCAACATAACCAGCCCTGTTCTGGGGACCACGTCAAGCCAGACGGAGTGTCCCCTGGTCTATGAACTCGGCACATCTACCAGCGACTCTGACGAGTCTATGGTCGACCCAGCGTCACCCGCTCGTCAGGTCGAAGCAGCACCGTCGGTTCAGAACAGCGAAAGACAGCCCACCCCCAAATACCCGTCTGATTTGGGCAGCGGCTTCGTCGGTCCCAGGACTACGCTTCACTCAACGGAGATGTCCCTTCATCGAGAACTCGATGTCATAGAGGTCTATCGGGAAGCCATGACGCTCCGGGAGCGGGACAACGAAGCTCTGCAGAAGGCCGTCGAGATTGAGAAGTCGAAGGCCGACAAGCTGAAGACGGAGCTCGAGCAAAGCCAAAAGCGACAGGCGCAGGACCTGGAGAAGTCGACAAAGGAGCAGCAGGACTTGAAGCGCGCGGGCGAATCAGCAGTCCAGAGGGCCCAAGGACTCCAGGACCAGCTAAGCAAGGCCATGACGGATCTGTATTTGATGCCGATTTACCAACATCAAAACGAAGAGCTCTCCCGAAAAATGCAGGAAGTCTGGGACGAGCTGACACAGGCGCGTCTATCATTCAAGAAGTCCGCGAAGCTCTTCACAGAACTGGAGACCAACATGGAGCGATACTCAGACAGCGCACAACAAGTGGAGGCACGCCAACACATTGCAGACACCGACTTCGCACAAGTCAAGGCGCTGCGCCGGGCTGTCCAGCGCGACATGCTCCGTCTCAAATTGGAGCTAACAAAAGCTCGTGAGGAAAAGCCTCGAGTAGAGGCAGAGGCTACGTCTGCCGAAGAGGGGCCTTCTGTTCGGCGGTCGAACTCGGCCAAGTCCCAGCAGCTCCTCGATGATCAGCAGGATCGAACGTGTAGCATGGAGGGGGTTGAGTCCGTGGGCAAACGCCGCATCGCCGACCTCTCCGAGGGGGAGAGTACAACCGACGGTCTTCGGGAACGGGACGGCGCCCGGGTTGACCTCACGGCAGAAGTAGAAGCGAGAGAGGACCAGCTTGTAGATCAGCTGAAGAAGGAGGAGGCTGCCCGCTCGGCCACGCTTAACGAGCTCGCAACAGTACAGGGCGCCATACAAGAGCTACAGGCACAGCTGGACAAGCTTCACTCTCGGTCTCGCCAAGGTCCTCTCCAGAGCTCAGCTCAAATTCACGCGACGAACCACCAGCACAAGCGAAAATCTCAGTCATCCGTTCTCGATCATCCGGCGGACGCTCGGCAGTTAGCTCTGAGACCTCGATTTGGATTCGATATCGTGGGTGCCGTGAGAGGATCCGATATCGCGAGAGCAATCGAGGCCGAGAACTACATCGCCAAGCTCGAGGAGAAGGTCGAGGAGGCGAAGGCCAACGAGAAAGCATGGGGCAATGTTTTCAAGTCGATGCATGAGGAAGAGCAGTCTGAGAAGTTGCGGAGAGAGTCTCTACAAGCGCAGCTCGAGGAGATGACAAACTACCTCGAGCCTTTCCGGGTAGAACTTGACGACTGGAAGGAGCGTCTCCGCCGTGATGTATCTGACGTCTACGATGCCAAAGATGTCTGGGAGAGAGCCAACGAGGGGTTGGAGAATGCCTTGTCAAAGCTGTCTAGCTCTGCACAGCGAGGACGCGTTTGGCGACCTTCTGCCCGAGCGACGATGAAGGAGAGATTTGACGGCCAGGGCCAAACTCCTGACCCTCCAAGAGCCACCTGATCGTGAAGTGCAGTAGGTCGCCGGCCACTCCTGGGGTAGTAGTCACGGGTCGTTACTGGACGAGGGCTGAAGCCAAAGGGTGGCTTTGGAATCACTCGAAGTGCTCAGGAACATGAACATGAACACACATGCGTAGGTAGATGAAGAATACACCTTCTTCGCTGAGCCATGTGACTTGCCGGGCGTCCTTCGGAATGAATCATCGTGAACGCAGAGCCTGACGTAGACTGCACCTGTAATAGAGTTGTGTTATGTAAAGCTCCAGTTCCCATCAGCCGAGGAATGCATGGATGCAGAGCCAAAGAAATGGCCCGAGCACATGCTGTCTTGGTGACGTCACGGCCGCGAGCCAATGAGACGCAACGTTTTCGTTGTCCTCGGCTACTTCCCCTGCGACCTCCATCATCTTCAGTCTCGAGCTCATGCGAAGTTCCACGAGCTAAATATTACCTCGAGCTCTTGTCTGCCGGATTGAATCGTCAGATATCGCCAACACCTCAAGCACCATACACACCCACGACCCACAGACACAATGGCATCCCGCATGATCTTCAAGCCCTCCGCGGCCTTCCGCCCCGCCGCCGGCATCTCCATGACCAGCAGACAGGCCCTGGTGCAAAGGACCTTCACCAGCAGCTCGGCGACCTTGCGCCAGAAGGAAGACGCCGGTAAGCCCACCAATTCCACACCCGGTTCTTCCGCAGATCCAAAAGAAGAATAGAAAAAGAAGAAAGGAAACCAGCCAAAACTGACATATCCACCACTACAATATAGCCCCGGAGTCGTACGACCCAGAGAAGCACAAGCAGGACCTCCTCGCGAAGCAGAAGGAAGGCAAGGGCCACTGGAAGCCGGAGCTGGCATCCAGCAGCGAGGAGTCGGTCAAGGCGGACCGCAACAACCACGAGGACATCGAGAAGCTGCAGGAGCGCACCAAGAAGACCGCCGAGGAGACCCACAAGACCGGCACAAGCATGCACGACGGACTGTGAGCTCGACACGAGTTATCTTGCGCCCCTTTCGCTGTTTTGGCCAGGGAAAGAAGTGTGTGGATGCGAGAGGGACTGCTCTTGGCTGACTCGTCTGGGTGCGTTCAGAGTCGATCTGATGGAGGGCGGGCCAATCGAGCCCACGCAGAAGGGGAAGGGGAAATGAGGGCAGCAGGTGGCTAGGAACACACCAAACAAGCATATCGGTGTTGGTTGGGCGGCGAAGGGAGGGGAGGCCGCCTCTGTGTCGTACTGTATAAATAGACGATGGTTTCTCAAACGAAAAAGATGCATATTCTAATCCTCGCGGAGTGGTACTTCAGATCGTCGACCAAGTTGTACATGCTTGGAGCCCCAGCTTCATCTCAAAGCCCGGATAGGCGCCGCTCCTGGAAGTCCTCAGCTTTTGCAATTTCAAGGGGGAGATTTCGAAGGCAAAAAGGTCAAGTATTCCGATCTTCACCTTGCGTTACTAGTGAAAGCATTGCATGGAATTTGCACATATAATTCATGTTCCCAGAGAGAGCGAAGCCCTTGCAATCGCCAATCCCCAATCTCATACGTCCGTACATGAATAAGATAGATACAATTCTAGCCAGCCGGGAAACGCCATGCCAAATGCAAACCAAGAGCCGAAACAGCCAATCCATAATCCCGGTCATCGTAGACGCACGCAGAACTTCCTCCTCTGGGTTCGTGCCAAGCCTTTCTCTCTCTCTCACTCTATCTCTGTCTTTGCCTGTGTCTCTCTCTCTGTGTCTCTGTCTCTGTTTCTGTATCTGCGACCCGTACACACGACAGCAACAGCACCGTAGCGTCCATCTACTTCAGCACGGCAATAAGAAGCACCAGCACGATGATCAGGATGACAATAGCAATCATCTGCTTACTCTCGCTCGCGGCGCGCGACATCCTGCCGACCTGGCGGCGCGCGCCCTCGAGGCGGCCCTGCTGGCGGTCGACAGTACCATCAACATCATCCAGCATGGCGACGTGGTCGTCGAGCTCGTCGCCGATCTGCATGCTCAGCTCGCGCTGCCGTCTGATGCTGTCGCCCAGCGCGTCCAGCTGCTCGTCCTGCTGGTCCAGGATCCGCTGGTGGTAGTCGTGAACCTGCGTGTTGGACATGCCGTCCGCCTCGTCGCGGTACCCCATGCTGTCGTCGCCCGCCGCCGCCGCCGCCGAGGGGTTGTCGCGGTACCGGCTGTTGCTGCCGAAGACCTGCGCCTCGAGGTCCGGGTCGGCTATGGCGTTGCTGGGGGCGGGGTTGTCCGAGAAGCGCACCGTCTTGGAGGCTGAGCGCCCCTTCTTGGGCCGCAGGTTCGAGGCATGTGACGGCGGGTGGGTTGCGTGTTCGAAGTTGTCGTTCAGTGATGGGCCATTCGGGTGCGTCAGGGTCGATGCGGAGGCTGGCGAGGAGAAGCCGTGGAATTGCGATGTCAGGTCATTGTACTGCTTCTGTAGACCGGGAAGCGAGTCGGAGATGGTGAGAGCGCCCCTGTCGCAATGTCAGTCCAGTCCATCACTTTTCGCTATTCCGAGAAGCGGGCGGGCGTCTCATATAAACGCCGTGGATCGTACAGGTTGGCAGAGATCAAGAGCCACTTGGCCGTATCATCCGACAGACGTATACACAGTTCCAAGGTAGTGCTGCTTACTCTTCGTCGCCTGCCTCTTCTAATCTCTTCTGCTCTTGTTCTAACGTGGCGAGGCCATCTTTGAACTGGTCCAGCGACCGCGACAGGTGGCCATCTTTCGTATCGTCGTCAAGATCGAGACTCTTTGCTCGTTGGCGCTCTAGCAGCGATAGCTTGATGTGGTCGGCTAGCAGGAACAGCTGGTTCGGATTCGACATGGTGATGGCTCTCGAGGTGCCTTCCTCTATATATCTTCAGGTCCGTTGCGAATCAGTTTATCGGGAGAAGCAATCTCGGCCTACGGACGCGCACGTTGAATACGAAGGGTTGGTGGTAATAGATTGGTTGGGTTGGTTGGCTGCTATCGTCGGGATCTGTGTTCCAATGCTGTGATCGGTCAACCTTGGAAGGCAGCTGCTAAGTTTAGACATTACGCAGCGTGGCTTAAGCGTTAACAATTACGCAGCACGGATCACGGATCACCCCCCGCGCCGGATCCTGCTCCCCTTTCCATCCAGCAGTCTTCCATTCACCTCACCTCAGCTCGATCAAATAAGTCAAATCAAGTCTATGGCGGATGAACAATACGGTTATATAATTCCCACTGCGGTATCTGTTACTTACTCTCTACCGAGTCACCGTAATATGTAGGAGTAACCTAACGACAACGTGTGGTCCACCTCCACATATCGGGACCGCTCAAGCCGACAACGCAAATGATAGGTCCAGACGAAGATACCCACTTGTCGAGTCAGTCGGCCATCATGCCACCGAATTACCAACGTCGTGGTTGGGAATGGCCAGGGTGCAGTTACATGTCGAGCGACTTTGTGTTACACAAAGGCGCTCGACTGAGTCCGAACTGGGACTGTCACAGGACTCATCGTCATCTGCCGAATATCACTCGCAGACCGAAGACAGACAGTCCTGGAGCAGGTCATACATCCAGTCAGCCGCCTGCGCAGCAACTCTCACGGATCCATTTAGCCGCGGCCAGCTTGCCCCTACCACGATCCTCCTCCGGGACCACGCCCACAGCACTACGCCTCTTGTAGAAACAACGGCACGCACCCTCCAATTCGCGGCAAGTGAGCCCGCAGCAAGTCAGCCAGTTTACTAAAAAGTAGTCCCCGTGGTGGGGTTGCAAGAAGAGCGAGAAAAAATTGATGGTTGATGACATGGATCTTCATTCAGGGTCCCCGTTCCTGATAACGTCGATATACCCCTCCAGCCCCTCCTCGAGGCTGCCGGCAGTAGTAGTGAGAGACATCTTTCGTGTGGTCTAGTGACTTTCGACGATCTTTCTTCTCTTCTATCGTTGTTTCTGGAAGTCATCTGGTGTCTTTTACGAGTTCATAAGCACTCAATTGCATCCAGTCGCGTCCAATTGTCTCCTAAACCCCCTCTCCAATCCCTCTCCACCCCCTCATAACCACCATCATGGCTCTCCCCATGGGCGTCTACCGCGCCGACCACGTCGGCTCCCTCCTGCGGCCCAAGGAGGTCCTCGCCGCGCGCGAGAAGGCCGCCAACGGCGAGCTCACCGCCGCCCAGCTCCGCGAGATCGAGGACAAGCACATCGCCAACGCCGTATCCGGGCAGCTTGACACCGGCATCCGCGCCGTGACGGACGGCGAGTTCCGGCGGAAGTGGTTCCACGTCGACTTCCTGAAGCACCTGGCGGGCGTCGAGGAGCGCGGCGCCATGGCCTCGACCAACGTCAGCGTCGGCGGCACAATGCCGCCAAGGCTCGTCGTGGTCGACAAGATCAGCCACCCGAAGGCGATCCAGGTCGACGACTTTGCCTACCTCGAGTCGCGCATCGCCGCCGCGGGCGCCCAGGGCAGCGCCACCACCAAGGTGTGCATCCCGTCGCCGACCATGATCCACTTCCGCAACAGCCGCGAGACCATCGACGAGAAGGCCTACCCTTCCTTGGACCCGTTCTTCGCCGACCTGGCGCGCGTCTTCCAGGAGGAGCTCGCCGATCTATACAAGGAGGGCTGCCGCTTTGTGCAGCTCGACGACACCAACCTGGCGTACCTGTGCGACCCCAAGATGCGCGCCGAGGCCGAGTCGCGCCACGGCGACGCCAACGAGCTCGCCCGACAGTACGCCGCCCTCATCAACGCCGCCATCAGCAAGCGCCCCTCCGACATGACGGTCGGTATCCACCTGTGCCGCGGCAACCACCGCTCGCAGTGGTTCGCGCAGGGCGGCTACGAGCCCGTGGCCGAGGTCCTGTTCAAGGACCTCGACGTCGACGTCTACTTCCTCGAGTACGACGACGCGCGGTCGGGCGACTTCTCCCCGCTGCGCCACCTGCCCGCCACCAAGACCGTCGTGCTCGGCGTCATGACGTCCAAGCGCGCGGCGCTCGACGACCGCCAGGAAATAATCAAGCGCCTGCGCGAGGCCGCCGAGTACTGCCCCCGCGGCCTCGACCAGCTGTGCCTGAGCCACCAGTGCGGCTTCAGCTCCACCTCCGAGGGCAACGACCTCACCGAGGACGAGCAGTGGGCCAAGCTGCGCCTCGAGGTCGACATCGCCAAGGAGGTCTGGGGCGACGACCTGTCCAAGTAGATTCTATTCTGGATAGCATGGAAAATAGTATCGAGGGATTGGATTTGGGGCAGTAGCGCATCTTGTTTGAAACTATCTATCTATCTATCATAGTGGCGGTCTGCCATCTTCAACAACGGCATTTATCATCGGCGTTATGTGGATAGTTGGGCTACAGTGGGATACCGGAGCCGAGGAGAGCGGGATGTATACACAATGTAGATAGAGCAGAGCATTATCATCGGGAGGGTCGGTATTCCCACCCGGTGAGAATGGGCGGCAGAGTCAGAGTTGGGGAAGTCAAGCAGTAGAGGAGACTCACACATGGTCCCGCGGCACATGAGCTCAACGCTCATGTTCTCCAGTGAGCCATAGTAGTCAAAATAAATAAATAAAAATCAAATTGCACCAAGAAAATTGCAGCATCATGTCAACGAATCGTCATTGCTTTTCCTGACGCCCTAGATCTAATATACAAGCTGATCCCTTTGAGATCTGCATTATCATCCCCGTCGTTGGACTTCCCTTCAAGTCCACGAGTGAAAGCCAGGCACCACTGCGCATCAATAGCACGTCATGTCATCAGCCGATCACAAGAGGTTGCGAGGCTTCAGATGTAGCAGTGAAGTAAGGAAAGGTGCCCAGCTGTAGCCTTTTCCAAGCCCGTCATATCGCCGACTCCAAAACGCCTACGACAACACCATGCATGCCTGCACGAGCTGGACATTTTCGTGAAGCCCATGGCGAAGGAAAAAGAGTCTCGTTACCCCTGCATGAATCCGGGTTGCCGAGATTGGGTACGAAGAGCAAACTGCCAATGTCCAGTGAGGGAGTCCTTCAAAGCCACTGCAGAGAATCGGCAGAAGGACAATGCGTGTTCACCTTGCAGTCATCTGAATGCACAGACAGAAGAGGATGGGTCGTCAATTTTGTGTGGAAATGAAACCCTCTATTCCGAATCCATCGAGCGACAGTGGCGAGAGATGTCGAGCAAAATAGTCGCAGGGTATAAGAAGAGAATGGAAAGCTGAACATGGACAGATGGCGCATCGTCGAAGTTCAATGCCCCCTGCCAAATATAGTATGCAATAGCAAAACGTAACTGAGGATGTGCATCATCAGGGCTTTGAGAGTGTGACCAGAGATATGATCCGTTCTATACATCGTCGGTCGAAGCATGGCAAGACGTAGATGAGAGAACAAATCACCAGGTCACCAGGTCACCAAGGATACCAAGTACCATCAGGGAAGAGTTCAAGCTCCAGGTGGCTTGGGCATCTCGCCAGCAGGGCCTCCGCCTTGCTGCTGTTGAGCCAGAGCCTGGTACCATAAAGCCAAGTATGCTTGATAGCCGCCGTCTAATCCTACATTAGCATATTTCATGAGCACAACGTTGGTGGGTTTAATGCACTTACACATAGCATAGGGATCAGCACCTCCATTAGCAGCTGCGGGAGCCTGGGTTTCAACCGCAGTGGGCTGGTTGTTCGAGCCTTGAGGGGTGTAGTTCGGGTTATCCCAGTCACGACGGTTATTCTGTTGTCGACCACCACGCCCACCACCTCCGCCGTTGTTCTTCTGGCGCTGTATTGCGGTTAGCATGCTATGCGGTCTCTTATAGGTGTCGAACTTACCACGGCATCAACCTTGTCCTCGATGGCACGCTTGGCTCTATCAATGGCGTCATGCGAGCCGACTAGGCCAATCTCACGCTCCGATTCACCGGGACCTGAAGACTGAGAGACATTGATCTTGCATCCGGTGGTGTTTTGCATCTCCCGAATGGTCTCGCCGCCCTTGCCGATAATCATACCGACGGCCTCCGAAGGGACATAGATTGAGTCATTGATCTTGTCATGGCCACCTTGAGGAGCACTGTCGCGGCCATAGTCATTCTTCTGTGGGCGCATCTTGTTACCACCATCGTTGCTATTGCCATTGCGGCTATCACTTTCGACGATCTCCAGGATGAATTCCTTGGCTTGGGCAGCCGCGTTGACAGGACCGATCAAATTGACAGGACGCAGACCGTTCACGCTCTTTGATTCACCCACGATGTTAATGTGACAGCCGGATCGCTCTTGGAGATCTCTAATGGTCTCACCGCCGCGCCCGATGATAAGACCGACAGTACGATCGGGAACCATGATTTGCATGCAGTCTTCGCCTTCTTTCAGTTCGAGCGGAGGTGGGGATGGAGACCGAACAGCAGCAGCAGGCGGACCACGGCCACCTCCATGGTGCGTTCTGTCAAGGCCAGCTCGGGCGATGGCGCCCATGCCGCTGTCTTCGATTATTCTATTGATCTGTGCCTTGGCCTCGGCGCGGCCTTGGCGAGGACCCGATATCTTGCATTGGCGGAAAGGACCAGGATCGCCCGGGGACGAGATGAATTGGACTCTGCATCCGGTCTCAGATTCAACGCGTCGCAAGTTCTCGCCTTGTCTTCCAATGATCAGACCAACGAGGCTCGACTCAATCTCAATCATCTCGTTATTATCATCCCCACCTCGATCACGGCCATTTGCACTGCGAGGAGAGAAGGTGCCAGAAGGACGGCCACGGTGCATACCAGGTGACATAGAACGATCGCGACCATAGTCACGGGCATGGTTACCGCGGTCCTCACGTCGCTCATCTCTGTAGGGGTCGAAGTTATCACGAATGCCGTCACGGCGTCCAGTTGGGGAACGAGAGCGAGATCTATAATGTCTGGCATCGGCACCACGAGGATCATGCGACGGGTATGCACCAGGAGGTGGACGTTCATATGCAGGCAATCCCTGCTGAGCAGCATAGCTCTTGGCCTTCGCTACAGCATCGGCGAGGCTGACAGTACCAGAGTTGACAGGTCTGATGGCACTCAAATCAATTGGCATACTTCCGTTTGCTGATGGCATAGGGTAGTTCCCGGCATATGACGGATGTTGGTTCGCGGGAGGCATTGTCGGCGGGTAGGCATTGGGAGTTGGGCTCTGATGATATCCAGGGACTTGGTGAGGCGGCTGGCCCTGGTTCGGTGTGGCGGTGGGAGCTCGTTGCTGCGCTGGGACGAGGAAGGGTGGTCAGCTTCGGATCAGATGTCGGCACGGGGACCTGGTGAGGGAGGGTGGAGGGGTACAAACCTAGAGCAGCGAGGATGGAGTTGATGTCCTGATGGTCTGCCATTGCGACGGACTGGTGTTCCTGGTGTTCGGTGGGCCGAGTCTGTCGGTCGAGGTGATGCTGCAGGAGTATGTCTTTAGGCGCCGAGGTCTTGCAGATGAAAGAGGATGGTGGAAAGATGGTGGCAGGACAAAAGCAAGCTCAAGTCGTGGTTCATGTAGGTGTGCAAGGTAGAGGGCTGGAGGGCTGGAGGTGATGCAGGTGCATCGAGCGACAGAATGCGGTTCTATGCACGCTAGGTCAAAGAATGCACAATGCAAGGGAACCTGAATGTAGGGAAGTCGAAGTCGAGGTTGAATGAATCAGATTAGATTGACCGCGCATTCGACTTTTCAAGGCAGAGAGTCGCGGTCGCATCAATGGGCATTCACTCTCTCGACGACGGGAACAGAACACAAGCGCACGCAGGTGGCGAGAGGTCACTGATCCGTTGTTCAGGTCCCAGGTTTCGAGGTGGATGGGTATGCGCGCGAGTCGGAATCAGAATCAGGATCAGAATCAGAGTGCTTACTTTCAGGCGTACGAGGAGTCGCGATTCTTACGGCATCAGTCAGTCACTGCTTGCTGGTGGGAGAAAGGTGATGATTTTGCGCGAAGGGGATTTTTGTGGATGGGAAGGTGAGAGAGTGGAAGTGGCCACGAGCAACCTTTTGAGGCTGGATGGCTGGGCGCTGGGCTCAAGCTTGGGCCGGCAGTGTTGGTACCTCAGGCACCTGCACTGGGGGGTTTATAATAAAACTGGAGACCGGGAAAGAGTTTGGGTCCGGTGTGGTCAATGCAAGCAACCTTTTTTCTGCTCAAGCTTGGCAAGCTCCGTCCCGCGCTAAACTGCTTCCGTCCTGAGCTGGGCAATCAGCTGCAATCATCCCACGGTCTTGGGCTTCAGCTGCCATCACCTGGGGGCATGGACTCAGTCCCAGCGGCCAGCTGCAGCAAACGACAGTCCTTCAAATCATCACCGAGCGTCCCCTTCCTAGGTAGATACGATGCTTACAGAATGCATGACCTCTAGCAATAGAGCTCTGTACCAGGACTTTCTGTTGTTTATGCCATATTCCTATGAAAAATTAAACAGCAGCCACGGCCGCCTCCCTAGTCTGTTGATGGCTGATCGATACACTCATTAGCGCAACGCCAAGGTCAGCCACTGTAGTCTCGCTCTGGGCTCCATGGATGCGTGAATTGTTCTACCTTGAGCAAAATGTCGAGATTTATTATTCCTCTGAGCTCATGTACCGATCAGTGGCCAAATTGTACGGTTCATAAGTGTGCCCACGCCTGATTCAGGGGTAGCTATGCAGCAGGTACCGGTAGTCAGTCGTTTGGGACAAACCCAACCAAAGTCCAGATTTCCTGTTTGCTTCCTGCATCCAGTCCATATCAATATCAGATGCTACGGAGGAATTCATAGGCAGCTACAATGCTGCAAAGGAGTGTCATGAGCTTGGTGGCCACCCAAAGCGAAACACAGCTTCTTCCGTCAGGACTTGATCGTCCCACTTAGATTGGTAACTTCACTTCCCAGCTAGGTGGCGTTTTACAAGTCGTTTGTTCTGATATTATGGTATGATTACTAGGTAGCACATACCCAGTCGCAAATGTGAGTTATCACAAGCCACTACACCTCGTCAGAACGCCGTCTCCCCGATCTTGACAGCAGAGGTGATCCTAGCCGCCTCCAGCTCCGCGAAGAGCTTCGCGAGCATCTGGTCCTGAATCAAGGCACCTCGTTAGCACATATGTCATGTAAACCAGTCCTGCTATAGTGAAAGGAGTACTTACACAACCTCTCCCTGCGCCGACTGAGATGGACTGTCACGGCACTATCTGGCCAGCCATATGTAAGTGGATGCAGACGGTCAAGAGCTCGACTTGACAACGTTCTACTTTTGGTAGGGTAGCGGTATGGTGCTGCATTCCTGTTCCGTCACATGGACACAGGCAGCGTCTCCCTCACGTCCATTACCCTGCTCAGGTACTAGACCTGGCCAACGGGCACCACGTAGTCAGGTAGCCCGGCATAGACCATAATGGGGGATATCTGTCAGTTCCCGGTAGGTCGGAGTTCCTATGAACACAGGCATTTAGTTAGCATCCGTCCGCAAGGGCCTTCCGCTTCTCCGTCCGGTGCATACCTTTCGGGCCTATGTGATAAACGTAAATAGACTCGGAGCACGTCTCAGCATCAATAGGGTTGACGACCTCTCTCCACCACTTGATGAAGTTGGCCTTGATATCCAGTGCCTCTCCTACGGCTCCGCCGTGACATTGTTGTTGCCGTAGCTGAACGAGACCCGGGCCTTAGGGCCGATCCGCAGAGTCTCGTTTCGGCCGCTGAAGCTCTACCAGTCAGCGTAGAATGGAGTCTCAAGCAGCTCGACCTGCTCGGACCAAGCGATGGCTATGTAGGACATGTTAGTGTACTCCAGCAGTTCCTGGTCGACAGGCCCGGTCTCGCCCCATACTGCGGGAAGGCTCGAGGTCGGTGTCTGTTGTCTTGAGAGATGTGGCAAGCTTCCCGCTGAAGGTGTGGTAGCCGGCTTGTGCGGCACCTATGGTCACGGAAAAGCCACCAGTGGACGAGTTGGCAGCTCGGTAGACTTTCTTTGGGAAGTGCGTGTAAGTTGTATATGTATTCTCGCCGGTCCAGTGCTGAAGGAACTTGGCGTGGGGTGCGGCGCTGCGAGTAGAGCCGCCCAGCATGTCCGGGAGGTCGACACCAGCACGAGTTTGTCAGTCGTGTAGCCACCCTGGCGATCCGTTATATGCTACCGGGACTGTATCGCATTGCGAGTCAGTATGCACAATGTTCATGATTGCCTGCATGATACACTGAGCCCTCGTAAGTCTCTGTACACCCGCCGTTCCGCAAGCGGGGGGATGTGTTCCTCAGAAATGGGATAAGCACTCTGGAATAAGCATTAAAGATGGTTGTATGAATTTAAGCTGTTTAGTTCAGGGTGCTCGGCCCACGAATATGATTTTTATTTTTACCTTATTTTTAAGCTGAATGCGGCGTGCCAGACGGAGACTTATGAAGGGTGAATGTGGCCATGTAACTTATATCTTATGCTGCCCGAAGTATCCGTCCCAATAGCCTATTCCAACCCCTCGTACGCCGCAACAGCAACTGCGCTCCCGGCGGAAGAGACGAGCAACGTCTCCACCCATCGCCTCGAGGATCGAAAGGCACCAGAACCTCAATCCAGTCAGCCGTTGGGTGCTCGCCGTGGGCAAATCGGGTGGTCTTGACTTTCCAGACAACCACGGGCGCCTAGGTCCACCAGCCAGCCTCTACACCGAAGGCACCGACTCATTCCGCGGCAAATATGGGGTGTAGTTGTCTCTCGACGCGGCTCCAGTCTTGACGTCCTTCATGTGGTCGATGTACTTGACGGCGGCGCGGACACCAGCGAGGGCTTCGCGTCTCAAGCTTCGAAGTGCAGCCTCGATGGAACGGCCACTGTTGCTTCTGCTTCCAGAGCCATGATGATGGTGGAAAGCCAATTCACTGAGCCGATCTTTCGCTTCCAAAATGCAAAACAAAAGCACGCTATCCCGCCCTCCCACCAATAGGTACCGCAGAGGTACCTAGTCCTTAGGTACTTTCTTATCTTTTGCTGCCATGTCGGGTTTGCTTTCTGTGTCTTCGGCTAGACGGTTTATGGCGGCGGGAATTGGTGAGAGAGTCTGAACAGTTTGCGCGATAATCTCAACAAACCGCTTTTCTTCCTCAAGTCTTTTCGCCCGGAGTTTGCGTCGCGTTGCTTCAGACGAGATGCAGAAACCAGCGGTCGCTGATAAAATAGCTGCTGTTGAAACGAGAACAGAATTCCTGTCCGGCTTCTCAACCTTAGCAATGCGAGTCCAGAGGGCACTGACGATCTTGCCGATAAACGCCATGCTGATGGTACTTGATGATGCTCGTGGGATTGATAACTAACTGTATGATGCCGGTATATCTGATGATGGGAGATTTAGATGGAATCAATGATGCTGGGATCTTGGTGTTGAAGAGTGATGGGGGAATGTGTGAAATTTAGGAATGGTCTGTATTAAAAGGGAAGAAGGATCGCTGATGGGGGCACCATCCTACTTTCATAGGTGGGAAGGGGACCTCTGACAGCTACATGTGATGCCACACGAATGACAACATAATATTGATCATAACAATGCTAAATACCCCACTGAGCACGTATTCGGAAAGGATGCAGAGGGTAAAGGGATTAAAATTAAGATAAGCAGGTATCTCCCGACATCCTGCAGGCTAAATCATTGCCAAAGCAAGAAGAAGCTCCCTATGTTGCGCACATCAAACCTACCTAAGTTGAAAACCGCTCGTCGTTACGGCCATCAGACGTCGGAGTCATCAGCAACCAAGCACACGATAGAAGCATCTTGGCCATTTTCACAATGACGAGCGATACACACTCTCAAGCTGGCAAGACAGCCGAAGTCCAGTTTCGAACTGTTCTACATCCCATGTGTCCTGAAGGCGTGGATTCTATATATCTTATACACCCAACATGTTGGTTGACCCCTATCAACCGTCGGCAACTTGCTTGCCCACTCCAACTCTCATAGCCAGCCATGACTCGCAGCAACCCGACAACGCCGTCTCCATCGATAGCCAGCAGGCCACTTCGACATCAAGAACCCAGGGAGGTGCCGTAGGGCAATTCCAACCGCTGCGTACGAACTCAAGCCTTGGGTATACATACGCCTTCATCTCTTGCCTGACCCCGACTCTGATTTTGACCTCACACCATGGAAGGCTGCTCCCGGCCTCCTATCGAGTTGCCGGCGAACAAGCAAGGCGTGGGTTTTTCGCTTCATTCCGAGGTATAGTCGGGCTACCACGACAGTTACCAACTGACACGACCAACCCCGACGACCAACATGAACCCTTACCGGGACCAGGTTGTTTGTAGCTCTCTACCCGCGTGATGGACGCCGCTGCATACCGGAGAGGAGACGCCGCAAAAGTGCAGAGCACATGCATGGACCGGGTCGGCCATGCTGTGAATAAGATATAATCTGGATTGAAGGATAGAACATGCATAATTCCCAGTATCTCCAAGGTCAGGAACAAGCAAACCTCCTGCGGTATCATCTCACCAACAACTACGCTACCGGCTAAGATGAAGGGGAATCGAACTACAACCCGGTCCACCACTCGATACGATGAACCTCCTTGTTGAAGTCAAAGTCAACACCACAGACCCACCTGCCACTTCGTCTAAGTCCCAGTACCACAGAATGTGTACAATTCTCAACGCCCTCCACCGCTCCCAATCACGTAAACGACAACCAGCCAGCCAGCTCGGGAACCCGCCGCAAGACAAGTACCCGTGAGCGGCAAGCCGCAGACCTACCTCTCATTCGTAAACTGGCACAGTATCACAAAGAAGCCAGCAACAATGTCATTGTGGCAAAGAAAGATCCGAGGTAAGCTAACCAGTCATCAGTCCGCCACAACACAAGCACACACACATACACACAAGACACAAAACACAAAACACAAAATACAAGACACAAGACACAAGACACAAGCCCGACATACATGCATGCATGCAGCTCGATCCGGCAAGGGACACCAGCGGCTCCCCTCCCGCCAAAACCTACCTGCTTACCCCAGCCGTCAGCCGTCAGCCTAGGGAAGCGTAAGCTGAAGGCATGTAAGACACAAGTAAGACACAGGTAGATAGTAACCTAAAGCAGCTCGACCGAGCTCGACCTGCAGTTGCCGCCAAGTCACCAGATGAGCGTGCTACGGGATCGAGGCGCTCGTTGAACATGGTTCCCACGTCGAAGACTGAGTTGAGATCTTGTGCAGCATGAAAGCATTACCTGAACGGTTGTGGATGAGCTTACTTACTTACCTTGGCTATTCCGTTTACCAACTAACAGGCTTGCTCATAAGCTTGCTCGAGTACACTGCAGTAGCACTGCTTTCAAAATCGGCCCAGAATTTGGGGGACTTGTGAGGGTGAGACGACCTGCTGGGCGAGTTTCTTCCGATTCTTGACAGGGCCGTGGTGAAGTCGTATTACAGACGTCACGACCAGGTGAGAGGGATTGTAGGAATAGTCTTGACGTATGGCATTGCTGCCGCCCCTGTGATCCACCCGAATATATACTGGTCGATACACACACCTACACATAAGATTCAATTCCCGTCCAACCGGGACCCAGACATGCACTTCGACCATCCGAGAAGCCCGGATTCGGGCATTGTAGAAGAAGAGGTCGGTGATTTCAACGAACCACCGCCGTAGTACAGAGACAAGATATGGTAGAGAAGAACATTGATATCAGCCCTGTATTTGCAGCCCGCCGGAACCATGTGAAGCCAACTCCGTCTCGTGCCAAGGCCATGGGCCTGGAATAAAACAAGACAACCGCGCAGTGCCAACCCAATTCCGTTGCTTCGTGTTGAGATTCTCCTTGACCCGAATATCCCCATGTAGGACCCTGCCCAAGTAGAACACCACACCAATGAAAAACCAGCCCCGCCTGCTTTGACAAAACAGAGACCAACCCCTCGTCGCCAAACAGTTGTTCTATATGTAGTGGTATTCTTTTTCTCTCAATGCGTCATGACCCATTTCATGACTCTTGTCGTGCCGCTCCCTGATGAACCCGAGGACTCCGCTGTGTGTCGTGAACACCGATGCAATTAAACGAAATGCAAAAGAACCGCCGTTGTTTGAACGCCCATTCGTGAACCCGGACAGCGTCCATCTTTCGAAGTCGGAACACCGGGTTTTATGGTATTTCCCCATTGCTTGCAGAACCGAGCAAAAAAACCAAGAGGTATCGATCATCTTTCAGCCATGCGCGCCCATCGTAAAAGCTCTGAAACCAAGTTTGCCGATGAACACTAGTTATATGTCGAATAAGGATGTTTATACAGGAGAAGGTGGAGTTTAGGTGGAGATGAAACCGCAGTCGAGCTCCAAGAGTGAATGAGTGGCCTGAGATTGAAGATGTCGACGCCCCCGAGATGTCTGTGCCGGTGCCCGCCAAGATGGAACGGCTGTCGTAATACAGCGATTGAACACCAAACAGACGGTAAAGTAGAGATGCTCTTAATTACGGAAGACGTTGATGGATTGGTCGAAAATCCTGTCATCCATTGGGAAGCTAGACAAGAATCTACCACCGTCTGCCGATGGGGTGCTGATGTTGGTGGTGCTGATGCATCCGACCAGGCGACACGGATGGCGGCGGGCTCGACATGGTCAGGCCATTGGCCGGGTTGATGATGGGGATGGCGTTGCGGGCACGGGTTGCGGCAGGCTGATGCAACTTCAAGCTCGACTGGTGGCTTTGGAAAGTCGGAGGAACGAAAGCCGGAGAGGATGAGTTGAGAGAAAAGGTCGACGCAATCTGCTGCGTGTGTTGCGTCGGTGAAACATTAGGAGAGTTGCTGGACAGCGAGGAACGATCGGAAGAAGCGCTGCTTATTGATACCAGCTAAAGAAAAAGGGGCACGATCAGCAAGACGGTCCTGGATGTCACGAGGACTCATCGAGTGCATCGACGGCTGTGCGACGCATCCGAGGTCGAGGCGAGCTGGTTGGACTTACATCGGTTTCTGATAATAGCTTGGGGCAGAACTCCATGTCATCCTCGAGGTCGAACGAACGGCTGGCTTCGAATTGATTTCGGAAGGCAGTCACGCCGGCGGTTTCACTCAGCTCCTTCATGCTCTTCACGCCGCGGAACTGTCTGTGGGAGTTCTGCGATACCGACAACCTCGGTGCCCTCCGGTTACGGCCGCCGTGGTGGTTGTGGGACAGGCCGGGCGCGGGAGCGGTCGGTTGTTGGTGGTGGTTGTAGTTGTAATATGAAGACATTATGATACTCTTTGTTGGTTAAAGATGCTGAGTATGAAGCCACTGAAGCCGTCGTGATCGTTGCGAGGAAGGGATGGTTGGACAGCAGAGACGCCGTTGGCTGGTTGGGTGGCGGTGTGTACGAGTGTACGTGCGCTATTGTTTAGATGGGGGCTGTTGTGCGGGCAGCCGAGCTTTGCGGTATTAAAACAGCAGCTTTGAAACAGCAACAACAATGAAACTGTCCAAGTGTTGAGCAATAGGGAGGCGTCGGCAAAGATGAGACGGGAGCGAGTCGAATTGTGCGTCGGTCAGTCAAAGTCGGGGCCCCAAAGAAAGATAGCGTTTTGTGGTTGTAGTTGTCAAGTCGGAGGTCGAGGTTGGGAGAGGCGTGGGAGGCGTGGGAGGCGTGATGTGGGTGTGGGTGAGTTGTAAGTTGTGAGTGGTAGGATCGATAGAGTGAGGAGGGAGAAGGCGGGAGAGGGGACGGAGCAGGGCAAGCTGTGCGGTCGGAGAAGGCGAAGGATTTTGTTGGATTGGACAGGCTGTGAAGAAGACGGGCGGGTGAAGGGTTCAAGGAGGGCGGGCAATGGCGCTGAGTGGCAGAGAACGGCAGCAGTGCCAGCAGCGAGCCAGGCGAGCCAGGCGACCTCCTGGAGCGACGCTGGGCTGGCTGGGCTGGGGTCTTGACCCAAGAGGGCTTAGTGCGTGTAGGGAAGAGCAGCAGCTCCATAAGCCAGCCGCTTGACGAATGACAGGCGAGTCGCCACCGAGGCTCATTGGACAGATTGCCCAGACGTCTTTGGGCGCTAGCACGGTTGAGGCCTAGCATGTGCAAGATGGGGCTGGCTTTGTCACTTGCAGCACTGCACACAGTGCCGATGGCAGATTGCTGCTGCAGACCGCCAATTCCCTTGCAACCCATCCTCTCACTGTCTACCACTCCGAGGCTGCAGGTGGTAGCAGCACAACAATGATGGCGGTGGGCGGGGGGATGCATCTTCCTTCAGTTGTTAGGCCCAATCGAAGCCCGAACAATTGATTACTTGTACATCATCAGACCTCACAATAAAAGACCCGGTGGTCATCAATTGTAGTTGATGGGATGGTCTGTTTTGCTCTCCAAAGTCTTTAATATTGCAATACATAGATATCAACCAAGAATCATGAGGTCGGTCCATCTATCACCATGTTAGTTGACTACGCAGGTAGGTAATCTGGGTAAGTAACATTTGAGGCTGGTTTACATAGAGACAGTGAGAGGAGTCTGATGATGATGAGTCCATCGTGAACCCCGGATTCCTTTCTCTCAACCCCTCAGAAGTCGATGCCCCCTTTTCAACACCGACGAGCGAGATCCATTCGATAACCTCCTCGTATCATCACATACTATGGCGCCTAGTCATGAAAATCTAATCATTGCTGGCTTCCAGGTTCAGAGTAGAGACATTTCACAACAGGTCTGAGATTGCTCACAGCCTCCCCCCTTTTGCTACATGACATCGGACCTGGCCGGACCCTCGTTGCGAGTGAGACCTGCCGCCGTTGATATCGTCCCAATCTCATGAAACTCCCTTCGACTTCCTGGGGCTAGGCCGGTGGTCCTGCGGCGATAGCGTAGCAGGACATGCAGACCAGCTGACTTTGCATAATTGGGTGCCACCATTAGTATTCGAGTTCGGCCTTCGGCTTGCGTAAAAAGGACTGGGGCTCGGGCACTGTGACCATCGACACTGCAGTTTGGGCCCGAGCGTTCGTCTTGATGATGCTTGATGGTTGGATGGATGCATGTTTGGCCAGGGCCCGCTATCGGTAGATCCACCACCGTCGCAGTGCAAGTGGGCATGATCAAGGGTCTCGTGCATCGTGAACGGTGAGACTGCTGGGAGTCTGGGACACCCTGCGAGTCCGCGTGTCCGCCGTACTGTGTACAGTAGAAGGATTCTGGGCGGCTGGAGGTGGTTGATCACGGACTCCTGCCTCCTGCTTGTCAGACAGGATTGCAGCATATCGACCGCGGCAACGCAGGCAGCAGTACGTGTGCAGCCAAGCAGCCAAGCAGGCCAAGGTAGGGGTCGACTGCGTGTCGTGTCAGCGTCTGCTTGCGTGCTTCTTCATTCAGTCGCTGACTGCGTCGTGCTTGTTTTCATTGATGCAGTTTCAGTTCTCGAGAGTGGCCATAGCTGACCGTATGAGGACCGAGGAGAGGACCATGTGTTTCAAGCGGAATCAGCGATATTGTGAGGCCCACTCGGCCACCATTTCTTAGTTACGGTCACATTACGGTGCGTTGTGCATTATCATGCATACTCGACGGTTGACCCAATCTCGTTCGCTGTGATATCGGCTGCCTACTGTGTCATTTGCTGGCCCACTCTGGCAGGCGATAGGTGGCCCTACCATAATAGTATGCTATTTTGGCCATCAAGATACCGCGGATCATCGGAGGTCGGGACCTCCATCTGTCAATCGAATGGCCAGCAATTGTCCAACTGGCAACTGCCAACCCAAGTTACCGCCGTGTGTGATGATAACACCTTCTGGTCCCCTATTCAACAACCCCAAAATAGGCGAGAACAGGATCCAGGACCCTGAGGAATGTGACCTTGACGGCCTTCCCGAATCGTCGTCGCCAGGACACCTCGGCAGCCTCGAGAATCCTCCAGGAGAATTGACAGTCTTTCGACCCTCGAGTGTCATCACCATGGGTTGCTGTCGACTCACTGCCGATCGACAATGACATGCCTTGCCGCCCAAACGCCCCCTCGCGGCCATCTCACCCACTTTGGGAATGCCACAGCCGCGGGTGACGACAGCGGCAAAAGGATGGATTTTGGAGCTACCGCTGTATCGAGGCAGGGCATGGGGAGATGTCATCATCTCCAAGCTCCCACCACCTGATGATCCATGCCATACATGGATGTTTTTCCGTGTCCACCTGTGGCTCCATAGTCGTTACACGTAACCAGGTAACACGATCATGAGATGGCGCACTGTCGCATGCTGACATGACGATCTATCTGCCTATCTGATGTGAACAGGTGCAGGAGGATTCCATCTTATAGCCGTACTCGAAGATCAATCTTACTGCTATCTCACAGATCAGTCTGAATCTGAGCAATCTCTCGGTCTTGCGTGAACACTGCCTCGACGAGTCGACTGCCTGGTATCTCCAAGTGGGACAATAAACAATCAAACATTGACGATAAACCTGCAATTCCGCAGTTATCTCGATCCCCCCTGCCCCCTTGCATAGAGCACTGCCCGGCTGTGCAGTGTGGGGAGATTTCTGGAGGTGGCTGCCCTGCGTGTCTGCAGTCTGCAGGGCAGCGATATCAGAAACGCTCCAGCTGCACCACCTCCCAGACCTGTCCTGTTTTGGATAAGAAGCCGTCGAAATGCTGCTTGCGGCAGGAGTTCCAGCCAGTCGTTGAAGAGAGAACGACGTTGATTTTGGGGAGGCCTGGAATGGTGGCATTTGCCTCACGAAGAGTCCCTGAGCACTGCCACAGCGCCGTTCCATTCGAAAACGTTCCCCCAGTGCCGTGCTCTCGTGGCCACATTACATTCTTCAGAAAGCGTGGCGAATGGGAAATCGCTTCGCCAACTGCGGCATTGCTGTGCGTGCATCCCCATCTGCAAGCTGCTGCCCTGCCGATGCCATATGCGAGGGGGGCAGGGCCTCGACGCACCACGCTATTCTTGTCGACGTCGCATTGTTCTTGTACATATGTCTCGGATTTCACGACTTCCAATTAGCATCTGCTCCCGTCCCTCGAGATACTGCTGAGACCTGTTCATCGGGAAAAGCTGGAATGTATTGAAATGCGCAGGTGATCAGTCTTGGTAGGATAATCAATGCAAGGGGTCAAATTAGGGTTCTACCACAAGTCCGCAGACCTCCTGACCTCTCTCAATTGAAGGTTACTTGCGTCCCTGGCAAGGAGAGACACCACGGATAGGGGATGAACGTGGGCTGACATGGCACATACGAAAAGTGTCAACTGTGAAAGGGCTACTTAATAGTTTTTTAAAGTCACATGGCGAGATCGAAATATCTGGTATGGCGTTCATGTCATTATCATGGTACCTACATGGACCAATACAAACTTCTTGTCGATGGCCCTCTTACTTCAGTTATCCTCCGGTACTCGTAGTGATCTGGGTCGTGTCAAGCGGAGCCAAAGCCAAGTCTAATAAAATTCAATCTCGCTGATCTAATCACGCTTAACGCTATGATGTACCGTATACCGCCCCTTGGCTATAGATATTGCTGAATTGTGATCGGGACGCTGGGTCGAACGACAGCCGAATGGGCTCTGGTCAAGTGTCTCGCGCAAGACTCGTAGCCATGTCGGTTTCTGTGCCTGTTCAAGCCTTATCTAAACCTCTCGCCTTCACGAAGCGATTGATCTGCTCCCGGGTCATCTTGTCGTTATACTGCTCGTGGCATTCGTAAAACGAAATCAACTCCTGTGTACAGTCGATCATGCCCTCCATATCAACATTACTCTCAGCAAGGAAAGCCGCGAATCTCTGCACCTTTCCCACTCGGGCTTCTTGGTGCCTGTCCTTCTCAGGGGCACCAGGTGTACCATGAACGCTTCCACCGGCACCAGTTCTGGCTTGGGCTTGTGCGAGAGCTGCCGTCGCTGCGGCCATGTTCGCCGCTGTGCCACCAGGCGCGGGATTCGGGCGGAGCACGAGAGAGAGCAGGATAGCTGTGAGAGCAATGAGATGCGGTGGGTATAGTAGGGGAAGGTCGGTCATATAATGATCGTTGATCACCGACAGGGCCAGGTTTATCTCGTCTTGGGAAAGGTAAAAGTCGGACTGGAGGTTCGTCAAGGTTCGATAGGGTTGATGGATGATCAGGTGCGAGTTCATCTCGGAGATGAGGAAGAACTCGCATTCGCCGAGCCGCGACACGTCGACAGCCAGGAAATCTAGACAGACGTTGGTCCCCTCGTTAGTCCGCCCTTGTCGTGCGAGCTGCAGAATGGTGACTCCTACCTGGCCATAGAGAGCGTGACTCCGTAACGAGGAGTCTGATATGCTGCGGGGTTTCTTCCATCTTGCAAGCTAGGTAGAGAGCAGTGGTGATGACCAGGTATGGATTCGTTCGGCGTATCTCGACCTTGCAATAGAAACGCTTGATGTAGAGTTGAGCAGTGGCAACTGCCTGCTGTCTCACTCCGAGTCTCTTGCCCAGGCGGTTGATCTCTGGTAGCACAAGCCAGTCAGTCCGAGGTTCCTAACCGCATGTCTGTCTGTTTGCGACGGAGTCTTACGTTGGTTGATGTAGATGTTCAAGTGCCTCCGCTGGGGCAAGGGGTACATCTGGACCAAGTTTTGCTCGCTATCCTCAAGCTTCTCGCGCATCTGGGCAAGCTCGTCTTTCGAGAACTGCCAGAAGCGCCGTTGCGTCGACTCCCAGTAGTTGGCGGCCATGATGATCTGCTCTCACGGGCTTCTCCAGCCTAGAAGAGACGAAGGTCCGAAGGGGTGGGCTAGATGGGCCCAATGTGGTAGCTCATATTGGCTGCCAGAGTCTCTAATAAACCCCAACTCAGCAGTCAAGGCTGAATTGGTGGCTTACATATGTAGATGTTCTGGAGGAGGGCTGAAGGTACTTGCGAGTAAAGTTCAACGGCAATGCCCGGGGGACGGGATGGAATGCCCCTGGGACGCTGGCTCGGCCGTAGGGGGTCCGTGCTCCGATGGAAGATTCCATACTGTATGAAAGCGCTATAGAGCCGCCTGTATTACAGTGCTCAATAAAGACAACGCACGGTCGCATCGTCATGCCCGCGCTAACGCCCGCCTATCCCTTATCGGGCTTATCGCTGCCCGTTAGCACTAGCGGCCTGGGGCTTTTGGTCTTTCGGTCTTTCACGTCGCATCCCTGTTCCCTTTAGCACATTGCGGAGGGCTTGTTCTTTTGCGCTCACCCCGGCATCACATCACCGACATCAATCCAAGCTCGTTCGTGAGGGAATGATCCAATCCGAGACACTGACCAACTTGGCCCGACCGAAATGCCATACCCGTAACCTCCTCCGACAGTCCTCTCGCGACCGGCTCCTCTCCGTCCTCGCGCGCTGTCATGATCTTCGAACATGAAGCTTCCTGACGTGGTCACCGAACTCGAGATGGACCTGGAGGAGAGCCAGAACCAGCGTGATGCGCGCGTGGAGCAACTGTGGAAGAAGCTCGATTACCAGAACAAGGGGGCACTCGACTGGAAGGGATTGCAGCGTGGTCTCAAGCGAATTGATCACCGTAAGTAATGGACTTGTTTGGCTGCTGTTCACTTGAAAACTCCTGACAATGGGCAGCATTGAAGAATGCCGACGACATGCTCAAGAACATCATAAAGGTCGTCGATACCAATGGCGATGGAAAGATAGAGTACGAAGGTCTGTATAGTCCGCCCCAGGTGCCCCATCTCGAACTCCTCCCGATTCTGGAGCTTCGAGTCAGGTCAAGTCACTTGAGGCTGATGTAACAACAGAATTCCGAGTCTTCGTCGAAGCAGCTGAACGTCAGCTTTTTCAATTGTTCAAGAAAATAGACCGAGACCGAGATGGAAAGTTGGATAAAGAGGAGCTTCATGGCGCGTTCCAACGCGCTGGCATCGCGGTCCCCCTGCGCCGATTGGATGCGTTCTTCCAGGACATCGACCACAACAGAGATGGATATATAACGTATGAGGAGTGGCGGTACGTTACAGTCAACTCGCCCGCTTTCCAGTCGCGCCTTTGGTGATTATGATGTGTATCAGCTTGGGCTTGAATTATGTGGCAAAGTTGCCATTGTTCCGCGGTATCAGTGCACCCTGAACAATGTGGCAATTGGCGCTGTACAATGAGCAAATTGCATAGCGCAGGACGGACCTTGCATTCAGTCGAAAAAAGGCACTAGCTGACCTATTTTGGGCCAGAAACTTTCTGCTATTCATGCCCAATTCTGATCCAACAACGACACTGCGTGCGGTTTTCACTTTCTACTCAGAGGTTCTCACTCTCAACTCGGAGGGTGATTCGGTGGTCAGCGAGGAAACAGCTCAGGGCATAGGTACGACTAAAGGCTCTCTTCTGTCCACTCTTTTTGGTTCAATCTTAAGAGTCGCATCTCCCACTGCGGAGCCTCCGAGCAACAGTCTCACGCCGCCCTCGCCATCCCCTCCACCCTCGGCCTCCTCAGCCAGTCCGTCACCACAGATACCCGCAACGACACAAGTAATTCCACAAGTCGACGGCGCCGACGACATGGAGGCAGCCGCTTCGCAGCAGCGTGCTCGAGTAGCCAAGCAAGCTCTGAAAACTAACCCTACCGCCACACACGTTTCCTTGCGTGGGGGAGGAGAAGATGAACCGACCCAAACTGAACTTGCTACGCGTGACAAGGCGAAGAAATCGTTGCTGACCAGATACCTCCCCGAACCAGGCTACTTCGTGGCCGGTGCTGTCGCGGGAGGCATTTCGCGAACGGCCACTGCGCCTCTCGACCGACTAAAAGTCTACCTCCTTGTCAACACCAAGGCGAGCGCCAATGTCGTCCTCGACGCCGCTAAGAACGGCCGGCCCCTTGCAGCTCTCAAGAATACCGGAAAACCCCTTGTCACGGCGGTCACCGACCTGTATAAGGCTGGAGGCATTCGCGGCTTCTTCGCGGGTAAGAACCACTCAATCGGCGGTCTTCCTCCAACTCGCAGGCTAATGCTGTCTACCAGGAAATGGACTCAATGTCGTCAAGATCATGCCCGAGACAGCGATAAGAGTACATACCTCCCTCAGTGACGCACCTCGCTGGTCTTGGAGAAGCTGACCGCGCAACTAGTTCGGCGCATATGAAGCTGCCAAGAAGGCCCTTGCTAACTTCGAGGGACATGGCGATACACATCACATCAACCCGTACTCCAAGTTCGTTGCGGGAGGTGTCGCTGGTATGGCCGCACAGTATGTTCGCCCCTGGTAGGCCCATATCAAGGGGTATGCTAATTGGCGTTTCCAGGTTTTGTGTCTATCCTCTCGATACACTGAAGTTCCGGTAAGCTTCTCAGGATATCGGTACCTCCAATGGTGGCTGACGTTGTTGGTAGTCTGCAGTCTGAATATGTCTCTGGCGGTCCTCGAGGCAATGCTCTTCTGCTTGAGACAGCACGCAAGATGCTGGCAGAAGGTGGTGCTCGAGCCGCCTACCGTGGTGTCACGGCGGGGCTGATCGGCATGTTCCCCTATTCAGCAATTGATATGGGAACATTCGAGCTTCTGAAGGCCACCTACGTGACGTACAAGGCCAAGCGCACCGGGTGCCACGAAGAGGACGCCAAACCCAGTACCATCATGACAGGAATCATGGGCGCATCTTCTGGTGCTTTCGGTGCGAGTGTCGTCTATCCACTGAACGTCCTCCGCACTCGGCTACAAACACAAGGCACCAGCATGCACCCGGCAAAGTACACAGGTATTTGGGACGTGGCGCAGAAGACGGTAAAGAACGAGGGCATGCGAGGGCTCTACAAGGGTCTGATGCCGAATCTTCTCAAAGTAGCACCCGCACTTAGTATCACGTGGATGGTATATGAGAATGCGAAAGCGATCATGGACCTGCATTGAGTCGAGACCTCACGAGCCACCCTAATCTGGGTAGAAGCGAACGAGGCAAACAACGAAAAGGAACCTGGAATCCCGGTGTTCCAACAGCAGATGAAGGGAGCTCCATTTACTCCTGATATTGGGCCGGGAATATGGACCGAGATGGACAGAATTGGGTCCACATTACATTACACCTAGATGGATAGATACCGGGGATGATATCCATTTTGCATTGGCTGGCGTTCTATGCCTGCTGCGCCAGCTTGGGCAGCGGGCAGGTAGATAGGAGGATGTTCTATATGGCTTTTTGAGACGACCACCACGGTCAGTCTACCATACCGCTAGGTAGTGGAATCTTGAGATACCCTTGCTTTGGTACTTGCATACACCACCTGAAGCCTCACCATCGTCACTATGAAATCAATGCGTGTTCAGGTATCTTAGTGCTCGTGAACGACGGAGGTTACTACTCAATGAATCAGGAACAGCAACTTGACGCTCAGCACGTCGCCCACCGTGACTTGACTACACCTCGCCGCCGCCAAGCTGGTCATCGGCACGCGGAGCGGACATTCGCAACATGGCACCCCAGCGTATCTTATCTTGAAAGCTGTCGATGGCCCCATCATGGTCCCCAGAACAAATTCCCGTGGGCACCGAAGGTAAAGTAGGTAGTTACGGATGGATAATACGCAACCCGACGAAGCCCTCACACGTAGCCTGGACAAGGTCCGGCCGAACGAGCGGACCGCTCTGCCATACACGTAGATCCTGCAACCGTGAATCAACCTTCCTTCACAACACTCGCAATGACGGGTCCCTGGAAAAGGCGACTCGATCATACGGTGATGAGAAGCGCCTTTTATACCGCACAACAGCGTACGCGTTCATACACACACAGCAAGACGCGCCTCGCGAGGTCTTTTAGGGCATCATCGTCATACGTACCTACATAACCAATACGTGCCCCAACGAACCAAGCCGCATGCCAATTCACAACAACAAGGCGTCCCGGTGTACCGTAGGTACGTAGGGAGGATATAATCATCACCTCTGCAGCAGAGAACCCCAACGCCAGAGATCAACAGCAACAACACTGCCCGACCAAATTCCCCCAAAAATCTGAACGAAGCCATCGATTCCACATACAGACAACACATCGAGCTGTCCCGCCCCAATCTCAGCCCCAGCCCGATCCATCTCAGTCATTCCATGCCCGAGGCTCAACGGTCAACTCAACTCGACCGGGCAGCCTTCACACCCGCAAGAGCCTTAGATGAGGATACAGAAATGGTTGAACGAAGCGGACAAACGGAGACATCCATCAAACGGTGGTAGGAGCTGGAGCAGGAGCCAGCACCGACAGCATTCGAACTTGCACCCGTTCCCGACGCCCCTATATGTATTGTCGTCGAATGTCTTGGTATTTGATTACCTACGTCTACTTAGTAACTTACACATTAGATACATGTATAGTAGTTGGGAGAACTTGACTATCTACCTAGGTACCTACCGACTGGTACACTGAACCCCCAAAAGTCTCCGTACGTGCGTATTAATGATATTCTAAAGACGTCCTGCTATCTGCACTTTGTTATAATCACGTATTCGCACCTTGTCTTCATATCCCATTTGCCAGCCAACTGCAATACAGCCAGCCCCCATGTCTTGACACAACTGCACCGACAAGTGCACCGACAACCGGCCAGTGAGAAAAATTTATAATACTAGAACAAGCATATAAGAATAAGTAGCTGTGGTTCCATAAATTACTTCCAATGCTTATTCCAGTGTGCTTATTCCAATTCGATAAATTTGGTGGTGTAGGTACGACTTATGAGGAGAGCCACAGGTTAATTGAACAATTGGATTTCATCTATACTAATCGATGCAACAATTGGGGACTTCCCCCTTTCTATACAGTGACAGTGATTCCAAACGCCGTGTTCTCCAAACGCCTATAATTCATATTGGTATCATTTAACTCCAGTCTTCTCAAAATCAGAGCTTGGAGAGGTCAAAAGCTCCGTGGAAACCCTTGTTCAACAGCATAGCAGCGATTCGCTTTCGCTGCAGGGGCATGTCTTTCTGCGAGTAACTGTTGGGATCAAGCCCCAGTGCCAGGTAAATGGCGTTCGTGATGACAAACATGCCGCAATCATGGCCGTTGGTCTGCGAGGGTACCGAATATCGCGCGTCCTTCCAGTCGTTTGCAACGTATCGGTCTCCCAGGAATAGCTCCAGCCATTTATAGGCAAGAGTCATCTGGTGACGGCCTGCGGAGTGGAAGGAGTCGACGTAAGCGACAGTCCTGCGGGTCGGTCGGATGACGAGTAGAGTCCAGTGAGCGTTGTGATTGATTGGGATGAGAATGGTGTCGATTTCGAGAAAGTTTTTGGGGGTCATGCCCCAATTGCGACTGAAGGGTCTAGGAAAGAGCTTGCCCTGGTCACCGGAGAAGCCTTCCCAGTATAGAGATGAGATGGCGACGCATTTGGGGGTACTGTTCCTGGTTCGGATGCCGGCAGCTTGATTGATGGAGGCGGCCAGGCACACGAGGGAGGCATGTATGCAGTCGTCATTGAGCCAATTCGATTCGCGTCCAACCAACCTTTCAAACTCCTCGGCGTGAAGAGCAACACCGTCTGGGTGGACATCCCGGCCATCAAACTTGCCCTTCTTGGGCGCGGCGATCGCTTTCTGCTCCCACTCGGGTGAGAGCTTGGTAATGAGTGTGCATTTAGGCTTGCGTAGCCCAATGCCTCTGAGTAGAGTGGCCTGTCGCTCTGCCTCAGCACGAGCAACTGCCTCCTGTCGCTCTGCCTCAGCACGAGCGTCTGCCTCCTCCTCGATACGCTTGCGTTCTGCTTTCTGGCGCTCCAACTCACGAATCTTAGCGTCGTTGGGCAGTGGTTGCGCAGGGAAATCGGGCAATGATCGATCTCCATGACACTCAAACCACTTGCTGCTAGAGAATGGGGGGGAAGTGTGTTCGCGGATCGTGGCAGTGGCAGCCAAGATGGCAGACGGCGACGCTGCGGGGGAAGTAGTCGCAGGCGGCAGGGGAGTAGTCGCAGGCGGCAGGGGAGCAAAAGAAGGTCGGAGATGTTTAAAAGCTCTTGCCACAGCTCTGCGATGAGATCCCGGGAGGGGTTCTCTCGGGGTGTAGGTCATCTCCTCCGCAAGCTCAGCGGTGTCGTCGATATCCATCGCGTCGACATCCATCTGCTGGCCTGAGCCAATACCAATATTGCTGATCAGAGACTCATCTGTTTCAGACTCCGAGTCGATGTCCATTGGATCACCGTAATCTTCGCCAAGATCTTGCACGGGAGATTCGTGGAGGTCCTCCTGGCCGAAGCCGATAGGGAGCCCCAAGTCATCGACGCCGGTGTTGGCGTCATCATGCTCAGTCTTGCGGCGCTTGGTGGTGGGTGTGTCAGCTTGCTCATCCTGGGCATCCGGCAATTCGACTGGGACAATTGGCTGGACGTTCGGCTGGATAACTGGCTGAACTGGCTGTGCTACTCGGGCAGCCTGGTTCGCCTGATGGTTGGCACGAACAGAGGTGAAGAATCTGGTGCCAGCTCTCCAAAGGCCGGCGGTGCCGTTCAATGTGCCGTTGACGGTGGCCCACACTGTCTCGGCAATCCCGCGTTCCGGTTGCATGTTGTTTTTGACCTCAGGCTGCTGCGCTGGTCTTGGGACAGGCTGCGGCAGCACGACCAGCGATGCAACTGGGACGGGGACGAATCTGGTCGGGCCAAGGTCTCGGTTTCGACCAATACTGAAAGGGCTCCTCTTGGGCTGAGGACCACTCATCGCTGCTTCCTAGACGGGCGATTTGTAGATCATCTGGAAAAGACAAATTAGCACATTGCGCAAATCGCGTGGACGCGGCGAGGGAGAGGAAAGAACAAGAGACGAAGCGCCAGAAGATGCAAGGCCAGTTGTCAGAAAATGGTGACTTACCGTTTGAAGATAGAGGGTTCCAGTAGGATCAGTTGCAAGAGAGGATGCGATTGATCGCTTCCTTCGACCGTCCAGGCGGAAAGAAGCCGCCGGTCGGACAGGGAGCATGCGGGTGGCAGGACACTTGATGGTGACCTGCTTAGTAGTACCGCGCGGAGCACCAGGGACGGCGATCCGTCTCTCGTAGCTTGCCTGTTGGCGGACGGGGGAGATGCCGTTCTCAAAGGCTGCAGCGGTCGCGTCGTGGTGGGCGTTGGCTTCCAGTGCAAAGCTGACTGCGTAACGCGTCATGCGGCAGTGGTTGCACTTGGTGAAGTGACGATGGCAGTGGATGGTGTGGGGGGAGGGCGGGCGCGCCGGCAGTCTGAAGCAGCGGGTGAAGTCGAACTCGGTGGTGTTCTCCGACGTCAGCCAGTCAAACTCGGCTGAACCCGACATGATGTCAGAAATGCGACAGATGAGATGGCAATTGCCGAATTGCAGGTTGCGCAGAGGGTGATGGGTCAAAGAAAGTAGAAGGGGGGATTGTGAGTGTGCTTGCTTGATGCAGACAAAAGTCAGATTGATGGAAAGTGCTATGTTGGATTCAGAATTGATGAAAGTCGCAGATTTGCAGTCGCGAGTTCGGTTCTGAAAAGAAGTTTGAAGTTTGAAGGAGGAGGGCGGGGAAGAGTGCGCGCGCAGAACTGCCTTAAGTAGCTGGGTGCAGTGGTTATGCCACTTGGGTGGTTATTCCAGGTGGTTATTCCACGACAAATCGCAGCCTTGGGGGGATATAGGGGAGCTGGAGGGGCACGAGGGGGAGCAGCACCAGTAAAAGACAGCTACACTTACTGCTTAGTACCTAAGGAATTGATGGAAGGGTGCCTGATGCACTGGAGCTTGCAGCTGTTCAGCTGTGGGTGTGCTGCAGCTATACCTATTTACAGGTGCGTGGGTGGGCAAGTGAAGGCTTGCAGTCGCAGACGCGCCCCGAGGCTGTGAGAATTTGAGGAGGTTTGGGTTCCATCTGTCTTTCCATTGATCGGAATGTTCGCCGGATGCAGCCTTGCCTTGCCGCGCCACGCCCCCACGCCCATCCCTTGTCACCGTCGATCCCTGAACCTTGCGCTGCCACTCTGCCATTGCGACATTTGCGACAGTGCGAGAGGCCGTGGCCCGTCAACATCCATCCCCATCATTACCCGTCGCCCACGCATGGGCCGTCAGCAACGCCACATGCGACGAGAAGAAGAGTATCAACAGGTATACAGTATCATCTGATGGACAATTACATTGTCTCCTGTTCATGTACCGAAGCTCTGGGCTAAGTTTGAGTTTGGATGGTACTGCTAGCTCCCAAAGCCCCGGGCCTCCGCGGTAGGTAGTAGGTACACCCCATCATGAGTCTGTAGATGCCCACCTGAGCCACCTCTGGTGTTGACATAATCATATCTGCCATTGGAACGACCCGCGTTCACCCTGTGCCGGCAAGACGTGATTGCTGCTTCCTACGGGACGTTAGAGATGCCCGCCATCGGAGTAGTATGTACACACCTACTGCTTGTACTGTACCTGCTTCTGTCTGCTGTCATCCCTGCCGCGTTCAGTGTAGAGACTACCGCGTCGAACCAGTCTGACGACGAGCCAATCTGCACTGAAATCTGAAGCGACTAATCGTGGGAAAAGGTACCTTGGGTGAAGGTTCTGTACAGATTAAGGTATTATGTCTAGCGCCTGCTGCTCGAGTCGCCTTCGAGATAGCCTATAGGTAGCACGGGCAGGAACGATATTCGGATCGAGTAAATACATGTATGTTGTGATATTGCTTGGCTGCTGCAAGTGTTGACTGTTACTCGTTCCTCGCTGGGAGTACCTCCGCGTTTCCTCAGTCCATTGGTGTCTCGCGCCCAAGTTCGTCTCGTCAACGTCCCATCAATGCTTATCGCGGGCCACCACCCCTTGAACTGCGACTCTATCACCAGAAGCTATTTCTGAAATCTGTGACGTTGGGCCAGTGTCGAACGAGCGAGACGTCGAGCTCGGTGTCCGCAGTCGTGCGAAACCCATGGCCTACCGTCAAGCATCTATAGAAGTGCTCAGTAGGTATATGCCTCGATATGGGTTGGGTCTGATGAAACAATTCATTGATGCAGGTGGTCACCGTGGGCTGCTGTCGACCAGCCAACCGTGGTCTGAGGCGCGAACACCCATCGGAGGACAATGGCCTCGTGAGTCGTGAACAATACCTTACTCACTTTTGGGCTGAGAACGCACATGATGCCTTGGTCCTCTGCGTGCTAAGCAACCTCGATTCAGACCAGGAGAACACCTGAGCGTACCGATTATCTACTTGCACCTACAACCGCACCAGTCATCATCCATTGTCCTCGATACCAATACCCACGATAACCACACAATCGTCACCTTGTCGATAATGGCACGATAAGTGCACCGACACTCCGTCTTCGTCCCGAAAGCCAACACCCAATATCCATCCCATCCAATCTCTTTTCCCAGAAGTCTACGTACACCCAGCAAACGACAATCGCACGCCTGCGGATTCCTTGCATCGAATATGTCTTCCAACCGCACAACTCGAGACATCAGCAGCGCCGGGGGCAGCATCCTTCACTTCGTCCTCGGTACTTTGTGGTCTTTTCTCACCTGGTGGTCGTTCCTCGGCCGGTGGTTGAACCGATCAGGCGGAGCAGCATCCCATGCCGGCTCGTCGAACACCTCGAATACGTCTGGTACTTCCAAAACCAATGCGCGTAGTGCGGGTACTGCTCGTCAGCAGCGAATTGAAGATGAAGACGACGAGCCCGAAATAGGCTCCTATGAATACGGTATCCGGATGCTGCCAGACAAGCGTCCGTACGGCTTTTCGGTAACGCCAGTTAGGAACAAAAAGGAACCCCAGAAACAGGACTGAGACTTGCCTGGACCGAGGGTCCAGGTTGACAGTCCGAAGATCTCGAGGAGGTTTCATGGAAGTTTGAACCTAGTTCCTTGGAGGTGGAGGATGAGGGCGAGGCGGAGGAGGGGGGGCTGGTTGGCAAAACAGCGAGAGGAGATGAGGACGTTCGATATTGGGAGAACACTACACACACATACCGCAAATCCACCGTCGAAATCATACCTCCCTTAGCAGACATAGCTCCCCCTTCGCTATCTGGGTAAGTACTCTCTCGTGTAGGAGTCTCCGCCAACCCGACCAGTGGCCCAGGAGTTCTCGATTAACCTCTGCAACTAGATGGCGATGACTCTACCGTGCAGAGGAAGAAGGTTAGCAACCAGCATACAGCACGAGTTATAATAATTATTAATTCAAAAATTGCAAAGAGTTATGAAGAAATTCGCGCGTTACTTAAAAAGTATTAATATTTTTTTAAAACGTTATTAAACGATTGAAAGAAGCTACAATTATAAAAAACATAACGATTTAAAGCTTTTTAAAGTAATAAATGCAAGCTTAGCTTTCGATTGAAACAATATAAAGTTTATTATAAAATTGTGAGATTCTAAAAGGGTCACAAGCCTTGGGGGTATGAGCGGTCGCTGCAAATGTTGTTGTCATTCGCAAGTATGCTCGGCAGGGCTAATCTACAGCTAAATACCATACTGCACCATGCCAGAGTGTATTCACTTTTCCCTTACAGCCCCATAGTGGGTACTGCACTTAAGGGCACCATATCTGGGATCCAACATCTGACAAAAATGTATATATTAAATGGGATGTAGTTTAATTTTATAACATATTAAATTATAATTATTTATTAAGAAAACTATAAAGTGTGACGAGCCGTTTAACCTATAAGGCTAAAGGGTTCTATAGGGTTTATATTTTGAGGTAAATCAACACAAAAGACGATAGAGGCTTCTGTCAACTAGAAGACACTCAGATGCTGAGGCTTGGTCTGAACTGGGTTCATTGCGTAGTCGAGTCGTCAGGAGATTTCTCCCACCTTAGGGTTGGCTAAGATGCTTAGATTGGTCACTGAGGTAGAGACTGTCTATCTATCTGGTTGGGAAATGTCTGTCCTTATATATCCAATCTCTCCCTCACTGATTAGGTGGCTCACCCTGGATCACTATAGTGATCCAGTGATCCAAATTCTTAGTCACGTGACCCAGGCTCTGCTGGTCGCGTGATCTGTGTACCGTTGCTCCTTTGCTCTGATCTCTCTACTGATCAGCACCCCACTCTCTGGTCAATCTGTTTCCAATTGTCCCTTTTAGGTCTGCTATCAGGCCGCACTGTTTGTTGATTTGTAACAATAATATATGGTATTAAGTTTACGGTAGATTTAAAATTAAATATATAACGATTATTAAAAACCACTTATGAATAACAATCCTTAGTTCAATACAATACCTTTAAAATATTATATAAGCTAAAGATATAATAAAATATAATATTTACAAAGCCGGCTACTAAAAAAATAAATACATATGAAATATAATAGCTATACTTCATAAACTAATTAAAACAGTTAATATAAAATCGGCTTAGTTGTTAAAATTAAATCGTATAAAAAGTAATAATCTTGTAATACAGTTAAATACTTAATTCTTATCTAGGTCGGTTAGATATTGATAATGGCTTATAATTCTTATATAATAAATAATAAATTAATTTACTTCATTAATACCATAAGTGTCACGGAACAGCTGGCAGCTCAGGACGAAGATGCCCATCTATTACTCCAGATGAATAAGAATCTACTGGTGAGGAGGGAAGAAGGATCAGAACCACCAGCCAATTCTGGTGGGGGATTAGATCTTCAATCCCGCTCCACAATTATCTATAGTGAGTGCAGCGGGGCAACGCGTCCACCCCACCAGATCACCTGATGAGCGCACGTACCACCGTGAATGGATGGATGGATGTCAGATCCATCACAATAAGCAATTATTAATAATATGAATTTTTACGTCTTGTTTTTAAACTTTTTAAAAATAATTACGTATACAAAGCTTATACGTCTTAATCTGGCCTTAATATCCTATTATAAGCAAGTTATAATATTAATAAATGAATTTTTTTCTTTATTTTAAGGTTATTTAAAACATATATAACACCCTTATATTTAAATAACCTGTCAACTTCGTCTTATAACTAAATCAAAATTATAATCTATTTACTTTGAGTTCGCTTTTTACTTTAATCCTTACTATATATAAACTTGTCTCTTTATTATATATAAAAATTAAATTTTTATCTCGTTAAACAATGCCGTTTCAGTCGCTTTACACATATAAAACAGCCAAAAGATAAACGGTTTACAACTGATAATCTTAATTATAAAATTTTCACGTGAAAAGTTTACGCTTTCAGTTTTAACGAAATTTCAACATATTATTAATACGCTTTTATAACGCGTATAAATAACTCTCAAGCCGCGTATAACATTATACTTTACAGCTACTTTTATAAACCAATTTAAAAAAAGGTTTAAAGTAAAATTCTTACGCTTACTATACGATTTAAATTTATTTTTTAAATATATCTTATAACGTCTTTATATCGCCGTCTTATAAAGCTACATTTAAATAGTTTAATCATTAAGGAAACCCGTTATTAAAATTTTATACTTTTATTTGAAATTAAACCGTAAAGTTTATTAACGTAAGATTGTTGAACTATTATATCTGTTTTAAGTTAAACTTTTACTTCGTATCAAAGTTTTTAAGATTAAAATAATCAGTAACAACTTAAACTGATTACGCTACGTAGATTGATATACTACCGTTATATTTATAGAGCGTTACCAATTATAAAAAGCTTTTTATCTTCTATATTATATCGTATCTTTTCAAAGCTTATCTCATAAAACTTAAAAGCTATTAAATATTATTTATTGTCTTTATAAAGTTATAAAAAACGGCTTTAATTATTTCTATGAATATATTTATCTGAATATTAATAAATAACTTAACATTAAAATAACGTGATGTGTCTGCCTTTATAAAATCTATTATTAATATTCAAAATATATTTATAAATAAAGATGTAATTTTCAAATATTTAACGATAAACTACCTGTAAAAGCTAGAAAAAGCTGAAAAATACTTAAATTATATACGTTTTAGATAACTAGCTAATCTTAAAAGGTTTAATACGGCTTTACTTTATAACAACTCTATTATTATTATTATTATTATTATTATTATTATTATTATTATTATTATTATTATTATTATTATTATTATTATTATTATTATTATTATTATTATTAACGTAGGTCACAAGCGAGCGGCAATTACAAGCGAGCGGCAACTTTTCACCAGCCACCCAACCTTTCAATCAAGGCTCCTAATTGATCAACCAACAATAATGGCATTGCGTTATAGCGAATCAGACTTACAGCTTGCTGTCCAAGCTAAGCGACGCGACCCTCATATTACCATTGGCAAGCTTTCTAAGACTTTCCATGTCCCATACAATACCTTGAAGGCTAGAATCGCCGGCCGACCATCACGACGCGATAGCATGCCTAATTCTTTGAAACTTACGGTTTCTGAAGAGAATGCCATTTGTTCCTTCATAATCGACCTGGATGCGCGAGCATTTCTACCCCGGTACACTTATGTTGAAGATATGGCAAATCAATTGTTGGCGGCGCGCGGGGCTGGACGCGTTGGAAAGAACTGGACGGCGAACTTCATCAAACGTACACCAGGCCTCCGGACGCGTTTTCATCGGAGGATGGACTACGAGAGGGTCTTGAACGAAGATCCGGACGCGTATCGCGCGTGGTTTCACCAAGTTGCGGCGGCAATCGCGAAACATGGTATCCAAGACGCGGATATTTACAACTTCGACGAGACTGGGTTTATGATGGGCATTATTGGGTCCGGCATGGTCATTACAAGCGCCGAAAGACGTGATAGGCCTAGACAAGCCCAGCAAGGCAACAGGGAATGGTCTACAGCAATTTCTGCTGTCAATGCTGATGGTTGGGTGGTCCCGCCGTTCATCATTCTACAGGGCAAAACCCACCTCGCGTCATGGTATCGCGACACGACATTACCACGCGATTAGAAGGTGGCCGTGTCCGATAATGGGTGGACTACGAACGAGATTGGGTTGGAATGGATTCGGCATTTCGACAAGTATACCAGACCGCGTATGACTGCCGGTAAACGCCTCCTCATCCTAGATGGTCACGAAAGCCACCATTCCCAGATCTTTGAGAGATATTGCCAGAACAACAGCATTATTACCCTTTGTATGCCTGCCCACTCGTCACACAGGCTCCAGCCTTTAGATGTCAGTTGTTTTAGCCCGCTCAAACGAGCGTACGGTCGCATGATTGAGGATCTCATGCGGCGTCATATAACCCATGTTTCGAAGGAGGACTTCCTTGCAGCGTTTTGTGAAGCACACAACGCTGCTATGACGCCAGGGAACATTCGAGCAGGTTTCAGTGCCACTGGGCTTGTTCCTTTTGACCCAGAAAGTGTCATTTCGAAACTGGATGCTGTCGCTGTCGTACGAACACCGTCGCCAGACCCCAATCTGCCACCCACTACTTGGACTTCGAAGACGCCTACCACCATCAACGAAGCGGTCAACCAATCGGTTCATATCCGAAATCGAGTCAGAAACCACCAGGGAAGCTCACCTACATCAATAATTGATGCGTTGAGCTCGTTTTCAAAGGCTACATACGGTCTTATGCACAAGGTCGCTTTGGTTGATTCCCGGGTCCGCGAGCTAGAGGAGGCCAATCACCTACTAAGTAAACGCCGGAGGACAAAAAACAAACGTCTAGTGAAAGGAGGAGTACTTTCCGTTGAAAATGCAGTAGGTCTCCAGGCTGTAAAGGATGGTGGTGAGCTGGCAAGACAGGAAATGGGTGAAGGTAGTCGTCGTCCGAGGAGGGCGGCAGCGCGTGAGCGACGTTGTGGCGTTTGCGGCAACACTGGCCATAATGCGCGAACTTGTACAATAGAGATAGAAACGTCTGAAGAAGAAGAATCCGATTGATTAGATTGAATTAAATGCGTTGTGGTCGAGTTATTTGACATGTTGGTTAGAAGATTGGTGAAAAGTTGCCGTTCGCTTGTAATTGCCGCTCGCTTGTGACCTACGTTATTATTATTATTATTATTATTATTATTATTATTATTATTATTATTATTATTATTATTATTATTATTATTATTATTATTATTATTATTATTATTATTATTATTATTATTATTATTATTAATAATAATAATAATAAAGTTTAAGAATAAGACTCTTTTTTCATATAAGGCTTATACTTGATAAAATTAACGTACAGCTTCTATTTTCAGAATACTTAAATATAGCTCGAATATATTCTTTATATTGGTCGAAATCTAAACTATAAATAAAAATATTGTTAAAACAAAGAATGTAAATAATATGGACAAAGCCGGTTAAGGCGCAATTAATATATAATTAAAGGCTTATTAATAGGTGAATTAAATTAAATAATATCATTATACACTTAAGATCGTCGTACCGTATGTAAAATAAAGTCTTTTATTTTGTTTTGTTTTATCTTATAATATACGTTTCTCAAATCGATTTAAAAAACATAACTACGGTTGACAAGCAGTTTAAAATCTCTTAAATTAATAATAGCAAGTCGCGGTTCTTTCGTATAATCGTATTTAATCCTTTATATTTAATATATAAACGTAACGTACCGTTTTAACGAATAGAATAAATATTTTAATAAAGTTAAACTTTAATATATCTAGCCTTTCCGCTTAAAGCTGTTTAAATACTCGCATAGTATTTCCAGCTTTTTAAAAAAGAAATATAATAGCCTTTAAAAAAGCTTTTTACTATCTTAAAACTTTATAACGTATTTATATACTAAAATGTTTAATAACTTACTAGTTTTTTATTTAAAAAACATCTACACAATCGGTTATATGTCGCTTTATACCTTTAGAAAATTATTTAAATAAATAAAAGTAAAATCTTGTTTAATTATAAAAATAATAAATATACTATGCGTTATAATTATAACTAGATAATAATGGCGTACTTTTTTAACAAAGCAAGTAAAACGGATATATTTTATAAATATTTAAGACTGTTACTACTTTATAACTTAATTAATAGGCATGTCGACCTTTTTAAACAAGTTGATTTTTAATATTACAGTTAATCCAGGTACGTTTATAATAATACATCGTTCTAAGCGCGTTTTTTTAACAGTATTTATATAGATTATTCGTATTAGTGTAAAATAATAACTAAAAACAATTATGTTATAATTAACATTCTTAAAGCTTAATCCAGGCTTGAATGAATAAAACTAACTATTGATTTCAACTTTATTACGATAAATTATATTTCAATTAGTGCTTAAGTTTATATATCTGCTCCGTTTATTTTACTATGTACTTATATAAACATTTAATTATTACGTTAATAAATAAATTTTATATTAACGTTACATATATTTTCCCCCTTAAAACAAACTAATAAATAATAACTTATTTTAATAAGCTATAACACTTAGCATTACAATATCGCTATAACTTATAACTTATTACCATATAATTTTTATAATTATCACTTTTTAACCTTGTAGTAGAAAAATAAAAATAAATAATATACTTTATCTCGCTACAATTATAACATCTAAAAATAGCCGCGAGTAATAATCGTAAACACTTTATAATATAATAAAAAGTTACTATTACAACGTAAAAGTCCTAAATCTTCACAGCGTATTAAGAAACATAAGGTTACTTAGATTTTTTAATATTTTAAAAAACTCTATTTTTTTATAAAAAATACCTTAATATTGTGATGGTCTGACCTCCCATCAGGTCTGACATCCCATCTGCAGTGGTCAGTGCACTGCATCAGGTGACCTGGCACAATGGACGTGTGGCTTCGACTGTTACTGGATTGGGTAATTGTAGGTCGGACTGAAAGATCTTCTAGCCCACCAGAATTGGCTGGTGGACTAGATCTTTCTTTCCTTCTTCACCGAGAGATTATTACACATACATAGTAAAAGCAGGACTTTTACGCCTACTTCACATCTACGCTTCGTGACAAATATCTACTTATAAGTCTTTAAATCATATTAAAAAGGTATAAAGGAGTAAATATTAAGCGTTTTATGTTAAATATTGCTTAAAATACTTTATAAAGCGATCTAACCTTAACTTAATTAAACTTTATATATAAAAAGATTTTAAATTAGAACTCGTTTTAAAACTTCATTATAACCAATATAAAACGACTATTAAACACAACTTAAATATATACCTTTATATATTAATTAGAAAAAGTTTTAACGGTTTCGTTTAATTTTTATACTGTATCTGTGGGAACAGGCTTGAACGATCAATCATAATACTCGAGTATTGGGTCAAGGTCATGATGTTGTTGATAGTTGGATTGGGAAGTCTAGCTGGACCTGCAGGTCTGGCTAAGTGACCTCACAATCCGGTATCTAATCTCTTATCTAATCATACATGTAGGTTCTGTATGGATGGTTTGACTGTGGAATCACATGGATCCAACAAGGACAGACATTTCCCAACCAGATAGATAGACAGTCTCTACTTCAGTGATCAATCTAAGCACCTTAGTCAACCCTAAGGTGGGAGAAATCTCCTGACGACTCGACTACGCAATGAACCCAGTTCAGACCAAGCCTCAGCATCTGAGTGTCTTCTAGTTGACAGAAGCCTCTATCGTCTTTTGTGTTGATTTACCTCAAAATATAAACCCTATAGAACCCTTTAGCCTTATAGGTTAGACGGCTCATCACACTATAGACGAAAGCAATATTCTAATAAATGTCTTTTTTACTTACCTCTTAGGTATAAGCTATTATTATTGTCATTATATTTAACTTATTATTACGGTTATATAAATTTAGATATAAAACCTTTTATATATAAGCTTAATAACGCTTATTGATATAAACAATACGCGTAAACTTTATAACCTTATTTATTTTGTTTTATTAATGTTTGAGTATAAAAAAACGCTTTTAAAATAATAAGTCGTTATTTAATGATTATTAAAGCATTAAATTATACCGTAATAATTTAAATGCATTTTATATTATAAAGAACGGCTATATATTATCTTGTATTAGTAACTATTATAATAATTAGAACCGGTTAATATGCGTTATTAAAATAACGTAATAAGCTTATACTGATAATACTTTCGAACTATTTAATAAATCTAATAACGTTTACCGGCGTTTTATGAACTTTTATTATTATAAAACCGTCGTAAACAAGCTAATGTAAGCTGGTGTTAGTTAATAATAAAACTATTAAAAAATGTATCAAAGCTTTTTTATATAAATAAACTGATAACTTCTTTTTATTAAGGCATTATATTTTAATTACTTCTTACAAAATGACATATTCTTTTTTTTATATGTAATATTATGCGATTATAGCAATGTTTATTTAAGAAATCTCGATATTTATAAATATAATAAACAGCTTTATAAATGGTTAAAAGTAGTTAAATATATATTTATAAAGGCTAACGCATAAGCTTAAAAAGCAAAATATTATATATAAAAATTGTACCAATACTATTATAAATTACGATAGCGAAGTATTATAAGTAACAAGACGTATTACTAATTACTATTATTCAATCTTTTTTACGTACATAATCATTTAAAAAAAAGTAAATAAAAATCAAAACGCGACTAAAAATGTTTAAAAAAATTAAGCGGTAAAAAGCAGCATAAAATAACAATATAAAGTAACCAACCGTTTATAACTAGTACCAGCTAATAGGCCTGATAGGGTAGGGCATACGATAGTTAGGCGGAAACCTCAAGTATTTGCAAGCGCGAGCGCAGCCCTCAATTACCTACATAGCTGCACATGTGCAAGCATCCCAGATCTCTTCGCCTTTTCAGTAAGAGCCTACCTTGATTAACGCAACGCTTTAAAGGTCTACGTGGCTATCCTTGGATTCCTACATCTCAGAGACGGGTATTCGTCGATGCTCTTACAGTGTTGCAAACATATGATCAACTTTGATGCCACGTGTCCCGAATCAGATCGATGGCATTCAGTCGTAGACAACATGGTCACTGTAGGAGTGGCCATGTGACCGATACCAAAGTGTTCCGGGATAGGGTCCGATTCGACAGCTCGCTCCCGTCATCATTGATGTCGTCCAGTCCACCGTCCATGACGCGATATGATCACGGAGTCAAGTCGGGCCGAGTATCGATCGCGACATTCCCCAGGTCCACCGGGTATCCATTTATTGATTCCCGATCACTTCAGCCGTGAACAAGAAGCTGTTCCACCCCGCCAAACGGCCCCACCCCTCATCTCGTCCCATTACCGCGTTGATGTCCCGGGCGTGATGAATCTGGGGAGGCAAACGTTGTTATCAGCCACCAGCTGACCACTCACCACTCGCCACCGGTCACTGGCTGACTTTCACTAACGAGACGATGCATCTGAACCGCTGAACCGTTGGTAGATAGCTGGCCGCTTCCGTGGGCGATGCCGAGCCTCACACCCGCATGCTGCCCACTAACGAACCCTTGGGCCAGAGGGGACTCCCCACGATTCGAGTCATTTACCTGTGGCTATGTTTGTGGTGGTGGAGGACTGTCAATTCCCGATTTTTGTGCCGTGAAACGCTTCTAGTAATAGGCCCCCAACGTGTCTATTTCGCTCGCGCTCGGCCACGACCCGGGAGCCGAGCAAGCTGTCCGCAGCTCACGTATTGTCTCTACTCATAAATAGGCACGGATACCAGTCTCCTACCCGCTGCTCTGGCTTTGACTTCATTCATAACCCCAAACAGCTGTTCGGTAGGACAATCTTCTCATTCCTCTGGAAGCGTGCATATTCTATATTGTTACAGTTACATCCAGATACCCGATAGAGTTCTTTCATTCAGCCGCCACTTGACTACACCTCCTTTGTCACAATTCCCCTCCGCCGGCGCGCGTCTGTTTGCTAGACTCTACTTCGTTGCTTTGCCATTTTCTAAACTTGAATCCACTCAGTCGCCATGGAGAACCAGCCGTCCAGGGAGAATCAGCCGGCCAAGGCGCCGACCACACCATACTATGATATCGGTGAGTCCATGATCCCCGAATGCTGTTGTCCTGCTAACGTATCTCCAGTAATCGTGGGAGCTGGCCCTGTTGGGCTCATGCTATCAACCTGTCTGGCAAGATGGGGCTACAGGATCAAGCACATCGACAACCGCGCCGAACCCACGCCCACTGGCCGCGCGGACGGCATCCAGCCCCGGTCTCTGGATCTGCTGCGCAACATGGGCTTGAAAACAGCCATCATGGCACATAAGCCGGCCAGAGTGTACGAGGTGGCGTTTTGGGACCCGCCAAGGAGCGGCAAGGGCATCGCGAGAACAGGCACGTGGGCGAGCTGTCCGAGTTTCATCGATGCGCGGTATCCTTTCACCACCCTCCTGCACCAGGGCCACATCGAACGCGTCTTCATCTCGGATCTGGAGAAGCACGGCGTGCAGATCCAGCGGCCGTGGACCATCACTGGTTTCAAGTCGGACGACAAGGCCAACCCGGAATACCCTGTCGAGGTGAACCTGGAGCACACAGACGGCACCATGCGAGAGACTGTATACGCCAAGTATCTGTTTAGCGGTGAAGGTGCTAGGTCGTTTGTGCGAGAGCAACTGAAGATCGGAGTCACGCACAAGGATCCCATCGCGCATGTATGGGGTGTGATGGACGCCGTGGTAAAGACGGACTTCCCAGATATCAAGGTCCGTTTGATCTGGCCCCATGCATGAGTTGGAGCTGACTTGAAGCAGATGAAATGCACAATACATTCCGAGCATGGATCTATCATGGTCATTCCTCGCGAGGACAACATGGTCCGGTTATACATCCAGATCGCCTCTTCCACAGATGATGATTGGAATCCGCGCAAGACAGCTACCGAGGAAGAGGTCCAGGCGTCTGCCAAGAGGATCCTGAGTCCGTACTCAATCGAATGGGAGCGGGTGGAATGGTACTCGGTATATCCCATTGGTCAAGGGATTTCGGAGAAGTACACTCTTGACCATCGAGTCTTCTTGGGCGGTGATGCGTGCCATACTCACAGCGTAAGCATCCTTTCATTCCTTTCTTCTGGTGAAGCTGTTATCTGACGGCCTATGCAGCCCAAAGCTGGTCAAGGTATGAATACAGCTTTTCTGGATGCCTCGAACTTGGCCTGGAAAATCCATGCGGTTGAGGCTGGACTCGCAGACCGAGCTCTACTTACAACCTACGAGCCGGAGCGCAAGGAGGTTGCCGAGAACCTTCTAGCATTTGACAACAAGTACGCGAAATTGTTCTCTCAACGCCCCCCAGCTGCAAACGAAGTCCAAGCTGCGTCGGAACAAACAGGCAGCCAGGAAGAGGATAACGACTTTGTAAAGACCTTCAAGGAGTCCTGCGAGTTCACAAGTGGCTATGGCGTGGCTTACAAGCCCAACGCCTTGAACTGGTCACTTGATCACACCGCGAAATCGCCCCTGGTTCACCCTAAGGGTACTCGGCTACGAACAGGGCGAGGTATGATCAACGCAAACGTGACGCGGGTGGTGGACGCCAACGTCGTCCATCTCGAGCAGGAGATACCCCTGAACGGTTCATTCCGCATCTACGTCTTCGCCGGAAAGCCCTCGACCACGGCCAAGGCGCTCGAGGACTTCGCCGTCCACCTGAACAACAAGCGGTCGTTCTTCGGGTCCTACCTCCGCTCGGACATCGACTCCGTCTCCCACCACGAGTCGCACAACCCGCACAGCCTGTTCTTCACCTTCTGCACCGTCTTCGCCGCCGCCCGCAAGGAGATCGAGATCTCCCGCGACCTGCCGGGCCTGCTGGGTCGCTACCGGGATCACGTATACGCCGACGACAGGTGGGATCGCCGTGTGCCGGACGCGAAGGCAGCGGCGCACGCGAAGATGGGACTCGATGAGGAGAAGGGTGGTGTTGTTGTCGTCAGGCCTGATGGCTACGTGGGCGTTGTGGCGGCCCTGGTCGAGGGCAGCGGGACGGTCGACGCGCTGAACGAGTACTTTGGGGCTTTCTGCACGAAGAAGCTTGGTGAGACGGTGTCGCGGCTGTGATGATTGATACCACAGAGAAGCTAGAGGAATTGTGCTACAGACCAGCGTTTGGATTACATCGGTGCTTGTACAGCTCTGCCTTTAATGTTACTTGGGACGCGTATTTAGAGTCGATTCTACAACATGTGCCCGTGGATGGCCAGAATGTGTATCTGTGTTCTCGGCCTCTGATCTTCCAAATTCAAAGCCCAATGGGCAGTTCAACGGATTACAACGAACTTCGTGACGAGCTATCCACATATCTTAACGAGGAAGGAGCGAGTTACGGACGTAGGTCTGGGTTGATGCATAGGGTAACTTCCTCAAGTTCCCACATGCGGTAGGCAGGAACGAGACATGACATCGAGTCTTCAAGAGGCAACCACGGCATAACGTCTTGCTCCCACTTTTGATTCCCCTCGCAACCTCTTCTACTAGAGTCCTACCTTTTCTTCTACACAACTCCAATGATCTATCCATCCCTCTTCCAGCTCCTGACGAGAATGTATTGGACAGCCGGCCTTGCGTCTCAACAACGATAGAGCAGACTGACAGCACCACCACATCGACGCAAACGTCGTGACAATGCACCGTCCTTCCCAGTCCTGACCCAAGGGACAGAGGTCCACCGCACCGACATTTCACGATGCTACGACGCCGCAGAGCTCTGTTGAGGCCCGCCAATGGTAACAAATTCCCTGGTGATACCGCTTGTTCTTCATCGTCCAATCCTAGCTCTGTCCCAGGGGCAAGCAACCAACCCCTTAGCAACGCCCGGAAGCGCTTTGGTCCTCACAACCTGAGTCGCTCTGGCTACGACGAGGAAAGTAAGTCAAGCCACCATCAGCTGAGCGATGACGCTAGAATTGACTGTCAAGTCAGAATGCCGCAACGTGCTTGTAAGATATTGCGCCCACATACCGAGAAACTATCAGTATAAGGATGGTGTACAACAGGTTCGCTGTCTCCTCGCTTGATATTACGGACTCCAAGCTGACCTGATAGATATTTTTGATATTGAGAGAACATCTTGGCGATGAAAATCTTGACCTCGCCGGCGGAGTCTTGTACGAGTTGATTGAAGTGGACTGCGAACATACCGACGATTCTGGAGCAGCTTTCCAGCGATGGAGACATGATCATATGTGCAGATATGTAAGGACACCGACCCACACACTCCTTTGCGGCTTGGCTTACCATCTTCATTAGTCTGACCTCGAACTTCCTCATGTACCGCACATGATGACTATTACCTCGTCTATCATTCCCACCGAGAGGCTCGAACTTTGGCGACTGGAGCACCGAGATCGATACCCCTTTGTGCTGTCCGACTTTTCTCCTTCGAGTCAACGACAATCTCACGACCCAAGCTGCATCCGCAACAGGAAAGCCTGGCTGATTGACCATACCTTCTATGTCTCGACCCGCAGTGACGGTACTCGCCCCATGCATAGCCCAAATCCAAAGGAGTTCCACGAGATGCAATGGAATTCCGACTATGGAGGAAAGGGGAAACTCGTCGAGGAACGCGACATTCCTGTCAGCTCTCTGGACCGACTGTATGGACAGTCCCCACCTGGTACTGCAGATACTCCCCTGACGATGTCGAGCCGCCCGAAGCGGCTGCGCCACTCGTTGTCCAGTCTAAGCATCATTGGCAAGATTGTCGACAAGTTCGGTACGCAGAAGAAGGAGCCTGAACGCGACCAAAGACGGCGTAGCTGGATGCCTAGTTCTCTTGCTTTCGAAACAGGTTCGCTCTTCAGAGACAAGCGGGCTAGCGCTGTGACCCTCTCGGCCCCTCTTCCAGACGGGTGCCAAATACCGAACGCGATATTCGCCAGAAAGTTCCTGTTAGTCGACACTGGAGAGACATTGCCTCACTATTTGCCTATTTCCCAGATGCCAACCGCAGAATCGAAAGCCACAGACACCATCGTCGAAGCTGTGACTTCAGGATTGCTGGACAAAGCACCGCCGTGGTCATTCCGCGGGCCTTTCACGCCCCAACTCAACTTCGATGGCGGCCTAGACTACCAATGGGGTCTCCGCGAGCCGACAATTACCGTCAGAAGATTTGATTTGGATTACCCTCTCCCGGATGTGCTAGATATCGACTGCGATCGTCAGTTCAAGCGAGCCGAACTCCAGAGGACCGAGAGTTACACATCCTTTAGACAGTCACCCTTCAAGAGGCGCGGCCGAGTGTTCGGCTACAATATGGAAGCAGAATCCAAAAGAGAAAGGCCTGACGGGACCCTGCCAGAGGCTAGATATACAGATCCAGCTGAATCGGGGAGCTTGAATCAGGATACAGAGCCTCGAAGACTACCAATCTCACCTCCCTATACCCCCAAGGCCCCTCCCAGACCAGCACCAACTATGATGAGCTTCAGTAGTTCGGCTTCGAGAAGGTATGCAATAGTTCATCAGAGCTTGCTCTGACGAGGCTAATTATCTTGTCAGGCGTACTTCACATCGCCGAAACCCCTTGCTGTTTGAGAACATTGAGTTTGCTATGGCCAGCGAGCCCCCTGCTCTGAGCACCCCAACGGCTAATCGTAAAACAACGGTCATCGAACGAATAAAGCCAGACGAGGAATCTACTGCATCAGGGGTCATTGGAAGCCACACTCGCACATTGGATCCTGTACTTCGGCTTGGCCATGCCGCACAGGAACTCTCAGCCGTCCCATACGGGTCATGCAAAAGAGACGAACGACCCGAAAGGGGCTCGGAGCTCTCAAGCAAAGCTGATGATGGTCGACTGCTACCCAGCTACCTTTATCCAGCTCACGGTGACAGAGGTATAGGAGCTTCGACGTCTCGTACGCCCCAAGATGCCGTGGCTGAAAGACTCCAGCCGCTGAGATATAATGCGAGTAGGGGGCTGAAGCGTCAAGGCACCGTCCCAGAGCGGTAGAAGCTATTGTCGCCGAGCCAGCTCTTGTGATGATCGGCTCGACAACGGCAAACAGCCATTTGGTAAATCGCATAAGCTTCACTTGATGAGTCGATGCGAGTTCCGTCAGGCACACATCTGTCAAAGAACCGGGTCCTGTAAAATTAGACCAATGGATTCCTTTCACCATGCCCTTCTCCTCGACAACCACCACTTTGCATCGTGACTCTCCTCACCCAATATTCCACGCTTCTTGATAACACCACTGCCCTCCCTCCACTCAATACGCTGACCATCCTCATACGAGGCGTCAAAGTCAGCATATCCATGGACGCCACCAGCCAAGAAAAAGGGAAAGCCATCGAGGGCCCTTCCGCGAACGAACTGCTGGTACTCCCTGGTGATTCCATGTCACAAGGCCATGGAAATGCTCTGGCTCTGTACCAGCAGTGTGACATGACATACGCTTCTGCTCGTAAGTCACATAACCCTGATCCCATCAGTGCCCATCGTGCCAGGGATAGGAATAACCTGCTGCCACGGCTCGTAGCACCATCTGACTTGGTTTACCTAGTGCTCGACAAGCTGCAGAAGAGAAAAGATTTTTGCTTTCGTGGTATCATGCCTCCAGTTGGCGGGGCTATAACAAGAGATGCTCTGAACACGATTGTTGCCAGTACGTATTTCTCCAGCCGTTTCTGAGCAAAGCTTATGGCTTCTATCTTCATCTTCTCTGGGTGCTGTACTGACGAGAGTTTGCAACTAGGAGATCTCAACGAATGTCCCAAGGGACACATTATGAACCTAACATTTCTGGGTTCTGAGGGCCGCATAGAGAAGCTACAAAATCCGTGCGATCCGGGATACAGGGCAGCTGTCGTAGAAGCTGCCATGGCGGCAGGATATGCAGCGTATGCATCGTGTTCTGGGGAGGCGGCTGCTGCCACATCAGGTACGTCAACCTTACTGAATTCTACACATATCTCAGGTCATCGGCCCCCATATACCTTGAGATGTGGTGTTGACATGAGTTTGTGGGCAGTCCGTAGCGTTCTCGAGGACATTCCCGAAGACGCAATAGATGAAGGTACATATACCCCCAAGATCTTGCGAAGGCATTTTGGCTAAGAAAATGTTCGAATAGCGGTGGTGCTTTCCAACCGCAGGGTCCATCTCTGGCTTCTATTCATCCCAGACGGGCCCCTCAGCGACCCGAATGCCCAACTTAGCGAAGACGACGCCGACCAAGTTCTCCCCAGCAACCAAGCTACGGAAGATAGCGAGCACAGCACTCCAGCCATGCCCCCCAGAAATCCACTGCGGCTCGCTCGACCGGAACCCCCTACATTGGTGCACCCTGCAGTACAGCTCGCTACATCGGAGGAGAACCCTTCCAGTCCCACGTTTGACTCCATGGACAAAGCTGCACAGTGGGCATTAGCAACCGATACTGAAGACCCCAATTACCCTGGCGCCCTAGTCAATCTGTATCCAGGTGGGCGGCCCGTCGCTCCTCCACCGTCTTCGTCCTCGTCCTCGAATGCGCCGCAGCCCAGATCTATTAGGGTCGTCAGGTCTCGTCCGATTTTACCCCCTCGGGGCCTCAAGGCAATCGCTAGCCCGACGGATAGCTTGACAATTAGCGAGGCAAACAGGTTCCAGTCTGCCACGATGTGAGTGATACCATTCATGTTTTTGGGATTCACCTCATAGACTGACTAAACCCCAGGTTCACCGATGAGCAACGCCGCCACGCCACGCCGGAACAGGAGGTTGTGCGATCTAGAGCAGCTTCGATTGCTGAGGAGTCATCGCTGCACTCTGGCCGCTACAGCAACAAATCGCCTTCCCCTCCCCCCGGCGAGCCACACTCGCATCGTAAGCAACTCAGCGGCGGTTCGGCTCGCGGCCAGCCCCGTACCAGAAAGGGTAGCAACGCCTCGCCCTACACGACCGAGCAAAAGATCGGCGGCAGATCCTCTGAAGACCGAGGCCGTCCTCTGCACCGCAAGTACGACTTTGTCATGACAGACGATGAAGCCCCGTTGTCCCCGGTACAGGAGAGCATTCAGGGCGATGTTCCGCGCCAGAGCAGTGCCACGACCTGGACAGATATCATTCACCATGCCAACCGCAAGTCTAGTGGCGACGTCCCCGAGGTGCCGCCCATTCCTAGCCAGTTCAATGGCAAGCAGCCTGATAACAACAACGTCCTCAAGATGCCGCCCATTCCTGACCGAAAGGACAAGCGCCGCCCCCATCCTCTCGATTTCTCCCAGGCCCCGAAGATTGCACAGTCCGCGAGCCGGGAGCGCAACGTCCAGATTGTTTCGAGCCCTCTCACGCATCATTCGGAGCACCTTCAGGTCGACGGGGAAGTTTCTCCATCTGTATACGACGATGATACCCCTTATCCAGACTCGCTGCCCGCCATCAGCCCGCTGCACATCCCGAGAAAGTCGGAGATGCGTAACATGAACATCCTCAAGGAGTACAGCGACTGGAAGGCGTCCCCCGGACTCCTGGATAATGCCAATCGCGACATACGCCCCGGAAGCGCTCAAGATGTCCGTAGCCCGCCTACTCAGGGAATCCCCAAGTCCGCAACCACCAACAATTTGCGATTCGAGGATGTATACGAGTCTGAGCCTTGGACTCCGCTTACGCCGTTCCTCATGGGCGCCAAGATGTCGAAGAGGCTGTTTGGTGATCACGGCTGGCTCGAGGATACCGCTGCTCAGGATGTCAAGAAGCCGACCAAGCCCGAGTCGCAAAAGGCATCAGCTATATTCACCAGTCTCAAGAAGAAGGCTCGTGAGCTTGTTGTAAGTTTTCTTAAAACCTCGCCTAACAACTGCCTTCAATACCACTTCTGGGAGTTCAAGCTGACACATTCCCCTTCCTCTAGATCGAGGGCGGCACTGCGCTCAAGCAAGGTCGCATCAATCACGACAACAAGAAGCTCTACGACCCCACCCGGCTGCGAATCTCTCTCGAGGCGCGTGAGCAGAGCCTGGTATACTGCGAGCTCGAGTTCAACCTCAGCAACGCGCTCGATGCGTACATCAAGGCGCAGCTCAACGGCGGGCGTCTGCAGGCCGACAAGCTGAAGCGCGTGGCCGATGCCTGGGCGTCGAAGGGCCGCCCCCGTGTCATTGGCTTCCGCTACGACCTCGAGACCCAGGTCGACCTGATCGCGGCACACATCCACGACTTCCGATTCTACGGGGTTTTGCAGACGAACCAGGGCGTCGTCACCGGTCTGCTGCACGCCATGAAGATGAACGCGCGGGCCATGCGCGTGCGTACCTTCTGCCAGCCGGACTCTGTCGTCGCAAAGCACATCCTTGATGCGCAGGCATTCCTGAAGTTGCTCGGCAGCCCCGATTCTTGCCAGCGTGCCATCGCGGAGATCACGCAGTTCTTCAAGGTGGTCATCGAGCGCCAAAAGTCGCAGCTGAAGACGGCCGAGGAGGAGCACGATGCGGCCCAGCGGCGGCTCGAGGGCGTTGGTGAGGCTCCCGGCATGGGTGGCTTGACCGACGGTGGCGAGCAGCGTCAGTTCAGTGGTCCGGTGCTTGCGCCCAAGGTGTACGATCCCGCTCGAGACGAGAAGACGACGTCAACGAAAACGCTAGTAGACATGGTTGAGTCTGTGTACCGTCCTTCCCGAGATGGCTCAGCGTATTCCGATCGTAACTAAACGGTGAACCGTCTGCCTTTGACTCGATGCTGCATCATTGAGGTGTTGGATCATCCATCATTGGTATTGGACTCTTCCGTTCTTTCGCACGACCTGCTTTCAACTGATGACACCACGAGTTCTGGTTTCTTACCTGGATTTCTCATCTTGCTGGAAGAGCAGACTTGGAGGCTTTCTTGATCCTTCACCTCTGCCTCTCTGCACACACTCTCCCTTGGTTTACTTGGCCGCTGGAGTGTTTCATTTGTTTGATGTCGCCACGATGATACGATGATACGAGACAAAACGAAGATACGACCGGAAAACGTTTCATTCTCGTCTATTCGTTCGCCTTTTCTTTCAACCTTTACAAGCTGTTCATATCGATGATGGAGATTTTCTTCATCGTCTCCTATGCCTAATCGATCTGGTGGAAGGGCCGCTGGGAAACGTCGTAGACCGTTGCACACTTTCGGTTCCTCGACTCGATTCTCACAGCCTCTCGATAGCTGTTTCGCAATCAGTGGCACACGGTACTCACTTTTGAGTTCCTCCTATGATTCGACGCAGATACATGGCATCCAAACCGAAACTCGACACCTCCGAAAATGACGCAAGGGGTATCATGCTCGTCGGTACTCCGCTTTTGCGTCATTCAACAAGTAAATACGACACTTGCACAAGTCTGCTTGTGTTGATGAAAAGACCAATAGCACACGGTACTCGACCTTCATTTCCTCTCTTGTCACTCTCAAAGCATGCCTGGAACTTTTCTGGCTGTGCTGGTCCTGTTGTGCCTGGCAGGGGGCTCGAGTGGACTCGGAGGCATACATAAGGTACTTATGATGGTTCGCAGGACGAATGGACTCTCTAGGAGTGGAGGAAATGGCAGGAAAATCCCTAAAAAACAATTGTAGAATAGTTGAGCCGAAGGTCGTTTCCAGACTATAATAATTGATTGCTGATAGACACTGCTGGCTCTGACTTCGACTTGTTGCGTGAAAGTGAAAGAAGGCTCTGAAGACGGGGAGATGAAGCATTCAAGAGTCAAGACATGCACCTTCAAATGTTCGCACCTGCATGATTCACCAAGGTTCCCCCATGTAAAGTGCACCAATATCTGAGCGGGTAGCGGCACTAGATGTGTGACGGTCTGCAAGATGCCGCTGGCAGCCGTTGGGTAACCGAAGGCGATCTCTCCAAGTGATGGTGTGTGGGCTACCCCTTTCGGCTCGTACGCTGGGCCGCGCACCACCTGATCGGGTGCGAACTGCTCAAAAAGGTCATGCATGCAGTCTGTTGGCAGGTGCGACGCACCGTGGAAGGACCACTGTATCGACATTTCCGCAGCCTGGAGATCTCTAGTTCTCCAGCATCCTTACCATTACCAATCGATTCAAGTCCAAGAACGATTACTCGTCACGATTTGCTGCAGACGGAAAATATCGCAAGTTGCAGCACAGGACAGCCAAAACAGCAAAGCAAATGGAAATAAAGCATGCAAAGAATAAGCCGACCCAGTTTGCCAGTCTGAACAGTCTGAGCATTGCCGGCCAACCCACCGTGACATCATCTGCCCCGGACCCGGCCCCTGCCACCACCAATGGCGGTTGACCAAGTCAACTGGACACTCACGCTGCCACGACACCCTCCAAGACACCATGCAGACTGGTGGGCAGAATGCTCATCTGCAGACTGCTGCATCTGGCGAGTGGATGTCTGCGCCATGCTGGCAGATTCGAGTCTCCTGCATACAGGGTGTGATCGCTCCTCGGGAGGGTCGTTTTGGGGGGGTTCTAGTTGGGCAGCATGGCATGGGACGCGGGCGAGGAGTCAGCCTCCGTGGGAGCCTTTTCCTGATATACTAGTCCGAGTCGCCTGCAGGCTGCGTCTGCTTGTGTCTCGACTGCTGAATTGGTGTTTTAGGTAGGCAGACGCGGCAGCCTGGAACTTAACGATACCATACTTTACCGCTTCGGTGGCTGTGACCTTTTCCTTGCCTCTATTCGCTGTTCAGCTGAACAGAAAGCAGCCTGACGCTGACTTCGATATATACTTCGACTTACCCACGGTTAGGTGGGAACTACGTTGCTCGGGGTTCCCCTTCGCATATCCGCCAGTGTTTCGCGGAAACTCTACATACGATACTTGCCAGAGCGTCAATTTGTGCAGTATACAAGTGGTGGCGTCCTCGGGCTCTTTGTCACCACAAATCACACAGCTACCTCGGTCACACACGGGAGACACCCCTGCCAAATCGAGCGCCATGTCTCGGCACGACGACGACTACTCTCGCGGCCGTGAGCCCTACCACAGGGACCGGACCCCAGAATACACATATACGAGTGGCACAGCCGCCGGAGCACCACCACCAACCTATCTCATGCCCGAGGCTCCGGCAACACACGGCGGCTCAGACGCCCCCACGAGCATCGCCAGCCCAGGCTACACGACATACAACGGCGCAAGGTCCCAAGCGCGGCTGCTGACGTATGAGCCCGCCCAAGGGCAGCTCTACCTACCGGCGCCGCCGCATTCGCCGTCGACGCTGCAGATCCCCGAGTCGCGCTCGCGGCCAAGGTCCCTGCCGCCGGTGAAATATCGCCGGCATTCTCGCGAGCTGCAGAAGCATAGGAGCAGGAGCCGCAACAGACGTGGTAACAGTGACTCAGACTCGGACTCGGACGCCAGCAACCGAGCGCGCACGCCCGTCGACAAGGCGCGCGGCTTCGTGGAGGGCGCCTTCACAGACTCGCCGACGGGCCTTGGTGTGGGCGTGCTGGGCGCTTTGGTCGGCGGGCTGGCGGCAAGGGAGGCTGTTGAAGTTACAGGGCGACATAATGGTAGTCATGGCCACCACCACGACCCGGACCACAGGCGCAGCCAGCTGATCAGCACCGTGGTCGGCGCGGCGGTTGGGGCACTGGGCGCTAATGCGTTCGAGAAGCGCATCGAGAAGAACAACGGGCAGCGCGAGAGGGAGAGGGAGAAGGAGAGGGATAGGGTGAAGCATGAGCGGCGGGAGCGTAGGTGGCGGCGGCCTTATTCGGGGGAGGCGCGCGAGAGGCGTGAGGTTCATCAAGTCGCGGCGCGGCCAAGGAGTGGTGGTGGTGGGGGACATGGTAGGAATGGGGATGGGAAGCGGGATTCCTGGGGGAAGCGGGATTCTTGGGACGAAAGGGATATGGATAGGGGAAGTGGAAGTGCGAGGGAACGCGGTGTGGTCGAGCGCGAGGTCGATCCCGAGGCGCGCAGCTGGAGGAATGTCGAGGATTGGCTTTATGATGATCGGCATGTCCGGCCTCGGTCGAGTGGGAGTGGACAGGGGAGTTTGGATTCTTATCGGTACTGATCAATGATGAGGAGAAGAGGTACGGGAGTTTATATGCGATTGGGTATCTTTGTTGGTGTATGGATATGGTATGATATAATATAGAGAGTCCTGCTATTTGCACCTTGTCTCCACCCCTATCTCTCCAGGCAGCTAGCAGCGGGCTAACCACTAAGCTTACGGCTTATTATTAAATCGAGGTTGTCGATACAGTTGTCGGTACAGTTGTCGGCGTAGCTGTTTGTGCAGTTATCGGCGTAGTTGTTAGTGTAGTTGTGCTGAGATAGAGGGCTGTACCTTATTGCAGCTGGCTGCAGTTAGGGTGTGGAGACAAGGTGCAAATAAGGAACCCTCACAAGGTGCAAATAGCAGGACTCATGATATAGGAGTGTAGGGAGGTCGTTGGGTTGGAAATGGGGGCTCGGAAAGAGATCAAGGCTTTCGAGGGTTGGAGTTAGCTGACGAAAATGAGAGGACCCTTGACTCCTGGAATGGGCCGGGCTGTCTCATGTGTTTGCTTTTGTTTGTCAGCCAGCGATATACTTACACTGAACTTCCAGAAGCATCCGTACACCCCTCGTCCACCAAGCGAAAGGTGATGATTACTGGAATAAGCAGTCTGGAATAAGCATAAAATATGGCTTTTTATATTAGACCTGCTTATTCTAAGCTTCTTATTCCATTGGCACGAATGTAGTTTTAGTGTTCAAGAGTTGACAGAAGCACGGCGGACGGAAATTCATGAGGGGCGACTTTACCATTCATCAAAACAAGCCTTTCGCCAGCATATCATTGTATTAAGCTGCGAAACTCTCGCCGCAACAAGGCCACCAAGCAGAAGTGCCGGCCACTCGTCCCATATTCACAGAAAAACTAAACAACTAAAAGCTGCTCAACGCCGCCATGAGGTCAGGCTCGACGGCCGTGCCCTTCTGGACCTCGAGGTCCTCCAGCCATTGATCGGCATTTCGAACCAGCTGGTTCTCCTTCTTGGTATGAGCCGCGGCATCATACTCGGTGTCCTGCCAGACGAACATGTCTTCGGGGTCGGGGTCCGGGTCCTCCTCGACCACGAAGTGGCCGGAGCCCGTTCCTCCCATCTCCTCGTCCTTGTCCACGTTCTCACCTCCGTCCATGGCGGCCTGGTCCTTTCGAAAGACCACCCGAGCGGGGCGGTTCTCTCTCTTCCGGAACTCCTTTCGCGTCTCGACGTAAAGCTCGACAAGGGCGCGGAGGACGGTGGCGTGGAGCTTCTTGAGGTCGACGGCCTTGTTGTGGCCGGGGGTGATGGCGGCGGTGATGGCGGCAGCGAGGTTGGTGTAGAAGGTTGTCTTCATGGCTTCGGCCTCGTCGGTCTCGTCGCTGGCGTTGTAGAGCCCCTTTTGCTCGTGCGCCAGCCGGAAGGCTGTGATGAGGAGCGCCTGAAGACGCGCGCGGGCTTCGTGCTTGTACTTCACGCCCAGGGCCTCGAAGAGATTGCTCAGCTGCTCTTCTCCCCTAGCATCCAACAAGACATGGTCAGTACTGGCTCTCATCCATTGTGAACACGGGCAGCGGATCGTGTAGTTCAACTTACTATTGTGATATTAGCTTGAAGTCCGTAACAAAATGGAGCATTAGGGGGTTCTTATAGACATACCTAGTGGTCGTGCGGCATGAAGGTGAAGTAGAAACCAGGGAACGCATAGTTCAGCTCGGGGAACTAGGCAGCGGTGAGGATCGGCTGGTGCTTGGGCGGGGCGCGGCCAAAGGCAGGGCCAGAGTCGGAGAAGCCGGTGAGGGCATTGCGAGATTCGTTGCGGAGGCGGTCCGCAACGGCGGCTTGCGCTCGCTTCTTCGCCCGAAAGAGAGCTTTGGTTCGACCCATTTTCTTGTGGTCGACGGTGGGGATGGAAGAAGATGGCGAAACAATAAATCGGAACAGGAACTCAGTCGGGTATGATGCTGGTAGACACGGCGTGCTGAAGTTGTGATTGCGCCGGAGGAAGAAAAAAAATTCAGGTGGGCGTAGGCTGGGAGAAGTCGTCGGGCCAACGCAGGATAGTAAAGAGCGTCTGACTGGCAGGTAACGAAGGCAGTGCAGGCAGAAGGGTATGGCGATGGCTACAGGGAGTGCTGTATGAAAGTGCACGTGCTGCTGAGATTACTTAAATGGTAATGAGACGCAGAATCCATGCAAGTTCCTCACGGTCAACCGTGGGATTTAAGAACGAGCAACCAAACTTTCTCAGTGGCTCAGTGGACAAAAGAATCTGCTCAAGATGAGAACTCCGGGGCTTGCCACCGAGGGTGCATCGACGGTAATTCAAATGTAAAACAACAATACATTTTTTACATGGTTCGAATCCTACTATTGTCTGCCACTTTTTGGTTTTATTCCACGTAACCTTTTTTATTATCCTTACTATATAAGCTTTCTCCGTACTTGGTCCTAGTTTATTAAAGGCTAGCCATTATGTTTTGTTTATCTATCCTATATATCTACATGATAAACAATTGATGGCGCATGATACGCCTAGATCAGCCGGCGTCATTTGTCAAGCAGAACGAATCTAGGGACGAGGGCCTGGGTTTGCAAACATCACACGCATGAGTCTTTCAAGTTGTCCCAGAAGACATGTTGTTTGACGAATATCTACTTCAGTGGTTTGCTGCTTGATCATCCTACCAGTCTACAATCTAATCATGCCGAGCCCCTGAACGTAACCTGGTATCGCAACCATTGAAAGCAACTCCGATGAGGCCAAAACCAAAGCTCTCATGTACTGGCTGGCGGCGATTCTGAATGGTCCACAATAACATGAACATCATAGTGAGAAGCTTCACCCAGCCTTGAATGGCCTCCAAGTCCGTCACCCAAGCAACCATCACATCAAGCACAACCTCCCGCACCCCCCATCGAGGTCAGTGAACTAGTCCTTGCTGGTACGATATTGCGTGGCGTTGTTCAACGGCACGCGTCTTTCAGCACCATGGTCGCCCTGGTCTGGCCCTGACCTCGCCCTTCACGACCGTGTCAACCTGTCCCTGTAGGCTCTTAAGGGTCGAATCTGAAAGAACTGCCCGAACGCTACCCCTCATATTAGCCAACAGCACAGCTGGCAGGAAGTATACCGAAGTACAGTACTTGTCGAGGTAGCCGTGGGTGGCCCCCACCCAGATCTTGAAGCCGCGCGGTGACCCTGGAGTCGATGTCCAGGAGGTCCGTTGCTCCGTTGACCCCGTGATCTCGAACCCCTGAGCGGGCAGGCGGTCGGACAGAGGCATCCCGTCCGTGTTGAATGGTTCAACCATGCGTACATCATGAAACCCTACTTGAGCGTGGCATCTCATAACTGTTATTGAAATGCCTAAAGATACCTATCCAGCCAGGACAGCCGCTGACGCCAATGAACGTCAATGCAATGCTTCATCTATACAGGTATATCAATAGCATTACCTACTTACTGTCAGGGCAACATACATAATATAATGTATTTGGTATACAGTAAGTGAGTAGCAACCTACCGCTCACCAACGTCAGTCAACACCTCTTAATACCATAGCGAACAAAACAGAAGAAGGGTTGAAAAGATTATAATATACGAGAAAGTAGGTAGGCACAGGGAATGAATGCAGTGACTTGAAAATCGCAATTTCAATGTCTACCCTCTTGCCCCACCTTACGTAATATCCCTCCAAGTGCAAGCGATTTCCCGATTTCCCAATTCCCAAACCGCAAGGAAACATTCTTCGAGCCCAGATCGAGGTCTTCGAGGGGAAGATTGAACCAGCCTCGACTACTACAAGAGCCGTTGCACCTGCAGCACCCCCATTTGAAATTTCCCGCCCCGGTACCTACTGAGTACCTAGATGGTCGCTGACTCGCTCCTGCGCCTTTCAATTTGGTTGAAGTGAGGTTCCAGCTTGATTGGTCCGTGCGCACCGGCTTCACCAAAAGCAGAGCTGGAGAGCACTGGTGCAACTGCAGATGGACCTCGACTCTGACGTGATCCTCGCTGCCTCTCGACATTTATCCCGTTCCCCATTTCGCCAGGTCCTCCCTCTCACTGCTTGAGGCGCATACGGCAGTCGATCCTCCTCGTCGCGGCCCTCTGGCAGACTTGTCTTGATCTCGGGAGCACCTGCACTGATTACTACCCACTGAGCCTTGCACCAATTGGCTGCCTGCATGGTAGCTGTACCGTACCGTAGGTACCTGAAGGCTGAGAACGCACACTTCAGGGTTCCATGTTTCCAGTGTCGTTGAGCGGAGCACCATTGCATCACCTGCACTGCACGACTTGCACTTGATGGGGCGACACCTCCATACCTGCTTCGGCCCATCACCCAAGATACACCGCCTCGCATCTTGATCAATGGCGACTGCGTGGTCAGGCTCATTTGTGCCCGAGGTGCAGGACGATGACGACGTCTCCATCACCTCCACTGACCATGAAGGCAATGGCGGCAGGGATGAGGACAGGGACTGGGTCGTCGACGACCTCCTGGCTGAGCGGCCTCATCCCGACATACCAGGACAGATGCAGTACCTTATCAAATGGGAGGGCTTTCCCATCGACGAATGCACCTGGGAACCGGAAGACAACCTGGGCCCTGGTTTGCTGCCGCAATGGGAGGAAACGAAGAAGGAGATTGAGGCTGGCAAGCGAACGCCTTATGACATAAATATATACAACGCTGCCTGCATGGCCAAAACGGAAAGGCACATGAGGCGAAATGCCAAACGCAAGAGGCTCGGTTTACCACTTACCACGCCCTTTCCCCCAGAAACCGTCGCCAGCCACCTCTCCCACTCCATCTCTGGGAGGGACGACTCCGACTCCGACGAAGAGGCCGAAACAATGGACGACATTCTCGCCAGGGTTGCGGCCAAATCACAGCCCCGGCCGGCCATCAAGCAGAAGATCTTTGAGGGAAACGCCCTCAAGCCTCGCACCGAGTCGAGCCCGCCACGGCCTGCTAACGCGAGACGATCCTCAGGCATGTCGACTCCTAAGCCACCCTCCAATCCCCAGTCAGGGAAGCCGGCAACCAGGCCTAGTGAACCCGCTCGTCGAGCCAGTGCTGGAGCAACTACTGGATATCAAGGTACTGCAAGGAAGCCCAGCATCATTACGAACCAGAATACCTCGAAACCGCCGACCAGCAAGACTCCTACTCAACGGCCTTCAAGTGCGGCAGCCAAGCCACCTCCCAGCACAACGCAGCCGATCAGGTCTTCGACTCTGGCAAATAAGTTTGCAGGCAAGAAAATGACAGCAACTCGGACTCGCCAGCCGCCGCCAGCTCAGATAGCGACAGCAACCAATGTCTTCGTTAGCGGCAAAGAACGCAAGAAGAGGACGAATTTGGGCGACGTCATGGTCGATACTAGCAAGGCGCCCAAACGCTTCAGCAACATGCATGTACAAAACCTGGCAAGGAAGAGAGCAATTGAGAAGGGAGATGCAGCGCCCAACTTCTCTTCGATTCCGGCTGGCTTGTTTCTCAACACTAGTGATGCCCAAATCAGGCCCAAGGATAAGAACCCTTCCTTCAAGTCTCCGATATACGAACCTCAAACAGATCCGATGAAGACGAATGCCACTTCAGCACTCTCAGCATCTTCTTCTCTCGTACACAGCCCAGCGGCAAATCCGTCAGGAGACGAGCCAGCACCGGCTCCAAAGGCCAAGAAGAAGTCTGTCCGCTTTACGGCAGTGGAAGACGATGAGCCCGATACCGGTACCGCTCGTGAGCTTTTCGACGAGCCGATGGACATTGACTCCCCACTTGAGGTTCCTGAGGTTCCGGCGATTCCAGAGACGCCCCAGCACCCCCAGGCGGCCCGACCGAAGCTGTCTTTGGCCAAGTACCAGGAGCGCGGACAGACGCAGGTCGTGCTCAGGCGGGCTACCTTTGGACCAGGCAGCTCGCAAGAGGTCCGAGTCATGTTTCACGGTATCTCACGTCACAATGACCCCTGGCTCACAGCTTTCATGGACAATGAAAAGCTACACTTTGATGCTACATGCTCCTCAATCGACTTTCTCTCCCAGAAAGGCTGGCTACTTATGGAGAGGTTCTCGGCTGGGACGATCAAACCCAACGCACCGGATCAGGCGTCAATGTTGGAGAACATAGCTGAATGGTTGCGCCGAAGCTCTTCGGCTATGCACTTGGTGACATCTGACTTTTCGATTCTGGTGTACCCCAACGGGGCTGACGCCTGGAGGGAGTTGGACAGCGATACCGACGCAGTCAGGCTCGAGGCCCCTTTACGCCACCTGATATATAAGACGAAGATGGATACCAGGCTTTACCAACATACCGTACCCGCCATTTCCACTGCTGAACCAGCTGGTGTACCGCATGGACCACAGTGCCAGCTTATTGTCAAGCAGTTGGCCGGTCTGGATTTTGATAAGTGGCTTCCCCAGGAACCCAACAAGAAGGACACGCAGGTATACATGCTGCTGATCCCCAATTCTGAGCCGCAGCTGTTGGCGGTGATCAAGGTTTGGCTTCGTAAGTCTCCCCCGAAGACCTCTTTCGCACATCTTTGGGGTGGGTGCTGACTAGTTATCCCGCAGGATCCTGTCAACCCGAATGTCGTATTTTTACTTTCGAACGCGAAGACAGCTGGTTGAAGTTCCACGAGGTTGTGAGCGCAGGCGCTGCGGGCACTGTCGTTGTCCATTCTGATGTGACGTGCTCCCTCGGGAAGATCCCAGGCATCTGGAATCTCGTTGACAATAATCCTAACACCTTCTGGGACCTATCTGTGGGCGAGTTCGACCCACCGAGATTTCCTTCAGAGCTAACAGCTACCATCGAACCTGGCACGTTACAGATGACGCGGTTGTTCCCGTTTGGTCGGGCATTTCTCATCACCCCAAGTTTCGTGCTTTCGGACCCTGCACAGCTCGTCAAACTTCTAGAGTGGGCTCGCGCAAATTTCTGGAACCCTCAGACCCTAATCATGGCCTGCGCAGATTTCCCGGGGTATCTGAGGAATGTAACGCTAGACATTGAACAGGAACATCATGCGCTTTGTCATGTTTACCGCGAGGACCCCAACCTGGATAGAATCCTCGAGCAATACGGCAGACGCAAGGAAGATGTGTGGCACGTATTTCGGGCTTGGGAGCTTACGATGGAGCTCCAAAGCATTTTTGGAGACCAACAGACCAGCGAGGACCTCCGCAAGCTTAGCTGGATCACAGACTTCATCGATCCTAACGACGAGCAAAGCCTGGTGAACTACTTTTGCTGGTGGTCTACTACGAAGCTTGACAGGTACCGAAGGTTTCTCGTTCTGGGGTCACATCCCGCTAAGATCAAGCGGGCTTACCGACATATACAAGTTCCAGTCTACACTGACATCTCCGTGAGCGACCCCGACGTCGCTGCCGCCCGTGCGGATACACGTCAGGAAGCAGCTGAAGTGGCGGAAGAAACAGGCGATGAAGCAGGAGATTCTGGCCGCGTTGGTGGGATTGCTTCCGAATCTCTAGTTGGCCACAGAGCCCAATCTCCTCCGGGACAAAGAAAGATGTCTGTCTCTCGGGCGCCATTCACGTTCCCAAGCGCTCTGTTTCATGATGATCAGGCCAAAGACCTAAAGGGCTGGATACGCGACCATATCGCCTCTTTGGGACCGTCTTGGTCAAAGCTACACGTTAATCCCGTGGCGTGGGTGAATCCTCAGATGGCCGATCAGTTCGGTGACGATTTCTGCTCTTTTGACACCTTCAGAAACTGGCTCCTGGGCGCTCCTACCTTTTCGCAATCCGTCAATACTTGGTACGGACTATTCTACAGCATAGATAAGCCCTGGAATCCGGAACAACCTTTAAGCAGATATGGACGACACCCATGGATTGCTATCTTTCGACCCGTCGAGCCTCACAAATTTCGAGATGGTTTCAGTAGGTATGAACTTTTCATCTGGGACCTGAGCGCTGGCGAGAGAGAGTCCACTACTGGGCGGTGGGGAGGATTACTTGGCATGCAGCGCCAGTTGATAGACTTTGTTCGACTCGAGGTCCCGAAGAAGTATAAAGGAACAGCTCTCACAAACGTCTGGGTTAGCAGCAAAACCAAGGTGCTGGCTCAGCCCGGCCAGAACCCCCTGGATATAACTTGCGACAAAATCAAGGAGATGTTTGGCAATGGCAGATACTGGCTCCCTCCTTTCCATGATATGCTTTCTGATAGGGGCTGGAAGTCCTTGAACGAAATTGAGTGGAAAACCGGCATGTCAATTGATGCAGCCAATACGCGGCTGATGGCCATTCCGCGAAACGCCAGCGATGCCGGCAAACTGGAACGTTCGATATGGCACCCTCCGCGCGGAGTAACCCTCAACGGTGGACAGACCATCTGTCTCAATGCGCTGTATGAAGCTACTCTGAAGGAGCGTCTCAAGGACCCGTTGTGCGAAACCATGCGATACCAGTACAAACCGACAACGGAATGGTATGCTGACCAGGTGTCGGAACGACGTGACTTTAGCTACGTATGCGTCGACGCCGCCGAGAGGATACTTCGCAAACTTCTTGCCCCCAAGGTTTGAAAGTGGTGTTGGAACGGAACATGTAAAGCAAGGAGCTGAGGGGGCGCAGCCTCTTCTTGCTTGTCCAAGATACCCATGCGTTGCGTTGATATATTCACCGAGTGCACGATCGTTGCATATTGGGCAGACCTGTTGATAATAATGAAGAAAATGCTTGTTACATTGACGGATCTTGTGCTCGTGACATGACCGTTGGCATTGTGATATGCTGCGTTGATGTTATCGCGGAATGACCAGAATTGCACTTTTCGTCCTCGGTTCCAAATAAACAGCATGTACTATGTGAGCTTGAGTAATGTGTTCTGCCACCATATCCACCCTTGACTATTTCATGGTCTTTGAGGACTGCAAAGGGGCTTCTATTCACAAAGGGAGTGTTTCTGGAATTGCATTATGGAGGTGGATATTCTGAGCCACGTGACTCGAGTCCGTACCTACCTAGACATGTAACGAGCACGAGCCACAATGCCACGATAGCGGGCGCAGTCATCAACTGGGGGTCCGCAAGCCACGCCGGACTGCACCGTGTCCTGAGCCCTGAATCAACACTCCCATGCAGTCTGTCGTACATCGCACTGACACACTGCAGTAGCAAGCAACCAGACCGCCGCCCAGAACATTGAACCCTCTCCATTCCATTCTACTCCACCAACTGCCCTCACTTCGACGACCGCAGAGCCTCCTCGAGTCGTCCCACCAGCGCGACAGTCCCGAGGGCAACAAGGTCTACCTAGGGATCATCCCCATCACTGCTGCCAACTGCGCCCGAGTCCCTCTTTGTGGCTGCCTGAGACCTCCAACTGACTGCCCCGGCTGCTACTTATCACCGCCCCGTCTCGACCTTCTTTCTCCTGAACATCTACCACCTCGAGCTCGCGCGCTAGTATCAACGACCTTGTCATTCAACCACCACTGACCGCCCATCATGGCCAACGACGAATACGACGTAAGCCTATACGCCCCAGCCCGCCTGCCCAGTCGGGTCCCCCTTTTATGCCAGACTTCGCTGACCCGAGTCCTCGACAGTTTCTCTTCAAAGGTACACACGCCCGCCGGCTGCTACACTCGTCGTCGCATACTTGCTAACTATATACGCTACAGTGGTGCTGATTGGAGACTCGGGCGTCGGAAAGTCCAACCTGTTGAGTCGGTTCACCCGGAACGAGTTCAACCTAGACTCCAAGTCCACCATCGGTGTCGAGTTCGCTACCCGGTCCATTCAGGTCGACTCCAAGACGATCAAGGCACAGATTTGGGATACTGCCGGCCAGGAGAGATATCGCGCCATCACCTCTGCGTACTACAGAGGTGCCGTTGGTGCTCTGCTTGTCTACGACATCAGCAAGCACCAGACGTACGAGAACGTCACAAGATGGCTTAAGGAGCTTCGAGACCACGCTGATGCCAACATCGTCATCATGCTGGTTGGAAACAAGAGCGATTTGCGGCACCTGCGAGCCGTGCCCACGGAGGAGGCCAAAGCGTTTGCCAGTGCGTCACCTGTTCCCGCTTGCTCAGAGTGATTCCTATTTGCTGACGTTGGACTATAAGGCGAGAACCACCTGTCGTTCATAGAAACTTCGGCTCTCGATGCCAGCAACGTCGAGCTCGCCTTCCAAAACATCTTGACTGGTATGTTCTTTCCATTCTTGATTCAAGCTTCAGCGAGTCCATCGTGCGCTGACGCGGTACGCCCCAGAAATCTACCGAATCGTGTCCAGCAAGGCACTAGACAGCGGCGAGGGAGCCCAAGCCCCGATGGCAGGCACCAACATTTCACTGAGCAAGTCCCCCGACGATGGCGCGAAGCAGGGTGGGAAGTGCTGTTGATTCGATAATGGCCCCTGTGGGATGATGCGATGGTTATACGGCTGATACGATGTTACGTACTGTTACGTACACGGCGTCACATATTGTGCGGAACACTCGATGGTAGGGTGATGATGCATCGGGGGTTAGGGATATTGGTCTTTCTATGGGACGCGGTTCTCTCCTTTTCTTTCGTCAATGTTCCGTGTCGGCAGTCTCAGGTCTGGCACGTCGGAAAGACTCTAGCATGCCTAATCTAAGAAAGCCCATCATAATGACTTTACGTTCTGGCAGTGCCTAATGACAGCTGACACTCCACAATGCATGGCTTCACTGTATCCATGTGTGTGACTTGGTCTTGAGTATAGCTATAATCATTATGAGAAAGCATCGAGATGTAGACGCATGGACAAGGCTGCTACAGTAAGCAGAGTGTACGTGTACATGTCATTGCACACTTTGGATGATGATCAGTCTCATGCAGGACTCAGCCTCGAAGCTTGCGAATTCCGTATCACAATGCCCTTCAGATGTTTCTCGGTGCTTAAGACCCCACCACCCCGATAAGCAGCCCGCACCTTATCGATTACACGCCGATAGTAAAAAAGTTCTGGGACTGCGGGAGCTTTCCACCTTGCAGCTCGTCGCATATTTCGCAGCGGCACCAACGACAACAGGTTCTGCCCCAGATCATAACGAGCCTCGACGGCACCCGACACACGAATCTACCATGGCGTCCGTATATAAGACGCTCTCCAAGAGCATGAATGGTGGAAAGCCCGAGACCCCGGCCAACGGCGTGCGCAAGAACAAGCAGAAGACCCTTCTTCTTCCTTCCCGCGGGACCACATTCCGGTACGCCAGTCAGAAACCGTCGGTTGCGTATGGATGGATGGATGCTAATCGTGATGGTGGTCTATAGACATCGTCATCTAATCCAGGACATTGTCAATCTCCTACCGACCGCGAAGAAAGACGCGAAATTCGATTCCAAAAAGAAGCTCTTCTTGCTGAACGAACTCTGCGAACTCTCGAATTGCAACAACTGCCTGTACTTCGAGGCTCGGAAGGTCAGCAGCCGATTTTTCTGTCTTTTTACTCCCCCCTTACAATCTGGAACTGCGCGCAAGGCGCGTCAGAGATGCGACGTCGTGTTCCAGCTCTCATCTCGACCTGACACGATCCTCGGCCGGCCACTCCCTCAATCGTCCGATAGAGTCTTTGCTGACATATTGATGTACAATAGAACCAGGACTTGTATCTATGGGTATAGTCTATCCCAAATCTGCTCCTGTCGCCGCAGATCATACTAACAAGACTGGACTGGAAGGCTTCTAAGGTTCCCAACGGGCCCACAGTCAAGTTCCATGTGCTCAACATTTCAACGATGGAGGAGTTGAACTTCACGGGCAATTGCTGTAAGTCAGCGTATGAATATGTGTTCGAGAATCCCTGCCGACCTCCCAGCAGTGCAGTCTTGGGATATGGTCCAATATCGCTTTTTGACTTCGAGCTCTGCCTGTTGGACTTTTCATTAACAGCCTGCTACAGTGAAGGGCTCGAGACCTATCCTATCTTTTGATTCTGCCTTTGACCAAGAACCGTACCTGCAACTTATCAAGGAGATATTCTTACACGTGTTCGGCGTACCGCCGGGCGCGAGGAAGTCCAAGCCGTTCGTTGATCACGTCATGTCCTTCATGTTCGTTGATGGGAAGATATGGGTACGCAATTATGAGATCAAAGAAACGGATCCATCGAAGACGAAGGCTGGCGAGGATGGCGATGAGGAGGTCAGCTCGAAATCTTCCAAGGGCCGCAACAAGGAACTGGACATGAGCCTGTTGGAAATAGGGCCACGCTGTGAGTCGAATCCTGGACCGGAATTTGCCTCTACTGGCCAACATTCTGTACATGACAATTACTAACACTGAGTGCTGCAGTCGTCATGAGTCCTATCATCATACAAGAGGGGTCTTTGTACGTATTATTCAGCAACCTGCCCTGGGCCTACTCAAGTCCATGGGATTGCAATGACTAACATTATCTCTACAGTGGTGGGCCAATTATCTACGAGAACAAGAACTTTGTGTCTCCTAACCAGGTCCGAGCTGATCTGAGGCGGAAAAAGGCCACAAAACACAACACCCGGGTGGACCAGTCCACCGATCGACTTGCCAAGAAGGGAGATCTCGGCCTTCGGACAAATGGTGGTAAGAAGGCACCTGTGGATGAGCTAGATTCGAAGAAACTGTTCGCCTGAGTACTATGTGGGTTGCTGTCCATTGCGACTGGCGTTTTGGCGTTGATATGACACCCCAGGTAGTTTGTCTCGAGGTTTTCATAGCTTTGACTTGGTGAGCAGGCCTAGTCTCCCGTAGAACTTGTGTGGTGGATAACGAATACAAGCCATTTTCACATCTATCAATTGTGTGACTGGGGCTCGCACTGCGGATAATATGTCTCCTTGCACTTCATCATTTCCATCGGTGACAGTTCGCTCCCCGCCCAGCCTCTTCGCCTTTACAGGTAGGTTGCTTTTTGAACTGTCTCCTGGGCGAGGCTCGGAAGCACTTTTCCCCTTTAATCCATGAACCTCTCTTGAATCTTAATGATAGCAATTCGGCAGTGGTTGGAAGGACCTATCTTTCCGCCTCCCACATTTCGGAACCGCTGTTCCCCATCCTCGCGTCTACCAGAGATGCAAACCGGCCATACCAAAGCATACTGCTACCGTTGATACCTACTGCGATTCCACCTGGGAACCCGGTTGGGGTCAGAAACCTGCCGACTATCGGGCTTGTACCGCCTACTTTTTGCAATCAGGAAAACTTGGCGACCCACGCTGACCAGTTTTCTCTCCCGCCATCCCTAGTCTGGCTAAGTATCAGTGAGGCTCTGCTGTGGATTTGATACCAACTAGAATCTTGCTCTATGGTGCTTGGCAAATGAATCTCGCCGATCGCCGATCGCTAGAGCCACGGCAGCTGTGTGGCAGCTGGCACGGTCCTAGACGTTGCCAATAAGGTTGGTTATGTGGGTCGCCAAGTTTTCCTGATTGCAAAAAGTAGGCGGGTACGTCTAACGGATGCCTCTTCTATGCATCTAGACGAATATATGTAGCTATTCGGGTAGCCCAGTCAGACCTACCCGTGGACCCGACGGGAGGACCTGGATAGCCATTTGCGCTAGGCAAAGAGGTTTATCCGCGTGCCGACGTCCGAGCTTCTGGCCAGGGCGGGCTAACCCCTGGCTTTGGCTTTGTTCATTACCTCAAGGCTCGCGTAACTCTGGCGCGTCTTGAACCTCTTCTTTTCTGTCAAACAGCCATGACCCAACCACACCCAACTTCCGCCTCTATGGCGAAGCCATCACCAATGCATATGATGCCTCTGTGCATCCTTTGCACTCAATATAGCCCCAAGGGAGGGGTTGTCGCGGATTGAGTCAAGTGATCCTCTACCCCTTGGTCAACCGAGGGGTCCTAGGTGGTGACAGACGCGAGATAGCTGTCCTGACCTAGCTTTAGGTTAGCGGAGGAGATTAAAGCATCTCGGAGTTGGAGGAAGAGGTACGAGAAAGACGCACGGAGAGAAATTGAAGATTCAAAGGACAGGCAGTCGTCAGACACAACCAAGGAAAGAGGTACCTGGCCCTTCAGCTTCTTAGGTGAACCAAGCACAATCGGGAGCGATTCGTTCAGTGAACGAATAGAATAACACAACCGTCAGACTGTCTCCAGTAAGCCTCACTCCAAACCAGGGTTGCAGTCGCACTTGTTGATCAGCTTTGATAGATCACTGCTACTGTTCAGATCAGTGATTCGACTCGCAGTCTTGTCAAAGACAAAGTCACATACTTGAGCAAGGCAATTTGATTCTGCTTCTGGCACCAAAGACCATACAGGCTCTGCTTGTTTTCATTTGGAGAATCCCGTTGATCTCCACGGAAGTCTAGCACGGTCAACTCGTCTCAAGCCTCCCACGATCGTTCAGAGCTGTGAAGACATCATACTCTGATCGCCGACCAAGGGCCGTGGACTCTGTTGCCTGGGTGTTGCGACTAGTCAATAATTCTTGCTGTGTAGCCATTGAGCACAGCCTCCGAACCGGACGATTCCGTAAGATTCCGGCTGTGTTGGGCCTGGCAGGACCATTTCAAGGTTGACACACAAATCTCTCTACACCAAAAAGCAACTACATATTGCCGGGTGCCATTCGTCTACCATTGCAGTACGCTTTTCGAGCCTGAGAGCCGGTTTTCAATACACCCCATTCCCCTCAACAGCACACACCATCACCAATCAGTTAATACACGGGAACTGGTGTTATTGCGAATTCAGCAAGCCAATATTTGGTGGGAGGTACATAAAGACCCGCCAGCTGACCCCTGTTTCGTCTTGGCAACCCAAAGGAGGTTGCCTCGTCGACTACATCTTGCCCACCAAACACGACAATATTATTGATCTTTGATACACAGGTATCTGCAGAGTTGAGAAACACGCCCACAAAGTCCGAAACTCAAACATACTAATTCTTCGAAATCAGGTTAGTGTATTCATCACTTCATGCACTAACCTGCCAGTCCTACGGCAATACTCCTAGCTACTTTTCTGCCTCTCCTTATACAACTTACCGAAACATCAAGCCCAAATCGATTTCGTCTGAAACCTGAAACCGAGATTTTTACTCGAGCTGCTACTCCTCGAGGACAAGACCCGCGCTGCACCCACAGACAGTTGGAAAAAGACAGTTTACTCTCGTCAAAGTTTCAATTTGTTGCCCGAATCCTTTCCTGTCAAAGCCCCAGATTGCAAGAGGAAGGACATCATGGCTGGAAACGCCTCGGCTGTTGTTGGCGACATGAACTTGGCCGCCGACCTTTCATCCCCCGGTCACTATGACGGTCCCGCCACACTTGCCACTCTGCCTACCGAGCTCGTCCTCAAGGCCATGGAGTCGATGACTCCCAAGGACCTATCGAACTTCGCCGTGGCGAATAAAAGACTGTTCGGTATCCTCAAAGCCAACCAGGCCACTGTCATGTCTAATGTCCGGCATGTATAAAAACATCCCTATTTCAGACCCCAAGTCCCCGGGTTTGGAATACACTTGAACCTTCTGCTAACTTCTCGGCAGTAAGTAATTCTGCTAGGCGATTCCAGAAACATAGGGTACGGTAACTAACCAGGGACATTTTCATACGCTAGTTCTGCGCCTCCCGGAGCTTGAAACGATGCTATTCTTTTACACGGCAAACGACTTGGACTTCCTCCCGCGGCGGATGCTCCACGCCCGTACAATCGTCTTCAACCCCGAGCGAGAGAACGGATCCAAGATCAACTTTCTCCACACCAGCGTGGCCTTCAACGATGGCAAGCTCATCTGCCCAGAGAGGTTCGAGTTCGGCATGGCAGACATCCTCGCTTTGTGGAAGCTGGTAAAGGTCATTGACTGGTGGGTCGATATATACCCCAGTCTCCGCTGGAGAGACCATCCAGAAGATCGGCGGTGCCTTCGAGCGAGCGAAGAAGCGCGCCTCCGCAAGGCAGTTGCCCGTTGGTGGCTTTTCTCGCACTACTTCCATGGCATTCATTGGCGTGACTGTAATGCTCCGAAGAAGTGGCAAGAGTACGTATCTCATATGGTTCCATCACTCTGAGCGCCTTGTATTTACTGACTCATTTCCTTACAGTGACCACAGACTACACCATCTGCGTATACTGCCCACTCATGAGATATGTGAGCTCGAGGATCTTTGGGGTGTGATGTATGACACTACCAGTAAAGACCTCTGCTCGTCGCCTGAGCGAGTCCGAGACGGAGTAAGTGATAGTGAGCACGCTTGACTGGATGATGTCCACACGCTAAATCCTGCCTTAGAACTGGTCCGGCGTCGAGCTCGTCCCGTGGGGATTAGATGAAGGACGCCACAGCGACATCGTCAACACGTACCTCAAGCTCGATCCTGAACAGCTGCAGTATTTCCTCCGACTCTACCATCGTCGCAAGAAGACAGACATCATTCGAGCCGTGTCGAGCAGCGTGCGCAAGTTTACGCTAGATCGAGAAACGCTCTCACTCTCGATCAGCACGGTGCTCCAGGAACGTATGATGCTCAAGCCGCATGGAATCTACGACATTCCCCGCATTGGCATCATCGATGATGACAGAGTCAGCGACAAGGAGTGCGAGCTCTGGACAGGCGACGCTTCGTCCAACGGGAAGGCTCCGCTTACCCAGCAGCAGATCAGTGCGTTCCCAGCCGAGGTCACCAAGAGAATGGCGTATGGAGACGATGGCAGCGAGACAACGAGGCCGTTCTAGCGTCGCGGCGAACGTCCTTGCGTGCGATCCAGACCCAGATGGTAGGGTTGCACTCGCCAGTCCTCAGTTCTCGGTCCTCAATTCCGTGGTCCCCGTCCAGCAACCTCTTCGACTTCACTCCATATCCATATTCGTTTCAAAGTCAACATTCATTGTCGACTGCTTGAGTATTTCTACTTCGCGAAGGCCCATACTCCCCTGGTACTTCATGGTTGGTCGTGATCGCGCGGCCTATGCCTATCATAAAATCATTGTATTGTTAGACTAACCCCAAGGCTTTATGCCCATTGTATTCGTAATTAATACCATTATGCTGTTGCTTCCTGCACCGCTTTGCGTTCGGTGAAGCTTCGAGTGAATTTGTTGGCCACGTTCGTTGCCATTATGACTGTCCAATGAAAAGGTACTCTGGATTCCTCCGTACAATGCGATTATCCTCAGAAGAAGAAAAAGATAGAGAAAAGGAAGTATATGTATCAGTGAGGTGCAGAACTCGGCTCTTCCACGCATCCATGTGTGTAGGTGCTTATTCATTCATTCAATTCCCCTGCCGAAGCCGGGCCCGACATACCCCAGACGATGTACGTGTAGCCAAGTCCCTAACAGCACAAATTTGATTTCGATCTTTTTGTTCCCTCAATACTATAAATTATGATAGTAATGATACAAAAAGGGATGAGATCGACGGTGTTGTAGGCAGGGGATCAGGTCGATTAGGAGGTGGTGGAATGGGAACGGGGTTATCCGGGTCCGACGACGGGAGCCAGCCGGTGCCAGCCAGCCACCCGGGCACTTGCTAAAAAAGATACAGCGCTCACCTCTTTTGGCCTGCGCGTCCGACCATATCAATCTTCTGGGAGCCGCATCAAGCTGCAACCTGCCATCTGCCCTCGGCGAGGCCCCCCGTTCACGACACTGAATACTTCATAAATCTTTACCAAGCTTACAGACTCTGCCTCTCGCCGTGCCGGCATCTCTTGTCCCGACCGGCCCTGGGATTACCTCTGGACTTGGTTCCGCTACATCGTCCATCACACGCGAGCCTTTAGGTGTAAGTACATACACGCTTCATCCACCCAGATCCTTGATGTGCACAGTTTTGCACAGCTTTGCACTCCATCAGAGCTCCTAGATACCCAAGATGACCTAGCAAGGGAGCAGTCTCTACCATTAGTGACCTGCAAAATCACCACCCCCTTAATGCTTGCTTATCACGCCATGATCCAACCCCATCTAGATGTCTTATAAGCCCTAGATGATGGTCGACCCCAATCTCATTCTTACATGATCTAACCACTGCTTTTTTCTCAAAGCAGCATTCACCTCCATTGTCAATTGGCCCTGCTAACTAGCCTCATCGAGGGACATCGGTTGCCTGTGGTCACCCAGAATTTATCTTTGTTGCGTGCCTCGATACTGGCCGTGGGCATGCCAATCGCCATCGGAACTGCCGAAATTCTTGGTTCTCCTCTTGACCTACCCAGGCAGGTGCGCCCTAAATAAATGGGATAAGGGGGCAGCCTCGACACCGCACCTTGTTGGTATCTACCTGCCTCGGTAGGCTTGAGATCAGTTGTCGTCGGCGAGCTCAAACAAAGCATTGCCTGATACACCGGGTCTCCAGCACATTCCATCAAACCTGATTCTTGCCACGCATATCTTACTTCGTACCAGACTCAAATGGTTTCATTGGGATCTTGCGACATGGAACTCGACCACTCCATGGTGGATGCACCCACCAATGGCTTTGCAGGGCCTGCTAACCCCCCGGCCATGGACGTTGATGACGGTGGCCTTTCATCCAGAAACGATGCACAACCCATCATGGACGATTCGGAATCATCCGACGACAGCGACAGGTACATCAAGTCGCTGCAGAGACGCGGCATGCTTCCTACGGGGTGTTGCTACGACGATAGGATGAAGCTACATGCGAACGCTGATTTCGGTCCGACCCCTCACCATCCAGAAGACCCGAGGAGGATAGAAGAGATCATGAAGATTTTCAAGAAAGCGGGGCTTGTATTCACGGGTCCTGATACCGAGCTCCTTGACATCCTGAAAAAGACGCCCACCAAGTACATGTGGAGGATCCCAGCTCGAGATGCAACGCAAGCAGAGATTGAAACCGTACACACGACTCGGCATTATGAGTGGGTCAAAAGTCTCTCCGACATGTCGACCAGGGACCTCAGAATGCTCAGCACCCAATTGGACCAAGGTAGAGCTTCGCTGTACGTGGGTGGCATGTCTTACGAAGCTGCTCTCCTGTCAGCGGGGGGTTGTATCGAGACGTGCAAGAACGTCGCCGCGGGACGTGTCAAGAATGCCTTTGCCATCATCCGACCACCAGGACACCATGCCGAGTATGACCAGCCCATGGGATTCTGTCTGTTCAACAACGTGCCCATCGGTGCCAGGGTCTGTCAACAGGAATACAAGGACTGCCGCAAAGTGCTCATCCTGGATTGGGATGTTCATCACGGGAACGGAGTGCAAAACATGTTTTACGAGGACCCAAACATCCTTTACATATCTCTGCACGTGTACGCAAACGGCGACTTCTACCCGGGCAAGCCCGAAAATTCCCTTCTACCCGATGGCGACCTGGACAAGATTGGCGACGGCGTCGGCAGGGGCAAGAACGTCAATATCCCCTGGCCAGCCCAGGGCATGGGAGACGGTGAGTATTTGGCGGCATTCCAGAAGATTGTCATGCCGATAGCTCAGGAGTTCAATCCGGACCTGGTCATCATCTCGGCCGGGTTCGACGCCGCAGATGGCGACGAGCTCGGTGGCTGTTTCGTTACGCCAGACTGTTATGCCCACATGACACACATGCTGATGTCGCTCGCTGGCGGCAAGGTGGCAGTATGTTTGGAGGGAGGATACAACCTCAAGGCGATATCCCAGTCAGCTCTAGCGGTTGCTCGGACATTGATGGGTGAGCCCCCACCTCGGATGGAGATATTGCCCATCAACAAAGACGCTGCAAGAGTGTTGGCTAGAGTGCAGGCTGTCCAAGCACCATACTGGGATTGCATGAGACCCGGCATCATCAACATGCCGGAGCTCGGCAGTAGCGCTTCCCGCCTACACGATGTCATTCGGGGCTACCAACGGCAGATCCTCTCGGAGAAGCACGGCATGATCCCTCTCTTTATCCAAAGGGAGGGCCTTTTCAAGTCGTTTGAGAACCAGGTCCTCGTGACTCCGGGCATACAGTCGAAGAAGAAGGTGTTATTCATCATCCACGACCCGTGAGTAAGTCAACCTAACGTAGGTTGCTCCAACTGATAGCAAAGCAGTCCCGAACTGGTAGCCATGCCAGATGTTATCGACAATACGGTTGACCCCCACAACGGCTTCATCGTAAGAGATGACCCTCTGGCGAGCCCAACATGAGACAAGGACTGACAAGTGGTTGCAGCTGGACGGCGTCACATCATATGTCAACTGGGCTATCAAGAACAGCTTTGGTGTGTTGGATGCCAATGTCCCTCATTATATCACACACCCAGAAGATATGGACGCCTACGTCCCCCGACCTACGGAGAAGTCGTTGCAGCACCAGATTCAGGAGCTGGTTTGCTATGTATGGGACAATTACCTTCAGCTCTACGATGTGGAGGACCTGTTCCTCCTCGGCGTAGGGAATGCGTATCTGGGTGTCAAGGTTCTCTTGACCAGTCGAGGTATGCAGTGGATCCCCGATTCCAGCATTGCTGGGCCACAACGAAATACTGACGCGGCGATAGATTGTAAAAACCGGATCGCAGGAGTGGTGAACTTCGTGACAGGCAACCTCCGACCAGTCAAGTCGGAGACGGATCAAGAACTGTCCGGCTGGTACAAGCACAACTCGCTGGTATATGTTTCTAAGGACCACGGGTGTTGGGGCGATGAGGAGCTGAAGAAGAAGGTGATGAAGAAGCGGTTTGGAGGGGTGAAGAAGAGTCCTGAGACGGGACTGAACCTCATGATGGAGGAGCATGCGGAAGAGGTGCACCAGTTCATCAAGGAGAGACTCAGCCAGGATAAGAGCGGCAATACCACAGATGATGAGAGATGAGCTAAGCAGGGCTGGGTCTTCTCAACAGGTGGAGAGAGACTGGTGGCCACCAAGTAAAGAGTAGTGGACTCTTGGTGATGAAAGGGACTCGTTTGCTCTAGCTTTATAGGCATTGCTAATGTGGTGTGGTCAATGCTTTCCTCACTTCATGGGCCTTTGTCCCTCAGCTCCATCTTCCGTCAGATTGTTGAGGAAAACAACAGCAGAACTTTCATGACCGCCTTCGATTTTTTTTTTCTGTAATAAACCTTATCAGTTGTCTTTGACTCCTACTTTGTGACTTGCGAGTGACAGTATCCTAATGTGTTGGGGGGCGGTATCCTTGTTATGGTCCTGTATCAACCAGAGATGGCTAACACAGGTGAAGCGTAAGGAACGTCTGCAGCACAGACTTGACCATGTCGTGAATACAGGACAACGGCTGCACTTGTGAAAACGAATATGCATTTCGTATTTATGCGAGGCTTTCATAAGATCTTCTGCCTGCCAAACAAGAAGTTGGTAAGTGCAGGTGGGCGGGCTGCTCTGTGTTGGCCGGGCCTGCCTCTCTCCGGCTCTGATATGTTGGTGGCATCACCGGGAGAACCTTGGAAGGCTTCACACACGCATAGCAGGTCCAATAATAAATGTGCCTCTGTCAAATCTCAAACAATGGCAAGACCTGCAAGTTTCTCCCACATCTTTTTCATTTGTTTATTTTTGAGACAGTATTTCCAGAGCACACCTCACACTGTAACAGCTACACTTGCAACGAAACAGTCGATGAGAGGTACCTCCATTGTCCAACCCACCTGCTGACTAACGACGCTGGCGATAACGATAACGAAATCGATAACAAATATCAATCCGCTCTCGTTATCGCGACACGCTCATTGGGCGCCATCATGTCCTGGCAGCGGGAACCTCTGTCTCCTAGCAGCCCCAGGCCCAGACGAGCTGCTGGCTGGCACTCGCAAGCTCAGGCAGCTCAGAGTCCTCTGGCAGAATATCCAGAGCAAGATCACCACCACCACCACCACCGCCGACCTCATCGCGACCCGTCCCACGGTCACAACAGCCAGCCTCACTACGAGGAACCCTACCTCGAACCTGGAGAGATACCAGACCATCACTACAACCGTGACAGGCGATTTGCGAATTCTCCGCTTCCTGATACGCATCAGCATCCTCACGACCGCAACACATTTCGGCCTCCTTCACCTCGCCCTCAGCCGCGATTACTTAGTCAGGAACAGCTCTTCGCTCAGTCCCGTGGCTTGCCCGTTGTAACACACCCTCAGTCATCTCTGCCTTCTCATCGTGGCTTCGATCTGGACCAACAGGGCCCCTACGAGCAACGCAATCGCGGCAGGGAGTTGTTCCCAACTGCGGACATGGATCGAGATTCTAGAAGTCGGAGGTAAGTCATATGCCCACGGGTTCTCCCCTCTTTCCTCTTGCTGTCACCGCAAATTCCTGCTGTCGCTACTGCTATGCGAAGCAGCATTGCCTATTTTGCGCTGTTGCTCCATTGCGATCCAGTAGCCAAGCCATTGTACGAATCCCGACAATGCGACTTCCACTACAACGAGCCTCCACACAGTCGGCCTCTTCGCATCCGGTATCGTCAGTATTTGTGGTACAAATTTTTAGACCTCGGATTTGCCCGTTATATACCGAGAGACCCGCCCATGCTCGCCGGGGCCACCCAGCGCGAACCTATTGCTAACATTCTTCACTCGGACAGGTACGATGACGGAGAAGTCACTAGATATGGCGCTGGGGAATCGTATCGACCCTTTAACGGAGGCGCCCGCTCACCACCTCCACCGCGAGGCGCACGCTCACCACCTCCTCCGCGCCGTGCTAGAAGCCCTGTCAGAGAGCGTCGTAGCCCACCGCCTCTAGACAGCGATCGCTATATCCCAAACAACGCAGCACGACGACGCTCGCGCAGTCTAGACCGCGGAGATCGCTACAGACGTGAGCCATCGCGGGACAGACGAGACCTACGGGACATCAGAGACACAAGAGACGCGAGAGATACAAGAGACACTAGCGGCGATAGCTGGAGAGCCGGCGACAGAAGTGGCAGTCTGCGCAGAAGCCCCCCGCGACGTGCCTCCCCTCCGCGACGACCCTCTCCTCCGCGACGATCCTCCCCTCCTCGGCGTAGTCCGCCCAGGAGAGGTTCGCCGCCGCGTAGGTTCCCCGCGAGACGAGACGACATTGCGGAGCGGGATGAGAATCTGAATCTGAGACGGGATGATAACAGAGATCGCATGCGATCTCCTCGAAGAGGCTTCGAGTCAAGGTTCTGCCCACCACCCCAGACAGACAACCCGAACCTCATTCCCCTAACAAATCTACCCTACAGGCGAAGATCCAGATCTCCGTTCGACAGAGATCGTGGTGGTCGAGACGGATCGCCTCCCCGGCGTTCACCGTTGCCGGTCCAGCGGCCCAATGCGTACAGAGGCCGCTCTCGCAGCACCGAACGGCGCGAAAATGATCGCTATGTGTCGGCGTATCCCAGACGCCCCTCACCTCCTCGTGACTCTGCCATGTCATCTGCAATCCATTCCGGCAACACGTCCAGGAGGTCCTCACCTCACCCTATGCCTCCTCGACGAGATGATCGCTCACGCCCGCAATCCCCTATTCCCTCCAGACCGCTATCGAGATCTTCATTTGGTGGTCCTGTCAGGGACAGAAGCCCCCAGAGAGCACCGCAGGAGCCCCTGTCAACGCATCAGCGTTCTCCTCCGCGTGGTCCTGCTGCTCTTCGCGCCCCTCCGACAGGACCGCGAGACGCCCGCAGCTATGGAGGTCAGTCTGCTGCTGCGATAGGTCCGCCTGCCAGACCAGCTCCTCTGCCTGCTGCGGTCCCGAGTCGCCAAGACGTGACCAGCCCTGGAGTCCCGCCCTCAGGACCTCGAGGCTACGTCGCCCCCCGTGGAGGTGGTTTCAGTCGCGGTGGACGTACAGCATCAGGTTGGGGCAATCCTATCCAGAGCCGCAACCTACCACCTGCTGCAGGTCCTGCCTCGGCAGCAGCGACCACTGGCGCAAACAACATTCCTACAGGCCCTCGAGGCAGTGTAAGCTCTCAGTCGGTGCCTTCCACACCTGTCGGCCACTCAAAGCCTTTCAATCCACCCAAGGGTCCTGCCGCCGGAAGCAACCGACCGAGCTTGGGTCAACTTCTCCTATCCCAGGGGCCGCAACTCATCCCGGGCGGCCAGATAGATCCGGCCTACTTACCGATGACTACAGGTGTTCTGCCTGAACTTCTACCTCACTATCAGCAACTGCAGGAGGAAGAGGAAGTAATTCGGAAGCAGAAATACGTCATGGAGGAGAAGTTGCGCCACAACCTTGCCTCCTGGGACAAGGGTCAGCGCGAGCTCAAGGTGCTAAAACTGCGCACCGACCTCGCTGAGGCTACTCTCAAGAAATCTGTCGGCGATGATATTAATGGTACTGGGTTTTAGTAAGGCAAGATGTCTCATCTTTGATCCAGCCGGTCGGACAAAAGGCGGCTACGCTTGGTCGCATGGAGTGTAAAATGGGGCTTGCGTGAGAGAGACCGTATGACGATACCATGGGTTGGATCCTCTCGCAATCGGTGTGATTGTCGTGTATTGGATGCCCTACCAGGAATACTTGCGGTATACTGGGAATACGATCGCGCTTGATGATGTGTAGGTCTAGAATAGATACCTTGTAGTGATAAAGCCAGTATATGAAGTTCTGCCTAATAAAGGCGGTATGATGTATGCACGAGCGTAGAACAGCTAGACGGCGGACTAGGGATGGAACTTGAGCTCAACAAGTCAGACCACGTCAGCGAGCGAGCGGCGGCAAAATATTGCCCCAGGGCGAGCTGAACCTGGCTTTAGCGAGTGCAAGGTACGTGCCTCCTTTCCGACTCCCCTAGACTCCTTCATTGAAACATTTGACAATGCCGCATTCGTTATCCGATGGCTCCGTGCAGACTTACATCAACGCCCAACTGACATGACAATGCCCACAAAGATATACGGATGATTGACATACGCTATTCGAGCAAGCAATGCACCCAGTACAAAGACATGCTAGCCCTGGCGATATCACACAACTCCCCTTCTCAAGAGGTACGCCCAATGGACGAACGAGCAGTACCAACAACCCAGGTCTATCAGGCTGCCCGATGGACGTGACTTAAGCTACGACACTTACGGCTCAACGTCAGGCCATCCGATCTTCTACTTCCACGGCCTGCCAGGCTCAAGGCTCGAAGGCGCCCTCTGGCACCAACCGGCAGCAGACCTCGGAGCCAAGATCATCGCAATCGACCGCCCCGGCATCGGCTACAGCAGCCCGCAGTCAGCGCGAACACTGCTCTCCTTCGCACAAGACATTAGAGACCTGGCGAAGCAACTGGACGTCTCGAGATACATTATCATCGGCACAAGCGCCGGCGGTCCACACGCGCTCGCTTGCGCACATGCCCACGAGCCAACAGCCCTGGCCGCGGTGGCACTAGTGGCAGGCCTGGGCCCGTACGAAATGGTGTCCTCGCACGCGAAGCTGGCAAATAGGATCGTGTTCTGGCTGTTCAAGCACCCGTGGCTGGCGAAGCCGCTCGGCAGGATCTCAGCAGCGCAGTTTCTGCGGAACCCCAAACTCTCTGACGACGAGTTGCTGGATGCCATTGAGAAGAAGCTCGACAGCAGCCGCTTCCGCCTGGGCCGCAAGCTGCCCGAGCAGGACAAACAGGTGGTGAGAGACCGTGAGATCATGCGTCTGGTGTTGGCGAGCGCGCGTCAGCATTTCCGACAGGGCATGGACGGCTGGGCTCCGGACGGTAAGCTGCTTACGGAGGAGCTTGGGTTCCGCCTGGACGAGCTTCGGGTGCCGATGCGGCTGTGGTACGGACGGCACGATGTGAATGTCCCGCTGTCGATGGGCGAGGAGCTGGCGAGGCGTATTGGGGAGAGGGCGCAACTCAGGGTCGAAGACCAGGGCCATGTGAGCATCCTCATGAACTGCAGGGAGAAGGTGCTGAGGGACCTCCTAAGCCTAGCTTAGAGGCCAACGGTCGGTAGTTAAGCGCAGGAGCTGAGAGGGACCCTCTGAACCAGGGTTAATCGAGCAAGTATATATATATGTACATTTTCGATTTGGCATCAGACGATGACGAGAGCGGCCTTGATGGGTACTATTTTACAACTATCATATCACTCAGACTTATGGGTATATAATCACGAAATCTCCAGCGATGTACGATGCCAACTTGGGTGTACACATCCACATCAGCGATTTCGTCTTCTCGATATGCGCCGGCCAGCACGGCTCCTCGGTGCGCGCACGAAGACCCCGTTTGCCCGTTTGGGGTCCACGAAAGACGTTCTATCATACGTGCCCGCACTCTCGAGGGTACTACGATCAGCCCGCTTGTACCGAACTTCGTACACGAGCCAGTCCTCCAGCTTAGGCACCTGGATGTCCAGCGTCGGCAGCGCAATGAGCTTCAGCTTGGACACATCCAGGACCTTGGGGTGGGCGAATTGATCCCCAATCACACCCTTCGTGTCGCTCTCCTGGAAGGAGGGATTCGGGTAGCCCGGCCGGGGCACCACGTTCTCGAGATCGAGATCCTCCTCGAGGTAGATGGCCGGCAGGGTGTACCGCACCTTGCCGGGCGCGTACCTCTTCAGGACGACGGCAAGCCGGTCGCGATCGTCTGGGGAGAGGAGTTCGCGGAGGGCTTTCGCGTGCTCCTTGACGAAGGGCTGGACGATGACTCGATAGGGGAGACGGTGCGTCATGCGCATCCAGAAACGGCCGTCCCACAGGGTCCAGCGCAACCATTGGGACCACTTCCAGCGTTGGTACCTTCTGCCCTTCTTCCGTTTGCTCTCGACGGACCAGTACGGGGTGCGGAAGCGCGGGACCGGAAGCGTCGAGGAATAAGGCGTACGGGTGAGATACCAGCTGAGTTGGCCTCCTCCACTGGATCCTGGCTGGGAACCTCGGGACGCAGACTCGACCGGGGTCAGGTGTATGCCGGCGATGTTGAACGCCTTCGGCTTTTCAGTCGAGCTGGCATCCTCAGAGTTGGAGAGTGCTGGGAAGAGGCGGGAGATAACATTCTGCAGGTTTGAGACGGGCGAAGGTTGCAATTCCGGACTGACTAGGAGAAGAATCCTCTGGATGAGAAGTCCGGCGACTTCTCGTTGCCTCAACCTTCGAGCCTGGCTCCGCAGCGAAGAGCGCATATCTCTTGGCGGCAGAGCTAGTCCGTAGTCCGGAAACTGGACCGTCAGAGTGCCGACGTTGGGCTCGAAATCATGGATGATGGTCTTGGTGAGCAGCCTACGGGCTTCGGCCTCGATGGCTTGGGCTTGCTCATCGCACCTCTTGGAGAGGGCCAAGACTGATGGCTTCTGTAGGGCGACAGGCAGAGTGTATCCCTTGTATAGATGTCTGACGGCGTTCCTCATGGTGAGAGTGGCGTCTTGGTTGGTAGGGTCCTCCCACCATGGAATGTTGTTGGCGAGACAGGTAGCGATCAAGCGGTCCTTGCTGAACTCCAGTAACGGTCGGTAGACACAGACTCCGCCATCCTCGACAGCGATATTGAAGGGATCGAAGGATATAGCTCGCTTGTTCAGGTAGAACTCCTCGAGGTCGTAGTCGTCATATTCGATCTGGTCATGGTCCCTGGACTCATCCTCGTCCATGAGCCGGTTGATCTTGGATCTCAGCTCGTACCGCAAGTCCTTTCGCTGCCACTTACTGAGCCTGTTGTTGTAGAAGGGTTGGGGCCGGTTCTGGTCGTCCACATAGCCACTCTGCCAGGCGCCAAACTCGCCCTCGCACTCGGGGATATCCGAGGCCTTCCTCATGCCGCGCAGGCCCCGGCTCCCGTGACCTTGCATCAGGCGCATAAGGATGGTCTCGTACTGGTCGTCCTCGTGGTGGGCAAGCATAAGACTTGCCATCTTGCGAAAGCCGCACGCGGCGCCCAGTCTGCGGTATCGAAGTTTTCGCGCGAGACTCTCAAAGTTGGGCAGGTCTTTCGGGTGGTTGTAGTCGCCCAGCACCTTGGACCAGATGAGCGGGTAGATGTCGCCCGACACGCCCATGGTTTTGAGGGCGGCTGCCACGGCGCCGGCTTCCCGGTCCGAGCCCTCTCGAAGTCGGTGGTCGATGATCATGGCGCGGAAGCCAGAGACCGGGTTGTCGGAGATCTTGAACATGGGGTCGAACTGGCGGAGGCGCGTACAGAGGTAGGCCAGGGCCATGGAATCGACACCACCGCTGATGGCGAGAGCAACAGGCCGGTGCTGGTTGCCTCTCGTCGCAGGGAAGCGAGGTGGGCAAGTGGCTCGGACGGCATCGACGAATTCAAGGACGTGAATCGGTCGCGCACCGGTGTGCAAGACGTGTGGGATCGTACCCATTCCATCTCTATCTTGAGCCTCGTCGCTGATGCCGAGGCAGACCGTTCATCGAGTTGAGAATGATTGGAGGGGAGCTCTGTCGATACCTTAGCTGCTTAGCTACCGATAGCTCCATGCAGTTGAAGCTTCGGAGAAGCTATGGCCACCCATAATAATTTAGTAGTAGGGGTCTCCCCGATAACGGCTTTTATCAGAGAAGCTCCAACTTCAGAGCATCCCGACATCGTCGCCCTTCCAAACATCCACACGGCCCATGGAACCCAACACCCCGACCTTTCCGTAACGGCGACCGCCACCAACCTACCTCACCTACCTACCTACACACAGCCGCCAACAACCCCATCCATCCACCCACCCTCGACCGACCGGCACTGCCCGACCGACAATGGCGCAAAACCCCCCCTTCACCACGGCCCTCCTAGCGGGCGGCATAGCTGGCACCACAGTAGACCTCTCCCTCTTCCCGCTCGACACGCTCAAGACGCGCCTGCAGTCCTCCGCCGGCTTCTTCCCCTCGGGCGGCTTCCGCGGCATCTACCGCGGCGTCGGCAGCGCCGTCGTCGGGTCCGCGCCCGGCGCCGCATTCTTCTTCTGCACGTACGAGGGCGTCAAGGACAGACTAGTACAATGGCGGCGGCGGCGCGAGCAGGAACATTCCATACTGGGCGAGAGGGGGGTAGGAAGTGCGGGTGGGAGTGCGAGTGCGTGGACGGCCGCGGGCGACCACATGCTAGCAGCCAGTCTGGGCGAGGTAGCCGCGTGCGCCGTGCGCGTGCCGACCGAGGTCGTCAAGCAGCGCGCCCAGGCCGGCCTGCACGGCGGGTCGAGCGCCGCCGCCCTGGGCGCCATCCTCGGTCGGTACAAGAGCGTCGGGCTGCCGGGCGTGTGGCGCGAGCTGTACCGCGGCTGGGGCATCACCGTCATGCGCGAGGTGCCCTTCACCGTCATCCAGTTCCCGCTGTGGGAGGCGCTGAAGGCCTGGGGGCGGGAGAAGAAGAGCAAGGCGGCAGGCGGCAGTGTTGGCGTCGAGGTTGGTGCTGGCGAGAGCGCCTTGTACGGGAGCGTGTCCGGGGCTGTGGCGGCCGGCATCACGACGCCGTTGGATGTGCTCAAGACGCGCGTCATGCTGTCCAAGGAGAGGGCCAAGGTGTTTACCGTGCTGAGCGACATATTGAAGAACCACGGCATACGACCATTCTTTGCCGGTATAGGGCCCAGGATCATGTGGATCAGTGCCGGAGGTGCCATCTTCCTCGGCAGCTATCAGTGGGCAGTCAATGCGCTACAGGGGAATCTATCATGACGCTGGCGGTTTCTACAGTCACCATAGTTGGAAACGCTACACCTGGAATATCCGACGCAGGAGATGCTGCCTCGGTGTACATCAGCAGCGTGTGATATACGCACACCTGCATACTAAAATGGCCCGAAACGCGGAACGGGACGGGCATATGTACAACATCTGGGAAGAATACTCCCTTAGATACGTCGGATATAGATCAAAATGATACCCTTCCATGACGCTTCAACACGACCGCGATATCAGCCTGCGACGGTAGCTGTGGCGGGCAACAGAGGTGCTGTGTCAACCTCGGTGGCCACTGGCTCCTCCACTTGGGGCTCTAGGGGTTCTCTGGGTATCTCCTTCCGACCGTTTGCCTTGTAGTACAAGACGACATCATTGCCGCCTTTCCAAATATGCGCACGTAGTGTTGCCAGACTCATCGTGTTCGGCAGTAACTATTCAAGCATCAGCAAACACGTCAACATACACGAGTTCAGATCATTCCATACTTGGTCATTGCAATATAGCTCCAAATACTCCTCTGGCTTCAGCGCATCCGGTTCCGGCTCCTCGGGAGCTGGGTCGATCCTCTCGGCCACATAGGCCAGGATCTTCTTCACCCGTAACATTCTATTTGCGTTGAGCCGATTGTTGCCGTCAGCTGATGCAATGCCAGGCAGCGAGTCTTGCCATGGGTGCAATACGAATGAGACCTTGATCGGGTCCTTCTGTGGGATCGCATTCTACAACATTTTGGTCAGATTCGGGCTCGTCCTTGAGTTTCTTTCAACAGGGCAAACCACATACGGTCAAGAGAACTTCACCTAACCACATCGGTGCTTTCTCTTCGATAACGTCGGCATCGACGCCGACAGTCAGTACCGTGCCACGGTACAGATTGGCACTGCCGCCAGACGTCTCTTCCTGTATGATGACTCGTGTGCCAGATGGGAGCTTTAGTACTGGCGTGTCGATAGGCAGACCCGGTGTTACCTTGGTTTCGACCATTTTCCCTGGGTTCTCAAGCAGTTGCCTTTCGTAGTCGTGGTGTATCTTCTGAATGACGCCGCGGAAGTTGTCATCCACCTCCTTCTCATGGTTGGAAGACGACTCCGACTTGGTCTCTTCTGCCTTCTCCTCGACCACTGTAGGCTTTTCGGTATTGGTCGACGCTGATCTATTCACCTTCTTACTACCAAAAGACATGCCCATCCGGAACTTCTTGCCGAAAGCCGTGGTTGGAGATTTCGAGTTATCCTTCTCCTTCATATCTGCTGGAGTCTTCGGGGTCTCATCCTTGGCAGTTTGTTGGTCTGTCGCTGCCGGAGTCGTCGCCATTTTAGATGGTGCATCTGCTGAGCTGATGCCACTGGAGAAATAGTCCTCGCCAGACGGCCGGCTCATATTCGACAATCGCTTGCCGTTCGGACTAATGGGGGTGGCCACCTTCTCAGACACTCCTGGCAGATAGCCGCCTGGCGTCGCAAACCCTATCCCCAATGTTGGCGTCATCGGATAGTTGCTTCCATTTGCCCTCGGCGTCGCCACAGGAGAGTCGCTCTGGTTCCAGGCATGGCTATTGCTGGTGGGTATCGTTATCGACATTGGTGGATTGAGACGAGTCGCGGCCTGCCGTTGCTCTACACTTCCGTTGAGCTTCTGTCTGTACACCTCGTCTCGTCTAATCTCCTCGTCAATCAGCTTAGCAAACAGATATCGAAGTATCCATCTCCCGAGGTTGACTGTCTTGTTGTCAGTTGCAGTGCGAGGGCAAAGGCTTTCCAATTCCTACTTCTCTGGTCTTCCCGAAAATCCACTGGCTCGTCTAAGGACAGCTCGTCGGCATACATCTCGGCGTCGAAACAGTTGAAAGGCTCCAAAACCACCGTCAAGTTTCCAGAGCTAGTATCAATGGAGCACCAGGGCGCGACAGCTTCGAGGGTGTTGACTTCGGGCTCAACGTCCTCGAGGTGCTTCTTCCCGAACCTTTGAATTACTTCACACTGCTTGTCGTCAGTCATAATCACCTCTCATCTTCAGCATCAAGAGATCGAAGACACCCACCCTTATAAGATCCCACAGCAGAACATCACCAGCAGTATCCAGGGTCAAGACCCTCCTGCGATCGTTGAGGAGTTTATGTTTGACCAGCCCATTCTGCCCTTCGATGGTCTCCTCGGGGAGGTGGTGAATCGGCTCGACTACGGGTATCATTGAGTCGCCTAGGATATCCGAGTTTTTCCTGCTCATGGTGCCAGGGGTCAGGTTAGACTCGGAAGGGCTATACGGACCAAGGTCGGGCGGAAATGATGCGGTGTTGGACATCTTCAAAATAGATTTGGCGGGAATTTCCTTCTTGGTGGAGCCATTGATGGATGTTACGGATGCCTGCCTGGATCTTGAGGTTGTGCTTCCGCTCCGCATGCGTCTAAACGCCTCCGGGAGCGGAGCGTCTGGGCCAGTCTCGACGTTTGTCCATCTGTTCACTGAAGAACTAGAGGTTGCGGACCAGATGTAATCTCCGCAGGCAACAACCTTGTTGACGCCATCGTGTTCTTGCGCGACAGCGACAGACAAGCCCTCGTCCATCTCAAGGGTTCCCCGTGTGTCGGTCTTGACTATCAGACCAGATCGGTCGCTACTGTAGAAGACTGAGAGGTCCGGGTCCGCGGAGGACAGCGACCAGACGCTGTCGTTGTGCATGGTGAGCGTGTACATACACCTACCGGCGGTGACGCTCCACACTTTGACGGTCTGGTCTGAACTGGCTGTCATGACGGTGTCGCCGGCTCCGTTCATGAGAATGGCACGGACGTTGTCGGTATGTCCCACAAACTTGGTGATACGCTTGCCCGACTTGGGATCCCACAGCCGTACTATCGACTCTGGGCCACCGCTCGCCAGGATGCTTCGGCCTGCACTCAAAGCATATACGGATCCCTTCTCCTTTACCTCTTCGCCGCTCACGTCGATCTCCAAGGACTTCCCTCCGCCGTTCAGATCCCACAGGCATATCTTTCGGTCCAGGCCGCCTGACGCTACCCAGTCCCCAGCGGTCGGAGTGGCAAGACACTTGACGTAGTCGGCATGCTGGCCGATGGTGTGAGCGTCGGTGTCTCCCAGCGACGGTCGCCATACTTTGACAGTCAAGTCGGAGGAAGCGGAGACGAGAGCGGAATTATTGGAGGCGAGGACGATATCGTTGACCCAGTGGGTGTGGGCTTGGGCCGAGGCGCGGAACTTGGTGGTCGACTTAGGTGGTTTCGAGCTAGGGTTGGAGGAGTCGTTGCGATGGCCCTGAAGGTCTAGGTCAAGGTCCCAGGCGCATACGACACCATCTCTACCTCCAGAGTAGCTATGCGACGGTTCGTCAGTCGAAAGTAGAGGGCGCAAAGCCGTGGTCAGCAAGCTTACAGGATAGAGTTATCGCGATCTACGGCAAGACCATTCACACCGAGCCGGTGGCCGCCAGACGAGGAGTGATCAAGCTCAAGGACTGCAGCAGAGGCCAATGTTAGAGATAATATTCCACTGGGAGCTTGCGGTGTCTATCTCGGGTACATAGAAATGGGGTAGTCATGGCCAGCAACAAGAGAAAGGGGAGAGTGGTGTGTGGGATGCGGGGTGGGTGAGGATCAGCAGGATAGGACCACTTGGTGCACTGAGACGAGACGAATTGGACGAACCATAGCTTATTCTCTGGCGCGCCTTCTTGGCCATAGCGAAGAAACTGACAGCGAGACGATCATGGGAATTATCACCAACTTGTGCGACAGCAATGACAGTACATGTATATAGTAAAATAATGTGAGACCAGCTAAGGCAGGTGAGCCGGTGAGATAGATGTCAGCTGCAGATGCGACGGTAGGACTCGGAGGAAGTTGGAGATGGGCGCTAGGTACCTACCTACGGAGTGTGGGCCGGACCTGGTCATCGGTACAGGCTAGCACTGGTGCAGCTACTCCAGCTAGTACAGCAGGTGCCAGGAATAGCGTCATACCTTTCCCCCCTATCTACCCTTGCAACTGCCCTGCAGTCGTAGCTTGAGCTTCCCCGCCTGCCCCGCCTAGGTGTAAACGGTGGTGCCTTGCCTTCTGCGGGATTCACCAATCACGACTCCTGAGTTGAACTAAGCCCAACTTCTCAACTCTCTCCTTACATGTTTGGTACTTCCATCATTTACATAGTAGGTACCGTGAAAGTGTGAGGGAGACTTATATCCATGGCGACGAGCATGACCCTCTTCTGCAAGCGCTTCACATGCTCAAGACTGTAGTATTCTGCAAGTCTGCGCCGTCACCTGCCTTGCGCACTCCAATACAGCTTCGTCTATCCATATGAGGACCATATCCCAACCTCGCTGCCCATATTCGACTAGCTCTCTAGACTGACTCTCGCTTTCGATCCTCCACTGGCTTGCCTGTCTCTTATCGTGCTCTGAGGTGTTCCACGCTGCTGCTCCGATATCTTGATAAACGAGTTGCGTACACGCTCAAGCGCCTTGCTATCCGGTGACGGCGGGCTGGCGAGATATTGTGCTGTTTTTGCATGTTAGCTAACCTCACTCCTCGATCGTGTCTAGGGCCTGGCCGCTCTTACTCGTCGACACATCCGAAGATGATGAGGTCGAAGGAGGTGTCGCTTCGGTGGCCGGTATGCCTCGCTTCGCACGCAGCTCATTCTTGAGGCATTCTCGGCACTTTCCCTTCTCGGGCTTCGTGGCGACTCGCAACTTGCACCCCAGGAAGCCAGGTGGGATCTTGGGCGGTTTGGCGGGCAGGAACACAGGCTCTGTGAGCAGCTGGTCGTCGCTCGGTCCGCAGCGCCGCACGATGTGGCAGGCAAAGGTGTTCTGGTACTGCCTGTGGTTGCAGTCCGAGTCGAGAAAGCGGGTCCAAACTTCGGTGCACATGGTGATGGTGATGGGTATGACCGATCGGGAATTGTACAGATCGCCGACGTGGTACAGTACGGTGTCGTCCTGAGATCTGGGGTGTTCTGCGACGAGGTGGTTGGTTGGTGGCGAGCGAATGTGTTTGCTGGTCAAGGCGGCGAGATGCAAAGTGAGTGGTGTGGTCAATCAACAAGGTTGAATAAATAAATAAATGGATGCCTAACTCAACAGCCAGTGCGACTTCGTATTTAGCGGCAGAGGAACTATGAAGTCTGAAATGAAGTATGGATGGCCGTCAAGGTAAATTGAGATTGACTCTGTGTGGTACAGGCTTCCCAAGTTGACCAGCATTTTGTCAGACATACTCTTAGAAGACCGATGACCCATTCGTGAACCTGCGAACCTGCTGCGCCATGGTCGGACGGTCTGGGAGCTTGGATAAAAGATTGGAAGAATGGAAGAGGCAGGATGGGGTCAAAGGCGCCATGTGACTTTCCGGACAATTCATTCACGCCTGGATCAGAGGCCACAATGATTGTGTCATAGGTCATGAATGTGGTGATGGGACTGAAAACCACAGGTGAGCAGGTGAGTATGGACAGATCCAGGTGTGCGACTTGTGCAACTGTGCAAGTTCTTTGTGTCGTCCTACACAAGGTTATTGGTTCATGGAACAAAGCATGCTTTTCCCACCCCAAACCAAGACCGGCAACCCAAGCAGCTGAAGACATGAGGCTGAATTGTGGTGTTTTTGAGTTTTCATCCATTCAAGTATGAGAGTTTGATAAGCTGCAACACCCAGAAACCTTAGAGGTTTACATCGTCTGACAAGCCTACAGATCGAAGCCATCCAATCGAGGTTTCCCAAGCCATGTGCGTGGGTATTTGGGGATTCCGAATATGCTGAGCCTGGGAAACTCACGAATACCCACGCACATGGCTTGGGACACTTTCCACTGAGACTGGCAGTTTATCGAAACTTTGAAATACTGCGGTCTTTGCGCCTCAAACTTCGTGTTCCCAACTCAGCAGATTGAGAAATGGTATCGATGCTGTGGGATCAATCCAGGCTCTGCCGTAAGTTTGAGCAGATTAACTTTTTCAGTCTTTATTTCTTTCTGGCTCGTGGCTGGACTCTGTTCGTCTTCTCCCGCAACCTCAACGCTAATATGTCTCCAGTGAAGATCTGACTCACTGACGGCCGTGGCGGAAGGACAGATCAGACCGAACGGTAGTCCGTATGCCATGAGGTTATATCATATACTTTATATCCCCCAGCGGGACGGCTTTGCGCCTCAAATGGCGCAGCGCAAACTTAAAGGAGAAACCTCTAATCTCGCCTATATATATCTTTGAAGAGCCAGAGTGCTATGCAGCTTGAAGTTTCGATAATCTATATTTCATCCTCACCTTACCAAACCACTCAACCTACCACACACCGAGACAACTTGACAAAATGTGCAGAACACACTTCACCGTCCACAGTATGTTCTTTACGAGATTTTCTACAGCCTGCCTTGCAATATAGGGACTTCAACTACCCGGCAGTTCTCGTGTCTTGCGCGAAAGGAAATATACTTGCTTTCTCCACACACTCTTACCAAAAACAACTATTTTTCTTGGCGCCCCGCTGTTAGGGCGCAACCTCTATATCTGCACTAAAACAGACATTTGTTTCAGTACCTGACTATCCTTGTCAAGGCACAGAAAATTTTTCTCACAAGCTGGATGGCACCCTTCCACGACAGGCCCCCAAACACGCCAGTGGCCGTCCCAAAGACGACTATTGGCGGCGTGTTCAAATCCCCAGTCCCTAAAAGAACACATGACCCGGCAACCCCAAGCAGGCTCCGCCAGGCACTGCTTGACGACATCAACAGCAGCCCGTCACAGGTCTCTGAGGCTGACTTCACCACTGTTTCCCCTCTGAAAGGAAAATCCCGAAATATCAATAATAGCAGTACTATTGATATGGAATCACCTCAGTCAAGCGAAATCCTTACAGACCAAGTCATTGGAGGTGATACAAGGAACAAAATCTCCTCTTCAGAGTGCCAGGACCAAGTTGCCAAAATACTGGCTAAAGACAAGCATCTCTATGAAGCCAGGATGACAATGTTTCAGGAGTGTGTTGCAACAGTCGATAAGACACTTGAGAAAGCTGGAACCGAATTATACTCTCATGCCAAGGAGTTCAGCGCTTTCTTCACCAAATGTCTGAATGAGTGGCTGGAAACCCGAGATCTGACCACAAGAAAGGCCACTTCTTGGGGGATAGAAATAGGGAAGCCCACCATGACCTTCGCCCAAGCTGTCTCCTCTGGCCAACGACAGCATCCATAGACAGTCAATACTACCATGAAGAAAACACAGCCTAGTGCCCTCATCACTGTCAACCAATTGAAGAGGAAGCAGGATGATCTCCGGGTCTTTGTCCGCATGGATAATAGCCACCTTGAGCCTTATGGAATCAAATCTACACTAAACAGAAGACTTAAGCTCCACCCTCAGGAACTTAGAGAAGTGACACGTTGTCCTTCTGGTTTTACCTTACACCCAAGGGACAAGCCAACTCGGGCTAAGCTTCTGGCTTCCCAAGAAGAAATTGCCGACATTCTCAAGGCATAAAAGATTGAGACCCACACAGTCTGGCACCATTACAAGGTCGATAGATGCCCAAAAAAGGTCATCAGTGCAGAAGGGTTCACAATCGATATTACCGACACTGCTGTTACTGATGAAGTTAAAGCTCAAACAGGCAACAGACCTTTGAGGTGCATACTCTCAAAGAACACGATTGATTCTGATCCAGAAACCACGTGGATAATCTCTCTGCCCAGTGCAGTAAAGAAACCATTCACGCTTTTTGCCCACTCAATGACCTCAAGGCATATTCAATACACCCCCAAGGTTCATCAGTGTGCAAGCTGCTTCAGATACCATGGTAGAAATTACCGATGCGAAAAGCAAGTATGTGCACACTGCGCCAACACAGTACACCAGGGAGAGTGCGAAAAACCAATCCCAAAATGTGTCAACTGCAAAGGACCTCATGCTGCCGACTTCAATAAATGCCCTGCTCGCCCCAAGGTTATGAAAGGTACCATCCATAAGCATACAAGGGAGCAAATCCAAGAAATAAGGCTAGCCGGAGAAAGAGCCAGATCCAAGGCCCTCAATGAAGCAGTCAGAAACCAAGCTGGGCCAACACCCAGCAATAATAACAAAGACATCACAATGCAAATCGACACAACAGATACAACTCATCCCAGAGATGCCGATACCATTGTTGTCAGTCAATATTAGGTACACCAAACGAAACACATCGACACGGGCATCTAGTTATCCATTCTGTGAACACAGCAGAAGGACAAAAGAGTGCAGGTCCTACAGAGTTAGCCATCAACCTGGCTGACTACAAAGGAGAACAAGCAGACATCATTCTGATGCAAGAGCCATGGGTCGGCATTCCACCAGGCAAAAGAATGGGAGTAAAGACACACCCCAATTACAATATATACTCCCCAATGGATTCCTGGGACAGCGACAGTACACGGCCCAGATCTCTCATCTATGTGAGAAAACACCTTCAAACGGATCAACTTCGGCCCTATGCTACACAAGACATCACCTGGGTCAAGGTACAAGGCATTATATTTGCCAGTGTCTACCGGCCTTGTGACAACCCACAAGAAGTGGATGACATTCTGGAAGTATGGACTCCACCTTTTGGCTGCGTTATAGCTGGAGATTTCAATGCTGGCGACATATCCTGAGACTCAAGCAATCCAGGATATCATGTGGTGTCATATTTGCACAGACTATGGCAGATCATGGACTGGATCTGATTTCTGAACCAGATGTTCCAACACATGATGACAGAAATGTACTAGATCTGGTGTTCTCAGATGTCCCCATGGCTGAAGCCTCAGTCAATGATGCACTTCAGTGCACCTCAGATCATGAGACATTACGAATAGTCATTCTAATTTAGGGAGATCTGGACCGAGTCTCTAAGGCCAATTACTGGATAGTACCGGATGACAAACTACAAGAGCTGGCAGATAATGTCCAAACCAGGATTCATGAACTCCCCCGGCTGGGTGTATCCCCTGGCCAGGTGGATGCATTTACACAGAGCTTGATCAACATGATCCAAGGCTGTATCAGGACAGTGGGCAAGAAGCCCCGACAATCTAGGCCCACTGCTTGGTGGAATGATGACTACAAATCAGCTGTTCAGACATACAGAGTCCTTTCTAAACAGACTACAAGTCAAGAAGGGCGGAATTCAGCCCGACAAGGATTTCGTCGCGTGGTTCGCAAAGCTAAAAGAGAGTACTGGCAGACTCTAATCAATTCAGCAACTGAGCCAAAGGACCTATACAGAATCGTCTCTTGGCACAAGTTATCAGCAGGACTGCGTTCCCCTCTAATCATCATAGGAGACCAAATATTCGAATCACAAGAGAGCAAGGCAAATGCACTACGCTCAGCCACGCTTGAACGAAGTACCTCAGACAACAATATCATCGACCCCTGGTCTGCGCAGATCATACAACCTAAGCCATACATCCCCCTTGAATACCATGTCGGACTGGAAGAGGCTGAAGGGTGCACTCTAGGAACCAAGAGCAACTCCCCGGGAATAGACACCCTCACAGTACGGATTCTGAAAGCTTGCTGGCCAGTCATTAGTGAACATATCAGAGCCCTTTTCCAGACCTGTCTACAGATTGGACACCACCCTAAATCATTCAAAGCAGCTGAGGTGGTGATGATCCCAAAACCAGGAAAGAAAGACTACTCCAATCACAGGGCCTACAGACCAATATCGCTACTGTCATGTCTTGGCAAAGGCCTAGAACGACTCATCGCGAAAAGAATTACCTGGTTTGTTGTCAAACTTGGGATTCTAGCTCCACAACATTTTGGAGCTCTACTAAAGCGCTCTGCCACTGACCTGGTAGCTGCACTCATACACGATATTGAGCAGGCCCTTGACCAAGGCCTGGTTGCAACAGTAGTCACGTCAGATGTGAAAGGGGCCTTTGATGCTGCCCTAAAGGGACGGCTGGTGGTTCGCATGAGAGAACAGGGCTGGCCAGGCTTTCTTATAAGATGGGTCCAGTCATTTATGTCCGAGCGGTCCGCAAGAGTTCGATTTGAAGGTATTATGACTGATATAAAAGCTCTCACTTGTGGGCTACCACAAGGTTCACCAGCCTCTCCAATCCTTTACATGCTGTATACCGAGCCAATCTGTGCCCAATTTGTCATGAAAAGAAGACGCTTTGGATATGCAGACGACCTAGCAACTCTCTGTATTAGAAAGAACCTTGAGGAAACAGCTACAGAGGCTTCTAAAAACCTTTATTTGCTCAACTAATGGGGACACAATAATACTATTGAGTTTGACCCCAACAAAACCGAGATCATGTACTTCTTGCGGAAAAAGAACTCAGACAACCCTCCAGTCCGCCACAGGATAATGAACAAAATAGCTAAGCATTCTATGCAATGGCTAGGTGTCCTTCTGGATAGAAAACTAAACTTCAAAGTTCATGTTTCTCACTGGGCCAAGAAAGTTAGTAGGGTAGCAAATCACTTTCGAGGACTATGCAACACAGTCAAGGGACTCCCAGTAAAATCAACCAGGAGGGCTGTGAAAGCTTGTGTTATTCCTATTCTTACACACGGCCTGGAGACCTGGTACCCAGGAATGGAAAAAATCAGGAGCTCAGGTGAGACATCAGCATGTCGCATTAAGGGGCTTCTTGGGACAATAGATGCTGTACTATGAACGGCGATCAGGGCTATCTTGCCAGTCTGGAAAACACACCCTGGGCATATCCTATATTTTGAATCGCAGATTCCCCCAGCTGGAGTTCTTGCAGAGTCAATACGACGACGTCACGGCCTTCGACTAGGACGAATAGACCAGAGACACCCTCTTGTTGGCAGGCTCCAAATACAAGCCCGCAAGGATCCAACAAGGCTACAAAGGAGTTTCCAGCTAGTCCCTGACTTCCAGAGACCAACACTTACCAGGCCATCATGGAAGAAGCCCCCAATCCGCAAAGACAAAGACAAAAAAACAGAGCTCTTTAAGCAATGGCTATAGGAGAGAAATGTGAACACTGACCTTGTTATCTACTCAGATGGATCACAATTGGTTGACCAAGGTACAACCCGCACTGGATGGGGTTATACCATCAGGAAAGGCAACACTACTCAAGAAATATACCGGGGAAAGGGTAGACTTCTGCAAGCAGAAGTAGTAGATGCTGAAGTCTATGGTGCTCTCCAAGGTCTTGCAGCAGCCAGGGCAATTAGACACAGAAAACAGCTATATGTCTGCCTGGACAACACGTCAGTGGTTGATGGGCTCAATGGGACTCCACCCGAGACATCACAGAATATTTTTCTACGATTTCAAGAACTTGCCACAGCACATACTCCTGGAGTGACCGTCAAGTGGATTCCTGGACACAGAGATATTGATGGCAATGAAGCTGCCAACATATTAGCAAAAGAGGGTGCCATGCTGGAAACAGACACAATAAGCCTTCCTACAATCTCTTAGGTCAAGAGAGATTTCAAAAAAAAGGACAGAAAAGAGTTCAACCAATGGTAGAAAGACCAATCAGAATCTAGGTATCAAGAAGTATACTCACACATAATAACTAAAAGAGACCTTATATCTTTTAAGAGGAGTACTTTACACAGACTTCTAGCGGCCAGATCTGGACATGGCGACTTTGCCAGCTACCATGAACGCTTTGGGCACACAGACTCGAATAATCACTGCAATTGTGGTGAGAAGAAAACACCACAACATATTTTCTTTTGTAAGAGGCTGGGGAAAAATCGGCTACTGCCTAGGCATTCGCCTAGGACAGCTTGTTTACAATACTTAGGGGAGAGGAGCACAGAATGGGCAAAATTCGTAGAGAAGAGCAAGTTCTTTTCAACAATCTGCCCCCGATAGATAGCCTTCCTTAAAGGACCAGATGGATGACCCCAAGGTCATACCGCCGCAACAACGGGGATGGGCCCGTGAGCGGGACTGACTGTACTTATTATCTTGAGACCTCCACAACCCTGCGATGCAGAGGCTCTGGGAGGCGTGGTTTGCACTACTGAGGAGCTACCCCCCACGTTAAAAACAAAACAAACAAACAATACTTGCTTTCTCTCATCCTCCTCCTTGCTCCTCCCCATCTCACCATCCTCGTACCTTTCCAGCATTGCAATCACTGACTTCGCACCCAGTCTGCCAGACGTGCGGGTCTGTGGACTTCATACGCGAGGAAAACGTGATCTGCGACGCAGGCCGAATGAGTAACCGAGCACTACGCCGCTGTCGGTGGTACCGGAATGCCGTCGACATCCTCGAGATCCCGCGCCAGGAATCTCACACGTGCTTACACTGCATCGGCTACCCCCAGCCCAGGGTACGTTTCTCTGAATATCCCCGTCCAATACTCCAAACTGTGTTTTCGCCGGATGGACTTCCCTGTTCCTTGTTGTCCTGTCGCGGAAGTATGTCCCGTCGGGTTCGAGGACGACGTGCTAACATAGGCCCAGGACTTGAACCGGCAACATTTGCAACGGCTGATAAGACTCATCCTCGTAGACCGCGCCGCCGTCAACTGCTACTACCGTGGGGGCGCGCCGGAAATCGACACGCGTGACCCTAACTTTATCTGCGACGGCGAATTTTTCGAAGACGACGACGATGATTCTGAGGAATGAGGGCCTCGACATTCACCCCAATTCCCTTGATGCTCCCAGGTGATGAACCTAGCCACCGTCACTCACCATAGACTGAAGAAACAGCATAGGGAAATGGTTCTGGGGGGCGCCGGGCTGGAGCTGCTGGTTTTGCATCTTTAGATAGTGCCAGAATACGTTCTCAGCGGCGTTATATAGCCTTGTTGTGAGCAGTATATGTGTCATCCTGTGGGATCACAAGTAGCTGTCAGGAATACCTTTCCCACCTATTCAAGTAGGGTGGTACCCCCAACAGCTATCCTTCTTCCCTTCCAATACAGACCAACTTAAATCTCACAGATAGTTAATTTTCGTGTCTCGTTTTAGACGAAGCATTTGTTTCCCGTGTTAGGCGATGCTTTAACGGCGGGGGCATGCAGATGGGACAGCCCCCCAGATGGGACAGTTCCCCCACCAAAACACAACATTTGCACCCACATATAACCCCATTGGTATTGAGGCTATAGATATTGTATATATATCAAAAGAATCGCCTTTTCTTGGTATTTTTAGCAATACCAGTGCTTTTAGCGGTAGCGCGCGGGTTGGCGGATTTCTCGGCGCCGAGATCGCATCACAATGGGCTCTTCCTCTTCATCATCTGGCTCGTCAGACACTCCCTTGCCCTCTTTGTCAACAACCACCCCTTCGTCTAGATCGTCTAAATCTGTTGAATCAGAGGAGAGGGAGTCCTCAGAAGGCGATTCCTCTGATTCTTTGGTCTCCAGGTTCTGCACTTCGCGCAAAAGTCGTCATCTCTCCGCCCGCTGGTTGTCACGGCGAGCGTACTGAGGAGCTGGGACATGGCCGGCAGCAAGCAGCTATTACTCTATTGACGAGAACATCAAGACTAGAGAGGAAAGGAAGAGAGAGAGAGAGATAGGTACAGTGGGAGGTTGCCCCTTTAAGGGGATCCTCTGGTCGGATCCTTCCCCTATTGGGAAGTATCCGCTTGTCATGTGGGAAGGTCTGTGCAGGCCGTCACACAACCTCCCACTGTACCTATTTCTCTCTCTCTCTTCCTTTCCTCTCTAGTCTTGATATTCTTGTCAATAGAGTAATAGCTGCTTGCTACAGGCCATGTCCCAGCTCCCCAGTATGCTCGCCGTGACAGTAGGATCTTCTGGATGATGTACCTCACATTGGCGTGAGTAGGGGCATGGCCGGCCTTTTCTTGGTACAGAATCCATGAAATCACCTTCATTTCTTGAGCAGGGCTTATTTTCTGCCCGTAAGCATGTCCTTCACGCTGGGTGCCAGTTGTAGGCATCGTGAATTCTTTAACTTTGCGAGAAAGGGTGGTTTCTGGTACTCACTCCATAGCGCTGGACAGCCTTCTGGAGGGACAGATCGTCACCGTTCACGGCGGCTATCGCCTTAGCAAGGTCTTCTTCGGTGTATAAAGGCGCCATTTCGACATACTAAAACTTATGATGCTTACAGAAAAAAAGGAAAAAAAGAACCACAGAACTTCTGCCTGGTTGGGAGGGATAGGGGGCACGGGTCCCATTACCCCTCAGATTAGGGCCGGACGTGCTAACTTCCGACCCCCGCCACGGGACATCCCGCTGTAGGACACCTAATAAATTCCACATTGGAAGAAACACCAAGAAAAGACAATTCAGACGATATATTTATGATATCTACAGCTTCAATCCCGATAGAGATGTGGGTGGGTGCAAATGTTGTGTTTTGGTGGGGGAACTGTCCCATCTGGGGGGCTGTCCCATCTGCATGCCCCCGCCGTTATTACACTTTATATCAGCTTGCCATCTCGAACTCTGGAACGAAGTCCGATTCGATGATACTCCTCTCAAGCCACGTCATTACGCTCATTGCCTGTTTCTCAATAGATCAATAAATCTTTAGACCAATGTTAGAAAACAGCATTTACGAGTAGTGAGATGTCTATGGGTACAGCGAGTTCGGTGAGACATAGCAATATCCATATTGGTGTAGTAAATGGCTGCCTGAACTCCGTAGTACCTACCTAAACGCCGCTGACCCAAATAAAGTAGCAAAAGCGAGGGTATTTCCTTTCCTATCATAAAGATACCATGTATTAAATCCACGCCAGCGCACCGGCAACTTCACCGTTCGTCCCCAATGATGGCATCCAATGTGCCCATCAACGCATGAACCTGGATGGTCGACCCCACCCCAGCCGGCCCCTTCCTCGCTTCCATCTTGTGCCCTGCCCAACCGCCCTTGGATTTCACAATCTTGACGTCCTTGCCCCTGACCTTGAGCTCGCCGCTAGTCGTCGCGGCGGAGAGGCCGCCCTCCCACGCCTGCGGATAGCGGAGCCCGATGTCTCCGCTGGTAGACTTGTGCAGAGCCTGGAGGCAGTTGAACGACCGCGAGATCGACTCGGCCAGCAGCTCGCCGTCGCCCAGGCCTTCGGAAACCGTGGCTGCCTGGTCGTCCCCCGTGCTTCCGAACCAGATTGGCTCGAGCACGCGCACGGCGGTGGTACCGCTTGTCGTGGCTGTCTCCAGCTGAGCAGGTACCTTTGGCGAGATCTTGGCTTGGTTGATGACGGGCAGCAAGTCGAGCGCAATGTCGCTTGAGGTGCTTTTCAGTGCGATGCCCTGACCGAAGCGAAGGCGCTGTGGATCCCTCCGGATGTCGACTTGATGTCCACGAGGTAGTCGCGCAGTGGGATCTGCTCAATATCATGGACCGGCTCCGTGGCATGGACGGCGCCTGAAATGGAGCTCAATGACAGGACGGCGGACTTGGGGTCCGACTTTAGCTCTTCCTTGGGCGTAATGCTGACTTTGATGTCGCCAGATGTGGAGTGCAGTCCGAGCATATCATTTAAGGGCCAGTTGCCACCGATGTTTCCCGACGTGGTGGTAACTTCGATGACTCGAGAATCGAGCGAATACGACTCCTTCGCCGGCACGAACGTGTAGTCCGGGGCGGTATTCGATACAATGCCGGGTTTCTCGTACGATGCTGGCTGGCTAGCTCCCGAGGTAATGTCGCCGGTGACCGAAGAGACTCTAGTGTAATCTGCCACACGGAGAGACAGGTCGTCGAGAAGCATAATATCAAGATGGATTACGCCGATTGTGAGCACCCCGACATCTGCACTTTCGGGCACCCAGATGGTGGCTTTCATTTCGACACACGGCATCTGCCCCTCGACCGTTGAATCGTATTTCCTGGGGACGCTCACTTTCATGACCTGAAGCTCTCCATCGGCAACAACGTCGAGTAGCAATTCCGGATCGTTGGTGGCGATCTCGAGCACCACACGCGGGTCGCCGCCGCCGTCCAGCCGTCTGACATCAACCTGTCCGCCAACGAGCACTTGAAACTTGCCGGCATGTCGACGGTGGTGGTGGTCCTGGAGGAAGGTGACGTTCTGGCTCTTGTCAAAGTTGAGGGCCAGAATCTGGTCGTTGAAGCGATGCTGGGCACCCTCGCAGTATGTGGGCACGAAGGATGTGGCAGGCGCAGACGTATCAGGGGCATTGGGCTCTTCCGGATCCTGGGGCTCTTTCTCCACTGGCTGCTGCTCGACTGGCTCGGCCGGCCGGATGGTTGTTTTCTGGTAAGCCATTAGTGGACTGACTTCATTCGCTTGTAGAACGGGATGCAATAGAAAGTAGAGCGGACTCACGTTGTCGTCTTTGACTGGCCGGACAGAACTGACGAGAAATCCAACTGACACAGCCAGGATGATCAGAGCAAGCAGCCCAAGCCGCCAGTTGAACCATGCAGGCAGCCGTCTCCTTACACGTCTGCTCCAGGCTGGGGTGCCGGCCTCCTCGTCACCTGGGTGGCTCATGCTCTCGGCGTTCAACCCAAGCAGCCTCTCATTTTCCACTTCCGACACGCCCATGGTGCTGGTGAAGGTGCTGTAGTTTCTCGGCTGTGTCTGCTGAGTGGCGGTCGCAGGGGAGAGTGCAGAGGTAGGCGAGGGAGTGTACGCTGGTGGCGCGTCAGAGTACACGGAAGGTGTACGTCCACGGGTCGGGAGTGTTCGTAAGGGCGTCGGCGGCGCTGACGTCTGCGGATACGTAATGGGAGGATGGTATCGTAATGGTGAGACGAAGGAAGAAACAACTGTAGCCTGCTCCGATCGACCAGATTCCCGAGAAGAGACAGGTTCCGCAGGACGGCGGTCTTGGTGCCTTTGGGTATTTAAGAGTCCCTCCTCGTTCGCCTCTCGAGCTTTCGATTCAGCGCTCGTCTCTGAATGTTGCGCGAGCGTGGGGTCAGGGACCATCACGTTGGGTATACTGGGTATGGCATTGGACGAGGACGAGGCGAAGTAGCCGTCTGAGGGTGACAGCTGATCCGCAAAGTCGTCGCCCTCTGAGTCGTCGCTCATTGAGTACAGGTTGTCGGCGTATGGCATGGTTTCTGTGATACTGTAGAGTGGTTGAAACGCTCTTGGCAGGACGACTGAAACTATGGCCAAGAGGATGTGCGCACACTCGAAACAGTCCTGGCGTCTTACCGCAACGGCAAACAAGCAGACAAGATGCGTACAATTGCAAAGTAATATGACAAGCTGACGTATTTTCACGCCAGTGCGCACTTTGAGTCTGTATCACGCGAGTGAATATAATACACAATCACGGAAATATGGTGGTTTCGTGTGGTCTTGGTCCAGGCCGATGTCCAATACTCCAGAGCCTGGGATCACCGTGATGCCAAGTCTACAGCTTCACCCTACTTGTCCTGAGCGACTCCGATTGACGCTGGTCAAGAAGTCTAGCCCCCAGTGCACTTGAGAAGGCTACGTAAGCCCTTGTGTGTCTGCAGTCGTGGTATACGCAGTTGCGGAGGGGTAACAAGACGGCGGTCAAGTCAAGCGTATGTCAGCCGATGGAGCTCCAGGTGCCAAAGAGGAAGCTCGATTACGAGCTCGGCTGCATTGGCCCATTGGAACCCAATCAGCCCGAGTATAGCGACGCCGTAACTGCATCTTGTCGGGCAGTTCTCCACTGTCAGACATTTCCTCCCCTGCTATTGCGTGCCACCGACGCGTCCGTCGCTTGTTCGATAGCCCTACAGAGGCCGTCACTCACAGGGCCGGCCTGGGGTTGCGAATCGGCACCGTGAGCTTGATTGGACGTCGGGCCTCGGATACATGGACTGGTCGCATCTGCCCAATGGTACATCAAGTCGCTGACGACGCCGTTGGGGTGAGCTGCAGGAGCGGGCGAGGTCGTGACGACGCGCTGCCTATGGAGGTGAGATTCGGTCAAGATGCCGCCGGTCTCGGCAAGCGTCGGTGAGCTCGGTGTAAGGTCAGGGATGTCAGACGTCTGGTGAGAGCGCGATGGTCCATGGTCGGCTCGGGCAATTTTCCTTCGTACTCCAAGTGCAGTATTCAACCTAGTCGTCGTACTCATGTGAAGCTTCGAAGTCGGAGATGCTCCAGTACATCATACTTAGGTGGTATGTAACGAGCGGTGGACAGAATGACTTGCGTAGTAGCCTAGCATACCGTGGTAAGTAAGCATCACAAACGTAGTTGCCTGGAATAACCACGTAATCGCCCCTTTTCCTACTGCGAGTAGGCTCCTTTCCGGGCTCAGTGGTATAGTCTTGGGGACTTGACGAGTCAGATCCCTGGTGTGCTCCGGATAGTGATTATAGTGGTCATCGACAGCCGGACAAAAAACAAGAATATATCTTCTTGAGAGAGAAGTGTAATATACTGGACCTGTGCCCGACGGAACACATCGGCTTCCATTAGAAAGTGGAATGTTCTTCCAGTAGCATTGATAGCTTGACGCCTTGTCACCATGCCGTTTCGTCTGTGTTAACCCAGTACCAACCAGTCGGGGTATCTACAAGAAGCACAATCTTCGAGCTTAGCCACGCTGTCATATTTGATTCTCTCCCTGAAGAGTGTTAATGTAGGTGTTCGTTGGTTTTGACCGGAAGAAGAGGGCGAGTCGCCCGTCGCGCGAATCCATCCGGATTGCCAAACCAGGCTTGATGGGTCCATGGATCTTTGGAACTAATTTAACCGAGCAGACCAACAATAAGGCGTATGCGAAGCTGCATTCACGCGTTCGTTGGCGTAGGTGGTCACTGGCAACCGTTGCTAGCCTCCTTCAATAGGGGGCTGGTCAGGACTTCCAATCACCGCCTTGTCCCGTGCCAGTTCAGCATTTACGCACCTGCCGAATCAAGGTTTGTAAACGGGTGTCTGCCAACTTCCTTCCTCTTCACCCTGATGTGCCAGCATTACTTGGTCGAATTGGCATCCTCACTACTGCGGTCATCACAAGTCTTCTTGTCGTGGTCCTCGCTCTACCTTCCTGACGGGGTGGGGACTGCCAGGTGCAAACCTTTCGCCAAAACTTTCGCTTCGTAGAGTTTATTTCCCCCAGATCGTGAACCTCTTGTAGGTTCGGATTGTGTGGTTGTATTGCTACGGACAGTGATATGGACAGCAATGCGTACACATTGGGAAGGTTATCTCCGCTGATGAGACGGTGAAACGTGCCACACATACTGATGATTTGGGCAGTACGATCACAAGTCGACTAGAACGATTAAGTTCCTGGTTTCCCACAGCAAGCCACAATGATTAGTGCTTGGCTCCAGCCGAGATACGTCTGGAAATCGAGCCAAGTGTTCAGTGTTACTGTTGGGAGCCTCGGCGTCCTGTGGACAGGGAGCTGGACATAGATAAGTATCGCGAACATCTGGGTCATAGGACGGGAGGGGGACCCTGTTCCGACAGGCGGAACATTCTAGACTATTAGCTCCCTCTCTCTGCCTGATGTACGGACCTTGGATAGAGAGTCGTATCATTCACATCCTCGTGCTGGCCTTCGGAAAGGTTGAGCCAAGATGTTGGATGCATCTCTCTGCGTAAAGGGGATCCCAGGTCAGCTACAGCCACGAATAACCGCTCATTCGCAGCCCAATCACTTCTCACTGGGTACTGGAGCAGCTAACTTCTGATTCTACGCTGGAAGCGCTGAGAAATCATTACATCCTTCAGGGGCAGCAAGGTAATATCCTACCAAATTTCACAGACGACGCTGGTGGATCGGATCGCGGCCCCTTCATTCTCTCCTCTTGGCTACACAGGCTTCACTGTGTGAGTGGAATAGACTTGCTGCGCTTCGTACCTCACCTTGGTGTTTCTCAATCGCGTATGCTGTTCGTGCGTAGTCCGCGGCTGCGAGCGGGACACTCGCGCCCCTGAGCTCATAGTTGCATGATCACAGTCGTATTTCTGCTGGCAGCAATCGCTAGCCGCACGAGCAGCAAAGGAGTACATGATGTTATCTGTTGTGGGAAACATCGTGTCTGTAGGTTCCAGCATGGGGTGAAGGCCGACTGGCAGAATACTTTCAGACCGTGTCACATCACAGCTGCAAAAGGGGACGATGGATCCTCGTTGGCCCGGTTCACCCCCCTCGCCGAAATATTGACTCCTCTCCCTGGTCTGGTTCACACCCCTCGCCGAAATATTGACTGCCTCTCCTTGGCTCGGCAACTGTCCCGTTGCTACCCAAACGCCCCGGACGAGCAGCTTGGGTAGCCGGCCCCCTTTATCGCTTCCGGCGGGTAAGTCGAGCTTCGTTTCGGCGGGTTCGTACCCCCTTCGTGCCGTGTGTCCAACCGTCTACAGCTTTCAGCAAGACTAGCAATGGTCTTTGGAGAGAGCCAATATTGGCACGAGTTCAGGGGAGGATAAGAAGCGATCCAACACACAGATAGCGTCTTCTGCGACAGTCTCGTGCTGAATTTGCCGATGCTCTGAGAACCGGCGTGAGACAAGACCAACAGCAAACCAGATACGTCGCAGTTGTAACCATCCTTGGCTTCCCATTGGTATCGGTATCTGCGGGTTTCTCCCTCAAGGCTGCTAAAAAAACTGCTCACCTCGTAGTCACTAATGAATCCGTTGCGCCCACGAGTCTCTGCCCCGTGGCTTGCGATCATGGATACCAGCTCGTCTTGTGACGCGTGCATGAATGCAAGGCAACCCTAAAGCGTTGGGCGAAGGCTTCCTGGGGGTTCGTCCGTGCTGTCCAGCCGCTGTGGTTGTTCGGCTCTAGCCGCAAATCACGGTACTGAGATAGCGTTACCCCTGGATGAGCGGTCGTCTCGCAATCGGGGACTGGCACTCCATGCTTTCACATAATCGCCAACGGTGCAGTTGCTCAAATCCCTGAGCCTATCAATCCCACGCCGCCGTGATCAGGAGCCGGATACCAGAAACTCTAGATGGAAACGTGACCAAAGGGGCTTCCTCACACTGAAGACGTATCGCGTATTGCGCGGTGCCTGATTTTATGCCTGCCAGTCAGGCCTAGGGCGCTGCTGTGAAAATAGCCCGTTGAGCTCCGAGATCCATGTGGCCGTGGAACGACTCACTACTTGGTGCAGGTCGACTTATAGTCGCTCCCTGGCTAACACGATGAGGTGTCTCTTCCACACCGTTCGAAGTGTAGCTGGTCGGACGGCGAGGGCACGAGCTGGGACGTCCGCCCCCAAGATCTCAGCATCCTAGATGGAACTCCGTCTTGAACCAATGAATGTCGTAGTTAGTTCCCGTATGGAAATCATCTCGACATCCCCGACACTCGAGTGGTTTAAGATGGTAAGCTTGAGTCGCATACAGAAGGTCGACGTCCAGTAGCCTCGACCGACCAACCCATTCGACCGCACTTACACCCAGCTGTCACATCTTACGGAGACTTATCGTTGTCCTTGTACGTACACCAGGGAGCGGACCAATTCCCGCTTCAAAAGAATGTTGCCGCCCGCTGCTACTGTGCCGACTAATTGTCGCATATGACGATATTGGTTGTCAGCCGAGGTCGATGACGATGACGATGTCCTTTCGATTCGAAGGCTGGACCCGAGGTGTTATCATGGCATGATTCAAAAGCCACCGTTCGACTGAGACCGAATTAGCTCCTCAAGGCTATCTCCAGCACCTGCGTCAAGATTCAACTAAGGAGGCGCTTGCTCATTGCATCTTATAACTCCCGGAGTAGTAACACTGAGTAATGCTAATATGTACACCTTGTTGGCTAGCGAGTTGCCTTCCTCAAGAGTAGGCGGTTCGACCAGACAGCGTTACCCTGCGGCTCTGGCTTGTCTGTGTCCATAACTCAGAGGCTCGCCTTAGTGAGTCGAGGACGTCCCAACTGAGCATCGAAATGTCAGACCTGGATACTATATTCGGTCGACGCCACATCCAAATCGGGGTTTATATACGAGATCTGGATCCAGCGTTGCCTGGACGAGAGCCAAGCCACAGGCTGGCTAGTCGGACCGGCAGTGGAAGTATTGTCTTGCCTGTTCAGGCAGTCGCGAAGTGTCTTTTTCTATGCTGGCGGACTTGGCGGATGGGCGGTGGGACTGCACCATGTGTTGTTATTTGGGTTGTATTTATGTATGTCCCTTGGTGTTCTCATTTCTAGCTGGATATGTTGCGAGGCATCTCATTCATCCGTCGACTCTAGTAAACGCGGTGATGATGTTATTTTCGCGAAACTGTTGGCTGCTTCATCGGCGGTCGCTGTCATAGGCTTTACCTTGAGCGAATGGAGCTACTGCTGCCTGGCGACCTCGTGCCAGGCGAGCCAAGAAGCTGTACGCAAGGGTGAAAGATCCAGATATCTGGTAAGACTGGCTATTGTCGGCCTTGGTAGTATACCCAGCCATCGTACGATGATATGAGCAAACATATATTCCTTCAAGATCCTGCCTCATACGTAACATAATAATAACAACTCCAGCCAAGTGCCAAGTCTCACTGGGAACCCACTCGCTCTCGGATGGAGGACAGGCTTCGTGAGCCGTATCATCCGCCTACGTGCTGCATTAGTCAGGCGTGGTCGACTATTGCTCCAGGTCCCACAGCATGAGGCGGCTTCCCGACGGCGTGTCCAACTTGTGTCACATTGAAGTCATACAAGGTCCCGATCTCATGCATATGTCGAATACCAGACATCTGTGAAGCTTCACGTACAGTTGACGAAACTTGGATCTAGTATACGCCGCCGTTCTACACCGGCTCCGCTGGAGTCGGCCACCGGACGGTCAGATGCTGCTACTCACTAGGCCATCGAAAGTGCTCTAGCATTCCGTCGAACCGACCAAACAAACTCATCTTCCGGACTGGGCTCCGTCCGAATGAGCTCTATCGAAAAGCTGCATCAAACTCCAGGCGCCTACGTGTAGCCAACCGTCTAGTTGACCCCTAGAGTCTGGAGTCCAGATAACCAGCCGGTCGGGCCGTAGGTAATGAAGCAGCGAGCAGTAGGATGGGTTCAATCCACGTCGCGGGCCAATGAAGACATGCTGTGTCCCTTGTACGGCCAGCCGGCCGCCTGTTTACGTTACGAGCAAGCTCGAACTGCCTGCCTAATGGCGCGTAACTCGGTAAGCACCAGGTCTGCAACCTACCTAACGTGAAAGGTGGTGAGTAACGGCCAGCCGCCGACTGGGTTGGGTGGGTTTGTGTACGCTGTCACTGTATTCTCGTGGGCCGTGGCACCAGGATTGCGTTTTTGTCGGACTCGCCAGTTCTACAGGGAGACGAACAGCAACTGTACCGTTTCGGCTGACCGGATGGTCCGTCGGTCTCGTGGAAGGGCGTGAAGGGGTCGGACTCCCGACTCCTATCATGGGACGACGTGGCGACGATATGATTAATAACGATATTGTAGTGCCCGTACGTACCGGGGCACGCGTAGCAGCTAGCTGTAGCTGGCAAGCTGTCATCTTCTTCTTATCATTGGTCCTACCGGCATGCCCGTCTAGTCAGACCCGTCACCCTTCGGACGGCGAAATGATCATGGCCCACTACGCTGCAGTCGGAAATGTTCTGGAAGCATTCCAGAATGCACAAAAGCATTCCACAACAGCGACAGGGGTCAGGGATATGGATATCATGGGCCGAGGATCGCTAGGGTCAAGCCGTTTTGATACTCACATTCCTTCTTGGGACTCGGGAGCGGCTGATCCTGGCCTGGGGCGAGTTTGCCCCCCCGACTATTGGCCACCCGTCCCTTACGTTTCAACGGAGACCAGTCTCTGCAGAGATTTTCATTCCTTTTGCGTTCTTAATCCATCGCGATGCGAGTGGACCGTGGGCTGCGTGGGACTGCTGTTGTGGGCCATAGTCGAACCCATTCCAGCGGCTGCAGTGACGGGCACAGACGGGTTACGACGGGCTACAGAGTCCAGACGGTCAGCAGTCCACATCCCCCACAATCCATTTCGACTAGTGGTTACGAGCTGAAACGAAACTGCGAGACTGTCGGGTGCGAGACAAGGCACGTGGGAGTCTGATGATGTGGCCAGATGCAGCAATGCTGACAGCAATCTCGTCCGGTTGGAAAGCTGATCTCGGAGCGAAGTGAGTGCCGCAGAACTGATCTCGGCTCGATCCGTCGAGACGGTTCAGGCTTCGTGAGTGGCAGGAAGGGCCGCGAAGGGGACGAACCATTTCGGGCGTGCCTGTGGTTCCTGTAATCAGGTTGCTCATGTGCTCAAGTTCAATGATGCAAGCCATACATCGTTGGTCTCTACCTAGTCCGCCGTAAAATAACGACATGGCCTGAAGGACCAAGGTCATTGACCAACGACGGCAAAACACCAGCGCTCCTCTGTGCCGAGGAGAATCAGAGATGAAGCTGTGCCGCCTGCGGTCAACTGCCGGCACTTATCTCGCCAGCGGGTGACCCTGACAGCCCTGACAAGCGATGCAGCCTCATCAGGAGATGTGATTACCTAGACAGGCTGACCAGTGACAGGTAGATGATCAGATCAGCAGCATAATCGCCTCCGATTCGCCATCCAGCCTCCAGGAACCAAACGCTTCCATCACAACCTTGACCACTCAGCAGTTAGCTCCAGCTGCCAGGAAAGCTTGGCCCCCAAGGACTTATTAGACTGGCCACCATCGAGTGACTCGTGAGATAACGAGCGAGCAATCCATGACACAATTGCGCTGGCGAACCAATCGACAGCCGTACCAGCATACAGTCGACACAACGCTCGCCGATCTGTGTAGTAGCAGCGCCGAACATAATGCAGAGGGTTGCCAGGTTGTCCAGGCAAGCCAGCCCCTAATAACTTTGATAAGCATCCAGGAGCATAGCTTCATACGAAAGCCTTGGGGTTTGGGGGATCGGCGCCAGCTCCGTTTGTAAATACTAAAAGGTACTGGCTGAACAAAGGCTAATTTATTGCCACCCGGCCACCGTCTTTCACCCGAATCTCGATCATCAGAGCGGCCGGGGGTTGGCAGGCTGGATGGAAGAATTCTGGAAGGTCTTTGTGTACGGTGAATGTTATGCGTCATACTGTAACAGCTGAAAGCGTCCCTGACGGCGTACAGTGACAGAGTGACTGAGTGAGTGGCACGATGGGCCACTTGTACCACGGATGGCGTGCTTTTTCCTTCGCATCACTGCATCAGGCTACCTACCTTCAGACTTCCACCAAACGTGCCACCAGACTGCCTGCTGTTTGACGTCTTCATATTCCTGCTCACTTGAGAGAATTGAAGCTCAGTGCCCGAGTCCCCGAGTGCCAGAGTCTCGGGGTGGCAGGACTGCCCGCTGTGGATGTCGCTGTGGATGTATGTTTCTGCCTTCAGGATCAAGCCGAGCCCAGCATTCCCGGTCGTCTTCCATCATTCCGTCGCTGCTTTACGGGCTTTGTCGGACAATTCGGACAAGGGGCCACCCCCACACGGCCACATCGAGTAAGAGATCTTCGTCGCCGCTGCACTGGCAGACTGTGGAGGTCTGATTGGGTTCTTGCTGTTCTTGGGTGGTTCTAGCGGCCTTCTAGAGCCGCGCCACCCTTTTAGTCACCGAATTGCTTCTTTGCTTCCTTTGCTTCCTTGGCTTGCTTGGCTTGTTGTCGGGTTCCGTTTTTTCTTTGCGCCAGCCGTGTACCTACAGTAGAGAATGGCCTGATGGGTGAAGGCGCGTGTAAGCGTGAGTTCAAGTGTTAGCGGCCGCATCACGACATCCATTATGTACAGGCAATCGAAGGACTTGATGAAAGGAGAGAGGCTCGACTGAAGAAGAAGGACATCAAAGTTAGGTAGAACAGGGTGTATTGTACAATGTACGTATCTTTCAGCGTGATGGCATTGATGGGGCCCCTGCCGCCCTGCTGCCCCTCTGCCCCTCTGCCCCTCCGCCCTTCGACCCACTTCATGTCAAGGGCCGGCGACTCCTCCTATGTAGTATGTACCCTGGTACATGGGACTGGGCGACAGTGGACAGCAGCCAGGCCACTGGCCACATGCACTGACACCGGTCGAGCTATCTAGGATGGCCTATGACGGGCTCTGCATGAACGAAATGAACAAACGAAGTCGAGTACCCGGTACCTGGCCTTCAAATGATTCGGCTCTTTCCTGGTCCCCCCGTCAAGTCGACTCAACTCCCGCCCGCTTCCTGTCCCTTTGACTTGAACGACCTTCCTCTCTGAAGACACCACCTGCACCCAATCTGCCGCCCATGAACCATCAACCATAAACCATAGACCTCCTGTCTTTGCATTTCCCCACCATCTTGATCTTGGGTAGACATATCTACCCTTACCGAGCCGCCTGCCTACCTTCTACCTACCTACCTAATGCAACTGACCGACGGGACGGGGAATCACCACCACTAGAGGAATCGCCATCCCTTCTCGTGTACTACTCAGTCGCCGCCGCCGCCGCCTGCGCAGCACCCGACAGCTATACTCGACGGTGCCAAGACGACGACACCTCAGCCGGCTGGGACTGGATACGTCCGGGATAGTTGGGATAATTGGGGGATCACTGAAGCACAGTCCCCTCTAGAAGCGCTTTAGAAGGCTGAAGGGCCTCGGACGTTGAACTCTCTCATAATTACACTTTCCGCCGGCATCCCTTCTTGAGGAAGTGAAAGCATAATTCCCACCATCCCCCAAGGTACACAGCCTACACTGCGCCGCTCGCCATTCGCCAGGTCTCGGGACTTTCTTTTGATCCGACAACTCACCCAACAAGGTCGGAGTCTTCCAAGCAGGCGGCATTGGTCTCTTGTGGCCGTCACCTAATCGACTCTGTTACTTCTTTGAGCTGACCATCTCGACTTCCTCGCTGGACGACCCGACCGTCGCCTCTTGTGCAACACGATACTTGTTCCCGACCCGTGGTCGTGCCATCTCCCAATCTCATACCCCCTCGATGAGCTGTACTGCTCGTCATTACAGAGACAAGCATAGCAGATCCCTGGCTCACAGCGTTTGATATCCCCACCCGCCGTCTGCTGCTACCCGTGCAGTGATTGGGCGACAACGTGTTGATTGGCCCGAACCTTTCAGCAACTCTGCCGTGCTCCTGGCTGCCTGCAGACCATGAGAAGCGGTTGATAACGGACGCTTGAGACGCATCTACTTCGTCCCGTTACCACTACAAACACCATCAGCAGCGAAGAGTCTTGCCAGTTGTGTATGGAGGCAGAAGCGCGTTCGGGGTTCATCTTATAAGCAGGACCCTTGTTGTCTTGAAAGTAATAATGGGAAAGACCAGATTACGACGAAGCTCTCCTGTTTATCTGAGCCCACCTCGACGGGAGCCATCACCACCGTCGTCGGTCCTGGAGGACTGGGACGCAGAAACCGTCATGGCAACGTCACGGCCGACGAGCCTTGCCATTCCGCGGACTGCCTCGCCTTTCCTCAATCCTCCCTCCCTGGCAGACATTCTCTCCGACAGCGCACCACAGCCATGGACCCTCGGCGCCTTTATGGCATTCCTGTCACAGAACCATTGCTTGGAGACGCTGGAATTCATACTCGATGCGGAGCGATATAGAGCAGCACACTTGCAGACATCACAAGGCCAACTCTACCTCGGGTCCCACCACATCAGCGAACTATGGCAGAAGATTATCGAGGCCTACATAATGCCCTGTGCGCCGCGAGAAGTGAATCTGCCAGCTCGGGTGCGCGATCGTCTTCTGGGGCTTACGTTTTCCCTGTCGAACCCGGTTGACCCATCTGAGCTGGATGAAGCTGTTCACATCGTCCGGGAGTTGATGAACGACTCGGTGCTGGTGCCGTTTCTCGAGTCCATGATGCCGGCAGCGGTCCAGGTGCATGCCGACGATGAACCTCGTGAAGCAAGGCAAGGCCGATCTCGTCTACGGTTGTCACGCGAAGCTGTGACGAAACGGGAACCCAGCCAATCTCCCCGGACAAGCCTCCTCCCGCTGTTCGGCAGGGGACGCAACAGCCTTGCAGCGCTGAATCGGTCCAACTCCGGTTCTATCGACTCGCCGGATCTCGACCTGACCGATGACAGTAATAGTCCAGGTTCGACGCCTGGGTCCGAGCCCGTGACGCCGCCAACAACGCCACCCACCTCGGACTACTCGTTCGGCACCTCGCCGAACACGCTGCAACGGGCAATATCGGGCAATGGCTGGAAGAAGGTCGGAGCTAAGCTGGGACTGGGTAGGAAAAGCAGGTCCTCGCGGCGTACGAACCAGCCTGGAGCGCCATCCTCTAATCCTACCATCACCAGTAACCAAGCCCCCTCATAGGGGTTACAGGCCACGCCATCACATGATGCATTAGCCACTACCGAATTGGGCATCAGTAACCCGGCGCTGACAACGCACGAGGCTGATGATACGACGAGAAGTTCGTGGGAAGATCCCCATCCCGGAGACCGATTCTCGATCTCCTTCGGAAAATCTGGCGGATCGAACACCGATTCTCAGATTTCTAGTGGCGATGCGATGGGTGGCGTGGCCGCAAAAGCGCTAAGCGCATATGACGGCGATGGACCTTGGATCCGGCGTCGTGTCCGCATACGGCACCGCCATACGATGCCGAAGCCTCTGAAAATTCCTGCCCAGGTGCCGGAGGAGCTGGAAGCGAAGAGCGCCCCGCTGATCTCGTCGCGATGCTGCGACGTGACGACTTCTCCGTCACCATTACTATTTTTACCTCTTATAGAACCCCTTGGACCTCTCGAGATTGATACCGACAGCGAAACAGAGGTTGGCATCGAGGTCGGCACCGTCGTAGATGACATGGAAGTCGACAACATCAAGCTGGCATCAGTCAGTCATAGCTGTTTGACCGACTTCTCAAACTATCTGAGCATGACGCGTCTGGACGACGACAACGACGGCACCTCCGTAAGTGTTGTCGATTCTGATGCTTTCACACGAACCGGATCCGCAGACGACCTATATGGTTGGGAAGCCGAACTTAATCGCCAGATCGATTGTGGTATGGACAATGCTGGTACTACGTGTGACTGTCATCACTATCAGTACCAAAGCAGCGACTTTACCAAGCGGGGTATTCTACACCGCGTGTTCTCGCCCTCCGGCAGACGGGTCAACACCACCCCCTGAAACTATTCCCGTCCGCCTTGGAGACAAGGTGGTCTTCCTGAACCTCACAACATTTGGTGGCAATGAATGCTTGTCGATTGGGTGTGGAGGATTACGACTGAATGATATACACGATATACCGAGGCACCGAGCCATCGCAGATCATATTCCCCTTCATTAGCATTGTTTGGCCTGGGGGTCAGGCCGTAGGATTTTGGGCGACGCATACCAAAAAATATATGAGAGGCATCATAGACGGGGGGCAACTGGATTTGGCGAGGCGTTCAGAGTAGGTTGGGAAGGTTCCTGGGATCTGATAGGGCCGGTAACTCTACTCATGATGGGGTTCGAGAGCACTGTCTGAGTCACCTAGGGTTGGAAAAAGACGACTCATACAGCATACATCACCGGAGTGGGCGGTCGTCGTGTAAAACACACATTTTGGCACAGCATACAAGCATTTGCACGGAGTTCTGTTGCCACTCGGCAGTGGCTGGCGGGGGCAATATCGAGATATCAGACATTCCGACACGGTACTGGGCCAAGAGCAATTGCGGTTGTGATTCGCTGTATATCATGGATAAAGCAAGCATTATTTGTGGCATGTAGTGTTTATAGTCAAATGCATGGATGCTCGCATCTCTCACTTGTGCTGCCGTCTCGACTCGGAACCGACAAGACTTTGTGTGCCTGTGGTTGTGACCTTATGACTCCTTCCAATAAGAAACACGAGGGGCTTTTCCCTGGGGGCCGATTATTCGGTGTTTGTTGGGGAATAAGTTGCTGCTAGCCTGTGATGCCTGTAAAAAATCCCGTATTGTTTTTTCGCGCTTAGTGTACGATGTACACGGAGATAGAGCTTTCACATGGTGACCTTCGGTACCAGAGTTCTTATACACGATTGATAGATGGAGCTTCAGATCAAGATATCCGTCTGGCCTGAGAGTTCCTACACGTTCATCAAGTCTCTATCCTGTACACCCCAATATCACAATGCATTTTACGACATGGAGGCGCATTGAAAGGGTAGGTAGGCAGGTGTTTATATATGGAATTGTGGAAATCAAGATGATGCCGACGGTGGCCACCTTCACGCTCTTTAGATGCCCTATTTACATCAGAAACCCCCCATTGCAATGCTGGATTATACAGATAAACAAGGTATCTAATGCGTGGTGGTGGTTTTGCCCAAGACGACCCCCCTTGTTCTGACGAAAGCAAACCTTCTATACATCTCCCCGGATAACAAAACCATTTGGTAGTTAGGTAAATTTTAACCCATCTACGCCTCAATAACCTTCTTTACCTCCTCGTCCTCAATAGCAGGCTTGTCGTGCCGGGAGTACATCTTGTACTCAAGGGACGAGGTAAAGTCGAATTTGCCCTTTTCGATATCGGCCCTCGTGGCGGACAACATGGGCTGCGGCAGGCCCATGGACTCGAGGAAAGCAACGGCTAGTGCGCATGTCAGTCAAATCCTCGACTGGTATCAGGGAAATCCAATGAGATGTGTAACTTACTGTCTTTCCATTCCCGTTCTTCTCTCTTGCTGTCCCACTTCAGCTCCTTGCTCATGATATCGATGACGCGGGGCAGGCATTCCAGGGCGGCCTGGGCGTTCAGGAACGTCATTCTGGTCCGACGTGCCAGAACATCGACGGCGGTTTGGGCATATTCGTAGCCAATGGCGTAGCGAACCTCGCCATCGACGAATGGGTAGAGGCGAGAGATGCGCTCGCCTCTTGCGGGGAAGCGTAGGTTGGTGGCCTTGCACATGGACGCGACGGTCCATGCGCGGTCACCGTAGCTCTCGGTCAGGTGCTTGGCGACTTCGGTCTCGACGCCGTAGTGCTGGACTAGGTTGATGAAGAGCGTCTTGCTGAAGCCGTGGGCGCCGATGAGGCGAACGCTATGCGTCTGGCACGATCCGTCAAGGATGGCGCCGTCGTCAATAGCCTCAGTTCCGCTGACCATGGGCGCATTGGGGAAGGGCTTGGTGATGAGCTTGAATTCATTGATGGCAGCATCAACGCACTCTTCGGCCATCTGTCGGTACGTAGTCCACTTTCCACCAGCGCACGTTATCAGTCCAGAGTCGGAGATGTCGATGAGATGGTTGCGGACGAGCGACTCCGTGTTGGTAGCCTTGGGGTCCTTGACAAGAGGTCGCAAACCCGACCATGCGGCAAGGACATCGCCGCGGCGGACCTTGATGTCCGGAGACAGGTAGTGGCCGACCTCGTTCAGAATCCATTGGATCGACTTCTCATCTGGCAGAGGGTTCTGCGTGATCTTGGCAGGCTCGTCGGTAGTACCCGCGATGGTGTTGCCTTGCCAGGGAAGGAAGAAGATGACACGTCCGTCAGAGGTCGAAGGATCGATCAATCCCATCTTGGCCGGGCTGAAGTATCCTGGAAGAATGACGTGAACGCCAGAGGCCGGTGCAACAATCTCCTTGCAGTTCTGGTCGTCGAGTTTCCGTATCGCATCGCTGAAGGGACCGGTGCAGTTGATGATACACTTGGCCTTGATGTTGATGTCCTCGGTACTCTCACCATCGCGCTCAGGGATGCGGTCCTTGATGGTAGCACCACATAACCGGCCGTTGCTGTCCTTGGCCAGACCCGTCACCTCGGCGTGGTTCAGAACTGTAGCGCCATAGAGGGCAGCGGTCATGGCGAGGGATACGTTCATCCGCGAGTCGTTGTGCGCGCCATCGTAGTAGACCAATGAGCCCACAAGATCCTTCTGATTCAACATGGGAAAAGCATCGAGCGTCTTGCTTCTGGTCATGAAGTAGGAGCCCTCGATGCCCTCACTGCCGGCGAGGAAGTCGTAGAACTTGCAACCGGCCCAGTAGTATGGAGCTTTCCACCACTTGTCCAGCGGTACCATGATTGGTAGCCACGAGCTGAGATGGGGAGCGGTCTGCAGGAAATATTTGCGCTCCTTCAGAGCCTCCCTCACCAGCTGGTATTGGTTCCAGTCGAGGTTCCATACGGCCTTTTCGAGATATCTTACACCACCGTGCACGAGCTTGGTGCTCTTACTGCTAGTGCCGCTGCTGAAGTCGTCGCGCTCGATCATGGCCACCTTCAAGCCTCGCGTGGCAGCGTCGAGCGCAACACCAGCGCCGGTGGCACCGCCGCCAATGACCAGCATGTCATATTCCTCCTCTTTGGTATTGCTCTTCTTCAACTGCTCGATCTGTTCTAGGCGGGATTTGACGCGGGGGAAGCGAGGGAGCTTGAAGCTGCCATCAGCACCGTAGATCGGGGGAGGGACGGCGGCGCCTTCGTAACCAGGGATGTTGAGAGGTCGGTAGGTGTAGAGGAGGGCACCACCACCGACAACGGCGACCGAGGCAGGTATAGCCAGACGCCTGATAAGGCGGGAACCTCTGGCGAACCTAGACATGGCGTGCTGCTGACGGGCGAGGTATTATGCTAGGGTTATATCCAATCACTGCGCCCCCAATGAGTGCAGTCGCACGATCCGAACGACGGTATGGCGCCTAAAGCTGCTCTCATCAAACTGACAAGCGAGAGAGGTCGGCAGGCAGCTGGGCCAGTTCGGGGCGGAACAGGCCTGGGGCTGGAGATAGCGAGTGGAAGAATGGGGGTGTTGGTCGATGGTCGGCTGCCAGCAAAGTCAAGTTCAACTTGGAAGCTTACTGTAAAAGCCAGACTGATGACTTCTCTACGAAAGATGAAAAGGCGAAAGGGTGGAAAGGAGTTGAGCTCGGGTGGACTGACTGAGAACTCTGACTGGGAAGTGACGAGACTGACTCGACTACGTAGACGGAAGGGCCACAAATTCTCTCATCAGACAATCAGACAATCAGACGGTCAGACAGTCAAGCTGGGCTGGGCATGGGCACACCTGGCATACTACGATCGATGATTGTTATTATGGGCCGTCTTCTCCCGAAACCAGTCTTGTTGCCGGTTCCAGTGTCCACGGGCTCCTATCAGTGGAGAAGGTGTGGTGAAGGAAGGCTGCGAACGGGGACAACGGGGACAGCGGGGACGGTGCAAGGCTCGACATCATGGCGCTGCATGGGAGGGAGCATAGCATGCTGCCATGGTTGTCGAAAGTTGCAAAATAACGCCGAGTCGACAACCGGAGCTTCAGGCCGTTTAGCTTCCCCCACGTGCCCCCAAACCCCCACCCTACACGGACATATTTATGTAGGTATGCAAATATCGAAATGTGACGGCCGAACGGGAAGGGCATCTTTCCATCAATCAGATGGCGAGCGCAAAGTTTTAATAGGTACCTTATATAATGCAGCTTGGGACGAAGCAAACACCATAGCTTCCTTCCTTCATTTCTTCCTTCAATCTCCTATTTTTACACTTGATATCAACGACATTTGCCATAATTCCATACCGTATCACTGCCGCGCCGTAGGTATCCAGTGCCCACACTAGACAACCTCCTGAATCAACCTAGCCGTGTCCATGACGTCTAGTATCCCAGAGGCGGCTAGAACGGCACCACTTGGCGTTCCGCATTCCAACGAGATCCCCACGAGCCCCCATTCAGCCATTTCGAGCACCTGGCACCCAGGGCACCTCAAGCCAACCCCACGGAGAAATCCTTCCATTGCCTCTGCCTCACAACACTCGACCCGCCTGGCTTCGACTGGCGTAATGAGGAAAGGGGAAAGGGGAAGGGGGTGGAAATCACCGGTAGGCGGCCGGCCCGGTATTTCAGCATCGCCGAGAGCCGGCGGCAATGTTTCATTGTCGAAGATGAATATCCGGCATGAGGCAGGCGGCCGGACCGCTGACCGGACACGTCCCCGTCGGTGGACAGGGCCACGGGCTCGCATCGGAATTGAAGATTCTGTGCCGCGAGTGCGCCACAAAGTGAAGGCTGGGAGCGCATCATTTGTATGATAGCTTGGGGAAACCCTTCTCAGTTCTGGTCCGTGGTGTTTCCATCATGAGGCTCAGACGATGATACTTTTCCGTAGTACGTGAATATTGTGTTGCGACCATATTGTAGACATCCCATAATCTACAGGAAATATCGTGTGTTCGAAACCCAACTATGGAAACTCAAGTCTACCAGAGGTAGCTGTATGTTTGTACAAGAATTGGCATATTGCATATGCAGAGAACAAGATGAGCATGCAAATACGTCAGTGACTGCGTCTGGTGGGTATAGCTGGAAACATGGAAATAGCCAATGCCCCATGGCCCCATAGTATGTCTCCATGCATCTCCATATGTCCCCATACCCTCCTCCCTCTCTCCCTCTCTTACATATGACCACAAAAAAACAAGGCCGGCTCATGTGTAGTCTACATACATAATACATTCATCCATATCCTCAGCCTCAGTCTCAGCCTCAGCCTCCTCGGACCTCAAGGCTGAATTGGGCAATGGCCCAATCTAGCGTGCATCCACGCAGGCGGCGAAGAGCTCGTCGACAAACGTCATTGTCTCGTTGGCGTCCTCACTTTCGACGACTGTCGATCCGAGAGTCTGACCCGCACGCACGCCTTTCCTCATCAAGTCCAACTCGTACTCCAGGCCGGCGCCGGCGGCTCTTATATGCGTGACGTGACCCGTGCTCGGCGTCCTCATCGTCTGGGAGACCTGCTGCTGAGGAGCCACCGACGGACCCCGACAATGTGTCTGGCGGGTGCCGCGGCCCGGTTTGCCGTCAACCTCCTCCTCGGCTTGCCTGACGTCCACCTTGATCTCCTGCGACACCAGGATGCCGCCAAAGCTGGACGCCGTTTGCGCCTCCGGGCCGGAGCCTATCGATTTGTCAGGCAGGACCTCGCAGTACGATATCTTGTCGTCGCTACCCTTCCCCTTCCAAAGCTTCGTCGTGGAACCCGAGTCATTTACGCTGCCACCGGAGAGCTTCTTCCCGCCTAATCGGATGGGAATGGGATTGCCCTCTGCATCGACAGGAAAGTTGACTGAACTCCTTTGGCCAGCCCAATGAAGGGAGCGTGCCAAAGAGCTCAGACGAGCCTTTGCGCGGAACACTCGTGAGTCTTGGTGGCATGTGTCCTTTGATATGTCGGTAGGTGCCGCATTGGGAGACGACAACTCCCGATGTACATATCGTGAAAAGGCTAGGTGCTGGGGCGAGTCTTTATACACCATCTGATGAACCTTGAGGACGCTCAAGGGTATGAACTCGCACTTGGGATTCTTGATTGTGGCGTGAATAGGAATCATGAGTCGAAGCGTGATCATTGTACAGGTCTTGGCCGAATCTGACCCTGGCCGTGGCCGACACGGTAGCTGTACGATCTTGGACGTCAGGACCGCCTCGTCGAAGATTGGCTCGTCCACCCAGACGCGGAGGGCTTCGATGGTCTCCGACAGCTGCGAGGCGAAGAGCATCTCACGCGGAGATGTCCTCTTCAGCGCATTGAGACTCCGCAGGAGGTCTGTGACGCTCGTCCGATCGTACTGGCGGATCAAGTCGATATACCACGGCTCCAGACGGTCGAAAGGCATTGGCATGGTAGGTAGGAGGTTGCGCATACCATGCTTGACGAGCACGTCGAAGCCCAGCCTGCCGACACGTGCTTGCACACCAAAGAATCCGACATGAACACCCGGTTCCATCATCGTGTTCTGGTCGGCGTATGTTGACATGGTCGCCAGCTTTCCACCGAAGTCGCTGGTCTTGATCTGCATACTGGATCCGATGATGTCGCAAACCTGATGAATGTATGCGAATCGGAAGCCAGCTGCCTCGAGCTTTTCCACATCATGTACGTGCTCGAGCCGGCGAACTAGGAGCATGAGTGATCCGCGGCCGTATCCTTCATCTCTGACAGCCCAACCCTCCCCCTTTTCGCCGAGGTCCTCACGTCTGAGTTTCTCTAATGACTCACTCCCATCTGTTTGGCGCCGTCGATACGGTCCGTTTGCACCCGTCGGGAGTATCTGTTCCAACGCCCAAGAGTTAGTGGATGCTACGATTTACGCCATTCCCGGGAGCAGTCTGCGTGATCAAGAACCGGCCAAGGATACATAACTGGGTGTCCCAACCAAGACGACGACGCAGGGCTCTGAGGTCAACGTGGAGGAGAAGGTACGGAATCTCAACTACTCACCTCATCCCACAGAATACCGACATGAACAAGTTGTTCTTTCAGCTTATCTGCCAGATTCGCAGCAGCAAGGCAGAATAGTTCGCGAAATATGACATCGTAGTTCTCAATGAGGAGGCCGTCGTCGCTGATCAATCGCATCCTTCTTTCCCGATCACTCTTGGGCAAGTTGGCCACGTGGTTGACGATGCCGCTAATCATGGGCCCTACCACGTTCCAATCCCGCGAGGCCTGGAACATCCACTGGAAGAGAGGGTTTGCGATGCTGAATGTGTCGCTCGCAGTCTTTTCGACATAGCTATCGGTGATCTTTTCGCTCGGCAGTAGGCCATCTGGATTCACGAGAATCCTGCCAGCTCCATCGAAAACAGCGGCAGCCAACACGACCTGCTGGGCCTGGCTGGCAGATCGGATCCTGGCTCGGGTCGCAATGATGGCCGCCCCAGCCACGATGAAAGCCGCGGCGACAGACAGGCAGATAACAACCACGACGATGGTGTTTCGAGAAAGCTGATTACTCTCGTTCAATTTTACCAAGCGGTAGTTGGTACCTGTAGCTGCACACCAGCTGTACACAATGGCGTCAGTGAATGTTCGTCCTGAACCATCTCTAGAGCCTGAAACCCCGTTTCGAGACTGCAGATTCCGGATGCATCTCAAACGGTCACTCCTGGCTCCTCGGACAGCGCCGCATGGGTGACAAGGAACCCCCAACGCAATACGTACTGCATCCCCGAAACGGCACCAGCCAGCACGACTGCCGAAAGCCCTCTCTTCCACCAAGAATGGCTCCAGCTCGCGCGAAACACGAAGAAAGTGGATAAAGCCACGATGCTGGCGACGATGGCAATCAGCGCCGAGCCGATGACGTTGGGCAGGTCGTATCCGCATGTGTAATTGTTGATCGACGCATTTCCAAGGTAATGCATGCCACATATTGCAGCGCCGGCCAGCGAACCCCCGCCGCAGACTCGCCACCAAGAGACGTTGTTGTTCGTGCCGGTGGCCAAGAAAGCGGCGAGAAGCACCAGGATAGGGAGGAAGAAGGAGAAGGCCGTGAAGCCACTCGAGTATGCAATCTGCAGTTCGACTTCATCGTTGGCCAAGACGACAGCACGGTTGCCAATGAAATGCTGGAGGCGGTCAGAGAGCTGCTTCCATCCCGGTGGAGCACGCTTACTTACCATGGACCAGATGGCGATTCCACCCATGGTCACAGCAGCGCTGAACAGGATCATGTGGTTGGCCACACCTTTGAGCGAAGTACGGCGATTAATCAACTCGAGCGTTGAGGCGGCCCCGGTGAACGATACAATATAGCTCAGGACGACGAAACCCGCGTTGAAGCCACGAGGGACTATCTCACCCCCGTACTTTTGCAGCAACTCCTCGGGCGTGGACATCGTGTCGATAGTATGGCGGCGTTTATACAGAAGGGTCTGCCAGGGCGGTCAACGATGTTGTTTTGTACGAAGTCGAGACATATGGTTCGATACTACACGAAGGGACGGCAAGAGGAGATCTCGAGAATAACCTCAGGGACTACCTACGGTAGGCCAACGGGGCTTAAGAACTCGGGTGCCACGAGCTATGGCCTATCTGAATCACAGTCGGTCTAGAGATATGCATCAACACTCACATGCCGCACACGGTGCCCCTAAGAGAGTACGCTACGAGGCTAGAAAGAAAGAAAGAAAGAAACGAACACCCAGCAAGTCCCCGAGGGGCGCGGAGCGGGGAGGATGGCCGGACTGGTTACCTAGGATAGTCCAAGACTATGAAGCCCGGTGCTCTCACTCTTTCATCCCTTCTCCCCATCGCTCGGTGTGCTCTCTAGCTCGCTAAATTCCCATGTCAGCTGGATCTGGTTTGACAAGCTGTGGCAACCCACGATCCGCAGCGGCGGGACAGGGCCAGCTGGTGTGAATGACCACGGCACCAATAAGTCGGTATAGCCCCGGGCTGGTGGAGATGAACACGCACGCACATGATAGGAGGGCTAGACGAACAATAGTCCCTTGACCAGGGCCTCATCAGGCTTGTGTAGCAGTACACACGCCACTGCGTCAATGTTGCATCTCACCGGGATCTCCGCATCTGATCGACTATCTACCGGTGCTAGGGTCTGGTCGACCTCCCTCGGATCTAGAGCGAAATTACCCCTGTCCAAGTCTTGCGGCTGTCGACGACAGTCCGTCACGACTATATCTTCACCCAGGGAGCCGTGTCTTCTATCTGGCCAGCTACCCTCGACCTGTCAACTCACTGAACGGTCCAGTTCAACATGGGTACCTAGGTTGTTGTTTTTGCCCTTTCTCGAGAATCCAAGTGTGTGGACGCATGTCTTTGACCATTGCGCGCACACGCGAATCAGATCAAGGGGGTGCTGAGCGCCCTGCCGCGCTAGTCCACGCCATCAATCCCTTTTGTGCGGCCGCTGAGATACTTCTTTTCGCCGAGTGTCTCAATAATGACTCGTGTCCGTATCGTGCAGATATTACGCGAAAAACAACAACACCTCTACACGGAAGCGCCAGTGCGCTCGCGCATCACTATGTCTTCCGCTACGGTGACGGTGCAGAATTATCAAAAAGCGGTGGGTCGACAAGTGCCGGTGACGGACTCACGGGCTTGCTTCGACCAGAGGTCTCGAAGCAGCAAGCGGCCGTTAAATTTCACTAGTTCCCTTCGGTGTCCCGGACCAGCGGGTTAGTATTGTGGTAGTAGTGCCCTTTCCCCTTTTTCTGATCGATCATCGACATCGGGTAGAAGGAGGACGGCGAATGCGAGGGAAGGGATTGTGTTAGTAATAAAAGACCCGAGCGTACGGCACTCGATCGTTCCAGGCCGTGTCCTAAGGGCATCTACGATGTGTTCTTAGTCATGTTCCGACTTCGTATGGACCGGACCGTCTGAAACATGGCTTGGATGGTCTGCTGGTCGCCGACCTCGAGCATGCACAAAACTTCAAAACGCCATTACGTAGGTATTAAGCATCCGCCTTTAGTGCTGTTTTCCTTCCTGGCCGTATTACACAAGCTATCATGTAGATCTGAATGATGAGTCGCAGCGGTCAAGCTTCATTTCTATGCCCTCCCCTGAATACCAACCTCTGCGCTGTCGATTCCGGGTTGCGGTGACGCTGGACTGAGTGCTGCTGTTACGCGGCTCCATTTCATGTGATGTAAGGTGCTCGCAAGTTGGGTTTTACTGGATTGGCATTGCTTTCATTGATAAGTCATACAACTTGCCACGGCCGGACGATGCCATCGTCTCCTGTGCTGACCAGCATTTCCTCGATGCCTCTCTTTTCAGGCGGGCAGCCTTGGTCGTACCGCTTGCACCATGTAACATGGTTTATCTCGTACGGCCCGTGAGCATTTGGCGTACTTGATACCACCTTCCACCTTCTTGATGCCTCGGGCTCCTTCTTTGGATGGCCGTTGGTCATGGGCACATCGCCATCCAGCTCCGCAGCGGCCTCGTCGTCTGCTGTGTCGTTGGTCTCTGCCTCCTCCTCCTCGCGGTAGAGTGCGATTATGCCATCACTGCTCGTGCTTGCTACCATACCCGAGTCGGCGCTCCACGTTGCCGCGTAGACGTCTCTCGTATGTGCCTTGGGTAGTATGGCTGCGCACACCCAGTCCTCTTTCGGTGATCTGCGCATGGTGCTCGGTACACCGCTCAGCCCACCCCAAGCATGCTGCGGCGCGGCCTCCTCCATCTCCTCCTCTTCTTGTAAAGACCATATCCTGACACTCTGGTCGGCGCTCCATGTCATCAGCCTCGGGAACCCCTGGCCCTGCGGCCTCGGCTCCCACTGCAGACCCCAGACGGTGCCGTCGTGGCCCTCGAGCACCGCGACGCAGACCCATTCGCCGTCGCCGTCCTCGCGCCATATGCGCACCGTGTTGTCGTAGCTCGCGCTGGCCAGGACGTCGTTGCTGTAGCGTCCGCGGCCGCTCCGGTTCGTCTCGGGACACCACGCGACGGCCTTGACGTCGCCGTCGTGCTCGTTCAGCACGGCCACCGTCTCCCACTCGTCGTCGGATTCGTTGGCGCCCACGTCCTCCCATATCCAGACTGACTTGTCGCGGCTGCAGGTGGCGAGGTACTGTCCGCCGGGCGAGAAGGAGACGCACTTGATCTCGGAGTCGTGGCCGTCGAGCACCACGATCAGCTCCCAGTCTTTCTCGTCCTTCTCGTCCTTGATCTCCACCTCCAATGCGCCGCCGCCGCCGGTATCTTGGTCGTCCCAGCGCCAGAGCCCCGCGGTGGAATCAAAGCTGCCCGTGACTAGGCATAGCTTGTGCGGGGGTAGATTCGGCTTCCATGTTGTTGACCGTACGGATCGCTCGTGGCCATTGGTGAGGCTGCTGTGGGAGGAGAGGGTGGAGAGGGAGAAGACGGTGACGGATTTCTGGTGCGCCGTTGCGAGCAGAGGCAGGGTCGGGTGCGGTATCGATTGCCAGGCGCGCTCGTACAAGTCCGGCTTGAATACTGGCAGAGGCACGAGTTTCGTCATCGGGGAGGACGGCATTTTCTTAAGAATCGGTAGGCTTCTGGGGCGAGTTGCGCGAGGGATTGGAATCGGAGGACATCAGCCAACCACGAATCTTGGCGACTTTCGGCTGATTGTACACGAGTGAGTTTTTGGTGGTCGGAAGTGGGTGTGTTGGGTTGCTGGCATGGAGATATCAGGATGATTGAAGAAAATATTGGTCCGGTTTAAGGAGGGGACTTGATAACTGACGCACACGTATGCGGGGCTGGCGGGGCATATTATTCCTCCCCTGCTATCAAACCTTGAAAGCTTCCCCCCTTTTACAACCGACTGGAAGTTCACCGAGACATCAATACAGCATGATTCTTGGGACAGACACCGTCCAACTAGCCAAGTGAAGAGGCTGTCTGTCCTCTTGGACGCAAATCGTTCCTTACATTTACACATTCAGCACATATTCGAATCGCACACCATAAGAAGCGGTAATGTGCGTGTTGAATTACTACACTCGAGCCATAGAGGGGGTGTTTTTATCAGAATACGGTAGGTATTCAAGGTAAGGGCTTGCTTTGGAAGAAGACATGTCATCCTATACTCTGGCTATTCCCTCTATAAGCGACCAGCCCAGTTCATCGACGAATACCCAGACCACAAATCCCTTCATCACCCCTCACTTGATCTTGCAACACCAGACACGACAGAAGCGCCGGATCGCACAACGTGTACACCAGTCTTTTCCCCGTCTCGCGCCTGGTCCATGTCCGGCAATGCTCGAACTCAGGCTCCACCAGTCGTTCCTGGGACGCTGGCACGTCTTGCAAGTCCACACGTCAGTCGGATGCTGCGCCAGATCTTGGTCTCGTCCCCGCGCTCGGCCTCTGCGAAGTCGGGCACCACCATCCTGGCCGTCGCCGACGCGATCGGTACTCGTCTCGGGTACCCCGGACGATGGCGGCGCATCTGCTGGTCCAGGGGTAACACGGTGGCCGCCCTCGCCTTCCCGGCGCATAAAAGGATGCGCACTCAAATTCCCATGACCACTTCGCGGGCCACGGAACGCCGGCATACCCATATCGTACGATACAGACGTCTGCGCCAGCTCATCTGCGCCACTGCTCTGCTGCTGTCGCTGCTGTTCCACTATCCATTCCGCGAAGCTAGGAGGAGTTCGTGGCGCTTTGTGGGCCGGATATACAGGCTTCTGCGGGTAGGCGTGGACGTCAGTGACCTCGACTGCGGGCTTCGAGTATATCAGCGAGCTAAGGCGGGGTTCCCCCTGTCTCTTGCTGGGTATGCGGATTCGGGTCTTGCCGTTCATGGCGGGAAGCGTGAGGTCGTCAAGGCTGAAGGAGCGCTGACGGCGCAGGTTGTGATGTTGGCGGAGGGGTGTCGTGCTGTCTGCGGCACTAGGCGGTGCGCCGTGCATGAGGGACGACAGGTCCGACGTCGAGAGGCTGCCGGTGCGTAGCGTCGCGATGCTGCTACGCTGCTCGATGATTGGGGCTAGCTCGGTGCCATAGCCGTACAGAAAGGGCGTTTCAAGGCGGGACAGCGGCGATTCCGAGTTCAGATCGACAAGACGCGATGGAGAGGCTTCTGGGGAGGTTTCTGGGGAGGGTGATGGTCTCGGGAAGGGGGTCTGGTAGGGCGATTTCGCGCAGTCGCTGGTCGGGGGCGATACCGGGGCGGCATCGTAGAGAGAGTCATGCGTGCTTGGTTGGCTTTCCGACGAGTCCTTGTGGTCCCAGCGGCGGCTGACGTTGAGGTTCGAGCGGTTTGATAAGGGGGATCGGACCCCGACCGTGGGCCCGGCGGTGCGAATGGGCTTGGTGCCGTCCATGATATGGCGCTGCTGACCGGCGTATGAACAGTGGATATACAGGTGCCTGATGGACGGCTGTGCGAGTTCGTGACAATACTCTGATAGTCTGGCGATGATTGAGAGCTACCTAGGTAGGTACCTACTTAAGTGGTAAGGTAGGCAGGGGAAATGCGATTGAGAGGAGGACGAGTGGCTTTGCTCTGTGGAGACGGCCCGGGGTTGTCTGCTGATGCAGGTGTCTGATATCTGGAAGGAGGCCGCTCTTTCCCGACTCCGATGGCATCGTGGGTTCAGGTTCAGGTTCAGGTTCCTTCCGCATGGCTGCTGGCCAAGCGAACATAACTCGCATGTGTAATGCATAACTCCCGAGTTCAGCTCCCTCGCAGGGCCTCAGATTCCTGCCAGCAGCTTATTTTGTTCAGATCCAAGAGTACAAGTTCTATGAGATGTTCTGGGACATCCAAGGCAATCGAGTGGAATAGGGGTGGTATCATGTATTGATGTCATCGTAAATCAGAGCCCCTTTCATGCTATCGCAAGCCCATTCTGCCGGCGGCCTCCCATAAGCCTACCTAACATATATGTACATGAGCACTTTCACCGCTCTGTACTGGCCTGGATCCCTTCTGCAGCCAGGGCTTTCTGGTAATCAGCTATAGCCTTGTCCAAGGAGCCAACGACGGGGATCATGAGTTTATGGACGGCGTCCTTCCCACCACGGACCGTCCTGGGGCTGAATTTGATCTTCTTTCCAGTCCTTTCGTAGATCTGCACAATCTCGGCTTTGCGCTTCTCAATATGCTTCTCCCGCACTTTTTCCGCTTCCGCAGCCACGGCATCTATCCTGTCTTTGGATCTCTTCAATGCCTCGACGAGGTATCCGAGCTCGGCAGCGCGTTCAGGGTCGCCAGAGAGAAATGCGGACCAGAACTGGTGCAAGAATTCCATAGTGGTAGCATGAGTTAGGTTACATGTTGCCGCGATTTCTTCTGGTAGCCCCATCGGTGTTGTCTCATCCGATGTATGACCGTATACTTGCGCTCGTCTCTGCAACATACTCTCCAGAATCTGCTTCTGCGCCTCCTTCCGGGATTCTCTAGATCCGACGTGCGGGTGCGCTTCGCCCTCCTCGTCGCTTTCGCTCTCGTCATTGATGCCTAGCGAGACGTGGATGTTGATGCCACCCGCACCATCTTCTCCAAGCCCTTGAAGATCTTCCTGCACGTCCCTGAGAACCTTTGCGGGCTTCTGTTTGGCGTAGGTCGCGGTTGTTTCAGATATAGTGGCGGTTTCGCTGGAGAAGAAGTTGCTTTGCTCCTTGATGTTGAGCATAATCCGATTTTCCTCGGCGTCCCCTCGAAGATCTCGCAAGGCGAGTTCGCGATAGGTATTGTCATCTAGATCCATTGGGTCTTCCGGGGCGTTGTCGGACGGTACGATATTTGCCAGTAGTTTGCCACTGATGCTGTTCAGCGTCTGGATAATGGGCACATCAGCCCTTCCCCTGGGTCGCATCTCGACATCCTTTCGGTTACCGCTCCTGAAACCGCCCTGATTCGATTCGTTGCCTTCCACATCAATGATATGAGGCACATATTGGGACAGGAGCTTGCTCGAGAAGGCCGTGATATCTTCATACTCATCATACTTGTCGAAAATCTTGTCGGGCATTTCGTCACCGGTGGTGCGCTCTCCCCTGAGCTTCTTGGATAACTTGCTGAGGAAGAACCTCTCCCAAAATTCGTTTTCTTTAAGGGCTGGCACGTTCTCGTCATAGATACGTTTCACAAGAGGATGCTGGTTGAAAATCATCTGAATCTGTTCAACACTGAAGTTCATTTTCAAGTCACTCGGCTTGGACGGGTCTGTGTTATGTTGCGTGGTGGGCTTGACTTGGGCCAAGACGTTGTAAGGACCTTTCTTTTGGTTTGTCTCGATTGCATGGGACCGAAGTAAATTGATTCTCGCGGACCAGAAGTGGCTGTTGAAGGTGGCATCAGACATGGAGTCTGGCTTCGTCTTCCGGCCTTCCATGTACATCTGTGAGAGGTTGCGATCAGACTTCATAAGAGACTGCTGCAGGACGATGTCATTCCTAAGAGAATCGTTGTCAAACAGGCTTGCAGTAGTCGGCTTCGACACAGCGGCACTCGCGCCAGAGCCACCGGCTCCAGGGGACGCAGCTGCACCGGCAAGTCGGGGCACGTTGGGATCGTTGTTCTTTGCATCAGCAATGAGTTTTGACAAGAGAGCCTTGATGGCATTTGCCTCGGCTCGCGGGTCTGAAGGCGAGTTGAAATAGAAGAGGTGGGCGACAGGCTCGGCTGCTCCTGGTTGCTTCTCAAATACCCTCAGCATGGCCTTGGCAGCGGTGTTTGGGGTCTGCTGGAGATCTGGGCGCGATGCTTAGCTCATATCGCTGGTGACTCATGAGTGATGACAAGTGAGACTCACTGGTAATATTGAGGATGGCAAGGGAGACAGTTGGTGGACCGGCCGGGGCGGAGTTGGGAGTCCATATGACGGAGCTCTGATCCGGGGTGAGAGCGAGGACGCCATCTTTCTTCTTGTAGGCAGCAGCGGCAGTCGGGATCGCCATCTCGTACGATGCGCGACGACAAGGCAGCAGCAGCACTGAGTGTTGGGTAACGAATGGTGTTTGCCGGCTCCGCGCTACACCTGCGATGACTTCGACATCTCAGAACTTAGAGCCCTCGGTCGACCGTCTCTCACTGCCTACGGCTCGAATGTGGATCTGGACTGGAGGTAGTTGTATGAACCGAACTGACGAAGCAAATTCGCCGATGTTGTGCAGATCTGAAACTACCACGAAGGAAGTTAAGCTTGAGGTAGAAGATGGTGGTCACTGGTGATGATGCATTCATTCGCACAGGTCAACCAATGCGCTGGCTTCAATGTTTGATGCAACATGCAAGCCACGAAGCATAGCCAGATCTTGGAATGTGTGGCTGGAGCTTAAGTGGAGCTACCAGACTCTACCAGACCTACCCCTTAACTTATTTACCCTTATGTACCAAACCAGACCGAGCAATAGGGCGGGATGCAAGACGGCACTTCATCTTTTCGTCCCAGGCAGCCAGGGGTGTGCCAACATGAAGTTGAGGTTGACACTCCTTATTAATGCCCTTTCCAAACATGGACACCAGAGGCATGTTTGTTGTGCCCGTAACTACCTTATCCAAGTAGACAGCGAGGCAAGGAAGGTCCATATGCAGCTATGCGGCAGCAGCATCACCGGCACAGATGGAAAAGCTCGGTGCAGGTGCTGATTGCGGCAAGAGTCGGGGCGTTCGGCTGTGCCTGGTTGCCTCGATGCACCCATTGACGCCCAGCTTCCAAGCTCGGAGAGCCGGATTTAGCCTGTAATTACAACTTGATCGATGACGCCCTCGTAATTGCATTAATTCTTGGAATATACACGGTTAGTTGCATCCCTGCCATTGTCTAGTTACATATTCGGGATCACCGGGCCCGCTACCTCTGCCAACCAGTCACTGGATCTGCGACCGGGTGGCAGGCTGGCAGGTGCGGGTGATGACAGGGGGCGGCCTTTAGGCTCACTGGGCAAGCACTGCAGCTGGCGGCTGGGCGGGACTCCGAGGGAGCTGCAACCCGATATTTTTCATGTCTCTCCAAATCCTGGACCACCTCCAGCTGCACATGCTACCTGCCTCATTCTACTCCTACCACCTACATACCTAATTCCCTCCCGCGAATCCGAATATCCTCACCTCCCCCCAAAGACTTACTCCGCCGCTCCTTTATCTCTTTTGCGAGAGATCGAGCGTCCCGAGCATATTAGCTTGGTTGGAGGACTGTTACATCTTGGACCTTGTCTGCTCCTGAACTTATTGGTACAGACCTAATAATATCTGCAAGCTGTCAAAAAGCATTAGCCTGGCGCCATGCTGCGAAGCTCCCTTCGAAACTCGGGCAGCCAGCTCCTCAGAGCGAACTGCCACTCCTCAAGATGCGCCTCTCAGGCCACGAGGTCGTACTCCCTAGCCGCCGCTCGCCGTCCTCTCGCCCTGTCCGCCCAGAAGAGATATGCCTCTGCGATCGCCAATCCGCCCTCACCCAACGACAGTTTTTTGTCCGGCAACACCGCCAACTACATCGACGAGATGTACATGCAGTGGAGGAGCGATCCGGAGAGCGTCCACATCTCATGGCAGGTGTACTTCAAGAACATGGAGTCGGGCGAGATGCCTATCCAGCAGGCCTTCACGCCGCCTCCCAATCTTGTGCCTGGTGCCACTGGGGGTGTAGGCGTCGGCATGGGCGTGGGTCAAGGCGGTGATGTTACGAACCATCTCAAGGTCCAGCTCCTGGTGCGCGCGTACCAGGCTCGTGGCCATCACAAGGCCGACATCGACCCCCTCCGCATCCGTCAGGAGGAAGGGTTCACTAATGTTAAGCCCAAAGAACTGACCCTCGAGCACTATGAATTCACCGAAAAGGACCTCGATCAGGAGTTTAGCCTCGGTCCGGGCATCTTGCCACGCTTCAAGAAGGATGGGCGCGAGAAGATGACCTTGCGCGAGATCATCGACGCCTGCGAGCGCATCTACTGCGGCTCCTACGGTGTCGAGTTCATTCACATTCCCGACAGGGCCAAGTGCGACTGGCTGCGACAACGAGTCGAGATCCCCGAGCCTTTCAAATACTCCCATGACGAGAAGCGTCGCATCCTCGACCGCCTAATCTGGAGTTCCAGTTTCGAGTCCTTCTTGGCTACCAAATATCCCAACGACAAGCGATTTGGCCTTGAAGGTTGCGAAACACTGGTACCGGGAATGAAGGCGCTTATCGACCGGAGCGTCGATTACGGTGTCAAAGACATTGTCATCGGTATGCCCCATCGTGGCCGCCTAAACGTGCTCAGCAACGTCGTCCGCAAGCCCAACGAGTCGATCTTTAGCGAGTTCGCCGGAACAGCTGCTGCCGAGGACGAGGGGTCGGGAGACGTTAAGTATCATTTGGGCATGAACTTCGAGCGTCCCACGCCATCTGGGAAGCGGGTCCAGCTCTCCCTCGTTGCCAACCCTTCGCATCTGGAGGCCGAGGACCCGGTCGTGCTTGGCAAGACTCGGGCCATTCAGCACTACAACAACGACGAGACGACGCACAAAACTGCCATGGGAGTCTTGCTACACGGTGATGCTGCCTTTGCCGCTCAAGGTGTCGTCTATGAATGTCTTGGTTTCCACTCCCTTCCTGCCTTCTCGACTGGTGGGACTGTCCACTTGGTTGTCAACAACCAGATCGGTTTCACTACCGATCCCCGTTTCGCCCGCTCGACTGCCTACTGTACGGATATCGCCAAGGCCATCGACGCCCCTGTATTCCATGTCAACGCGGACGACGTTGAAGCTGTCAATTTTGTCTCCCAGCTCGCTGCTGACTGGCGCGCCGAGTTCCAGTCTGATGTTGTCATTGACCTCATCTGCTACCGGAAGCACGGCCACAATGAGACTGATCAGCCTTCGTTCACGCAACCGCTGATGTACAAGCGCATCGCCGACCACGAGCCGCAGATCGACATTTACACCAACAAGCTACTCAAGGACGGAACTTTTACCAAGTCAGATATCGAGGAGCATAAAAAGTGGGTCTGGACCACGCTGGAAGAGACCTTCACCAAGTCGAAAGACTATCAGCCATCCTCGAAGGAATGGACTACTTCTGCCTGGAACGGCTTCAAGTCGCCCAAGGAGCTGGCGAACGAGGTCCTGCCTCACAACTCAACCAGCGTCGACAAGAAGACACTGGAGCACATTGGAGAGGTCATCGGCTCTGCTCCCGAAGACTTCCATCTCCACCGCAACCTGAAACGTATCCTCCAGAACAGAACCAAGTCCGTTATTGACGGCAAGAACATTGACTGGTCGACGGCTGAAGCTTTAGCATTTGGTTCTCTCGTGACCGAGGGTCACCATGTTCGTATCTCTGGTCAGGATGTCGAGAGAGGCACTTTCTCACAGCGCCACTCGGTTTTCCATGATCAAGAAAACGAAGAGACGTACACCCCACTACAGCACATCAGCAAGGAGCAAGGCAAGTTTGTCATCTCCAACTCGTCCCTTAGCGAGTTCGGAGCCCTAGGCTTTGAATACGGCTACTCGCTCTCCTCTCCAAATGCTCTGGTCATGTGGGAGGCTCAGTTCGGTGACTTTGCCAACAACGCTCAATGTATCATTGACCAGTTCATTGCCTCCGGAGAGGTGAAGTGGATGCAGCGAACGGGACTGGTCATGTCACTCCCTCACGGGTATGACGGACAAGGCCCCGAGCATTCGTCCGGCCGCATGGAGCGCTACCTACAGCTATGCAACGAGGACCCGCGGGTATTCCCTTCGCCGGATAAGGCTGAGCGCCAACATCAAGATTGCAACATGCAGATTGCCTACATGACTACGCCCGCCAACTTGTTCCACGTTCTTCGTCGCCAAATGCACAGACAGTTCCGAAAGCGTAAGTTACGCAACTCGTATAGACCTGAACTGGAGCAATTCCACTAACAGTAATTAGCCCTCGTGATGTTCTTTTCCAAGTCGCTCCTGCGTCATCCCCTGGCTCGTTCCAGCATCGAGGACTTCACCGGTCCTGACGCTCACTTCCAGTGGATAATACCCGACCCGGAGCACGAGACAGGAGCTCTCAAGTCGCCGGAGGAGATCGATCGTGTCATCCTATGTTCCGGCCAGGTGTATGCGGCACTCCACAAGTACCGTGCCGAGAACAAGATTGACAACGTCGCAATCACGCGTATCGAGCAGCTCAATCCCTTCCCATGGGAGCAGCTGAAATCGAACCTTGACATGTACAAGAACGCCAAGACTGTTGTCTGGTGTCAAGAAGAGCCGCTGAACGCTGGAGCGTGGTCTTTCACCCAGCCGCGCATCGAAACTCTTCTCAACAACACCCAGCATCACGACCGCAAGCACGTTATGTACGCCGGCCGAAACCCATCAGCATCCGTGGCTACTGGCCTGAAGGCTACCCACAAGAAGGAAGAGGAGGAGCTGCTGCAGCATGCATTCTCTGTAACGCAAGACAAGCTCAAGGGCGAGTGAAGTGAGGAAAGCATAGTTAGGGCGATGGTGCATGGTTGTTTCATGTTTTCTGTATTGTATTCTGTGTATAACGTGGCCTCGAGAAATCACGAATTGAGGCAAGATAGATCGACGCCAGCCATTGGACACGCCGGATAATGCCATTCCTTTATACACTTCAAACAAGGGCGGCATCGATACACGCCTATATTTATTGGGTATGGATCCCACCTAGGCCGCGAGAACGGTTATGCACTCACTGATAAATCACAACGGGCTACTACAGACACATGCCGCAATAGAAAATCGGGCAAGCGATAGGAAGGCCCGCGCACTAGACAGGGCCGAGTGCTTCACGGCTTTCGCTTACGCCGAGGCTTGGTTGAACGATAGGAGACCTGCTCGTCCCCGAGTTCAGGGGCCCCGGTCTCTCAGTCTATCTTTCGAGGTGATACACCCGCAGAACCATACGTAGCTTCCCAATTATTCGGGGCTTGGGGGAAGGCTATACGTTCCCCTCCAAGTTGGTCGACCTAATTTGGACCCAACCGGCCGTATTCTTATGCCGTCTACCCCCGGCCGAGAAGGGTGCGCCACCAAACGTCGACGTCAGTCAGGGGCTAGTTTTAAGCTTCTTCACTTTCAATTATTGGATTGTTTCGGTATCTCTTTTTACTAGGTGTTTGATTGCACTTCTGGGATGGCATTACACGTTGATGCAGGTAGTTTCGGGATACAGTGCTGCGTTACGTGGCGTGGTAACGTATCCTGAGTGCCCTCTTTGTTAAGGTGAGAAACAAGACTGTCATGATGCCTCCTTAAAGGTCTACCACCGAGCCTGGGGTGGCCATGACTAGGCAGATGGGTGGTACTGCTGTTGTTTGGTGCCAGTCTCGACGCGCTTCGCCGCAGAAGGGAACAACTCCCATCCATTCCTCCCAACAGTGCCGGTCTTCATGCCCAGCTCCCTTTCTATCTCCATGACGGCCTCTTTGTTCTTCTCCATGGTGGCGTGCGTGGAGCAAGGCACACCGCAATCAGCGCCATACACAACATGCTCCTTGCCGACCATCTTGATGGCGGGCTGTAGACCAGAGCTTGCCGTGGCAGCACAGTCAACGTACAGACTACTGAGCTGATCATGGATGTCCTGTGAGGTAAGATTCTGCGGATTGGGCACCCATGGCTCCGCACCTAGCAGCTCCAGCCGCCCTGCCAAGATGGGCGTAACACCACCGCAATGACTGAACACGAACTTGATGTTCGGGTACCGCTTGAAGATGCCACGGTAAAGCATGTCGACGATGACTCTGCAAGTCTCGAACGCCACTTCGATGAGCGGCGCTGGTCTGCCGTCTCTGGGTGGCGCATATGCGTTTGAATGACTGAAGACTGTTGCCCCCATGTCATTCAGCTTTTGCCAGACAGTTTCCAGTCTCTCGTCGCTGAGCATGACGTCCTTGTACACTGCGCTGACTTCGAAGCCATCGGCATGCAACTCTTGTCGTGATCGTTCGATCTCCTCGAAGCACTCTCGAGGCTGGTCCGTTGGCAAGGCGCAGAGCATACCGAATCTCTTTGGGTGTTTCTTCACCACACTTGCCGCGTAGTCATTGCTCGCCCTCAGCTTGTCCAGTGTTTGCGGGAGGTATGACAGCATCTGCATCTGAACGCCGGCTTTGTCCTGGTGTGCTAGGCTGTCGTCGACGTTCCAGCTCCAGCTGTCCGGGACCATGAATCATGCTTCCCGCATACCCTTGATAGCGGCTTGTCGTTCATCATCGCTTTGCCAGGTGTAGAAGTGGCAATGGACGTCTAACCATCCATCTGGGGCCATCGTTTTGCGGAGGATGCGGTCTGATTCGACGACGTTCGGAGCTGGTGCGGGATGCGTTATTTGAGAGGATTCGGCCTGCCTGTGAGTAGTACTACGACGTGCTATATGTTTGCGGGGTGTGAAGGGTGGATGGCGTCGGGATAGAAGGGTTCGAAGAAACGTCACGACTTTTTGGGGCGGAAATAAAGGGGCTTATAGCCGAGGATTGAGTCAAGAGACTAGACATGACTCGACATAAACGTCTTCCCTCATGATTTACCACCGCCCCTGGCCATCACTTTGAAGGGTACCAATGTTGTTCCTTTGAAACACTGAACAAACACTGGTCATCGAACCCTGGAAGAACATGTTTCCCGTTGCCCGCTGTCCAATACCATCTTCTAGCATGTACTGAGGCCTGAAGGACGGCTGGTCTGGGATTTGGTGTCGGCACATTTGCGTTTTCTTGAGGAATTTTAGCGACGGTACTGAAGCCATTGCACGCCATGAAGAGATGCTAAAATTCCTCCGAGAGAGCCGCATGGCGTTTATGAACAGTAGAGGGGCGGCTGACGCTCCAGCAAGGGATGGACGAGAGCCAGCCGTTCATGGGAGCCAGCAGTCAGTCACAAGCGGAAGCGAAGAGCGCATACGAAACATCCAAGCGCTTGATGGAGGTTCGACAAATCGACCATCGTCAACACATCGAGAGATTTCTTTAGGAGGCCACTTATCCCGCTTCTTGTTTGAGAAGGCTATCTCCTGCCTGAACTTTCAGCCGCTTTTCCACCACCACCATCATACCTGAGTCGTCAGCCTAGCAAACCAAAGCCCCCCAATAATTCATATGTCAGCCGAAGGACTCTTACAGCACCAATATGCTGAACTCGTATGAGAAGCTGCGAGCCGCGCCTGATTCTCGTTGTGAGCCGGAAGGTCAGGCTGGCACTTCCAGTACGCCCAGTCACTCTGGCCACTTCTCGGGTCCACCGAAGAATAAGAATCATCAGTTCCACTCTGGCTATGATGGGCGCCGCAACTCGGCGAACCGCGTTAGCACTGCCATGGAGGGTGACGAAGACGAGGACCTGACGCCAGATTCCAAGCCACGAGCCCAGATATCTACTGAGCCGTACAGCTACCATCGACCCTAGAGCATCCCTTCGGACACGGGTACGCAGCGTCGAACTGCCACGAGAAGTAGGGGTCCGTCTCGTTCGTCAAGACACCACCAATGAGGTGGCCTGGGTTCGGCAAGTCGAGCGACTGTTGGAATATCTCCAACGACCAGACGTGAATCTGGGCCCAACCCTTCTCGACGAGCTTGTCTATGGAAGAGCCGTATACGTACTCCTTGAACCCTGCCCAGCGAATTGCGGACGCACACATTGGACAGCTCTCGGCGTTCGTGTAGAGCGAGAGGTCGGTGAATGCGGCTAGGGCTTCGCTGGGTGACAGACTGTATGGCCCGTTTGGGTCTGCCAATATACTCGAGCAGTTGCTTATTGCTGCCATCTCCCCTGACATTCAATGTCAATACTCACATCGCTAGGTTGCAGTAGGGGGTTTCAAGCTGCTTACCGTGAAGTGTAGGGTTTCCCGTTCGGCTATGGCTGTTGGCACCGGTACACACCAACTCCCCTACTCCTGGGTTCGCTGTGTGATTCACGATGACACTCCCAAATGCGGCGAAGGGGCAAGAATCCCCCAGAGCCAGGTTCGCCTGTCTCATCCAATGAGCTCTCGTCTCGAAGGAAACTCCGTTGATTGACAGGGTTAATTCGCCGATCGGGGCTTGGTCTGTTCGATGCTGGAAGTGGTGCTGGTGACAAGAGGCTGCTCCTACGAGCATGAGAGCTACCCGATATGTCATTGAGAACCTCATGATGATTTCCTTGTTGCGGTTGGCCTGCCGGAAAGGATGGTGAAGCAAGGTGGTGACGCAGTCAATAAACAGCAAGGGGTATAGTATGGTCTCAGTCTTAGCTCGGCCCGCTGACTCGTGATACTCGGGTTTCCTATCAGCTTCCGAAATGTAATTGGCAAGTTCGTCGGCATGTCTACGGAGAGGTGAGCCGGACAGACCCGGACGAACCCCACATCAATAATGGAGCGATGCATCGACGGCGGTCTCCGAGTATACGAGTAGCATGAGCACATCCATAACATTGAAGGGTTGCGGTGGGTACGTGTATCGTACTCTCATCATGTAACTGAGCATGACCGTATTTGGCATCCGCACCCGAGGGTCTCCGCTTCCGTTGTATTGGGACCGTCGCCGGCTTCGGCCGGCTATTAGTACCTAGGTAGGTAGGTACGGAGTGCGGCCGGTAACCTTTGGATGAGAGTTTGAGCACATGCCCCAACTTCTTCATCCCAGCTTCCCGGTCGAGGTCAAGCTTTAGGTGTCAGGAAGTTGCATACTGCACAGACCCGGTCCGGTTCATTGACGACGACATCACACCGCCATTCTCCGGCCTTGGCCCTGAACACGGATTCTTGTCGACGCAGTATTAGAGTCCCTATCTGAGCATCACGTGCAGTGGTAAATAAACCCATTACCAACCTTGAAGACACCCCAAAGTCCGCTTCTGCTGCAGCCGCGCGTCTCTGTGTTGAACGGTGTCCCTGCTGTCATGACTACATCCAACGAGCCGCCATCATCGGCGAAGCTCGACAACGACAACGTGCCGATCACGACAGGCCAGGATGATCGTGAGAGAGCGGAAAAGGAGCAGGGAGAGCCTCCAGGCAGCCCGCCCAAACAGTCTCTGGAGCGCTGGAATGTACCCTCGGCCAACAAATACCGCTACTTCGCCACCATCCTGTGCTTCATAATCATGGGCATGAACGACGCTGCTGTCGGCGCGCTCCTACCATATGTAAGGAGAAAGCCAACTCGAGCCGAGCCAGGAATGAGACAGCCGTCAGCTAACAGATCCCGTCAGGTCGGTCCTTACTACGGAGTCTCCTACACCATTATATCGCTGATATTCCTGGCGCCGTGGGGAGGCTACCTCGTCGCCGCAATGTGCAATAATCTCATCCATCACCACCTTGGGCAGAGGGGCGTTGCCGTGTTGGGGCCGCTGACTCGGATACTGGGCTATGTTGCGCTATGTGTCCATCCGCCCTTCGCTGCTCTGCCCCCCCTGATGCTTCTGCCTGGTTTTGGTAATGGCATTGAGGATAGCGCTTGGAACGCGTGGATTGGTAATATGGAGTCGGCCAACGAACTGCTGGGTTTCATACACGGCGCTGTGAGTAACATATGGAGTCGCCCCTCCACTCTTTCATCATGTCCGGGGGGTTGATTCCTTTCTCAAGAGGAGTTCATACTTGGCGACACGACTCGAAGTTGCCGACCAATCGCCAATGAATACTGAGCGGGCAACTGCTAACTCCAGACGTTGCAGTACGGGTTAGGCGCCACCATCGGCCCGCTCATTGCTACGGCTATGGTCACCAAGATGCACCTGGAATGGTTCACTTTCTACTACATCATGCTCGGCCTGTCAGTTCTCGAGTTGGGTCTCACGACGACAACCTTTTGGGGGGCTACTGGAGCCGTTTACCGTGCGACAATGTCGTCGAGCGAAGGAGGGAGAACTACTACGCGCTCTGTCATGGCGAAACCCATCCCCTGGCTGGTCGCCCTGTTCCTGCTCGGATACGTAGGAGCCGAGGTCAGCCTCGGAGGCTGGATCGTTACATTCATGCTTGATGTCCGACACGCCTTGCCCTTCGAGTCCGGTCTCACGGCGGTGTTCTTCTGGCTGGGCTTGACGATAGGCCGTGTCACGTTGGGATTCGCCACTGGTCGTATTGGTGAGAAGCTGGCCATCACTGTCTACCTCCTGCTATCTGTCGCGCTCCAGCTGCTGTACTGGCTCATCCCAAACTTCATCGCTTCGGCCGTGTTTGTTGCCTTTGAAGGTTTCCTTCTTGGGCCTCGTATGTACATTTCCGAGTTTTTCATTTCCCCATATGGCCATGCCCTGAGCGCGAATTCCCTCTTCTAGCCTGTGTCAAGAGCCTCTGCTCCCGAGACTCGCATTACGACTCCATTATTTCTCGGCAAACTACCTAAATGAAGCGATTACTGACTCAAATTTGCGAGGAGTTTTCCCCGCTGCCATCGTCGCCGCCACGAAGCTGCTACCGAGTGACGCGCACGTCTCAGCGATTGGCTTCGCGGCCGCTTTCGGAGGTGGGGGAGCTGCCGTCTTTCCATTCGCCATTGGGGCCATAGCGCAAGTCCGCGGAGTCTGGGTGGTGCAGCCCATCGTACTCGCTATCCTCGTATTCATACTTGTTGTATGGTCGTGTCTACCTGGTGGACTGAGGCGAGGTGGATTGGAACATGCGAGAGACACGGACGAGAGAATCGGCCAACAGGTCTTGGCCGGATTTAGAAAGCTCAGGCACAAGAGGGGAGAAACGTGATCAATCGCACTTCAAGGAGCTTGACTCTCAATCAGTAATTTTCTGTGCAAGCTCGCCCACTAATTGCCTGATGTAGAACTCGCGCATGTCTGGCGGTATCTTGCTAAACGAGCTCGCGATGCGGGCGATATCCTGGCGGCTCTTTTCATACGCCATAACATCGCGATTGCCGTAAACGTCTCTGCCGGGCGAGTAACCGCTCTCAAGGCTGCGGAAGAAGACATTGACGGCAACTCCTAGATCAGTCAGTGGTGCCGCGGTATGGAGCCACACTGGTGGGAGGAAGAGGATGTCTCCCGGGCCCAGAACAGCCTCGTGAGGGTGTGTTGAAGCCAGCCTTGGTGACTCCAGCTCCGAGAAAACATCGACACTCGAGCTGGAAGCCCCCGGCGCAAACGTAAGCTTGTCGACGTCGGATGGCGGATATAAGACGAACCGCTTGGAACCTGATACCTGGCAATATATGTTTGCCATGACCTGCCAAACTGTCAGTCAGCAGTCGTGGGTAGATAAGCTAATAACACCCACATCGTAATGCAACCACATTGTGACGGGCCCTGATATCCGGAGCACGGAGCTGAAGGCATTATTCGTGACAAAGGATAGTTCTTCGGGCAGCTGAAAATCGTCTGCCAACTGAGGAAAGTCTGACGCAAGACAAGCAGGTTGGGCAGTCGGTCGGTCCTCCGAAAGTGCACGCAGATAGAGCTTTCCGCCACCTGCCACCTCTGACATAAAGGGACCGAAGGCTTTCGTCACGTAGGCAAAGTTCTTGGCGTTGAAATCCATAGTTGAGCTCCCAGCTTCATGGACCACAACCTGGGACGAATTAGTCTAGGGTGGGCGGCATCGACGCAGCCAGACTCACCTTTCTGTCATATCCGACTTGATCTTTGAGGTACTGTGTAGTCCACTTGTCCACGCATGTTCCCAGGGGACAACCTTCGATTACGACTGGTTTGCCAGCTTTCACGACCTCGACAAACTCAGCTGACATGGCGATACGGAGCCTGGGTATTTTCGTATTTGTTGCACGCTCAGGGCTTCCTTGAGACCCCGACAGGTGCTGGGCTTTTGACATTTCCGCGATCTCGACAGTCCTGCCAAACTTCCATTGGCTCATGGGCGGGGGTAGAGGCACACGTCCGGTCACCAGAGACTGAAGATCACAGTCGAAAGAGTAACAACCTTGGTTCCAGTACGTTCCCATAGAGAAACACGTGGCCCCGCCTCCCATGAGAACTAGCTGGGCATTGTCCGTCATGGCGGCTGATGTTCCCACCAAAAGAGGTCGAGGTTTGGTCGACTGCGCGCGAGAGTCAGCCAGACAGCAAGTGGCAACAACCTTCAGCTCAAGGCCCGAGACTTCCAGTAGTAGTATCTCATGGTTTCGTGATAGAATACCGTCGCGAATGATGCCACCCACTACGACGATAGATCGTGAATCATGGAGAAGTGCAGATGCACCGAAACGACTGATCAGACTCAGGGATTGGCCCCATGTAGTGTCCGACCTTTGTTTCTCTAGGTCAGGCTCTGGGCTTGATAAACGTTCAAAGGAAACCGTGGGACACTCGTCTTTCGCGAGAAGTAGACTCCAGCGCAGGACCTGCTGAGCCACTGTGCCATCTTGTAGCAGCCCGCCCGCGAGGACACCGTGAAAGCGTACAGTATTTGTAATGGATGGCTCACCATCAGCATCAAGGTAGTTCTCCTTGAAACTGACAAGCATTGCACCAAACACTGGGTTGTATTCTGACCCGGATACGCGACATTCGCGCCATCCCGAGCCCGGCTGATACAGCAAACAGCCGCCGAAGATGGTAGACGAGTCAGACTTACCCCCAACCAGTAGAACCATGTTGGAATTTCCAAGCTGTGCCACGGAGTGCCGGTACAGAGGCAGCGGAAGGTTATGCACCCTCGACCAAGTGTTAGCCTCGGTGCTGAAGTGCCAGCAATCCCGCAGAGCAGTTGTCGGTGAAGCCCTGCCACCGGTCAAGAGGCTCCCGAAGAATCCCAAGTTTACAACAGCGTGGCACATGCGACTATTGGGACCAGCCATCTGCATCCCGACATCTGGGATAGTCGATTCAGAACTGTACAAGTCGCATGACCTAAGACGGCTGTTGGTGCCTAGTCCAAATGCATTGGCAAAGCATAGTTCTCCCAAGTGATTCCTCATCTTGATCGCAGATGCGAACCGACGCTGGCCACGCGTTCTGCTATACTCGCTGAAGGATGTTTCCGGGAATAGCACGGGCGCCTGGCCTTCTGTCAGCGAAGCTGTGTTAACGTTGTCCGTGCCAGTTTCGACAGGCACGTTCCGCGCAATGACGAGACAATAATGTCCTGCAAAGAGAGCAAACTCTTCCCATTCATCAAAAGTCTCGATCGTATCAAGTTCTCTTCTCTTGTCTGGCGAAAGCCACTTGTCGCTGGCCCAGATCTGCCAGAGGTTCTGCACGTCAAGTTGTTCCCATCCTAAGCGGGTAAATCGATGACGCTGGGCTTCAAGAGTGGGGTATGTGAAGACTGACTTCAGGGGGGTCTTCAGTTTGTCGAAATGACTCAGCATGGTGTTTGCAAAGGGATGGTCTGGACCATCGGGGAGAATTTGCTCGAGCAAGCAAAATTCAGCTGAGCAAGGCGTATCAGAATATTTCTTTGGTTGCGTATCAGCAGGCCACAATGCCCAGCGACTCACCTTGACCGAGAGTGCTGGCCCATCGGATGACCGAGTCGGCCCCTTCAGTCTCCATGTACGTGATGGAGACTTCGGCCACAAACATAAAGGTGCAGGCGGGGGTGTCAAGGAAAGTCAGCATCGCCTTTTGTATACCGGCGAGATCACGCAGATCACAGCCAACCTGGAAGTACTGGTCACTCTGCAGCAACACATTCTTGTTGGCGACGTCGTCTCTCAAACCCGTTAGCAGCGAGTTGAGTTCTGGTGTGTCTTCGATAATGGTGCGTTTCCTCTTCATCAAGTCGGGAAAGTCGATGTCCACGAACTTGACATCACGGCTGAGCTGCGGGTATCTGGTCATGCATTGCCATGGGAGCACATCACTGAGAGACGGATGAAGTCAGGGATGGGCGCTGCTCGGGATATCTGAAGCAATATGCCCATTCGGAAATACGGAGGACACTCACCTCCCGCACCCCAGGTTCACGATCACCTTGGACTTTTCGCTAGGATGCTCCAGGAAGCGGCGGACAGCAACGTCTATAATGTGCAGGCGAAGATGGTAGCCCCGGTTGATGAGAGGAGCACGGCGTTGGAACTTTTTGACGAAATGGCGGAAGAAGTGCGCCTCATCAGGGTAGTAGATGCGTTCAACACTGCGCTTCGACACGATGCTGCTGCTGTTTGTCTGGGTATGCGTGAGTCAACGTTTGGGGAGTGATGTGTACAGCGCGGCATACAACATACAGCCATCACTTGATCATCCTGTGCTCGTTGCTTCGTCGAACGAGGTGGGACTTGGCCCGGCTCGACATCCGGTACGACTGCCATGGTCGGGGGAAATTTGACTTAATACACACAAGTCAGCAAGCTGGCAGGCCAATAGCACCGGATGCAGGTTGGGCGCCATCAGTGACTGTGTACCTACCGTAGTTGAAGTGAGCCTTGAGACGAAGAAGACTGCACGAAAGGCACCGCTGTTTTGCATATGTGCATGTGCACAGAAGCACATATGGTATATTGAGGTTACCTTGGTACGGAGGATTTGCAGCCCATGAAATGGTGGCGTTCCCGTGCTACTGGTCCTAATCGACCCCTCCTGCTGTGGCTTATATGTACTTAAGTACTTACTTTACGTTAGGTACATGATCCACCATCGGTTCGAGCCGCCAACCCCTCGTGTTTTTGCTATCTTTAATGTTCGTCTGCTTGCGACAACAACTTGCAAGAGCTCCTCCCACACCCCCCACCGTCCCATGGATGCTTGAGACCTGCTGCCCGTGTCCTGGTCCGTCGGATAAGGAGCTCAAAACTGCTGCCTTCAGATGTCGAGTGCCAACCGCCGACTGCCAGCTTTGACCCGGCACCTGTAGCCAGCCATACTACCGAGAGGAGCCAGTTCATGCATGTCTTGTTCTGATCTTTCCTCTCTCGCCATCAAGTCTACCTCTTCCCGCGCGACGCCGTGATATCCAGACGCAACCATGTCCAACGCCGCCCTCAATTTCGTCACCTTCAACCAGGACCACAGCTGCCTAGCTGTTGGTATGTTGACCTGCCCCCATCTACTACAGGCTGGCTGGCTGACTGGCTGACAACTTCGGTCAAGGCACCTCGAGAGGCTTTCGCATCTACCACACCGATCCTTTCTCCAAGATCTTCAGTAGCGATGACGGCAACATTGCTATCATCGAGATGCTCTTCTCCACCTCCCTTGTCGCCCTCATCCTGTCGCCCCGTCACCTCATAATACAAAACACAAAACGGGCCTCGGTCATATGCGAGCTGACATTCCCTTCTGCCGTGCTCGCCGTCCGCCTCAACCGCAAACGCCTGTCCGTCGTGCTCGAGGACGAGGTCTACCTCTACGACATCGCCAATATGTCGCTCCTCACCAACATCGCCACCTCGCCCAATCCCGGTGCCATCTGCGCCCTGTCGCCCTCGTCCGAACACTGCTATCTTGCCTATCCCCTGCCGAAACCTCGGGACGACTCCCTAGACAAGCGGCCATCGCATGCGCCGCCGACTTCCCTCTATGCCCCCGTCACTTCGGGCGACGTGCTCATATACGATACCCTGACCCTCAAGGCCGTCAATGTCATCGAGGCCCATCGTTCGCCACTATCGTGCATCGCGCTCAACAACGAAGGGACCCTGCTAGCAACTGCGAGCGAGACGGGCACCATCATCCGCGTCTTCTCCGTGCCCAAGGGCCAAAAGCTGTTCCAATTCCGCCGGGGCACCTACCCTAGCACCATCTACAGCATGTCTTTCAATATGGCGAGCTCCCTTCTCTGCGTCTCGTCCACATCGGACACGGTACATATATTCCGTCTTCAGCAGCCAGGACCGAGCGCGAGTAACCCCTCTTCCGATGCGCAAGGGGCCAGCTCGCCTCGTGGAGGAGCAGACCGTTGGTCTCGTAGCCGCAGCTACGACAGTGGGAACGACTCGCCGAGCAGTGCCCAAGGCTCCCCTCGTAGTGACATGGCCGAGCTAGCTACCCCGTCAGCAACCAACGCCACAACAAACAGGAGGCAGAGCGGGTCATTCAGCAGCATGCTACGTCGGTCATCGCAAATCATGGGCCGGAGCGTGGCTGGGGTGGTGGGCAATTACCTACCGCAGACGGTAACTGAGATGTGGGAGCCTTTGCGTGACTTTGCCTATATCAAGATACCCAAGAGCTCTCCCGCAGCGGCACGGCCAGGTGCATCAAGTGGCGGGCAGCAGCTGCGCAGCGTGGTGGCCATGAGCAGCAGCAGTCCCCAGGTCATGGTCGTGACGAGCGACGGAGGATTTTATGTCTTCAACATCGACATGGAACAGGGCGGTGAGGGCTACCTTGTGAAGCGATTCTCGTAAGTTGAGATCATCAGGCATGGTCATCTTCACTGGAGCTAACAGATTTTGTGCGCAGTGTCCTCGACGGCGATGATAAGCTCGATGCCTCGAGTTACGGGCCTTAGGAGGGCGGCGGCGGCTACGGCGACGTTGCCATCGAGGTCGAGGGAGACGAAGAGGGCAGCTCTTACATGCTCGATGGGCAGGGCTGGCAGCTGTTGACATGACGAGGCCTTGCGCTCTGGCACGCGGAAAGCAGGGGAGGCGTCGTACACACCCAATTATTGGTGTCCCCCGCTAGCTGCTTTTGATCTACGCAACCCAAGGGGCATGTTCGATGCTATCATACCCTCGACTAATGGAGTTTGAATTTTTGGCTGGAGTTATGAGTTATTACTGCATCAGCGTCAGGCGTTGGTTGGCATATTCAGTTCAAATCACTTGTAGGGAATGCTGAGGTTCTGGGTGCTGGCTACTCTACTAATGTAGTGTAGAGCTCTCCAATCTAACACGAGTTTTGGTCCCTACCTACATGCCCTGCTTTCGAAGGCAATGATAGTCTTTGCAGCCATTTCTACGGCACGAATTCAGTATCAAGGTGATTGCTTGCTAGCTTGCTTGCTTTTTGGTAGGAATTGGCTTCTTACCATGGTACCAGTAAGCTACAATGAGTAATCACACATGGCTGTGAACCCATGATATCTGGTTGTTAGCAATATGGTGCTCATCATCTATTCCTATGGTAGGGCTGGCGTACCACTAAGAAAGGGGACGGCAGTATCCAGGAGGTAGCGACTGTTGTCGGAAAATTACAGTACACCATTGGTATATTCCATCCTATCGCATTGACTTCCAGCTAAGCTTTTCTCTTCTAAAGAAAAAATGTTTTACATATCTGTCGGAAGTCGACTTTCTCATTAAGGACATTTTGTATCGTGAACTCTGCCTACCTATTCGGCCGCGTTAACCCGAACCATGTACCTAGCAAGATATGCCTAGTACCGACGCCAGACGCCGCCCCTTTCCCCTTCAAATGATAAACGGCCCTGACATGAAAAGGGGTAATCGCCCATAGGAAACGGTCGTCCCCCCGGGTATGTAGTTTCGACTAGCGCCACGCCGTATGCTGACTTGATACAGTTGAGCTGACCCAAGAAACATTCCAACGCAAGATTCCGGATCTTGACGGCCTGATACCGCCTCCAAAAAAATTATAAACTCATAATATACCAGGCCGCAACGCCAGTTGGTAAAGTCGTCATCCGCTGGTGAACATCGTGATCCCGACGAGCGCATATGTGTGCAAAACCAATGATATCATATGTCCAATTTTGCAAACTTCGATATCGTTGCCACCGTCCCTGGGTGCCTCTACCCAGGCGTGGTGTGTCACCGTCCCGCGACCGCGAACTATCCGTCCACGTCGAGACCCGTTCGGCAAAGACGCGATGCTTGTCGCAGTCCGACGAATAGACATTGCAGCCGGGTTGCGCCTCTGCGCCTTGCCTCAACGTCTCGGAAGTGATGCCGAACTCTATCTGGCATAAGGTCTGTTCATGAGCGCGATCTCTCTGGCGACCTCGCCCCATTCTAATTCCCGCCGAGATTCGTCGGTGCCGAACAGCTTGTCTCGGGCGTGGTGTTTCGTCTGCAGCGATTCCTCCCACTTCAGCAGCTCGAAGGCGAAGCGCAGGTGCGGCTGGATAATGACATTCAGCCGCCGCGCCCGGACGAAGCAATACGCCCGCGGGAAAGACAAGTTCATGGAGCGCATGACTTGGGCGATGCAGATGGTGGCGCTACGGGAGACGCCTACCCTGCAGTGGACTAAGGTCGCAGTGCCGTTCCGACGGCCGCGCTCTGTCTCACGTTAGCCACTCGGCCCACTTGGCAAAAAGGACCATGAGGGTCATGGGATCCCACACACCTATAAATTCCAGACACTTTTCGAAATTATCGGTCAACGGGTCGATGCCGTTATCCTGCACCCCCTGGATCAGCAGCACGTTGTCGACCCCCCACTGCTCCAACTCGCCGTCCCTCCACATGGTCGTCTCGCCAACGCTCAGTATCTGCGTGATGCCCAGCGCCTTCAGTAGGTCGGGGTTATTCGCATGACCGAGGTTACCCAGGTACATGTAGTCGAGAATCCGACTGGGAAGGGAACCGTCCAGCGAGGCGAACCACTTGGGCTCGTTGTTGACGAGTTTCGTGATTTCCGTGAGGCCTTTATCTGCGCAGACGGGCGATTCGCGAAGTAGACGGGTCGTTAGCGAATGGAGCAAAGACACATCTGTGGGATAGGCGAAGAAGTTCCGCTTCGCAACCGTGTGCAGCTCCAGCCAGGCATCGGGAACCGGCCGGCCTGTGCTGTAGCTAAAGTAGGCAATGCCTAGCATGGTAGACTCGGTATAGCCGTCGGCACAGTGGATCAGGATCTTGCGCGGCCGGGATGGCTTGATTACCTCGGTCGTCTCGGAGCCATCAGACATAAACGAGTCTCCATCGGCGTCGGCGTCTTCCTTGGGCGGCAAAGTCCCATGAGCGAGATGCCAGATCCACTTGCACGTGTCCAGAATGCCGTCTGCCTCGTCATGGGACCATGTTGGGGGCAGGATGCTTCCCGACGAGGGAAAGTCGAGGTAGGAACGCTTGACGCCGTCGCTCGACCCTTCGGCAATGGCTTGCAGCGCGGCCGGGTTCAGTCGACCGAGGTCGCTGCATTCGACGAGAACGTCATATTGCTGCTCCTCCTCGCCCGCCGGTTCTGGCGTTGGTCCCAGCCACACGTTATGCGAAATCTCGGATGCTTTCGTCATGGCATACATCTCAGCCCTCTCTTGGTGGAAGAAATCCAGGACGGCGCCGGTCAGTTGTCCGGCCGAGTCGACGGCCACAACTTGGCTGTGTTTCTTTTCGAACTTTGTGAAGGGGTCGACGCAGATGAAGGTATTATATTGCGGCAGTGGGTGGCCCTGGTGCTGGTGCTTTTGTCGCCACTTGGACTGGGCCGAGGCGATCTCCCATGCCAGTTTTCGAACCATGGTGGCATCGTCACCGTACACGACAATGTCCGAGGTGGCAGCTGTTTTGGCGGCCTGAATCTGGAAGTTCCTTACCGAGAAGCCTACCTTGGGATCGGCTTCGATGAACTCCCCCTCTGAGCCGGGCTGCAGGAACTCGTGTGGCGCAATGGCCCCCTTGAGCCGAGAGGCAGCGAGATTGCCATCGGCCTTGACAATGGTGACTCCTCGTAAGCAGCTGGGGGTCCTCCGCAGGGTCCTCCTCTTCGCGACGAAGAAAGCCTGCTGGATATTGTTGGCCGGGTGTAAGCCGTGGAACCACGGGAAGACCTGGGAGGGGTCCGGCAAGGAGGTGCCAGAGATGTACTCGATGGCGGCTGCGACTTGGGCGGCATTGACGCTGAAGATGGAGAGGGGCCCTGACTCCAGACGGGTGTATCTATCTGGGGGGTGTAGCAGAGACGGTCGTCTGCCGTCGTTCTCGCGCGCGGGAGACGGCGGCGGAGTGTTGGGCTCTTGCACAGGAGCCGGGCCGGTTGGGCAGACGGGGAGATGCTTGTTCGGGATGGGTATAGCACATGATGCCTGTTGGGTGTCAATGGTTTCGAGAGTTATCGGAGGGGAGAGGGTGACGATGCCCGAGGAGGCACGGTGCGGTACGATGGGTCTGGGTACGGCGATTGTGGCCATGGTCCTGCGTCGGGACTCAAGGACCAAGGTGACGACGAAGACAACGAGGACAGCGTCGAGACTGACGACTGACGATGACGAAGTGGCACTGGTCAGTGCCCGCCGGCAGAGATGGGGCAGAGATGGGGCAGAGATGGGGCAGAGATGGGGCAGAGATGGGGCAGAGATGGGGCAGAGATGGGGCAGAGATGGGAGAGAAGATGGGGTGATGCTAAAGTGGAAGCTAGTGCGGCTTCTCGCGATCAACTGCGGGGGAGGAGGATGATCGGGATGATTTGATAGGTAGTGGGGAAGACGAGGGACCTGGGCTTGAGTCGGTTGACAGTAAGGTATCGCGGCAACAACATGGACATTGGCTCAATGCCTCAACAACATGAACCCAAGATCAGTTGGTGTGTCCGGTCGAAGAAGAAGACATCAATGATTGAAGTGAGGAGAAAGTCGAATCGGGTTGGCAGTGGCAGCGGCAATGGAGAGGGTATAACAATATTGTTTCACACACCCACCCCCTCATGCCTACCTTCAACTAGACGGTGGTGATTGGACCCTGCAGTCGCCCACTCGCCGTCTTATCGCGCAACCCCTGCTAGCAGCATGCAAAGACGGCAGATAAGACGCATCGCCGCCGCATCAGTGGCCCTATTGCCTTTCAACGCATTGGCCTAACAAACACTATTCCACACTCTGTTGCGTGAATCGTGATGGATGGCTTAATACAGGTAGAGTGGGGTTTGGATGCTGGACTACATGTATGTGTAGGTATGTGCATGACGCATACGCACATGCCTAAGGTTAGGTAGGTAAGTAGGTAAGTAGGTAAGTAGGTAAGTAGGTAACATTGAAGTAGGTAACATTGAAGTAGGTAACATTGAAGTAGGTAGGTGTTTTGAGACAATCAATGGTTGAGGGCGGCACCAGCATATGTCCCCCACCTTTTATTGCCTCGCAAAGCAGGGGCAGTACAACATGAACCTCGAGCAGAAAGCACCATCCTATAGATCCAGCAAAGGGCAGTTGACAGAAGAGAGTTAAAAGAGCTCCGTTCACCATCAGACAACGCCGAGCCCACTCAGGTGCCGTATGATGAGACGTGAGTATAACGTGAGTATAGTACGAAGTACGCTAGTGTGTATACGGGTGATGAGGTAATGTACACACCTTCTGGAGAGGGTCTTACTGTTATTACCTAGTGCTGTGCCAATGGCAATGCTGTATATGTGCTGCATTAAAGAGAGACTGTATAGCCTTGCATCTGTTTTTCCAATCGTCACTCCCAGCTTTTGCTATTAGTAAAGGGGTGGCTTCCGTGCAGCGGGACCGAGATGTGTCAACTGGTATAATTTCAGCCTTATGGCTAGGGTGCCTTAAGAAGTTAAGCCTCTTTAAGCCTCTTTTCTTGATCCGCATCAACCCACTTGACCCGGACCCATCTGCCCAGTGCCCATGTCCAACACCACGTCATTCACCGCTTGACACCAAGAATTACTCACGACTAGATTCGCGAGGTCGCCAGTGGCAGCCTGTAGCGAGCCAGAGGCAACAGGCAACAGTCAACAGCCAGCCTGTCGAGCTGGTCCCAGAGCATGCCGTCAAAGCTACAGTTAAATGTACCCTAGCTCTTCACTGGGATATCTTCGAGCACAACACCAGACCCGTCCTCCGTCCTCTCCCAATTCCCCGAGAACAGGCATCCCGTCATGTCTTCCAACACTCCCTACTACGGGAAGCCGACAGAGCCGCACAACCTCGGTCCGCAATGTCGCCTGGCCCCGGTAACCCACCCCTTCTCCCCGGACCATACCGATGGAATACCTGCTGTCAACGCTCAATACTTCTACATGTCACCCATACCCATCGACGACCCCCTTTCCACCTCGACCATCGCCGTCGCCACCGATGCCAAGGCCGCGAGGGCAAGTCTGCAGCCATTCTCGCCGGGCGACAATAACGCCCTGGAAAAGGCCTGGCTGGGTCTCGCCAGCGACGAACATCGAAGAAATCATAGCCACGCCCGCCGTCGTAGAAGCCCGAGCCCTCCCCTCGCCCGCGCCAATGCCGATAAGTTAGCTGCCATCATAGACCATCTCGCCGTGGAGCATGCCGAGAAGCACGCCCGCGAAGGGCCAGCACGGGACTCGATACCGAATGCCGACGAGCCTTTGCCTGTGCCGGACTCTGCCCATTCGGTTTGCTGCCCGGCACTTCTTGTCCATGTCGCCACTGCGCTACGGACGTCTTTCTGCGCTGTCGCACGAAGGAACCAACATACACTAGACCGAGAAAGCGTTGCCCTGGCCGTCATGGACAAGATGAGCACTATGCATACCGACTCGCCAGCCTCCGTCGTAGCCAAGTCGGAGACATCCCACAGATTTGCTTCCCGTCGCCTGCGGGGGAATTCTTTGGTTGAGATGCACGCCGAGCCGACGTCCAGCAGTCGGCCTTCGAGCAGAGACGTATCAGATGGAAGGCGCAGGGCACAGTCCCAGACGAAAGCATATGCCTCCTCCGTCGAGCACAATGCGAATATAAATATTCCCGCCAAATCTTCATTGGTCGACGACGGCATCTCGGGAAGGCCTTTCGTCCGAGTGGGTACTCCTGAGTCTACAACCTTCTCTCCGCCATCGTCCGTACCCAAGACTGCCACTTCACCAACTACCACAATGCCTACCAAGGAGCAGAAACGCGTTCCTGCGCCAACAGGATCCCCATCATCACTGCCGGAGCGCGGGCGACAAGCGTCAAGAGCCTCTGTCCATGTCCCAGTAGGGGTATCTAGGCTGCATGAGGTGACTCTCCCCGCCTTGCAAATGAAGCCTATCTACTGGTCCCCTGTGAATGATTTGAGTACCGTCCTCCGGGCCACGTGGTTCTATCGGGATGATATGCGACCTATTGATCCTGCCGTCGCCAATCAACTCGAGGCGGGCTATCGGGAGCTGAAGCCCCATACCGAGACTTGGAATGACGAGCTTAGGTGTGCTATAGAAGTAGGTCCGCTTGGTGAGGAGAAGGTTTCTCATCCCCTATGGCCAACAATGTCCAGTTCATCCGCCAAGACGGAGGACGAGTCATCGGAACCCTCTGTATCAAGTAACCCATTTTGCGCTGCTCGTTGCTTCCGCGGCGAAGCTGCTGCCGAGGGAAGCCTGCTCCCAACTCCGAACGAAGACAACTCCCTGCCGTTGCAACCTCGAAAGAAATTTGAGCATTACCACGTGATATACAAGGATGAAATGACAGCCTTTCTCTTGAAGCCGAGCTTGAAACCATCTGCATACTACGGCCGCCGGCCCGTAGCCAAGATAGCCAAAGGTCTCACTATCGGCATTCCTGTTGTACGGGGGTTTGACTACGAGACGTGGACGAAAACGCACCAGAAGAAGCAGGTACAACAGCAGGACACACCACATGCGAGAGCCGCCGCCGCCGGTTATGCCCGTAGTCGTAACCGCGATGGTGTCTGCTCAGCCTGTATGGCAGAGAAGCAACGCAGCCAGGTTACAGACCTCGTATTGGTTGTCCACGGGATTGGGCAGAAGTTGGCGGAGCGAGTGGAGAACTATCACTTCACACATGCTATCAATGCATTTCGTCGAGCGGTCAACGTCGAACTCGGGAGTGAGGCCGTCAGGGGGGTTCTTCGGGATGGTCAGAATGGCATCATGGTTCTTCCAGTCAATTGGAGACAGAACCTTTCGTTCGAGGACGGCGGGCCGCTGAAGGAGGAAGATAAAGCGGACTATACGCCCGAGGGCTTCAGTTTAAAGGATATCGAGCCCAAGACCATCCCTGCAGTCCGAAGCATGATATCCGATGTTATGTTTGATATACCATTCTACATGAGTCATCACAAGCCGAAGATGGTTTCGGCCCTGGTCGGCGAAGCCAACCGCGTTTACAGACTATGGTGCCGGAATAACAGCGGCTTCTCAGAGAACGGACGAGTCCATCTTATCGGCCATTCTCTGGGCAGTGTCATGTCCGTCGAGGTATTATCGAGGCAACCAACAACGATACCCGCTCTGCAGCTGGCGGAGCCGCCGCAGACCAAATTCTTCGAGTTCGACACCAAGAACATTTTCCTAGTCGGTAGTCCCGCCGCATTCTTCCTGTTGCTTGAAAGGGGTACGTTGCTGCCCCGGAGGGGCCGGACGAAGCCGGGGGCCCACCCGGCGGACACCACCGACGGAGATGTCATTGGCGATGCCGGCATGTTCGGGTGTCTGGCAGTAGACAACATCTATAACATCCTGGCCCGAGAGGACGCCGTCGCTTACCTACTCAATGGCACTGTGGATCCAAAATACGCAGCGAGCTTGAAGACGGCATACGTCCCCAGTGCGTCGCCCTCTTTTCTGCAATCTGTGGGCAGCGCCGTGAAGGGCTTCATCCCCGGGGCTTCATCTTCGCCCGCGGGTGCTGCGAAGCCTGCCCTGGTCATGCCTCCGACGGTACGCCTTCCGTCGCAGCTTGAGCTAGAAGTCCACGATTTCACACGCGAAGACATTGCCGAGAAAAAGGCATTCCTTCTCAACGATAACGGGCAGATCGATTACTTCCTGCGATCTGGTGGTGGGCCACTTGAGCTACAGTATCTGAACATGTTGAGTGCACATACCAGTTATTGGCTTAACCATGACTTTATCCGCATGCTGTGCCAGGAGATAGGGAGGAAACCAGGGAGGGCGAACACGTTGCCGGCAATGAGGGCAATGAAAATCACGAAGCGGGCCCTTCCATCCGCAAGTTGAGTGTCGGTGATCAGAGCTGTTCATGGCATATCGTGGCGTTCTCTGCTTCGGTGGAAAGGTAGCATGGAGGAAGGTTAGCATATAGACAGCGAATACCCTATTCCGTTCTCATTCTTGGTACCTTGCGCAGTACGTTGTGTTGGTGGCGGCGACGTCTGTCTGGGCCCGACGCGTTATAGGGGTCGCCCTACCCCTTGAATATTTGGAATACAAGGCTATTGGCCTAGTTGATGTCTCCTGAGCACCCTGGCTTGCAAAGTCATTCGGCCGTCGACGAGAGCAACCACTATCACAGCATCACCCCCTGATATTCGCTTGTAGCGGGTCATTCACGGTACATTTGACGTTCTCGATACAGCACACTGTGTCTGCTGCCGCTCCTTCGAGTACACCGTGACGTTCAGCCGGCCAACACTTGCCAGGCCTCGTGCGTTGGTTGGTTGGTTCCATCCTTCTCCCAGGCGCATCGGTGACCACTGCCATGAGCACCTGGCCACTGCACAACCCCTGGCACTCCGGCACCCCCAGGTGGAGGGTCGTAGTCGAACATGTTGGGTTGCGGCACATCTGCTTCTAACAATAGATTATAGCAGCATTTTGTGCCGGTGCGACTACGTCGTGCCGCAACCGATATGCCATCACACCCAACAGCGTGCTTCGCCCCAACATAACCGCGCTCATCATGCAGCCTGGACTACTAGGGGGACAGGGCTGGGGCATCCAACACCAACCGTGTCTCCACCAGGTGGCTGACCAACGCTGACGGTGATGGAATATATCCCGACACGGCACCAGAAGACTTCGAGCGTTTACCACGTGGTGTGTGATCCCCTGTGATGCATTTATTCCCACGTGACGACACCCGGCAGGCACGTTGCGATGCGAATGGTGCCATCGACGCCGTACCGCAAAGTACAGCAACGGCGTCACTTTTCTAGCTCCATCACTGTACCTGGGTACCGGATTGGGGAGCTGCCACCAAATCTGCCTCGCCTTTGCTCGGGATCTTCCGACTCCCAAAGCTGAAGTATGAAACCAGAATAGGTCTGGTCGAGCGAGAATCGCCTTTCACCTTCCCCCTGTTTTTTTTTGGGAACAGTGGGCCAGGTCAAAGACAGGACTCGAAACAAGCGCCAGAAGCCACTTCGAGCCGTGGTTGATGCAATTTTCCTTGAGAATGTATACCTTCATCAAGTCTGTGCCAGTACCACTCCCAGTGTACATTAAACAGGGGGGGGGGGGGGGGGGGGGGTGTTCGGCTGGCATTGATCCACCTGTGTTATGTGTAAAGATAGGACCTTTTATTATTACTACGGCCGTACGGGAGACGACACGAAAGGACAAGCTACTAAGCCCGTCCTGGTTGCATTGCAACCCTCAACCGTGATCGGCCGAAGACCTCAGGGTGTGTGAGATTACAAATCAGAACGAACTCAAGCGCCCCAAAGCTTGAGCATGATACCTCTGCGTCGTTCCCCCAGCGTGTCTATCAACCCGGTCCGGTATGCATGGTGTGGTCGTTGCGTGCTCTGAGCTGAACTCTCTCGACCTTCAGTGTACCAGGGGACTCGCTCGGCCGACAAGTAGGATCCCCCGGATGCCATGTTTGGTATGGCGGCGATCGTTCCTGTACGTGGATAAGTACTTGTCTCATCGATCGATACCGTACCAAAGACCAGATCCGCCTTTGAACGAAAAGCCTTTCTTGGAACGAAGCCTGGTGAGAGCTGGGGGGAGGCAGGTCCAGGTCGAGCAACCGCATGGTAGAAAATAGTCCCCAATATCCCCCTTGCGGTACCATAAAGGTATCCTCTCACTCAACGAGTCAGAGCTATAGTCCCTTAGAATCTGGCGATGCCTGCCATGCCGGTACCTACCTAACTGGATATCTGGGGGCATGGGGTACGCTACTGGTTACCATCCTGGACACCTGTACTGTACTTCCTATGGTTTGGACTCTGCATGGAAGACTCTGATCCCGGACAGCCAAGTTTAAGCGCTCAGCCGGCATCCGCGAGATTGGCAGTCAGAACTCTCTTACGATACTCCACGGCGGGGGGTTGGTAAGTTTTTGCGAAGCCCGCCTGGCAGTTAGCATCACGGACATAGGAGTCTAACAATGCCCGCGGAATACGAGTCGAGCCGAAAACGAGGTTGGGGGGTAGAGACGTTCTTGGCCACTCAGATGGCGGGAGCTCCTTTCCATGGGCATTGTGTTTAGCTGATGCCCGACGATGGTGCTGAAGGGGAGAGTGAGTGAGAAGGACACGTCGATAGACCATTTCGACGCGGGGATCTGGGAGGCTACACAGTAGATGGGCTCAAGGGGTCTCGGTGAGGCGGCCACAGATGGGCAGACCCGACGAATACGGCGGGTGGTAGTGGTGGTGCTGTTTATAGCATCGTCCCAGCCTTGCGACCTGGTTCGTGATCAGCTGCGCCATAGTCGACCACGAAGCGAATGTCGCCTCGAATCCTGCGAAAACAGCGCGGTGACCAACGATTTCTGCCCCTTGTGTACGGGTGCAAAGAGAAAATACACTGCGTAGTATGCCAGGTCAAGACTTGGACGGCTGGAACTTCTGACAAGAGCGTTGATGCTAGTAGGCGGCCTTCCTTACCGTGTACCTTGACATGGTACACCACAGTTCAAGTGAATGAATGCGGAGCCCAGCGCTTTCGAAAAAGCCGGGAAATGCGTCCTAGATGCTTGCCGATGCATGTCTGCTAGATTCACCGCAAGATGATGTTCAGGTGCGTAGAGTACGGGCGGCCATAATAAGTCATAAGCTGACCGCTCTTCCACGCGCAAAGAGTCGGCCAAAGTGTAGGGCTGGCGTGGTGAAAGAGCGGGATGCCGGGATGTTGGCCACCCCTGGGAGTTCTGGGAGAGTCGGCCAGGTCGTCTGGGAAATGAACGATGCAAAAGTGAACACTTTCGTACGGGGGTCCGCCTACCCTTGTAAGACTGAGCTCAGGCAGACGGCAGACGGCAGACGGCACGCCGCAGCAAGTGCTGACGATCCCCAACTTTCCAGGTTGAAGAATGGAGATCCCAACCTTGGAACCGTCGTGGTGGAGTGATAGATTCTTCTGTCAGCACCTTCTTTATTATTACTGCATAAGCCGCCCTCACCTCGGTGTATTTTGCCTCGATCGAGCTGTCCTCAAGACACTGTACCTTATGTACCCATGTCGTCGTCAAGAGGCCGTTTCCATCCAGTGTCACTATCAGATCAAGCCGATCTGATTGATTTAATGGCTTGATTTGGCTTGATTTGATTAAATCGAGGTCTTTACAATATTTGCAAGCTAAATATAAGGTTTTTAGATTTAATTTTGGTTGAGTAAGCCTTAAAAATCTTTTAATATTTATATAAAGACTTGTTTTATATAGTATTAAAGCTTTAAAAGCTTTCCAAGATTTTTATTTTAACTTTAATTAAGAATATTTAGACTTTATTACCATTTATTAATACGGTTAATTAGCCTTATTAGTAGAATCTCTAAGATGTTAAGCGGTTGTTTTAATCGTTATTATTATTTTTAAAAATATATTATAAGGTTAGTTTATAGCTGAATACTTTTTAATTATATAATAAAATAATTACTTTAAACTTATATAACTTTAAAACTAATTACCGTTTTAAAAGCATTATATTTCAAGCTTTTATATTAATTTATTTCGGGTTGTACAGGTTGCTATCAATTCTTTCCCCTGTTTAACTTTTTATTATTTACTTAATTTTTACTGCATTATACTATTTATAAGCTTTTTTTTATACTAGTAAGCGCGTTAATATACCTTAACGCGTTATAATAGAATAGCAAATCGAGACTTAAAGATGTTTAATCTTTAAAAACTCGACTCGGTAATAAAATTTAATAATCGCGTTCAGTACAATTAAATATATCTTTACTCTACAATTAAAAAAAATAAAATTCGTTCAATGTGTTATTCTTTAACTTAAAATCTTTTTTACTAACTAAGATAATAAATACGCTTTTAAAAATAGGGCATTGTTTTATTATATTTACGATAATACCGAGTTTATAAAAACTTTTATTAGCTTAGTAACTAAGAGCGTTATAAGTTTTTTTAAGGTTAAAAAACCTGATAATATTTCTTACAGAATAATTTAATCGTTTAAAGCGTTTTATTTAAATATCTTTTAATTAACATAGTTCTTAATCAGTTGATCAACAACTTCAGTACGTTTAACGTTTATTAATAAGTTATAAACTATGCATAAAAGCAGCTTCTTATTATTAGAATATTTAAAAACTTTCAAACATTACTTGTTAAATATATTACGGTTTATAATTTGCCCTTTTAAAATATTAATTACTAACCGTTTTATTTATTAATATCATCTTTTAACTTTTAACTTCTTAAAAAGCTGTTTATTAATCTATTTGTTTATATATAATTTATTATAACGTTTAATAAAGCTCATAAAGTTCTAATAAAATACTTATAAGAAAATATTAAGTTGAAAATTTACTTTTTTAATATATATATCAAATTCTTATAAAAATGAATATTTAATATAATTATTTAATATGTGACGGTGTACAGCCGTATCCACCTGGATGGATGGATACTGAGTCATCAGGTCACGTATACATTAGATAAAGAAGGAACGGGACCACCACTCAAGGTGTGTGCTGCGCACACCACCTTGCTGGCTTCCCTTTTCTTTCTCACCTTGTTATTTTCGACATACAACACTAGGTTCCCATACAACGCCGCAGGCATTATGACATAATTTATCAATTTTAATTCTAAGTAACGTTGTTGCTTTATTATAATATAGCGTATATTGAACGGTTATTAACGAAAATATGCTGCATTATATAATAAAGACTATAAAACATATATAATACGTAATAAAATAAGCTTTTATATATTTAGTAACGTTAATAATAGGCTTTTTTTCTTATTAAAGATTTTCTTACTAATCTTCGTGTTACTAATTAACGATAAAGCGTTTTAATTA